GTTAGTCTAGTAAGCTAAGGCGAAGACCGACTATTCCCTTCTTTTCTTAACTCCTTTACCCTTAATTTTTCTTCTTTTCTATTATTTCTAGGTATAGGTCTAATATAAATTTTTATCTAGCTTCCTTCTCTTAATCCTTATTAAAATAGATTAATAACTTTAATAACTATATACTAAGCTTTATATTAAGTTTATAGCTATTATCGATAATCTTTAGTAGTAGATTTAATAGCTTAAGGTCTAATAAGCTACCTCTATCTCTTCTTCTTCTTTAAAATACCTAAAAGCCTCTCTTCTAGATCTAGAAAAGTTTAGTAATTAGTTATTTCGTTATAATACGTAAGACACCTCTATTTATATAAAGTTAGCTATTAATAGACTTATTATTAGAGATTTAATAGCTTAGTTTTACTACGTCTTTTTTAATCTCTTAAGTTAAGTCTAAGCTATAGTTCTTCCTTAACTTTTAACTATATATAACTCCGGTATTTATAACTATAATACTATTCTCGATTAACTTTAACGCGTTTACGATAATCTAAATAAGACTTAAGAAACTAAAGATCGACTTCTTTTAATTAAGTAGGATTCTAATACTCTCGCCGCTTATATCACTAAATTTAAAAGAGTTCTTTATAAAGCTTAAGGATAAGAGTAGCCTAACGTTATAAAAATCTCTACTTTCTATAAAGGTCTTAATACTTCCCTACATAATAGACTTTCTTAATAGCTTAATTTACCTTATACCTATCCCGAATTCCTTAAAATCGTTTAGTAGCTCGCCGGTTATAATTTTTAATTAACTTCTTTAAATACCTATACTAATAAAATAGATATTTCCGGTATTAACGTTAGTATACTATAAAGGGATAAAGACGAAATAGATACCGCTATTAAAGAGCTTAAGGTTAAGGGTACTTTCGATTACGATACTTTTATTTCTAGTCTTTAAATATCTAGGGACTAGATATATTCTTTCGCGGGGAATATATAACGATCTACGTTATATATCTTATTTATACCTTCCGATCTCCTAGATTATTTACTTATTTCCTTTATCTAGATTATTTACTAGTTTTCCTTTATTCTTCTAAATATTACTAAACCTATTTAGGATATATAGGTTTAATTGGTTTATATAGGAGATAGGGTATAAAGTCTTATCTCCTACCAGATCTCTCTCTCTCTTATTTCCCTATCTTTGGTTTTCTCGTTTTTGTACTCGATTCTCTCATAGGTCGACTGGCAGGTGACATTAACTACCTCCTAAAACTCCTAGTTTAGCACTCTAAAAACTACTAGTAAAGTAAGAAGGATAAGCGATTAGCTTAATTAGTTAGATCCGGGGAGTTAGAGGTTTAAAAAGGCACTAGAAAAGCTTTAAAAGTGTGCTAAAGTATAAGCTACACTAGCTCACGAACTACGGCGGGAATTCGACTTAATAAGTGCTATTATAGGTGCTCGCTACGCCCGATATAATACTTCTCGGCGCTATACCCAGATAACTAGTATTATCAATTTATCCTAAGTCAAAGAGATAAAGCGAAAAGAGTACAAATTGACTAAGAAAGCTAATTAAGAAAAAACGAGGCGGAAGTAGAAGAAGGTGTTGATCGAAATCAGGAAGCATAGGCGAGCACAAAAACGTAAGGGAAATTGATATAATCTTGTATACTAATAGTCAAATGGTGAATTGATTTATCTATGATTTTTAAACTATTAATTTCCTATATTATTATATAGAAAATGGTAGTCAAGGTAAAATATAGGAAGAATGTACGGTTTAGGTGGGATGTACGGTTTGGGTGGCGGACCCTCGCTTGCGAGGGTCCGTAATTTTGGTATGAAATTTTAGGGGCCGGTTACTTAGTGAGCCTAAGCCTGACCACCCCTTATAAAAGCGGCGGTAGCTCAAATAGGAAAGCCCCACCCGCTAGGGAATATCCGGTACGTATAGGCATATAAATATCACCCCGGTACTAGATGGGACTTATATAGCTCCTATGTGTAAAAAAGCACTTTGGAAGGTACCAAATTGGCAGGTGTAACAGACTTAAGTTATAAAGCAAGTATCTATTTCTGACCTTTTGCAACGTAACCAACATTCCCTTTATTCTTGCCTTCAAGATTCGACTCAATCCTCTCATTCTTAGCCCTCCTCCCTATTTCAGCATTCTCCTCTGAAGACAGAACAATCAAATCCAAGGGACTATCATGACTATCAAGAGACAGTCCCCATATTGAGACCCGATATACCATAATACAGTAAGCCATACCAAGCCAAAGACCCCTTGTCTGATCACCACATGTACAACCAACTATGCAATGCCCAGCTCTAAGCTGACAAGCATCATCATCTCTACGAGCAACACAGTATCCATCTCTTCCAGCACAATTCCCAACTAGCACTCGATTCATATACCATCGCGGAAGTGAACGCCCCAGATCAAACGCTCTAAGCAGCGGCCCTTCGGAGAAGCAGGTTCGGAGCCGCCACCACTCCCGTTCCAGGAGCCAGTATCTCTAGCTCAAAGCTCTAAGCTGGATTTGGGCGAAGGTCTTCCAGACTCGCAGATACAGGGCATCGTCGGGACCGGTCTATGCAATTTCTTGTCTGAGGATACCTCTTCCTGGACGGTCTTTTGGAGAGTATATTCCGCTTGCAGAAGTAGCCATTCCTTGGTCAGGAGATTGGGGGTTGTTATTGTACATTTTGTAGAACTTACGATATCGATACCGCTGAAGGGCGTCGATATCTCCGCTCTCCTCGATCTTGATTTTGTTGGGAGCCTTCTCGCCAGGCATCTGTAAGTTGATTACAGTTCTACCGCAAAAGTTTCCGTACGACCCGCACCCCATCAAATATATATCTCCCATTTTTGATTTTAGCAAATCGAACCTGCTAACTTCAATTAAATACTATACCCCTAATTTATATAGTAAAATTATATAAAAATATATATTAGATAGGCAATTGGACATAGTATTTAATTTATATTTTTAATATTTAGTATACCACCCATTTGCCTCAATTACTGCCTCAACCCTGCGCCCCATGCTCGAAATCAACCCATCAAAGTAATCCTGGCCTAGCATCGCCTATGTAGCATGAATTAACTCTTCGAAATGATGAATCAGATCTTCTTTGGGACCTTCAAATTTATCAAGGTCCGGATCAAGGCGGTCGATCATTTCTTTAAGTTTTGCCCATGTATATTCAATAGGGTTCAAATCAGGTGAGTACGGCGGCCACACTATCGTCTCAATTCCATTCTCCTATAACTAATCACGAATAATATGCGTAGTATGGATTGGAGCATTATCGTGCATAAAGATTCGCGTCGAATCCATACAAATTTGGGGTAAATTCTCCTCGAGAACCTCGCGATACGAGAACCTTAAGTATCCGTTGCGTACTGACTCCGAGTCACGATTCATTTAGAATAAATCGGAGCAACCACCACCGAATATTGCTCCCTAAATCATGATTGAGATATTTTTCGACTTCGAGTATGTAGTAATATGTTCTTTTTTCCATTTTTTATTTCGGTGGTTGATAAAAAAGACCTAACGGTGACGCTTCCCTTTCCCGATTTTAATAGAGCATTTATCGGACCAAACAATCTTCTTCTAGTCATCCCACGTCCAATTTCGTCGCTCCAAAGCCCAATTAAGGCGTAGCTCGGCGTGTTCCGGTTTTAAATATGGTCTTTTTTTCGCTTTCTAATGTCCGTAGCCCGAGGCTTTGACCATTCGAAGAAGGGTATCGTCGGAAGCAGTTAAGCCATTTTGTTCGCGGATTTCTTGATAGGTAATAAAGGGATCGTTTCGAATCAATCGAATAACCATAGAACGGTCATCTACTGATAAAATCGAGGGGCGACCGACGCGGTTTTGATTATTGCCTTCGTGTCGGAGAGGTTCTTTCTCGAGGGTATACTGAATTGTGGATTTGGATAAACTGAAGTGCTGGGCAATTTTCGCGATTGACAGGCCTAGCTGGGCTTGACCAAAGATCTGACCCCGGAGATAGGGAGATAGCTCATTTCCCTTTATCCTATTAGAATTAATAGGACGTAGAGGGGGTCCTGGGAACCATGGTGAATTTTTAAAAACCATGGGTTGGGAGAAGACGCGGGTCAAAAATGTAATTATTCGCGAAAAACGCGGGTGTGGACCCCCGACCGTACGGAAACTTTTGCGGAGGGACTGTATAGGGGTCTGTGTGCTGGCTGGTGGGATATTGGCTTTTGATTGATAGAAGTCGTGCTTTTGGAGTTTAACCCATTGAAAGCTCTCAGCGGTGTTAGCGAGATTCGCCTAGCGGACGGTTGATGGTGATATCAGACATACATAGAAGGTGGTGGCATTGCAAGGCTTCCATAGACGGTCTTGAAAAGAATAACCATGGACTGTATGTAGTCAAGTCGAGGAACCTCTCAGTCAAGTCCATCTCGTTGCCTATGGAATGCAGGCTCCTTAGATGCTTGGGTTGACACTGGGCAGTCCCAGTCCGTTTTGTGGCCAAACAATATACCTAACTTATTGTCTAGGCTTACTTCTGAAGAGGCAATGTAAAGGGATAATTACAGCGGAAGGAAGAAGCTTTAGAGTAACAGATGTTATCTGATCAATATATACACAAGGTGGAACCATGATAATCCCACCTGTTGGGGAGGAAGAAAAGGCCAAAACGCCGTGGTGCTTTGCTCGCTCACTGCCCAGTCTCCTGAACCCCGATGGAAATAAAAAGAAAAGAAATGTGAAGGCGCAGAGAATTGAGATCATATCATCCAAGCCAAAGAAACAAACAAAAACTTGAACGCCTGACCATGATGCTTTTGTTTTGTCGACCGCAAAAGAACAAGATGAGAACCTGTGAGGACGCAGGATCGAGAGGAGGGGTAATGGTCCTTGTGAGGAGCGCATTATGCAACGAGGAGAAGAGAGTAGGATGGTACAGAGAACGCTTGAGGTGATGCCAGTCACACGGGAGTTGATTACCCACGAGCAACCCACCATGAGCGGACTGCCATACAGCAAACTCGCTTGTAGATTTGTGTTGTGCCCTTGCCCTCGGCTTCCTCTTCGAGGAACTTCTGTGCGACGAACAGTTTGGTTCCCGCCTCTTTCTCGGTAGTGTAGCCCACCTTGGGCAGGCTGTTGGGGAAGTCGGCCCATCGTTGTCCTAGGTGGCGTGCGACGGAGATAGAGTAAATGATGTCGCGATTCTCATATGTATCCAGTAATTGTCGGCACCGACCCAGGGTGTCATCAATTTGCTTGGCTGAGCTTGCTTCGTTGTCATAAAGTGTAAGGAATTCTCCGACCTGATCCCAGAAATCCAATTGACGACTCTGGAACTGATCCGGGGTATTCGGGGGATTGGCGGCATCCATAACAAGCTCTCGTGACAAGGGATTTGAGTCCAGGTGATTCCAGGTCAGCAATGCCTCCACCACGTTTAACCGAGCGCAAGCCACACAGAGATTCCAGTCTCGCCCTTGTTGTCCAGTTTCTCCATCTGGTACCTGGCGACACAGCGCCATGCTTTTCCAGATTATTGAGGCCTCGAAACTCTCTAGGCGAGCAAGGGTTTCACCGTCTTGAAGATTCCATTCGTTGAACGCATTGATCAAGGCTGAATAATCGGCCATAAGCTGCGCATCGGCCATGAGTAATGAGAGAGCACTCTCTGAATACCAGCGAACCTCTAGAAGCTTATCGATCGCAGGCGCATAGGTGGCCAGGAACACTGCCTGGATCTCTTCGAGTCGACCGGGTGGAAGTGTACCGACTGGATGGGGAGGAGGAGGGGCAATCCCTCGCAGAGAGAAGAGATCATTGATATAGAGATTCTTGGCTGGAAGGATCGATTGTCAGCTATCCATGCACGATGCGCAAATGAGAAATCAGGTTGATTATATGAGCAGAATCTCACCTTTGTATGAAGGCTCAGAGCCCTGTTGGCGTGGTGCACCGGTATTCTGCATTTCTGTATGATTTGTTTGGTTGCTCGTTGCCAAAGAGGAGTCGATGGAAGCTCCGTGCTCGTGCTGGTCGGTAGAGGCAGAGGGCGATTCAGAGTGGAGAGAAGGTGCAAATGGTTGAGACGAGGCGGGCATATACCCAGGAGGCGCAGAAGGATAAGAAGGATATGAGGGTGCTGATGAGGTAGAAGGGCCTTGAGGATTGACGACCAGTGAAGGGGGAGGGTTAGGAGCTGGTTGGATAGCCGATGGTGTGGAGGCTTGAGTCCGAAACACAGGATCGTAGCCCAAGCATTCACGTTTGCTTTTCACGCAGTTTCTGCAAACCGGATGTGCTTCGTCGCACTAGAGAGAGTCAGAACTTGATCAAGAAAATTCAAAAAAGCCGAATGAGGAAAAAAAGTCGAGGGGACGTGGGATTAAGCGGACAAAATAAAATGGCGGGGTCTGCGGGCACAAGCGAGACTCCGCCCCGCGAACTACATTTGCGCTCACCTTGATTCTTCGTTTGCGACAAGTCAAACAACCGGTTTTTGTTCGTCGCTTGACTTCTTTCTTGTGTCTATTGCCTGATAGCATCTTATTTGGGTCTCCTGGCAGTTGATACCGCATTTGCGCATTCCCTTGTCCCATGTTGGACGGATAACCAGCCATGTATTGTCCCATTGAAGCCATCGGAGGCATATTGTTCGGGAGAGGCGACCCGATCGGAGCCTGTGGCACCTGGCCTTGAGCACCAGAATTGTGATACATGTCGTTTTGCTGATAGTGCTGTTGCGGCTGTGCTTGGAACTGGTGTTGCGTATGTGTCTGTGGTGACTGCTGACTTCCGGGCTGTGATTGTACAGGACTGTGCGAATATTGGTATGTACCATTTGTTTGCGCATGGTAGTGAGATCCACCATTCACGGCCCCATGGTGTTGTGTTGTGTCGTGACCATGGCCCGTAGAGTCTGCCATACCGGAATTTGGATCGTGGTGGTCTAAATGACTATCATCGCCAAAGTCATGCCCATCCATCGTTGGGATATCATCAGTCCCAATCGCTGGCAAGGAATGGTCCAGCGAGGGAAGTGTTGTATCGATTGCAGGCAGCGACATATCTGGTGCCGCGGATGAACCTATTGAAGGCAACGCATCAAAGGAGTTCATGTCCGAATCATCGAAAGCATGCGATGTGTCCATAGGTGGGAGTGACGAATCAATCGTTGGGAGTGATGATTCAACGGATGGTAAGGTCAGGTCTGGAGCATGTGTTGGCTGGCTGGTTTCTTCTGGCTGATACGTGCCCACATCCTGTGTTGGATCTGAGGGGGGCGGAATTGCCCTTGCTGGCTCTTCTGGCGCCGCTAGCTCCGTTGGTTCTGTTGGTGGTGCTGGCGGTGCTAGTTCTACTGGCTGTTCTGGTGCAGACTCGGTCGGTTGCGGTGGATCTTGGTTTGCCTCTGCTGAAGGTTGATGTGTTTCCACCGGGAGTGGCACATTCTGGGGTGGAGGTTGCTCTGTCTCAACAGCTGGCGCATTCGAGTCAGTCGCAGGATTGGTGGATTCGCCAGGCGGGGCGCTCGAGTCCGTCGGCTCCGACATGTTGAAATTCGCAGCCTCCCAATAAAAGTCTCGATCGGATCAGAAGTTTGGTGGGGGGAGGGGTTTGCAAGTAGGCTCGAGGACAACGTTTTGAAAAATGATCGGATATTCGATTATAAAAGGACGTAATGGTCAAAGGTCGTCTGGTTTATCGCTGAGCGAAGAAATCACACCAGGTCGAACGGATGGGGAGTTAGAAATCATTTATTCCCTATGATCTGTGGGATCCATCATTTGTTAGTCAAAATATTCAGCCGCCAGCAATGTGTGAGCAGCCCGCAGCGAAGCATGACGTGGTAAAAAACAGAGTCCTCGATGTCGATCATGAGCATATCCAGGAAAGAAGCACCGTGCTAGCGCAGGTCCTCGGTTTCCACGCCTTTAAACCCAATCCTCTAGCCCTGTATATGTATTGGGCGCGAGTGTCACGCCTTTGTGCCAAAAACCTCCATCAAAGAGACATCAAGCCCGTTGCATGTCCAGATATCCTGCTGGCCAATTGGGGATTTGCAAGTCGCATTCGCGGTGGCCGCCCAGCCTCAAAATGCAATCATCTGCGTTCACAAGTCCCACCGGCTCCCGGGAAAGCATCGCGGACTCGAATCGAAAATTCAATAATCTCTTTCAACAGCAGGATTACTGGACACAGTCTCGCACAGGGTAGTTGAGGCTCCGGCGCGAGAGGACGATGCGCAAGTCGAGGACCAGGTGGGTTGGCAGGGCTGCGGGGATCACAACTTGCTCGAATTTCAAGGACTTACCAGGTAAGTATATTAATATATTAGATCGAAATAAACACAAGTCGCCGACGAGCTGTGCAGATCCGAGGGTTGGAGGTCAGGAAAAGCGCGAAAGAGAGGCTTAAAGGAGCTTTCCTTTCCGGCGATGAAACTCTCCGCTTTGATTGCGATCGAAGGAAAAAAAATTATAGTGGCAACACCGCTTTCTACCCCGACATTGGCATCGGCGTGTTTATTATTTACAAGCTACTTGGGTCATCAATGGTTTTTTTCTGATTGTTTTTCAGTTGCAAGTATTCAAGTTAGACTGGAAATTTATTTCACGAGGTGTTAAGTGAATGTTTTCGTAGGCAGGCCTTCTGGCCCATAATCTATGGAGGCTATAGATTATCCCGTCAAACCAAGGCGTTTGAACAATTAACCCCCCCCACCGAGCCAAAGGCTCATATTTTAGACTATGCACATGTCTCCATAAATGAGGACGGGGAAACAAGTTTCATGATAGGCATTTAGTCCAGTCCTCAGATCAAATAATGCTTAGCCTTGCAAATGATCATCCGGGTGAATGGAGTCGATCTGTACATCGTGAGGAACGAGAGTTCTGCCACGGGAAATCTTTCCGAGGAATTGGGTACTCTCTGATGTGACTTGTAACAGAGAAAGCTTTGTAATCTGTGTCTACTGCTTGAAGCAAGACAACTGCAGATTTGCAGGGTGGTGAGCCAACAGTTTGGAGTTGGGCGTTTCAAGCTCCTCAAGAACCCGGGACCGATTCTGAACGACGAACCTATGCTTGAATTGCCATTTGGGGCACGACACAAAAGGTTTGCAGATATCGCATCCTCTCAAGGTGTGACTATTTTCTCATCGTTTTTGGCTTGCGCTTCTTGAATACAACTCCTGGCGTAGCATCTTCACTTGGCGGTTTTTCTTCGACAATTGGCTCTGAAGGTTGAGCGGTCTCTTCAGCCTTAACCTCGATTGTCTCATTCGTCTCCTGAGGCTCTGGCTTGGAAGAACCTCGTTCTTGTTCTCCTTCTTCTTTCTTTGTGGTGGGAGTGAGTTGTTCGATAGTAGTCTCCCGTTCATCGAGTTCAATCTTCGGAATAAAGGTTTTAGTCTTCTTGATATTCTTGGTAGATGCAAGCAGATCATCCAAGCCTTCCTCCTCCTGTGCACCGGGGTATTGTCTCATTCTCGAGCCCCAGCCTCTGTTGATGACAGGTTCAGGTACATTCTCATCCTCCTCCTCGCCTTCGCCTTCATGTTTGCGCTTGCGCACTCCAATCGATTTTGTGGGCCCTTCTAATCCCTGCTTTGGCTCAATCAATGTCTCAGATGTCGTCTGCCAATCCCCTGCTAACGCCATCTCAGCGCGGAATTCCTGCGGGACGGCGACTCCCATCTCCGCAAGCTGTGCCATCTGTTTCTTTCTCTCTTCCATAGTGGCGGGCCGGTCTGTAGGTTTGGGAGCTGGTGCCGCGGTTCGTTTCGCGCCGCCATCTTTATCGGTCGAGGATCCGCCACCAATGGCCTGTCGCAATCGCTCAACTTCGCTTTTCGCACGCTGTGAGTCTCGTTGTTGTTGTTCATTGTCCTTGTGGATTTGTCTGAGGAAACGCTTGAGGCTACCTTGATGTTTTGGGCTGGCTTCGTGCTGGGTCTTTTCGAAAGGCGTGTCGCGGATGAAGATCTTGCACTGTTTACACCAGTAGCGTGGCTGTATGATCATTAGCAAGAATATGGACAGGTTTAGGTCTGAACTTACAGCTGATTTCCAGTATTCAGCCATGATGAAGTGCTGGGTTCAAGTGAGAATCGCCAGAGTCGTTTGATAAGATGAAGCTCTGAGCCGGGGGTCTAGTCCCAAAGAAGCCAGGAGCCCCACTCTGGGCAGCCTCAGACTTCAGGCTTCAAGTCCCTCGACACAACCCTAACTTGTTCTCAAAGTTGTCTAGGTAAAGACATAGGATCTCGGGCTCCAATTAAAGACCAAGCGATTATTCAATTAGAATCTTATCTGATTGGGCATGTTGTGTGTATGTTTAGCTAGGAAGCCCGCATATATGCCAAAAATATACATATACTTCATGCGTTGAGACGCGGGCTCAAAATATATACACCGGGCGAGTAGCACATTTTCCCTACAATGGCAGGTACAGGAGGTGACTAATAATTGTTTCCCGCTTGATTTCTGCACTATACAGTCAGAACATGCAGAGGTTCTTCAACGAGTGTCCCTAGAGATCCGCTTGTTCTGGAACTGGGCTCTTCAGCTTCCCAACTTCAAGAGCAAGACGGATGTTTTCAATGGCCCACTCTTCCATGGCAAGCAATGTCTTTCGAGAAAGTTAGTTTCATAACCCTGTTCATCAAAAGTACCACACTTACCTCGATAGTCCAAGTACCCATATGAGGAACCAGAATCACATTCTGATTGCTCAGCAACCCAGGATGGATTTCAGGCTCCTTCTCGAAAACATCGAGGCCAGCCGAGAACACTTTCCCACTATCCAAGGCATCAACCAGAGCAGCCTCATCCATGACAGCGCCACGGGCAGTGTTCACCACTACCACGCCATCTTTCATCTTGGCGAACTCGGCTTTGCCAATGATATGACGTGTGTTTCTCTTCAAGCAATCAACATCAGAACATACTCCATCCCTGTCTAGGATTCACTTACGTTCAACGGTAGGTTCAGGCTGACCACGTCACTGGAGGACAAGAGCTCGTCAAAAGAAACATATTGCGCGCCCGCAGAAATCTCATCACTGAGCTTGCGGCGGTTGTGGTAGATGACCTTCATGCCGAAGGCCTCGGCCTTCTTCTTCAAATTACGGCCAATACCGCCCATTCCTAGGATACCGAGGACCTTACCTTGGGGATCGTGACCGAGAGGGGGCGCTGGCTGGCCACGCCATTTGCCCTCACGCAGGGCATTCATACCGGCGTTTAATTTGCGCAGTGCACCAAGAATCAGGAACATGTTCATATCCGCAGTGGCATCATTTACTGCGGTTGGGACATTGGAAACCCGAACAGGGGGGTTACGCGCGCTGCAGGCATGAACATCCACTTGATCATATCCGGCTCCTGTGAAGACATTATGTCAATATATGTGCTTTTACCCTAGTAACCCGAGGTCGACATACCACAATGTGCCATGAATCGGACAGAGCTTGGTAGCACACCCACGAGCTCCTCGTCTACAAGCCCTGTTTGATCCACCGAGAAAAAGGTTCGGTATATCGCAACGACGCCATCTAGCTTGCCGTCTTTGCACTCTTGGATGAACTCAACTCGATTTGCTGCTGTTGACTTGACTATCTCTGCTACTTCGCCCAAGGCGCTCCAGGCTGCTTGCGCACTGTGTCCCAAAGATGTCAATACTTGAAAGTGATAATGCCTGGTACGAAGAAACGAGGCGAGCGTACTGTTCAATATCGCCAAGTAGAAGAACCTTGGGTTTAGGATCCATAGAGCCCATTTTGATAGTGAAGTTAATTGGGTGCTGAATGTAAAGGTGATTAGTATCTTGAAAGGATGTAAAATGTATGACAATGCGATAGCGCCAATTCAAAGCCGAGTTTGTCAAGTTTCCAGACGAGTCAACAACTTATACGAACTTGGGTTGAAATATGCCGAGGCGCCTTCTCTTGACATCCGGTCAACTAACCGATAAGAAGGATCGAGGAGAGCGATATCCGAGAGATACCAATTGACGGTCTCGAGTGATTCAAGTGAGCCAAGACTGTTGATATATCAAGGGACAGATATCGGTAAAACCCATAGGAACTAGTCAATAAGGATCTGATCTCATGAAAACCATGAAGCATCGGCCGAGAAGACGGAAAGTGCCCCGGGCCGAGCTTATCAAGCATCCCCGCATGAGACGCCTTTTGACCAAATACATATTTACAATAATCTGTCTAATGAGAAATATCGCCTAAGATGTCGGTAAAAGAGAGCCATGCGCCTCGAGTATAAACCGTTGATGGCAAGTGGGTGAGTTTTGCAGGACGTCTTGTGAACCCAAAGGAAGTTCTGACCATTGCACAGTGTAGCTCGCTATGATCAAACTAGATGGGTATTTAGTAAAGCGTACAATACAAAGTGGGAGGCACCAGCTCCAAGCCCATTAGCCTTCGATTAGAATACGGGTCCAATCAAACTTCTTCCAGCCTTTTCTGAACCCTTCGACCCTGCGATCACCACGGTTCCAACGTCCTTGTCGTTTGATGACATCCGGTGCAACATCTAACATTCCTCCGATGATCTCTCGGGCAAAAAGATCCCCACGAGGCCAGCGGTTATCGTCCTCCACAATATGGCCGAGGCCGCCGTCTAGTTCAAACCAGACGTGGAAGTAGGGCATCTCTTTGACCAGCGTTCGGCGGAAGGCAGACCGCCCTAACCCTTGCTTTGATTTGGCAAGAGTATCGATGAGTTTGCGGTGCTGTGACCATTCCGACTCAGCACTGAGAATTGCTTCTTTAAAGAATGCAGGAGAAGTTTCTCCTAGGCTGTAGGGTAAAGGCACGACTTCCATGGATGCATGTCGCTTGCGCTGCGGCTGGGCTGCATTCTCGTAGAATATCACATCCCGACCTTGATCATGGTACATACGCGTGAGACTCTTCATAAAATTACGGATTTCTTCCCATTCATCATCATCACATTCCATCAAATTAGTGCGATGTTGGATTGGCACAATGGTAGCACCTCCTTCACTGATCTCAGGTTCGGTAGGAAGTGTGAGGAAGACCCTGGTCGCGAGGGACACCACAGGGGCGACTGGAGGTGTACCCTTGTCTTCATTGTGACATAGGGGGCAGCTGTCCAATATCCGGTTCATCTTGTGGAAGTCACTGATCGTTGTGTTCTTGAGATCGATTTCAGACCGATGAACTCTTTTAGCCAGCTTGGATGCATTGTCGTCCATGTATTCCAAATCGTTCTGCATATGTGTTAGAATGTAATACATACTGCCATGTGACATTGAGGCTCACCTCGAATTTTGTATCACGGCCAATTTGATCTGCCAACCGCCGACCCTCTCCACCGAGCTGGCCACGAGTTTTGCGCTCTTCTCGCACCATATCTTCGATGGTCATATCTTCGTTTGCTTCGACCTGGCCGCGTTCTCGGCCTCTCTTAGTATCGACGACTTTGACCTCATTTCTTGCGCCCGCCAACATTCGGTTATGCATGACATCAAGGACCACAACATCGGATTCTTTGCGGTTTGACATTGCTGCCACGGCTGTATTGTACTGCTCCTCAAGAGCTGCAGCATCTGGCGCCTTCCTGAGCTTTGCTTTCATCATCTGGGCTTTGAGACGATTTAATGCTGTCATATCAAGATGGCGGGTAGTGTTTGAAGGAGGCACAGCGTCCATTTTCTTGCCTTGGCCTTCTGCATTGAATTCCTGCTCTGGGTCACGAACATGCTCGAGTGGACCTCTGCGGTTATCGCTTTTAAGTTTCCTTTCCTGAAACAGCTCCCCGCTGGGTTTATCCTTGCCCACGTATGACTTGCCATATGTCTTGCGACGATCCATCTCGGTTTCCTCCTCCCGAGCGTCATCAAAGGAACGGAGATCTCCAAAACGCTCAGTGGCAATATCTTCCAAAGGTCTGCCACTTTCTTCCGCTTCTCTGTATACCCCTCGGAGCTTCGTCATTCTCCACTGCGACCCTGAGTCCCCAAACGTATAGTCCACCTCATGTGATGCAGGCTCATCTTCTATATCCTCAACGGTTTTTCCATCTTTGAGATCACGCAAATGGTCGTTGAGTTCCTTGTCGTGAATTTTGAGTTCGTAATCCGCCGCAAGCATTGTAGGTTTCGCCGCTTCTTCAAGTCGCGTCGTATCTGGCCGATGAATATAATCAATATCGAGAGCAGAGGGCGCTTCCATCCAGGAGTCTCGCTTGAGATTACTGGGTTCCTCCTGTACCACTACTGAAGGGGCAGAGCTCTTTCCCTCGTCTCTGGAGTGCCGGTGCTGGCGTTTGTGGCCATGCTCGTCTCCTTGGTCATCAGAACGACGTGACCGCTTGTGATGATGCCTGTCGTCGTCGCGGTGCCGGGACTCGCGACCCCGTTCGCTATCATGATCGCGGGATCTGGGAGAATGGCGGCGGTGATGATGGCTGGACCGGTGACGGTGTTGTCTGGTGCGGTCTTCGCTGCGGTCGCGGTGGCGATCATGGTGTCGGTCTCGATGATGTCGCCCTTCGCTCTTTTCGTGCCGTTGCTCCTTCCCCTCCGCCAATGACTTCTCAAAGTCTTCTAAAGTCATGGTGCTTCTGATGTGTGAGAAGGGGTTAGAGCTGATGCAAAGAACAGAGGTTGGAATGACGTTTTAAACTGCCGGGCGGTCCAGCCGCTGATCGTCTTTTCCCCGCGACAAAAAAAGATTTCGAGGGAAAATAGCGAAGCTTATCTTTCTTCACTTGTTTTCCACTTTTCCACTAAACACTTGGACTACAAAGACCTCTTCATTCTCAACAGCTTTTACCAAGTGTTGTTCCTTCCAGACAGACCATCCTCATCATGGCGTCTCCAGTGTCCGTCGTCTGCGTGGGCATGGCAGGTAAGGATGCTGATCGCCCCTCATCTATCTTCAGTGATCTAATCGTCAATATTGCGAAATTATTAGGCTCAGGTAAAACTACCTTCATGCAAAGAATCAACTCCTACCTGCACGAAAAGAAGACGGTCCCATATGTGCTCAATCTCGACCCCGCAGTGCACTCGGTGCCTTTTGAGAGTAACATCGATATCCGCGATTCCATTAACTACAAAGAAGTGATGAAGCAATACAACCTGGGCCCCAATGGAGGAATCCTGACCTCTTTAAATCTGTTTGCCACCAAGGTCGATCAAATCATCTCTCTCTTGGAGAAACGTACCGCCCCGAACCCTGAAAACCCTTCCGCAAAGCCAATCGAACACATTTTGGTCGACACTCCCGGCCAGATCGAAGTTTTTGTCTGGAGTGCATCGGGCAGTATTCTTCTTGAGACTATGGCTTCATCGTTCCCGACGGTCATCGCATACGTTATCGACACCCCGCGCGCAAGCTCTACCAGCACTTTTATGAGCAACATGCTCTACGCGTGCAGTATCTTGTACAAGACCAAGCTCCCCATGATCTTGGTTTTCAACAAAACTGACGTTAAGGACGCTGAGTTCGCCAAGGAATGGATGACCGACTTTGATGCATTCCAGCAGGCTTTGCGGCAAGAAGAGGAATCGGGCGCCTTTGGAACTGAAGGTGGCGTTGGTGGATTTGGTTCTGGCAGCGGATATATGGGCTCTCTTTTGAACAGCATGAGTCTCATGTTGGAAGAATTCTACCGTCACCTTAGCATCGTTGGAGTTAGCTCGATGACTGGCGATGGTGTCGATGAGTTCTTCGAGGCTGTGGAGACGAAGCGACAAGAGTTTGAACGTGATTACAAGCCTGAATTGGAGCGCAGGAAGAAAGAGCGCGAAGAACAAACATCCGCCCAGCGCGAGCTTGAACTGGGAAAATTAATGAAGGACATGAATGTCACTGGGTCAAGCCGGAAGCAACCCAAGAACACTACTGGAGAGCCTGAAACTGTCAGTGAAGCTGAAGATGAAGAAGACGAAATCATCAAGCGTGGCATGGCAGACGGGGAGGCTGACAGTGATTACGAGTACGAGGATTACGAAGGCCCTAGCGCTGGCAATGACGAGGGTCTCGCCCAGCGTTACAAAGAGGCTCTGTCAGGCTCACAGAGCACTCCATCAGACCAGGACAACAGCTTCACAAGATATCTGCGTGCGAGCAACATGCAGAAGTGAAGAGGTCTTTTCAATTGTTATGGGCTCTTTCGGTCTAAAGGCGTTTGTGGTCTTAGAGGCGCATTTGATTCCTTGCATTCAACATAGTCGTTATCAGAGTAATCAAAAACCCATCTGAATTCAATGTTATTAGTTCTTTGTCTTTGTATGCTTGTAGGGCCAGTTGAACACTTGCAAACGAGTCAAACCCCAGAGTACCTGTATGACGTCACTCGTTTCTAATGGTTCGACCTCAAAACGATCGCTTGGAAGCTTAATCTTCTGAGGACTTCCACTCTTTTTGATTTGACAAGAACAATCTTCGTATCTCTAGGAAAACCTCCCTACCATCGAACCACTGACTGCCAACTGAGACCATGGATGTGAGTCCATCCTATCACTGGCCTCAAAGCCGTCCAAAACAGACCTGGGAACCGGAGCTAAAACTCAGCTTGGCAGGTCTTTCGCGCCTATACCTACTCGACTGCTGCATGGCTAGCCCTTCAGAGTTTACCCTTGATTGCTGGGCCGAGCATGATAGTGACTATGCTGCTGGATGAGACTCGGCCTGCCACCCGTACGTTCATAAGCCGCCAATGTGATCCCAAAAAGCCGTGCGCATACGTTGATAAGTGAATGCTAATACTGCATGCCTCGGAAGCCATTGAAATTTACTTTGCCCGTTGTTTTGGATTCGGTCTTGTCACAATCGCCGTTCTGACTGTGATGCTCACGGGCTCTATCCCTCTGACGGCCGAAATTAAAGGACCTGTAACGACGGAGGAGGACGATCCTAAGGCGCCATACGCTGTACCAACCCTGATAGTAACCTCGATCTTCCATAGCGCATGTGCATTCTACGCGTACACCTGGTATGTTTCCGGTGGACAGGGCTTCTTTGCGGTTGGCGTTGCTGGGTATTCCAGTATCGCGGCCGTTGGACTTTGGTGCATGCTCTTTGCGAGCAGCAATGGCAAGATTAGCCGCCGTACAGGTGCAGACAAGAGGATGACAGGGTTTCCCTTTAAGAATTCCGAAGCTGCGAAGAAACATGGCAAGGGACTGTGAGCCCTTGGATTGGGATTGTTCCATCATGAGAACCAATATTTGCATATCCTGAAATCAATCTTAGGAAGCGATGGCTATGACACTCTAGAAATGTACTTCATCAAAATTTCCAAAAACGAATGTGGTTCTTTGTAGCAACTCAGGCACCTCATAATGATCCGAGCTCCCAAAGTTAACCCCACAACGCCGCTTCAACCGGCTTTCTTTTCCCTCAAAAGCAGCATGCCTCTCCACAACTCAATGTGGTATCGATTCAAGATGGACTCAGAGCTGCGACTCTCATCACCACGCTTGGCATCGTCTATGCCGGCGGGCGATCAGTCCAGTCTCTCCCAATTAGGCCAATTCGATCCTGAATCACAGCCCTTTGGAGTCTTCCGTCCCTCGACCGAACCCGAATCACAGCCTCTCCAAAACGCGACGCACGCCCCGCACGCCTATATCCGCCCCCCACGGCAAGGCGAGGCGAATAATTTCCTAGCTGCTTCTTCATCTACGCATCAATCGCAAGGTCCTTCTGGAAACGGAGATGCCTCGCACTTGGATCTACAAGGGCGATCGTCTAGTCGTGGTGGTTTACCTCATTTGCAGGAGTTCAACAATGGCGCTGCTCATGCAGCGAACATGAGAGGGGCATTGCATGGGACCAGCCAGGCGGTACCTTCAGCGTCATTGTCGCAAACAGAGCTCGCGATGGTGAGCAACGCGCATCAAGCTCAGAACAATGGCTTGGCAACACTGCAGTCCCCAAGCCAACCGTTTCAACCGGACTTCATCGAGCTAGAACCGGAATCCGTGGATCCGGCGACTTTCAATGGCCCTGGAGAGCTGCAAGGCTTTAAAATGGTCCCGAACCCTCCCCATCTAGAGTACTGGAGAGATAGGTTGTTCAATGTCGATGAAATGATCACGTTGAGCGAAGAGGAGTACGCAGATGTCCATTACTCGAATGTGTTTCTGTCTTGCTGGGACGTGAAATGGCTGACTTGAAAACTGCTCACTCTATAGATTCCAAACCTACTTCCCCCATGTTGACAATGTGTACTCTCATCGCTCAACCCAGCGGTACAAGCGTAAACCCTTTGTTTCGCATTACTGGGACTGTCGACTCAAAGGTCGACCCCCGGGAACCCCCAAATCCGACGATCCAGAAAAGAAGAAGCGCAAGCGTACGGCCAGAGAACGGGATCTCTGCCATGTCAAGATTAAAGTCGTGGAATATTTCCCAAAATCTGAAATATCTAACATGGCCCATTCAGTCGAACCCTTACCGTCTAATGTCTTACCTGGCATGTATACTTTCTCTCTGAATAACGAAACCTCAATTACTAGCGCCCAAGCATTTAATATGCTCACGCCGAGCCCTAGTCTACCCCCAAATCATCCGGGAGCGAATGGTGGGAGGTATTTCACTATACAGCGAGTCAATGGCAATGGTGCCAATGGAAAGAACGACGGTGTGAGTGGCGGTCATCAACATACGCTTGAAGAAAGCGACCGCGTCAAGAAGAGTAGTGTCCAAAGACATGTTCTCAAGGAGAAGAAAGACAAAAGGACGAAAGTGGTATGTCAATCCTGTTTTGTCTTGACGTTGCGCCATAAAATTGGAGAGAGCCCCCGCATGGTCCCAGCTACGTCACATGTCTACATTGACTGGATTCCTCTCTTTACATCTTACACCATTGAAATCCACTTCAGTCTTGAACATTCTCATGCTATTTCTATCTTTCAGTTGTGCAGTCTTAACACAAATTTCATAGGACCGAGTCATGTCTCGACCGGGTCAAAAGTCATACCACACAAAAGCGACGGGGTTGGCCGCTGAAACCGTGATCAAACACTCCCCCGATGTGAATCTGAAGCTATATGGAAGCTGCTTCTGGTGAGTGCCCTCGGATTTGAGTCGTTAAGAAAGCCTGCTGGGTATTGACCTGACCTGCATCGTGGTAGCCCTTTCGTGCAGCGAGTCTGGATTGCGTTGGAGCTGAAGGGTATCCCGTATCAATACATCGAAGTGGATCCATACGAGAAGCCCGCGTCACTTTTAGAAGTGAATCCAAGAGGGCTTGTTCCTGCTTTGCGACATGACGACTGGGGATGCTATGAAAGCAATGTGTTGTTGGAATATGTAAGGAAATCGAAAGGTCTGATTTCTATTTCCCTCACTGACGAGTCCATTGCAGCTTGAAGATCTAGGTGTAGGTGCTGCACTGCTTCCGGCAGATGCAAAGCTGCGCGCCCATTGCCGGCTGTGGGCAGACCATGTAAGTAGACAAACATGTCTGTTCTGATGATCATCACTGATATTCCTCCAGGTCAATCGGCATATTGTGCCTAGTTTCTACCGTGTACTACAAGAGCAGGATCAACAGAAACAAATCGAGAAGACGCAGGAGTTGCGAGACTCGATGGAGAAGCTCTTAGAAGTGGCACATCCCAAAGGGCCATTCTTCATGGGCCCGCAGATGTCCCTTGTAGATGTTCAAGCTGCTCCGTGGATTCTTCGACTGCGCCGGGTTCTGAAACCATATCGGGGTTGGCCAGATGCCGAGGAGGGAAGCAGGCTGGCCTCTTGGGTGAATGCAATCGAGACCGACCGGAATATTCAGGCGACAACTAGCACGAATGAACTGTACCTCGACAGCTACGAGCGATATGCCCGTGAGTTATCCCATGCTCCATTCGAGGGCATTGCTAACCATTCATGTCGCAGAAAACCGCCCGAACACATCCCAGGTCGCAAACGCAATTAACGCAGGTCGAGGCCTTCCTTAGTACCACAAGAGATATATCTGGCGGCCAAGTGCATGGGACGAAGATATGATGGCCATATGTACATTAGCCTGTCCGAGCGCCCCGATTGAAGTTAAAGCCACCTCTTCCGCTTGCATCAGGGCCCCGAGGGCTGCGGAGCGGTTGCTGTGGAGCTTGCGGGTCGGAGCCGTTTCGCTCGAGTTGCGGACGACCACCTCTGGGCAGGAAAGGTGGTGCATTTGGCTTGATTGAAGTGGATGGATCGTAGAGATGTCTAGACTTGCTGGAAACAGACGATGAATCTCTCTTCTGGTGATCCCGTCCGCCGCCACGTCCTTTGCCTCTACCTCTCCCCTCGCCTGTATGGGGTTGACGAGGTGGGGTCGTACTGCCAGGCGACGACGTACCCGAGGCTGTTGTAGACGATGTTCCAAACAAGCGTTCGCGCACTTCTTCATACTTTCGTTGTTTCTCCTCTCGGTTTTTCAAGGCAATAGCATGACGTTCCTCGGGTGTTGGCTGGGGTGGCCTACTATCGTCGTCTGACTCGTCATCTCCATCTAGTCCCAGCTGACCAAGTCCAGCAGTTGCGCCAGCGACTGTACCCGGAGAAGATGAATGTCTTTTCACAAGTTGGGGTTTCCGACTCAGTAGAGTAACCGCGGGCTTGAAGTCTTGCTTGTGGGGAACGTCGGCGCGCGCTTCAGCGAAGTGGAAGGTTTCTGCGGCGTCGCTACAATCCAATTCAGTGTCTTGAACAACCGGATTAAAATTGATTGGAGTTCATCTGCTTGCAACGTACGCTTCGGCCCATAACTGGCGATTGAACTCTGCTTGCTCCGCCCTGCGTTGCGCCTTTGTGACCTTCGACGAGACTTTCTTCTCGGACGGCGGGGTAGACTTTGAGTCTAGTTTCTGTAAAGGATTGACATCAGCACGCCATTCAAAGCTTGTAAATGCTAGTAAAACTAGAATAAACGGACAATGGTCTGTTTTCAATGTTAGGAAAGCCCTCGATATTACATACATCGGCTTGGTTTTCCCACGAATCGTCCCAGGCGTCGGGAACTGCACCGAAATTTGCGCTCATTGCACACGGAATGGGGTCCAGGGTGTGATTAAGAATGGAAAGGAATACAGAGAATGAAATCAATGACAATATGTAGCCCAATAATAAAGACTAGCAATGGTCTGTATGTTCATGGAGTATATAGTTGGGGAAGAAAGAAGAAGAAAATTCGCGCTGCGAGCGCCGGGGCCACCGCCTGTCGACCGAACTGTTGCTCTCTCCACCTCTCGCGCTGGACGTTTGAATCTTAGATCTACAAATCGACCATCTAACCCATTTTGTCAACTCCCGGTCGATATGGCAATCGGTACGTCTTCCCTATTCCCTCAGAGTTAAAGCCGAGCGCATGGTGGGCCCCGCGATGGCGATATCGATAGCGAGGCTCCATACCCACATGCACACGCCTCCTCGTCACTCCAAGCCTACGAATGCACCATTAACATCTACCTGCTAGATCCCCGAGATCCAGACGGTGATTCTACAATGACTTCTTCCGTTGACTCTATCCGCCCCGACAGCGGTGCTAGAGCTGGCGCCCGCACTCCGACCGGCACTACCCAAGCTCCGACTAGCATTGACGCATCGGAGCTTTCCCCTCCTGGGTCCCAAACACGCCAGCAGACTGCTGCCTCTATGGGCAACATTGGAACCACGCTTGCAGACCGCAGAGCACAGCCCGCGGACACGGCGCCGGAGCCGATTATCGCCTCGTGGAAGAGCAAACGTGCTCAAGAGGATTACCAGCGTGCTATGGAGTTTGTGGTAGACAAGGACTTCAATCTAGGTATGCAGCTTCCTTGTATCTGCTTCCTCGAGCTTTGGGTTGTGTTTTATGTTCATACAGTATGCTGACTGGTCGCTTTATGTGCAGATGAATTTGGGGACCCATTTGATCAACGGGACTTGACGGAGTCGCTGTTCTCAATCTCGAAATAGTCGGGGACCATTTGCTAGCACTCGATATGATTAATGAGACACGACTCGAAATTTAAACCTGTGGTTCTACGCCTGTCTGTGATGAGCTTGCTGGTTGTTGCTCATCCGTGGATGTTAGAGACAGGACTGCTTCAATAAATCACTGGCATAGAAGCTGCCCCAGGATTCGGATATGCTCCCCAGGGTAATATGACTGTCCTGCCTGTTATTATTATAGATGGCAAGGTTTTACCGAGAGACAATACATGTATAAGCTTATCAAAACTGTTCGATGCATCAGTAAATCTACAAACTGCAGTAAGGAATCTTTATCATCGCAACTATATTTTCTCGGGTCTGTATGCTTCGAGTGGTTGATTAGCGAGGACTCTTGGTTGAGGTATACCTAGCATGTACTGGATTTGATGAACATGAATATATCAAGCCCTCTCACTATCTGGACTCTGATGACACTTGCAATCTGACCCAGCCCGCATCGCACGATTCCCACTGAGACCCTAGATCGGTGTATAGTACGTGATCGTCACCGCCAGTCTGTTCGTCGTTGGCCGGGCAACGGGCCCACGGGAATCAAAGCAAAACCACCGCCCTCTTCATGACTTTTGCAACCATCAATACTAACCGACAACTGTTTTAGGGGCTCCCAACCACAGCTTCTTATCTACATTTATATCGATTCTTCTTACTTGAACATCCTCAGTACTCGAACATCCTTAATCGAGACGAATTCGAGAGCCAACGGCCTTGTGACACATTCCACGCGCGTCAACAACAATGGAGAATCATCCGCCCTCACCACAAGCGCAAGCATGGTATGCCGATTTTCTTATTCTATCTGGCTTTCGTTTCAATATTTCTTTCCTCTGCGTCAGGAAGTCTAGTCGTGGCTTTGGCTCAGGGGTTTACTTTTGTTCCCGCTTTGTTTTTATTTTGTTTTGAGACACACCGGCATCAAGTCTGGACGCTAACAGAAGTTGTCGCGTCCTCTAGCAGCTCTGCCAATCCTCCCACCGAAAGTTCCTTTAGTTTTACGCCAATCAAGGCACTGAGTGCGTTGCCGCGACTGTGGGATCGCAAACCTTCGACGCCTGTTCGCGGCGGAGACAAGACGCGCAAGCTCTGGAAACGCATTCGTCTTCCCTTTACTGGCATGATGACTGCAACAGAAGGCGCGCGGTCGGGCATAGGCGCCTCGAAGAACTCGGACTACCAGCGTGGCGTGAAGCGCCTGTGTGTTGACCCCGCCGACGCCGACCGCGAAACCGAGCCCGAGCAACGCGGTCGGTCTTTCCTTGAAACTAAATGGGAAATGCAAGCGTCCCGGAAAAAACGTGAGTCTCTCGTGTCATGCGAACGATATTCAAGTGTCGCATAGTGTCTCGTGCTTTCATGCCCAGTAAGACCTTTTGTCTGATAATTTATAGGTAAAATGCCGGAGTTCGACTTCAACATCCACCAGGATCAGCCCCAGGGTGTGTTTGGCTTTACTGCAAACCAGAACGCGCCTGTTGTTGGAGACGCAGCCATGAATGGGCTGCCCCACTCGCTCAGCGATCTATTGGAGACTTCCAAAACGCCTGTCTACAATGATGCCATGGCCGAGGACCAGAATCTGACAGCATATGACGCAAACACACCGGAGGATCTGGAGTCTAGGCACTCCAGCCAAGACGCCCCGACCGTGATTGAGAATGCGGGAGAGGACAAGAGCCACGTCGTATCAAATGCGGAGCCTATGCAAGACCTGACGCAAGAGCAGGAGGTGAAGTTGGTTCGATCGGCACTGCGAAGCTCCTTGGATGGAGAGGATGCCGAGCTACTCAACGATTTCCTATCCAAAGCAAAGGCGAAGCGAGCCGCCAAGGCAGCCGATCCTGAAGACGCTGAAGCAATGGATGCGTCTTCCAGCCCAGAAGTGTCGCCCGAGATTGAATGCTCAACACCACGATCGCGCCGCGCATTGGAGGAACTGACCACTAATTCACCTTCGCCCGTCAAGCTGCACATCTCGCCTAGTAAATATGACATGAAGCGTGGTACCGATGGTGCCGAGGATCAGGAGAAGACCATTTTCAAAGAGATCAAGGAAGAACAGGCTCCTTCAAGTCCCGCATGCCGCCGCAGTTCTCGCACCAAGGGCTCGAATACCCCTAATGTGCGCAACACCATCTCACTTCGCCGGGCCAAAGGTACAGAATTCATTTTTCTGCAAAAGACCGAGGCCCAGCAAGTAGCCTTGGCCACAAAGCGAAACACTCGGCTCAATAAGGGCAAATCTGTTTCTCCCAATATCGCTCTTGAAGCGCTGGCTCAACAATCGAGTGCGGAGAAAATCCAGTCAGATGACCAACAAGATGAGAATTCGCGCAATGGACCTAACTTCAATGGGCCATCGAAGTCCCGAAAGCAAGTGTCATGGAATGAAGAGCGCATGGCCGAGTACGAAGAATACAAGGAGATACCCGACGACCAAGAAGATGAAGCGGAGGGTGATAGATGCACGAATGACGTGGGCACAACGCCTGGCCCGCGACCAGAAAGCAAGCGCTCAGCGAAGAAAGCAGAGTCCAGCAATCGCAGCAGCCGTAGCCGAACGCAAAAAGCAGGCGAACATGCTGACGGTGGGGCCCCTGAGAGCGACTTGACCGCCCCGACTACTGCACCCGCTCCTGCAACCTCACGCTCACGCCGGGTGAGGCGTTTGGGCGACTCGGGGATTATGGGGGCGGGTACTCCAGTTAAAACTGGAACTCGTAGGACAAGCAAGCCTCCCGCAGCCTCGGCAGACGCCGTGGCTGCTGCAGGCCCCTCCACACCTATCAAGGGCCGCCGCAAGCTTGCTCCCAAGTCTCCCAGATCATCCAAGCTCCCCGCGCCAGCTTCTAAAAGTGTTGCTGACACCACTGATCAGCCCTTCGTCAGTGCCATCCCCACTCGCAGCTCGAAGACCGCAGATGAGGTGCAGCGCAAGAGTATGCTGCAGATGAGCGCAGGATGCACACCCACAGCTCGGCGCGTTCGGTCCAGATCCTGATTGTTACCGGGGAAAGATTGGGCTTCACATGGAATTGGACCATCCTGTCACCTTTTTGGCTAGTCTGCGGTCTTTCTATACCTCGGTCGTCATTATTTTCTTATTTGTTTATATGCCGGGGAGTTGCTTGCGTTTCAAGATACCAATTGCTCGTTTTACTTTAGTTCCATTGCAGTACACGTTTACACTGAATTCATTTGAGAATTTCCATTTCATCTCGATCACCATAAGATTGTGCACTCCGTAGCTGCACGGTTCACCTACCCTATGTAGGATGACGTCTGTGCCGTTGCGCCTTGATCCCCCGAGCCTCGGGATTAGACTAAGAGGCATTCCAACCCTGGAAGGTTGTCCAGTCCCCATGCTATGACTCCGTTCAATCTTCGAACACGATATTCGCGCAGCAATTTAGTTTATGCACCTAGCCAGTTTGACACGCCCTAGCCTCTCGAATATTGCAGCGGACAGCGCGTCTGTGCCGACGTTGAAGCTGATCCCTGGTGCCGGTGGCTTGCATACTACCTCCTGTGTAGGTTTTCTGACCTGGCTTCCCCCCAATCACGTAGTCTGGTGGCTTGTTACCAGTATGGATAGCCGATACATACTGCTTTAATATTTGCAAACGGAAGCCTAGAGCATGCTGCAGGCTGACCTGGAAGTTCCAACATGCTCCAACAACTGTCAGGTATATGGGAGATGCAGCTATACCTCATATGGCGTCTATCTTGCATCAAATGTGTATCTTGTATGATGTGTTCTGTACTTCGTATCCCGTACTCGGTACGGAGTATGAATGTCCAATATGCACATGTATAAACCAGAATGCACCGTTCCCCAGGTGCAGTTTAGTAGTGTGATCTAGATGTCAATTTCTCGAACACTGCTCCCTAAACACCAGCACCCAGCAACCACCCTCCTTAGGAATCAGGCACCTAATCCCTAACTCCTCCGTACATCGTACGTTGTCAAGCCCCGAACTTACTCCATTCTCATTCGGCTCAACAATCGGGATCTCAACACTCGGCATCCAGGATCCCGAACCAGCACTCGGTAAAAGGACACAAGGCCCTGAAATCCACCAAACGAAAAGCATCCCATCCCGTGTCTCATCCATTACCCAATCCCATGCCAAAATCAAATGAGGCATTAAAAAAAACCCCCCAACCTATAGTGCAAGTGTCCTCCGTCACTGATCGGCCAAAGGGAAGAAAACTAATCACAATGAGCAAGCTAAACAAAACCAAGTGAACCAATAGCAAGCAAGCAACCCCAATCGCCCAAGACGCTAGCTAACACATTTTCCATTGCGGAAATGTACCAGGTACATCAGGCTGCAACCACGGATCCCGCACCAAGGCAAGTCCCGAGTACCGGAAAGCTCTCCCCAAAACCAGCCATAACCAGATGTCCAAGGCAGTAACGTCCTATTGCATTGCCGTGACTGGCTGGACATCAGTTGCCCCATTCGGCGTCTCGGTGGAACATCCAACCCTAGGGCCCCCAGCATCCGACATCTCCCGGGCTGCGAGTGTAGTCAGCACGCTAGCGCCTGATGCGGTAAGCACGAGAACGCTAAGCCCCTTAGTGGCGCAGGGGCTTCCGAGAGCCACAGGGTAACGCGGGATGACATCGTCTGCAGCGCTCGGAGCACTCTGCTCCTTGGGATTTTGCACATGGAAATGGCCTATCTTTCTGTGGTATTTCCAAGTATAACGGTTGGAGACCCTTGTCTTGGAAAAAAGAAAAAAAAAACAAAAACAACAAATCTTTGGGTGCCCACACTATACATCCTAGGGCATTTCCGGGCTTGTCAGGTACAATCCACTGTAACCCTAACTGGGGATGTGGTGCCTGATTGGCTTGCCGGAACTAAAATTGAGATTCAACGATGTTAAGGACATTGTTACCCTGTTGTACTCCGTACAAATGCAGGGTCTTTTGCAATTTTTGATTCCTTTTTTCTTAGGGGTGTTATTAATATATTGATTGTACGGAGTACATATGTAATATCTTTTTTGTGGTTGCAATCTTATTCCAGGCTGGTTTGGGTTGGCTGGCCTTGATTATTGGATAGAGACCTCGTTGATGGGTGGATCCTGGCGGGGGGTTGGACCTACGGAATGGAGGTTGTCGCAGCCGGTGTGTGAGAGGAGAGATTAGTGTCAAGTCGGTGAAATGGGAGGTGGCTCAAAATCCCAGTATACGGAGTACGGAGTACTGGGTCGAAGGAACGGAGTACTCCGTATAATCTTACGATATACGGTACAGATGAAACACCGAAGTAGAGATCAATGATATATCCAATTCATCTAACAGAGTTCGTAGTCCGTTCGTTAACACATTTCCACCCAACATCCCTGGTTTGTGATGTAATTATCGTCTTCTATAAAAGGCTCAAACAAAATCTAGAGAGACAGGGCCCTGGGCAGTCTCCTCAGGCCAGAGGTCGTAGCCAAAGGTGTCGTGCATGTTGACGAAACGGCAGTGGCGGCCCTTGGCAACCGCGTTGACGGCGGCAAAGTCGGCATCGTTGAGCTCAATGCTCTTGAAGTTGGACTCAATGCGCTTGGGGTTGGAGCTCTTGGGGAGGACAACGTAACCACGACGCAGACCCCAGGCAATCAGGACCTGAGCCAGGGTGTTGCCGCCCTTCTCGGCAATCTCATTGAGGGTCTTGTTCTCGCTGACCCGCTCGCCGGTGGTGGGGACCTGGTTCTGGGAGCCCAGAGGGGAGTAGGCCTGGGGCAAGATGTTCTTGGAGAAGCAGTACTGCACCAACTCTTCGTTGGGCAGGAAGGGGTGAATCTCGACCTGGTTCACCTGGGGCATAACCTTGGCGTACTTGGTCATGGCCTCAAGCTGGGGGATGGTCCAGTTGGACACACCGATGGCCTTGGCAAGGCCATCGGCATAGAGCTGCTCCATGGCACGCCATGTCTCCTCGTGGTTCTCGGTTAGGTCCTTGAGGATCACGTACTATGTGACACGTCAGTTGGGACCTCGTATAAACGAGGTTGGGTAGCTGGGTGTCTCCTTACCTTTCCATCGGGTCCAATCTTAGGCTTCTCCTGGTCCTCCTTCTCAGAAGCAATAGGCCAGTGGACCAGGAAGAGGTCAACGTAGTCGAGCTTCAGACGCTTGAGGGAGTTGTTGATGGACCATCGGACGTCATCGGCACGGTGCAAGTGGTTCCAGACCTTGGTGGTCACGAAAATGTCCGAACGCTTGACGGAGGGGTTGGCCTTGAGGAAGTCATGGATACCATCACCAACCTCGTCCTCATTGAGGTAGAACCAGGCGCAGTCGAGGTGACGGTAGCCAGTGTTGAGAGCAGCAGTGACGGCGGCGTAGGTCTCGCCCTTGGCGCCCTCGCTGGCGAAGGTTCCGAAACCAACGGCAGGGATGGTCACGCCGTTGCTCAATGTGAAGGTCTTTCCGGATGACATGTTTGAAGAGTGATTGTGAGTATGGTCAAGAGCAAGAAGAGAGAAGAGGTGTTCTGTAGAAGATAAGAGGAGTGGGGAAAGCTCAGCAAGCGATGACGATAGAAGTGGGGTGGAGGGGGTGGAGGGGTAAAAGAATGCAATTATATAATTTTGGATTATTTAATTTGAATTGGCCCCCGGGTTAATGGCTTTCTCACAGAACTTTGAACTGCATTGGCAAGTGAGCCCTACTTTCCGTTTTGTATCCCCGCGTCGATCCGAGCCCGGGCTGTATAGTATCTATAGGACAACATGGATGGCTTGCAATTCGAGCTTGCCGATCACCGTACCTGAGAACTGGGAATAGAACAAATCATAAAAATGAAACCCAAAGTAAAATCATAAAATACTAAAAGATTAAAATACTAAAATACTAAAACGCTAAATGAAAAAAGAAAAGAAAAAGAAAAAAGCGCAAAATTTCCACTGGTAATTTTCAAAAGCCGCCATGACATCACCGCCCGAAACGGAGTTGGGAGCGTTTGAGCCGATCGTCATCGGCTCCATCGATCTTATGCCGGTCCACGGGCGAACTGCGCTACAGCCCAATCGTCCGTCCGTCTCAAGCCCCTTCTTATCCACTCGGCGTGCTGCGTTGCTTCATACTCGGCCTAGCTAGTCTGCTTCGACCCAATCAGCTTATTTCAGATTCAATTCGGCCGCCGAGAAGGGAAGCGTCCCGTGTACTGGGTACATGGCAAAACACTGTATCAGCCACCATGACGCAGGTACCCTATACAAATCCGTCTCATTGCGAGGTCCGCCCCTATATCTTGCCAAATGATGACGATAATTCCTAGGAATGATGAGACCCGGCCAGTGGAGCCCCTAGTAACATCAATGGCAAAATACCAATTTCGTTTGTCCCAATTGAGTCCGGTATCAGATAGGGCTTGTATATATACTCTGTTGCACTCCCTCCCATCTTGATCCTGTATCAGCCATCTCTTCTTTTCCCTTCCATTCTACAATCTTGATTCATTCCATTGAGTCCTGAAACCAGTGACTCTGAGTAGAAGATCCACCTTTACCCTTCTACTTTCTCCATTCAATACCCTTCATCATGCCTCGCTTCGAGGACTCTGACTTCGCAGTCGATGCGGCTGCTCAGGATCCCCGCGCCAATGATCCACAGGCTGCTCTCTCGCCCCGGGACCAGCGTCCTGGCTCCGGCTTGACCATCCCCTCAGGAACCGGCAACACCGTTGAGATCCCCGCCACCCGCAGTGCCATCAGCGATGCTGCTCAATTCATGCACAACCTGAGCTTGTCTCCCTCCATGAAGGATCGCCGGGGCTCGCGCAACTCCTTCGGCACTTCGCTCCCCATTCCTCGCTCCCCCCGCATGTCCCGCCTCTCATCCGTTCAACGCGGTGCTCCTTCAGTCTCCCGGGACATCCTGGCCTCCCAGGTCCAGGATATCAACAAGGAGAAGACCGCCAAGGCCAAGAACATGGCTTTCGCTTTCGACATTGACGGTGTGCTGGCACACGGTAACCACGCCATTGAGGAGGCCAAGGTCGCTCTCAAGATGCTTAACGGCGATAACGAGCTCGGCATCCGCATTCCCCACATTCTCCTGACCAACGGTGGTGGTAAGACCGAGGAGGCTCGTTGCGCTCAGCTTTCTGAGGTTCTCGAGCAGCCCATCTCCACCGACCAGTTCATCCAGTCCCACACTCCCATGCAGGCTTTGGCTGAGTACTACGAGACCGTTCTGGTTGTTGGTGGTGAGGGCTTCAAGATCCGTGAGGTCGCTGAGAACTACGGCTTCAAGACCGTTGTCCACCCCAAGGATCTCCTCGCCTGGGACCCCAGCATCTCCCCCTGGGCCACTCTCACCGACGCCGAGCGCGCCGAGGCCAAGCCCCGCGACTTCTCCCAGATGAAGTTCGATGCCATCATGGTCTTCGCCGATTCCCGTGACTACCAGACCGATATGCAGGTCATCATGGATCTGCTGCTTGCCGAGGACGGCAAGCTCCTGACCAAGGCCAAGGATCCCGTCGCTACCCGTATCCCCATCTACTTCTCCCAGGGTGATCTTCTCATGCCCACTGAGCACAAGGGTCTCCCCCGTCTCACCCAGGGTGCCTTCCGTATCTCCATTGAGGCCCAGTACAAGACCCTCACCGGTGTCGATCTCGAGCGTGTGGTCTACGGTAAGCCCGAGCGTGCTACCTACACCTACGCCGACGAGGTCATGAAGTCCTGGATGGAGGAGCTCCACGGTGTCTCCCGCCTACCCGATAACATCTACATGGTCGGTGACAACCCCGCCTCCGATATCATCGGTGGTAACATGTACGGCTGGAACACTTGCTTGGTCCGCACCGGTGTCTTCCAGGGCAAGGAGGGTGAGAACGACCCCAACAGCCCTGCCAACTTCGGTGTGTTCAACAACGTCCTCGAGGCTGTCAAGGCTGCCGTTGCTAAGGAGCTCGGCGCCGACTTCAAGCTCAAGTGGAACCCCAAGGTCAACCCTGTCACCCACGGTGACGGTGCCTCCGCCATTGAGTAAAAAAAGCAAGCCTCACCAAAAGATCACACTCAATTGGTTCCCTGATTCTTTCACGCTGAAACGAAACCCCCAAAAACAAGTGATTCTGGGCTTGAGAAGATTTCCTTCTGTGGCGTTTTCCCTTCTTCGATGTGCCATTTCATAGACTTTTTTTCTTCCTTCTCTTTTTCCACTTCCCCATGCATGTGTCCTCCAATATTGGCTACTATGCTGGAAATCCTAGGGTTGGCTTTAGGACTTCTGATATCCCTTGTCATGTCGGTTTGGATTATCGACTTGAGAAAAGACCGGTTTCTTTTTTTTTTTTGACATTCTACTTTCTACAATGTGGACGGTCGTTGATTTCGACCTTTTTCCCTCTTGTTTTAGACTGGATTCCTTTCCTACATCTCATGTGCCATGACCCGCCGAAGCTTTTTTTGTTTTTGCCTTTTTTTTACCCATTTCCGCATGCAGCTATATCCCCAAGATTCCAATACCACACCATGCAATTTCCCATTCATTTCAGCCATCAGAAGCTCCCGTAGATTATCTCCCTGTGTAATTTTCGCTTCGATGAAACCCCCGTAATCATTCCCAGCTTTACACCCAATTCACCCAGAGATTGGAGACATTTGCGCCTAAAATCATCATTGACGACATGGTGATGTATATTTTCCCACACTATCATTGGAGCTTCAATTCTCGAAAACATGGTTCTTCCCATCTCCAGCATTGTGTAATACATTTTCTTTCCAATGACCTGTGTCCCGCACAGCAATTACTCAAAATACAGAAACATACCGAGCAAAACACCCCCTACTGACCTACGTTGTGGGTAGCTAGCCATTATTCACATTTTGCATAAACCGACGGATGTCTCGGAAAGTCCCAACTAAAAGCGCCAAAAAAAAAACTCTTCCAGCCCTAAGACAGATCAGGAAGGAAAAGAGGAAAAAAAGTATAGCCAAGAAATGCCCAGGATCAAGGCATCTAACAGGGGCAAACGGAGGGCACGGTCTGACTCGGGTAGACACGCGAACGAGAAACAGCCGGGCTTCTGGAAGTGGATGGGCGCCCCGGAGACAGGGTGTCGGGTCGGGATCGTTGTCTCGGGTTTGGCGTTTGTAGGCACGTGGGGATGTCTCGGGTTCTCCGCTTATGCTGGGGGATTCTGATGGAATAGCTGGTTGGGATTGGGATTGGGTGGGTTTTGGTGGGTTTTGGTGGGTTTGTAGAGAGTTGGGATTGGGACTGGGGGTTGTATGGGATATATGGGTATAGTTGGGTAGATCGGATCTGTGAGGTGTGATGTCTTGGATGGTATGTGTATACAACATCGGTTTGGATGGTTCTCTTGGGGGGTACTCTATGTACGTGGTAGAGTATGAGTTCTAGTCTGGAAGGGTTCTCGATACTCCAGGTCTGTACTCTTATCCAATCCATTGAGGTGTGTTCCCTATACGGAGCATGAAGAGAGTACATGCATTATCATGTACTGGTGGTCTACATTGAGAAGCTAAGGGAAGATTGGTGATATAGATGAAAATATTCTTTGTAGCAATAGTTCTGTCAAATGCTGCTAGATTCGATCGAAATGCTGGACAAGGGAATCAATCAAGAAATGTTTTCAAACCTCTCGATTCGGGCCAAAGACCAGCGTTCACGACACTACCTTTGATTTGGAGCGTACTTGGAGGTGCATCCATATCTCAAGTGGTTTAGATCGTGCTGTATCTTCCTAGCCCACGTCATGAACATCCGCAAACATGATTGAAAGATGCTCTCCAAATAGATAGTTGCTCCCCTCAAGCCAGTGCTGCTGGTGATCAAACGAATACACGGTAGTGAATAGCCCTTGATCTGGTGTCGCATACTTGAGTTCTGGCCCAGAGAATTTCCACTAGTTTCTGAGTTGGAACTCAGGAATGCGTCCAAAAGAGGTAATCTCCGATCATGTTTGCGGGCCCAATTTATCGGAATAGCGAGCATCCAAGCAAGCAGGTCAAGAAACATCTGAACCAGGAAAGTGCAGTAAGATGCCCTTAACCACTGTCCTCGTGGTCCATCGACTTGCATGAGATACCCTGCGAGTAGGTCGCTGTCAGTGCATGAGATACCCTGCGAGTAGTTCACTGTCAGTGCATGTTCAAAAAACTCATGACAACAAAACATATTCGCTCGCCCACGCGAATGGGTCTGTACAATGACATTGCTTTCTTTTTCCGTTCAGTATCCACATAGGTTTCAACATTTCCAAGTATACATAGTATGCTTGGGATGTCAGAGTAATAGGAAACGCTTAAAAAACGTTCATCATGGAAAGTGCAAAGTTCGATTACGCTCGCAACGCAACAAGGGGACACAAGAAGCAGTGCAACTCACATTTTTGCAGGACGATTAACCCATTCTGGCCATAATGCAGCGGTGCTATTGGTTGCCAGTCGTTCGTTATCTACCTTCGATGCCGAGGCATGGAGCGGGCATGATAATGTCTAGTTCGAGGCTCAAAAATAGAGCAAGGAGAGAAGGATGCAGGCTAGGTCCGCCTCCTTTTCTAATACTCCGTACAATCCAGAAGTCTTGGCAATAAGCATCATTCCGTGGAGGCGCAGCTTCATCACGACCGGGCTTGGCCGGCATGCAGTCACGCCCGTCCGATGCTGTACGCCTCACTCACCTCGATGGCGGTCAAACCCAACCGCCCAAACCTGAAGATAAGAGTGACTCGAATGACGCCATCAACCCATCAAGCCTTTGAATCTGGGCTGTGTCGCACCGATATCAGATTGTTCAACTGCAGCGTGAGAACTAAGCCTTTGCCAGTCCTGACCAGTCGTATCAATCATGCAGTGCTCGTCAGCCAGGCGGTCTGACTTTTGAGTCCCGTGGACAATATAGGAACCAGAATGCGGAATGCAGGACTAGGCAAAAGCCGCGGGATTCCTGGGCAATAAGTATTTCTTTTTAAGGGGGCTGGAGAGCATATTATATTAAGGAGGACAGCAATAGGGCTTGGCATTGACGATCGACCGCACAGCCGTGGATCACCGGGCTTGGCCCAGGTTAGAGACGGCTAATAAAGTCGGTGAGCGGAGTTGTGCCGAGCGAGTAGAGCCAGCCTTCAGGCCACCTTACGGAGTACAAAGTACGGAGGACGGACACTCTAAACTCAATCAGGCTGGAGCTCTCTCGGAGTTCCGAGGGAGTGGCTCCAGGAGGGGAATTGAGGGGCCTTTAAATTGACTATGTACTCCGTACGGAGTAGAAGGACTGACTATCCCATGTCACCAGTTTGAGGGGAAGTAATGCAAGGGACACGGACCCTCATAATGATATCAGGTGACACGACTTGGGGGGTTTTTCTTAGGTAATGGCTCCTGCGTCCCCGCATGATCAACTGAGAGGGGCGAATGGGAGCTGCAGGGCATGGATCCGAATAGTCGTTAGGTAAAGAGAACCCCGGGGTCTGGGGTAGTATACTCCTGATCGGCTGACCTGTCAATTCACTTTGGGTGGTTTTACTTAGTGAGGACGGAGGATGGAGGATGGAGAGTACATAGTGAGAAGTCACGGGGAAATGGGGCTAAGGTTTGGGATTATGTCATAGAATCTGCGGCTAATTCAATACGGAGCACTCCGTACGGAGGACAGAAGTACAGCGTTCGACAACATACGTTGTATCCCTCAACGATGGGGAGATGGGTACCTAAATAGTACCTAAACGAGTGATCTTCGTCCCAAACACATTCCCCCAATGCGGCGGGTGACGCCATATGTCCGCATGCAGAGAAAAAGCAAATGGGGTCTGCAGGGGTAGCTTGGGGAACTAACACGAACTTAATCAGTCTAGTTGTTCTATACTCCGTATATCGTAAGGGCCAAACTAAGATCATTTGGGCTTGGCTATTGATCTTCAGGATATGATACACCTAGTTCCAGATCAATAGTCCAGGAGAAAGGAAGAGGAAGAGAAAGAGAAAGAATTGAACCACAGATCCGCCACCGTAATCAATCAGTTCCCCGTTATTTTTTTCTATTTTTTTTTTCCTACGAAATTCGCCCCATGTGGCCATGACCCATGGTGCCTTTGGGTTTCTTCTTCTTGCCTTGACTTTTGTACAAGAAAAAACCACCCCCTCCACTGGACAAGACTTGAATCTCTTCCAAGTGCCCGTTGTGCAACTTCGGTTCATCCGTTTTCCGTGACTAACAGCTTCCCTTTTTTTCTTTTCCCCGCCGCCCCTCCGAGAGCCCTAAACCTCTTGCCCTTTGTCCGTCTCTTTTGATTGACCGGGATTTTTTTTCTCTCTCGTTTTTGTGGAATCTGGGGAAGCATTTTTCCTTTTAAATTTCGGAGGATTTTTTTTGGGTGTTTCCGCCTACTCCAAGGTACCTGCCGACTAGTCAACATACGATTTGGGCCCTTTATAGAGGGCCACTCCTCTCACCATGGCCTCCGTTACCCCTGCTCTCTCTCAACCCAAGCCGACCTTCCCCCGACTCTCTTCAATCCCTTGTGGTGATCACTTTCACTCTCGCGAGTCCTCTCCCTCCCCCTGTAGCACCCCCGACGGCTCCAGGTCGAGCAGCCAGCGTCGCCCATCATTCGGTTCGATCAAAGAAGATACAGAGGACGGTACGTACCACGAGACCGGGATGCGAAATCAGGCCGGGGGCTGACGTGCTCGTCTTGGGTGATATAGGAATTGCGCAATCGTTCGTGGATACCCACGAAGCCCCATCTCCCCAAGAGCAAGACCAAGGACAGCGCAAAGCGGAGCTCATCTCCCAGATGCAACAGGCTGCCCCGGATTTCTGCTGCCCATGTGGTGGATTCCTGGGTTGGAAGCAGATTCGATTGGGTGGGAAGAGTTTGAGCCGCAGCTACAGCGATCTCCGTGCGCTTGGAAGCCTCCACGCAAAGGGCTGGGCATGGGAAGCCCAAGAGCCCGAGCCCAAGAAGGAGCTGCTCCCAGTTAAGCCCCCAGTGGTGGAGGTCTTGCAGACCCCACCCGGCACTTCGCTGTTGGAGAAGCTCCCTCCCGAGGTCCTTGGTAGGAACTCGTACCTGGTCCCGTTGTCCGTATAATATTAACCCATTGATAGATCAAATCATCTCTAACCTTGCGCTGGATCTCCCACCCAATGGCTACACTCCCCGAAACGTCGACCTCGTCTCATGCCTGCTTACATCCCACACGTTGCACGCTGCTACACTGGGCGTTCTGTACAGGAACATGACCTTCCCGCACTCCATCATCTTCTCCAAGGCACTTAATCATATGTCCCAGTATCCGGCTTTGGGTACACTAGTGCGCCGTCTGGACTTCTCGCACTTCACTTCCGTTGGCTTGGGTCGCACCAAGCAGATGAACGCTGAAATCCAAAACTTGACCTCCAAGACCCTCTTGCAGTGCTTGGAGCTTCTCCCCAACCTGAAGGAATGCCTGTTGCAGGAACACTTGGAAGGCGATATCAGCGTGGAGGTGATCCGGAAGTTGTTTATGGGGCTTGCGAACCTGCGTGCCGTGGATTTCTGCGGCTGCTCCACTCAAGCATTCTCCGGGGTGTTCCAAGAGGCTTTGATCGGTGGCCCTGCACTGCCTATGACCCTGCCCAGCCTCAAGCGGCTCTCGTTCCACGAATGCAGCACTATCACTGCTCCCATGTTCGATTACCTCCTCCCACGATTGGTCAACTTGACACACCTCGACCTTACCCACACTCAGGTCAACGACTCAGCCCTCTTCGCCATCCCTGAGACCGCCCGCATCTCGCACTTGAGCTTGTCCCGGTGCACACGACTGCGCCCGTGCGCTCTAGTTGAATTCCTAACCACTCACCCATCCGTCAACGAGTCTCTTGTTTACCTCAACCTATTGACCGACCCAACCCGCTTCCGTCTTCTGGAGGAAGCCGATGTATCGGCTTTGCTGCCCAAGCTTCCTGAGACTCTCCGCTCTCTCAACCTGAGTGGAGCAAAGATCACCTCCGACCATGTGCCGTACTTGGTGCCACTGACCAAGCACTTGGAGGAACTGGGTCTCGCCTCCGCAGATCTCTCCGTCGCAGACGTGAACTCCTTCTTTGCTCGGTACCGCAACCCGGTCACTGGTGTCGAGATCGATGCCCCCAGCACTCTCTGCTATCTTGACCTCGCGAAAGTGCCACAGATGACCATCGGTGCCATTTTCAACACGAGCACTTGTTCGCTGCTCTCCAATCAAAGCTACCCCCTGCAGGTTATCGAGTTCAGCGACAAGATCATCACCCCGCTGCGCGAGCGCGCCAAGACCCACCGTACGTCCGTTGGCTGGACTGTGCGAGACCTCGGCCGTCGTGGCTGGTACGTCCGCGACCCAGCCTCCATGCCCCACGAACCCCTTGACGACGGTGCTCGTTACTGGAAGATGGGTGCGCGGTGGTGGGGTATGCGCAAGATCCCCATGGCAGTCGGCGACGTCGGCGGTCTCTACGGCCACTATATGTTCAAAAAATGATCTGCTTGAGCGTTCTGTTCTTCAAAAAGCATGCTCGCTGGATCCTTTTATTGATACCCTTGATTTGATATCCTATCTCATTTGCACGGTTTGCATTTCATTGGAAGGGTTTTTGTTTTTATCTGTTTGTTCTATTTTCTATTTTGCTTTCCATTCTGCTACATTCTGCTTTTTTTTGATGATCACGAACGATAATATCCGGTCTATGCATGGCGGCGCGCAACATGGTTTACGAATTTCGGCATTCGGTTCGTGCTCTCGGTCGCGTTTTGTCTTTTGATCTCGCATAGCATCTGGGTTGTATCTCTTCAGCGGTGTGTTTTGACTCATATTACTGGCTTTGGCTTTGGTGTTGGTGTATTTATCTGGACTTTACCACTCTGCTCATAAACAATTCCATTGTATTCTGATTGCTTTCACCTCGTAGATTCTAATCTGATTAAGCCTATTAACAAACTTCCCAAAATGGCAACTGCCCGACTCAACTGATTCTGCGCTCTTGGTCCTTCCCGATTTGTTGACTTTCTGTTTGGTCGCTCTTTCCTATCACTTCATCTTCATCTTCATCTTCATCTTCATCTTCCTCTTCCTCTTCCTCTTCCTCTTCCTCTTCCTCTTCCTCTTCCTCTTCCTCTTCCTCTTCCTCTTCCTCTTCCTCTTCTTCTTCTTCCGACTCTTCTTCTCTTGACTCTTCTTCTCTTGACTCTTCGCACTTCTCATTCACGCCGCCAAGCTCTTGATCCATCCGTCATGGATCTCCCAATCGGGTGCTCGATTGGTAAGTTGTATCTTTGATATCGAGGTTTCCAAGCAGCTCCAACTTAATCCACACTCCGCAGAGAATCTGATTGCGACCCTCGAGTCTCTGAGGAAGTATCCCGAGGACAAGGTATCCCCAAAGCTTCAAATCGAAGCACTCCTTTCCTCCATTCATTTCCATGTGACGAAGGAGCCTAAAGATGGCCCATCGCCTCTGAATATCCAGTCTGAGCCCCGAGGCTCCTATCTGGGGGTGTGCAACAGTCGTACTCGGGCTCGCAGTCACGGATACCCTGAAAGTTGCTTCTGGTATGCCATGGAGGACAGTGCCGTCATTTTCATGGCCATATACCGTCCCCCCGCCTTCTTGCGCTCTGAAGCACTTGCATTGGAAGCTAGAACAATTCTCTGTGAGTACTATATCATGTTTGGTTGTCGGCCATGACTGACTGGTTGAAGATGAATGTTTTGAGAAGCGGAAGCGTCTGAAGAAAGCGACCCGCAATACATATGTCATTGCGACGGACAGTGTCCTGTTTAGATTTTCCCGCTTGGCCTGTGATAGATCGGCAAGTAAACTCAGAGAAGAGCATGGTGCTCTGGTCTAACGATATACGTAGATCTACAACGCAGAATGGGCAGGAAGAGACTACAAAGATCTCATTGTGATGATTGTATCGATCTTCAAGGAAGCGTTGCTCCCGCCGGATGAACAGTCGATAGACCCTGATCAACGAAAGCCTACACTGGGTAAGACATCCTATTCCGTGATAGGGCTTAGGAACGAATCTCTTCTTTTCCCAAACCTGTATCTCAATGCCAGGCGCAGAGCTAATTGATAGCAGAATTTACGAACATACCAGTTCCTTCCCTCACCGATGAAGAAATTCGGAAGCAAAAACAACGTTTGCTCGACCTGACTGTGCGAGTGGGAGTGAAAGTGTACATGGATGTGATCAAGCAACTGCCCACCCCAATGGACCCTACCCAAGAACGAAATACCATTAACCAGATTCAGTGGGTGGTCAAGGTAACACTGCTCAACTATGTGGCGGGGATGGACAAAGGAGAACACATGAATTATCATGATGATCTTTCCAAGGTAGTTTGGCAGATGTTCGACGCGAAGATGAAGGAGACGCTCAAGAATTTTGAGTTCAAAGACTACAGCGGCGACCGCGAGGTGCTCAAGAAAGCCATCCGGAAAGCCGCTATGGAGGAAATTGCCCCCATGCTTGGTGAATTCTTCGAGCTAGTGCGCAACTTTGGGCTGGCGAGTGTGTTCAAGTAGGACGATGGATATTTGTCATTTATGGACATGCTATCACTAGTTTATGCAATTTGACCTCACATTTGTTGAGAATGTTTCACATGAGCCTGAGCGCTGACATATTCGCACTACAATTCATTTACAAATCTGAACAATATGCCTGAAGCTTTTAGTCCTTTGGGAATATCCCTAGATGAAGAAGTCTATGATGAGACGTAGGAATGCCAACCAGTAAAGTGGATCTGGTAAGATATTTGCGATGACTATAATCCTGTCAAATTAAGCCATTTGACCAGATGTCTGGTTGATGTTTGACGCCTGCTGTTTTATTCCCTCTCCTCCTTCCTCTTGTCCTTGTATATTATTGACAGGTTCTTCCAGTGAGAGCTTTCTCCTCAACGATCTGTCAGGTGTTTCGAGAACAGATATCTCTGAAACCGGAAGAAGAGAGAGCAAACAGTCGGACATGACCTATGGGATTAACGGGAATCTTACGTGCAACTCTCTACTTAATTTGACTATGCTCATGAAGATCTACCCAAGACATGTGCTTCCTCGTAGAAAGCCTATAGGATCCGTAGGACCAAAACAATAAAATCAGGAGAAATAGATTCATCGCAGTTTTATTGGAAATATCAACATTAGATGCCATGAGTGGTAATATCACACATTTAACTAGGGTTGATCGGAGAAAGTCAGCGCTTGTTTCATCCAGTCCAGGGGATAAAGCTATTGGTATGCGGCCAAAGATACACTTATCATTTTGATTCCGTTGTCCAAGCAGGAATTGGTTATAATCTTCTCTTCCACGTTAGACATAAACAGCTAACTCGCACAGTAAATCATGGGCTGAGCCACCCGAATATCGACCAGTGAAAATTGGAATGCCAGAGTTGAACTTCGGTTTCCTTGTGGTACGGCAAGATGCTATTGGCATAGCATTGTGGGATGGGATTTGATCCTCTGAAGCCGAGAGGCCAAAAGCCATTCCTTCGGTTAGTGGTATAACATGGTGGGCTCGTGAAGAGCAATCAATGTGTGGATTTGGATCTGAACCGCGGGATATAGCTGTTTGGGGACTCTGAGCGTGTTCATTGGCGAGGTACTAGGACTTGTTGTATAGATGTCCGTGGATTTTAGGTATCATATCAAGCATACGTTGACTAGTAAAGACTAGATAAACCTATACAATTCTATTATGCAATTTCAATGAGCACATGTATCTAATTGATACCTGGAGAGATGGGTAGATGCACTATCGAGACCAAATACATGGACTATCTAGCTTAGCAGAAACACAAACCGACACCATTTGCTCCACCTTAGGTGTGACACAGTGAGAGGGTGCAATCTTAATCTTTGATAATAGTGCCATTCCCAATGTTGTCATCTTACAGACAAGGAATATGTCATACAAACGTTGCTCAGCAGCTCATGTTCCGGGGATATAGATGCATATAAATATCATCACATTAGCCTCTTGCAATATCACATCTGACACATTCAGATCTCTACCATTAGCAACACTACTCCAACCTTTCTAAGATCTCAATCAGTCCTTCTTGTTAAAAATGGTCGACGCCGCCTGCCGTATTTCCGGAAAGGACGAGATCTACATCATCTCCGGCCGACACTATGGCCGAATCAGAATCACCAACGGAAACCCCGAGAACGGTCTTTCCGCAGGCCCAACCGCACTAAGCAAGGGCTGGAATACTCTACCCAAAGTGGGCTTCGGCACGGTGGACACCATCGTCCCCGTCCCCGGCCACGACAACCAACTCTACGTCTTCTTCGGCGGCCGCTATATCAAAATCAAGGTCGAAAACTACGATGACACCTTTGTCGTGGACGGAGCCCATCCCATTACCTCTGGGTTCAAATCACTCGCCCAGGCGGGCTTTGATACCGTGGATGCAGGACTGCTCACCCCGGGAACCAAGAGTGAGATGTACTTCTTCCGCGGCTTGAAATATGTTCGCATCGACACTTCCACCGATAAGATTGTCAATAAGGTTTATCCTATTACGGAGGGATGGGCAAGTCTTGTTCAGGCTGGGTTTGATTCTGTTGATGCTATTGTTCGGAATCCGGCTGGTCAGGACCTTTACTATGTTTTCCGGGGTGATCAGTTTGCCGTGATTAAGGTGGATAGTAACCGGAAGGATACTCTTGTTTCGCCGCCGAAGCCAATTAGCACGGCGTGGAAGGCCTTGGATGGGTGGGTTTAGTTGGGTTTATGATGATACAGGTGGTGCGCTTATCTATTGCAAGATGGAGAGGCCTTCACTGTGGCTCGGGTTACTTTGGGTCATCGCCTGTATCACTTTTTGGGATTTTGATTGGATCATTAGTGCTGAAGCAATTGAGATTGTGCTGGATTAGCTGCCATAAGCAGCAAGAATCATGCTGGTCATAACTTGATAACTATCTAGGTATGAAATGGACTTGGTAGCTATCACTTTTTGGAGAAAACATCACATCTAGGAGGTAATAACTCATCAAATAAGATTTAAGCCTACCTATATACTGTTTTATTTGAACCATGAACTGTTTAAAAGTTGCTGACTGCTCATGTTTTGTTGGTTGTATGTCATTCAACACATATGGAGGAAACACATCCAACATGGTCCATTCTCAACCCTAGGATAAGATCCAATGTATATCCACACAATTTGAAGGAATCGCTTCGGAATATAATATCTAAACCTCCTAGATAAAAGAATCATTGTAGGTCCAGCTTCGCTCATTTTAGGGCTTGCCTCCCAGGTGACGCTTGGCATTCGTCATGTGATTAGTTACAGAAGAGCCGCATCTCCCATTATTGATTTCATCTCTATACGCTCCGTCTATCACGAAGGCCTCGGACCTTCCTTGCTCACCTCCGCCGTTGGGGAATTACTCATCCCGATGGGTGGATTCGTTGTCGCCATTCAAGACAGTGAAAGCTGTCAAGACACGCGACGATGGCACCTCCGAGCGGAGCGGCCTCTCACAAGAAGAAAGATGGGACCCTAGCTATATCCGCAGATGAGAAGTCGGTATCATGGACACCCGCAGTCGCAGGTGCTGGGACTATGATCACGATTCCCGTGATCAACATCACTAGTATGCTGTCGCTTCATCGTCGGGCATTCGTCTCTTGCTAACTTTCGCGATTACCAGATCTACAACAGACCCCGGCCTCGAATCCGAAAGTGATGCTCAAGATCTTCGCCCAGGCTCCTGATGCTCCCCCGAACAGTACACCCGAACAATATGTCTTCCTCTTTACCGCCGGAGCAGATGCTCGCGCGCAGGCCGATGTCATCAAAGATACACTGAGTGCTCGAGTCAATGCGGCGAAGGCTGGTACACCATCACAGACACCGGGACCTAGTGGCGCAGGTGAGGGTCTTTCGGCAGCAATGGCGATTGCCAATGCTGTCACATCAGCTGCGACCTCGAAGAATCCTTTGGATGACGAGAATAAGCTTCGGTCCGACACAGAGCTGCAGCAGTCGTTGCTGAGATCTGATTCGAATCTCCAACGGATGTTTTTCGAGGGACTGCATACCAAACCTGAAGCTCTATCGTCTGGGTCGTTTGTGTCTCAATTCTGGTCGACACGACTACACCTACTGCGAGCGCATGCAATTGAGCAGGGCCAAATGCGCGGCTCATACAACGTGCTATCCACACTCAAGCCTCGGGTCGAGGATAATGTGACACGGTTGAACATCAGCAAAGAGCAAATTCAGCTTATTTTTACACAACACTCACTCGTCAAACGCGTTTACGACGAGAATGTGCCCAAACTCAGCGAGCAGCAATTCTGGTCCCGATTCTTCCAAAGTCGGCTGTTCAAGAAACTTCGTGGAGAGAGAATTACGGAGGCGGACGCAACCGATGCCATCCTGGACAAATATCTCCAAACGGAGGAGGCTGCTAGGGCAGACCGTGAAACGAATATCCATCACTTTTTGGATCTGGCTGGTAACGAAGTCAACCACAGTCAGCGTCGCGGAAACCGACCTGATCTTGATATGAGACCATCTGGCGTTGACAAAGTGCCGATCATTCGGACTCTGAACAGCCTGAGTGAAAAGATCATGGCCAATGTGGCACCGGCTGATGGCGATATGAACGCCCCTGTCGGCATGAACGAAGAGGCATGGAAACAGCTCCAGCTACAGGATCTTCGCGCAGAAGAAGAGCAAAGCCGTGTCACTTTAAACATTCGGGATCAAAGCCGGTTCTTCTCCCAGGGCCAAGAGGAGGATCAAACGAAGGAATGTGCCAAACAAGATCCGGATCAGCTTCTTCAAACTCTCCGTGCCGAGATCAACCAGAGCCTTCCATCGCAAGGCAATACGCAACTGGGCAAGTTGGTAGACCCCGGCGATGATGAAGATGAGGAGATGGAGGATGCACCTGCCAGTCGTCGACCAGTTGGATCATCTGTTGCTCTACATGATGCGTTTTCTCAAATCCTGGAAGCATTGCGCGAGCGCCGTGCCCACATGAATGAGGGAGCGACATCAGAGACCTATGGGTTGTCCACGGCGCTGTTCGACCGGTTGACCTTGACACACGCTACTACGACTGAATTTTTACACCAGTTCTGGCAGGCATTCCTCTCAGGCAACCCCGATCGCGCTGGAGAGGTCGCGTCTTTAGCAGAATCTCTTCGACGAGCAGTAGAACGCATCAACGCGGTTGCTAATGATGCGGAGGCTGAGAGGAAAGTCGAAGTTGACCGATTAAAGAGGCACGCTCGTGAGATGTACGAGAGCACCGGGCGAAAATTACGAATCAACTTAGAAGGCGTGGAAGGAGGCCAGAAGGTTGTGAACCAGCTTCTTGGTCCTACACTACATGCATTGGAGGTCGCATCGACTCGATACCAGAAAGAACTGGCCGAACAAAATAAAGAAGCTGCACTAGCTGGCTAAGAGATGGCAGTGACATAAAACCGGGCGTTGGAATTACACATTGTATAATATGATACCTCAAAAGATATTTCGTACTTTGTACCCAATGCGGTAGCTCAACTAGAACCGGTGAAGCTAAGTCGGCATGCCGAGCTTCCCCGGACTTCGGACATCCACCTTTAGTGCCAATCTGTCCCCTCTCAACCTTCCTCTTCAACAGCTCCGATGGTTCCCATGCCACAATAATCACCAAGGAAACACAAGCTCAAAAGCGCAAAATGCTCACCTCCGGCCTCACTAATGCGCCCCTCACCAAAGCCCTCCTCATCTACACCATCGCCTCCTCCATCGCCATCTCACTCTTCGACATCAAACACCTCGTCGTAATCTATGTATCCCCCCATATCTGGCCCTATGCCCAATTCTGGCGCGCTATAGTCTGGCAGACCGGTTTCACCAATTCCACCGAGGCTCTATTCGCCGCCATGCTCGTCTACCACCTACGAGTCGTCGAGCGCGCGTGGGGGAAGCGGAAGATGGCGGTAAGTATTTTGCTTTCTCCCCAGGCCCTTAACACATACAAGCGACGGATCCCAAATCAAGCTGTCCAGATCCAACGAATACCGATCACTGACCTACACCCACAGACCTTCCTACTCACAACTCTCCCCTACACAACCCTCCTCCCACCACTTCTCGCCCTCATACTCCGCCCTCTATCACTAAACACCCTCAACTACCTCCCCTCCGGCCCAACAGCCACCATCTTCGCCCTGCTGGCCCAGTACCACGCCACAATCCCCCATACATACCGCTACCGGCTCGGCACCACATCCGGCCCAGAAGACACCGACCCCGAAACCCCATCAAAGAGCCTCACCCTCCTCCTGTCCGATAAATCAACTACCTACTTCGTCGCCGCCCAGCTCGCCCTCTCCCAGTTCCCGGCTATGCTCCTCCCGTCCGCGGCGGGCTGGATCGTCGGCGTGGCGTGGCGCGCGGAGCTGCTACCCGGTCTGTCGCCGGTGAGCACGGGGTTCCGGGTTCCGGCGTGGGTGGTGGGTGAGCAGGAGCGGAGGAATGGGAGCTCCGGGGCTGATGGGGAGAGGGAGAGGTATGAGGATTTGCGGCGCAGGTTGGAGGGGGAGGTTGCTTCGGCTTCTGGGTTGGAGACTGGGGCGCAGGCTCAGAGACGGGGGAATGCTGCTGGGAGTGGGTTTGTGGATAGGTTGAGGGGTGCTTGGTAGAGAGTGGTTATGGGGCGTTTTGGGTCTGTGTATAGCTATCGTTATACATGTCTATCTGGTATATACATTACTGCAGCCAATTGAGTTGTGTCTTTTGATAAGTTCTATGATACACGGTACAAGCCGGTGTGTCTTGGATGTTGTAGATAAAGAAGGTGGCATATAAGAAGCTGTAAAAAAAAGAGGACGCTTTCAAGTTGCAGACAAGTAGATATTGACCGCTACATATACATCAAGTCTAGAATATCAACTCGCAAGGCCATATGTCCGAGTATAAGCCAATCGGAATCCCACATAAACGCCCATGTCATCAATGTCTATATCCTGGGACGGGGAGATATCACCGCCCATTCCGACTGCGTCTCATATTTTCCTTGCATTCGTTACAATACCATTTAACTAAGAGAGACTGTTAGCCACCTTGATTCCAATAAGGGGAAACAAGTATCCTTACCATTCTTTCCAGGTGGTTTCGTCAAGCCTACACACGACAGATGGAACCATTCACGCGGACAGGCGTCATTGTCGCAAGCGACCATCTCGCCGAAACTGATTTCATTGCAGTAGCAGTACCGCGGTTCACCTTCCTCGTCTTCGTCATCGCCTTCATGGAGCGACTCGTCGTCAGACGGTATTGCAGGCTGTGGGATTGGCTTCTTCTGGGTTCGTTTGGTAGAATTCGGATCTTGACTTCGTGTGGGCCGAGCGCGTTGGCTGGGCTCCGAAAATGCGGGGAGTACAGGGGTTGACGTCTTGGAGTTGCGTCCCTTGGTTGTTTCTGCCTCGGCAGATCCAGATTTTCCGTCCAGATCTTCACGCTTGGAACCCCCTACAGCGGATGTTCTAGCGTCGCCTTCATAATCGCGGTGTGAGTCTGCGTGGACCAGTTCATTTTTGACGGGACCATCCCGGGGTGTGGATCTGGAATCGGCATTTTTGTCTGTGTGGGGAATATGGTTAATGGCCAGGTCCGGGAAAGGTGATTGAAACTGCATACTGTTATTGGCGCGGTTTGAAGCTGACGATGACGGCCGCACGCGCGCATTGCTTGTGACTCCAGCATTCTGCTGGGCTCGTGAAGACTGTGGCCTTGACGTGTGGGGTCCTGGGCTAGCGGCACCCCGAGGGCCATTGAAAGTCCCAACTAATGGTGACGGTGCCAGAACAGGCGAGGCAGCATTGGAAGTGTTCGCCCTGGGATGGAGTTAGCTGAGTGTAGTGTTGAGCGCAATCAAATGGAACATACTTCTTGCGTGCAGCAGCAGTTGCATTGGGAGCGCGAGATCGCTTCTTCTCGGCGGGATCTTTATTCGCGGCTCTCTGGCTACCAGCACCGCTGGCAGATCGGTCCATCGGAATGCTAGTGTCCACTGGTGGGCGTTCGACCTTTCGACGCTTGGGTGCAGCCCCCGAATCAGCGTGGTCTCCGCCGCGAGATTTGGCATGATTGGACTTGCGAGCGCCCGAGCTGCGCGTCTCTTCATAGTCCGCGTCGACCTGAGCTCGACGTTGCTTCCGCGCCAGAACAGCATCGCGCCGCGCCTCACTGCGACTAGCAGCTTCAGCCTCCTGAAGCACATGCGTGAGGTCCTGTCTTTGCGCGACTGCTTCCCGGCGCGGTCGCTCATTGGTCGCTGCCTTCGCAGTACTTTTGTTGGAGTATGCCCAGTGTGTCAGGCTTCCCTTGCGAGCTTCTTCGCTGATCTCGCCTGCAATGTATGGGAACACCGCATCCAGTCGGACAACTTGGCGGTCCAATTCCTCGTTTGCGTTCGAAATGACGTGATTCTTCTCATCGGCGGTCATCATTAGGTCTGAAAGATTCTGACGAACGCGATCAAAAAGAAGTCGGCGACTTTTGCTTTCGGACGATTCGGCGGATTGGGATAGTTGCTGGCGCAAGACGAGCGTTGTTAGTTAACCTCCAGAGGAGAGAATTAAAAAAAAACTCACAGTGGGTAAAGCATCCTCCCGAATTACTCCCCCAACGATGGGCGCTGGGTGGGGAGGATGAGGGACGGGCTCCGACTGGAAAGAGAACTTGAGTAACTGGAGCAAATTTTCCTCCAAAGCCCACGCCTTCGCATCAACTTCCTTCAACAAAGAATTATGACGACGGAACTCGCGAGGAAGCGCGGTTATAGCATCAGTGAAATGCGTAAGTGCCGGATAGAAGCCGTGAGGAACAGGGGGCGTGGAAGGAATTTCAGCTGTCGAACCTCGACCGAACGCGAAAGACGAACGTCCAATCGTTTTCGAGGTTCGAGACGGGTTTGTACGTGTTTGACGAGCAGACTGGCGGACTCCCTGGCCAGAGGGGTTAACGCCTGCCGATGAGACGGCGGACATGGTGAAGTGTAGAGCCGTGACTGGGAGATGCGCCGTTGGAGGAGGGTTGAGGCGAATCTAGCCCAATTTGAGGGGCAGATAGTAGGATTCGAAGAAGCAATGGCACTCAGCAATAATCTGAGACCATATAAATTCGTCAATACCTCACGTACCGACAGGAGGGCATCGAGGCAGGAGAAGCAGCTGCTGGGAAGTTTGAGTGCGGAGAAGAGCAATCGGATCAGGTGAGATTGCTGCCTGCGGCATCTCAGGCATGAATTGCTGAATCATCGATGCATGCGGGTGACGTCATACCAGGCACAGGCCCCTCGTTGGTTTGGAAAAATCGGCAAGAGACCGGCTTTTTCCAAACTAATGAGGTATGGCGCTCCAGGTCCACGGGTATCAATCGGCTCGAGCGTACATGTAGCCTCCATTTTACATTGTATATCACAGTTCAAAGACCATCTTAAGGGTTCAAATGCCTAGATACGCGGGATAAGAGGAGAAATAATTCTAGAAATGGCAACGATTCTTTGTATTTTACATATAGCACGGATTCTAGGTATAGACGGGGGTCTGATATTGGGACATCCAAAAGAGTCTCCTAGTATAGGACCATGAACCCAGGACACGTTGATAACACACAAAGGAAACCAGTACAATAGAGAGGTGGTACATAAGGAATTAGACGCTAGCTTCTAGGAAGACTGATGAATATGGGACACCCAACTCAATGCGAGTGTCGGTTCGAGATCAGAAGTATCTCATCAACAGAAGTTGACTGAAGTTGGATCAGATCGCTTGAAGGGCATTTACTCGCCCTTCAGGTGATCCTGGTGAACGGAGAAAGCATCCTCCAAAAGCTCCTGCTCCTCCTTGAGGTGGACGGCCTTAAGACCGGTAGCGACGGAAGCACTGCCAGCGCGACCAGCGTACAGGACATGGCGACGGTTGTGGTGCTCGGTGGCGTTCAGCAAGGTCTCGATACGGGGCTGGGCGTAAGACCAGGCACCGGCGTTGAGAGGCTCCTCCTGGCACCAAACGATGTTCTTGGCGTTGGGGTAGCTATCGAGGTTCTCCTTCAGCTGAGCCCAAGGGAAGGGGTGCAGCTGCTCAACACGGGTGATAGCGGTGTTGCGGATACCGTTAGCCTCACGGTGCTTGATCAAAGCGGCGTAGACCTGTCCAGAGCACAGGATGACGCGCTCGATCTTCTCGGGAGCGTCAACGGTGGTGTTGTGACCCTGCTCAGGAATGATGCACTGGAAGTGAGAGTCACCACCAAGAGCCTCAATGTCAGAGCGAGCAATAGGGTGACGCAGCAGAGCCTTGGAGAAGAAGATAACCAGAGGCTTGCGGAACTGGCGGTGGATCTGGCGACGGAGGACGTGGAACAGGTTAGCAGGAGTGGTCATGTTGACAATCTGCATGTTGCAGTCCTGGTGCTGGCGGTCAAGCTTGTCAGCAGAGGGGAAGAGGCGGGGCTCCTCGTTGCAAAGCTGGAGCCAACGCTCCATACGACCGGAAGAGTGCTCAGGACCCTGGCCATCGTAACCGTGGGGGAGAGACACAACCAGACCGGAACGCTGCAGCCACTTGGATTCACCGGAGGCGATGAACTGATCAATGATACACTGAGCGTTGTTGGCGAAATCACCGAACTGGGCCTCCCACATAACGAGGGCGTTGGGGGAGGTCAGAGAGTAACCGTACTCGAAGCCGAGACTAGAATTGAGTGTTAGAATTGTTGCTGCACGGAGAACTCCATTTGAAGGGGGGGGGGGACAGAAAACTTACCAGCCGAACTCACTCAGGGAGGAGTTGGAGATGACGAAGCTACCCTGCTTGTCGCTGATGTGCTTCAGGGGAGTGTAGGTACGCTCGGTCTGCTGGTCGTGAAGGACGGCGTGACGCTGAGAGAAGGTACCACGCTCAACATCCTGACCGGAAACACGGACGTGGTAACCCTCATCAACAAGGGAACCGAAAGCGAGAGCCTCGGCGGTAGCCCAGTCGATGTTCTTGCCCTCATCGACGGCCTTCTTGCGGCCAGTCAAGATACGCTTGAGGTTGCGGTGGAGCTCGAAGCCCTCGGGAACACCAGTGCCGGCGATCTTGTCAGCAATGTGCTTGAGAGACTTCTCGCCGACGGCGGTAGGAAGGTGGGGCAGGACCTCGGTGGCCAACTCCTTGGGGGACTTGAAGTTGTTCCAGGCGGAGGTGAGCCACTCCTTACCGGTGGGCTGGTAGTCCTTGCTGCGATCGAAGCTGTCGTTGAGCATTCCCCAAACCCACTTCTTGTGCTCATCGATATCCTCCTTAGTGAAGGTACCCTCGGCAATCAGCTTCTCGACGTACTTGTCAAGCTGAGCCTTCTGCTCGGCGATGCGCTTGTACATAAGGGGCTGGGTGAACGAAGGCTGATCAGTCTCGTTGTGACCCTGCTTACGGTAGCAGACCATGTCAATGACAACGTCACGCTTGAACTCGGCACGCCAGTCGGCAGCGATCTGGCAGACGTAGTTGACGGCCTCAACATCGTCAGCGTTCACGTGGAAGACGGGAGCGTCGATGGACTTGGCGATGTCGGAGCAGTAAGGGGTGGATCGGGAGTAACGGGGATCAGTGGTGAAACCAATCTGGTTGTTCACGACAAGGTGGATGGTACCACCGGTGGAGTAGGCGGGAAGGGAGTGGAAGCCCATGGTCTCGTAGACAACACCCTGGCCGGCGAAGGCGGCGTCACCGTGCAGCAGAACACCCATGGCGGAGTCATAGTTGGTCTCATCATTGTTGTAGTGCTGGATAGCGCGGGTCTTTCCGAGGACGACGGGGTCCTCAGCCTCCAAGTGGGAGGGGTTGGCAACCAGAGACAGCTGCACACGCTTACCGGAGGGAGTAGGACGCTCGAAGTTCATGCCCAAGTGGTACTTGACGTCACCGGAACCCTCATCGGAAGGCTCGGCAGAACCGGCGAACTCACTGAAGATGGACTCGTTGGGCTTGCGGACAACGTTGGACAGAACGTTGAGACGACCACGGTGAGGCATACCAATGACGATATCCTTGATGCCGTAGTCAACGCTACGATCGATCAGGGCCTTCATACCGGGGACAAGGGTCTCACAGCCCTCCAGGCCGAAACGCTTGTCGTTGGGGAACTTGGTAGCAAGGAAAGACTCGAAGCTGGAAGACCAGATGAGACGGTCGAGGATGCGGCGCTTGTCATCAACGGAGTAGTTGTAAGGCTGGGGGATCTCGAAACGGTCACGGATCCACTCGCAGGGCTTGCGGTCGGGAATGTGAATGTACTCGACACCGTAAGAACCACAGTAGATCTTCTCACAGGCGTCAATGATCTCGCGCAGAGTCATCTTCTTGCGGCTATCGGTGATGAAACGGGGCAAGATACCGGGTCCAAGGGCGAACTCCTGGTCCAAGTCACGCTCGGTGAAACCGTAGTGGTCCAGCTCAAGCTCCTTGGGCTTGTTGTAGCCAAAGGCCTCGGCCTCTCCACGGATTCCGAGAGGGTCGATCTTGGCCTTGTGGTGACCACGGGCCTGGTAGGCGCGGACGAGCAACTGAACCTTCAGGTGGTTGGTCACATCAGCACCAGTGGCGAGTCCCTGACCGGGCATGTCTGAAGGGACACCGCCGGTAGGAGTAGGGACAAGGGTAGGGGGAGGAGTGAAAGCCTGGGAGATGGGCATGTTGCCATCCTCCATGTTCTTGAAGTAAGTCTGCCAGGAGATGTGAACACTCGAGGCATCGTTCTTCCATGCAAGGTACATCTCATCGATGTAGTTGGCACCGCTACCGGTGAGGAAAGAATCATTGGGGTCCTGTATAGGGAAGGGCGAAAGCGCGCCGTCGCGTTAGTCGAATGCCCTTGTTTTTATATTTCTCGGGAACCCGGATCGGATCGTTACCGATCATGAAGGTTGTTGTTGCTTACCACTCCCTGGCTGGAGCCTTCCGCGGCGGCCGCGTAGGACCGGGCACCGTTGAAAGCACGGTCGACAACAGCGAGAGGCCGACGAGCGGCCATGCTGAAGCCGGAGCTTTTTGAAGCAGTGCGAGCGCTAGTAGCGAGGTGAATAGAGCGCCGGCATGCTGAAGTGGTAGCACCACGCAGCATACCGCTGTTGGTAGCCTTCAAGGCAGTGTTTCTGAACATTGCGGGATTTTTTTTTGGATCAAGGTCCAATAGAAGTTTTGGTTTGGAGAAAAGGGGAAGACGGAAGACGAGTAGTTCGGGATTCTGTAAAACAGATTCAACACCAAAGGGTCAGTCTCGCTGTATGCTCGAGTTGCAGCCTGATATTGCCAGGTTGCTCTGCAGGGCGCTGCCGAGAATGCCGGAATACGGAGGAAAGGAGCAGGTGCAGGTATACATACGAATTAAATCACAAGTCAGGTGTCGACTAGTATTGCCGTAGCACCTGTATAGAATCGTAACTCATCAGAGAGCTCAAACGCTCTAGATGGGAAGAAAAGTGTGGGGGAGAGGAAAGATGAAGCAAAAGAAGAGCGCAAAAGGAAGAGCTGCCGAGAAATGACGGGTCTCACGGCAGTGAGGCTGGTGCGCTGACTCAGCCCGAGTCACAGCCGATACGGCGGACGTGGACGCGACGAAACGCCCGAGTGAGCCACTTTCTCCGCAGCCGGCTAATCATTTGCGGGAGTTTTCGGCCCAATTGCGCTAAAAGGCTTTACCATTATTCATGGGTCTCGGGCTTACAGGGATGCCAAGGGGTTGAGATCTGGGAAGTGATCTCGATTCCGATCGGTATATTAATATTAACATCTAAACCCATACTGGATGTTCGTAAGATCGTAAGAATGCCAACTCGCCGTGCTAAGGACGTATGCAATATGCAACACAGAAGAATCAAATATCCACACAAGTGATACACCATATTACAAGACGTTGAGCCGCTGGGATCCGCCGGTCGGAACCTCTTCGTATTCCGGTCGCACTGACAGTGGGGAAGCAGTGCGTGGGTGACTGTCGTCATGGAAATAACCAGCAGCACTCGAAGAGCCCTCGTCGGGGCTGAAGGGTCTCGCATCCGAGACTGGTGGGCTTCCCTCAGCGCCATTAAAGCTAGCACGCTGAGAGGACGAGACCGTATGGGGAGGTGGACTACCTGCACTACTGCGTAGGCTACCGTTGCTCCCACCCCAAGCTCCACGACGAAGTTTCATGAGCGCGGTCAGCGACATCTCATCGTCAAGGTTGCCCATATCCACCAGTTGCGCCAGCCCAGGGCTTGCTAGGGCTGAATTGGGGTGGGTCTTGATCGAGATCATAGAGTTGCGCGTGCTCCACTCGCTTCGTTCGGTAATGGGAGTTAAGCTAGGCTCTTGGAACTTCCCACGGCTGCTGTGGCTACGCGTGATGCCTTCGACTCGTCGCGGGCCAAAGTATCCACCGTTGGTCAGCTCGGAGCTGCCGCTGCCATCTGCTTGCGCGTAAAAGCCGAACTCTTGTCCGTAGAAGCCGTCGTCGTCGTTCTCGAGAGCTTCAGCGTTGGCAGCAGCAACAATCGCGTCGTCGAAATACGAATCATCGTTATCGTCGTAGATCAGATCGTCGTAGATCGGATCATCGAAAACGTCTTCGAACGCCATGGCCTCAGCAGCTTGGCTGATCCGGCTGTCGTCTGAGACCAGACCGGGCTGCGACTCAATTGTCTGCGATGTTCGGGCTGCGCTCGCTTCCCCCTGAGATTCATCGCTCGTGCTGAATGTTCGTTCAAAACGTCCACTATGGGTAGCTTCATTGGCTGCGAAAGCGAGGGCATTATGCAAAATATCCAGGTTTTGTTCTGTGAGGACACCTCCATGGGCGCGTGCAGGACCCATGTTTGGTATTGGGTCACCGAGGGGACCACGTTTGACCGGTCCTGGTACTCGATAGTCACTGGCAACACTAGGCATGTGCTGCAGTCCCTGAGCACCAGCTTCCGCCACGGGGCTTTCTCTCCCTGATGAAGAGTCACCAGCACCAGGGGCAGTATTGTCCACGGATGGGGGTACCGCAGGGGCACCCACCAGTTTACGTTCATATAGATGGCTGGTCTCATCATCGAATATAGATTCATCAAATTCCCCACCTTGGTTGTCAACATCCAGATCTCCGAAATCACCGTCGTCGAAATAAAGATCGTCGTCATCATCAATGATTTGTGTAGGTTGTTTGACAAATGGAACCAGTGGAGGATTTGCTACCACATTGTCGCTAGTTGCTAGAGAGGGCTGCTGCTCTGGAGATTTTTGATTGGGGCCGTCGTTTGATTGCGTGACCTCCGAGGGGTGAGAACTGAAGTAGGAGTTGATTGCGGGGTCTGATGGCGCAGATGTGATGGGGCTAGCAACAACAGGTGACAAGCCTGGGGCAGCCCAAGACTTGAGCTCGTTGTTGATATTGCGAGTAACAGGGAAGTCGTCGTAATCGTCATCGGCATCGGCGTTGACTCCAGGAATTTTCTCTTCCAGACCGTCGATGTCATCTATCATGTCATCGTCGAAGTCCTCATCAAAGTCATCGAAATACCCATCTTCCATTTTGCGGGATGCCTCTTTGGCTTTATGCTTCTCTTCCAACATTCTCTCCTGGGCGGAAGACTCCACTCCGCTCATATCAAAGCTGAACCGAGAGGCATTGCTCTTGAGATGTCGCGGCAATGCCGAAGGGTTAAATGGCACATTCGGAATAGTATCTTGGTCTTGAGGTTGTTGAGGGTGAGCATGTGAGATTGCTTTAGGTGGGCTCGGAGGTGCCACCGCCTCACGCTCAACTTGCTCAGCAACCTCAACACTTCCCTCTGGTAGGTGAGAGGGCAGATTGCGCGCGAAAACTGGTAAAGAGTTCTCGTAACCGGGCTGCGATTGGCCCGTTAGAAGTGAAGATTGAAGATATCCCTTATTCTCCACCTGCAAGACATCCTGATCCTCAAAATGTTCCTTGAAAACCGGGGAATGATCACTATTTCGTTTGGCCTGGTCATTCCAGCGAGCACCGCCGGGTTGACTGGGTATTTGCGAAGCATCTCGTGTATTGGTATTCAAAGCCTGTCGGATGGTAGAGATATTGCTGCGAGGTCGTGGCGCTGAAAAGTCATGGACAATATGACCGCGAATCCTAGGATCGTAGTCATCTGGCATAGCAGGCACATTCCGATTCTTGGTTTTGACATCCTCAGCCCGAGAGTTGACCAGCTGCGAAGATCGCCTGCGGGCAAGGAGGGACATCGGATTCAAGAGATGAAGCATCGCCTTACTCGACTTGTGATGTGTCTGTTCCACCACTACATCCCGATCCCCGATGCGTTTGACAGTTGTACTACTATCCACCTTGCCCTCTTTTTGTAGTATGGTTTGTTTATCGGCCGGCACATCTTCCGGTGAGGTTCTGAACCGGAAATGGCCGGACCCTGTTACCGCAGTTGGTGACCGTTTCTGCTTGCCGAACGATCGCCGGAATGGCGAGCTCGGCTTTGAACTCGATTCTCCTTCACCTTGATCAGACCGTAGAGCCATCACAGAAAGTTGGGAATTGCTCCCCTGGGATGTGAGCTCTTCTTCCCCACAGTCGCCGGGGCTGGAATGTGGACGGCTGTCCTTCTCCAACGCCGGCGACGGAACCCGTAGAGTGAGCGAGGAGGATAGCGGCGCGGCTGATGAGCTGATGTTCAGCTTCGAAGCATCGATGTCCAGCGGCGACTCGTTCGAGGGAAAAGCATGGCGGGAAAGGGGGCCCTCGAAGGTAGTGGTGAGCGTGGGCGCATCTGGGATCTCTGGGAGCCGAGGAGGGCTGCTTTTCGGGCTTCCGTTGGTTCCTTTTGCAGATGGTGAGGGAGCAGGCAAAGAAACAGGTGACGCGGACGAACGCCGATGGTCTCGGCGCCAGTATGAGAAAACGGTGGAGGGCGGCATGACGCAGATTATAGATCCCCACAGCGCCAGTTAGAGCCGCGAGGATTAACAGGGGGCGAAATGATCCATTGCAGTTTTAATTAACTGCTGAGGGGTGTTGACAAAGAGGGTCTCGCATACCAGAGACAACCCGTGGGGGAGGCAAAATCCACTTCTTAAGCCTCGAGCTTTGGTAATCTTACTAAACTCGAATTTACGAAAGAATGATACGGTGACTTGGTAAGGATATTTTTATATTCTGGTAATTTTATATCGAGAGACAAAAATAACTGTGGAGGTAACGCGCGGCTAAAGCTAAGGTTACACTCCTCGCCTCACATTCTTGCCCCTACTTGTCCTGTACAGCCTCGGATTTTCTCATATTTCATAACATCTTGGGAAATGTACTAATTCCCATTGTAATTCACACACACAAGCTGCCTAGGTATTCTACATGGATATCTTTCGAGCCAAAAAAAAAAAAAGAGGAGGAAATAGAACACGCTCAAAACGACAATATGCTATGCTAAAAAAAAAAAGATGTAAAGGGTAAAAACAATATAACAACAGCTTAAGGATACTTTCAACGGATACTTTGCCTCCAACGATCGATCACATCAGTCGAGAGAGGGCCGGAGTGTTGTGCTATGGGTTGAGGATATCTCATACCGTTCATGCCCATCATGGCTGGGTTGGTGGCAAGACCGGATGGGTACGCAGTTGGATATCCATATTGCTGAGCCATCGGGTATCCTGCAGGCATTGCATATCCGGTTTGTGGAAATTGCTGCATGGACATGCGGTTTCCATATTGGGACATCGTGACAGGTCGTTGATTGTAAAGCTCATGTGTCGACGGACGAGAAAGATGAGAAGGACGCCCTTGTGTAAGGGCCATCATGCTCCGACGGATGCGCGGCTGTTTTGCGGGCCCAGGTTCGCCAGCAGCCTCTTTCTGAAGTCGAGCGCGTCGCTGGGCGAGTGTCTCTTCCTCATTGGTGTCAGGGACGTCTTGGGCCTCTTTAGGCGCAATGCCAGCCCGGGTGTCAATCTCAGCCATCAGATCGCTGGCGAATTTGCTATTGGAACGATTATGTCCCTTCAATCGTTCAGAGCGCTCGGCGAGGGTCTCTATCTCTGTCACCTCTTCACTCTCGATAGTCGGCTCAGGGACAGGCGTCGAGGTCGCTGTTGCATACACTGTGACAGGACGGGGCGCCGCCTTCGGAACTGGTTCACCCCGTAGTCTGGCCCGACGCGCGCTCAAAGGCTCGTTTTCCTCTTGTTGCCGCTTCTCGATCAAGCCCAATGGTCGCTCATCATCTTCGTTGCTAGTTTTCTCGGGATACAACAGAGCAAGAGGGATGTCTTCGTCTTCGTCACGCCCTTCCCAAGCCAGCGCGACAGGGCGTTGTCGTCGTTTGTCACTTTGCTTTTGGGCAGCTTCGTCCATTTCGAGCAGAGTGCTTCGCATGCCTTGGAATGGCATGGGCACCGCCGTCCGGCGTCGGTGCTTCAATTCGTGCTTTCGCAACTCCAACTCGGCGATCAGCGTGTTCGGCGGCCCAACATAATCTAACTCCCCATCTTCCTCGTCCTCTTCGTCTTCGGATTGTTCCTCGCTGTCAGTATCAGTGCCTTCTGACTCCCCATGTTCACGCTCATCATGAGGTCTATCTGAGTCGCGCCCGGATTCTGACCCATGACGTGCGGTTACTGGGCCACCATCTTCGCCTAAGTTATTAGTGCTGTGAGACAGGCCCAGGGTAGCTCGCGAGAAACGATTTGTCTTTTGCGCTGACAGATCTTTGGTCAAAGTCTTGCGTTTTGATTTGTTGTAGATATATGAGCCGACATGACCAGCGTAAGGGTGGTCAGTGAAAGCTGAAACGGGAGCATTCGCAGAAGCGTCCAAAATGCTCTCCAGTGTAGCAACCGCAGAATCTTGCTTGACTTCGACTTGCAATGATGTGCTTGGTTGATCGAAGAACACGCTTGCACGGAGATGCGGTGGCAGTGCTGATTTGCGCTTGTCACTATGGCTATCCCGCGGGGTTTCTTGATCGCCATCAGGTAGCGCAGTAGACTTCCTATCCTCGGCAGCAATGGCCCCTACAAGCTGTGTGCGACGCTTATCTCGGTCCACATTTGTCTTGCGTGACAACTTCGGCGGCAGGTTCAACATTCGGGGAACGGGAGCCGGATAGAATACCATATTCTCCCCCGCTTGCGGCTGTTTATAATGTTCGGGCTTACGAGCAAGCGGCGGCTGATCCAAGGAGACCTGGCGACCCGGTTCCATGCGCTCTGGGTGTTTGAAATGAACGCCATCGAAATCGGTGAATAGTGTCCGCGCCTGCTGATAGGTATCATTTGATGCGACCGAAGCACGGCGATCCAACTCCGCCTCTGCGGAGAGTCCTTGCGGATTATATTGGTCGTAATAATAATCATTCTGCGTGGTGAAAAGAGGTTGCGACGGTGATAGATCAGGGAGCGCGGGGAATTCATCCATTTCCTCCCCATGGTCCTCATATGCTGGCTCCGAGAGCTGAGCCAGACGGGCCCCCGATACGGAACGCTGGCGCGCGGGGGACACATTGGATCCATGAGCGGAAGAAACCGTAGCCACCGGCGAGAATGCTCCGGTCCGATGAATGGAGTTCGACGCGGAACTCACTGAGCGTCGTTTCTGCTCTTGGTCCATGCGACGGATCTCGCTCTCAATGTCCGCTGAGTACGAGGTCAGCTGCTCCGCGCTTTCCTCCAACCGCGTTACATTCCCTTTGTAGGCTCCTTGTATCGACTGCAAATCTGGGATAGGGTGACTGAGAGGTACGGGGACATCGCTGCATGCGCTGTGGAGGGGTGGTTCGGGGGAAGAGGAGTGTCGCGCGACCGCGGTATTTAGTGGAGGTCTTCCGAGGCTGTTGGATCGCTGTTCGGGAGAGTGATGGGCGTCATAGTCATCGTCCTCCACTACATCATAGCTGGTGGAAGTCATGGAGCGGATCATCGAGCCCAACTGGGCCAAACTCGAGTTGTCGTTAGTCTGGGCTCGTTCTAGGTGGCTTCCTCCCCCAATGTGATCAGTATCGAGGGGCAGTTGCTTGAATGCATGTCCATGAGCGGGTGAGGGGCTGCGTGACGCAAAAGCGGAAGAGTTCGAAGCCACCTCGTGGTCGATTTGAGCGACAGCATTGTACGCCATGATATAAGTCCTGGTCACGGGCTCTCCATCCAGACCGGTTCAAATTGGGAGATTTCAGGATCAAAGGGACTCGAATTCACCGGGCACGCCGACAAAGAGATTCAGAACGCAAAGCCAAAATGGGCGTATGTTGTAGAAGAAGAAAACCAAGCGGGAAACTAATTTTGGAAGTACTACGCTTTTTTTGGCCCTGGAATGCTCCAATTACTCCGTACTCCGTACTATGTAATGAACTATTAATACCGAAGTAATCTCCTTGAAATCCCTAGAAATCAAGGAAAAAGAAAATGGACTAAACTATTTAAGGGGCCACTGCGCCCATGTCTCGGACCAGTCAACACGTTCTGCACGCCGAGCCAGGGTGACTTGACTCTCCACTCCGTTCTAGAGGGCTTGGCATTTGGGAGATATCGTTGTCTTGTACAACCCAATATCAAGGGTATACTGGGCGCTAGACGGAGTACTCCGGTCTCCATTTCGGCTGTACCTCTTTTCCTGCAGGTTTCCTCGTAACGTGCATATGGCAATTCCCCCCCCCAATGAGGCAGTACCGCGGTGTCTGCGTCTAAACTGATATACTTGACAGCCCCGGACCAATCACGCATCCAACAGCTATCCGCGATGGCTCCCGCTCGGTTTTGATTGATTCCAGTCTTGCGTGCATTGGGCCAATGACACTACATTCATTGCTGCCCAAAACTCGAGTCTCAAATTTGGTTAACCTGACAGGGACATGCCTACGGATGTAGGTAGCCGATATCCAACAAAATGACCTTGCATAATCCCCATATTTCCCCTCGTGCGTCCTTATCCGATCGATCTCCGGATACGGAGTACGGTAATGCATACGCATTGCGCCCCTTTATATCCACTAAAAGCGTCATATTTGGGTCCCAGGGTGTCTCCCTACTTCTCCACAATAATTGATCCTATATTTGTACTCCGTACGCATCCACGTGCACCTAGTATCGGGAATTGCAGCCCATGCATCCCCAAGGTAATAGCACATAGGGTCACCCGGCCATAGGACCCGAGAATAGGCTTAGTTGCTCCCCAGTGTCTACCTAGGAGGTACTGCGTATAGCGGTCTGCGTTATTTTCTAGCGCATTCTTGATCATCTGTTCCTGCCGAGCAAAACCGAAGGGCCAATAGGAGCCACGTCGAAGGAATTGGGTGGGTGATCAAGGTATGAGTCGAAATTTCAGCGGTATTTGGTGTTGCACCAATAGGTTAGGCTGTCAAAAAAACAGACACGTCCAAATACATCCATTCCAGTTTGGGAGCCTATCCCCGCAGACTGACTCGTAGCTTGGAGAGACTGGAATCTTTCTGCGGGGACCAAAGCGATCGTCGCCCAGAAAAATAAGGTTATTTTACCTTCGTTCGTGTCAGATGAACCTTGGAAGACCGAAAACATGATAACGGCTTTTCCGCTCGCCGGAGGATGTTCAGATAGCTCCCCCTTTTTCGGCGGAATCATTCCGGCTGACGCACCCATCTGTCCAATCCGATGCGAGGCTAAGGTCATTCCAACCTGACCGTGTGTGAAAAGTTTAAACCTACAGGGCTGCCGCCCCTGTTGCCTTACGCAGTACGGAGTACGGAGTACTTGTAATGTGATTTTCAAGACAGATCGGCTATTGCTTAGCTGTATACAAACATTTACCCCAGTCTTAGGCCTTAGACCTATCTTAGTTAGTCTTAAACGTCTTACTCCGTACTCTGTGCACACCGCGCCATTGCCTATTGCTAGATCCATGTACCTATAATACCTACCAGTCTAACAAGATACCCCCTGAACCCACAGCAGAATCGCAAGGATGACTGGTAAGAGCCCCACCCGGTACTCCGTACTTCAAGCAAACACGATAATGACACACTAGATATCCAGAGCCTCGAGACAAGTTCGCCCCTCTTCGCGTTGGAGTAGTACTATTCCCGGGCTTTCAAGCCCTGGACGTATTTGGCCCAGTAGATTGCCTCAACGTCCTCTCATGGAGCCATAGCGTGAGCTTGGCATTCATATCCTCAACCCTGGAGCCAGTGACAACAAAACCCTCGGCCGCACCTAACGCCATCGGCCAAAGCGTGGTACCTACTCATACCTTTGCAACAGCACCATCTCTTGATTTACTTCTGGTGCCTGGTGGCCGTGGCTCTCGCGGCTCCAGTCCCGCAGTCGACGAGGCTATCGCCTACATCCAAGATGTATATCCCCAACTGGGCTATCTGCTGACCGTGTGCACTGGCTCAGGGCTCGCCGCGCGAGCCGGCGTGCTGAATGGGAAGCGAGCTACAACGAACAAGATGTCCTGGGCTGAGATCATGCTGCTGGGAGAGAAGGTCAAATGGGTCCCACATGCGAGATGGGTTGTCGATGGCAATGTTTGGTCATCTTCTGGGGTTAGTGCTGGTATTGACGCTACTCTGGCTTGGATTGAGGAGGTTTATGGGAGTGAGGTGGCGAGCCAAATCTCGAATGAGATAGAGTACACTCGACATGAGGACCCCAGCTATGATCCGTTTGCGGAATTATATGGGCTCTGAAGTGCTCACTACAGTTGTGTTTGCACTCATCTTTGTATAAAGCTCGACGAGAAGAGAAATATATAGCCCTATAACAACGTACGTGGGTATGTGATCCCTGTCATTATGAAATCGTGTAAATTACTAGGTGAATTTGGGCCGTTTGAAACCGTTGGTGTTCGATGTGCCCGAGTCCTTTGCTCTTTGTCTCTTCTTTCATCAAGTAGCGGAGTAGAATATGAAGCAAACATTTGGAGTTGATGGGGCCAAAACTGCCGATCGAGTGACTTTCCTCCAAATATTCCAATTCATGGATTCTTTCTGAATCTCCCACAAAGAACATAATTAGAAGACATGCCATAGATCAACAAGTTGAAGTGGTTGTCACTACATCCCCGCCTATTTCCCATCCCGCGCCAGGCACGTGACCGCGCGCCGTTATCGACGCGCCTCAATCTCACAACTTTGCGATCAACAGAACAAGGATATTGCGACGTGTCACCATGTCCTACTATGATATTGACTCTATCTTGACCGATGCACAAGTATGTTGTTTGAGAAAACATACCTCCACGACAAATCCGCACCCAGTGGATGATAACTAATCCTACGGACCCAGAAACTACCATGTACATTTGAACTCGAAGTCCCTGGACTCGGTATCCTGGAGGGCAATCCTGGCGAAGATGTGAGAGTCCTCTATGCTTTCCCTCAGCTCCACAATTTACTGATATATGCCTAGATTAAAGCCGGAACCCGCATTGATCTTCCACTATGGCTAGGTGAAATGCTGTCAATTGGGTAAGATCGCACCTACTCCCAACTGCCCGGAGACAACATGATGAATACGTTATTCTCCTAACGTGGCTTGGTTGATACAGAGCACGCCTGGGAACATCACGTCTAGTTACACTCGACATGCCCGATGCGCTTTCGGAGCGAGTGATGAATGCCCTGAAGGCCGATCCTCGCACCGTCGACTTGCGCGCATTAGCACCACATTTCTACAATCTTAGCGAGCGCATCCTCGAACTCTTCGAGGAAGAAGAGATGGTGGATGTTCTCAGTGATGTATGTGGCGCCATTCCCCGCAGCTGAGAAGGCTGTTCACTGGCCGAGCTGGGACTAACCATCTGCCAGACATTCAAGAAACGGGCGGCAGAGATCGCTGACCATGCGCACAACTCACGTGGCGCGGTCGGTGACGGAGTTGATTTTCTCCGCGGGCTGGATGAGACAGAACGACAATGTAAGTTCTGACCCGTTCGGAATTGTGGATGAGATCATTGACCGATGTGGTTAGTGTTCCGCGCTGCTCATGATCGGGCGAAGGATATGCGAATCTGGTCTGGAGAGGCGAAACGAAAGTAATAGTGTTTTGTGACGAGGCGGTTTTGTGGGCTCTGAGCTGCGCTCGCCCATGATCATTTTTGTGATACACGGTTTAACTTTACGCGACAATATGAATCTTCGATCCGATAGGCTCGTGGTGACGTAGGACAGGATTCCGATCTGGTCCTACTTTATTTTAACTTGGGGCAACGTAGATACGAGGGACAAGTACAACATACATGAAGTAGGACTATTGCAAGAATATGACAAGCCATACCCATGCGGATAGAATAATCTAGAAAGAAGCCATGAGATCTAGGTTTGAAGACTGACAGGTGAAACTCCGACTACGCGACACGTCCAATCTCATAGTACATATGTACCCTGCGAAGTGGACGAAGTGGGGACATCGGAACTATTTGACATGAATCCATGGATGTGCAGAAGATCTTTGAGAATCGATCTGTCAGGTTTACAGAGGACAAGGTCTTCGAGTTTGGATTTTCCCCATACAAGTGCAACTTCCCTTGTAGGGATAAGTACCCAGGTCATCTCTCATCACATCCTCGCCACTGCACGCCCTGTCACAGTACGAGCCAATAAGGCCTGATAACGTCCATTCAGGAGGCGAGAACCCCCGCGTAAAACAAAAACCACTTGCGACGCCCCACGGGCGCTATCCGATTGGCAGTGAGACGTCAGGAACAGCGACTTGGCAGAATTGATCGTCGTACTAGGGAGCCGATGTCAATCTAGCCTTAGGGGGAAGGGAAAAAAAAAAAGAAAATCAGCCTCGGGGATTATCCAGACTGGAGGTTGATTCCATTCTTCAGATTTTCTATTCCATTCTTGACCTTACTGGCATCCCTACATTAAGAAACCAAAACAAATACCATCTAGAGAGTAGAGAGTGGGTCTATGATGCCCCTGGACTTTCTGCGTCAATCGAGACTCATCACAATCCGTTTGCGACCTCCCCTCGCTTCGTTTGACTTTCCCCCGCCAGTACCGTCTTTCGACAGTCTCCCTTGAGTCTTGAGTTCGAAAACGGAGACACGGTGCCCTGACTTGGGGCCCGATTATTGACCTTAAGCCTGCATTGTACCCCCACAGGTTCGACCAGCCTCTCAGGGCAGCTGCAACACATCTCCACCCCTCGCATTAAGCTGCCTGTTGGTTATCCACCGGCGTATCATCCAATATACTGTCTGGCGTTCGTCCAATTGGAGTCAACCCCCCTGGATCTATCCATTAATCCTCCGATGCGGCCGGTGGATTGTGCAGGAAACTGTTGCTGTGGTGTCCACTGATTGACCCAGGACGCTGCTGTGCTGCGCCCGAATCGGGAAACTGGGGGTCTTTTTCGGCTTGTCAATTATGCACGTCTAGTGACACCTATTATGCCTGCAGCCATTATGGATGACAAAAGGAGGAGCTCGGCCGGTGGCCACTCTGCTTCCTCACACTCTCGAGGTCCCGTGTATCATCCCAAGGGCGCATCTAAACGCAATATTTCCCCCAAGGACCATCACCACCGTACGTGAATATTGGATTTTGTGCCGCCTGAGCTTGCACTATCAAACGCATGGTCAATTGATTGACACTAACATCAATATAGACTCCGCGGACCGTCCTCAGCATCCGTCACTTTCCCGCGTCAAAGGTCGAAGAGATATGTTCACGCCGCCTCGAATGAACGGGGTCTCGTGGCTGAATGATCAGTCACCTGTCAAATCAGGCACCAGAACCCCGAATCGGTCATGCGGTACGTCTTCCGAGAGTTTTGGACGTGTAGCACACGGGATTGCAAGATACTTATCTTCGACGGAATAGGAACCCCCGAGCCTGGCACCCCTGCACTCGTCAACCCTGCCTCCGCCCTTCTACAAGATTTACTGAAAGAACAACGCGCCCACCGAAGTTCAAGAGGGGCCATGTCAGATAATTATGAAAACGAGGCTCCCCGAACTCCAGAGACCACACGAATGCAGGAAGATACAGCATCTGAGAAGGTCCGGAAAGCGAGTGATGCTTTCTCCGCTGGCCAGAGGAAGCCAAAAGAGATGGGCATGCGAGAAATGGACCAAGTAAGTTTCTGAATATTCCCATCTAACGCCCATATGCAGTGGCTCATTCTTTTGCAGTATGTCTCGAAAATGAACAAGCTTAATTTCGACTTAAAGCTTGAGGTCTTCCATCGCACCCAACAGATGGCTATATTGGAGAAAAAGCTGGAACGAATGGCACAGATGGAAGAACAACTGGCTCATATGGAAGAGTTGGAAGCAGAAGTACAGGAGCTTCGAGCCACCGAAAAAAACAACGAAAAATTGCGCGAATCTAACGAACAGCTTCGTAGTGACCTCGACAAGCGAGACTTGGCTGTTACTGAAGCTGTCGAGCTCATCTGCCAGTTAGAATCGAAGCTCGAGATGTTGGAGAATGGCGGCCGAACCTCGAACACCTCCATGCCACGGCCCCAGACTGCGGATGGATCCGATATTATGACACCGAAAGCCCGTGCTGTCATCGAAGTTCCAGATAGGACATCGTCGAGGCAAAATCCAGGCGTGCTCGGGGTGGCTCAGCGCCAGACATCTTCTGAGCTACGCAGACTCGGGAAAGCACCGTCCTTCCTACGAGATGACCACAAAAGTACCGCTACTTTACGAAGCCTTTATGCACCTGACGAAGATAACTATTCACGCTCTGCATTGACTGAACTCACTAAATCAGAGAGCTTCCATACGACGAATGAGACTATAGAGCCCGAATCGCCCAGACTGAGCGTTCTGAGTGAATGCAGTGAACTCAACCCATTGGATACGCCTATGAGATGGCAAGATTTTGATCACCTCGAGATCCCTGTTCGGGGACCAACATCGACCACAGGCAGTTTGGATAGCTATGTTCCCCCCACTGGGCGCGAGGAAAGCAAGGAAGACCAAATTGATCGGTGGATGCAGTCACGGGAGGACCCGAATGAGACTATCGTTACGAGACGCCGTAACCGAGCATCATCTGATGCAACCAATGTCGGCGTTCCTAATATTCCAGCACAGTTGTATTCTCCCCAGCCACGCGGACGGGGACGACTAGATCCGTCTCTTTTCGGGGGTGTCAGGCTTCCTCCTACCCCTGACACCATGAGCACTGCATATGCTATGGGTGCAAATCGCTCGAATGGGTCATATGGATCAAATGGAAGCATTGAAGCCCGCAAGAACTCGCACACTGAGCAGGATCCGTTCTTTACGCGGCGGGTTGCACGTCCTCGCTCTGCAGAGGATATTGCCAGTCATCACAGCTTCGATGGCAGCGAGGTCACAAACAGCATGCAAACCCATTTCGGTGATACTCCGCGTCTCGGATTCACATCGGTTGAGTCCCGCACTATATTGCCTTCCTTCAATGCCGTTTCTTCGAAAGCCAGCCAGATTCTCGGGCCCGGAAGCCCTAACAACCCTGCCATCGAGACCTTTGGCGATATGTTCCAAGGAGCAGCCAAACAAGCATCAACTCCGACAATCAAACGTGTTCGCAGTCCGCCCATGATCATGACCCCAGAACCAAAAGACCATGGCGGTGAATCTTCACTACCGCTTACGCCCCAGGACTGGGTTGCCGCTGCAAAGCAAGGCCCTAGGTCTCGCAAGGGAAGAACGCGGGAAACCCGCCATGAGACTCGGCAGATGGACATGTCACCACGAACTGTCATTAGTCAAGCCGCATTTCACGATGACAGCAGCATCGGCTCCGATTCAAGCGAGCGCGATCTTCCCGGTATCCCAACTCTTGACATGACAACCCTGGATATCCTAGCGCAACCTCTTAATGTCCCCCAACCAGAACCCCTATTCGAAGCCGAGCCTGAGACCCGTCGCCGCCTAAGTTTCCGTCCCCCTTTCTTCGGCCGTTCAACCAACAATCCCAATCGTCTCCAAGGTTCCCCGATTCCCAACGACTTTGAAACCGATTTCGAAGACGGCGCTCCATCCCCCGTAATCCCAAAAACCAGAACAATGGGCGGCACTTCCCACAGACCCAGGTCTCAAATAAACACCGCCCCCAACGATCTATACTCCATCCAACGGATCGCCAACGAAGAACCGCCTCCAGCCCTCCGAGCCAGAGGTCTTCCCCAGTCTTTCACGGACCCAACCATCGCTGAGCACTCCGGCTCCGCAACAATCTCAGGCCGTCCCTCCACATCCCACGCCGCGGAACACAAGCGGCGCAGCTCACTGGGCATCTTCAGCTGGATGAAGAGCAAACGCTCTGATTCTGTGGCTGGGTCAGAGAAATCCACCGATTCTGCACCGAAAGAGAACCGCGTTCCTTCGCGCCTGGCCTACGAGGCTACCTACGAGCCTAGAATGTCCCGCGCTGAGACGCCGGACTCCATGGAGGCTCACATCTCCAGACCTTACCCAGAGCTCACAGTTACCGCTGATGAGTTTGCCAGACGCCCCCGTTATATGGGCCGTCGTGCTCGTCGGGGTTGAGACTATCGTCGAGTCTCCTACTTTCTTACCTTACTGCCTGTCCTTCATTTTCTCATTTCCTTCATTTACTCACTTCCTTCATTTTCTTCTCTTTCTCTTTTTCTTTTTCTTTCTCTTCCCTTCCTTTTCTACCTTCCTTTTCTTCTTTCATTTCCTCTTCATCTTCCACCCTCATTCTATTCCCTTTTGTACTATATGATACCCAACCCCTGTATAACACAGGATGACAGTAGCATGGCAATCTTTCCTGCCCCCACCATTCATTTTCTTTTCCTTCCAAACACATTTCGACGATCTGAGTGCATCATGAGCTCTTGCCATTTGACGTTCTTCTTCTGAATTAACGCAAATCACGACTAGCGTGCTGCATTTTTGATGGGATTTGCAATTTGATTTTCAAGTGTCATATATTGGTCCTGCTGGCAGGGTCCTTCTGAAGTGTATTCACATCGTCCAGCCTGCCATTTCAAAATGTAATGAACAGATAATGAATTTGAACTCTCAAAAGCCTCCTCAATTACCTATCCACCTACATAGTTATACTCAGTTCTACTTGGTCACAGTTACACTCTCACGGCTACATTGTCTTCCAATGTTGACTCCAGGAGACTGATGCAAAGTTCAAGAGATCAATCAAATCAATTTCAGATACTATTAAATTCAAATTAAATTAATCAATCCAAGCCTCGTAGTCCAAATTGTGGCCAACTCCAGTTCTCTTTTCTTTTTTCACTTGCCAAAACGCCCAGTAAAGACATGATATACAATGGCCAAGACAGAACCAGAAACATCAAGGCGAAAACAACCCAACCCTCCTCCGATCTAATAACTATACCTCCCAACATATTAATTAATACCACCCATCCTCGTCCTCGCCAAGCTTCTTCTTCTTCGGATTCAACGAAACAACCCGCTGTCCAGGCAACGTATCCGCCGTAAAAGCCGCCTCAAAGATACTCGCAATCCCGCGCTTCGCATAATGCACAAAAGAATCATAATCCTCTGTCACTCCATTAACAGCGCCCCACTCAATTCCCTCCGGCGTCTTCCCATCCCCAAGATCACTCCACCGCGTAACAACAATCGCCTGCTTGAACCTTCCATCCCCACGGTCCTCAGTCAACTTCACCTCAATCAAATACTCCGTCGGACACTCCGGACACCTCCGCATCGGCCGACAAAACCCACACAGCAGCGTCAGCGCATTCGGATCAAACACCTGCCCCGCAATGCGGTCCTTGACTCGATGTTCCAGGCCCTGCAGTCCGCCCGTGCTGCGCGGTCGAGGGATATGGTCCAGCGCACACTTACACGCAGGCATGAGTTCGCCGTCCCGCCAGTGCGCGCAATGGCTGAAGTACGGACAGTAGTCTTCGCGCGAGTAGAGCAGCATGCGCTGCGCGGAGGGCGTGAGGCCTGGCGACGAGAATGTCTGGCTGGTTACGCGCATTAGGAGACGCCCGGCGTGCACGTGGAAGCGGGATGTGTGGTACCAGCCATCGCGCTCCCAGCGGCGTCCGAGGGCCTCTGCGGGGATGCCGTATCTTAGGCCGAAGCGGTGGGCGCGCATGACTAGTTGGACGAAGGTGAAGGGGAGATTACGGCCGTGGGCCATGCGGTGGCGGGGTGGCGGGTTCAGTGCGTTTGTGGCATTGGGGCAGTTGAAGAGTGGGTTGAGGACGTGGGTTGGGCGGATGCGTTCGGCGCCTTCTTGAGTGCGGCGGTGGTATTTGGTGCAGGGGAAGCAGAGGAGGTGATGGGGGAGGGAGATTTCCAGGTCTGCGAGGAAGTTGAGTTTGTAGGTGTAGTTGTATGGTTGGTCGAGAGCTATGAAGTATTTCGACCCGAGTCGTTGGTATAATGTGGTACTGGCGAATGCTAGGCATGCGGCTTCAGCGGGATTGAGGTATCCTGCTATTTCGGACCATAGCTTGGGCGGGAGACTTGCTATGTCGCCTTCACCGCGTGGTCGACGGTCGTTGTTCTCGTATGTTGGTGCGGTGATTTCGTTGACGTCCTGTGTGCCAAGGGTGTGGATGATTTCGGTATAATCTCTTCGCTCGCCTAGCTGTGTGTCCACTTGGGCGTGGAGCTCTTTGTATTTCAGTCTATGGGCGTGCAATGGAGCTAGCTCTGGCATTGGAGGGGCAGCATCGAGACTGGCACGGGCTGCTACCCGTATGTCTGTCGTCGACCTGCCCTTCCGTAGAGTTTGGCGGGATTTCTTAGGACGCAATGCATTTGAGAGGAACGACTTGAAGCCGTTTTTCGGACCGGGGCTATCTGCAGGCATGGTGGAGCTACGAAGCAAGGTAAGAATTCGAGAGGTCCAGATGGAGAATATCAGGGCCCATCGTTTTCGGAAGTCTGCAGTGATCTTCTGACGCGGCCCGCCCGGCCCGGGTTACCACTTTCGTACGTTGTACGTCTTAGGGGATATTGCTTCCTAGATAGTTTGAAGATTGAATAATATTGAAAGGCACATGCTACAATACAAGGGTAATTAGGGGCAATCCGTCATAGCAGCATTTACAAATCAATCGGGGGCATGGGGTCATTTAAGAGAAGCGCTTCTCAACAGCCTTCCAGTTGATGACGTCCCAGATGGCGGAGAAGTACTCAACCTTGCGGTTCTGGTATTGGAGGCTAGAGCATTTGTCAGTTTGAGGTCAAGGCTTATCGAAGGGAGGGATCCTTACTAGTAAGCGTGCTCCCAAGCGTCAATACCGAGCAGAGGCTCGAACTGGCCGACAACGGGATCCTGGTTCTGTGAAAGTGTCAGTAACTATGATATTTCATACCACAATCGAGGAGCCACCAATAACTTACAGCGTAGGTGCGGATGCTGATTTGGCCAGTCTGCTTGTCCTTCACGAGCCAAGCCCAGCCGCTGCCCTGGATGCTAGCAAGAGCAGCGTTCATCTTGGACTGGAAATCGCCGAAACCACCGTAGGTGGTGTCAATGGCCTTGGACAGAGCTCCAGAAGGGGGCTCACCGCCGCCGGCGCTCTTGGGGGCAAGGTTCTCCCAGAAGAGGGAGTGGTTGAGGTGACCACCGCCGTTGAAGTTGATGGCGGGCTTGAGGGCAATCTGGGCGGCGATGTTTCCTTGAGCTTGCGCCTCCTGCAGCTGCTCAATGGAGTTGTTGTAGTTGGTGACGTAGGTGTTGTGGTGATTCTTGTGGTGAATCTCCATGATCTTGCCGGAGATGGAGGGCTCCAGAGCGCCATAATCGTCTTGTTTTCGACATTAGTTCAAGGTCTGAGCCCCCAATGTATGGATCAGGTTGTGATAGAGCTCCATCAGGTATGAGAATACTAAGCTTACAGGAAAGGTCAGGGAGAGTGGCCTTGCCACGGGCAAAGGTCAAGCCCGCAGCACCAGCCTTGGAGGTAGCCGAAGCTCCCGAGCGAAGGGCAACGCGGGCGGAGTTGCTAAGAAGAGCAGCCATTTTGAAGGTATGTGTAGATGATTTTAGATGGTGAACTTTTGGTGCAGAAAGTAAATGGGGGCGTTAATTGTAAAAGAAATAAGTTAGGTCCAACGGAAAAAAACGAGGAACACGAGCAGGCAGGCTAACAGATAACCGACGGTAACGTCATCGTGTTTTGCTCGGTTCGGATAAACTTTATTCCGGTACGGGATTCCCCACTCGAATTTCGAGAGCATCTGTTGCGCTTTCTCGTAGGACACTTCCACCTCACTTCCATATTGTTTTTGATCGTGGAGGAACACCTCCCAATAATCCTCTGAGAAGATGGAGTCGCCATCAGTTGCCGGTCGGAAGCGCACGGTTACCATGAGGGATTCCGACTCGGAATCAGACTCAGATACACGTCCACACACTAGCCTTCCCGCGTTCGCCAGAGCTTCATCTCGATCTGCGTCGCCTCCTCCTCGCATGGGTGGCTTGGGTAGTGGGGTACCCATGAGCCATATCAACCGGGTCAGCAATCCAGGGGGTTTATCACGAGGCTCACTGGGTGGGAAAGGCATGATGGGTGGATCGTCACGGGGTGCGGCCGGAGGTGCCAACAGCTTCGCCGCGCGAATGATGGCCAAGATGGGCTACAAGGAAGGACAGGGTCTAGGAACGACTGGCCAGGGTATCGTGAATCCGATTGAAGTACAGGCGCGACCTCAGGGTGCAGGCCTGGGCGCAGTCAGCGAGAAGTCGAAGAAAACCCGTGAAGAAGAGCGTCGAGCAGCTGCACAGAGAGGCGAAATCCTCGAAGACAGCTCCGAGGATGAACGACGAAGACGACGAAAGAAGAAGGAGGAACGCAAAACCCAGGCTCGAAGCGGCACTGGTACACCGGTCCAGCGTGCTAAGCCCAAATTCCGGACCGCGCGCGAAATCGAAAATGATATGGAGGGACTGGAAGTGCCAAATGTTCTCAAATCACTTGTCGATGCGACCGGAAAGGAGCAGCGTATCCTCACGTCGACTGCCGGCCTGTTGTCGACACAACAGTTCGTTACTCAAGAGGAAGGAGAAGCTTTGAAAATTGCACAACGAGCCCGAAATGACTTGGAAGCATTCGCAGACGAGTGGAAGGGACTAAAAGAAAGAAAAGAGTTCATTGAACTCGAAGAGGCTCAGGTGGTGGACGAATTGGATGCATACCAGTCCCGGATAAATCACCTCACTGGTCTCATCGCCGCAGTCGAAGAACTGGACATCTTTGAGAACGACGAAAACATTTTAACCAAATTCGATGAGATGACCGAAAAGCTCTTAGCTGTGGAATCCAAATATCAAGATGCTATCGATGAGCATCGAATCCCAGAGACCGCCGTCGCGGCTCTACACCCGCTATTCCGCCAGGCCATGGAGGAATGGGACCCTCTTCAAGATCCTACGTTCCTCGTGACCAACCTCACCCGTCTCCAGCCTCTTCTTTCTCGCAAAAATGCTCCAGAAGAGCCCCGAAAACGCGCTTCAACATCACCTTACGAAACCATGATCTACACGCTCTGGCTCCCACGTGTGCGTTCAGCACTCTCGAATGAATGGGACGTCTACGATCCATCCAAGGCAACTGCGCTGGTCGTAGCTTGGAAGGCAATAATACCGCCATTTGTGTATGCAAATGTCCTCAACCAATTGGTCGTTCCTAAGCTCGGAGTGGCCCTCAAGAATTGGCGACCTCGAAGTAGCCGACGACACGCAGGTTCTGAGCAAGATGGAAAGTTCCCATGGTGGCTTTTCTCATGGCTTGAATATCTAGACGAACGACACACTGACCCGAAACAGCCCACTGGTCTCATGTCCGATGCGAAGAGAAAGTTCCGCTCGGTACTCGACACCTGGAGTCTACGCAAGGGACTAGTCGATCGCATTGAGATCTGGCGGGATGCGTTAGGGTCTGAGTTCGATGTATGTCTTCGCAATCATTTGCTGCCACGTCTTGCGCGCCATCTACGCGAGGATTTCACGGTGAATCCGCAAGACCAAGATCTCACGGCATTCAAGGACGTTATGCATTGGACCCCATTCTTCCAGCCTAATGTCATGGGTCTATTACTTATTTCCGACTTCTTCCCAAAGTGGCACGAGGTTCTCTACATCTGGCTCACCAACGACCCCAACTACGAGGAGGTTGGTGCTTGGTACTCTTGGTGGCGTACTCAAATCCCGGCGGAGGTCAACGAGCTTGTTATTGTCGACGAAGAGTGGAACAAGGGTCTGCAAACCATGGACCTTGCATTGCAGTTGGGCGATCGTGCCGCTGCTGAACTTCCACGCCCTACCTCAACACGAACCACACTACCTACCCGGGAGGACAAGGCGGCAAAAGCCGTTGCGGCTGCTGCGGCTGCTGCCGAACCCCGAGTCAAGGCCCCTGCCGTGGAGGAAGTTGCTTTCAAAGACATCCTCGAGGGTTGGTGCATGGAACAGGGACTCATCATGCTACCGTTGCGCGAGGCTCATCCACAAAATGGCCAGCCGCTTTTCCGCATTACAGCCAGTGCCACAGGCAAGGGTGGAGTCGTGGCCTTTGTCCAAGGAGATGTGGTGTGGGTTCAAAACAAAAAGGCCAAGGAAATATGGGAGCCAATGGGCTTGGAGGAGCAGTTGGTAGAACGTGCGGAGGGCCGGTAGATGCTCGCCGGCCATCTTTGTTGCTCATCATAGTGGAGGATTTCCAAACAGCTGTTTTTCATATGGCATAATACCCGTCGACGCGAAATACGAGATCGTGACTGTGTCAGAGTCATCCTGTCCGAGTTACTTTAACTTGTGGCATGCTCACATAACAATGAAACACCTCGGAATTGAACTTTCTGTGTACCATGTATAGTTTAGCCTTCTAAAAGTACGCCTCCATGACCAGGTACATACATGGAGACATGTAGTATATCGTACGGAGTATATCTTGAGACATCAGGGCGTATTGTGTGGATCAACGGCGACTCTCTAGTCACCTCCCGAGGTTGAATTGACAGGCTTTTATTGCCCTGTATTCCCATCCTGTACGATTTTGGAGGCTACCCTACAGTATTCTAGTCGCATTGACTTCATGTGTATCATCTTTGAGACAGAGTTTCTCTGTACCCGTGGACTACCTGAGGCTTACTAATCACTGTATCGCCTGGGCAGGATAATCAATGTTTAATTGGAACAAAGGCGTTTGTAGCGGACAGATATGTTCCAAAACAGCAAGTCCGCTCGGAGTTAGCAGCCTCGGCATATTCGGTCTTTTCACTTTCTCCATTTTTGCCATAGTTGCTTCGGAGATATACCTGACTATTCCATGAATTTTCCGAGATTCAAATGCTTCGACCTAACGACTGATTCACCGTATCTTATCGGTAATACAATCGGATTGAAGGTGTACCCTGGAACCTTGGAAGGTTGTAACAAAGACGGGAGAGCCGCGATAGTTCCGAGCCCTTGTACAATAGCTCTGACCAACCAGCGCTCAACCTGGGCGCCACAGTGGAGATATGCCGGATCTCAATGGAGCACAAAAATGTGGATCGGCCAATGCAGCCAATCACCTGCCAGACAAAGGTCATCATCGCCAGTGTCGCCAATCGCAGCGGTTGGATTTGCAGTGGCCAGCTGCCACTTCTCGCCAAAATGAACAACAAAGCTCTGGCCCTCACACCTCCTAGACCTTCTCGACTCGCAAAGCTGACCTTTGACAACCCTGTGATTGGCCCCAGGCCCCTCTTTGGCGAATAAGCATCTATGATTTCCCTGTTTGACTTGCAGAAACTGTGGGCTTGGGTAAAATTTTTCTCCTCATAGGTGTCTGAGTTGCTGAGACTAGTCAAAGTCGGTGGGACTGTAAATGTTTAAAGGGAGGCCAATGTGGCCGGTCTTTGTAGAGGCCTCCATTATTCTTTTTCTCAAGCTTCGTTTCATAGTCTTTGTTGATATCCGTCCTAAGACTCAAATTCAAGACACCCATTCTGAACTCTTCGATCGGGGTACAAGAAGCGCAATTCCTTTTTGGATATATCTCCTATTGCTTTATATTTTGCCTCTCGCCGCCTTGTAATTGAGTGCATATTTGCTGGCCGGTATCAAACCTCGGAGATAACGAGGCTCGGAGATAACGAAGACTATATTGTGGTTGCAACTCTTCGAGAGAAAAAAAACATCAACATGGCATTCCTTTTCATCAAGCAGAAGCTCTTCCCAACCAAGGGATCAGACAAGATGGATACAGGTAAGCAGAGTTGGGAAAGAAGATACCTGACGTGGGCATATACTAAACGAGCATCTCAACTTCAGGCAAACGCCTTCTCACCCGCATGGACGACGATGACACCATCCGCGGTGACCCCTCCGACCAAGACCTCGAGTCTCAAAGCGGCCGCTCCTATGATACCTTCGGACGGTGCAACAGCCACGACGAATCAACAGCCACAATGATGAGCAGCAGCAGCAGCACACGCGCACGCATCAACCCGCGCATCGTCTCAGATGCTATTCTCGGCCTCTCGGATGGCCTGACCGTACCATTCGCCCTGAGCGCAGGTCTCTCCGCACTGGGAAACACAAAGGTGGTCGTATTAGGCGGACTCGCCGAGCTGGCAGCCGGAGCCATCTCCATGGGACTTGGTGGATACGTTGGCGCAAAGAGTGAAGCGTAAGCCAGCTACTGAAAATCGATAAAAAATTTGCAGCAGTCTAACAGGATTATCAGGGAATCATATGAAGCCACCGTCCGAGAAACACAACACTTGATCGAAACAGACCCGCAAGAGACCAATGCCATGGTGCACGAAACATTCTCTCCGTACGGTCTCTCCGACTCGGCAATCGCAGATATCACACAAGACTTGCATGCATCTAAAGACCGGCTTCTCGAGTTCCTGCTTGCTTTCCACCACCGCGAGGCTGCGCCCGATTGTAATCAGGCCTGGACCTCGGCGATCACGCTCGCGCTGGGCTATTTCATTGGCGGGTTCATTCCGCTGATCCCGTACTTCATTGTCACGCAAGTCATGGTTGCTCTGTACTGGAGTATCGGTGTCATGGCGATTACCTTGCTTGTGTTTGGGTATGTCAAGACCTGTGTTGTGCGCGGCTGGTCTGGCCGGGCCAATATAATGGCTGGTATTTGGGGTGGAGTCCAGATGTGTTGCGTCGGAGGTGTCGCTGCGGGTGCTGCGATCGGACTGGTTCAGTTGATTGATACTGGCAGTGTTTAACGATCTGATGACAGCACCGGTCGAGGTGATGTTTCTGTTGCGTTGAGCGATGCATTGCAACAAGCCGGAGTTTTTGATTTCTCTCTACTCATACCACTGGGGTTTTATTCGGGATTGACTCGCTTGCGAGTTGATCAAAGAGGCGTTTTCGGAAAAGCTTTCAAATAGCTACATGATACCTGAGTACAATATGAATGAAACGTAATTTATGTCACAATTCCAAGACAATATCAACTTCTATGAGTTTAGATAAGAAAAGGCACTATTAGTCCCTTACATGAGCGGATATCACACACGAGAAAAGGTATAAGACAAGAAGAAAAGATGCATGTAATTAATATGAAGAATCATCCGTTCAGAGCAACGCCAACCAACCTCTTCGCCTTATCCGACAACTCAATCTTCAAAGCCTCCTCCCTTCCTCGCTCAGACATCTTCCCCCAAGTCTTCCTCAAAATACCCACCATCTTCTCCTCATCTGCAAGCTCCGCCTCAAACTTATCAAACTGATCATCCAAAAACACAAGACAAGCAACATCCTCCAAAGTCTGCGTATCAGGATCTCCCTGCTTAAGATCCGCCTTGCGCACCAGCGCCCCAACCCTCGCCGCCTCCTCCGCCGAATACCCGCTCTCAACACAGATCTGCTCAACCAGCGCAGCCTGTCGCTTCTGCAGTCCTGAGCGCCACGAATGGTATCCGATCTTCGTGGCGGGGTAGCTGTCCCGCGGCACTTCCCAGCGGCGGAGGTGTTGAGCGCGGATTGCGAGACGAAGAAGCTCTGGTGCTGACGGGTTCAGGGTTGAGAGGTAGCTGGTCATTTTTTGGGCATAGTGTAGTTCGTAGGGGATTGTGCCTGTCGCTGTTTGAGCTTGGCGGGGGTCATCGGCGTGCGCTGCATCGATGCGCTCAAGCGCTGTTTCGTATTTGGTCATTTTTGTGGGTGGATGTAAAGTATTATTATAAGCAGGTTATGGAGGAGTGTGTAGACTGTTCCCGGAAGTACAGGATTGGGATCAGAGGCTTGGGGTTACGCCTGACAGCTGTTGGAGTTGATATGCGGGCGTGGATAAGAATAAGAGCTAATCCTGGATAGGCTAGTGTCGGTAGTTAACTGGACGACTCTAATTGGATGAGGGGAGTATACACTCGCAGAGTCCCCGATGGAGGTTGTTTCGTCTTAATATGGATTGCTATTATGTATATAAACTGAGTAAAGAAGAGCTCGAAATCTATTAAGAAGTATCAAATTCAAATTAGCACCACAAGACACGGGTGTATAAGCTCTACATATCTATGGGATGTGTTATTTCACAATTCGCACACATGGCAAGAGAAACCACCTAGTTAACATCAGTATCCGGCCTGCTGGGATTAGCCTGCGAGGAACTGTTCAGAGTCGGGACCGAGCACTGTCGTAATTACAACAAGTAGCAGCAACAAAATTACAGTCGCGGTGATGAGCTCCCCTTTTCTGGGAAAGCGATAATCTCCTGCGAAACTTCCGAGGAAGGCGTCTCCACTTGGTACTCCTTCTTCTTTTCGAAGATAAGAGCAACCTCCTCCAGAGACAGCCCTTTAGTCTCCGGGAAGAGGAACCAGATCGTTACCATGAAAATCACAAGACAACCCAGGTAGACAATGAAGTATCTCCATTGGATCGCCGCAAATGCCACCGGGTTGATGTACTGGTTGAAAAAGCAAGCCATCGAATCGGTTGTCAGTGTGATGGCAAGACCCTTGGCGCGGAGTTGGAAGGGAAGGATTTCAGCTGGGTATGCAATAAACAATGGCATATAGGCCATATCGTAAGCGCTGCAGAAGAGGAAAAGCATAGGAACCACCGCAATGCCAGCTTGCAGCACATGAAGCTCTTGGAAGAGGCCTGACATGGCCGTCGCGGCGGATAGATAGACCATCATCAAGCCCGTCGCGATTAGCCAGAGTTTGCGTCGGCCGTACCGGTCTGCGGCCATTGCTCCGCCGACTGCGAATGCCAGGTTCCAGAACTGCAAGCTGATATTGATAGCGGCCTGGTGAGATGCGTTGTATATACCGACTGATTCCAGGATCGGTGCTAGATAGTAAGAGACCACGCCTGTAAGAGAAAACGGTTAGTGCTCGGGTTAAAAGCAAGATCTTGTTTTTTTTCTTTCAGTTCCTGCGTACCATTTCCAGACCACTCTTGCATGAAGCCGAGAATCACGCAAATCGAAACACGATGCATGTTGGCGCGATTCGCAAAGAACGAGCTCCAGCGTCGGCAGCTGGGATCGGATTCCGCATCGATGCTCTTGCAAATCTGGTAGAATTCATCCTGGACGAGCTCATCGTTCTCATCTCCATTTGAGTGATATTTCGCCAGAATAGCCATTCCCTCCTCTTTCCGGCCCCGGGAGACCAACCATCTCGGACTCTCAGGAACAAAGCAGAGCCCAATCAATTGGAGGATCGGATAAAACACTTGCGTTAGACAGGGGAGCTTCCATGACCAGTTCCCCACAAGTGCGAGTCCTGCAAAGCCGATCATAGCCGATGTAATCGATCCGATGAACCAAAGCGCATTGTAAAGACCTGTGAAGGCCTGTCGCTGGCGGGGATGTGTCGATTCAGTAATGAGCAATGGCGCAGCAGTTTGCGAGACTCCGACTCCCATTCCAGCAAGAATGCGCGCACCGAAGAAAACCCAATGGTTCGTCGTGGCGATTTGGATGATCGAGGCGATGATCACTAACGTGGCGCCGATGAGAACGCAGATCTTCCGACCCAGATTATCGGCGATGTAAGATCCGGGGATGAATGCGCTAAAAGAACCCAGTGAGACAGCTGCGATGATAAGACCTTTCGCATTGGTGTCGAGATCATCCAAGAAATTCGAGACTATATCTCTGGTCAGTTCTCCGTCACCCATGAAGTATAGAGATATCTTACATTCGGGAAGCACCAGCAGACCATTGATCATGCTAGCACAGTATCCGGCTGTAGCCGAGGCAGACAGCATAAACCCAATCCCCAGATTTAGTCTCCGCAATCCTGGATCCTTCATCCAGTTGCTGTGGGTGTTATTCTGCAAGACCTTGGAGGCCATGATTGTCGATATGCTGCAAGACAGTGAGGCTTGTGAATTAATCTTCCGAGCCTTCAAAACCGAGCTGTCAAGCTCTTTTTATTTCAGCATTCGAGATTTAATTGTTAAACAAAACCTCCGAACGGTAATTCGTCCCAACATTCCTCGGAATTTTCCAGGATTTGAGCTCCCCGGGCAAGGTTACAGCTGTAGCTAAGGAGTTGGAATGTAGGGGGGAGTCAAATGATGAGATCACCGGATAATACTCCTTAAGTTGTTATTCTTCTACGAGCTCTGATGGAACACGACTGTCAACATGCCTGGAAGAGCATCACCATTGGAGGAAAACCTCCCAAGGCCTTGGGAAGCTCGGATGCTCCAAGAATGTTCATAGCTCTCATAGTTCTCCTCCCTCACGTTTGTCCAGGGAGATCGCTACCATAGTTGCCTAAGCCTAGCTTGATATTTTGAGCTATAGCTCTCCTATGGATGCCCTTGATTATTCGATTCGCGTCAGATCGACTGCAAATGCGTAGGGAGCTTGTCTCTGGGGAAACGCTTCAATCTCTGCTCCGGAGAAATGATAGGGAAGAAAAAGTTTCCATTTCTTTCGATTGCTGTCTCTTGAGTCAGTCTGGTATAGTTGTACCTAAGTAACGTCACTTGATATCCCACAAAGTTTGATCTGAGATGATCTGGAATAACGAAGTCATAACGGCATGGAATGATAGTACAGAGCTTCTGACGCGGACAGCTTCATGCCACCAATCGGAAAGCTCGCCAGACAATCTCTGTGGCTTATGCCTCCCCCTACCTACAGATACACGGCAGATCCATGTCAATAAACTTTCCTGGGATGTAATATGACGATTCAGACCGGTCAATTGCTCATCCTGAAGGGCGATGGATGTCACGGATAGCATCGGGAATATTTCCCTTGATCCTCGCAGGATGGCCTTGCAACTCTAGGGTTCTTGCTGAGGTATTCATTCTTGAGATGACATCCTTTTCGCGGGGTGTTGATCAGGACATCGGCAACTAGGTGCATGTAGCCAATGTGATCACCGAGTTAGGGCTTCGGGTCAAGTTTATTTTGGTTCCACCGACGTAACCAGGAACCCTGCAACCTTAGCGCCCACCTCGGGGTAACCCCCGTGGAGATACCCCGTACTTAGTTATTACCTACCTAGGTAGGTAGGCATTCAGGCTGGTCACATAGATCCCAAATAGTCATACTATGATGTATGATATTGAGTAATATAGTTCATGCCAAGATACCCCAGTTCTCCTTGATCTACTCTGTACTCCGTGCCTCATTCCACGTAGCTTACTCAGATATATGTTCTAGAGCAATTGCATAGAGCTGGTCTGGAACAACCCACCCGAGGATAGCTCGTTGAGGGGATATACTGATCTATAATATATAATCTATAATCTATGCGGACATCTATGAAAATTGAACTCCAAGACTTGACCATTTGCTCCTTATTACAAGTACTAGAGATATTTTCTTTATAATTGTCTCAATATCATTAGGGTCCCTCTATCATTTCGCCTCACCAGCTTGGATGAAGTAAGATGTTATGCGCACCTGGGTACCATGAGTCTTGCCACGGGACTTTGGTCTGGAATGCTCAACCTTCCCCAACCTTTCCACAACCAGAGAAAGTTCCCAACCCCATATTACGTCAATGCTTGGGTTGAATGAACTAGGAAAAATCCCGCAAGATCGGCTACAGTCTCAAGGTGTAGATGGTGTTCGAGTATTGAATCTCTGTCTAACCAACCTCAGATCGTACCTAGGTATGCAGATTTGTATCTCCTTCAAGTTACGCGTACGCTGTATGTCGATCTTCCACATTCGGACAATTTATAGAGCCACAGGGCCAGAAGTAAGTAAACATCCAAATAATATCTAATCAACAGTCTCGTTAATGCCAAAAAAAGTCCTCCCATGCTAGTATCCAGTGACCCTTTGGTATCAAACATAAAAGAGCAATCTGTGGTATAACCGATTCCCAATCCAAAACCCGACGCCCATCACATATCGAACCAGAATCAAACATCAACTGCCCTCTTCCTAGTAGTGAAAAACATCCCATACGGCTTAACAGTAAAAGCACCATTGAAGTTCTTCCCTTCCATATCAAATGTATACCCCTTATCCGCCAACCCAAAGTCAACATCCCTCAGAATGCGAACGAGCACATGCAGCGACCAGTCCCAAGCATACCGCTTACCGTAACATTCGCGCTTCCCGTTTCCGAAGCCCTTCTTTACACCAACGGGCAGCCGGTCAAAGGCTTCGCCGAGCATGCGTTCGGGCTTGAAGGCATTGGGATCGTCAAAGATAGCCGGGTCTCGATTGACCGCCGACAGAATTACGATCAGGGTCTGGGTCTTGGGGATCTCGTACTCTCCACCTCCGAGCAGGACAGGAGCATCGGTGGGCAGCGGCTCGATGTTGAATCCTGGGGCTGGGGCGCAGAGGCGGAAGGATTCGCGGAGGATGGCCTCGCAATAGGGTAACTGCGAGAGATGGGAGTGTTCAAGCTGACCGGAGGGGCCGAGGAGGGTGTCGATCTCCTCGCGAGCCCGGGTGATTGTTTCTGGGTTTTTGGTTAGATAGTATAAAGTGAACGAGACGAGGTTTGGAGTCGTAGCACTGCCAATGAGGATGTTGATTATCTCGTCGACGATACGGCTGTCTGGAAGGGATTCGCCGGTTTGGGGATCCTTTTCGTATAGTAGAGCGTGGAATAAGTCCCTCTTTTCTATGGGGTTCTCGCGCCGATGAGCAATTGCCCGGGCGCAATAGTCGCGACAGGTCTTGATGTCCTTGTCGAAGGTGCTCTGGTAGAGTAGCTTGGTGAGAAGCTTGGGTCGCGTGGGTCGACGTGCGGCTTCAAAGGTTGTGTCTGACATGGCTTTGATGACAGTGGGTTCTTTGCCAAGGACACAGTCTACGTGCTGACTGAAGAAGCATTGCATGTTGGCGGCGTGGTTGAGTCGGTCCAGGTCATTAACGATATCCACGTGCTGATGGATGCCATCTGAGGTCCATTTTTTGATCAAATCATCTGTTGTGAGTTGGATGTCCTGATGCATTTGCTTGACGGCTTCGGGTAATACGAATGGAGCCATGATACGATGCGCTATACCCCAGCTCTCCTCGTTGTCGAATGCGGTAAAGAGGCTGTCATGAGCAAGGCTGCGGATCTCGACAATTGGGCCGGTGATACATTTTCGGAAGCGTCTCTCATCGCAAATTTCCTCGATAAGAGCCGCGTTTGTAATGAAGACGAGTTGTTTGCCAAGGATTTTGACCTTGAAGATACCAGCGCCGCCATGTTCTGCTGCGAGCTTGTTCAAAGAAGCCCAGGTGTTCCCTGGGATCATATCAAAGAGATTTCCCAGAATGGGAAGTCCCCGGGGTTGAGGAATTGGGGAAGGCATGATGTCTACTCCGTACAGGCCAGAGATAATTAAGTTGAGAATATGGGAAGATGAAGGAGTGTCGGCTCTTTAAAGCGTCTGCACGTCCACCGCGAGGACTGCATGAGCCAGGAGATCGCCGCACCTTTTGGTGCCACCTGATTAAAGTGTCAGCAGTATAAATGATCCATCATTTCATGTTCAACCAGCTGAGAGCCTATGTATAACTCGGCCAATGAGGGTTGGGAACGAGATCGGCAGTACTTCTTCACGAGGTCATGCATTAGCCCCCGAAATAGGCAGAGGCGCCCTTTTGTTATGTGATATGACGCAAGTCTTTTGGTCCTGCTGCAGAAAGGAAACTAGCTTTGCCCCTTCTTTCTCGTTGCTTTTTTATGACTCAGGCAAATGACCTCAGAGGCAAAGGCATGTGGCCAAGAGAAGTTGACTTCGCCAGGTTGCCATTGGTGTGTTCTTCTATACCCCAACCTTAAGCCAGAAGGCCGCCATTCTTGACTATATATATCGAGGCAAATATGTACATCTGATCACTTCTCAGACTATCTATGCGGGGTTATTTACGTATGATTTGCTAAGGCCAATCTGAAGATTGATACCCAACTACTCCGTACATAGATCTAGTTTAGTGCTCAGTGCAGACATGGCTGATTTAGATCTGGGCTGCATATTCAGCTCATTTACGGAGTACTCCGCACAAGTACAACCTCTACAGGAAGAGGAAAATTAGAAAGGAGTGACTACCAGAAACCTAGCGCCAAATAAATAGAACCATCGCTAGGGTGATATGTCGAGACTCTTCGGATCAGCGTAATGAGGTATATCCGTCGAGGCCAGAGCCTTAACTGCGGAAATAGGATAGGACGGAAGCCTCTATCTAGGAGAGTTGTACAAATATGTCCTCTCAGCCAGTACTTCCACGGAGCGATATCACTTCATGAAAATTGTCTCAAATTTCCCCCAAGCCTGTCGCCGATATAAAGTACGAGTATTCTCCACAACCCCATCTACCCTCCTTGTCTCTTTGACTCAATACTAGTCATGGAAACAAAGCTCATCTAACATTAACCATTATCAAATCCAAGACAGAAACAACACCACGCCCAATCAGTAACCAACCTGAAAACATAGCCAATCGAGAACACTCGTGCAATGACGCTTGGGCAACCTTCCGATGTCGCGGTCCGAGAGACGCTCCAATACGGGCGCGGCGCTGTGTGATTGGTGAATACTGGGGTTCTTACTTTGAAATTTACGTACCCCGTAGGCATTAGAGAGCGCGCGCTCAGGTTGTTTTGATGTGGCTGGCTGGGAAGGGAGATTCGGTTTACTCGGTGTTGAGGGGGTCGGGGTTGTTTTGATATTTGATATCTTTTCCTGTCGAATCTGGCAAAAGGATATATGGTTGTTGAAGTCAAGGTCAACTCTTTCACTATGCAATGGTGCGACTATTTGGTGATACGACATGAGCTACAACCTGCACCTGGAAGGCAGGTTCTACTGGAGAAAGAAATGGCTTGCCATCTATTAAATCGATTGACTAGCTCTTCAGCCGCACTTGTCTCGTCATCGCAGAATAATATCTCCACGCTGCCAAGGACAAGGCTTTGAAGACTGATGAATGTTTTGAGAAAAATGTAAGGGAGTGGTCATGCACACTCCCTATGATCATTGATGAGCACAGTGGACCACCTAGGTCTGCGCAGTAGAAGAATCATGGAAAGAAGCTGAAAGCAGAAGATATCGTCTGCAGAAAAAAAAAGCAAAAAAAAAAAAAAAAAAAAAAAGCCAGCGAACCATTACTGCAGTGAAGATCTCGAAAAGCTGTGCGCGAGATCGTAAAAAAAAGAAAACAACAGAGAAAGAAGAACGAGGGGAGAAAACAAAGCTTACGAGGTAAAAGCAATTGATCATATCCACTTTGGAATACTTTGTTTCCCGCCTGCCATAACGCCGTCCGATTGATGAAGCCGGGTATATCCAGCACCGTGATGCAACATGTACTGAGAATGAAAAAGAGATCAAGGGAGGTGCTCAAACTCGGCAGTGGATTCCCATGCCTTGAACAAGACTCGGATGTGCCTCCACCTCCCAGGTTAAGACGGGCAAGATTGGGTTTTCATCGAAAAAAAAAGAGAAACAGAAACAGCTTTTTGGTTGATTTGAAAGGATCATAGAACCCATTTCGTCATCTGGCCCCAATGCCGAACATGCCTACCCCGTAGCTACCGCTTCTTTCAGACATGGGGGTTGACACCTTAGCAACGTGGTCCTGATTGATTGAGTCAGTATTGGTTCAGACGACCAGTCGACATCTTCAAGAATTACCTTCTTGCGTTTCTTCTTCCCAGTTCCCTCGCCGTTCGAGTAGAAGCCGGGGTCATCATCATCATCCACAAACCCTTCGCCATAGCCAGCAAAGCTGTTGTCATCGTAATGTCTCTTGCGACCTCTGCTAGGTCGGGGACGCTCTGCTTCCTGCGCTTGTGGAGACGGGGCATAGGATTGAGTAGAGGGGCGACCAGTTGGGATTGGGGCACCCTTCTTGCTAGTCTCACCGGGTGCTGGATGCTTCGCCGGCTTTTCGTGACCAAGTATATCCTCCCAGAAATCGTTATTGGGAACCGGTCCTGGTTCCATTTGCATAGCGCGTGATTGAAGACTTTGTAGCGCCGAGTCCATATCTGAGACCTTGATGGCCTTGCCATGCACCTTCTGATTTTGCCATTCCTCCTCGGGCCAGAGAGTCATATGTCTGAGACTGCCCGGAGCGCCAATTTCCTGCTTTGTAGACTTGTTCCGACCTGCGAGTCCCAGCCCCTTCAGCTTTCCTTCATATGACTTCCTGAGGCGGTTGATTTTCTCTCCCGTCACTGGATCTATGCGTGCTACCGAGTGCGCGATTGGTCCCAAACCGTAGAGAGAAACAAGATCCACCGTAGGATCTGGGCCAGTAACGATCGGAGCTGTGGAGGAGTAAAAAGCAGTGTTAACAACTTCAATTCCCAGAATATGCAAGGTCAGTGCATTCACACAGCTGCCCATAGAGGAGGCTGTGATTCAGTGTGGGAGGCCTTACCACTCTTGCACAGATGAAACGCTGATGTTAGCTCTTTCTGAAGAGAATCTAAACTGAAAGTGACGTCTGGGCGGCGGAGAGGCTTTGTATCCACATCCATAGCATCGTGGTCTGCCGAGTTCTGGGCCTGCCCGGTGGCAAAACCGTCAGTGTTGTCTGTTTGGGAAGACTGCCGATCGTGGTCGGTCGGTCTGTGTTGTGTTGATTGCTGAGCGGGACCTACTCCCGAGTTTTTTGCCGAGTCCTGGGTCTCCATATTGAAGGATTTTCCTTCAAGATCCATATCCTCCGCCGAAGTCGCATTCGCAGGATGCTCGCTGACGCTGCTGGCAGGTGTGGGGAAGGAATTTGTTGTGCTCATTGCGGGCTGTTGAGAGACTTGAGTAGACATTGGCGCAGAAGATGGAGGGGAGGAGATGTTGGGTGGTTGGACCGTCGCCTGATTCGGTGATGTATGCGAGGATGTGAAGTTGTCGGCATGACTTTGATCGCTAACCGACATCAACGGAGGGGATGTCGGTGTCTGGGGAATGTGGTCCGTAGAGATGGCCACCCGATGGTTCTCTTTCAGAGAGCCGGCCGCGGGCGAGGAAGGTGAAGGGGGTGTTGTTTGGAAGGATGTGGAGTAAATGCGATCAGACATGAGAGCCCGAGGAAAAGTTCAGCATGCAGAAACGGTATTGACCAGAGCGGCTCTGGATCCGAATCGCAAACTTTGATAGTGCTTGGAGAGGGGGGTCCCGTTCACGATCGACGGTCGCTCAAGCAAGCAAGCAGGACATTCAACGGGCTGCCTGGATCATCTGCATGCCAAAAGAACCGAATTTAAATCCAAGGAGTGGTAAGAATTGGGTGGCTGATAGGTGGCTGTGGTGAGTGAGGGTGAATGATGGAGACAATCCTGTGGTCAAAGCCGGCCAGGATGACGGCGAATTGAGGCAGACACGTGACCGGTCTTGGCCGGATGTACTACTTTATTTGGAACCCGCATTGTACATCCTTTTGATTCATGTTTTGTATTGACGCTTTCATTGTTCTTTCCTTTATTTATTTGCGATGAAAAGGAATCTCTCAATTTCAGGTCCAAATCATTCATCAAAGCAACGCTTGAACAATTCAATTTGAGTGGCAAAGAACATTGCTCCCAAGGTTTGACGCCCTAAATGGGCCTTTCTCAACCTTACCGGTCTCGCCCAGCCTAGTATTTACCGACATGAGCAGCGGCTTGGTGAGATGATTGTCTTCCCCGCCTCCCCCTCCCCCCGACTTCTCTTCTTTTCTTTGTTTTTGAACGACATACATATACGGAGTACCTAGCTACTGCCCCTTGACCTCGTACACCAATGTACACCACCGCATGGAGGTCAAATTATACGGCACTCTACGGATGCCGGGTGGCGGACTGCGGGTCTACTTTACCTTTATTATGGCCCCCAAACTGCGAGATCATGAATAAGGCATATAACAAAGTTTGAAACAATCAAAAGTGGTATCTCTTTTACTGAATGACTAATTGCCCCGGAGGGGCAAGAAACAAAGTCAGGTGGGCGTCTAGAAGAATTTTCTCTCGGCATGGGCGACCTCTAGCCCCGTTGGTAACATGACCATTAAGGAAGACATTTGATTTGAAAGATGTCAGAAGATGAGTCAGTTCAAGCCAAGATAGCAGGTAGATATCAGGAATCAAAGGAGAAAAGCACCTGGAAGATCAGTACAAAATGATCTCTGAGCAAGGAGAACCAATTGCATTACAGCCTCATGACTGATAGAAAGCATTATATTCATGTGCCAGATGAGAAGACACATCAGGTATATCGTGTTCGAGGGAGGCCAGAAGCTCGATTTGATCTTGTTGACTGAGGGTACGCTCACGCCATGAAGGCATCGGGAACGGCTCATTGAAGAACTGAGAGTACTGGTCTCCAAGGGGGTTCGCCCAATTAATGGGGTCGACAGTCGCACCAACATATGCTAGGTGACCCGCAGTGGTTGAGGCAAGTGAAAAGTTGGGATCCCAGCCTTGCAGGCCGGGAACAACCGAAGGGATCGTGTTATAAGGGGTGTTGGGGTCGATTGACACGTCAGGGTAGAGCGCTGTCGGTCCAATATAGGCTTCGGATGTATAATGCGTTGCCATATTTTGGGTCGTGAGCGATGACTGTATGTCAGAGGCAGAGGAAACCGACGGCATGTGTAGTTGTTTTGACGGTCCAGATGCTACTGCAGGCGGTGTTGATTCTTGGGCAAACGTAGGATCCGCAGATTGCCCCCTGGAAAAAGTACCGTTTGAGGCAGTGTCGCCAATGGATAGATTCCCACCACGGTGATTATGGGAGTAATATGAGGCAGTTGTAGTGCTTGACGGACTGGACATCGGCGGTGGAGTCATAATCCCTTGTGAGGAGGTCGGTGTCGGATGGTTAGAGGGTGAGTGCACAACGAATGATTCTTCCGTTCTATAGGCCTTCAAGCACGCAGCAATAAGACGCTTGTATAGAAGGAAGGCGGATTGAACACCAGGCCAACGTTCAGCAGAGAAGACGACCACTTCAAGAGCCGTATCCAGATGGCCTTGTACTTCCTCGATGGTGTGCTCCTTGCGGATTTCAGGATATGAGAGGGTCCAAAGGACAGTGTTTAAGACCATAAAAAGTGATTGTACAAATATCCATGTAAGATCAACAGACCCGGAGATCATCTGTGCCTTGTGCATGGCGATGTTAGAGGTGGCTGCATCGTAACAGATTTTCGCAGCATGGACGGTTGGCTCGGGAATTTGTGGCGAGGGACGATACAGGAGAATAATGATCCCGTTGTGTCTCCCTTGGAACCTGCAGTCAGAGATATTGTCAGTGAAATGGCATTTTCAGCCGATAGAACTACCAACGTACCATGCCACATTCGTGCCACTGCCATCATCCTTTTTGGGAGTGGTGGCCATCCAGTGGTCTATCTTTCCTAACATTTGAGCAAACCATGGGTCCTGATCGTTAACTGGGACCTCTCGTCTGTTCGCGTATAGCACTCTTCTGGGCTCTAACTGGAGCAGTCGCATTTTGAAGAAGTGGACGGCGGTGCACTTTGCTAAGACAGGTTTCGCTCCCGGAGTTATCCCTTCAGCGGTGATGTACCGGTCGTCCACGAGTTCAAAGAACTTTACATCGATATGCTCATGGCTGAGGGAGTAGCTACTGCATCGGCCCAGAGAATGAGATAGTCCGAACTCCATTGAGGAGACAATCCAAAATAGCCTCCGGCGCATATCAATCTCCAGGGGATTCAATGGCTTTCCACAAGGTGATTTTATCACGGTGGCCTCTTCGATCAATCCCAAGTCTTGTGCAAGTTTGGCAGCCGTTCCCACCACCCAGTACGCAGCTGTGCGAGTTGGGGTCAACATTGAATATGAAGCAATGAGCACGAGGCATTGAAGGGCCCCGAGGTCCATGCGTTTCAACGTCGGCTCTAGGTAGGGCAAGGCCGCAAGATAATAACTATCAGCGAGACCGGCATACTCTGTACTCATTCTCTGCATACTGATGGCAATGACCATCCGGATCTGGAAGTTTTGACATGGATCTGTGGAGCCATTGAGGACCTCATCTACCTCTTGCCGAAATGTTGGCTCGTGCAGGATGGGGAGTGTTTGTCCTACACAACGCATCAGTCACATGAGCTATAATGGAGGGAGTTTGGGCACAGCCATGTGGGAGTACCTTTGGCCACAAAGAGATCAATCAATTTATAGGTCAGAGCCTGTGGGGGTAGATTCGTTTGCGGTATCGAGCTGATCATGGGATAGACTTTAGATGTCGGCTTCGAGTCTTCTTGTGCAAACGCCTCTTTGATTTCTTGTGCGGTGAACTCGGGGACCACATCTTTAATGGTTTTTGAATCGGTATTCTGCTTGGCCATCTCCATGACCAAACGGGTCATGGCAATGCCACTCGAGGGACCGAGATATCGCGCCTCGTCGTTCTCCGTGAAGCGGATGCGCCCGGCGCCCCGTACCATCAACTCGGCATCGGCAGCATGTTGGATCTCCTTGGCCGCATTGGCCAGCTCTTTTTCCAGGGCTCGAGCCTTCTCTCTGAGGGACACGATGTAGGTTCGGGGGATGGTAGAGTCTCGAGTTGAATCATAGTATACGCACTTGGCATTGCTTCGCTCGCACGGCGCACACCGTGGAATCCCGGGGTCGCATCTGGACTTTCGCTACACACAAGGTGGGTCAATATGAGACGGCAAAGAGAAGCGACAAATGACAAAACATGGAAAACGAAAGCCAATCGATGCCAAGAGACAGAGTGGCAAAAGTTCGAGGCGGGGGGATCAGAGGTGGGGAGCGATATCCATCATACCTGTCTACATCTCGTGCAAGCCGTTAATGTGTGAGCAATGCGACCGTCCGGTGGCTCCAGGGAGTGTAATTCCGGGGACCTCAGCCCTATGGGAGGGTAATCTGGACTTAGAGTCATGGTGGGCCAAAAGGGTATGAGACAAAAGGGAAGGTCGAGAAAGGTCCGATCACATGCGATTTACAACCCAAGTCCCTTCGCACGAACGGAGATCAACTTGGAGGCAGTCGTCATGATATTGAGGCTCAAGTATCAGGAAGATTTTCTTCAAGACCCCCCAAAAATAGAGTCAAAAAAAAAAGAGAGAGAGAGAGAGACAAAAGAACTGCAATAGAATGGGGCCACCAATACTTTTAAGAGGGGCCTCGGTCCAAATTGGGATCTCCAGGACTTGGGAAACGGGGCTCTTGGAAACGGGGAAATGGGAAGTGGATAAAGCTGAAAAGGAATAATGTTGAATAACGTTGGATGTGCAAGTATGAAACTAGCAGGGGTAGAATACCTCGGGGGTACGGAGTCGAGAGAAGAGAGGATCATCGCCTTTAAGATGGCCCATTTAAAGTGTAACGGTTCAAAGGCTTTGGACCTCCAGTCCGTGCGGTTCCACCGATCTGCCTGGATCTTCTCTTCCTACTCTCTGCTTCCTCATCGCTTGCTCTTAATACTCCGTCCTCCGTCCTCCGTGAATGGGTAATCTGACCCGATCAATCTTACTCGCCAATTGTTTCCGTACCTTAGCTTTGGGGACTAACACCTTCGATTTCGGATGGTCATGTGAGTAATCTCGCCTTTTGGCCCGTTTCGGTCTACTCCAGGGCTGTGGCCGGTGCTCAAGCCCACGGTGGGGTGATGCAGGGGTTCTCCATCCGTGGCCCTCAAATTACTTGCTAAAACTTGTCAGGATAATGAGCAGTCATGTCCGTCACTGTCACAAGTTTCTTGGATAATCCCCTGCTCAAGGTGAGTCGTCCAGTCGCCGCATGCTCAAGATGCCGGACCGCCAAGATCAAATGTGATGGCAAGCTCCCCGCGTGTTCGGCTTGTGAAAGGGTCGGCAAGGCCAGCTCCTGCTCTGGCGCGAGCGATGAATTTGCCAAAGGGAAAGAGAGGAGTTATGTCGCGTCATTAGAGGGATACTGCGAGAAACTCGAGAAAAAGATCAGTCAGTTACGCGACCGGTCAACTACCCTGTCTGCGGAGGGAGATGGAGTCGCCCGGGAGATGTCAATCACCTCAATCTCAGCCGAAGGTCCATTGGGCCCTGCCCACCGCAGGGAGGTGTCGGATATTGATGATTTAGTTGGCGATTTTGGTTTCTTGTTGGTACCTGCCAAAAAATACCTGTGACCTCGCTTACCTTTTTTCAAAGGTCGGTCAATGCCACTTCGCGAGACTTCCACGGCATCACCTCGAGCACTTCCTTCGCCAACCTCCTTCTCTCAGTCGCCCTAGCCGATTCCTCCCCGCCTTCTCCTTCATATTCATTGCCTGCGCGCCATGAAGCCACCCCGTTGCTACAATACTACTTCGATAATGTCTTTGTCCAGCTGCCGTTCTTTGTTGAAACGAGCTTCTGGACGTCGGTAGATGCTGTGTACCAGTCCGGCGGCCGGTTCGCCAAACCTTTCGACCATTGGATGCTGCGCATGGTTCTCGCCATCGCCTCCGCATCAGTGTCATACCATAACAATGATAAAAGCCACCAAAGGGCATGGGCCCTTGTGTCAGAGGCCCTGACATACGCCGAGGAAGTCCTTCGTCCCGGATCAATTGCTGGGATCCAAGCGATCCTATTCCTTGCTCAATATTCTCTGGTCGACCCAGCACGCTTCCGGTGTTGGCATCTGGTCGGAATGGCTGTCAAGGTTGCGATCGATCTAGGATTGCATCAGGATCCCCCTGCTGAGGTTACGACCAATGCCGATCGACTAGATATTCGCCGGCGTGTGTTCCATTGCATCTATTGTCTAGACAGGTACCGTTTCTATTGCTTTCTCCAGTCATCAATCCCCTTGCTAATCTTTTCCATAGAGGACTGAGTACTACTATGCGGAGAACGTTCTCGTTCTCCGATGCATCTGTGAATGTTGCATTGCCATCGACCACCACATCATCAGGATTCCCAATAGAACAGGGCCACATCTTCCTACGCAGTCCAGCACCTGCTTTACATATCGTTAAGATCCGACAGATCCTATCTGCGGGCTATCAAGAAATGCATTATAATGGGCGCGATCCATCTCCACAGCCACTGGTCCTCGTTTGGACATTATGCTGGCGAGCACGGGACTGGTTCGATCAATGCCCCAAGAATACCCCCAACCACTTCTCCCTCTTATACCGACTCGAATTATTATATACTATCATTATTCTGCTATCTCCTTCGCATCGGAACCCAACACTTCACGGATACAACAAGGCTCTCCTTTTCGACCGATGCATGGACTACATCAGCCAAATCCACCAGGTCCTGGAAAATCCCAGTGCGCTGCCTTTCCTGACCTACCTGGATATCCAGCGCGTTCACCAAGTGGGTCGATTATTTGTCAATGTTCTGTCCGACAGTTACGACCAACTCATCAGCGCGACCGTTCCAGCACCCCCGTCCGTCCCCGCTGGAACCCCCGACCCGCCAGTACTTGCTGCACAGGATTTGTTCAATTGCCGTGCTCGTGCCATTCGTTGTCTCTCCTACATCCGTGACTTACTCAAATTCTGTGCCAGGAAGTGGGACCTGCACGCACATCTCGAACAATTCGAGATTGAGTCTGCATCGGTCGAGAAAACTCTGATGGATGGCTCGGTAGGATATTTGTTGAACCAAGGGATGTATGCTCAAGACCCGTTATCGGGGCTGCCGCTGGCCGGCGATGCATACTCGGGATACCATATTGGGCTGTGATATGATTTGCTTGTGTAAGCGGCTGGAGACTCGTGAAGTGCTATTTCAAGTTAGTTTTCCTGCTTCTGGTTTAATAGTCTGATACATAACCTCCTGTTAGCCGATCATCCGACTGGGCACCTGGGTGCATGCTAGGTAGAAGGTACCTACATCACATGTACCTATATGTACCTACAGATAACCTTTCAACCCTTGGGAAACCATCTGGGCAGGTTCCAAGAAGGTTCCTGGGAGGTTGTCATCACTGGTTACATACAAGTAGTCAGCAACCCGTCCGCACCGTCCCCGGGGGGCATCCGTAAGTAAGCTACAGATCTCTTATCTTGCAGATGAGGATAGGCTCAATGGGCTCCTGAAGCATCTTGGTCGCAATCCTTGGGTCCGCGTTTTCGAAACAACTCGGGACGGATTTCACCCGGAGACCCCGCGTGAACCACTTGCGTTCCGGGATGGTATGAAAGATGATTTTAGAAGCCTTGCATGTGCCATGTCACATTTCGATCCAGGTAAACGGATTACGGCACGTAGGCGTTGGGACAAATGGTTTGAGGGCTTTCGACCGGGCGTGGTCAAGCTTTCACTCCTTTAAACGAAATATTTGTATGCGCACTGGCGTGGCGTTAAGTAACATGTACCCTGCCACGCAAGCCCAAGTGAGAACATGAGATTACCTGCATAAGCCGCTAGTAATAAATCCTGTTATTTTACAAATGAGTACAATGATGAATCAAATCCTGTACTGATTATGAACTGATTATTCAACCCAAAATCTACCACCCCTAGACTCTCAGGCTTCAGTATAAGCCTCCCTACCCTGTTATCCCATCAGGGGCTTTGCCATCTCCCAGATGCCCCCCAAAAAAGTCACAAGTGGATGTTTATTGTTCCTAAATAGGAAGCCGGTATAGACTGGCAGTTCACTTTAGCTCCTTATAGTATTGGTATTACGGTGAAGCTAGGCTTAAAAAGGCTAATAGCAGAATTAAGTTTAGTGGCTGTTCTCACTTGATCTTGCGTGGCAGGGTATTGCTCTATTAGCCTATCCATAATCGAGCTGCATCGAGTAGTTAAATGGGTATTTTTTGGTCAGTCATGACTCATGTCGTGAGCCTCTGTTTCGTCTGGGTCATACCTATTGTCGCCCATTCAATGATCAGCTATAATAGCGCTTGTAGGACCTGGCTGGATCTTATATCTAGGGTTAGAGCCACGCACTTCTCACGATTCACCGCACTTCCCGCTGGTTCAAGTGGTTGAAGATGAGCTGTATAAATACTACTTTTGTATCGCGTACTACAGTGTAAAATCGGTATACAACCAAGATCTCTTTTAGTATAAAACAGCTAGACATATTTGCTTTGTGATCTACTAGTCATCAACATAAGGTCATCGACTGTTGTATTGGGACATGCTAAGCTATAGAATGACGTCCAAAATGGCAAAAAGACAAAAAATTCCTCTGACCCGGGATCGAACCAGGGACCTCAAGATGATCCGAAGATCTTAAGCAGTTACAGTCTTGCGCTCTTCCAGCTGAGCTATCAGAGGATTTGATTGGTTGATCCATTGTGATAGGCAACCATAACCTCCAACTACCAAAATCCCAATCTATTCTCTTGAACAAAACAATCTGGCAGATATTCAGGCTTCTTCTCTTCTTCCAAGGTTGTCTTAATCTATACAAGATAGCTCTCTCGGTCATCCATAGATTCATCAATATAGCTGCCAAGTAGTTTTCCTAACTAAGTACATACTAAAGATCATTTCTTTCGCGGTGCAATACTAAAGAGTGGCGCAGTGCAGATTTCAAGTATACCTCATCTATTTCGTAGAGGCCTGCGCCAGTTAATGGTCTTGCACTTGAGTTTTGTAGAAGAGAGTTTCTAGAAAATGTAATTGTTGTCTTGCTATTCAAATATCGCGCAACTAGCCAATCGACTAAGTCAGTAATTACTGTGCACACCGTAGGGGATGGTGTCGCGAATTTATACTCCGTACTCCCCAACAATCTAGGTCTCGCTCAGTCCATGAAGCTATCCTGTCCAGGCCACGTGGATAGCCCCATGAAGCCCTCTGTTGAGTATGGATATGTTTCGTGCGGACACAGAGTGGACTAGGCTTTGAACTTACGTGTGCAAGTCGACACCTGGTGGATTGGTTTGCGAGAGGATCAACATCAACAAACTAGGTATCGTCATTGTCTATTGCAAAGATTTGGAGGAAGACAACTTTGAATCATCTAAGGTAAACCATGGGAAGCTAGAATGGGCCCGAATTTAAGAAACAAACCATCTTCCCCGCTGTTTGGGAAGAAATATGATTATTGAGCCTATGGACCATGAACTCTGAATCCAGTTGGAATAATGTATATTCTTCCTTTACTTGGAAAAAGAAAACCCAATACCAATACCGCAATAGGTCGCAAAGATCAATAGATCCTGGACCTGGGCCTGTGATGAGAAGAATCAAGATGGTGATAGTCTTCTTGGCCACAAGGATTACCCTAGTCTGAGACGGGATACAAAAGAGACACGTCCTAAGACTATCTGAAGATCGACAGAACTTCCCTCGTTCTGACCGCATAGATAAGTAATGAGAATGTTCGATGCATCATGTAAGTGTGTGCTGTCAAATAGATCCGAGTATTCCCACTTCTGCGCTCTAGCATCTTGTCTAGGTATCACCAACAGCTGTACGGAGTATGTTCTATGCCAAAGAAGGCAGGTCGAATCATATCCGCACGGTAGTAGATCTCGGGATTTGCGAACGCTAGCCGGATTCTCGGAAACCCATATTTGAGAAAGAAGGACGGAGTACGGAGTAAACAAAGAACTCCCCTCTTTGGTGATGTGTGTTGTAGGTGGCATCCGAGTTTTGGTAACACGATCTTGGGTTTCCAATTGCCGATAGTGGCGGACGGTGAGTCCCCTGAAGCGGACGGATCTGCCCAAATAACGTTTTACTATCGGCTGTCCTCCGGTAGATCTTAGCGGCCTTAGCGGCTAATCGATTTGGATCAGCCAATTAAACCCGGATTTTCGGTCATTCGGAGCGTCAAGGGGGAAGGCAAAGTGGAACGGGATCGGGATCATCAGGCACTGAGAAGGGAAAGGGGGTCCCTAGTACTCCGTACGGGGCACGGAATCCCTACTCCGTACGGAGTACAAAGAACAAATAAAGCCATATCCGTTATGGCGTTCAAAGTGGAGATATGTCGGTGACTCGTGGGTTGATTGGCGATATTTTTCCACGCTATTGGACCAGAAAGCCAAATTACAAACTCAACTGTTGCTTTGATTCCCTCGAGTGGGTGGTGGTCCGTAGATTATCCTTTGTTCTAGAGTTTCCATACTAATTTCCGTTGGGATGGCATCGGAACGAGACAAAAAAAAAACAGGTGCGGAGTATGGAGTACTCCGTACGGAGTAGGGCAATAATAATGCAGAGCCTAAGGCTCTGATGTGACAGATCAACCCCTGCCTCAAGTGGGGTTGTCAGAAATCTCAATCAAGGGGTTAACTGCCACAGATATTTGCAACACATATCCGAACAAGACGCTCCAACGTACAAACCCTCATGTCTCAAATGAATCAACTTTGATGATTGAATCCAGTTACCACGGAGCTACTCGGGGGCCGGTGCCCTGGAGAATAAGCTTATACTAGCCCGCGCTAAGGCCCGATTTAAGGAATTTAAGGAACCTTGGATTAAACCTCGGGGTCCCACGCGCCCTAAACATGAGCGTGTAGATCTTAATCTAAACCTCATCTCCGGTCATCTCCGAATTGACAGACTCCAATTCTACTCCGTACTCCATATTCCGTACAGACCCATTGATCCATCCTTGGGATTTCAGGGTTTAGTTTGAGAAATTATTGTTTTTAGGGCTTTGAATTGGAATGGGAACTACCATATCGAATGATATGTCTAAAGCTTCAGCTGCAAGCCCCGGGATTGAAACGGGTTTCCCATGTCTTTCTAAGCTCCCAGCACTCTCCGAAGTAGGAACAGCTCACCATATGCCGTACTGAGAGTGCTGAGTGCGTCGCCGCAGCGGCCTTGGATCTTGACCCAAGGTGGAAAGTAGTCCCATTTGATAGCTCTGTCAGGCCCCATTATCCAAACCCTTGCAGGTGAGATAACCACAACTATGGAGCTGACCCGCCAACTAGGACTCAGCTACCCCATCCACGAGTCATAAATGTTCTGCGCAGAAGCTAGGGACGAGCAAGATTGCATTTGTAGATCATAGTCACTTCACGGCATATAAATACTTCATTTTTCTGCTCTTCTTCTTGTCCCAAGTTCCTCACTCCAGTCTTTCTTTGACCCATTACAATCTCTCCTTCGACTTCTTATATACATCCATTAATTTCATAATGAAGGCCTCTTTGTTCGCCGCCGTCGCCGCTTTGGCCGGCTCTGCTTTCGCTGCTCCCACCCCCCACCTCGGCCTTGACGGCCTCGTCGACGGCCTCAAGATTGGCGATATTACCAAGGAACTTGACCTCAGCGAGCTCCCCGTTCTCTCCAAGCTCGGTGACGCTACCGAGGTTCTGGACCTCCCCTCCACTCCCTCTGCCAGCAGCGTCCCCGATGTCCAGGACGGCCACATCGTCCAGAACCTCGGACCCCAGCTCGACAACATCCTGACTGTTGTCGGCGCTGACGCCAGCACCCTGCTCATCGAGCTCTCCCCCGAGGTTACCGCGCTCGTCTCCGGCCTCGGTCTCGGTGACCTTGGTGTTCCCCTCGGCTCTATTGTCGCCTCTGCCTCCAGCGTCGGTACTCTCGTCGCTGACCTCGGCCCCGTCGTCGATGACCTCGTCACCGTTGTCGGCGCTGATGTCGGTGCTCTCCTCATTCGTCTCTCCCCCGAGGTCGCAGCCCTCGTTTCCGGCCTTGGCCTCCCCAACGTTGGTGTCCCCGTTGGTACCATTGTTGCTACTCCCGGCAAGAACCTCAAGCGCGGCGAGATTGTCCAGGACCTTGCCCCCAAGGTCAAGTCCACCCTGACCGTCACCGGCCAGAACGCCAAGGAGCTCCTCATTGAGCTCTCCCCCTCCGTCACCTCCCTCGTTGCTGGCCTCGGTCTCACCACCATTGCCGGCCCCATTGGCTCCATCGTCGCTGAGGCCGCTAGCGTCGGTGACCTTGTCAGTGACATCTCCGAGCCCATTGGGGATCTCCTCCACATCGTCGGCAATGACGGCAATCACCTCCTCGTTAAGCTGTCTCCTTCCGTCGTTGACCTTGTCGCCGGCCTCGGTCTCCCCACCATCGCCACCCCTCTTGGTGCTATCGTCACCACCGTCGGCGAGAACCTGTAAAGTGCTTACAGGTTGCAGTAGCACTCCGATTGAAGCAGATTGCTTGTCAGAGTGTCATTCTTGATATGCAGCGACGGATAGCGTTTTGAGAGCCTTTCTTTTTCTCCATACATTATTCAGGCGCATATATCACATGTGAAGGCGCCATATGTCTATAATATCTTCAAGATTTCCTTCTGGATTCAGCAATATTTCTCTTGCTGATCAAGGAAAACTATATAATCTAATGTTTGCTTTCTTTATATATTATTTCCGAGTCGATCAATAGCGTATACCGCAACCTATGTAGTTACCAAATTGTAAAAAGAAATGTCAGTTTTGTTCCTGAGAATATGCTTCTGATGGATATCTAGTGAAGCGCCAGAGTATTGACCACGACTCTTCATGGAAGGCATTGAAAATCAGAGGAGATTGTTAAAACGTTGATCATAGTCTTGGTGTGGAAGGTTGCAGACAATGGAGCGTAGCCGATGATAGAAACGACCCTTTTAATAATAATAAATTTTGGTGCATGCAGTAGGTAGCGAGACAAGAAAGAGTATCATCATTCGCATGAACATATCCATACAATTTGCATATCGCGATGGGAGTCGCTACACACCACACCCATACAACGCGGCCTGTCACTTTCTTCGCAGGCGGTCTCGATGCCACTAGGACTGGTGCGTCTCTAGCAGGTTTTCCACGGTATAGCGGCCGATTTGGAATTTTCCATAGTCAACCTGCTGCCCAATTCTCTTATACAATGCCTTCAATGCCTCCCGATCTTCATCATCGCAGTTTGGTGGGTGGAGAATGTCTGGAACGGACATATGTCTATGCACGTTTGCATCGGTTGGAATACATTCCACCCCGTCATAGAAAATCATATACCGTGTTTTCTTCAAGGCAGGCCTAATGTGCATTTCCCTTTCGAATGGCATGTCCCATCCATCCCAGCCCTCGTTGATCCCAAATCCAAAGTGGCAGAGGTGCGGAAGACGTTCCTGAAACGCAACAAAATAATCATACCACCGTCTTGGATAGTCGCATCTAAGCCAGGTGACGACCCTCCCGTTGGGCTCCGTATAGGACATGACGGGTCGCATGTCGGGCCCTGTGCTGCTCCGCCTGTCTGATCTGGTTAATGGATCCAGAGACAGCTGATGTCCCGAGTCCTCTACCGTGATCTGAAACAGGATGGGGCAGTCATCAAGACAGAGCTGCTGGATAGTTGAGTGTGATGTAATCCAGTCCAGTTGCTTGTCTTCAAAAAAGGTGAAGTTGCCAAGAGTGAGCGACGTCAAATTAGGGAAGTGAACTCCCTCCAGTTCAACACGTGGATAAAAGCCCCAAGGCAAGCTGGAGTACAAAGAGAGCTTTCGAAGTGATCCCATCGCGGGCTTAAGCCAGTATGTTGCCAGGGTATGTGTAAAGAACTGATGCGGTTCATCTTTCTATCGGTGACATCGTTAGCTCGGTGCTTATTTGACCATAAGGAGATTGGTTCGAACAGAACTGAGATATGACGCACATGGATCGCCGTTGTTGGATCGAACTCTTCCCTTTCATGCACCGCATTGAGTCTTAAAGACGCCAGCGTACTCAAGACTTGTTTCATCTGCTCTACAATAGCCGCAGGGGGCGGAGCCGTATTTTGAAGGTTCCGGATCGCAAGTTCTTCCAATGGGTGCTGCAAAGACACGAGTGCACCAAAGAGCCATTTCATAGTGATCACACGATAAAGCTCTGTCTGTGGTTTGTCGGCAAACTGGGGATCGACAATACAGTTCTTGTCAAAGCGTAGAACAACACTTTCCAGATTCGGAAGCTCTGATAACAACGGCAACAGCCTTCGCCATTTGCGGGGTGGTACGCTTTCTCCTTCCTCGTCGTAATCCTATTGTTTCGAGGACAGGTCAACTATTGCAATGGATGGTACTGCTATTGATTTGATGCTATTAGTGCTGCCATAGTTCACTCACATAATCCTGCTCCACAGTGTTGAGGTAGATCTTGCGCACGTTATGTTTCAGTCGTGGGTTTGGTATAATAGACTTGAAAGCTTCGCAGCTCTCCTTCTCGTCATACAATGAGACAATACGGAAGAACTCTCTATCGGCATAATCACCTAGTTTCTGGTGGGTTAGCCTCAGGGCCTTGAGAGACTCAAAGTCTAATTGAGACGTAATCAGGGTTAGTAGCTCCACAGGGAGTGCGAGGAATTTTGCCATCGTGTGCCTCTCCTAGGCTTTATCAGCTCAGTAAATACAAGGAAAGTGAATGAATTAAATAGTTTAGGAAGTTCTTGGCGTTCTCTAGGCACCGGCGGGCGATACGAGCTGAGGCTCGGGGCTTTGGCGCTAGTGTCGGGGTCTAAGAGGAGCGTATACAAGTTGCCTGGAGAATACGGAAATGAAACAGCTGGAACTGCATATCCTGGCTCTACATGGCAAATGGACATGCATTATGTTCAATAACCCCATACAAAATTCTGGTCGTTGGTATAAAGACGATGGGGGTGGAGACGGACGAACAGACTATATATCTACATACCCGCCTCTAAACTGCTTTATAGAGTGCGACTGGAAGATGGCTTCGCATTGATTTTCAGCTGCGCTCAGCATGAATTTTCTGGGTACATCAGTTACTTCGAGGCAGAATCCTTTGCCACTAGTGGATTGCAGCTGATAAATGGGTCGATTTCCCGACATCCCACTTTTGTCTTTGTAGACCACCACACCAACACAGGCACCTGGAGACCTCGACCTAACGTACTTCAAGATAACTGACAATGGTACTCGACGCATTGTATCGCATATATGCGGGGTTTATCAACCCACCATCAGCTAGGAAGCGCGATGATGTCATCCGATTCGGCCTCCTCGGTGCGTCCAACATCGCGTAATTATAAACCGTCATATTGTCGTCTCAACACGTCTGACACAGTTGCAGTCCTTATGCCTTGATTGTTCCAGCAAAATCGCACTCCGAGGTTTTGGTTGCCGCAGTCGCAGCCAGAGATCGATCACGCGCGGAGGCGTATGCCAAACAACACAATATCCCCATTGTCCATTCCACATACGAAGGTGTTTACTAGCCCCCATTTCCACCCGTGAACGCCTTTTACAGGGGATTGATTGCAACTGATCTAACACGAAAGAACGCTAGAGCTCCTACAAGACCCATCGATCGACGCGATTTACATCGCGCTCCCGAATGGACTTCACTACGAATGGGCTCTGCGCTCCATCCGCGCCGGCAAACATGTACTACTAGAGAAGCCCTCATGCTCGAATGCCGAAGAGGCACGCGCCTTATTCACGCACCCGCTTCTCAAAGCAGAAAATGCGCCAATTATTCTAGAAGCTTTCCACTACCGTTTTCACCCGGCGTGGCAGACTTTCCTTGCGCGCATACATACCGACCCAGCGGCGGGCCGGGTGAAAAATGCCTTTGTCCAGCAATATCTTGCTAAGGGCATAATAGCGAAAGATGATATCCGGTGGCGTTTCGATCTTGCCGGCGGCGCAATGATGGACTTTGGCACGTATACGATGAACTGTCTACGGCAAATCTTCAAACAAGAGCCCGCTGTGGTGCTTGAGGCAAAATACCGGGGTCTCTCCACCCCGCTGGCTGGGATGCCACAGCCTGATCAAATCGACCAGGCTATGACGGCGAGTTATAAGACCGCCGATGGCGCTAGGGGTATGCTTGTTGCTGATCTGGCTGCATCTGGCGGTTGGCCGGTACTTCCCGATTCGTGGACGAGACACTTTCCGAGTATGAGGTGGCCGAAGTGTGAAGTTGAATTGGAGGAACGCGTACTGGATAGCTCGGAAGGACATGTGCATACCGTGACGCGGAATGTGATCATGTGGAACCATATGGCGCCTAGCATCTACCATCGCATTGATGTGGAGGACACCCACGCGATTCGTGTTGGCGAGCAGGTCGTGAAGACGTGGACAGAGTCAAAGCAAGAGAAGGCGTACAAATGGCCAGTTAGTGACGCGCGAGCTGGTGCTGAGCAGGAGTGGTGGACTACATATCGTTATCAGCTTGATGAGTTTGTCAACAAGGTCAAAGGACGTGAGGGGTCGGGGGTTTGGGTGGATGCAGATGACAGCATCAAGCAGATGGAGGCTGTTGATGAAACCTATCGCAAAGCTGGGCTTCAGGTGCGACCAACAACCAAGTTCGAATTGTAATAATCATCACATATTCTCATATTCTCCACTCTGTATTTGTGCGCAATCAAGTAACAACATGTGCTCAACAGCCAGCTGAGGGCAGTACGGTCTAGAGTGGCAAGACCGGCTGAGCGTTTCCCAGGCACCCATTGAGAATGAACAGATTGGATTGATCTATGGATACTATGAGACATCATAGACTTTATATAGCCTTGTTTGGTCCACAGATTTCATTAGTATCTCAGCTACTACTATGTAAGAAAGTAGGAAGTTACATACTCCGTACATGTACATAATATAGACAGGTATGGATGTACGTAAATTAAGTATGTACTTAAGTAGGTACATATAAGTAAATGACGAGCATGAATATGATATAAGGTGTATGTATGGAGTACCTAGGAGTATCTAGGTACATCATAAGGTATGATGTACCTAATGCACCTGATTTCCTCTGCCACTTCTTGGCGTTCCCTTTCCGGTTTAGCGCCCAGACCTCGCCCCTTTTTGCTCACTGAGCCTCACCTAGCGCTCCACATATCTCACTTATTCCACCAACCATATCCACCCGGTGCTTGTCAACATGCCTGATCCGCTTCCCGAGTTCAGCCCCGCGTGTCCCATCCCGTACATCCTGCAACCCGAAGAGCGAGTGAAACAACTGCAAGCCGTTCTGGACACGGATTCGGACAAGCTCAGAGAGTGAACATCGAAGCCCTCATTCACCTATACGAGATTGGCGATCTCGGACCACGCCAGCGAACCGATCCCCCTGTTTACATGGTTGATGGAGTTCGCGTTGAAAAGGACCCATGGCAAGATAAATCGGTGCCGGCTCACGCATTGAGATGGTGTGAGGCATGTTATCTAACATCCATATTATTCTGGCTTATACTAATAATATCTTTAAGACATTGTTCTACCAGCAGATGACCCAGCAAACTACGTACCAGGCAAATATCATATAACCCTTCTCGGGCCTCCCCAAGACGCCCTTGAGTACATACATACATGTACCTTCCAGGTGGTATGAGGAGGTACCACCTGTGGTACAATAGGTACCAGGTAGGTACATAAGCATAGTGGGAGGACCCACCTACCCGGGCGTCCACGGATGGTTGCTTACAATTGCTTAGTCATATGTTAGCCAACCATAGGTGTATTCGAAGTCATATCTTTCTTGGAGTCTTCTTCGTGAAATATTCCTAGAATAATTTATTATCAACAATGGCTATTGGCAGTTGTTTCTGCGGCGCAATTCAAGTCGAGTATAAGGGCGAGCTTCTGGTGTCGGTCAGTGCAAACCACAGCCTCCGAAGTGTCTTAATCTAATCTCAAGTGTTTCTACTAGGGACTATGCCACTGTCTTGATTGTCGCAAGCTTACGGGCAGCCCGTATAGCTACAATTTTGTCGTCAAAACTGCAGGGCTGAATATCTCTGGAAATCCAAAAGAAGTGGCAAAAACATCGGACAGTGGGAATGATGTTAAAAATTATTTCTGTCCTGACTGTGGTCAGTATGGTCGGTTTGGGTAGAATAGAAGAAAATAGTAGCTAACGAAAGTCATAGGTACGCCGCTTTTTGGACGAAAGATCAAGTCTGATGGAGCTCCTGATGAGATCACAGTCGTCCGGGCAGGGATATTTGATGATCAGATTTTGAACGAACGGAAGCCTCAGGCGGAGCTTTACACTGATAGACGACTGAAGTGGATAGATCCCATCGAGGAAGCTGGTCAATATAGTGGCATGTTGTCACTAAATTGAACCACCCGATAGAGTTTATCAGATGGTCGAGCTTCACATCATAGAGCGGAAGGATTAGGTCTTTATCATATCGCACATGAGAAGAAACTACAAATCACGAATATCTTGAGATATTGATGTGGGTAATTCTGGCATAACGTGGAAAGGCCCGAAGGTGGGATGAACAAGAAAACATATATATAATAAACTAAAGTACATATATTGATCCCTTTTTTTGCGTCAATCAATTGGGGAAAGTCTCTGCGCTCAGCTCCCCATACATTTCTGCTGTGCTTTCGTAGATTGAGGTCCTCATATGAAGCTTACTCATATAACCTCACCACCTGGGCACCTGCATGAGGTCTGCGGGTATTTCTTCCAACGATCCAGCATATATTTTTCTAATCCCTCTACGACCCCACTCTCGTTCACCTTCCAATCCCCCGTTTCAACACGCGCCGCCCAGTTCGTTAAAACTTTGTGAACTTGAGAGCTGTGTGAATCCTACGGTAGAGGACTACTGGATTGATGAACCTGATAGAGTTAATCCGTCACGTCACAATCATAACACTCGTTCACCACGACCCCATTGCTACTGCGATAAGCTCTGGGCATTCGAGTACATGTAATGAATCAACCTCTATATCTTATCTATGATGCTGAGTACCACCAACGGTGGATCGAGTGTTTCGAGGTTTTAGGCAGATCTAATTTTCTTTCCTCCGATTGCCTCATACCAAACATGGCTAATGCTTGTTTGTAAGATACAGTCGCTGAATAATCCCGACTTACAATGTTGGGAATCCTGGTAGCTATTGTGACTAGGCTTTGTATCACGGTGATGGTGAGCATGATCGCTTTATTTTTCGTAAAGCTAGCCATGAACATATATTAGCATGCCAACGTACAGATGTTGCGTGCTTAGACTTGGCAAACGTGGAGTATATAAATTCCAAGGAAACCCGACCTCGGGCCTGCTATCTCCGGTCTGATAGCCGACCAGCTCAGGCCAAAAATAGACCACATTTACCACATCGCTAGCGACCCCGGGAACTTCAATTCTAAGTCCCTGGATTCTTTACCCACATGGAGTACAAGGTCTTTTTCTTCGCATTTGAAACGTGCTATACAATCAACGTCGATCGAATGAAATGTACGTGCTATGTTGACGCTGACATATCTTCGCCGCGAACGGAAAGACACCAATAACCTTCCGCCGTCCCAAGATTCGAGGGAGCAAGTGGCCAATCAGCAATTCGCCCGATTCCGAGCCCTCGGGGCTTCTCCAACGGCTCCAGTTTTCGTCGAGAAGCAGGCCAATGGCGATCAGTCTATATCACTATATGGAGATGGCCACTGTCTTTTACTTTTGCCGCCACCTCCTGCCCATTTGCCTCGTATCTCTCTCGGCTTTCCCATAATTTCCCCGGTTATCCTCTGTGGAGAGCTTCTGGCCGTCTTTTGTACGTATTCTCATTTCCATTCACACCTATCAATCGACCTTGCTATGTGTGTCCTATAATTGTATAGCAATACCCCTTTCCCTCGACTCCCACGGCAATGTTCTCATGTCGAGTGCCGACATATCCGGCAGCTACCTTAGCCTCGCTGGTCGCTCCGTCCGTGACCCATTCACGGAGCGTACCGTAGCGGCCTGTCTCATCAGCATTGCCTGGTATAATGCTCTGGAATTGATCGTTCTGTGCTTTACCACTTTCAAACGCTATGGCGGGTGCTACTTTTGGTGTCTCCTTATTGCCTCCTTCAGCATAATCCCTTTTGGTCTGGGGTATCTCCTCCTCATCTTCAACATATATACCAATATGTTCCCAGTGGCGATGGAGCTAGTCGCTTGGGTGGGAATGGTGACAGGCCAGTCTTTGGTCCTCTGGTCTCGATTACATCTTGTCTGCCATAGCCAGACAATCCTCCGGGCCACCCTCACCATGATCATCATCAACGCGATAGTCTTACATATACCCGGCTTCGTGCTCGAACTAGGAAGCCATTCGAAACAATCTTCTCTCTTCACCCACGGGTTCAACATCTTCGAGCGCATACAGTTGGTTGGATTCTCCGTACAAGAAATCATTCTCTCTCTGATTTACTCCTGGGAAGCTGTGCGACTCCTGAACCTCCGTCCACGAGGACACTACCGGGGGACCTTGGTTCAACTCCTGATCGTGAACGTGATCATGATCCTCATGGATGCAGCTGTCATCGGACTTCAATACTCGGGCCTCTTCGATATCCATGTGACTCTCAAGGCGATGGTATATAGCGTCAAGCTCAAGCTGGAGTATGCGGTTCTAGGAAAATTGGTAGTCATTACAGAGATGAGTGGCAGCAACTCAGCTCCGACCGACCTGTCGGAGTTCGTGGATCTCTCCTTCCACGATACTTCACCGCAGCTGGATACCGAGAGGTTCACCGAGAACCCAGAATACGGTGCTCATCATCGTGTGCGACTATCTTCCAAAGGTTCTTCCGCCGACCCGCTCAGACGGAGTCCCTCCACTGCTCAGAGTCCGAGTTCATGCAACAAGGACTCATGATTCTACTTGTAACTAATGACTTGTACTTTACTATTTTCGTACGAAGTACGGAGTACATAGCCCCATATCTACTCCATAAATAATGCACAACATACATCATACGACATGTCACCAGTCGAATATGCAACGCCAGAAATAGAATGAGGGGAAATTGCCTTCCCCTCACCCCTTATCTAGCATCGTCGGATCCCGCCGCGAACCTCAAGTTACCAAATCGAGCACGGTATAATAAGGCACGTCCCTCAAAATCCACAAAAATCCACTCCTGCATCTCCATCAATTGACCCACCTATACCCCATCTCCAAACCCACAATACGACCCAGACCTCGCAATGACCATCAACCCAAGCCTAATACCCCTTACACCACGCCAACTCTCCGCGGCATCCCACGCAGTCCTGGCCCACCAATCCCAAGCCCAAGACCTCCACAAAAAGCGGCCCTTCGCAGCAATCCTCCTAGCCCCGGATAACGAAACGATTCTATTATCCTCCAACTCCCTCTCGCATGTCCGGCATGCCGAGAGCGAGCTCGCCCGCAATGCTGCAGATAACTATGACTGGGCCTACTTAGCGCGATGCACGCTAGTGTCGACCTGGGAGCCTTGTGCGATGTGCGCCGGAGCCATCTACTGGGCGCATATCGGCCGACTGGTGTATCTTGCGTCGGAGGAGACGTTGCAGGAGGTTATCGGTGTCGGGAATCCGGAGAATTTAACTTTGAATCTGCCTTGTCGGCGAGTTTTTGAGACGGGGCAGAGCGGAGTAGAGGTCATTGGGCCATTGGTTGAGGAGGGATGGGAGAGGAAGGTTGTGGAGGATAGCAGGCGGTATTGGGGAAGGAATTAGTATTTCGTAGGGTTCACCTTTAGATGATTGTTCATGCATGGCAATGCTCTGGATAATTGTCAGCTATAGCGATAATCTATGCCTCCGGATAGATATCAAAGTTGAGGACAAATGGATAACTTGGCTATGGACCTACCTCCCTGTACCTAGGTCCATATGATGTGTTGGCGGGTATCTCAGATCACGCAGTACAAATAATGTCAATTTCATCGAAATAATAATTTAAAAGGGACTCCAGAGCCTGATTCATGTAAGGAGTAGTGACGCGGCTGTCGGGGGAAACGATCCCCCAGGACTTTCCCTTTTTGGCGTCGCGGAGAAGCCCACGTGTTATGAGTGCGCTCCGAGGAGCAGTGTGTCGATCAGGTCCCCATAGGCCTCCACTGGCATATTATTTGGAATATAATTGATCTTCAGAACCAGACTGGATTCCGATCAGACGCAACATCAAGGAGAGTGGGCTAAGATGGAGACGCTATTCTCAATCCGGTAAGGAGTGCACAGCCCCAAGCCACACCCCTATTCTTGGGAAAGTGGCTGAGAGCTTAACTGGAGCTTGAGCTTCCAAGACCTCACGTGCCTCGACATCCGAAATAGTACGCTTCGAACCAAGTCAGAGAGTTACGCGTCTCTAACGTGTCATATACTCTAAATCCGAAACTGATATACTGACGTCAGGTTGAGCAGCTTCTGATAATAGAGACCCACATCCGCGTGGACCATGGATGATGATGGCGCGCGTGTGCCAAGGCCTCGATCTCATTAAATGTGAAGATCGTTGGGCTTAGGGGTGGTTAGTGAAGCTGTTTAGCGAGGAATCCAGCCTTATGGGGGTCAATGGGGCCGATGGAGACGATGGAGTCGATGGAGCTTCTAGGTTGTAGTTCACTTTAGAAGTAGATACGCTGCCCATGACAGCTCCCACATTCCGATCCCTATGCGTAGGTATATTCCAAGTCCAGTGTTCTAGGCTTGTACGATGTAAAGGAAAGATGCAAACGGGACTGGGGGAGCGAGTTTCCGTGTTCGCGGTGGCCAAAACGGTGCCACGACAGAGTGACGTCAGAGGTCGATCACGGACAAGGGCATAGCAAGTGGATTGCTTTTTGTCTCGGTAGGTAAAGAACACTCGATCAAATAAGGTAACCTCTTCTGGTAGGGATCTTTGCCTGCTTGCTTCTTGGGTCTCATCATCATGGCGCTATAGCGGTTTTCTTTTATATTCCGTCATCCCTTCCCTCTCCCTACTCCGGCTTTACTTCTTCCATCTACCATAGTTTCCTTCATTCCAGTGATACCCCTTGTTTTGTGCCTACACAGGTTCAATGATAGTTAATTCTCAGTGTGTCACCCTTGTTTGTCCTTGATGCAAACCATTGCTAACACAGTCCCTGCTTAGTTCATACATAATATCTCTTTATCTATCTCATATCCTCTCATTACTGGCCTCTGATACACAAATCACTTCATCATGTCTGTGAACGTTCCTACCAATACCAAGCAGAAGGAGAAGGTATGTGTCACGGCGCGCCCCATTGCGACTGCAGTCATTGACAGAGCGCAATCTTAGGATATCAACCAGAAGCTTCAATTGTTTGGTATCTACCATGGTAGGTCGCACTTCACATCCCCAATGGACCATTGTCATGCTAACTATATCGGCTGCAGCCTTCAAGAACAGCAAGCTCCCCTCGGTTCGTCTTCAATTCCTTCACTCGTCTGCTACTTCGCCTTGCGACTCTATACTGACGAGGTCTCTTGCGCCACACAGAACAAGCAATGCGACATCGCTTTGAACACTGCCTTAAATTCCAAGGCCCTCACATCTCCCCCTAGTGAGCTCTCATCGGACGGAAAGACCCTTGTGGCAGACCTGCGCAATGTCATCGATGCAGCGAAAAAGATGCTTTTGGTCAAGAACGAGGGTGAACTGATTCAGGACTTTGTTTGGCAAGCTCAGAAGATCACTGCCGGTGATGCTCAGCGTCCCGAACTCCCTGTAAACAAGGATATTGGCCAGCAAGATGCGAACAAGGTCGTGGATGGCCTGAAGACCCTAGGAACACTCATGATCACCAACGGAGAGTTCAGGAAATTGTGTAAGTGACACGTCTTTTCGCATGATGGGAGACTGCCTAACAATCTACAGTGAGTGATGCTATGACACTTGGCAAGGACATTGCTGCCGATGCTTCCCAAATGGCTGCCAACCAGGTCCGCCCCTCAGAAGAGGATCTTGCACGGATCGACACTCCTGCAGAGGATAACGTGTGGCACGAAAAGCCCAACATCTCCAAGGAGGATTTGAAGTCGAAGTTCAAGAAGAACAAGGCTGTATGTATATCTCATGCGCCCCAACATTACTTTCACTAACATTGGTTCAGGATAGGGAAAGCATTGCTTCCGCTTCCGTCGCCGAGAATGATTCTGCCATCTCATCAAAGAGCAAGACCAAGGAGTATGCCGACAAGACCAAGAACTACCTCTCTGAGAAGGTTCCCAAGGAGCGTCGTGAACAGACTATCTGGCGCCTGAAGAAAATGGTCATTGAGATCCAGGGCCATGGTGATTGTGAGTCAACCCGTGATCTATACAGTAATATCGCAAATTTCTAATCTATTACGCAGACCAACAAGCTGTTGAGACCTTGCTAAGCATGGCTGAGCAATATGCTGGACATACCAAGGATGTCTCCAAGCAGGGCGAAAGCGCTACCCGTGACGTCTTGAAGACGGACAGTGTCCAGGACGTTCAGCATAACTTGCGCACTCTTATCGAGCGCTTTGCCAACAACACCTCCCTAGACAGCTTCTTTGACTCGCTGAACACCATCTACCGCGACGCTGAGCGTGATCCAGAACTCCGAAACTGGTTCAAGGGCGTCAATAACTTGATCCGGTATGTGATTCCCAAAGGTTCCACCCGAAAGTCAACGCTGACCAGACATAGAAAATCTCTACGTGAGCAGGGCTTTATCATGGAGGATGAGTGCAACCGCCAATGGAACGAGCTCTACGACAAGGGCCGTTACCTTCTGCGTGAGCGTTATCGTGGCCACTCTGACCGTATCGTCGAGGAGATCAAGTTCTTGGCCGACCAATTCGAGAGGGACCCCCAGAACCAGGCCCTCGCTGAGGCGTTCCAGAAACTGTTCAAGGATCTGGGCCGTGACGCCGAGGGTCAGGTCACCTTCAAGCCGGATCTTTTGAGAGATCTCCGCGATGTCATCATTCCCAGGATTTTCGAGAACGTCCGCTACGTTCCAATTCCTCGTATTGAGGTTGCCGATCCCATGGTTGATGTTGTCGTCGAGAATCTGTGCATTGAGAGTGACAATCTGATGCCCAATGTTGTGGAATTCGGCAGCGATAACTACTTCCGCTGGGGACGCAAGAAGATCTCCAACAAGCGTGACAACAAGATCATGATTTCCATGTCTGGTATTCAGGCAGATTTACGCGATGTCAGCTACTACATCAAGAAGAAGGAGGGTTTCCCCACCATCACCGACCGCGGTATCATGGACATCTTCCTCGGTGGTGAAGGTCTTAGCATCAAGATTGCCGCTTCGACAGCCCAGAAGAATGACAAGGAGCACTTCGTCAAGCTGGATAAGGTCAATGTGACTATCAAGAATATGGATATCAAGTTGAGGAAGTCTGGCCACAAGCTTCTCTTTAACACCTTCAAGCCTATGCTGTTCCGCGTGGTTAGGCCTGCTCTGCAAAAGGTGGTCGAGGGACAGATCCGCGAGGGCTTCAGGAAGGGCGACCTCTTCGCTAAGGACATCCACACCGAGGCTTTGCGGGCCCAGGAAGCTGCCCGTGAAGACCCCGAGAATGCCCCCACAATCTTCTCGCGCTACGCTGATGCCATCCGGGCTCGCGCCCAGGCCCAGGCCAAACAGGCCAAGGGTGCTGTGAAGCGCGACACCCAGGTCCAGACGGTTATGACCCTTCACGATTCCATCTTCCCCGAAGTCGAGCTCCCCGGTGGTGTCTCCAGCAAGGCGACTGAATACGCCGAGCTGGCCGCCAAGGGCAATCGCTGGGAATCCCCCATCTTCAGCCTCGGCGACGCTTCCGAGTCCACTGGCATCCCGTCCGCGGGCCCCATCACCAACAAGCCCCACGGTACTAGTACCCACGGTGCAGGTGAGACCGGAGTTGCTTCCGCTGCGGGTGCCTCTGGCGTCACCACTGCCGCCGCCTCCAGCACTGCCAGCGCCACCAACGGCAATAAGCCCACGGAATACCAGGCCCGTGGCTTCTCCGATGAGGTTGACAAGGCCTTCGTCAATGGCAAAGGTCAGAACTTGGGTGATACCATCAAGCATGCCGCCAACGGTGCCACTAATGGCACCAACGGTATTACCGCCCACGCCAACGGCACCACTGCTTAAACCAAATAACTGTGTTCAAAATCGGCATGACTTTTGTGTAAAGTCATTCTCATATGTTCCTGCTTTTTGATACTCGTGCTTTTCTTTTTTGACTTTCTGGTGATACTTTTGTTATGATTTCCCCTTGTGCAGTACGGACATTTCTTATCTATTTTGTATGAGTATTGGTTAGCGGTAGCCTAATAATACATAATGCCACCGTTGTTTGCGTTGATTATTCCCAGAAATCCTAGTTCATGACACCTGGAGCCTGAGTTGGGACCCAAGCCAAAAAGCTTATCCCACAAGACGTGAGGTCAAAATAAGCTTAAATATTCATTCATTGTCATCTATTACAAAAGAAAACTGAACTTCCCACTATACAAGAAGTCCAGGGAAAATCGAATCTCCATTTTCTCTTTTTCTTTTTTGTTGTCCGCTTTCATATACCATTTTCATCACATTAATCCCGAAAGACATCTACAGAACTTACGCATCTACATCTGATCGAAGTACTTCTGCCATCCCAGCTCGTGCAGCTTGGTACCCTTCAACTCCATGTTCTCGGCACGGGCGGCCTCGGCGTAGGACTCCACCTTGCGCTGGATGGCGGGGTCGAATGAGCCGAGCACGCGCGCGGCGAGGAGGGCAGCGTTGATGCTGTTGTTGATGCCGACTGTGGCGACAGGGACGCCTATATAACCATGTTAGAATATGAGGTTGAATCGGAGGGAGGGGAGTGTAGAAGTAAAAGGGATGATCCGACGGAAAAAAAAAAGGAAATGGAATCCAACATACCACGCGGCATTTGCACAATGCTGTAGAGACTGTCGACGCCGTCGAGGGAGCTGCCCTTGACTGGCACGCCGATGACAGGGAGCGCAGTGTGAGCGGCTGCCATACCGGGGAGGTGGGCGGCGCCACCGGCGGCAGCGATGATCACCTTGATGCCGCGCGAGGCAGCCTTGCCTGCATACTCGGCCATGTAGTCGGGTGTGCGGTGCGCGGAGGTGATCTCGACCTCGGGCTCGATACCGAAGTAATCACGCAGCAGCTTGAGGCCTGGAACGAGGGTCTTCAGGTCACTGTCGGAGCCCATGATGACGGCGACGGAGGGGGCGGGCTTGGAGGGGCCGGACTTGGCGGCCTTGGTCTTGATATCGGAGCGTTGGGCGCGCATGTTGTCGACGACGTCGACGAGGGGCTGGATCATGGTCTCAGCTTCGTGCATTGTCGCCGCGGTGACGGTGACGTGGCCCATCTTGCGGCCGGGCTTTGCGTCGCCCTTGCTGTAGAGGTGGATGCTGGCGTTGGGGATGGAGAGGGCGGCTTCGGTGGCCTTGAGGTGGGAGTCGGGGGTTGCGCCGCCGATGATGTTGAGCATGATTGAGGGCTGCAGGAGCTCAAGGCTCTTAGGTGGGATGGGCAGGTCGAGGATCGCGCGGATGTGGCTGTCGAATTGGGACAGCGCGCATCCTTCGATTGTCCAGTGGCCTGAGTTGTGGATTCGGCTTGCAAGCTCGCAGAGCATGAGGCTGTTGTCTTCTAGGAGGAACATCTCCACGCCGAAAGCGCCCTTGCCTTCGAAGGCGGAGACGGCTTTGCGGGCGAGAGCTTGCGCTTGCTGGTTGATGGCGTCGGAGACGTTGCGAGCTGGCGCGTACACCAGCTTGCATATTGAGTCCTCTTGGACGGTCTCAACGGTGGGGTAAGAAAGAACGTTGTCCTTGGTCTTGATCACCATGACGGCCAGTTCCTGTGGATAAAGTATGTTAAAGCCCGGTAAGGTGTGAGCCTCAACCGCATGCACTAACCATCTTGAAATACGCCCATTTTTCAGCGTAGAGCGGACGATCCTTGAGAGCCTCAAGGGCTTCAGGGATATCTTCTTTGGAGTTGACACGGAAGTTTCCTTTGATGTTGTCAGTAAGAATGTTTACCATCTCGGCGCCGATATCGCATGTGACTCACCACGTCCATCATATGCCATAGTCTTCGACTTCAACATCATGGGGTAGCCCAATTGCTCGCCAACTTGTGTCAATTCTTCCGGGGTGTTGTTGATCAACTCCCGGTGCTCGGCCATAGGGATTCCATATTTGCGGAGGTGCTCCTTCTGGTTGAACTTGTTCTGGATTGTCCTGATAGCCTGCCAACTGGGCTCCACCCGTACCTTCGAGGCAACTTCCTCGAGAGCGTAGGTATCGACGTGCTCAATCTCGGCGGTAATAACATCGCAAGTCTCAGCCAGCTTGCGAACAGCATCAGGCTCCTTGAAAGAGCCGGTCACATGGCCGTCGTGGGCACTGATTTGCTTGGCGGGCGAGTTATCGGCATCCAGGATATTGGTCTGGATGTTCAATCGGTTGGCGGACTCAACGAGCATGCGGCCAAGCTGGCCACCGCCGAGAATTCCAACTTTGGGCGAGTTCCACATGATATCGATCAAAAAAATAAATGAGTCAATTGATCAAAATATGCAAAAAGAGAGTTCGACGGTGCCCCTCAACTCCGAAAAATCGGGGAAGTCACGTGTTGATATTGATAAGCTCGGGCCAATCACCGATCTCGCTGCCGCGCCCTGTCGCAGCTTCAACCCTCTCTCTGCTCCTCCATGCACAGCTGACTGAACAATGTCTTTGGGTAGGTTGACTGTCACTGTCGTAATCTCAGTCTGAGATATAATGAACATTGCTAATACCAAGTATACAGACGAGGAAGCTCTCCAAACAGCCGCCAATGGCGGCTCCATAGATCTGTACGTGAACGCGTGCCAATATTCCCAAACGTTTCTGACGCTAACGCGTTGATATAGGCAGAGATGGAACGGCATGGCTGTGCCGCTGATGGAGCGACTAGAATACGTGCGCTATGCTTCGATTCCCCTGACCGACCTATCTGACCAGTAGCTACAGATCGTCTACAATGTGTTCCCTATGCCTCAAGCGCGCCCCGAGCTCATCGGCCAGCAATCAATCCCCAACCCATCTTCTCAGGAAAATTCTATCCCATCCGAAAGCAGCAATAAGGAGAACGCCGCCCCAGAGCTTCTAACATCACCCCAGGCGGCGCGAACTGGCTCTCCCCAGTCGAGCGAACAAGTGCCAGACTCACAGCCCCAGCCATCTGGCACGAGCACGGACAGCAGGCTCCCACCTCCGCTTGCATTTCTTCTAAGCGCCATCCGCTCTTCGATTAATTCCTTCTTCCAGGAGAAGCCCCCGCACACCATTCAGAGACTCGCAGAGCTGGTACTCTACCCGACTAAGCATTACAGAACTTTACCCGCATATCTACGTGCTGTCGATCGTGTCGTTTCGGTAACAAGCTCCGCAGACATTTTCCCATTCCGGACACCTGCTGCTGCAAACGCACAGTCTAACGGACTGGTCCACCCGGGCAACAGCAGCGGGGTTTATATGGTTCCGGACCATGCGCACGGTCTTGGAAGTGATGAATCTCTAGGCGGTGCATTACTCACTCCTATCCCGTGGTTGAATAATGCGTCATTCGAAAGCGAGGATCCAAATGGAGATGCGGACGTGTTGATTGAAGGTATCTTCCTTACTGCAGAACCGCCAGTCGTTTCCCAACTAACATGTTATTTCAGGCACCGGAGAAGCTTTAACTACACAGCCTGAGGAGATATCAGGAACAGCCACCGCGGTACCCGCTGAAAGCGGAGATGGGCCTGCTACCGCATCACCAGAGCCATCTGATGAGGTCCCTCACGCCCGTGGTCCAACCCTACTCGGCGTGGAAGATATGGGCCTGCAAGACGGAAAAGGTGTGGAGATGAGCCTCGGTACAGACGGTGCCGCCGATGTCCCAGCTGCAGTTGCTTCTACCCCTGGATCAGAGGAAACGGAAAAGAAGGAATCAACTACTGACAAGGACGGCGATATTGTTCTCGGGGACACCAAACCGAAAGAAGGAGAAGAAGCCAAGACTGAGGGGACTTCTACAGAGCCCCAAGGGAGCAACACAGAGACTGAACCGACTGGTGATTCATCCCAAGCGCCGGACGCCGATAAGAAAGCATAAGCGATTCACTAGTTCCCTGATTTGGAATTCTTTCTTTTCTGATTTTCTCGGTTGGTTTTATCCTGGATTCTAGCATCATGAGTGACGACCTACAAGATTACCTACATCAAATTTCAATCAAAGGCTTTTTGCAATGCCTATTTTTCTCTTGAATTATCCCCACGCTTGCTTTCAACCCCTTTGGATAGCATTAGAGTAAGATACATGCATGTGCGTATGAATATTTGTGCACTGCATAAGGCGGACATCAAAAGGGCACGAACAAGCTCTGCGCCTTCCTCTGCAATTTCCATTGCAACTTCCTCGTGTCCAAAGCTCTGCAGGTAAACAAACTTCCAAATTTGGAAGGCAACCAATCCTCTTTCCTATCACGTCAATCTGTATATCTTCATATATTCCTCATCCCAAGCTGCTGCGAGTGATCTCGCAGAGATCGACATTCAGATCAAATATTCTGATGAGAGGACTGAAGTCAAAGCTAGGGATACGTGTTTCAAAACTACAGTTGATCATCCCGTTCAGGAAGCACCTCCACAAAGTCGAAAGAAAGCATTCACCAAGTGATCTATTAAAATTCTCGAATGGCTCAAAGCCTCGGGTCTGCATACAGGGGGCTGTCTATGCAGCTTGGCCTTCCTATCCAACATCTGTACGCAGTTTCTCAGCCACATCGGAATCCTCACGTATGGTCGACTACAACGCATGGTGCAATGAAAATACAAAGATGTATAAGCAATATCATCTACCTCGCTTGACGGGGGCAAACCTCGAGTTGCCTAGTGATAAGCTTCGATCCTCCTTGGAAGCTTCCAAGATTGGGTTCAAGGCTTAGCATATAAACATCTACTCCGTATGTCCGCTCTAATCTCGTAGTTCGATGCTCAGTCCCATTGGATACTCACATTGCTTGCAAGAGAGTGCACCTCGTTTCTCAATCAAGTCTCAGTCCCTTTTTGAAAGGAAAAAGATCCGATGGCTAATATCGTGTTTCACAAGTAATTTGCTATTTGAACCAAGTCAGTCTCACATCCGTGCTCACTCTGATTATCCTTTTCCACTACGAGCTTCGTTTGTCCTCTCTAGAATGACTTATGTTAATCTCAGATACCGACACATACAGAGATGCCCAAGTTCAGTCTATACTCTCTTGATAACTCCAGCTCCTACATATCCCTTCAGGCCACGCTTGCTATGCCCGGCAAGCCCTACTAAGGCAGCCACTACGTCAATCTCTCCAGCTAGCCCCTGACTAGGATAGCGATAAGACACACTCACCGGGATCGTACCTTAACACACACATTCATGTTTCATCCCAAGACACTCCAGGAGAGACAGATCAAACGAGGCCCCCTCCCGTCTTCGCCCCGTGCGCCATCGACAAAGAATCCATTCCAACCAGCAAATCAGTCTCCCATCGATATCCCCAATCCAGATGCCACCATGTGCCTAGAATCGTATCATACAAGGACGATGATGTGATACATGACAATGCAAACCAGACAAACAAAAAAAAAAGATACATAAGCAGCTTCAACGGCGAAAAAGGCCCAGAACTCCCCACAAGGTCTGGGCCCTCCTGGACCTCCTGCGAAGGGCTGGGAGCTAATATATTTGGAATCCGGTCTAGAACCTGCGGTTCATTGCGGGCTGGGGTTTAGGTGACAAATGGCTTATTACGGATGGAGATCATGTAATGTAGGTGTGTTGCAGGTATGTACAATAGTTCTTGGTTTAGTTGCTTGATGGGTTCACCTGCATTTACACCAGTCCCTATTTAATAGACCCTGTGGAGCGTGGAGGAGCGTGGAATACGTAGTACTAATGGATCCAACGGGTCTATACACCACAGAAATGTGGAATGGAAATGTATGTTTTGTAAATATGTACCTGAGGAAAAGAAAAGCCAATCTCTTCGGTGGTCAAATGGCATGAACCCCACGGTGGATATAGCTGACGCGTACGGTGTGCAAAGTCGCACAAAAAATTCGCCACCCACAGAACAAAGCCACCAACGCCAGAACCTGTAAAAGGCAGAACGTCAACCGCAGGGTTTAGAGGCATCCCGCGTGAAGAGTGAGCAAGCAAAAATGTACGATTTGGAATTTGGTACCTCGTTATAGACAAGTGGGAATCGTGAGTCAATGGACAGGCGGAAGGGTGATATATGAGAGGAACAAGGAATGGCAGAATGGCCGGGGATTCTGCTCTAGCCAGGTCGACCAGCTTGCACGGCAAGCATTGGTTGGGGTTGCGAGTACATGCGCTGCCGTTTGGGCATGTTGGGGTTTTCAGTGGCACTAGACAAGTCGGAGATCTGGCGGCGATGTGGAGGCCGAACGGGAGCCCCGGCGGTGGGAACTCCTACTGGAGGTGGTGGTGCTGGATACTGGACGCCGTTCTGGTCAACAGTGTAGGCATTCGGTTGAGCTGTGACATATGGTCCTTGAACTGTCGGCATGTTCGATGGAACGGCCTGCATGTTTTGGAATTGGCCGGGGGATTGCCAGTTAGTCATAGATCCAGCGGGCGATTGGCCTGGTGAGCTGTCTTCTTTAATCGACTGGGTTGCCGAGTTTTGAGCCGCGGCTGCCATAGTTACAGCGGCTGCAGACGACGGTACCGGCTCCATTCCAGGGTTCTGTGGCGAAATCTTGAGATGGTCCAGGTGTCTCTCCAGCATATCAAGAAGACTCTTGCGAGTGAAGGGTTTGGGGAGAACGTCATCCATTCCTGGAGATATGTTAGTGGGAAACCCAGATCGAACAAAGAGGATTGGTCTTACCATGTTGGAAGTAAAGCTGAATGTCGTCGCTTCTAATATTCGAGGTCATAGCAATGATAGGCGTGCGATCAAACTGGCGAATGAGATGGCATGCTGATACTCCGTCCAAATTTGGCATAATAATGTCCATCAAGATTAGATCGTATTTGGAACCACCCTGGATTTTGTTCACAGCCTCCAAGCCGTCAAACTATCAGGGCGATTAGCGAAATTGTGCTGATCAGTGGGGCATGGATAATAACGTACCGCGGTATCAATGACACAAGAGAAAGAGTACAGGAATTTGCCGCCAATTTGTCGACAAGTGGCATCGTCCTCAACCAAGAGAATTTGAGGGCTGCGCACCCAGCCAGGGTCCACATTCGTACTCTTCTTCCGGTTGTCGGGGAATTGCCGACGGGCATCTGAAGGATCGATCTCCTGCTTGGCGGGCATGGGATACGGAACGTTGTTGATATGCTCGCTATACATGGGATCGATGCCGTTTGTAGCGCCCACGGGATATACCACTTGCTCCAAATCACCGGTCATCTTGGGGTAAACTAGGCCTTGGTTGGGTGGTGCAGTCGTCGTGGGACGGAGGGAACCATTGCGCGCATTCGGATCCATTGTGGGAGTCGAGACGACGGCCTTTTGGGGATCATTCATCGAGTCGACACTGTTCATATTGAATTGAAGTTCGGCGTTCATATCATTCAGGAGCTTCGAGGCTTGCTGGAGAGGCGATGAGGGTTCGTCATCCACAGCGCCAACCTGAGAAGGACTCATGGTGGTTCCGGGTGCCTGGAAAGCCACAGCCTTGCTATCCCGTCGCTGGCGCGCATCCACCGAAAGCAAGTAGGTCATGACCTGGTGAATGACATTCTCGTGGTTCAAAACCGTCTTTTGCACTCGCATCACTTCTTGTAACATGAGCTGATGATCGACGGTAAGCTGGGCATAGCGATCTGATAAATGCTGGATTTGCTGCTGTTGGGCGACAATCTGCTGGTTGAGCAGATCGATTTGTTGCGTGGGTACGGAATCCTCGGTGGTTTGGGTTTGTTTCCGTGGCGCGGGCGCCTTACGTCGAATATTATCGAGTGATTCTTTGCTGTTGGCGCGAAACTCTGGGTGTTTGAATTCCCAAGCCTGTGTGATACGTGTTAGACCCTCGACGGCATTGATTTTCGAACCGGGCGGATGCCTACATTCTGGCCGTATGGCGACTGGCCATTTTCCTCGTTGTTTTGTCGAACCTTGTGGAAGTCGTATTTATTCAGCTGGCGGACAAAACTGGCGAAGTTGCTGTGTTTAAAGTGTTTTGGTAGGATGGTCTTGGTGAATTTCTCACACTGTCGGGAATTCCCACGTTAGCCAGGCACAAAGAGATCGAAGGCTATTTCGACACCAAGCCATGGGCGCATTACCTCCAAGACCACGAAGGAATCTCCCTCATCACCCCAGCGTACTATAGACGCGTAGGTTGGGTCCTCCAGCATTCTGGAAACATGTCAGATCTTTAAAAGGCCAGGCACCAGGGGAAAGGTGAAGTTGAATGGGCCGACTCACTTGTACAGTTTGCGTACCTATTCATGATTAGCATGATAAAAACAAGGGTATAGGATCATCACTAACAAAGTCGCTGGAGTTCCCAGCGGGGGCGGGATTGGAAGAGGTCTGGCCACCGTCCATGCTGGGCTAGACGGGTCGCGACCGGTCGAACAAGCAGGCTGGCTGGTCTCGTCCCAACGCAGGTAAAGATTGCAAATGAAACGGGGGAGACTTCAAAACCAAGAAAAAAAAAAAGACAACGCTTGAAGGGATAAAGCCAGACCTTTTCTCGGAGGGTGGGAGGAGAGGGAAAAAAATGGAATAATAACGGGGGTACGGTCAGTTTAGCGGTAGAGCCAAGTACCAAAGTTACTGTGGAGGTACTGCCTGGTACAAGAGCACCTTGTTCCAGCTTCACCTGTTTTGTTTTTATTCTTTTCTTTTTATTATTTCCAACTCTTCACGACATTTCTCTATGCAAGGAGTTGCTAGAATCCCGACTTCAGGGGACCAACGAGGGGCAAATTTGCCAAATTCCAGTATGTCACACGCTCTCCCACTCGCGAGGTACCCAGGTACTGGGCAGGTATTGAGGGCAAAAAGGAGGAACAACTTCATACCCAGATGCGATTCGCCCTTCGAATAACGAGATGCAGCATTGTCATCGGGAATCGTGTCAGTGCGCATGAGATGGAGGGGGGGGGGACATGCATTACCCCCCAATCATGAACTCATCAGGATGGTGAGACACTGGATTAGCGTGGAGTGGATTCAGGAAAAAAAAAAAAGAGAAACCCCCAAGAGGCAAATGGAATACAGATCAGGCAAAGACCTCGAGGGAGATCCACTGAAAACGTTTTTGATATTAATTCAGAGATGGGTTAATACGGAGGATATCTTGTTTATCCTCTATATAGTCCCTACTGAATACCCTTAGACCGGAATACCAACGACTTCGTATGTGAGAACACGTCCTAAGAGGTGCGGCCGAGATCTGGTTGAACAGGTATTCCAATGAACCTCCCTATCCTCTCCAATGTACCCACTTTGGATATGAAACGGGCGTTGGGGGATCGGAGAATCTGCCTTACTGATATTGCAGCTTAGCCTAGCCTGCATCTATAAAAATGAGAGCCTACCGAGACCCCCCCCCCAGTGAACTCGGCACATTAAATCCTCATCAACCGCCCAACCCGCTCCTGATAATCCTTTGCAACGTGGTTCACGGAGAAACCCACATCGTATATGTACGTTGGCACCCCAGCATGGTCTAGAAGCCAAGTAGTCCAGATATCAAGAATCCACCCACTTTTCGACTGTGACACATAGTCGCCACGATGAAAGCGCACAATGCCATTCTACCACCTCATTTTTCACTAGGCAGACCTGCAGTTCCTGCAACACATGGTGTTAGCGCCGAACTTCACGTTGAACTAGAAGATGACTGCATCCTCCAGGGGTTTGACGATCCACCGTGTGACAAGGCAGGGATCTACGGCGTTATGGAAGAATGGGATGCAACTTCATATCATCCGATTCGAAGATGGCTGGACAGCCTGGTCCTTAAGAGAGGGCACTATGATATGTGATAGATCATATAGGTTGCTTCGCGGTACCTGCGGTATAGTCGCCGCAGGTTGCACTGGAGGTACCTACCGAGGGGACGACTCCTATGACAATTGCAATAGTGCGATGGAGATGCGAAATCAAACACGGCCAAATGAACAGAATCGATCAACTTATAATATGGTATGGAGTAAACAATGAGGCGAAGAATCGAATTCTAAAAATATGTCGAACCCGGCCATGACGAAAGAGCTCCACGGACCTACGATGTACCGCCCTTGTTCTCCGCATAGCTTTCCCAATCCTCCCACACCTACGGAGTACCTTGAATACACCTACCCAACCTCCATCTAATCACCCAATCTCTCCACCATGTTTGCCGCCCGCCGTGTCGCTACCAACCTCCCCCGCGTTCGCGCGCAAGCTTCCCTCTTCCACAGCACTGCGCCCGCGTTCGTGCAGAAGGGCGACGCCATTCCCGACCTGGACGTCCTGGTCGAGAACTCCCCCGGTAACAAGGTCAATCTGGCTAAGGAGATCAAGAACAAGGCTGTTATCATTGGCACTCCTGCTGCCTTCAGTGAGTAAAACCCGCTCTCTAGCTTGATGCCAAAAAAACCCCCCCGATCTCGGGGCTGACCTCATCCCAGGCCCTGCGTGCTCCAGTACCCATGTCCCCGGCTTCATTAACCACCCCAAGCTGAAGGAAGCTGGTCAAGCATTTGTCATCTCGGTTAATGACCCCTTCGTGTAAGTTATACCTGTGGAATTTGGGGGCGAGCCTTTTTGGCACATGTGTTAACGAAGCTGTCATATAGGACCAAGGCTTGGGCCGAGTCCCTGGACCCCGAGGGCAAGAGCGGTGTAAGTAGTTTCCTGCAGTCTGGATTATATGACAATGCCAGTGCTGATATGTTTGCTTTTTTTGACAGGTTCGCTTCCTGGGTGACCCATCCGGCAAGTTCACCGAAGCGCTCGATCTTAGCTTTGACAGTACCGCCATCTTCGGCAACAACCGCAGCAAGCGCTATGTCCTGCTCGTCGAGGATGGAAAGGTCAAGGAGGCTTTCGTCGAGCCTGACAATACCGGTCTCAACGGTACGTCTCCCTTTTTATCGAGCACATCTTTCGATGCTAACATTACTCAGTTTCCGCTGCCGAGAAGGTGCTTGGTTAAATCCATTTCTAGATAATGTTATAGTACCTTTGCACATAATAGAAGCAAAATGTATCGTGGCTTAAGGCATAAACTTTATTTTCTGATCCCTGCTGCACGGTATTTCGTAGTATAGGATTTTAATGTACAAATATTCCATCCTTTCCAACCCGGCCAACGCCTGATAAATCGATGCCAGAATTAAATAGCCCGGCAGAGAGTTGAATAAATCAAGCAATTCGAGATCAATGGCTAGTTCTTCATTCCAAATCCCCCCACCTTCGTCTGGGTTTGCTTTTGTCCAAATCTACTTCTAATAGGAAGTCATCATTTGGATGATTTGGCATAAAGCCGCCTCTAGGAGAGATAAATTACTGCTGCAGCGCCTGCCACTGCTCGGGGGTATAGCACTTGGGAGTCCAAGCATGGATAGCAGCGATCTCGGCCTTGAGCGCGGAGTTGACGAGTCGGTGTCGTGCGAGCATAGTCTTACTCTCGAATTGAGGGGAAACAATCACAGCCTGGAATGCCTGTCCACAGCCACCTATAACACGCCAAACAGCCAGAATGTCAGCAACATATCAATAAATAAAAAAAAAGAAAATGTTTCGACGTCATAGCATCCTCCCTTTCTTCAATTTACGGCCTCCATACCTGATAAATCCTCAACTTCCACATGCTGTGCCTGCAGCGCCTCAGCCAGCTTGTTCTTCAGCGAGTCTGCGGTGATTCCAGATGTATCGGCCATAGCGGCGTTGACGGCGGCGTAGGAGCGCGCAGTGAGGGAAAACGGAGCCCGCTGGATGTGATTGTTCGGGCGGAGGAGATAGCGGCAGCTTCTGCTCAATACAGTCAAGGAGGAGGCGCGGGAGAACATCAAGTGTGGTGGGAGCGGGAGAGAAAGAGGAGATGAAGATAAAGTGCCCAACCCGAGGTTATCGCGAACTATCCAGAGTTGGCTATTACAAATTCAACGCCTCCGCTGTGGCTGGTGCGTGCACGTGTGTGGCTCGTTCGTTTTTTTCCCGCAGCTCCGTCTCTTCTTCTCTTCGTCGAGCTTCAACCGGTTGACAGCTATCTATGAATTTTCTTCGTACTGCTGCGCGTCGATACTCTGCCATTGCCATGGATCCGTCAAAGTACTCGGAATGCTCGCCATTCACTAATGCTGTTGTGAGCTCGATGAGAAAGCTGTAATTTCCACCCCACTCCCTCCCAGAGCTCCCCGCATTTGATAGAGCTTTGTTTGACTTTATATACGCAGGTATCCGGAAGCATTGGCAGACAAGAGCTGGGACAATACAGGATGCAAGCATTCTTTCCTCAATATCATTGCATTGGCTTTTACAATATACTAACCCGATCCAACTGCAGTGCTCCTCGAAGCTCCCTTCGACAAATCCCGGGCAAACAAAAACTCGGTTCTCCTCACCATCGACCTCACAACTGCCGTTGCCGATGAAGCCATTAAAAACCGCAACTCAGTCGTCGTCGCATACCGTAAGCCACCTTCCAACACTACAAATCACCAACCCTCTACAAGACCAAAACCCTTAACAAAACCACCCATCCAGACCCAATCATCTTCCGCGGCCTCAAATCCCTCACCTTCGCCGACACCCAACAACGCTCCCTCCTCCGCCTAGCCCAACATGGAATCAGCGTCTACTCTCCCCACACAGCCGTCGACACCGTCCCCAACGGCATGGCCGACTGGCTCTGCGACGTCGTAACAGGCAACTTCACCCTCCAAACCCCACCCACCATCCAACCCTGCAATTCAAACATCTACTCCGCCCCAACCTACCCCGAAACCCCCATCCCCGCCCAATCCCCTTCCGGACCCGCCCACACCAAGAGCACAATCCACCCCTCCCCACCAGCCTCAATCCCCGCAGGTTTCGAGTCCGCCGGCGCGGGCCGTCTGGTGACATTCTCCGAAAAACAACCCCTCACCTCGCTCATCGATAACATCGCCCACGGCATTGGTCTGCCGGGCGGTATCCCCATCGCCATCCCGCAGGGCTCTTCCGTGAACGACATCTCCATCCGCACGGTGGGCATGTGTCCCGGTTCGGGCTCGGGCGTGCTCATGAAGGGTGATGGCCCGCTGCCTGATCTTCTGCTGACGGGGGAGATGAGTCACCATGAGGCGTTGGCTGCTACTGAGCGGGGATCTGTGGTGGTTTCTCTTTCGCATACGAACTCGGAGCGTGGTTATCTGCGCTCGGTTATGCAGCCGAAGTTGCTGGCGGAGGTGAAGCGGCAGTGGGATGGTGTGAAGGCTGGTGGAGAGGCTTTGGCGAGTGAGCTTCATGGTGAACAGGGTGAGGTGGAGGTTTCTGTTAGTGAGGTTGATCGTGATCCTTATGGGATTATGATTTGGCGTGGGAACTAGAGTTAGCACCTTGCTTCTTTGAGTTGATATGATACTCAAGTAGAGAGGAAATCCTTCGTGAGACTTATATCAGCCAGATGGAAAGAGAATCTCAGATGCAAGAGTTATATAAAAGAAACAGTACTTATAGATGTCCAAATCCCATCTTGCGCAAATCATAAGATTCAGGATACCATGAGAACCATACTGGACAGGTATAATGTACCAACTGAGGAAGGAATTGATCGATTTGACTAAACTTGTGAACCACATGTGAACTAGAGGTATGCAGTAGGGAAAAGTCTGATAAGATCTCAAAAAACTTGTTTGAAATGAGAAGGATATCCTAATAGCAGACGATGACAGAAACAAAAGAAAAATGTCTTGGGAGCAGGAGAGAGCATAAGACAGGATGAAGAACCCAGGTTAGACATCGAAGGAGTGCAGGTTGTCGAGGACATGGAGAGAAAGCGAGGAAGCGTAATTTTTGAGCGTTCCCTTTCTGGCATCAGCAAACCGACCTTGGATGTAGGAAAATTGTGGTGTGAGTATTTAGTAGCGATAGGGAGAGAAAGGCGAAAAAAAAGGGAACAAGAAAAATGAGACCGGGTAAAAAAAAGAAACCAGACGACCAAGCCCCAAAATGACTGAACGAGAAATAGAAAGGAAAAAGGGTAAAAAGAGATAGATGGTATCCGCGTGAGGAATGAATCAGGAAGAGCCCCACGAAAACAGTGACTACAGATCAATCAAGCTACCACCGCGCTGTTGTTGCTGCTGACCTCCCCAAGGATTGTTATTAGCAGGCTGCTGCTGCACATAGCCTGTCTGTTGCGGCATGCCTGTAAATTGCTGGCTGAAGAATGGGTTTCCGGTTGGTGCGGCGTGCAGGCGGTCCAAACCCTGACCAGCAGAGTTGACGAACGTGCCAGGTGCAGTATGCTGTGCGGGGATGCGAAGATCTCCAACATTGCCGAAGGTATCCTGGCCTTCGCCTGTCGAGAGAAGGGCATTGAGACGAGCATGGTGGGGGTCCTGGGGCGGGGTACTCTTCGGTGGCTGTGGGACTTGGAAGTTGGCGATGGGATTGTGCTGGTTAAACATCGAGCTCTGGCCATACTGCGCATTATTCTGGGCGAACTGGTTCGTTGCACGATCCTCCGACAAGGCATTGAGTGATGGTGGGCCTGTTTGTGCAGGGTTGTTGAACTGTGTTTGAGTACGCTGAGCGAAGGGGTTGTTTGATCCTGTCGGCATCGGCTTGAGTGCATCGGCGGGTTGCAAGTGCTGCTGTTGCTGGTTGCCGGCCCATGGGTTGTTACTTCCAGCATTCTGGTAATTCTCCTGTGGCTGCTGTTGTTGCTGCTGCGAGAAGACATCCGTTCCATAGGGGTTGTTGGGGTTGAATGCCGTGTGCTGGGGCTGGAGAGCGGCTTGCGGCTGCAAGAAGTTGCTTTGCTGCTGGCCGTAAGCGTTCTGATCGAAGGCCGACGGCTGTGCTGGATAACCATTGCCGTAAGGGTTGTTCATGCCGGTAGGCTGGTTCTGGAACCCCGTCGGCTGTGCGTACTGGTTGTTCAGGTAGCCAGTTGACAAAGGCTGCTGCGCATTGATGGGGTTACCAAACCAATCCACGGCACCCTGTTGTTGGTAGCCCTGATTAAACCCGGTTGGCTGAGGTTGAGCTGGGGTGTCGTCGAAGAGGGAGTGGGCGTTGCTCTCTTCCAATTCACGCTTTCGAAGGTCCTCCTCCTCTCTGCTAAGCTTGATGGCTTTGGCAAGATCCTCGTCATCCTCGGTTCCCGCTGTCTCCCTGGCCCGTCGCCTGCGCTCTTCCTCGGCCTCGGCCTTGCTGGCCTCAATAGCTAGGCGATATTCGGTGTCGGAGTCATCATCTCCGTTACGTCGGCGTCGTTCTCTGCGCGGCGGTTCCCCGCCGGGATTTCCGTAGCTTTCCTCAACTCCGTTAACACGAGTCTTCCAGAGTTTGCGATCCGATCGTTCACTGCGCAGACGATCTTCATCCAGCACCAGTGCAGTCAATTCCTTTGCGGCCACCCGGACTACAGAAAACCAACTTGTCAATTGTGTGACTCTCCCGGTTCTCATCAGATAGCTTACCGTTTTGGCCAACATCCCTTCCATCCTCATCGACGTATGTAAACTCGCGCAGAGTCTTGATAATATAGACGTTTTTCCGGGCCCATGTGACGACCAACTCGGAGCCTTCGTGGAGACAGTAGTCCAAGACCTTTAGTGACTTGAGGACGTGGCGCCAGTTCTTGCCCTTATCGTTGAGTCGCTTGTCAAGCATATCCATGATTTCGTAGAACTCGTTCGGACTTGTATGCCAATGGCGTCAGCGGCGGTGCCAACCTAGTACGTCGCGGACCAAACTCACCTCCCGAAAGTCATGGCGGCGATTTCGGACATGTCGGTGCCCGTAGGGCCCCAGGGATCATTGCTAGTGGCTAGAAATCTGGATTAGCATCTTAATCGGGATGGATGTGGGGTGTATGGGCGCAATGCAGCAAACCACCCCCCCGGAAAGACAGGGGAAGCAAAGTATGGCAATGGCAAGAACGGGTTCTGCAAGATGCGCCCGGGATTGTATGGTCGGCCAGGAAAGGGACAGAATATAGAGTCAACTCATACCATTTCGAACCTTGACCTGCACTGAGGAATAACCCTTTGTGACGTTCTTCACACTCCGCACGACTTTAGACATGGCGTTGGTGATGCGACGGTCGCAGAATTAGGTTAGATAAATTGAAATGTAATCGCCGGGTAAGAATCGATCAGTTGATTTGAAGGATAATCGCAACTGATGAGTGATAGACTGCCAAGCACACACAGCCCTCTTTCTCCGTGTCGCGGCCCAAGACGATTGTCGAGCGCGTCACTCATGCACCTCCCGTTCTGGGAAGAACAGGTTGGCAAACTGGTCCGAAGGGATCAGGGGATTGAGCTCTAGATTGCTCAAAGGAAGACTATTGGCAAATGAAAGCAACAGATGGAGGTTGGAAGGTGAAAGAGAGGGAGAGAGGGGGACTGTGGCTAGAACGGGGGGGAGAAAGGGCCTTGGCAGTGACGAAGCAGTTTGTACGGACCATCCAAACTATACACCTGGCAGAGTCGAGATCTACACTCTTGGGAGATTCTTCCTCATAGATCTCTGATTTGCGTCTTGACAGGAAACTCAGGGGACTTCCCTCCCAACTCTGGGATTTCCATGTCTCTCCCGGGTAAACAATCCCATCCTAGTGTCCAGATCCATACTACCGTTACGCCCTCGTGGCCGGAGATCCGGCTTAGCCTATATTAATTTCCCCCTGTGTCCCTTTCATTTACGTCCAGCTCAGAGCGATAAATCCCACCCTCCGAAGGATATTTACTGCGCAATCACCAATTCCCCGATCTGCAGGGAAATAGCGCCACATGTGGCGACCTTGGGCCGCGTAAGAACCTTTGGGATGTCAGGCAACAGTCGATGGCACTGAGTCTATATGTCGACTCCGAAGACCACTATAAGGTTCGTACGGAGTACCTACTGGGTCCTTCACGAGTGATAGCTCACACTGGAAAAAAAAACTACGCTACGTCATTTGACATTTCTAGAACCCAATGACATTCTTGGCACGATCGCAGGTCCACATGGGCATATCGGACTTGTTTATACAGGCTCCATTGAAGTAGACCCGTTTCCGGGATACAGATATATCCATGTCCATCCATGTAGGTAATACCTTAGGTACATATCTATCTTGGGTTTCAAGACAATCGATACCGGGAATTGTTTCCGATCCTTGGGCCGATATAGGTATCATGGCCTAGGTGGCACCAATGAGCCATGAACTATAAGCGACAACACAGGGGGAAGCAACTAGTGAGCTAAACCCGGTTTTCATAGCTGCAGACCTATATGTAGGTATGCCCATAGCATAATCAAGGGGCTTTTTGATGGTAGTAGGAAAGCTTGCCTATCAACTTTGCTGGAGAGGACGACAGTAGCAGTAGCCCTATGACTCGGGTGGTGCAATAGACTCTTTATAACGGGGATTGTTTGCATGATTCAAGTCGCATTTCGGCTGTCCTATAACAGTTGCTACCTACATGTATGATAGTCCTCCAGACGTGCAAGTTTATATACTATGCAACGTAAACAATCTCATGCGATCCCAGCAGAAAATCTACCCGCAATGTCCTCAATGAAAGACTTCTTCTGCATCCCATCCACCCACTCACTGGGTATGGAATCAAACCCATAGAACGCGCCCGCGAGGCCACCAAAGACAGCACCTGCAGTATCCGAGTCACCACCCAAATTGACAACTGCCAACGCTCCATCTTTCCAGGTGTCATACTTGAAGAATGCCCACAGGGCACATTCAAGGGTATCAATGACCCATCCACTGCTCATCATATCACCTGGCTCTTGTCTTTGCCAGTCCTCAATGGATTCATACCCCGTAATACGCTCCTTCAGACCGCGGTGGGTAAATGGGAAAACAGAAACCGTGTCATAGAGCTGCTGCTTCGTATGGCCTGAAAACATATCAGAGACAATCCTGACCAAAACACCAAATGAGAAAAGTCACATACCATTCATGACACCACACACCAGCTCCGTGTATGCTTCACAAGCTTCCACACACGCAAGCGAAGGATGAGTGACCTGGCTCTGTTGCCTGGCGAATTCCCTCGCCTGTTGGGTATCTCGCCAATATGCCAACCCTACTGGGACGATTCTCATCAAGCTCCCGTTTCCGGAAAATTTCTCGTGGTTTAGTTTGCGGTTGACTTCCGCTTGGGTAAGGTCGACATCGCTTGCGCCAGATCGCTTCCAGATCTCCAAGGAGGAACTAGTCGAGTTCCCGACGTCCCACGCGCAATCGATGGTACTGAAGCGGCCCTCGGTGACCCACTCGACGAAGTATTGGATTGACAGCGCATGGTTATATTGCATGCCGGACTCGCAGAAAGAGAATGCAAGAGCCAGAGTCATAGATCCATCGTCGGAGAAAGCTCTAATCAGGCCAGTTAGTTTGTTGGTTGGATATAATCAGCCATGCTATATCAGAGTTACTGACCCAGCTGGTTGGTGGAAAGGTTCAACAAATCTTAAGCCTGTGATGGGCTCGAAGGTTCCGGCGTCCATGAATTGTACAGGGCCGCCGAGGGCATCGGCTACGCAGACGCCCCAGATTGCACCTTTGGCTCGGGATTCCGGAGAAAGGGACATGGTGAGATGGCCAGATGTCCTGATCAGATCTGATGTTTGTTTTGGTCCGAGGGGATGTTACGTCTTATGAAGATTCGGTCGGAAGTATGGGATGACAGGATAAAGCTTCCTTGAAAGACTAGAGGCTTTAGCTGTCGAGTCAACAACCCTGAAAGGCGCAGCGCATCAAGCCAAACAAGATTCAAAGAGCTATGGCCTCCACCATCCCATCGATGATACGATATGAACGAGAATGCGTCATCTTTCAACGCAACGTCCATTAACGAACTTGAACACGAGATCTTGGAGGATTGATATGTGCGGGCTAACTCAGCCTAGGCCTTACACTAGGCGCCACAGCCTTCCCCACCTACTCAGGGCTTTGTGCCTGGACTAGCTCGTGTTGTTGCCTAGACTTATAATCGCTGATTGGGCCTTTCATCAGAGCTAGGTACATCAAGGGCCACTACGGAGTACATCTTTCAGCTTGGTGGTGGACGGCCTAAGGTGCCTCAACTCTATGAGTGTAGGTACAGCCACCGTCATGGCCCAGCTCTGTGCAGTATAGTTGATGTATCTATCGGCATACCTTGCCCACTAAATACATGTATCTATCTATTTCGGAGGCCAGACAGTGTCTTTCCAAGGCCGTCCTTGAGTCTCCTTCGCTAAATCCTCCAGAGTCTTCCACTTCCACAGCCGCTGACCGGGGTTCACAAGCTCATTATCAACTCCAAGTCCAGAAGCGGTATGATTGATACTCCCATCACCCATCAAAAACCGCAAATAAGCAGCCGGATCCCACGATTCCTTAGCCGTAGTCTTCGCCTTATACTCCTCATACGGAATTTCCGCCACATCAATGCTCCCAGCACCGGCAGCCTGCATGATCTCCGCAATCTCTGTAATCGACCGAGTATCACCGCCAACATGAACGATCTCAGGAATCTTCTCATCGGGAAGAGTCGCCAGCGAAGCGACCGTCTTGCCGACATCCGTCAGCGAGGTGAAAGAAATCGGCGACCGGGGCGGTCCCACGCTGACGTATTTCCCGTTATTTGTGTCCAGACCGAACCATGGCCCGATACTGTCTTCTAGGAAGAGACCGCAGAATACACGGCAGATCTTCAAGTGTGTGACGACGGGCTGGGCGTTTGCCAAGTGTTTCTTTTTCTCGTACCACTCGAGGTGGGCGAAGTCATGGCCGTAGTGGTCGACGCCGAATTCGGATGGGAAGTACACTTTGATGTCCGTTCGTGGTAGGGCGGCTGCGATCTTGGTTTTGAAGTCGTGGCCGGCGGGTCCGACTGTGTTGACGAGGATTTGGACGCCCCGCAGGGCTTCTTCTAGGTTGTCTTCGTCGTAGCGTCGTGTTGTGACTTTGACGCCGGCTCGTAATTCTTTGGGCTCGAATAGACCAGATTCTTTTCTGGAGAGGAGGATGATTTCAGAGAATTTGTCGTGGAAGGCGGAGGAAAGGAAAGCTGTCGTGACATGCTTGCCCAGATGCCCTGTGGCTCCGGCGATAGCGACGACTGGTCGTGTTGCAGATGCCATTTGTGTAATTTAAGAAACTGATGAGGGAACGTTGTTGAAGAAGGGTTCAGGGCAAACATGGGGCAATCGTCCAGTTTTTATACCTACTTCGCCATGTTGATTATGGCCCATGGGTCGTTACGTCACCGACAGACTGAACAACCAGCCCAACGGATTCAGCAGCTCTGATTGGCCAGTGTTTAAGGTTTGTCTTGGGAGCAAACAGCCCAAACAAGCCTTCAGCCAATCAAATCTCAGTATCTACGTGTTGTTTCGACAGGATGTTTGCACGGGCAAGTGGATAGGATCTACTCCGTACACCGTACTCCGTAGCTGAGAGACGGATGATACGGACATAAATCATGATGCATTGTTTTAGCGAAGTTCTCGACTGTATTTCATAGCTAGTTCCAACATGAGAAAGCGCTGGTTAGCTTCGGCAGAATGCTGTTCATCAAAACCCCGAAAGACCCCGCGTAATATGAATGACCTGAGGACCGAAAAATATCTCTTCTGAAAAAAATACCCAATATACCTAGGTATAGACTAAGCTTTCCTGCGCTTACACTCATTTCAACTTCCAGTCATACGTATATTAGTTTTCCATGCTCAGGTACTTCGCCTCAGCGCCCTTGATGCAAGCAATGTTGGCACCGAGCTTGTTCAGCGTCTCAACGTACTCATCATAGGGGTCCGAGTCGAAGACAATACCACCACCAGCCTGGAGATAAGCAACGCCATCCTTGACCATCATGGTGCGCAGCGCAATGCAGGTATCCATCGCACCGGGCATCTGAGCGGAGCCATCGGCATTGGCACTATCGTATCCGAAATATCCAACGGCACCAGCGTAAACGCCACGCTTCTCACCCTCCAGCTCGGCGATGAGCTGCATGGCGCGCACCTTAGGTGCACCAGAGACTGTGCCGGCGGGGAAGATGGATCGGAATGCATCGAAGCGGGTCATACCTGGCCGCAACTCTCCGGAGACCTGAGAAACCAGGTGCTGCACGTGTGAGAATTTTTCCACGACCATCAGGCGATCAACTTGTGTTGTGGTGGGGTCGCAGACTCGGTTTACGTCGTTGCGGGCGAGATCGACCAGCATGACGTGCTCGGCGCGATCCTTAAGACTGCTGCGGAGCTCGTCGGCCAGAGCAGCATCCTCCTCCGGGGTCTTGCCGCGCTTCACAGTACCGGCGATGGGGTGGCTGATGATGCGTCCCCGCTCTTCCTTAACCAGGAGCTCGGGACTGGCTCCCACAAGCTGGAAGTCTTGGCAGTCGATATAGAACAGATAAGGTGAAGGGTTGACAGTGCGAAGGTGGCGGAAGAGGTTGTAGGGGTGCAGAGAAGTGGGTCGTGATAGTCGCTGTGATGGCACGGTCTGGAAAATATCGCCCTTGGCGATGTGCTGCTTCAGCCGGTTGACATGGCCCTCATATCCTTCTTGTCCGATATTGGATGTGTACTCCTGGTTCTGAATGATCGGACCCTGGGGTGGTAGAGGTATACGCTCCTGGAGCAGCGTATCAATTGTTTTTTGAATGATCGTCTGGCCCTGGAGATATGAAGCTTCGATATCGGCGTCCGCCGAGGGAATGGGCACGTATGTGATGACCTTAACGACCTGGAAGAAATGATCGAATGCGATGATGGTATCGAAAAGCATGAAGAACGATTCGGGTACTCCGAGCACATCCTTCATCGGCCGCGCCGTCTTGGGCTCAAAGTATCTAACACAGTCGTATCCAACATATCCGATAGCTCCGGCTGTCAGTGGCGGGAGAACCAATCCAGGGACTGTCGCAACGCGGAACTGAGAGAGCTCTTCCTCGAGGTATGGGAGGGGATCCGCTGCTGGGCCATGCCCCTCGCCGGTCTTTATAACTTTTCTAGGGTCTGCATGAAAGAAATGTGTAAGCGATAGGATTGGACCGAAGCTCCCGGGACCACCCACCTGCACCAACAAAGCTGTATCGTCCAATAGTCTCTGTAGTAGCAGCACTCTCATATAAGAATGACAAACGCGAGCTATATCTGCGAGTCAGTGATATTATCCAATACTACTTGCCCCGCCTTACGTTAGAAAGAACCATATGACTCACTTCTCTGCAATCTTCAGATATGCCGATGTTGGGGTCAAGAGGTCGGCAGAGATCGATGCCGTGACAGGGAGTAGATTGGGAGGGAATTCTGAGTTTCTCGACTTCGCGATTACTTCTCGCGCCGTCTCGAGGGACGGGACACTAGCGACCTGAGTTATGGTGGATGAGCATGTGTAAAATATCGCTGGGCGTATCACAGAGCAGAGAAAAGCACTAGCCAAATATGCGCGAACTTACGGAAGGTGCCATTGTTTTAATGTGTGGCTGGAATCGACGAGGCGAGCAGAGAACTGTAGAGGAAGGATTGATTTGGCGGTGGGAAAACGATTCACTGTGGGGGGGTATCGACGGCCGCGGGTCCGGCGCCCAGCCCGCACTCTATTTGACAATGGATTTGAGATTGAACAAGAGCTCAGGAGTTTTATATCAACATTAGGACTCTCGGCATAGCTGTAGACGAGAGAGGCCTACACATTTCCCAGGTACGATATCCCGAAATCAATTGTATGCGTCGGAATGTGGACTAGTATCAAGGGGTAGATCGGTATCGATAAAGACACCTTGGATTACATGTAAACAAACGAAGATTTTCCACTTTCGAAAATGGTGTATTTTCTTGATTATCAGACAATAATAGTGAGTTTGAGGTATCACACAGCCCATCTGATATGGGGGGGGGGGAAGAGGAAAAAAAAGGCCAAAGAAAAGTCCACCGTCGCCAGTCCATGTCATTCGCCGTGCCTACCCAAACCTGTCCCAAGCAATGCATGCCATTATGCATTTTCTAAATCAGAAAAATGTATGTTCACAGAAGGTAAAAAGTCAAAAAAACATCAGAGAATCCATGAAGGTGTGATATGTCTTCAAGGGAAGCTTTTCAAGGGGGAATTGTCGGATTAGTTCCAGCAGGGCATGAGTCATGAGTTTTATGTCGCTGTTCAAACTCGCTCCGTCATCGTTGCAAATTAATGATTGCCATCTTGTGAGAACATGTCAGTATGGGAAAATTAAAACAGGCCAAGAAAACCAGGGAGCATACCTGTTTGTCGAAGCCGCAGGCAAGTCGCTTTCCATCTGCATCCCAAGAAAGAGGTCGGAAGTGATCTGAATTTGTATGACCATTCTGACCATGGTGTCCGTTTTGTCCATTGGTCATGCGGTCGGCTTCCTCCTTCTTCACCTCCGGGGTGGTTGTGGTCCAGGTGGACATGGGGTCACCACCACGTTCGACGTTCCAGATAAAGAGCCGGTCCTTGCTGACTGCGCTGAGGGCGTATCCATCAGGGGAGAAGGATCCAGCGAGAACGGGGTTTGATGGATCTAAACTCAGCTGATGTATGCACGTATAATCTTTCACATCAAGATCAATCCTCCAAATCTTGACTTTGCCGTCCGCTGAGAAGGAGGCAAGATGAATTCGATGGGCATGTGACTGAGGGCGAATCTCGAGGCCCGTGATCTTGGCGTCGTGGGCGTTGGGGATAAGAATGTCATGGGTTGGGACCCAAATTGCAGCGCTTGATTTAGACGCTGCGATTGCAACGGCATGAGTGTCGGTTTGGACACAGCGAATAAACTCCCAACTCGCATCGTCTTTGGCAGAAGAAAATGTTTTGAGCAAACGGATGCTATGGTCAACTTCGCATTGATAAACAGCCCCATGGCCAGAAGCAAATACCAGGTTGCGCCCACACCATGCGAGTCCGTAAATATGATCTTCAATTACTTGAGGTGGAGGGAAAACCTCCGGCCGTCGACTGTCGTCCCAAAGCGCAAGTTCTGAGACGTTTTGATTTGAGGCCACAACAACCAGCTGCGAGTTGCCGTCTGCCCAATGTAGGCCAGTGATAATCCGCGGCACCTCTGGCAGTAAGTCGACTGCTTCACCATTGACGTTGTACATGGTGATAGTTCCTCTATCATCAGTACAAGTCGCCACAGCCAATTTCTCGCCAATGGTATCCCAGGCCACGGTTGAGACAGTTGTGCTCCCCTTCTTGAGATCAACGATCTTCTTCTCCACAGGTTCAGATGACGTGAGCTTCCACAGGCTGCAAAACAGTTCACCAGCCCCCACCACAGTAGTGGAATCCCGAGGACGCCATATGGCATTAGTCACGTGATTCTCCGCATCCAGAAGGGCGGTGTCAGGCGTCAAATCGATGGGCTTGGCGGGGGCGATCTGGGCGCCAGAGCTGTAGCCATTTTCCAGGGTGGTAGGCATTTCGGGAATCTCCTCGGCCATGCTGATGTCACCATCATCGTCAAGGTGATCGGGAGTCCCTGGCTGACTTTCAGTCTGCGCCTTGTCCTCCATGGACTCATCAGTGTCAGTCTCGTCCTTTCGGGGGTCCTTTCCAGGCTCGGCGTGACCGTTCACCGGGCGATCGCGCGTAAGTTGGCCCGGCGAATCTACGTCTATGTGGACAGCCTCATCGTGACTCTTCACAGATCCAGTTTCAAAGGGCACTGGTCCGAAAAAATAATCAGAGGGTGAAATGGTGATGTGATTGCCCTCCTGAGCAGTGCGATTAGTTATATTTTGAATTCAGACAAAAGACAGTAGATCTTTTTGCGTTGGCGCGTAAAAAAATGGGTTAAAATTAGACATACCTTGTCCAATGAGGCCTCCATTTCATGATATTGCAGGCCCTTCTGGACTAGCGACACCAGCGCATGGGTTTTAATATAAGGCGCAAACGGAAGCGTCTGCGGGTCAGGATACCATGCGCGTTGCAAAGACACAGCAGCATCGCCATGGCCTAGATTGGGTTAGAGATCAAACAGGGGACTGCCTAAAGTCAAGGGGAAACCAACCTGCTTCTTGGAGGTACCTGTGAGAACAACACTATTAGTTTCTGCAAAACATAGGCGCATGTCGCATGTCACTTACCTCCATATTAAATAGTTGACATGATGCGACGTGAGATCGGGTTGTGCCATGATTACATGTGCGACCAGCTAAGGGCCGCGAACATGCCAAAGAGGGAAGAGCTGCTTGACGCGAAAATCAAAGTGGAGGCTTCGATGCGCGGAGACGAAGCTATGAGAACACGGAACACGAGGCCGGAAAGGGAAGGAAGTTCCGGATAAATAAGAGAAAAAAAGGGGGGGGGGTGTTCTTGGATCTTCCAGGAACTTAAGACTTTGAGACTTTGAAGATCGAAGTGAAAGCCAAGACAAGGGAGAACTGAAGTTGGGGGGGGGGAGAACAAGTGTGAGGAAGATGTACCGGGGGAGTCCAGATCAAGAGGGGTGGAAGTGAGTCCCGCAGAGTTCAGAGCCCAAAATAAAATGACAGAGCTCCAAGAGAGAGGGGAGAGAGAGAGGGAAGACAAAAGTGAAAGTGAAGATCTGAGATTAAAGGATCCAGAATGTTTGGCAGAAGTCCAGAGTTTAGCACTAGCCACTGGATCCTCCCTGTGGCGTCCTCCACACTTCCATCGTCATTTATCGTTCTTTCGCTTTCGATCTACCTGTAGGGACTCATCGACATCTACTCTACTGAATATCTCGATGGGAACCCGGAGACTCTGAACCCGAGACACTGGTGCCTCCTGAAACTCCTTGAGGGCTCTTCTACCCTGTCAAGCGCGAACAGCCCAAAGATGGGAGTGGTTCTCCACACCTCGGGGGATTTCAGCACGAGCACTTTTGAACTTTCAGTATTGGAGAGACAGTGACACAATAACCGGGTTATACCTGACCTCTCATTGCAGGGATCGATTTTACCTTTCGGATCTCCAATATCAATGGCCTACATCCTCGTTGAACTGCATCCACCCGAACCTGCAGGCAAGTCCGAGATGGTGGATCGTGGCTAGTGATGCCGCGGGTTACCGCTTGACACTTGGATTGGCGCATTCCCTGGACGCTGTACGGAGTACTTGTCGCCTCCTTTACTACAACATCACTCGATTGAGCCTGCTTTCACTTATATCTGAAGGGTCTGCTAGGTTGTATCTTCCTCTCTCTCTTGTAATATACCCCGGGCAGTACCGAGGTACTTTGGCCACGGTGTGTTACCAAGGATATTTACGAGGATGTCGGCCAAATAATGGGTGCATAATCTATGATATTAACGATCCCCAGGCGGAGTGGGATATGGAACAGGTACATATATGCATATATCTCATCATGAACCATCAATATATGTAGATATGACCTATCTGGTCCGTCATTCCGTTGAACTACATACTCAACCCCTACAGAGTCATCTCCCTGGAGGAAATAGAGAAATCAAGTCAATACCTACATGTAGGTAAAATACCTAATGTATTAGTAGTACGGCGTAAGACAAATTACATGTAGAGAGGATGCAAAACAAAGGCGACGAACGTATCTAAAAATATGATGTAGGCTGTGCTACTCTTGAAGCATCTAGCGACGGGCCAAACATGGGTGCCTCCGCCTTACGCTAAGCTTCCCACCTCAACTTTCTCCCATCTCTTTGTTGACGGCCTGTGGTCAGCGTCTTGCAAAGAGCTCCAAGAGAGCTCCAACATGTCGCTCCGAATTAACATTCCCCCGGCCACTCGGTTTTGTCTCGTCGGCCTTCTCACCCTCTCTCTACTTTACAACATTGCCAGATGGCGACAAATTGACACCACCGGCGGTACTCCGACCACATCACCTCTCGTCCCTTACCTGACTCTCGTTCCGTCTTATTTCTATTACTACCCTTGGACAATTGCCACCGCTACATTTGTCGAACAAAATATATTCACCGTCCTTCTCAACGCCGCCACCATCTTCTATGGCGGTAAATACCTCGAGCGCGCCTGGGGCTCGCGCGAGTTCAGCAAGTTCATCGCCGTCGTCGCCATGATCCCCTGCCTAGCCATCATCCCAATCTACCTTGTATGGGGAGGAATTACAGGCTCTTCAAGCAGAAGGTATGAAAACTCCCGGTCTCCAAATCAAAGCAATTGACCGTGCGAAAACTAACCATGATCTGGTAACCCAAACAGCCTCACCCAAATCTGCGGCGGCGTTTCCATCCAAGCCTCCTTCCTAGTCGCTTTTAAGCAACTCGTCCCCGAACACACCGTCACAGTCTTCAAAGGAATGATCAAAATGCGCGTAAAGCATTTCCCCGCCCTCTTTCTCCTCCTAAACACCATCAGCGGCCTCGTCATCGGCACCGACACCGCCGCAGTCCTAGCCTGGCTCGGCATCCTCTCCAGCTGGACCTACCTCCGCTTCTATAAGCGCCAGCCCGACCTAACAGGCACAACGAGCGCCGGCACAGGCATCAAAGGCGATGCCAGCGAGACCTTCGCCTTCGCCTGCCTCTTCCCCGACGTGATGCAACCGCCCATCGCATTCATCGCAGACCAGGTCTACGCCCTGCTAGTCACATTCAAGATCCTGAAGCCGTTCTCCGCGGACGATATCGCCTCCGGCAACGAGCAGGTTCTGGCTAGAGGCGAGGCCGGGTTGCCGACGCTGTTGAACAGTCGTGGGGCCGGGGCAAGGGGTGCAGCCAAGCGCGAGGAAGCGGAGCGGAGACGTGCCGTTGCGCTCAAGGCTTTGGATCGGAGGTTGCAGGCTGCTACGGTTGGCCGCGTGCAGGCGGGTTTGGGTGAGCCGAGTTCGTCGCAGCCCCGTCCTGCTACCCCGACGCCGGCGACCGCTGCTGGTCAGAGCATGCTAGGCGAAACTAGTTATAACCCTGACCATGCATGAGCTTCTTAGACTTCTTTTTGTGCTCTGGCGTTTTGTGAAGCGCTCTGGGTTTGGCTATTTGGACATATTCGCATATCTGACTTGGGTTGGTGTGTGGCTTGGTTTCTATACTGATAGTGTGTCTACTTCTGATGATGTACATGATGCATTTGGTTTCTTTTTGTGTTTCTATTTTTCAACTCTGGTTGTTAGGCCGGCCAATTTCCAAGGTTGACTGCTGTGGCTTTAGCCTTGAAATCAAAATACTTTATACTACTCTGCGAGATATCTATGCTAAAGATGATTTGAATTATAATATTGCTTGGTAAATCTTTAAATATCCATTGATTTTGAGGATTTGAGAGGAAATGCGTTTTCGAAGCAAGTATAGTATACACATGGATTTTAGCCCGGTTATTCCCTTTCTGCATTGATCTCCATCTCGGCCTCCTCGTCCAGCAATGGCACAAATCGGAAGTCTACAAAGCAAACTGGCCCATTAGGGCCCTTCATGCCAGCACCAATTGATCTGCCCACAGGGATGTTATTATCATCAAGTTCAACCATGAACTGTAGACTCAACACCCCCTGTCGATCCCCGCGAATGCTCACTTTATTAGCGACAGACATAGCTCTTGCAGCCTTGCGAACCAGCGCAAAACGATAGCTCTGTTGGATACGATCGCCCATAGAAGAGGGAGGGGAAACAAGGAAAGTCTCCGTGACCGTAGGAGCAAGCTTAGCTCTGGTTGCGCGAGCGCGGGAAGAGCCATCGTCAGCCAGCACCTTATGCGTTTGGGACTGTACAGCGCCCTGGCCAGCACCACCGATGATCTCGTTATGCTGATCAACGGAAAATTCGACAGTGGATTCACTGAACGGACCACCTGCACCGGAAAGGGCGAAGTACGGTTCTCGCTTGGCACAGGCGGACAATTTTAGAACTGTGGGGGTTGAGGAGTTCAGTTCAGCTATGGCATTGTGCAGCCAGGCGGAGCGCATGATGATTTTCATGATGATGGCGTCGCGCTGGAGAGGGATGTCTGCTTCGTCTTCGTCGGGTTCGTAGGTGACCAGCTCGCAGGTTGTCTTCACGCCGGCTTCGGTGATCGTGATGCTTAATGGAGCACCATGTCGGGCGTATTGCAGGGTACAAGATCGGTTCATGAGCAGGGCGGGGGCATTGAATGCGCTTGACGAGGCGGCATGGGTTTGGGTAATGCTAGTCTCGCGGGTTCGGTTGGACTCGGAGAGCTCGTTGATGCCGAAGATCTTTAAGGTGTCGAGGACGGCGGAGATGGAGACGACAAATTGGGGGTATAACTCATTTTGGGATTCGTCGTTGTCCTGGGGTGATTCATTTTGATTGTCGGGTTCGGTGTCGGGCGATGGGTTAAACGCGTAGCTGGTGAAAAGAGATTTGTCGAGGAAGGCTAGTCCTTGGATGACGCGGCCTTCCTCCACTGAGAACCGAATGCCATCCGGGGTAATTTGAACGGTGGCCTTGTGCGCGAATCCAATGCAGGATAGCAGCGTGTAGAGATGGTGGGCGTTGCTAGTGACGCCTGCGAATAGGGGCGACATTTCGTGATGCAGGCTGCTAGCTCCAACTTCTCAGGTGCAATACTGGCACAGAACGAAGATGATGGACCCGAAGATGTGTGTGATGTCTTTGGATGGTCTAGTAGTACAGGCTTCTCCGAACCCAACGCTTATGGTACATCTGAGGGGAGGTGTGATAGGAGAGGTGATTGGTTAGACGTAGACTCCGGCGGCACAGATCATGAATACAGCTCCAAAGCTACCCGAAAAAGCTCAATCAGTACATCGCATGTCGAAAAGATGGAACGCGAACCATTACTAACCCAAATGCCAATGCGGCCGGAACTCCCAAGGACGCGATACCGAGGAAAGACCGATCTGTTTAATGGATGTTAGAGCGGGCCCAGACTATGAAGGCTGGAATGGCAACTTACTCAGACCAAAGACAATACTTGTGATCAATGCTATTGAAAATGATTAGAGAGTGGTATTTCTTAACGCTGTGACAGATCATGAAGCTTACCGACAAGGAGCAGGTTGAAGCCGACGGTGAACTGGCTGTCCTTGCCAATGAGGGGGATAAAAGGAGTTGCAGAGGCTGCCTCCCAGACTTCGTTCAGAGACATGAGGAGAATGTAGTTTGTTAAAAAATCAATTGACAAGAGATATAGGTCAATGGAGGAAGAAGCTTCGATTATAGCATTAGGAGGGATTGTCCTGCGCTCTTGCGACTTATAGATCGACATTGTTGATCTGGCCCCATCGGAGCTCGGAACTTTGTTTATCCGACCGTCCCCCATATCATGTGGGCTACTACACCAGCCAATTTGAAAGGTCAAGGACATCATGGCTATTGAATCACCGAAAAGTAAGTGATATTTGAGAACCGTCTTATTTCTCACTCAAACAAGGACCTGTTTCCTGACATATTCCAACGGTAGGTTTCAAGCGCAAAGCCTCTGAGGAGATAGCTTCCCCGGAATCCGGGCACCAGGCCAGCAAGAAGGCACGCACAGATTCACCTGAGAAAGAGGTAAGAGCGACCGACTGTTAAACTGCTTCGCGTTCACTCTAACATTCATACCGCACAGGAAGATGGCCCTCTCGATAAGTCGCCTCTCCGCATTGTCCCATTTCCTGAGAAGGTACTTCCCAACCCACACCACATCTTGCCATGTCTCCAAGTCCCTGAGACACCATGACTGACGAAACTCAGCCCGCTGTGCTCGAGGAACGCCGCGGTGACATCGAGTTCCGCGTCGTCAACAACGATGGTTCCCACGATAGCTTTATCGTCCTGACGGGCCTGAAGTGCATCTTCCAGAAGCAACTCCCGAAAATGCCCAAGGACTATATCGCGCGTCTTGTTTACGATCGATCGCATCTGTCCATGGCAATTGTGAAGCACCCACTGGAGGTTGTAGGGTAAGTAGCGGACTCAAGCTTGCCGAAATTGAGAAGATTTGAATACTGATCATCTACAGAGGAATCACCTATCGTCCGTTCAATACTCGAAAGTTCGCCGAAATTGTCTTCTGTGCTATCTCCTCCGATCAACAAGTCAAAGGATATGGTGCGCACCTGATGTCCCACCTCAAGGTATGTTTACAATTCTGTGGTTTGCCCTGGACACACACCTGACTTAATTGACCATTAGGACTACGTCAAAGCCACTTCCCCCATCATGCATTTCCTTACCTATGCCGATAACTACGCCATTGGATACTTTCAGAAACAAGGCTTCACCAAGCAGATCACCCTTGACAAATCGATCTGGATGGGCTACATCAAGGACTACGAGGGTGGCACGCTCATGCAGTGCACCATGCTCCCCAAGATCCGCTACTTAGAGATGGGTCGCATGCTCGCCAAACAGAAGGAGTCGGTACAAGCGAAGATCCGCGCTTTTAGTCGCTCGCATATCGTCCACCCCCTCCGAAGGAATGGAAGAACGGGGTCTATGCGCTCGATCCTCTTAGCATTCCCGTAATCAAGGAATCCGGATGGTCGCCTGATATGGATGAGATGGCTCGCCAGCCTCGTCATGGACCTAATTACAATCAACTGTTGCATCTGTTGAATGATATGCGGAATCACAGTGCAGGCTGGCCATTTGCTCAGCCTGTTAACCGCGACGAGGTTCCAGACTACTACGAGGTGATTCTGGAGCCTATGGATCTGTCGACCATGGAGGAAAAGCATGAGAAGGACTTGTATCCAACACCACAGGATTTCATCAAGGACGCCATGCTGATTTTCGACAATTGCCGAAAATACAATAGCGAGACCACATCCTACGCTAAGCTCGCCAACAAGCTCGAGAAGTTCATGTGGCAGCAGATCCGGAATATTCCAGAGTGGTCGGTACGTATTTACAACCTTGATCTTTTTCACCGCACACATACTGACTATGTCATCTAGCATCTTGCCGATAATCATTGATCTGGCAACATACTTTTACTGCAGCGAGGGCGTTTTTATGGAACGGCGTTGAGGGCATTGGACTTTGATGGGCAATACCCTGTTGATAGATTACTATGGCACACAGTTTTCACTGGCTTATGAATTAATGCCAGTTTATGAATGAATTCTCTTCTCGGACTTCCTGGACGTTCACGATATAAAACTTAGTATGTAGAGAAGTATCTTGAGTTTAGTTTAGGGTCTGCCATGCGCTCTACATGCTCGTGATCATATTCCCTATGGGTTTCTGTTGGCGTCAAAATGCAAAGCCAAGCACTCGTGGCGTTGTTTGGTCTTATGGTGTGCTTGTTCAGTAACGGCGATGTTTGATCACAACCATAGTTGGTGAGGCATCCACGATGTCTTCCGGGGTAAATAGTGAGACGTGTCGCGAGTTCAACTCACACTTCCCCCTCTATGGCAACACACAAGCCAAAGAATCAAAAACTGAGATCTGACCATCCCCCCTTCTCAAGATGGCGACGCAAAGGGTTCTTCGCCTCACCGACCGTACGTCCTGGCATAGCCTTACCGAATTCCGAGAACCATGTCCATCGGCCGGGAAACACGAAGTTCTCATCAAGATTCGAAGTGTGGCTTTGAACCTTAGGGACATCGTCATTGCGACAGGAAAATACCCCTTTCAAGTGAAGGCTCAAGTGATCCCCGGTTCCGATGCAGCTGGTGACATTATCAAGGTTGGCGAGGGTGTTTATGGTTTTGCTGAAGGTGATAGGGTGGTTATCTGCTATGACCAAGCAACGCAGTATGGACCGCTCAAATCTTGGGGTCAAGGATTAGGTGGCCCGGTTGATGGTGTGATGAGGGAATACATTTGCGTTCCTGCGCATACTGTCGTGAAGATCCCGGAGTATTCCACTCTTACCTATGCGCGATGGGCTAGTGTGGCCTGCGTGGGCGTCATAGCTTGGAATGCTTTGCATGGAGCCGTGCCAATCAAGCCCGGTCAGACGATCCTGTTTCTTGGTAAATAAAGCCCAGTCTCTTTCTCGGTTTCTCCTGCTTGGTGAGTTGAGGTTACTAATGTCCATCTAGGAACTGGTTGCATGAGTATCACAGGCCTTATCATAGCCAAAGCCGCTGGAGCCACGACGATCATCACATCCTTTTCTGAAGAAAATCTGCAATATGTGGAGATGACGTATGCACCCGACCATACAATCAATTGCACCGAGACACCAGACTGGGCTGCTGAGGTACTGAAGCTCACCGCCGGCCAGGGAGTGGATCATATTTTCGAGATCGGGGGCTCCGCAACTATCCAGCACTCATTCAGAGCTCTGGCGTATGGCGGAGTGATTTCTATCATGGACTGTCTTTCCCCGGGAGTGCATAACACAATGCCTGATGTGGTGACCCTTGCTTTGTGGAAAGGTGCGACTGTACGCGGTATCTTGAATGGCTCGAAGCAGCAATTGGAGGAAGTCGTGAGGTTCATTGGTTCGAAGAATCTCAAATTGCCTGTGGAGAAGACTTTTGAGTTTGGCTGCGAGCAGGTCATTGAGGCGTACAGTTATCTCGCCAGTGGGCAACATATTGGGAAAGTCTGCATTGATTTCTAATGGCGTGCGCGATCTATGAAATTGGTCGGGAACATCGGGATAGTCAGGTACACTTCAGGGGCTAGATCGTCTAGATCAATCCCATGGATAGATCGATCCGTTGATCGCTCCTTACACCAATCATATTTTTAGACGGAGTGCTTGGGTATGGCTTGTGGGGCTGGCGTCTGTCAAGCTCTGGGTACCTTTTGATGCGTCGAATGGCTTGATCATTCGCTCCGTCAGGACAGGAGTACTCCGTATAGAGGAGTTCGGAGTAGTTGTTCTCCGGCCCTGTAACGAAGAGCATGGATGATGATGTATGATGCAATAACCTAAACGTCGAGGTTAATTCCTCCCCCTGACGAGTGGACCTTAATCTCGGATCATTGTTGTTACGACTTCGTGTTGGTTCGAAGAATGTGGATGGCTGGAATAGCCTCACTACTTCACCCTTACCTCGGTCTTTCGTTTCGTTAGTGGGCTTGTATCGTTCAAGCCCTTTCGTTTCTTTTTTTTTGTAGTTGCTGAGCAATCGTTCATCTGTTTGTGCTATCACTCTCAGGGGGTTCAATATCCACCACTTCCCAATTATTCGATCTCGCGTGGATATCAATTCTTCTCCACGACCCCTCATTTCTCTCCCAATTCTTTCTCGTTTCTAGTCGCGTCCATATTGTTTACTAGCATTTGTTGGGGTGTGTTGATATTCGTCACTTTTCGACGTGACCTTCATCTCCCTTCCCCCCCTTTTGCTCCCCGCCTTTGTTTTGACTTTTCGGTGCTGGTTATTTCACCGTTGTCAACCTTCGACACACTGCCAATATGTCTCACGACTTCGTCGATGCGGAGTCGCGTAACCGCCTACCGACCCTCTTTGAGGTTCTGAGCCGCCGAACTCTCGCCCCGGTCGACCTGTTTTCGTTCTACATTTACATGCGCGATCAGCAGCGTTCCGTGGACTATCTGGACTTCTGGTAAGTGCAGGCCCCTGTTGAATGATACAGACTGGTATTAACTATTCTCCTAGGCTTGATGTATCTCAACATATGTTATTGTGCCGACACTATGTCCGTGAACTACGTCGTTCTGTCCTGATCGCGACTCCCGATCTAGAAGCGATCGATCACAACCGATCGTCTGCCATGCTAGATAATCTAGAGAACCTCGGTGATATTCCACTAACAGAAGCTGGGCCTTCGCGTCTACGGCGCGAATTCCAGGAAAATGAGAAAGACAGGGACGCCGACCACCGCCTGTCGGCATTCCTACGCTCCGATGGCCACACCACATCACCTTCCCGGCAAAATAGTTTGGGATCATCAAATGAATCAGCACATCGAGTTCCTTCGCCGGAAGATGGTCGTGATACCCCGGATTCCAGGCGTAACGACTCAAACTCCCCTGGACACACCGTGGATCGCAATGACATTCGCGCCAGCGCCGAGAAGATTCTGTACACATATCTGCTCCCTGGCTCCGAGCGAGAGATCATGCTACCAGAATCAATGGTTTCGACAATTATCAATCTAGTTGAAGACGATGGCCGAGATGACCCCGAAGTGTTCGACCCCGCTAAGGACTATGTGTTCCAAGCCATGGAGCGTGATGCATTCCCAGGATTTTTGCAGGCAAAAGCTCTTGGAAACATGGTTCCCTTGAGTACAATATTGCGCTTGGCTTTTGCTCTGATCAGTTTCGGTGGAGCCTTCTGGGCGGCTTTCTACGTTGTCCTGCGAGACAAGCCTCGGAGCATTCGCTGTTGGGTATGTTATTGATTGGTTCGATCCAAGAATGGCCGAACAATGGCGCTAAACTTGACACAGGTTATCCTTCCCTTTGCTGTCGCTGCATACTTCATCATTTCTTACCAGTACAAGATCGACCCCGTCATGGCGTTCCTGGGCTACAGTGAATATACATTTATGAACTGGGCCCCTATTCGCGAGCCATATGTCCGAAAGCTACTGAACAAGCGCGCCGTCGTTACAGCAACAATCGCCTTCGTGACAGCAGCAGCGTTAAGCATCTTATTCATTTTCGTCCCCGGTACCATGATGTGAGCGTTTCGTCACATTAAGTGTCCACCTAATTCGCACATCCCAAAATTAATCGCTCCCGTCAACTTCGTCAATCATTGCCACCATGCCTAAAATTGATTTCCAAGGTTGACTTGGCCGAGGCGTTATCCCTGTGGTTTCTGAAACAGCCAGGTTCTAGTCGTGTGACAGAAAATCTTGAAACTAGGACTGAAGTCCTTGGCCAATTTTCCTCAGGGCTATACAGAAGAGACTATGGTCTCTATCCATCCTGCTTACCCGCTTATTAGCGGCCACATTTACTTTGTCATGTCCATATTTATTGTTGTTCTTTTTCCCCTTTGCTGTGATTTTTCTTCTCTTCTACCAATACCCCTTTTGACTTTCAAAATTTGTACTGTATCTACGTTTTCAATAATGAGTGTCGCCATTAGGGCTTTACGAATGCAACTTGCTGCTGTTCAATTTCCATGAAATACCGTCCATACAAGGAGAAGTCGGGCCATAATCAAGTCATTTCGTATCATAAAGTCCGAACCGCTAGCGGGGCCGTTGAAGCCAGTTACTCCGAGCAACAAATTGTATCCTTGCCATAGGAAATGATCATCAAGCCCACGTTTCAGGATTTCCGCCCCAACACCCGCTTCGGTTGCCGACTATTTCCCGCGCGAGCGCCGGGGCCCTCATCAATTTCCATGCGGGATCCTTCGCCATCATGGTCAAAGAACCCATCATCCTGATCAATATCATTCGCGTCCCTCTTACTGCCGCCAATCCCGGAGCCAAGCCGACCACCGCGTCGAGTATTCTTCTTCGCCCCCGCACTAGCCTTTTTGCTCAGAGCATCCGCGACAGCCTCATTGTGCGCCTGCTCGCGCGCAGCGTTCTTCGCGGCATTGCTCTTGATGCGCGCAATCTCTGCCTCCAGATCGGAGGCGACATCGCTGCAGCGCGACTCCCACTCGGTCAGGCTGGCGATCATATTGGGTAGGGACTGGGGCTGGACGTCGCGGAGGGGAGCTACGGCTGTCACGTTAACGGAGGGGGGTTGGATGCTGGTGAGAGGCGGGCTGTGATCAGGGAGGCGTAGATGGCTGTTGTCACGAGGGATTCGAGCTCGGCTTTTGTGGGGATGCTGAGGGCGGTCATCAGGGCGCTGTAGGTGAGGGGTTTGATTGTTGTTGAGAGGGTGAGGAGAGAGAGGAGGCGGAGTTTGAGGGTTTGTTCGGTGTTCAGCGTGGGGAGCCCGGGGGTTGCTGGTGCGGGGTGTTGGGTTAGCTTGGGTTATGGTATTTTGGGAGGTTGGTTCATCGGGGGGGACTGAGTTGAATGGCTTGGGATCGGAATGGTTTAGATGAGCTGGATATATCTTCTTACCTTCATATTCTTGCCATGTTCCCCATGCGAAGATCTCTAGTAGCTTTAGATAGCCCTTGAACTCGGTTGGTGTATCTGGTGACCGTAATGCTTGGACATTCGGTAGCTCCAGCAGTTCTGCGAAAACATAGGTTTGCGGACTTGAGGTAGCGTTTGTAATCAAGTTTGTGACAAAGCGAGGTGAGCTTGCACTGGTGGAGCGAGCCAGATGGATGAATGGTTGGAGAGCGTCTAAGGCTCGTGTGTGGGTTTGGTCCATTAGAACGTTTGTGGTTTTATGACAGCAGAGCTCAATGGTTTATGATTTCAAATGGAAGATCTTGCAAGAGAAAGAGATGTATCTTGGGCGAGAAGGTAGCTAAGTTCGAGATCGAAGCATCAAATGTCGTACACAGTCCAGGTGGAGATGCTTGTTTGCATTCGGTGCAAACATACCTTATCTGATTCATTTCGATTGTCCTACTGTTTTTTGTTCCACTTTTCTTTTCTTCCTCTTTTTTTTTTTTTTTTTTTTCCAGAGACAAAAGACAAGGACGGGGTCTACCAGAAGTCGCCTTGCGCAGATTGCATTTTCTACTTCGTATTATCCTCGGTAATGCACACCTTGCGCAAGGTACACCATCCCAGGGCCCCTCCCCACTGGGATGTATACCTAGATACCTTATGTAGCTTACAACGGATACCTCGAAAGACCCGTGGGCAGTTTAAGAGATCATTAAAGAAGGTACCGTACTATTATCTTCTAGAATATGTCTCTGGCCTACATAGGAGTCTCTTTGGTTCAAATCAAGGAGTCCTACTCGTGTAGATCCTCGACTTTGGAGGGAGAGAGGCTGCATAAGTGGCGAACTACAGGGTTCGGCTTATTATGCCTTCATTCCATTTTTCTCTACATTGTCGTATTTTGAAACAATTATATCCTAGCATATCCTTGAGGACCAGCAGCTAGCTGTATTATTCACAGGGTCCTAAACACAACATCATGCGCAATAATCGGATGCAGTGCAACCCGGTTCATCTCTGTAGGGTCTTGAAACCGCCGAAACCCCAGGGCCACCCATTGTCCTTAGTAATGCTTAGTCTGTTTCAACCCCCTCACCACCATTCAACCTTGAAAGACCAGGGATGACTTGCCGACGGAATCTCTGTCTTCGCTTGTAATTAAAAACCCGACCATCTAATCAGCTGGCCCCGCTTATATTGGATTGCAGCTTGATGCATTCCACGGCGTGGCGGGCCCACAGCACTCCCGAGGCCAGGCACCCTTGCGATTCCACTTCCCTTTTCCCTTAGCCCTTGATTTCGCCTTTAATTCGGTTTCTGGTTAAATCCGACTGACGTGGCCTTCTGGGAACGCTATTGCTTTTTAACTTCTGCAGTTCGCTTTATCTGCTCAACAAGGGAATGATCTGTCAGTTCTGACGATATCCGAGAGCATCCGTCCCTCATCACGTTATTACCCTCTGCCATCGCGTCGGAGGCAGCTCGTCGATCATAAAATCCCTCCATATGCTATAATACGCCGTTCCTCGCCGTGTTCGCCTGGCGCTTCACCGTCGAGATGTCCTCCACGAATTCACACCCCGGCGGGACCAGTCGTACCGCAATGGCCACCACGACAGTAAAGATTGATGGAATGACTTGCGGAGCATGCACGTCTGCAGTGGAAGGCGCGTTTCAAAAGGTAGACGGTGTGCATGATGTCTCCGTTAGTCTCATCATGGGCAGGGCCGCTGTACAACACGACCCGTCAGTGTTAGCGCCTGGAAAAATCGCAGAGATGATTGAAGACTGTGGCTTCGATGCGGCAGTACTATCCACCGAGGAGCTCCAAATTCCCAACACTATTTCTTCCGCAGCCCCGCGGCTCTCGGTGACCAATCTTGCGATCGAGGGTATGACATGTGGCGCATGCACATCTGCAGTGGAAAGCGGCTTGAATGATGTTACCGGTGTGAACTCCGTGGACGTATCACTACTTTCCGAGCGCGCAGTAGTGGAACATAATGCCGACATCATCACGCCGGAGCAGATTGCAGAAATCATTGAGGATAGAGGCTTCGGAGCGCGAGTGCTGGACACTTCCCTGGTGGGCTCCAAGGAGCCATCTCAATCGGTTGATTCAGAAGAGAAATCCGCATTCCTCGTCACCACCGTCGCAATCGAAGGCATGACATGCGGCGCTTGCACATCCAGCGTCCAAAATGCTTTGCGCAGTGTAGATGGAGTGATTCAGTTCAATATCAGTCTTCTAGCTGAGCGAGCGGTAGTTGTGCATGACTCGACAATACTCCCCGCCAGCAAAATTCCAGAACTGATCGAAGATACTGGGTTCGACGCGTCCATTGTGTCATCGGAAGCGCAGACGCAGGCGGCAATCTCAAGAAAGACACAGCAAATCAATCTGAGTCTGCATGGTCTGCGGGACGGGGCTTCTGCAACTGCACTAGAGGACAATCTATTGCAGCAACCAGGTGTCCATTCGGCATCGATCAAAATGGCTACCTCTCATATCGCTATTGCTTTCGATCCATCAGTAATTGGCATTCGGTCTGTTGTGGAAGTGATCGAGGCCGCGGGTTACAATGCATTGATCGTCGACTCAGATGATACCAATGCACAGCTACAATCACTGTCAAAAACGAGGGAAATACAAGGATGGAAACGAGCTTTTATCATTGCCGCCTCTTTTGCAGTCCCTGTCTTCTTCATCAGCATGATCCTCCCGATGTACTTGCCGGGACTTGACTTTGGAAAGTTCGAACTGATACCGGGGTTATATCTTGGAGATCTGATTTGTCTCCTCCTTACGATTCCGGTGCAGTTCGGTATCGGCAAACGATTTTACGCTACCAGCTTCAAGTCCATTAAGCACCGGTCCCCAACTATGGATGTTCTCGTGATGCTAGGCACATCCGCTGCCTTCTTTTACAGCTGCTTCACTATGACCATAGCACTTTGCAGCATGGATCATAGGCGCCCAAGCACCGTCTTTGACACTAGCACGATGCTCATTACGTTTATCACCCTCGGGCGTTGGTTAGAGAACCGAGCTAAAGGCCAAACATCAGCTGCCCTATCTCGACTTATGTGTCTGGCTCCATCTATGACGACTATTTACGAAGACCCTATTGCAGCAGAGAAACTAGCTGAGCGCTGGGTCGCGAAGCCTACATCTGACTCGCCTGGGCAACTTACGCTGGCCGAGGACATGACGGTAAATCACAAGTGTATTCCCACCGAGCTTATCCAAGTCGGCGATGTTGTTATCCTCCATCCTGGAGACAAAGTGTCTGCGGATGGTGTGGTCATTCGGGGCGAGAGCTATGTTGATGAGAGTATGATCAGCGGAGAGGCTCTGCCAATCCACAAGAAACAAGGCAGCCAAGTTGTTGCCGGCACTGTGAATGGTACAAACGCCATCGATTTCAAAGTTATTCGAGCTGGCAAAGATACCCAGTTAAGCCAAATTGTGAAGTTGGTACAGGACGCGCAGACCAGCCGTGCTCCGATTCAGCGTATGGCTGATATAGTTGCTGGTTACTTTGTCCCTACTATCATTACGCTCGGTTTGGTCACATTCTTTGGCTGGATGTTCCTCAGCCACGTACTGCCTCATCCACCTATGATCTTCGAAATGGAAGACAGCGGTGGCCGAGTCATGGTTTGCCTAAAGCTATGTATCTCAGTTATTGTCTTCGCATGCCCTTGCGCGCTAGGTTTGAGTACCCCAACCGCAGTTATGGTTGGTACCGGAGTTGGTGCGGAGCATGGCATCCTCGTCAAAGGAGGTGCCGTTCTTGAAGCTGCCACAAAAATCACTCATGTCGTCTTTGATAAAACGGGCACCTTGACAACAGGGCGAATGAACGTGGCTCACACCCGAATTGAACCTCACTGGACGCGTCAGCTCTGGTGGCTCCTTGTCGGACTTGCGGAGACCGGCAGTGAACACCCAATCGGAAAAGCGATTATCGCGGCCGCAATTACCGAATCGGGCCATGTTGGAGAAGACGGGTTACCTGGTATTATGGGCGACTTTGACAATTGCGTTGGTAAAGGTATATCCGCCGTCGTCGAACCCACATCTAGCGGCCAGCGCACCCGGTACCAGATTTTGGTTGGCAATGCCAGCTTTCTCCGGTCTAAGGACGTCCCTGTACCCGCCGATGCGGATCCCGATTCTGCAGTACTCTTTGAAGACCCAGAAGTCAACGTCCCGAAACGTGGCAGTACATCATCCGGCATTACTCGCATCCACGTCGCAATCGATAACAGCTATGCCGGAACTATCTCACTCCGAGACACAGTGAAAGACACAGCCCGAGCGACAGTAGCAGCCCTACATCGCATGGGTATCTCGACATCTATAGTAACTGGTGACACTCTCTCAGCAGCCACATCAATTGCCACAGCAGTCGGCATTCCAACCGCATCAATCCATGCCTCTATCTCGCCATCAGAGAAAAGCTCAATCATCTCCGACCTCCAAGCAGAAGGCGAGCGTGTCGCTATGGTCGGCGATGGCATCAACGACTCACCGGCGCTAGCAACAGCGTCCGTTGGAATAGCTCTCGCATCCGGCACAGACGTAGCTGTCGAGGCTGCTGACATTGTCCTCATGCGCCCAGATGATCTTCTTTCCGTGCCAGCTAGTCTGTGCCTCTCGCGCTCGGTTTTCACACGCATCAAGTTGAACTTGATGTGGGCCTGCATGTACAATCTCATCGGTCTGCCTTTCGCCATGGGACTTTTCCTTCCCTTCACTGGCTTCATGCTACCCCCCATGGCGGCCGGCGGCGCTATGGCACTTTCAAGTATCTCTGTCGTCGTTAGCAGTCTTCTGCTGAAGTTCTGGCGTCGCCCGTCTTGGATGGAGGTTAAGAACCTTGAGAAGGAGTTACGCTTGGGTGCGATCTCTGCGGCTGGTGCGTCGAGCCGCGGTCATTACCGTAGATCCAGCTGGTGGGTCCCTGCTATCATGCCTTCGAATAGCCCGCGCTCTCTGCATCGCCGTGTTGGCAATGCTGTCTCTTCACTTTGGTCCCTGGTTACGGGTAAAGGGCCCAAGCCGATTATTCGGGGAGATGAGGGTTATGTTCCGCTGCAGACAGTCGAGCCGCCTGTTTGATTTTTTTTTGTTCAATTCGTTATACAAATGGCTTGAACTCTCGTGAGTAGAAAAGAGGTTCTTTGGGTTTTTGTTGATCTGGCATATTCTAGGCTGGTTTTGGCGTTTCCTTTCGGTTTGTTTTACGATAGTGATACCTCGGTTAGGGACATTTATGCATTCTTTCTTTTATAGCAAGATCATCTCCATTCAAACAAACTATAGAGCCTGGAAGCCAAGGGCAAAACCCCAGGAATTACCTAGGTGGATATACTATATCTCTTTATAAGACCTGCCTAGGTACTTATCGGGACATTGGTGCTCATCGGGGTATATTTTGCATATTTGGCTGGACAAACACTCGAGAATCGGTTGTAGTCAGGTGCATATAAGACCATAATATGGTTGTCAAGTAGAATGCGATTAATGCGCTAGGCGGGGAACTGCCTGTGATCCTTCGTCTTGGACCTTTCTGCCTTAGGCATCAAATTCCGAGAGGTCTGAAGTGCAAACTAAGCAAACAGGTGGGCGGGATGACTCCGAGGCTTTTTGTGCCTTCTTTGATAACAAGATTGTCGCATTTCTTTGGTGTTATTTCTGGAGATAGTTTTCGGAGACCTTTATTGTCCGTCTATTATTCCATCCGGACCAACTTTGTGACCTGAGGGTTGTTGAGACATTCAAGGTAAAAAAAAAGCCCTACCGGTTTCCACGGACTCTTTGTGAAAACCAGCTCTTGCGACACTCGAGCTTGAGAGAGAATCTGTTCCTGACATCATTTGCAGCAATGGCCCCCAAGCAGAAAGGTGGGCAAAAGCCCAAGCAAAATGCGGCGGAGGAAGTGGAGGAGACCTTCCAGGCTGTGGTATGTCCGGCCCATTAGTAGACGATTGCGCACTGCTCTCGCTGAAATCCTCTTTACCTATGTGGTCTACATTTACTGACTTGCGTATCTGCTTAGGTGCTCGCGGATACCTTTGAGACGAGATTCGAACCCTTTACCCGCGACAAGCCTCGAGTATGTCCTTCTTTCAGCAAAGCGCCCACACCCCAAGATCTTGAAAATAACGAACCAATATCTACAGTGCCTTTTGCCGCTCGCAAATACTCCTTTGATCGAATACACTCTCGAGTTCCTGGCCAATGCGGGTGTGGAGGAGGTTTTCCTCTATGGAGGCGCACACTCGAACCAGTTGGAGAAATACATCAAGTAGGCTGTCCTAGGAAATTTCTCTGCTACGCATGGCAGGGCTGACACGAAGACCTAGTGCATCGAAATGGAGGGCCTTATCTTCTCCCTTCAAGCAACTGACCTTCCTCAAATCGACCTCCACCTCTGTCGGTGACGTTATGCGCGACTTGGACGGCAAACATCTGATTACTGGAGACTTCATTGTCGTGAGCGGCGATGTGATTAGCAACCTGCCCATCGAGGGTGCGTTGGCCCAGCACCGAGCCCGCCGAGAAACCGATAAGAACGCTATCATGACCATGGTGCTACGGGAAGCTGGCCTACAACACAGGACCAAGTCCTCCTCGATTTCACCGGTCTTCGTCATTGACCCTACCAAGGACCGCTGTCTCCACTACGAGGAAATCGATCGCCATGCAGATGAAGACCAGCTGTCTCGTCTGAATATTGACGCCGAAATCATTCTCAAGCACCCCGAGCTGGATATCCGCCAAGACCTGATCGACTGCAGCATCGATATTTGCACCCCGGATGTGCTGAGCTTGTGGTCTGATAGTTTCGATTACCAATCCCCCCGGAAGCACTACTTGTATGGTGTCTTGAAAGATTACGAGCTCAACGGCAAGACTCTGCACACATACATCATTAAGGACCACTACGCCGCGCGCGTGCGCAACCTGAAGGCTTATGACGCTATCAGCAAAGATATTCTTTCGCGCTGGACTTATCCCTTATGCCCTGATACGAACCTCCTTCCTGGTCACACGTACACTCTTCGCAAGGGTAGCATGTACCAAGAAACCGGGGTGACCCTAGCACGCTCTTGCGTGATCGGGCGCCGCACAGTCATTGGAAAGGGAACGAGCATTGGAGACCGCGCAGAAGTTCACAACTCCGTTCTTGGCCGGAATTGCAAGATCGGCCGCAACGTCAAATTGGACGGTGCATATATTTGGGATGATGTCGTGATTGGGGACGGCACAGACGTCCGTGGAGCGATCATCGCTGATGGCGTCGTTCTTGGCAAGGACTGTACCGTCGCACCGGGAGCTCTCCTGTCTTACGGTGTTAAAATCGCAGATGGAATTTCCGTGGAGAGCGGGACGCGCATCACAAAAACCCGAAACGATGGAAGCGTTGGCAAGAACGATCCGGCGGTTGTTGGTGAAGGAGGCGAAGGTTATGAGTTTATTCACGGTGAGGAAGAAGATGATGAGGACGATGATGTGAGCGTTGCCTCATCAGGTCTTGGTAAGTTGTCCCCTCGTTTGTCTTTTTGAAATCGGACTGCTAACTCCAGGTCATCTCTAGTTTACCGCATGCCTCACCTCTCACTGTCTTCCGCTTCCATCTCCACATTGTCATCTGAGGTCTCGAATACCTCTTGGGCACGATCTGAGCGCAGTAGTTTCTCTGCAGACGAGGAGGCTGATAACTTCCATCACGACGCATCTGTCAGCTTGTTTGACAGTCTACGTGAAGGTGTAGCAGCAGATGTGGTCCAGTTGGAGTTGGTCACTTTGCGTATGAGCGCCAATGCCTCGGATAACCAGGTCCGTCGCGCCATCGTATCATCCTTTATGAAGCACATCCAGCAACTCATGGAGGCCGGCAAGGGTGCCGGCCTGGCAGTCAACGAGGTGTTCACGGCATACAAGGAAGTCGTTGAACGCACTCTGTTCGATCGCAACAAGGAGCAGAAGAACGACCAAGTTGACTTCCTGGTCCTACTTCAGCAGGATCTCATTAACCGTAACAAGGGTGACACTGTTCTCCTCTTTACTGCCAAATCTTTGTACGAGCTTGATCTCATCGAAGAAGAGGCCTATGACCAGTGGTGGAATGATGAGCGCTCCAGTAAGACTGAGGAGATGAGGGCTGTCCGCAGCCAGTCCCAGCAATTTGTTGATTGGCTGGCTGAGGCTGAGGAGGAGAGTAGCGAGGAGGAATCCGAGGAGGAGAGTGATGATGAGTAGATACCACCTGTTTTCAAACAAAATCAAATATATTTTTCTTTTTACCCTCTAAGTCTACTGGTCTAAATGGTGTGCCTCAAATGCATTCGGGTTATGCTAGAGGTATACTCCGTGTGGCTTGAAGTATAGTTTGGATAATATATACAGCCCCTTAACTGGCCCCTCATAGGCTCGCCATCATACTTTTTCGTGAAACAGTAAAACAAGTATATATATGGGTGCCTATTTATGTATATCTCTTCAAATATCTTGTCTCATTTATTCGTCCCCTAATGAGATAGCCCGAACGCAGTGACCTGGTAGTTAAAAGGCCACACTTAATACAGATATACTACGGAGTCTTTCTTGGACTCCATTAGAGGCACCATTTTCTTGGCATATCAGGTTACCACGGGTAGATACATACCTAAAGATGTGAATATGTACTCGGTCTTCTTGCGTAGGACCTATAATTCACAGCGGGAGCCTAGCCCAAGACAAACAAGGCTAGAGCAGCAAATGGGCCCATGATGTATAGGCCAGCAATGATTCAGATGTGAGTCAACGGGCTGAAAGAGGCTGAGATACTCCAGCTAGTCGACTTCAAACCTTCGCTTGGAGATATTACCAGGGGATTTAAACCGGATAGAACCGCAGTAACTAATATCGATGCCGAAAATCGTAGCATCTCGGGTTCGAACCTCGACCGCTTCGGGCTTCTTCGCCCCCCGAAGGCCCAACAAACCCCCCCGGAGCTCCATCTCACCCTTCCCCACTCTCCCCTCCAACCAGTATCCGCGCCCATCACAGGTTTTGCCTAGTGAGGTGTGGCGTTCGATACGTATCATCATCATTTCTCTTCCTCAGCCGGCGTCTTTGCCGCCCCCTCGCTCACCACGACTCCCAAAACACGAAAGAGAAAGGCGGCCGAGGCGGCGATTACGGACAAGGACGAGCCACTGCCAAAAGCCGCCCACGGCTCCCGGAACGCCACTTCGACATTCTCCGATCGACGCTCAGCAAAAAGCGAGTCCATAACCACCGAGACGACGGATCGAGCAAGTCCGGGGTTCGAGGTGCAGAAGAAAGGGATCTCCGCGACACCCGCCTCCACGACCGCCAGCATGGACTCCGACGATGAGTTCATGAGTGACGTCTCCAGTCAAGGGGATTTCTTAGGCACCCAGGGATCCGATGACGATAGCTTAGGGGAAGGTACGTATCGTCTGATCTTCGTTCAGTTGCCCTTGAATTGTATCGGCGACTAACAAGGTGTGCCTTGGGTGGAAGCAGATTACGACGATCTCGACACCGGATTCTCGGACGATAAAGATCTCATCAAGCATAAAAAGAAGCCATATGAAGTCGAGTTCAAGGTTCTTGAACCTTCCGATATTGATCATGAGCAGCTCGGCCAAGTTAACGAGGTTTGCGCCATCCTTGGACTGCCGCCAGAGTCGGCGGCCATCCTATTGCGGTTCGGACGGTGGAACAAAGAAAAGTTGATCGAGTCCTATATGGAGTATCCGGAGAAGACTTTGGAGCAGGCAGGTCTTGGGTCGACCTCAGAGTGGAACCCAAAGACGCAGGTCATCCCGGGCTTCACATGTGACATCTGCTGTGAGGATGGCGATGACCTTGAGACATACGCCATGCGCTGTGAGCACCGGTTTTGTGTCGACTGTTATCGGCAATACCTAGGACAGAAGATTAAGGATGAAGGGGAAGCTGCGCGGATTCAGTGTCCAGGCGATGGTTGTCATCGCATTGTGGACTCAAAGTCGCTGGACTTGCTCGTAGCAAAGGAGCTGCAAGGAAGGTGAGTCCTTTGTTCTCTGGGGGTAGTTGCTTTGGGGGGCTTCATTCTGAAAGGACTGGCTGACCGCGTACCTCATACTAGATACCGCGAACTTCTCACTCGAACGTACGTTGACGACAAGGAAAACTTGAAATGGTGTCCAGCTCCAAACTGTCAGTACGCCATTGACTGTTGGGTCAGGAGTCGTGATCTCCGCCGTATAGTCCCAACGGTTCAATGTCTCTGCAAGCATGAGTTCTGTTTCGGCTGTTCTCTCAATGACCATCAGCCCGCACCTTGCAAACTGGTCAAGATGTGGCTTCAAAAATGCGAAGATGACTCCGAGACTGCCAACTGGATCTCTGCAAACACGAAAGAGTGTGCTAAGTGTAACTCCACTATCGAGAAGAATGGCGGTTGTAACCACATGACTTGTCGCAAGTGCAAGTACGAATTTTGCTGGATGTGTATGGGCCTCTGGTCTGAGCATGGCACCAGCTGGTATAACTGCAACCGATATGAAGAAAAGTCCGGCGCAGACGCGCGCAGTGCTCAAGCTAAATCGCGTTCGTCCCTGGAGCGTTATCTGCATTATTATAATCGGTATGCGAATCACGAGCAGTCTGCTAAGCTCGACAAAGATTTGTACCTGAAGACGGAGAAAAAGATGACTAGTCTTCAGTCTCAATCTGGTCTGTCTTGGATTGAGGTTCAGTTCCTTGACACCGCGTCACAGGCGCTGCAGCAATGTCGCCAAACTCTGAAGTGGACTTATGCGTTTGCGTTCTACCTTGCTCGCAACAATCTGACTGAAATATTTGAGGATAATCAGAAGGATCTGGAGATGGCCGTTGAAAGTCTCAGCGAGATGTTCGAGAAGCCGGTTTCTGATCTAGCAGGCCTTAAGCTTGATATCCTCAATAAGACCACTTATTGCACGCAGCGCAGGGTGACTTTGTTGAATGACACTGCGGAGAATTTGAAGAATGGTTAGTGGAGACCTCTGTAGTTTCACTGTCACTGGCTAACATGTGCTTTCCAGGTGCCTGGTCATTTAACGTTGAGTGGTAAATCACAACTCACCATAACCATCCGCTCGCAGATTGCGGAGATATTGACGACATGAACGATAAATACTTCTTTACAAGAAATTTCAGCATACTTTTTCTTTTTTTCTCTCCTTTCCTTTGCCTCCGCTGTCTTTCGGGCCTTGGTGGAATCGTTGCCCGTGTACTTGTTACTCGGTAGCAACGCTTCCAAGCATTCATCTCCAGGTTTGAAATGGGCTATGTTCCTCCATCCACTTTCCCACGAGCGAAAGCATCTGCATGTATCCTCATTCTACGAGGGCTTTCTTTTTCTTTTGTGTGTTTGCATGTTATTTAAATTAATCAAGATGGCTTATTCTTACTGGTTCAAGGCCAGGCGCACTGGTGTTTGCTAATTGGTTTCAAGCTAAACTGACATATACTGCAATCTAGTCCTCGAATATTAACTTGGATCCAAAGAGCAGTAACTAGGACTATTCGGGCACAGTCTACAAGTAAGGCGGGGCCATAGAGTTCCGTATGGAGTCCGTAGATCGGACGTCCACGGCCTATAGCCCGCACCTCGGTTTGCTCCGATTGAGAGTCGCGTGTTTTGCTTCGCCTCAAATGCCAAGTTCGGTGGCACGAAGGCCCAAGTTAATACTCTGCCGCAAGTACTCCGTATATAGAGTTTGAATCAGAGAGACCTGTCTGTATACATGTATACGGACACATTACGATTAGCAAGATCAATTGTCCCACTTGAAGAACAAAAAAAAGTCCTTCTCGAACGGCAAAGAAGAATCCGAAGGGGAGATACTCCACTCCATAGTGTCCTGAGTTAGGCGAAATGTGGTCAAGGGCGAACAGATGGCTTGTCAAGGGGGTCGTCTTATCTGATTGATAAAAATTGCACTTGTACCCTTTATGTACCGGGACCGTGGTTGGGACACTGTGAAGGTACCGGTATGGTACTTTACATAAAAAGTTAAGGTGTTGGGGCCCGCAAACTCCGCTCATCGGATGCCTCGGAGCCAAATTACGGATTTTTTTGTATTGATACCACGCCCTCTCGACGAATAATACAGTTGGACTGGCTTGTACGGGTGTAAAGGCATTGTACCTGTACCTTTTAGTTGAAGACTGCTCAGGTCCGAGGTCTCGCCGCGTTTTCGGCATAAGCGGTTTCTACGTCGAGTTACTAAAGGGATACGTGTTGAACGCAAGGCCAATAAGCCAAGGAGAATCACTAGAGAGTCAGTACTCCGTAGTAGAAGCAGATCTAGTTCAATAGGCAGAACTAATACACAATCGAAAAGAAAAGCAGATGTATAGCAGGCTATGGTTGAAGTTAGCATATAAGCCCAGGTCGGCTTTGAATTATTTCCCGCTAGCGCCGTTTCCTGGTTTTTGTGTCCAGAAGCCAAGTTCCCATTCTTTCCTTCTTTGACTATTCCAAAGTCAAGGTGGAAAAAAGAAAACAAAGAGGAGATCTTCCTTTGATTCTTTGCTTCTTGTTCCCATTCGGTGTTTGGTTCTGTTCCTCATAGGCATTGTGTCTGTTTTGCTCGGAACCTCCGCGGACAAACCTAATCCCCGTTTATCTCATCTCCGTTCACTTTTCCATTCCAACACCTCGGTTTCTGTCCAGCATCGCCGCGTTTTCGCTCTGCACGATCTCTTCAATTGAAAAAGCTGCGCCTTGAGCTAGCGAAAGCTCCATGGCTGCCTCCGATCAAGGGTCCGGGGACGAATTCGAGTAGGTTGCTCCTATGGATTTTTTTCCCTAAGCAATCTGGTGGGCATCGGGAACACTGGGAGAAACGCAGGGACAGCATCATATGTTGTGTCTGAGATATGATGTGCTTCAGCTGTTGCTTGATTGTCCCCGATGAACATCCTGGTTTCTTAGTCCCCTTGCTATCGCTCACTAGGATCCCATTATGTGGCCAAAGCTAATTTGATGCGCGTTGGTTTAGCTATGAAGCTCTCCCTCCCAACTATGGCCTTGGCCGAAACATGTTAGCCGGTGCCTTTGCAGGTGTAGCGGTATGTCGATGCGATCGTTAAGGGGGATTTGTGAGGATTTGGCTGATTGGAATGAAGGAACACTCTGTGATGTACCCCGTTGATTTGCTCAAGGTATGCACGATTCCTAGATGAAGCGATTGGATTAACGAAAGATTGAACACTAACAATTTGGGCACTTTTAGACTCGCATGCAAATCTTGACCCCTTCTGCCGGCGGACTTTACACGGGATTGACCAACGCGGTTTCCACAATCTACCGAGTTGAAGGCTGGCGGACACTATGGAAGGGTGTCTCAAGTGTCATTGTTGGCGCTGGTGCGTATCAATCGGCATGCCCTAATTTGGAGACGCAACGCTGACAACTGACGGCAGGTCCGGCACACGCGGTTTACTTCGGCACATACGAGATCGTGAAGGAAATGGCTGGTGGCAATGTCGATGACGGACACCATCCCTTTGCGGCTGGTAAGATTCCTAGAGAGCTGTTGAGCTTAAGTTTTGTTTTCGCGCACGTAACTGACGGGATTTGGTACAGCTTTGAGTGGAGCATCCGCTACTATTGCCAGCGATGCGCTGATGAACCCATTCGATGGTAAGTGATTGCGGGCGATGGATTAGGACGAGCTAACCTGTCTATTAGTTATGAAGCAACGCATGCAGGTTCACGGCTCCGTTCACAAAAGCCTGGCGCAATGTGCCAAGACCCTCTACCGTACTGAAGGTCTCCAGGCCTTCTACGTCTCCTACCCCACCACACTTTGCATGACCGTGCCTTTCACGGCCACTCAGTTCGTTGCCTACGAGTCGATCTCGAAGATAATGAACCCTAAGAACGAGTACGACCCGTTCACTCACTGTATCGCGGGTGGTTTGGCCGGTGCCTTCGCAGCTGGTATCACCACTCCTCTTGATGTCGTAAAGACACTCCTTCAGACCCGTGGTCTGGCAGAGAGCGAGGAGGTGCGTTCTGCAAAGGGTCTGTTCAACGCCGCTGCCATCATCAAGCGCAAGTTTGGCTGGTCTGGTTTCCTGCGTGGCATGCGCCCTCGCATTATCTCCACCATGCCTAGCACCGCAATTTGCTGGTACGTCCCTTTCTAAGATCGAGCTTCATTATTTGAATGATTACTGACTTTTGTTCTAGGACATCTTATGAAATGGCCAAGGCATACTTCAAGAAGCACCTCGACTAAACGAATACCTGACTTGATCCTCTCGCATGACCCTTTGCCATGGGTCCAATCCATCGGGCCTTCCTTGTTCTACTTGTTCGATTTACCACATCCCTGTGGGCACCATTTAATCTTTCTTTGATCTCTCGAGGCGACATGGCTTTGTTCTTTTTACAATCTGTTATGGATTTGCGAGTTTAGGCGGAGCCTAATGACCCTCATTGCGGTGCATCTCGGGTCAGAATAGCTTGAGTTCGACGATTTCCTTGCATGTTTGAAGGCTTGTCGTCAAAAGCGTTTTCGGCAATGTATAGTGTTGCCAAAAAAAAAAAGAAAAAGGATTGACACGGCCATTTCCAGCCGACTCGGAGATCAAATCTGGTGCTATTTTTTTTATTTTTCTTGGGATACTTCGATGCTCTTCCATTCGATGTGTCCTCTCCTGTGACCGGCGTTAAGAACATGGAACCTCGGGTTTTTATTGGTTTCGTGAGAGGGCTGGGTTTCTCTGTGGCATCGACATAACTTATGTTTTTTAGTATTTTGTATGTACCCATAGACGTGAGGAATGTTAGAGATGATATCCAAGTTTCATCAAGCTACAGGTAATCCGATTTAGATCGACATATAAGAATCCAGTGTGTGTAGATGTCGTGTGCCCCCATCGTATATCGTGTGGACGCATGCAGCGACTGCCGAACCGACGACGTCACGCGAAAAATCCTCCCCCTCACCTGCGGGAGATCATCGCTTTCACCAACTCCACCAACTTGATCTCAAATGGATGCAGGCGGGCCTGCTTACTCCCAATGATGCGCCCAAGGCCCGCGTCTTCCATGCAGAAGACATACGACGAGTGCTATCTCGCATGCTCCACCGCGGTATACTTTGAGGGCCAGGTAAGTGCGCTAGTCCCGATACCAGCTCCCCGAAGCTCATTACATCAGAACAATGAAGAGGAAGCATTGCGGTCCTGGCGATCAGCCCTCGAGACCATTTACCACCACAATGCCCGCCGCGTACCGTCAAATTATACTCCGAAATCCGAAACCGAGAAAGCCCTGCAGGACTCCATCCGGGCGCTGGAGGTTCAATGCCGAGAGCGGGTCGATCTCCTAGGTGCTCTCCGCGCAAGCAGGAAAGAATCCGCAGAGGCAATTGGCCATAAAGAGAGCGCTACGCTCACCAAAGGCAGACCTGTCCCAAGCATACCGCCGCCATCACCATCATCTAACCTTCCCGGCTGGATCGGAGATGGAACTATCCCTGCCGTGGGCTACACCGACCTTTCCAAACCGGCCGCCATACCAGGCCGCCCTGCCCTGCCAACGAGACACAGTTATGAACCATCGCCATTCTTCGACGATGCCGGTCCAGCGACTCTATCAGCGGCTGGTACGCCTGCACTGCGTGTGGACTCGAATTCTTCGGAAAAGACCAAGTCGCGTGGCTCCAGTCCTGAACGCCGGAAACCAATGTTGACAACTTTGCGCAATACCGATGGTAAGAAAAATGGCAAGAAAGTCAAGCTTGCATCGAAGAAAAAGGACTCAAGGCATGCCGCCTCCAAGGCAGCCGGCCTGGCCTGGGGTAGCATATACCGTTCTGCGTCGAGTGAAAAGCCTGTGAGCGAAGCAGCTCTCGTATCGTCCCGTTACAGCGCCGCCAATGACCCCAGCTTCCGGCGAGAGCCAGAACCACGGTCTAGCTCTGGGGATGAGCCTCTTCAGGCGAGAATCCGTACATCCCGAGATTCGGCTGGGGACCGGATCCCTGCTGCCCATTGGCGAGAACCTGTTCGTTCATCTCCGAGTAGGTCCTCGCCAAAACCGCCTACTCAACCACCGCCGCCGCCTCGTGGACTTCGACCTCCGCCCGACAGCCCCAAAATACGAATTCCATCTCCCCCAATAGCCATGCCGAACCCAGCCGATTTTACCACACCACCGAAACCATCCGTCAAACCAAAGCCTGTGGCCTTGCGGTCTTCCCGTCAGCCTTCAAGGCAGCCGTCAAGCCAACCATCAAGTCATCCAACAAGCCATCCAATGCAAACTACCAAGTCCGAGCATATCTCCCGGACGGTGACACCTCGGCTTGATCTCGAACCAAAGTCTCCGATTGATAAGCCCCGAACAAAATCAGCGCCTAGAATCACCCAAGTTGCCGATACGGCCCGTGCTTCTCCCTCACCTGGTAGTGCCGATGACCTCCACCACGGTGTCGATCGGCTGGCTATCTCCCCAAGGAATGGGGATAGCGCAACCCGCCGCAAACCCCCGCCAGTCAAACGACAGGAGACACCACCGTCCAGTGACCAAGAGTCTTCGGATCAGCGGACAATAGGCAGTGATGCAGAAGATGAGGATGAGGAAGATGACAGTGAAATCTCGAGGGTCATGGAAAAGTTGCCCAAGGGTGTAGATCCCCAGTCAGCAAGACAGATCCTGAACGATATCGTAGTCCGCGGTGACGTAGTACACTGGGATGATATCGCAGGCTTAGAGGGGGCCAAAAAGGCCCTCAAAGAAGCAGTGGTCTACCCATTCCTCCGTCCCGACCTCTTCTCGGGTCTTCGTGAGCCAGCTCGCGGAATGCTCCTCTTCGGGCCCCCAGGCACAGGCAAAACTATGCTCGCACGAGCAGTAGCCACAGAATCAAAGTCCACCTTCTTCTCCGTCTCCGCATCAAGCCTAACATCTAAATGGCATGGTGAAAGCGAAAAGCTCGTGCGCGCTCTATTCGGACTCGCCAAAGCCCTCGCTCCATCCATCATCTTTGTCGACGAGATCGACTCCCTCCTCTCTGCCCGATCATCTGGCTCCGAGCACGAAGCCTCCCGTCGTTCCAAAACCGAATTCCTGGTCCAATGGTCCGATCTCCAGCGCGCAGCTGCAGGCCGCGAACAAACAAGTCGCGAGAAAAAGGAGGGCGACGCCAGCCGTGTCTTGGTCTTAGCTGCTACCAATATGCCCTGGGATATCGACGAAGCTGCACGCCGCCGTTTCGTCCGTCGCCAGTACATTCCTCTGCCAGAACACCATGTCCGCGAGCAACAGCTCCGCAGGCTTATCAGTCACCAGCACCACCAGCTGAGCGATGCTGATATCGAGGTCCTGGTTCGTGTCACAGAAGGTATATATTCTCTCCCTCTCTCTCCCTTTTCAAATTGGTTCCTCTTTCTAATTGATATATGCAGGCTTCTCCGGCTCGGATATAACAGCCCTCGCCAAAGACGCGGCCATGGGTCCCCTGCGCAATCTGGGCGAGGCCCTCCTCCACACCCCCATGGACCAGATCCGTGCCATCATCTTCCAGGACTTCGAAGCAAGTCTGTCTTCTATTCGGCCCAGTGTATCTCCCGACGGGCTTCGGAAATATGAGGATTGGGCAAGAGAATTTGGTGAGAGAGGTGGATAGAGTAGATTCGAATGAACCAACCTTGGTCCTTTTTTGGTTCCACCTCCTCTCTCTTGGGTCATCTCTCTATTCTCCTCTTTGTAGGAGGACTTGTATGTTTGATACGATTATAGGAATGGATTAAATATCAGGATGTATTTTTGTGTATTTTTACAATTTTTATCTCTCTTGTTCTTTCTAAGATATTTTCTTTCCTCTTCCTGTGATCCTCTTTTTAGTAACTTATACTCCGTAGGTCATCCATAGATCTCTGAGCTGATTATCATGTGGTTCTATGGTCTTCAGGGTTGTCCTAGTTGGCTATTGATCTTTATTCGACGCCTGACTCGGGATTTAGACTAGATAAGTAGCCTTCGTGATTTGTTCAATTGCATTACATAGAGGTATAAAAAAGACACAGACAGAGCGGATATATGACCCGACCACCAATCAACTCAACAATACCCGAATCTCCCCAGTCGTTCGGGGGAACAATGATCTCAAACTCCATTGTTCGTCATCATCTTCGGCTTCTTGATCATCCTTGTCGCTCGCTTCTGTCTTGCCATCGGATCTGTCTCCAGTTCCAATAGCCACGCTTGTAGTTCCTCTCGTCTCATCCGCTGCAATAATCATACCCTCGACAAACTCAAAGTCATGGCAGAATGCCTCAACTGCGTCCTCGGTGACGCTTTGGATGAGAGAGACGCTTTGCACACGCTTGAGATTATCGGTTGCGTCCATTAGGGCAGACGGGAGGAAGTCGTCGAGCTGTTGGCTGGATGTGATCAAGGACTCGGGTTGGAATGCAGGGAGACTGGCCAGATCGGCTAGGTGGGGCTTTTGGTGATCTGGTTTCCCGGTTTTGTCTGCGCCGGTCTCGGAGTCCTTGTCGGACTTGGAGAAAGGTTTCAAGGCATCTAGGAGGGTTTGGAGACCAGATGTCTCGAGGAGGAATCGGTGTTGGGTATCGAGAAGATCGTTGCGTAGGGTTGACAGAGCTGTAGATAGAGGTGGCACATGCGTTGAGCTGGCGAAGGGGAAAGGTGACACAGCTGCACGGGCTGCAAGCAGGATGTTGGTGCGGTAGATGGACTGTGCGGTGGTAGACTTGAGTTCATCGGATGAGGACCGGGCCAGTGTCAGGAATGGGTCGAAGGCGGCTCGGAGCACAGAAGTGAATGGGTTCTCGTTATTCTCGTCAGAGGACGAATCTTCTGGTCCGACGGAAGTCTCATGGGTCTTCATGAGTACTTCGAGATCTTCTAATGCGTCTAACAGGAACTGTGGGGGTGACAAGTCATCTGGTGGAGCCAGGGCAAGGTTGTCGCCTGCCAAGGCGCTGATCTGATCGCGCATCAATGTCTCAAATTGGCTAAGAGTGAACTTTTCCAAGGTTTGGATCAATTCCACCAAGTGAGATTGTGCGCCGACCAGTTTGATGAAGGTCGTACGATAGAAGGATAGTAGGTTCACCACCTTGTAACAAGTAACAGGGTCTTCGTGGCTCTGAATGACGAGCTCAATTCTCTGTCGCAGGGACCGAGACACTCCAGTAAGGTCGCGGTTTACCAAGTCACTGAGAGCTTTTTGGCCATCAAAGGTAACTTCTTGGTCCTGATCAATGCGTGACCAAGGCTCGCTACTCAGGCCGGCCTGTATTCCACGGGCGAGTTCGTCGCCGTCATCAACAAACAATGCCTCAAGAGCCTCTCGCTCCGATACTGTTGTTGAATGCACCCACGCAAGCATGTCACCGATGTATCTGAGCGGGTCATGGGCTGAGAACTCAATTGGTTTGACGGTGCGATCCCCAGCACCAGGCCCGTTGGCACCAGAGACAGCATCCGTTAGTGCATAGTGGAACGCATTAGACAGCACATATTCCCGTGCATCCGCAAAGAAATCCAAGCAGCTGTGGAAGAGACTCGGGCGTTCTGCTAGCACCCGTAGAGCACGGCGGATCGAACTGCTGATATGAGGATCCTCGAGATTCAGGGACCTGAATTCCTTCTGGATCCACCGATAGAGCTTCTGGTAAGCTGAGTTGAGGTTTCTGGTGCTTAGTTCCATCACTTCCAGCCCCAATCGCTGATTTTCGCCGCCAAGCAAGACCTCGCAATCGTGGTGCACTTGCTTCACGCGAGCTAGTACGTCAAAGAACCGCTCGTCGACAGGCTCCTCAGCCGATGTCAGGACCAATAAATCCTCCTCGGGAATCAAGAAGTGTTTCGAAAAAGCCTCCAACAGCTGCTGCTTGGTCTCGGTCTCTTTCTTTTGGGCCATCAAGGCACTGGCCTCCTCAAGCACCGGTGTAGTATCCTGCTTTGCGAGGTTGATTCGTTTGCGCATATCATCGCATGTTTGGTTCAATGTTGAGACCACTGTTCCGATCCGTTTCAGTTGCTGTTGTTGCCATTCAGCTGTTAGAATCTCCAATTCAGATCTCCAAAGAACAATAGGAGTCTCACCTCCGCGACTTTGCCGAAATCCTTGACAATCTCCGCATTGCAATCGACGACTTCTTTTTGTACATCTAGTCGTAGCTGGCGACGTGTTTCTGCGGAGTTGTGAATCCCCCTTAAGCTCAGAGTCTCGAGGGAGTCCCGAATGTCCGAGTCCGCATATGATGCCGACAGTACCGTTGTCAGCCGGTTGGTGAGGGCAGTCGAGCGATGAGGGGGCGGGGATAATGGGGATGACACAATCGGGCTCCTGGCACCATTGCTGGCGCTGCCACTTGGCGGAAAGTAGCTGGCCATTGTTGTTTGAGCAACCCCGTAAAGGTCAGTGGGGAAGTAGAGGACAACCTCGCAGCTTGGCGCATCGACCGCCTTGGGCGTATCTTATCGCCTGCACATTTACTCTGTTTATCTTCACCCCTCAATTCCGTTCATTCATTCTTGGAATTGCTTTGCGACTCTATTTCATGGATAGTCCACTTGTTTCACCGGCTAAAGCCCGCCAGGCTGCGATTCAAGCTAAGGATTGGGCGTATGTGAACTCCTGGCTCAATCGACAATATGCCCCCAAACCAGTCCCCAAGTTCGAGCGCAATGAAGATACCCTTCGCGTCCTCCTGACCCTGGCTGCTGCCAATGATGCTGCAGATGAAGAAGCCTCTCTACAGCACCTAGCGCGCGAAGAAGCTGTTCAGTCGCACAAAATACGGGAAGAGTTTGAACGCAAAGACCCCCACGAACAACAGAAGAATCAACTTCTTGACGAAGTGGAGATGTGTTTGGATGAAAGAGGAAGACGTGATCTAGAAGATCTTGCCGGCTGCGCAGCAGCCCTGGGAAATACCTTGAATCCAACCCCGGGGGATCTGGCGCAGTCGATTGTGGAGCTCACGGTGGAGGAGTTCTCCGCCCAGCAACAAGTCGCAAAAGTCGACACACTGCATCAATATCTTCAAAAAGAGCTGGTACGGCTACAGGCGGAGTTTGAAGATTTGAAAACTGATGTGGCATACGAAACACCTTCCGATACACAAAGTTTAACGTCGGAATGGACTCGCGGTACAAAGACACTTGCGATCAAGGTTGGGGAGCACCAAGATCGCATTGCGTCGCTGGAAAGAGTTCAGCCCCAAGGTCCAACCATCAAGGAGCTGATCGTGGAGGAAGATAATGTTATCAAGATGCGGGAGACAGTCAAGTCGCTGCAAGGCCGCGTAAGGGCGTTCCAGGATCTTCCTAAGGATACAACAGGGGCACGGAAAAAATATAAAGAGCTAGAGCACGAGCTAGCACGGCTTACGCGACAACGAGACTCAATCCTCGGCCGTATAGTCGAGCCACGTTAAAGCTACATCCCCCTTCGGCACTTCAGATGATCAGAAGATCCAAGTCAGTTATAAGCCCTTGTTTCAATCAACTCATTTGGCCCCCCTTAAATGCAATGAAGTTATGGGAGTGCTTGCAGTATTGCGGCTATTTTAGGTAGATTTATTGGACTTAACATTCTGATATCCTTCATAAGGCTATTTAAAGCTACTACATTTGCTCTAGATGAAGGATGATGGGTTTTTTTTTAAATTGGAAGGCAATAGATTTCCTTGAAAAGTCTTATGGGTATGGAAAAGCGAAAGATATCATGAACTGCGGCTGTGTCGTGAAAGCAGGGCTGCCTGCGAGATGAGCAATGATCATGACAATGATCACTCAATTCGAAAAGAGGTCGTCCTAGTTGCCTCCGAGTCCGAGAGCATTCTTGACCTTGTCACCACTGAAATATGGTTAGCACCTTTTCTCTCGAGTGCCAAGGGCAACATGACTTACATGGAACTGGTGGCACCGCCATGGGCGTGGTTGTCACTGGCACGTTGGGTCTTATCGAAAGCCTCCTGGCCAGCACCCTTGCTCTCATCGGTCTGGAGGCCACGAGCAACACGATCGCCGGCATCGGTGACAGTCTCCTTGACCTGCTCCTGGGTGGACTTGGTGGAATCAGGAGTGAGCTCCTCCTTTGCCTCTGTAGGAAGATATGGTCAGCAACTCGGTCTTGGCAAGCAGAGCAGAGAAATATGACATACTAGTTGTGAAATCTTTACGGCCGGTGTCAGACATGATGATGATAGTGGTTGAGAATAGAATCCAGTTGTGTAGGCTCTTTGCAGAAATTGAAGGTGTTGCTGAAGTCAAAGTAGTTGAGGCAGGAAGAGGGTTTATGTATGCCGAACATTTGTTTGTCTCCCTGTACAAAGAAGAAATATGACGTTGCCTACAGTTTGCTATCGTGATCAACCTCATTTATTGTGAATATGGTGACCACCTACGTTATTAGAGCTTTATTTGGATAGTGACCGCGGACCAAATATGACATAACCCTGGACGATGATTCCATTAATCAGATTATCTACTAGTACTCGGTTACATAACTTGCTTTCAGCGTACAGTGTACTCTATAGGACAAGGGGAAACGAACTGTGCGCCTGGTCATACTCGAGTACATATACTGTAGGTCTATTTCCAGCGATGACGTCAATAACGAAGGTGCCAAGGATTTAAGGTTTAGAGATCCAAGATTGGTGATAGTCACATGACTCATCTTATCGGCAAAAAGAGATAAGACACCAGAGCAAAATAGGGAGCGGTCAGTCTTTGCAGAACCCCTCACCGCCTATCGTCACCTCTTGGGCACCGACTCATCCATCTTCTATCAACTTATTTGCTGCATGTCTCCATTCTTTCGTTCAGGCTCACTATGTGGATAAGATTCGTTCTTCTTCATGCATCATCGTCTGATTCACCGTGATTATCAGCCTGATCGTTATCACCGTGACACCACATTTGCGTCTCTTCTTTATCTTTTTGCTCTATTCCAATCACCGACTCACAATCACACATATACCCTTTGTTTCTATCCCATCTAGCCGTCAATGCTCCCTTCGGACTCCACCGAGGGTTCAAACTGGGGCTTCGCTCAAGTGCACCACCTACTGAGGTCGCCCATCAACGGGGGCAGTGCGGGGCCCAGTCACCACAATGAATCTACATTCCGATTATTTCACGAAGAACAATCCGTGGATGCTTCTCCTCACGACAGTCGCAAAGGCTTCACGTCATCTAGGCTTCAGCCGAGTCGCACTCGGCTAGGTGACTTTGGCCCGCTTTGGAAGCTTCTTCATGAAGACCCTGCTTCTACTAGTGTCACACCAACATTGTTGACCACCAACCCCGACCTGAAAAAAGGTCAATCCTCATTTGATATCTTGCCTTCCAGTCCATCTCAAGGGTCCGTCAAAGATGGCTCATTTTCCGACTCCTCCAACACTGAATGCACTGGCGCTGTTCCACGCAGCACCTCTCCGATCATTGGCGAAAGAAAGCGTCGGGTACTCAAGGACACCATCACCAACTATGCTTCTGACTCCACATCCCGTGCTTCTGTCGAATATCACTCATTTTCAATTTTGAAGCGTCCCTCGGGTCATGAGCCTCTTGCAAAGAATACCAATGTGACATTTGATATTTCACGGACGCCTACAAAGACAGTCACCAGAGCCGGCGATGAAAATACTACCCCCAAAGTGAAACGCAAGCCTCGATCTCGTGGAAAAGGTTTTCGAAATGACCCATTCTCTTCCGAAGGTAGTGCCGGAGTAGATTCGGACGCAAGTTTCATCTTTGATCGTCCCATGCCTGGCAAATACGACGCCTTTGCATTCGTTCCATCTCAAGTTGGCGCACCTGAAGTGAAGAATAACCAATATGATACGCCGCCGTCTTCATACGATGATCAAGACTGGACACTGAGCACCAACCCGGGCCTTGCTTCTGGAGGTACTCGCATTCGGTCCGCCTTGTACCAGTCAATTTCAGAGCGCAGAGCTGCGTTGATGACCCGACTCCTTCGAGAGTTCCCTGATTATGCCAAGCTCGCATACCATGTGGGACAGGCCTTACCAGTTGAGACTAGCGAGAGTATTCATTCACAACCTATCCATATCTTTGTTGATATGTCGAATGTAGGTTTCGAGTTTACTCCTTCCTAATTCTCAAACTAATCCTCATAGATCCTGGTGGGATTCCACGATTCGGTGAAAGCCTCGCGAAACATTCCTCTTTCGACTCGTATTCGTCGTGTCCACATGTCCTTTGCCAACCTTGCGTTGATTATGGAACGCGAGCGTCAGACCGCCAAGAGAGTCTTGGTGGGTTCCGATCGCCTTCCTTGCGTTGACGAAGCCGAGAGATTGGGCTACGAACCGAATATCCTTGAGCGTGTCCACAAGATGAAGCCCACGAAGCCCATCACACCCCGTCGCAACAAGTCCTGGAAGAACTCTGGTTCCGGTTCTCAGGGGGCATCCAGCGGTCCTGAAACGGTCGCTGCCTCTGGTGAGCGATGGGTTGAGCAAGGTGTGGACGAAATTCTGCATCTGAAGATCCTCGAGAGCCTTTTAGACACCGATAAACCGGCGACAATTGTCTTAGCGACGGGTGATGCGGCAGTGGCAGAATTCTCCGGTGGCTTCATGAAAATGGTTGAGCGCGCGCTACAGCGCGGTTGGATTGTTGAGCTTGTGAGCTTCGCCTCGGGCACAAGCTATGCATACCGCAAGAAGGAGTTTCGGCAGCAGTGGGGTGAGCAGTTCAAGCTTGTTGAACTGGATCCGTACGTGGAAGAGCTTTTTGAATACTAGGCGAGGCTAAATGACATTCGAGATGACGAATATTTACTCGCTATTCCTGCTGGCCAATGACAAGTATGAAATGAAATCAGGACATGTTCCTCTCGTCGTTATTCTGACTCAAAGACTTCGCTAAATATGCTCGAGTCATTCGCTAAATCGTAGTGCATATACAACAGCCCGTAGTCCCATTTTCTGAGTCAACACCCCGCCAAATGGACGTCATTGGACGGAAAACACCCGCCCGCACTGTTGCCTCATGCACGCTTGCTTGTCGACCTACGTAGACTGATCGGTCAGAACTATATAATCCCTGTCTGGAGTCTGGGTTACTCTTCAAGTTCGTCTCTATCATCTCCTGTCCGGCCGTCGACTTTCACAGCCAAAGTGATCGGAGAAAAAATCCGCTCTTGGCAATTTATTTCGAACTTGGATCTGTTCATCACAACCAGCAACACCAAAGCAGATAAACAAAAAAAAAGGGGGAATATTCTCAAATTCTCATTTACGACTCAGACATATACCAAAAACAACATGTCGCAATTCACAGAGCAAGAGTTCTTCGGCGGAGCCATTCGAGGCGTTGTGCCACAAGGCTGGATTGATTCGAGGTTAGTATACAACCCCCCCATGTATCAATTTTGCATTTGATTGCTTCATATTATCCCTTATTCAATAAACATCATACGTATATCTCATAAGATTACACAGCTAACATAAAACCAGCACTCTCCGCGAAGTCCCCGACCACCAAGAGCTCTGGCTATCACCAACCACGCTCTCCAACGTCATCATCGAAATCAACCAGCGCGTGCCACAAGATGAAGCACTAAGCACCCTCGCCGCGCTCAACCACCAGCAACCAACCGCCGCACCGGGCAGCGGCAGCGCCGCAAGCGCCACCGCAGAAACAGTCGACCAAGCCGCCGCCCTGTACCACCTGCACGACCTCTGCGACGAAGGCGACACCATGCAGGTGATCAAGCCCCCGCAGCTAGTCGAAGTCCGTCTTGCCTCGTCCTCGCCTTCGCCCGCTTCCACTATCAAGGCGTATCGAGGCGTCGTCTCTTTCACGGCCCCGGTGCGCGGCGCCGCCGCCCGCATCCCGGCGTCTGCGGATGGCGCTGCTGCTGGTATGGCGGACTCGGCTGTGCTTGGTGCGCAGATGAATGGGGAGTCGAATGGCTTGCCGCAGGTTTCGAAGCTGACTTGTCACTTTTTGCTTGTTCGGCTGGAGGTCCAGGAGACGGATCTTTTGGTGTTTTTCAATGTGCCTCATGAGGAGTTTGATAAGAGTGGGGATCCTAGAGGTTTGTCGTTGGAGGAGGTTGTTGCGGAGGAGACTGTTGCTGCGTTGATTGGAAGATTGGAGATTTGTGATTGGGGACTGTTTGTTTAGTGTTCCTTTCTACGAATTGGACCTTGGTTGGATGGATTTGACTGCAAAAGGTCTGGAGGAATTGGGATCTGGGACAACGCCATTTGGATCATTGGGTAGATAGAAATGCAATCAACTGACTTGCGAGTTTTCTCTCGTGCATACAGAGCATCATATAACTTAGTGTAGAGGTATATATGTAGAATATGTAGAATATAAATCAAAAGGTGTATTGTGGTATAGCGCTATATAAGAAGGTTTTATAAATCAAACAGCCGGCAATTCTCATAACATATCCATCATTGGCATCACATCCCATTCCGTTGGTTCGTTTTCGTCTGGCTCTTCAGCGACACATCGTTCACACTGGCATACAAAGCGGAATGATTTTCGAAGATGTTCACGGCGCGAAGTGAGATCTGTGTTTTGTGTCAAGTCGAAGTACGAGATGCAACACTCCTCGCCCGGGAAAATGTCACGGGACGCAGTGAATACCATGCGGCCTTTGTCGTCGGCTTTATGGATGATCTTGTTCACAGGTTAGCACTTTTCTATTCACGCATTCGGAGAATATGTCTCACATTTGGCAGACAAGAGTGGTTAGCGATTGCTGCAGTGGGATAAACAGCTGCAGCATATTGTTCCCCTCTATCGACTGGAGGGTACGGCACCGGGAAACGGCCTGTTTCTCGCGGATAAAGACCAAATGAATTTGCCTCTTCTTGACAGATGAGATGGAGAACCCGGTCTGCACTCATCCCATGGGCCAGGGCCGGGCTGTTCTGCAGATATTTCTTCACAAGAGTAGACCAAGATCGAACCTTGTCATGGGGCCAAGTATCCGACGATCCACAGAGCGATTCAATACCATTCCAGCCATCTTTCCAGTGCTGGGTCGACGAGGCACCAATTGCCGGCTGACCATGCATCTGGCTATGTCGCGCCGCAAGCAGACGAACAATCACCCACAGCATGCCAAAATCATATTCACTCCATTTGGACCGGATCGGACCGGCATATCGCTTGAGCCAAGTGCATTCGAACTCATGTCGAGCTTGATCAGCGTCTCGACATGTGCTACTGCACCAGGTCACATCGGGGATACAAGCATTCGGACATGGAGTCCGCGCGTGGCGAGGAGCCGCACGATTACAAGCGGGATTGCTGCAGATGAGGCTGTCGTTGTCTGCTGGCTCGTCCACAACGGGGATGACTGCGTACGGGCGATCCACCAGGAGACAAGCGCCTTTGAGAATGGGACCGGAGACTCGAAATTGGCGTCCTTTGATCGGGTCGATGCTCTCAATTAAGTGTGGGTGGATCCAATCGGGCTGCCTCTGGGAGATCCCGTCTACGAGAGTCTGGTCCGAGGGTTCGGTGGTGATATATACAAGTTGGGACATGGTGCTTTGGGGAATTGATATGTAGTTGGTTTCTAAAATGGGCCTTTTTTTTTCCTACGTCAATTTGGAAGAATCTTTGGCACGCACATTGGACAATTGAGGAACCACTCTGAGGCTTCCGTTTGGTTCTCGCGAGTGGGTCGATTTATTCGCCTCCTCGAGGGAAGGGCCAGTGAGGCTATCCAAGCGACTGCAAGTGATTGGCGGCGGTCCCACACGAGTGTATATTTGTCGCTTTCATTGGCTAATCTTGATTTTTAGCGGAGTAGTCTATTTGATCCACCTCGACTGCAGAATCCATTTGGACACAGCAGTTGGGCTTGTAACGTGTTGTATACTGAGTTGTAGGCTATAATTTTTAGCTGCTTGGGAGGTAGTTGTAGGAAGCCCCAAATGGACGCATTTAATTATGTTCTTGTTCTATCAAGCAAGCAATCAGACAGGTCAATGAGTGTTGAAAGCAGCTTATGAAAGCTAGTACTTCCCCCGTTGGCTACAAAGCCTTTGGTCCTTTGAAGATGTGTCTCTGGGCTAGTAGCCGTAGGATTCTACTTGATTTTGGACACATCGATGTCCTCTGCACACCATCTGAGATGTGCAAATATCCTCCAGTATACATCCTCGGCGGCATGTGTTCCGATGATAGGATCAAGATGTCCGTATCCCTCCGCGAGGAACCTGCGATAAAGCCTCTCGCCAAACCGACGTCGCAACAACTCGTAATCCTTGAGAGTAGACTCAGAATTGAACACTTGGTTCTCCGTACCCGAAACAAAGAGAATCGGCAGACCTTGTAACCGTTGCAAATTCTCGGTTGTCAAAAGAGGGCGCGAATCATTGTCCATGCAGACGCCTCTGGATCCTATGCGCACGATTTGCTTCATAAGCTTTGTATGAGTTCCTGCGAAAAATTGGTGAATGTTGTCATGAAGATCCATATCAAGGTTCTTGTGATTCCATAGCAAGCCGAAAGCGAAAGATGTTCGGTGACACGCTGTGGAAGTACAGAAATCTTGTGGGTGTCCAACGGGGTAAAGACGAAGAAGGGCGTCAAGGAATCGTTGAAAAAGAATATCTCCATCACTGCTAAGTATCGGAAAATAATTTCCAGCCAGCAGTTCATAGAGTTGGATTAACAGCGTGGTCCTCCCTTTGAGCGAATTCCAGTACGCAAAGACCTGGTTCATGAAAACAGAGTTGACAGTAAGGCCAAGAAGGTGACTACTCTGGATTGATCCATCCAACAGTCCCATGCAGAGAGCCACTGAGCCTTGACAATGGGCTATCACGTATGGCTTCTGTTCCTCTTTGGTTCGAATGTATGCTACGGCAGCAGCAACGTCAAGACGGCAGTCGAAAACAGTGGATTTCCGTGCCACTGCAAAGTCACAACCCCAGCGCGGAGTGAGTACATAGCATCGATACCCCTTCTCGGTAAAATATTTCACCATGCTGCAGCGCAAGAAGGGCAAGGAAAACAGATTGTGCATTGCACTAACTCCAGTGACTCCGGGCAACAGGAGGACTGGTGAAAGAGTTGAATTTGGTCCCGGTTCGTCAATACCTTGTAGTGGGGCTGGGTCATATCTATCAAGGAGGATATGCACGCCATCACTCGCGATTATCTTGCGTGAGAGAGAAGGAAGTTGTTTTGAGTCGGCGGTATGTTGGATGTTGATTTGGTGGAAGCGCAGGGGAACAAAAGGGCGAAAGAAGAAGAGACTGATATGGTACACGAAAAAGACCAAAAATCCTACCAAAGATAGAAGAAGACTGAGCTGAAATACTTTTGTCGTCCGAAATGTTCTCATCTGCTTTTGGAGGTCTGGCAGAGAGATATGAAGGGCCCCTACTCCAATCTTTGCCCCATCTTGTCGAGTGATAGTGATGTTCACCGTAGTCGTCGATTCCCAGGTCTTTCTGATGGAGAATGCTATCTCCGAATTGATAACTTTCTGTCCTTCCAAGTGATACTGTATGCCCTCAACAGAAAGAAGCTTCAGATGGTATGAAATGGCGGATGCTTCAGCATATTCTGGTACTGGTGTGAAGAATTCTATTGTCCCATCGACAATCTTGAGTGTGGTTTGAGACAACACATAACAAGAAACTGTCCCAGTACATATTCCTTGATATCGTAATCCTGCAGTCATAAGCTTTCCGACGCTATAGTATTCTCCCGACTTCTTACCTTTCCGTCTGCAAATCTCAATTGTGAGGAATGCCCGCAACTGACAGGATGAACCCTTGCCCATAGCTTCGGAAAGTTCAAAATCTCCGACATCAGGCCCCTTGCAGATGTGCCCATGCATGGTCTCTGTGAACTGCCATCCTATAGAATTTGATGCTGTCTTGGTATCGTCTTGATGATCCGGGTCATCTCGTGGTATCATAGGCTTGCTATCGGTGTCAAGAGGTTGATTCTTAGTTCTGAGATCAATTGATAATCCGGACTTCTCGGTAATTAAACTGATAGACCGCTCGGAGAGGGCAGCTATTGTTGCCAGTGGGTTGACTCCTATCAGAATCAGCACATAGATACCACCAAGGAATTCCCAATCTGCCATACCTAAGGCTGTCGGTATTATGGATGCATCGCAGCACATGAGACCTTTGTATACTTCACTACCATGCCCTTGGAATACCTCTCCTAAATGGTTTGTTACCCCCCCTTGTCCCGTTCCGTTGCTGCTCATGTTGGCTCCTCCGAGGAGATGGACTGTGATCTCCTCCTGGTAGCGACCTTGAGCTAAGTTTAGCGTATGTCGATGGCGTAGTCTCGATGGAACTTACCATAAAAATATGAAAATCCCATCCTGGCTCCTGTGCGGGCAAACAGTCGCTTGAACATCTGTTTTATCCCTCTAAAATGCTGAGACTGTCCTTCTGCTGGCCCTCGCAGGCACAAACTATCATTCTTCAAGGTCAGTGTTATCTCATTGCTGTCATGAGACATCACCAAATATGTTGAAGTCCGCTGAAGGGCTCCATTGGATGCATACGGGCCGAGTAGAAGGGACTTGAGAGAGGCGAGGGTCTTGCTGACTTCCTGTCGAGGGTTCCACATGAATGATAAAGCCTGGCTTTTCATAGTCTGCAGGGTGAGCATAACCTGAATCACAGGGTTGAATGTCTCGGGAATACAACCATCCTGAATGACATAGCCATCAAGAGGATTGTCCTTGTGATCAACGATGCGGTTATCAACTATAGCAGTCACGGTTGGTCCAGGGGGGTTGCCGAGCGCGAAGATTGACGGGCGATACCGTTGATATCGGCTCTTCCGTTATAACCTAGGCTGGTTAGATATATTCGCAATTATCCTCAGCAAAAGGACTGACCAAATATCAAAAGGTCACCATTGCCAGAGAGATTCCGCCCCACGAGTGGAGACATGTGCAGACCGCGCTTCTTTGATCGCAGCAAGATTTCAGTAGTGCCTAGAGCACCTGCTCCAAGGAAGCAGAATTCCTTCTGGTTTGGTGGAAATAAACAGTGAGCTTGGATATATCTCCATTTGAAGTTTATCTATATCAGCATCGGCATTGGTACTTACTGCTTTGACCCAGAATAGCTGTTCTTTGAAATGATCTGCAAACACAGACCTCCCACTACCGTGCCAGGCGAAGTATATCATATAGCCTCCTCCATCCATCTTCTCTACAAATCGAACCTCACAGCCGCAGAATATCTCAGCTCCCCGGTTCCACGCATCTGCAAGATATGTTGTCGCCACGGAATTCTTTGAGCCGTCATTGAGACCGGTGCATTCGTGGCCCGAAGATCTGTTCCCTTTCATTGGGACACCTGCGTTATTAGGGGCCTCGTGGAAGAATATTGTCAATGGTACTCGATAGAAGTTCTTCTTTTCTCCCAGCCATCTCGAATCCTCTCGAAGTTGCTCCAATTTGGTCAATCTTGCAGTATCTGGATATATGGAAGGTTGTAGCATCGTCTCCGCGCGTGAGTAGTCTGCCACTCGGTTATGAGATGCCCCTACCTATGGATACCGAATTGATAAATTGATACACAATACTCACATTCATCAAGATGAGAGGGCTCGTTCTTGATTTCCGACGGCCATGGACTCATTTGCAATGTCTTTTTGTCCGCCTTCAAGAATACCCCGGCGTTGATCAACGAAGTCCCCCCAAGTCCTGTATTTACTGTTAGAACCTGCTGGTACTTGGGATTCTGGTAAAGAACAAGGAATCCGATTGTATTCCACATACCGTGAGCAGCAAATGAATGCTGTCCATCGCCCAGGAACAATTGAAACAGCCGTGTGGGATCCCCAGACGACAGCCACTTTGATACGAAAGAGTTCTTCACAGAACTCCCCGAGATGCTCATGTCCCTCAGACATTGAGAAAACGTGCGTGGAAAGGATCCGGCTATATATGATGTTAACATTCTTCTGTATGTCCATTGAAGTCTCATCCGAAAGCAGTCCTCTTATGCGCCGGGTGGGTATTACATCGTCTTTCCCAGCCAAGCTCTAACACCGCGACGCTCTTTCCTGCTCGAGCCATTCGACTTGCTGCTACTCCAGCTCCATAGCCAGATCCTACAATCACCACATCATATTCTGGTCTCATTGACTCAAACGGACGACTCAGGGTCGGGTAATTGTCCGTCCTGTCTCCGTGTGTTGGCATGGTTTCTCGCTTTGGAGATATAAGGAAATTTAGTGGGGAAGCCAGTGGCAATAAATCAGGACAGCGAAACATGGGGTACGGGCCATTGGGGTGTAGGTTGAGAGATGACTGGTCCTATATGTGTGGAGACCTATAAATGTCACAAGCAAGGGCTGGTATACACGTATCCATGCAGAATTAGCTGCAGGTAGAGATGCGTTGGGTTATTTTCCCCTGTTATTCTGCTCCATATTAGTGTCATATGGGCGAATCGTCTCGGAATTCGAGCCTAATCCGAAGGAACATCTGAGCTATTTTAGAGGATAATGGAAGTATTCTCGGGATAATGCCAGTAGTTCGATACGAGGTCTATGAACAACGCGCGGCTTCATTGCATGTGAGTTTTAGTGTTGAAAAATACTAGATCGTCGGCAACTACATCTGTAGTAGAATTTGTGATGGACTGGGATTTTCAACATTTAGTCCATAAGGCCGCTGAACGTGAGGATCCACAAATATATGCGTACTGCAGAGGAGAGCTTGTCTGTCCCGCTAGAGATACTCCGTATTCCGCCAACTATTCCCCGTCCTATCACAGGTCTGGAATCAATTGGATTCCTGAAATAGTGTTCTAGTCCACTTTACTAGCCCCAAAGGATCAAACTCACCTGCCTTGGCAATCCTAGATCTGGTCAAGTGCTTATTTCAATATATTGGGGAGGGCGAGGTTTCATCTTCAATGGTCAACTGCATACGCCACCTGGGTCTACAGTGCTATCAAAGCTCTGGAAGAGCAACTGGGTTGGTTTGGCATTTCCCAAATCATGTATGTATGTAAGTAAGTAGGCTACCCATGTATCTTATTCCCCATTCCCCATTGGCCTTACTCTATCTAACCTTGGCATAGAATCCAGCCTTGTGGCAAGGCCATTCTCACTTGTAGCTGACCCGAAGAGTCACAAGTTTACTTTTGAAATACTCAGACAAGGATAGGTTTCTTAACATCATTGAAATCGTACCGAGTGTTTCGAGGGATCAAGCTTATGGCGCCGTGGCAAAACACAGGCCAACCTCGGCACCTGAAGCGTGGCACAGTTTTGCTAGACCAGACATTCTTCATACTAGTGATTCTCAACGCAATGCTGATGTTTATTTGCTGTATTCTTCCATGAGCCAAAAGATGCCAAAAAAAGAATGTATATTCACCCGAAGAAAAACAAAAAGAAGCGTCCCCGGGAAGGCTCGAACTTCCAACCTCCTGATTAACAGTCAGACGCGCTAACCAATTGCGCCACGGAGACTTGTTGTTGCGAAGAAGGAACAATTGCATATATGTTTGTAAATGGCTTGTTCTGTGTTGATTCTCGGTATCTGATCTCTCCGTTGCAACATCTTGGGAAATGATCCAATGCCATAATCTTGGAAATTTACCGATCAAAGTAGGTATTCGTTAAATCAGGCGCTGTTCATAGATATAGATATTTACAAGAATATCCTGCCCTTTAAATCGTCAGGTCCACAACGCTTGTCTCCTCAACCATCGCCTTGGTAGCGACCCTCCTTGATGCCACAGCCCGAGGCACTGGCTTGATCTGCCTAAGACTGCCTCTGCAAAGACCGCAGAACTGGCGTCGGGGGTCGATGCTCTTTGAGTGCCGGCCGACCTTGAAGTCACAGAATTGTGCCTCGCAGGCCCAGACATATTTGTGGTTGATCTCATAGGTATGTTTGGTCGAGACCTCGACTCGGCCCCCATAGATTGGGTGATCTTCTAACGCCTGTACACATTTGGCGCCCCATTGCTTGAAGCTGGCGCCGTGCTGTGCTACACCTTTGCCTCTATTGTTGGTGACGAGCATGTCGAGCAGGTGGCAGTACTCGTGCGTCATCGTGCAGAGGATCTTGTCCTCGCTGTCCAGAACTTTCTCGGACAGCTCAATGGTAGCATAGTGAACGCGCCTCCCAGCGTGCTCCATACCGGCGGGCCCTGGGAAGATTCTTTCTGATCGCACGGTTGCCCGTCCGGCGGTGTTTCGGAAATTCTTAGTCCATATAATTTTTATCCCACCAGTTTCCTCGGTCATGCGAGTGACCTGGCCATCGAAGGTACTGTCAAGATGTTGCAGGAACGTCTCGGCGAAGCTGATTTTCGTTTCATTGAACCTGGCTATTTGAGCGCGGATCTCGCGTTTGCGCGCTGCCTCGGCCTTTTTTTGGGCCCTGATGGTGGTGGGAGTTTCCATACCCGATGAACTATCAATTGTTCTAGTGGAGCGAGTGAGAGAAAAGTGAGGCTTGCGTCGCAAAGGGGTCGATGGTGACGGTTTAGAGCGGCCCGGGTGAAGTTGCAATGGCGTTTCATCTTCTGATCCAGGGCTGCGAAAATTGTTCAGTACAAATGTTTGCAGTGAGATGGAGGGGTTGCATGAAGACGCACGATAGCACTTACCTGGATCTTTCTGTTTTTGGTTGGGGCATAGACTCGTTATCACTGTCTAAATCAAGATCTTCAAGGTGTCGAATGAGATCATTGGAGTTGTAAATGCTGGAATGAGGAGAATAAGCTGAGTCAAGTTGAGCTTTAACTACGTTTGTTTGTTCAATAGCTGAGGAATAATCAAGATGTGGTGTGCAGTCGTCAGGTTGCGGGGCGACGATCTGTGACTTCTGGATATATCGATCCAGTTCCACCTCGAGTTGAACCGCTTCGATAGGTGCCTTCCCCTCTGTGTCGTTGATTGGTTCTGATTCTGGTTCTGGCAGCGGTTTTCTTCCATGCATGAGCCTCTTCCTCGGTGATCGGATAGGTGACGGTGCCGGACTAGGCTCCTCCTCTGCATTGTGGATTGGTTCTGGTTCTGGTTCTGGTTTTCTTCCACGTATGAGCCTCTTTCTTGGTGATCGAATGGGCGATGGCACTGGGCTGAGCTCATCTTCTGTGTTGGCTGTCTCGGAATCTGATGTCTCATGAGAACTGAGCTCGTCGTTGTCACTGACAATGAACCCGTCTAGTGAGTCGGAGCTATCCTCTTCCTCAAAGCTAAGTTGCGGCTGCGCTTGCTCATCTTCTTGTTCTTGTTCTTCCTGTTCTTCTTCATCTTCCTCCTGTCGTGGTTGGTAGTCAATCTCCGGTCGTCTCACGGAGAGACTCCCAATCCTGCTCCCCGGGGGAACTTGCGAAGCACTGGGCCTCGTGGGTGTTAAATCTGGGGTTCGATGTCCATCTGAGGCGTGGTCTGGGAGATCATTTTCTTTGTCATAATCCTGCGTCTCCCTTCGCAGGGCTGGACGTGGTCTCCGCTTCGCTGGTAAGAGTAGCGAGTTCACACGTGCGAGCCCCAGCGTCTTCTGCTTCTGCTGTTTCCCGGCAGACCTCTGCTGAGTTTCACTTTCCGATGCTGAAGCATTGTCGGAAAATATATCAAAGAATCCGCCCGAGCCTGTTCCTTGCCGTCGAGTTTGGTTCTGTGGTTTCGTGGGCACGTTGTGTTTGGCTGTGTTTCTGGTATTGGACCATGGCTCTCTAGGAAGCGGGGCATCGTGAAAAATCCCAAAATCTCGGGCGGAGCTTTTGGCTTCCTCGTTTGCTCTGCGAGGGGTGTGCTTGACCAAAGGGTTGGTTGTGTTAAGCCTTGCCATGGTCACGATATGGGATCTGGGGGTCTCGGGATGCGCAAATCCCGCGGGTTTGGAATACCAGCCCAAATGAGACCCTGTGGTCGCAGGGTTCAGCGATAACGGCTGGTTCGGACCGGGGAACTTGGGTTTGCGGGTTTGAATTTGGTGTGGGTGGTTTTGACTGTTCTTTTGACTGTTCTTTTAAGGTTCTCATGCCCACGGTTTGCTCCGGTTGTGGGTTGTCAACGAGTCCGTTGGCACGGCAACAAGTCGATCTATCTATATGATAGCTCAGCCGCACCGTGCACGTCAAAATATACGCATGTCGCGCTTCAGTTGATTCCAGGCTATTTTTAAATCACGGGTTACAGCACGTTAGCTTCCCGGCACAAATTTCCATTCTATGCGGTTTATGTTTCGCAACTTTGATTATATCCTTGGACAATCAAGAAGCCTGCCCTCACCGTCTCGGCTCAAAGCCATGCTTGAAAAACGCCTGGGACTGGGTATCAATTTACACAATACTACGGGCTCTTATGTGACACATCTGTTCCTTTGGGCACAGCCCTCTGCCCTTTTCATGTATGGCCGTAGCCGGTGTTTAACATTCAGATTAGAACTACCTACGGAGTACTCCGTACATATGTAGGCCAATATACGTACCACAATTCCTTTGCCGGGTGAATTTATGTATCTCAGCTGCCGCCGCTTTTATGAGGGCGCTCCGGCTTGGGTTTACTGAGTAAATCCAGTCGGTGAGAGGCCTTTCTGCGCTCAGCAGCGATCCAGGTTCGAATCCTGGCCTTGGCATCATCATCATCATCATCATCATCATTGTCTTCTTCTTCTTCTTCTTCTTCTTCTTCTTCTTCTTCTTGTTGTTTTTCTACGCTCGTTTGGCATCACCAACAGTTCTACGGGCTTTCCTGAGGCAGCCAGAGTAATAACGGGCACGCCTGCTCCTCGCACTCCTCATCCAAGGATGTCCCGTTTAGGGCCCGGCAGCGACCCAGTTTTGTATACTAGAAATATCCTACCCCTAGTGATACTAGAGGCATAGAGGATCTCTATGAGTGTACGCTCCCGGTTCATTCTAATGATGACCTTGTCTAATACATCAATCAGCCTGGGTACTTTGAGATGCGGGTCATATGGTGATTTTGACCATACACCGAATAGCAAGGAGCAAAGTAAATTGAGTGGTTTTCTGGCAAAGATAGGAGTATACGTTTTCACTTCTCGCATGATCTTCTAGAACACAGGCACTATTATGTATACGACACGTCCCGGTTTACATTTCTGATTGCTAACGGATATCATAGTGGTCTTATTGCCTACATCTACAGAGTATGTATATAGATAGATATACTTCGTACTCCCTCCCCACTTCCTTCCAGTACTGATAATTATCATACGAGATTGATTCCACCAATGTTGACGGTAATAGAAGCAAAATAAAACCATATAAATAGTTGGAACGAATTTAGTTAGTGTTCAAGGAACAAAAAGACAACAAAAAAGATAACAGGCCCGAGCCGCGGATTGAACGCGGGACCTCGCGCAATATTGCTCAGGTTTTGAATACCCTAAGCGCGAATCATACCACTAGACCACCCGGGCTGTTGTTGTGATAGTTGCTCTATTTTATGCAATATAAGCTATTCAAGCAATTTCAACGTAACATAAACATGCATCGCGGGTTGTTTCAGGTCTCCAAAAAATGTGAGTGAATCGATGAAGTACTGAAAGGCATGTGCTTCTTACATAGTATAAAAGACTGGATCTTCTATCTTCTCTTATTTTCTCCATCTTATTATGTCTCGGTTTAATATACAATAATAGTACACTCTTCTCTGTGTGGTTGACTAAATTGTAGTTTTAATCGGTTTGTGCGGCGGGACCCATCTAATCGGCGCCGATACCTAATCCATTCAACCTCGCTAAATTATGGTAGGTAGGGAGTAGAGATACCAAGTACCAGTTTATGATACGATTTGGAATACGCCTGGCGATCAAGGCTCTAGGGAAATTGTTACGCTATGTCCTTCGAGGCATTCCTATACAATCCAATATTGACCACCATACTTCATACTGTCAACCAGTGTATTGAAGTTTGTGGAATATATGGATATGCTGTAGCTTGCTAGTACAATCCAGTTCTGGTGGCAGCTGCCGCCCGTCCAGCAGTATTCTAGCTGGACTGTATCATACACATCGGGAAACTGGCTGCAAAAAGCCGGATATATATCTACAACTTGGCACAACACAGCCTGGGACAGGAACGAGAGAATCGCATCCATAGGTGCTAACCTCCCGGTAGGATGTAAGAACAGATATGCCACCCCGTTGGTGATGATGTTGGGCATTCTTCATGTTTGCGTGCAAACAGGCAGACAAGGATATCACCGGTGACCAACTGGTATCACGGCAATGGCGCAGGAGCCACCAGAATAAACACCAACCATCGACTACATATGTATGCATAGGAAAAACATCAATTCTAGGTTCCATCATCAACAGGAACCTGCACCTGTCCCAACCTCTCAACCCATGAGCTAGTCCGGGAGGAAATTGCAACATATCTCATGGATAATTGATTTTTAGATCAGGACAGCCCGAAAAGGCAAACAAGAAAGCAGGTATACTCCCAGTATAGACTTTAGACAATACGTCGATTTTCTACACTTAACCATCATATACAATGCAACTATTACTCTTCGCCATATGGTATCGCAAACCAAAAAAAAAGAGACAAATGAAACAAACCGAAGTCAACGACATATCTATAAGATATCACAGATTTTGGCGAAGACTAGTCTACGTTCAAAATGCAGACACATTTTATGGACAATGCCGACATTTCCCCGTCCCCTGACGTAAATCGAAGTTGGAGTTAAAAGAAACGAATGATTGGAATTCCACATATGTAGTATGTAAGGTGAACACCGGGATCTGAATCTACCCGAGCGAAAAAAAACGAGGCCGGAGGAAATCTGCAGTGGAATGCAATAGAGATACCTTGATATATGTACTCCGTACGAAGATACCTTCAACACAGCCTCTCCCAGGGGGCGGGAAAGATGTCCTAAAGCCAAACACACCGTATGTATTATGCCTGATACACAAGACACCCAAGCCCAGATACTCTCCAACGCGAGTACGACACATAAATCTGCAGAGGCCTTAAGTACCGTCATCGCGGAGAAGCCAGGCCTCCTTGCTGGAAGCAGCGTGGCTGGCGAGGTGACTGCACAGCCTCACCTGTAAAACATGGACTTCCGGAGCATGTTGATCCCAATCTGAGGGATTATTCACCTATGGCTTGCAGGGTGCGTCTCTGGGTCGACGTTCAGCAAACGGACGTTGTTCGAGTCCATTCCATCGCGGTGCTGGGGAGATCGGTCACCCCCTTACCTCCCCGCTCATACACAATGCGACAATTGGCGGCTGTATTTATTCTTTTGTAGTTCGTACCCGGAAATCAGGTTACGGGTGCAATGGAGACCTGGATATTGCATGCGATTGGCTGATAGGTCCTGTCAATTTGGTTTTTGATCTGCGGATGAGCTTAGCATCATGTTCGAAGATTCTCGGCTTGAGCTGGCCATAGTAACCCCGTGTATTGCTCACTATACCGACATAAATGTTTTGATACTGTAAGTGAGTACCGTACTCAACTGAGTTTTGATGTAGATGTTAGTTACAGTCTGAAATTAAGAAAAGGTTGGGATTTGTATAGAGATCCTGAACAAACTGTATGCGTTCGTTTAATGTCTCGTTTAATGTCTCAGGGGAACAAGGTATTATGATCACGCAGAATAGCCAATAGGATGAGCATAGCCTCGAGTGGGAATTGATATTTTTTGGGAGTTTGATCATTGGGGATTTATATAATGGCGTGGACCTGTTACTGACCATCAACGAAGTACTCCGTACTCCGCACATAGTCACAACTCCCACACTCCGATCTTGTTATTAGCAATATATTTTGAAATTCCGAGAGAATACGTTTGATTTGAAACCATATCCTAAACACAATAGATACACATTATTTATTTATAACAACCTAATCGTTGTAACACCCGTCTAGTATCCCCAAAATATATCGAAGTTCCAAGGCTACATAGTACAAAGTATACAATCTATGCAAGCACCTTGCTCCTGGATCGTCCATTGACATGTTCGATTGGCCCATGGATTGGCAATAGATTGACTAGCCCCTTCCTGTTGCCATCAACAGATTATGACAGCCCAAGCCCAAAGACGATACTCCGTACTCCGTACTCCGTACGGAGTACATGTAACTAGATATCGTATGTTGGATGTCGTGCGATATTCTGCTTCAAGGGACACATATATGACCTCAAGGCGGGGTCATGATTGGCCCCTGGTCACGGCCAGACAGTGGACACGGTGGAGGGGGCCGGGGCCGGTCCCCTGTGTAATCACCTTGGAAGATAGTTGCCGCGATCGGCTTCTGCGCATATGATAATCAGAACGACCGATCTCCATTGAAGTGACGAGAAAGAGACCGATATCTTTCCATGGTGTCTACGTTAGAAGTACTCTGTATCCGTACCATGGTCCTTATTCAGGGGTTGCAACCAAAAATAATCGGAAGAGCTAGTCCTCCGTAAGGGGGTTCTAGAAACACCCGTGGCAGCCATCGACGCCAGCGGCTCTCCTAAATGCAGCTAACAAGCCATTCCCAATAAATAGAAGTGACCTGCTCTCTTCATAAATAGTTATGACGGGTTGACAAATTTACAGCACGTTTCAGAATTGTGTGCTAGCGCCCTGTAGTCCATACGGAGTACGAAGGACGGAATACGGAGTATTGAAAGGCGGGTCAAATACATAGCGATCTTTACAATAAATGTGCTACACTAGGGCACGCCTGCCGGCTAGTGATCGCTGACTAGGCTGTTTGAGACCACCTTCTGCGTTTATTTTTGGCACCGAGACACAGTTGCTTTCGGATTCTGCAATGTTATATAAAATAACCCACGAGGGTGTCAATAGAGGCCCCATCATAAGGTGGATAGGCAATGAATATCAATAGGAGAGCTAAAAATGAAATAAAAAAAATGGATTACGGCGCCCAGCGTCTCTTATGCAGCTGATGTGTTCCTGCGCCCTCATGCATCTGCGGGTACCAAGGTGTACAAGGTACGGAGTACGGAGCACAAGTACAAGTACGGAGTACCGTGTTGCAAACCGATACTGCTGCGGTCCGCGATGCAAGTATATCTTGTAGCTACCACAGTGTGCCACAGCATACCCGATAAGCATTGGTTTGATCGTGCCGTGGCGCGATTGCAGGCTGTTGCGTAGGTGGGCTAGGTGTCGGTCGAGGCTCTCAGAAAGAAATAGACAAAAGCGATCGATGGTCCACTTAGTGCGTGGAACAACCTGAAATCCTGGGTTTAACGGTGGAGATCCTCCTCGAATACAGGTTTACTAGCTTTGTATGCATATACAGTATCAGCCTATGTATTGCGCTTGTAAAGCTGGATGTTTAATACTTTAACGGTCGGCGTCGACGTGGTATAAAGAACAAAACCTATGAGGAGAGCATAGAATATATAAGGGGAGGATGAGGATTCCGATGAAGAAAAGTCTGTTGAAGTGGACGCTCGATATGTCCAACGTTGCACAAATTAAGCTCCGAACGCATTGAAATATAAATAGAGACAAACCCGAACAATTGAGTCTGGGAACATTAGCGAGTTCAGCTTGGAGAGGAACCATTCTCTTAGGTACTCCGTACTCCATACCTCTCTGTGCAAGTTGAGGACCGCAGTTTCAAGTTTTCCGGTGGTACGGTGTCCACTGTGCGATACTTTTCGCGACGCTGTATGGAGGGCTTCCCAGCCACGCCTTGGGAATAATAGCTCGACGGTGAAAAGTCAGATGTAATACACGGAACTGATCTACGTCTGAGACACTTGTATTACGGTGGCGAATCAACTGGCTCGGACAGAGTAGATGAAAAGGCTGCGATCAAGACTACAGCCAAAGAAGAAATAAGGACTGGCGATCGAGATTAAAACAGAAAAATATAAACCTGGGCGATGGAGTACTCCAGAGGACCTCATAAGGAGAGATTCCCAATGTGGGAAACAGGTGGTTCGTCCCAAAAGGTCGTCGCTTGAGAGCCATGGATCCCGAGCTAAGAACACCCGCTTGTTCGCCACCGCCTGAGCTCACAATCTGATATGGCCAACTTCCACGGGTAATGGAATCTGAACAGACTCAAGTCCCAGAGCAAAAATGGAGCAATTGGTCCAAATGGTGATGATCCATGGCTATAACGTACACAGGACGCAGTACGGAGTGCTCCGTACAACATATCCATATAGCTATAAGTCAATATATCGATGTACTCCGTACTCCGTACTCATCACATCACGGTGACTCGCCACCCGAATAAAAGTGTACATGGAGAGGGACCATCAAATTCAACGAGTCAGCGTGTACTCCGTCCTCCGTCCTCCGTCCTCCGTACCTAAGTGTGTCCGATGTGCATAGTGACGAGGAATGAAAACAATACCGGTGCAACGCCATCCCTGCATACCGATCGGTCGCCATAACAAGGCACAGTCGAATCAACAGCCATTTTTAGGACAGCAGTTCCATCGCCAGGTATCTCTGGGAATAACCCCAGTCACATAATTCGTTACCCGATTACGGAGTGCATGTTGGCTGGTCACGGTGGGGCAAGTTTCAGGGGCCGTCGAGACTCCCTTGGATTCCGAGTGCCCGCGATACACTGTTATTGGGTGGAGAGGGGGATTGGGGTTGAAGTGATCGGGGAAACACAAGCGTAAATACAGTCGGACAATAACGGTAATTCAGAATAGGACGAAGAGGTCGCTAGAAACGGTTTGAAGACACCAGGGCTGGGGGTACACCGGAAGCTCAATGGCCGCAACTCAATGCGCCACGTATTGTAAACAAAGGGATGGTAATGGGTACCTGGCAAAGATAGGGGCCACCCATACTGACCCAAAGTATCCAGTACCCGACTATCTGACACGTACCCTTTCTGGGCGTATGGTGACGGTAAATTGTTCAGTACACGATAGACAGGCCCCCGAATCCCAAAAATAACAAGCATTTTCTCGTCTTTCCTTTCCAACCCCCTTCCATTCGCTTTTTTGTCTCCATCTTTCCTTCTATTTGCTACCTTTCGGGTTTCTTTCCTTTTGACCAAAGAAGGATCGGAGGGAGGTTGCTTTGCTCTTAATATTCCATTGCACCTTCCTTTTTGTGAGACGGGGAAACTCACCAGCCATTCGTTACAGAGTCTGAGACTCGTTCGACACCTTCGCTTGGGTTTTCAAGATTACACGCATTTCATTTCCTTCGCATCGGTTCCGTCTTTCCATGTCGATGCTGCATTAAAGCGACAACGTTCCAATCAAGAATAATACTGTGAATGATCGCGGTTGAGGTGAGAGATTGCCCTGCGACTGAGACTACCCGCATCTACGCAAGGGCTGGATGTTTTGCGAGAACCACTGGAACTAATTTCAATACAGAGCTCTAGGCACTAAATCGATCGCGAGTCACCCGTCATGTCGGGCTACGCAGGAGGCGGAGGCCAATATGACGATGGCTATGCCCAACAAGGGCAGGCCCAACAGGGGCAGGCTCAAGGTCATGGTGACTCCTACTATCAGGACGACCATGCCCAGGGGTACTACGAGAATCAGGGATATGGGGATGGCTACTACGACCAAGGGTAGGATTTCTTGTGGCAGAAAGCACTGTGTAATAGACGAGAAGGCTGACGGGAGAGATAGTAACGGCTACTATGGCGCAGATGGTGGTCATGGCGCGGAGGGAGCCCACGCAGACGCAGGCCAAGGCTACGCCGACGGAGGATACTACGAGGCTGGCCACAATGATCAGTATGCCGCCGGCGGCGGCGACCAGTACTACGACCAGGGACAAGGGGAATACGGCCGAGGACGCCGTGGTCACGACTCCGAAGAAGACTCTGAGACATTCAGTGATTTCACTATGAGGTCTGAGACTGCCCGTGCAGCAGACATGGACTACTACGGACGGGGCGATGAACGGTACAACAGCTACTCTGACAGCCAGTACGGTGGCCGTGGTGGCTACCGACCTCCGTCTTCCCAGGTTTCCTACGGAGGCAACAGATCATCAGGCGCCTCAACGCCTGTCTATGGAATGGATTATGGCGCCGCCCTCCCAGCGGGCCAGCGCTCGCGTGAGCCGTACCCTGCCTGGACCTCTGATGCCCAAATCCCCCTTTCGAAAGAGGAGCTCGAGGATATCTTCCTGGATCTGGTCAACAAGTTTGGCTTCCAGAGGGACAGCATGCGGAACATGTACGACCACATGATGACTATGCTGGACTCCCGCGCGTCCCGCATGACGCCGAACCAGGCACTTCTGTCCATCCACGCTGATTATATCGGAGGACAAAATGCCAACTACCGTCGTTGGTATTTCGCTGCCCACCTGGATCTCGACGATGCGATCGGTTTCGCAAACATGAAGCTCGGCAAAGGAGATCGCAAGACTCGCAAGGCTCGCAGGGCCGCAGCCAAAGCCGCCAAGCAGAACCCAGAGAACGAAGAGGAAACCCTCGAGGCTTTGGAGGGAGACAATAGCTTGGAGGCAGCGGAATACCGATGGAAATCGCGCATGAACCGCATGTCTCAGCATGATCGCGCCCGTCAGATCGCCCTGTACCTCTTGATTTGGGGTGAGGCCAATCAAGTGCGATTCCTGCCGGAGTGCATTTGTTTCATCTTCAAGTGTGCCGATGATTACTACACCTCGCCTGAATGCCAGGCTCGCGTTGAGCCAGTCGAGGAATTCACTTACCTGAATGAGATCATCACTCCTCTCTACCACTATTGTCGCGACCAAGGATATGAAATCTCGGATGGCAAGTATGTTCGTCGTGAGAGAGACCACAACGAGATTATTGGCTACGACGATATGAACCAGCTCTTCTGGTACCCCGAGGGTATCGAGCGCATCGGTTTCGAGGACAAGACTCGCTTGGTTGACGTGCCCATCGGTGAACGGTGGCCCAAACTCAAGGACGTGGTCTGGAACAAGGCTTTCTTCAAGACTTACAAGGAAACTCGCTCTTGGCTGCACATGGTGACAAACTTCAACCGTATTTGGGTTATCCACTTGGGTGCCTTCTGGTTCTTCACTGCCTACAACGCCCCGACTCTGTACACAATCAACTATCAACAACAGGTTAACAACAAGCCAGATTCTCCCAAGTATCTGGCTGCTGTTGGATTTGGTGGTGCTATTGTGTCTTTCATCCAGATCATGGCGACCATTTGCGAATGGATGTATGTTCCTCGACGTTGGGCGGGAGCTCAACATTTGCGAAAGCGCTTTATGTTCCTAATCGTGGTCTTTATTATCAACCTGGCTCCTGGAATCGTTGTCTTCAGCATCTTGCCATCGTTGGGCATGACAAAGAGTGCTGAACACGGTGCCGGCCTCGCTATCGGTATCGTCCACTTCGTTATTGCAATCTTCACAGCGGTCTACTTCGCCGTCCAACCATTGGGCGCGCTCCTGGGTAACTACCTGAAGAAGGGAGGCCGACAATACGTTGCCAGTCAGACCTTCACAGCCAGTTTCTCACGCCTCAGTGGTAATGATATGTGGATGTCATATGGTTTGTGGGTCTGCGTTTTTGGTGCCAAATTGGCCGAGTCCTACTTCTTCTTGACTCTGTCTTTCAAGGATCCCATTCGAATCCTGTCCCCGATGCAGATTCATCAGTGTACTGGTGCTAAATACGTTGGCAACGTGATCTGCCACCGACAGCCCCAAATTCTGCTCGGTCTGATGGCCTTCATGGATTTGACGTTGTTCTTCTTGGATAGTTATCTGTGGTACATTATTTGCAACACCATCTTCTCTGTGGCGCGCTCATTCTACCTGGGTGTCTCCATCTGGTCTCCGTGGAGAAATATCTTTTCCCGTCTGCCCAAGCGTATCTACTCCAAGGTTCTAGCCACGACCGACATGGAGATCAAATACAAGCCAAAGGTTCTGATCTCACAGGTTTGGAATGCCATCATCATCTCCATGTATCGCGAGCATCTCCTGGCTATCGATCATGTGCAGAAACTACTGTACCACCAGGTGCCGTCTGAGCAGGAAGGCAAGCGGACGCTTCGTGCCCCTACTTTCTTCGTGTCGCAGGAAGATCAATCTTTCAAGACAGAGTTCTTCCCCCAGGGAAGTGAGGCCGAGCGTCGTATCTCATTCTTCGCGCAATCGCTCTCCACCCCCATGCCGGAGCCCCTTCCCGTTGACAACATGCCCACCTTCACTGTCCTGATCCCCCACTACAGCGAAAAGATTCTTCTGTCTCTGCGTGAGATTATTCGCGAAGATGAGCCTTACTCCCGTGTTACACTGCTCGAATATCTCAAGCAGCTGCACCCCCACGAATGGGACTGCTTCGTCAAGGACACAAAGATTCTCGCCGACGAAACCTCACAGTTCAATGGTGATTATGAAAAGCCCGAGAAAGATGCCGCCAAGAGCAAGATCGATGATCTTCCTTTCTACTGCATTGGTTTCAAATCTGCCGCTCCCGAGTACACACTGCGTACACGAATTTGGGCCTCTCTCCGCTCTCAGACCTTGTACAGAACCGTGTCTGGTTTCATGAACTACAGCCGTGCTATCAAGCTGCTGTACCGCGTCGAGAACCCTGAGGTTGTTCAGATGTTTGGTGGCAACTCCGAGAAGTTGGAACGTGAGCTCGAGCGCATGGCCCGACGCAAGTTCCGCATTTGTGTCTCCATGCAGCGCTACGCCAAGTTCAACAAGGACGAACGTGAAAATACCGAGTTTTTGCTCCGCGCTTACCCCGACCTCCAGATCGCGTACCTGGATGAGGAGCCACCTGTCAATGAAGGCGAAGAACCCCGCATCTATTCTGCTCTGATCGATGGTCATTCCGAGATTCTCGAGAACAACATGAGAAAGCCCAAGTTCAGAATTCAGCTTTCTGGCAACCCCATTCTCGGAGACGGAAAGTCTGACAACCAGAACCACGCAATCATCTTCTACCGTGGCGAATACATCCAGCTCATCGATGCCAACCAAGACAACTACCTTGAAGAATGCTTGAAGATTCGCAGTGTCCTCGCTGAGTTCGAGGAATTGACCACCGACAACGTTTCTCCGTACACTCCTGGAATCTCCACTCCCGATGAGAACCCAGTCGCCATTCTCGGAGCCCGTGAATACATTTTCTCTGAGAGCGTTGGTGTGCTTGGTGATGTTGCTGCCTCCAAGGAACAGACGTTCGGTACTCTTTTCGCTCGTACTCTTGCCCAGATTGGTGGTAAGCTTCATTATGGTCACCCCGATTTCCTGAACGGCACTTTCATGACTACCCGTGGTGGTGTGTCCAAGGCTCAGAAAGGATTGCACCTCAACGAAGATATTTACGCCGGCATGAACGCTGTTCTTCGCGGAGGTCGTATCAAGCACTGCGAATACTATCAGTGTGGTAAGGGTCGTGATCTTGGTTTCGGATCCGTTCTGAACTTCACCACGAAGATTGGTACTGGTATGGGTGAACAAATGTTGTCTCGTGAATACTACTATCTCGGTACTCAGCTTCCTCTTGATCGTTTCCTTTCATTCTTCTATGCTCACCCTGGATTCCACATCAACAACATGTTCATTATGTTGTCGGTGCAAATGTTCATGATCGTTCTGATCAATTTGGGTGCCCTGAAGCATGAGACCATCATGTGCCGATACAACTCCGACTTGCCTATTACTGATCCCCTTGTGCCCACTCTTTGTGTCAACTTGATTCCTATCATCAATTGGGTCAATCGCTGCGTCATTTCTATTTTCATCGTGTTCTTCATCTCATTCGTTCCCCTTGCGGTCCAGGAGTTAACAGAGAGAGGAGTATGGCGTATGGCTACTCGTTTGGCCAAGCACTTCGGATCATTCTCTTTCATGTTCGAAGTGTTCGTCTGCCAGATCTACGCCAATGCCGTTCACCAGAACTTGTCCTTCGGAGGTGCGCGATACATCGGTACTGGTCGTGGTTTCGCCACAGCTCGCATTCCATTCGGCGTCCTTTACTCGAGATTCGCTGGTCCCTCAATCTATTTGGGTGCTCGTCTTCTGCTGATGCTGCTGTTCAGTACCACAACAGTCTGGACTCCTGCTCTGATCTGGTTCTGGGTTTCTCTACTCGCGCTGTCCATTTCGCCTTTCCTTTTCAACCCCCACCAGTTTGCCTGGACCGACTTCTTCATCGATTATCGTGACTACATCCGTTGGTTGTCTCGCGGAAATTCCCGATCTCACGCCTCGTCCTGGATTGGCTTCTGTCGTCTGTCGCGTACTCGCACCACTGGTTACAAGCGCAAACTGCTCGGTGTCCCATCCGAAAAAGGCTCTGGCGACGTCCCCAGAGCCCGCATCACCAACATCTTCTTCAGTGAAATTATCTCTCCTCTGCTCGGTGTTGGTGCCACATTCATTCCGTACCTTTACATCAACTCCCGAACGATGTATTCCGATGATCCCAAATGGGCCGCTAACCCCATCGCTCGCATTGCGATCATCGCTTTCGCTCCCGTGGGTATCAACGCCGGTGTCGCAGGCATGTTCTTCGGCATGGCTTGTTGTATGGGTCCCTTGTTCGGAATGTGCTGCAAAAAGTTCGGTGCAGTCCTCGCAGCCATCGCCCACGCCATTGCTGTCATTGTTTTCTTGATTATTTTCCTTGCCATGTTCTTCCTTGAATCTCTCAACTGGGCTAGGACCATTTCCGGCATGATCTCTGCCATGGCTCTCCAGCGATTCCTCTACAAGCTGATCATCTCCTTCGCATTGACTCGTGAATTCAAGAATGACCAATCTAACATCGCATGGTGGACCGGAAAGTGGTATAACATGGGATGGCACACCCTGTCTCAACCCGGACGTGAATTCCTGTGCAAGATCACTGAACTCGGTTACTTTGCCAATGATTTCTTCCTCGGTCACATTCTCTTGTTTGCCATGCTCCCAGTCCTCGCAATTCCCTATGTTGATAAGTTCCATTCGGTTATCCTGTTCTGGCTGCGCCCCAGGTATGTATTCTCTCACCTCCTCATCACTGAATCTCGACACTAACTAGACATGTCCACAGCCGTCAAATCCGCCCTCCCATCTATTCTCTCAAGCAATCCAAGCTTCGCAAGAGACGTGTTGTACGCTTCTCTATTTTGTACTTTACCATGCTTGTCATCTTCATTGTCATCATTGCCGCGCCTGTTGTTCTTAGGAACACGAAGCAGCTGGATAGCATCCTGTCCGGCGGCATCTGGGAGAGCCTTGGCGTTGCCACAACAGACGGAATCGGTCTGCTCCAGCCGCTTGATCACGGTCTCAATGATACCGTCTCCTGGTACACTGGCTCCAACATCCCCAAGGGCTTCACTTCAGGCAGCATCCCGGCACCCTCGGCCGGCACCGGAGTGTGGTCCATCTAATCGCCTCGGTGAAATGACATTGGAATGGTTTGTACAAAGTTATGCGTTTTTAAAATTCGCTGCATTTTCTGAACTCATCGGCGCACAACTTGATCTTAATGAATGGTTGCTTTGAAATATTGTTTGTGGAATGACGCTTGTATGAAGGGTCTTGTCATTCTCGGGGGTTTACCTTCCTTTCCAGCTTTCTTTGCTTGTTTTATTTACACTTCTATCGGAATTAAATTGCATTGCTTTCAAGAACATCCCCTCCCATTCAAAATTGCTCAATTCCAGTAATCCACTCGAAACTCAAGTAATCGAACCTTGGAAGTACCTAGGCAACTATACGATGTGCAACGTGGGTCTCCGTTCCTCACAGTTTGGTCACGTGGCACGGAGTTCACGAGGCCCCGAGCGGTCCGTTTCATCTTCATTTCATCCTGTCTTTGGACGTCTTTCCTACGCCATTCCACTCCCGGGTTTCTATTGGCCTGGTGTATCATATCACTAGCGCTGACTTCAATCATTTGCCATGGATCTCCAAGAGACCCAGCGTCTCCTTTCCGAGTATCTACACGAACTCGCGGATCTATTCCACCGCGTGCCTGGCTCCGCAATCTTTCTCCGCTATGTGAAATCAAGTTACCAGGATGACCCAATCCGTTCTGCCGTTGAGCTTTTCCTGTTCCTCTTCGCCGTGCGATATCTCCTAGCACCCAAATATTCTACCAAGCCTGGCGTCGTGCCACTCACTGAAGATGAGATCGATGACCTTGTGGATGAATGGACCCCTGAACCTCTCGTCGGCAAGCCCACAAGCTTGGAAGAGATGGAAGTCGACAAGCGAACAGTGATTGTTGGGTAATAATCCCCTAGTGTTCCCATTGCTCCTACCTGGCTCTCCTCGTGAACATTTCGCTGACATTCGACACTGGGATTTGCAGCCCCGTAGGTCCCAAGTCGAAGCTGGCGAACGGCCGTACAGTTATGAACCTCGGATCTTTCAATTTCTACAACTTCAACACGAACGAGTCTCTCAAGGAACAGGCTATCCAAACTCTCCGCGCTTATGGCGTTGGCCCCTGTGGACCCCGTGGATTTTACGGCACACAGGACGTTCACATGAAGACCGAAGACGATGTGGCTTCCTTCTTGGGGACCGCAGCTTGCATTCTCTACTCCCAAGCCTTTTCGACCATCTCGAGTGTTATCCCCGCTTTCTCGAAGCGTGGAGATATCATTGTTGCGGACAAGGGGGTCAGTTTTGCGATTCGCAAGGGTATCCAAATCTCTCGAAGCATTGTCCGGTGGTATGAGCACAATGACATGGAGGATCTCGAGCGAGTGCTCGCGAAGGTCACCAAGGAGCAGGCCCGAAAGCCATTGACTCGCAGATTCATCATTACAGAGGGTCTGTTCGAGTCTTATGGCGACATGGCGGACCTGCCCAAGATCGTATGTTACCCCTTTTTACCTGAATAGTGAACGGCCCATGCTTATAGTCACGGCAGATCGAGCTCCGGCTCAAGTACAAATTCCGTCTCATCCTCGATGAAACCTGGTCCTTCGGTGTTCTGGGACGCACTGGCCGTGGTATCACAGAGCACCAGAACGTCGATGCTGCCGAGGTTGATATGATTGTGGGATCACTGGCTGGTCCTCTTGTTGCTGGTGGCGGCTTCTGTGCTGGTTCAGAGGAGATTGTTCACCACCAGCGAATTTCGGCTGCCGCCTATACCTTCTCCGCCGCCCTTCCTGCTCTACTCTCGACTACTGCTAGCGCTACTATCAACATCCTTCAGAACAGCCCCGAGACAGTGTCACAGCTTCGGGAACTCACTAAGGCTATGCGGGCCCAATTGGATCCTCGCAGTGACTGGGTCTATTGCACGAGCTCGCCTGAGAACCCCATTCTCATTCTGGTCATCAAGCCCGAGGTTGTAGCTACTAAGCGACTCACAGAGACCGATCAACAGTTCTTACTACAAGATATTGTCGATGAGGTATGCACCAGACTTTCTTCCGCCGTCCATTTCTCCAGGTCTCTAACTTTCTCGCAGTCTCTGGCCAACGGTGTTCTGATCACCCGGCTGAAGACGCTCGAGGACAACTTCCAACCCAAACAAGTTGTCCCACCATCCCTGAAGGTGTGCGTTACTACCGGTCTCACGAAGAAAGAGATTGAAAAAGCAGGAACAATCATCCGACACGCCATTACCAAGGTGATGAGCAAGAGGAAGTAATGCCTTCCCTTGACCCCCTAGCTTCTGGTCCTGACCAGACATTCGATGACTGCTCACGCCCCTACGACCTCGGCAACTATCGCTTTTCCGTTCTCAGTCGACCTACGCCCTAATGCCCCCTTCAATTTGTGTATTCTTAACCTTGTCCATATACATTCTTATATTGCATGCCTTGCACAGGACCGCCCCCCTATATCTTCGCTGGCGGTATGATTCTTTACCTGTGCATGGTTCTAAGCTGTTTAATACTATTATTCTGCCCTTCGCTCTACGCTTCAGGGATGTGCTCACTCTGTATACATAATCTAGCTCATGGAAAACTAATCTGTTTAATACAAAAAAGATGGCATTGTCTCAAGAATTTGATTATTTCCTTCTCTTCTTGTTTCTTGTTTCTTGATCTTGGTCTTGTTCCTTCTTTCTCGCTTTCTTTTCTCTCTTGCTATAGCCAGTGGGGCTCACGGTGACAAGTTTAAAGGGATTGGCAGTCAGATCTTCACGGAATTGAGATATCTGGAATGTCCAGCAGATGATTCCAGAACCTGGACGAGGAACTCAAAAGTTTGTGGCGAGACTCTAACCCTAGGACTACCCCTTCCTTCGGCCATCCCTTTCCTTCTCTTCGCTCCTCAACATCAGATAGTCTATCGACAGCATTCTGCCTCACATTCACCAGTCTCCTGTGTTTCTGGGGAACACTCGAGAATGAGTCCCGCATTCCAGTCATTCATCTCTTGGGTATTCCCATCGCGCTCTGAACTCTCTTGTCACCTCGGACGAATCATATGCCAAGGGACCAGAACTCAGCCAAGGGGCCTCTCCGAAACCTGGCAGGTCCCGATTCCATTCCACATGTCCCCCCCAAGATTGAGGTGCCATGCTTGGCTGGACAGTGTGTTTACATTGATACATGCTCTGCTAAATCAGCCGACATAGGCGGAATCTTATGCTCGGGCCTAGTCATGGATATAATGGGTCTGATCGACACCAAATGGGTAGGGTGATTTTCCTACGAAGGATGCTTTGAAACCTAACTGTGTTTGATCGTCTTCGAGTTACTTGAAGCCATTTCTTTCGGAGGCTAACTAGTTAACTTTCCCAAGGAGGGCCTGGTTGGAAGATGAGGCGCCTTACTCAAGCACTTGTTGGATTGTTACTGGCTTGTGGTGCTTGCGCTGAAGCCCATGGTGAGAATGTCCTCGTTCAACACATATAATTTACATATGAAACTTTGCTGATCTGTGTATAGCCAAGAGACAACAGCATGGAAATCCTCAACTACCCTCTATCCGAGAGGTAGTTGTTTGGGTGAATGAGAGTGGAGAGCTCATCGACTCGGAGACGAAACAAGTCCTGGGGTTGATACCACAGGTGAATGTTAGTAGATGAAACTGATCCCGACGAACATAATAAATGTTGATTTTCCATTCAAAAGCCGAATCCCCTACCTCAGAAGCCTCCAATATCAGTACCCGACGCGGATGGTTCTCATGTAGCATCTCAACATGCGATATCTAAGACAAATACCGACATGAATGACGGCGCCATCACAGTCAAAGACACACATCAGCAGCCGCATCAGAATCCTCAAGCAATCCCTCAGCCACCTAAGCCACCTGTCCCTCCCCATTCCCCACCACACCCGCATCGACATGGCCAATTCGGCATCTCCTACTCTCCCTACAAAGCAGATCGCTCCTGCAAGAACCAAGAGGAAGTGAGCCAAGACCTAGACAGACTATCCGAATACTCCTTCGTCCGCATCTACGGAACGGACTGCGACCAAATAAAGACAGTAACCAACGCCGCACGCCGGCGCAAAATGCACGTCTTCGCCGGAATCTACGATCTGAAAGGCTTCCCAGACAGCCTGAATGCTTTCGGCGAAGCTCTTCCCGGCCCGCACGGCAAGAAAGACTGGTCCATCTTCCACACGATAGCAGTCGGCAACGAGCTCGTAAACGCTGGGACGAACGCACCCGGTGACGTCGTGAGCGCTCTGAACAAAGCACGCTCTGTGCTTCGTTCCCAGGGCTACAAAGGCCCTGTAGTCACAGTCGATACTTTCTCTGTGCTCCAAGCCCACCCAGAACTGTGCCATGCCTCCGATTACTGCGCCGCAAACTGTCATGCCTTCTTTGATGCCACGCGGCAGGCTGGTGGCGCGGGTGCGTATGTTCTCGAGCAGGCGCGCGCTGTCTCTGCTGCCGCTGGTGGAAAGCGTACTATGATCACAGAATCTGGGTGGCCGCATGCTGGGGATGTGAATGGGGCTGCTATTCCTTCTCCTCGGAACCAGGAAGTGGCTGTCGCGAGTTTGAGAAAGAGCTTTGATCATCGCCGTGAGGATCTCGTGCTTTTTACTGCTTTTGATGATTTATGGAAGGATGATAATATGTTCACCTTTAATGCGGAGAAGTTCTGGGGAATGCATGGGGGTCTATAGATCGTGACCATGGAGGTCACTGTCATCCTTTCTTCTACCTGCTTCATTTGATAGAAGCATTCGTTTCTTTTGACACAATTTTTCTTGTACATAGATGCATCATAGCATAGGTGAAGGATGGATAGCCAAACACACACATGAAAGTTTCCAAATATTTGTTTCACTGATGATATTATACATGAGTTTGAAATTTACAATGTTACAATGGACACAACTTGTCCTGAGAAGCATGAGAGCTTAGCGCACGGAATTACGCAGCATCTCGCGTTGCCTCTTTTCCTCTGCCCGCGCCTCGATCCGATCCATCCATCCACCCTCACGGACAAGTTCCTCGAATGCCTCCTTGTTGGAGGGCAAATCCCAGAAGAAGTCCTTCTCGCCCCCGGATTTCCGATGAGCTTCCATGTCCCGGCCATGGCGAATGATAAGACCAGTCAATAGGCCACGGGACTTGCTACTGGGATCAATGCCAAGCTGGTTCATCTCGCCCAGGATGGTGATCACAGTGGGGAGATCCTTGCAGACTCGCCAGTGGTAATAGATCAACTCATCGTACAGACCGGATGAAGCGCCGAGGAAGGCAGAGACACGGCCGTAGTCTTTGATCGTGGAACGGAATTGGGAGATGAGCGGGGATTCAGGGAAGTGAGTGTTCAGCAGGCGGAAGGCGACGAGGAGAGTCTTCGGATAAAGTCCTACCACAACGGGGGCGACTGGGACGACAGCTGGAACTCGGAGGGGTCCTGAGAGGCCAGTGGGTGTCTGGGACTGATCTGTCGTGTTCACACTCTCGGGGTTTGAGGCCTCCTCGAGCGATTTGTCGTCCAGGTGGCGCAGCATAGAGAAGATACGCTCTTTGCATACCTCCCACACACCAATGTCACCCTTGCCATCCTCGACGGCTTGGAAAAGTGCGAATTCGATGTGCTCGAATTCTGCCTTGATGACAATCTCGATCGCCCGTCTCAGACTCACAGAGACTTCGGCAGCGCTGGATGTGGCGGGCTCGGAATAGCCTAGGTCGCGGAGATAGATTCGCTTTGGACCTTGGTTCTCCACTGGGGGTTGCTCTTCTGCCTCTGGCTTTTCGGGTGTGCGGTAGGAAGCCTGATTGATTTCCAATAGACGCTGAGCTTTTAACGCGGCTCTCTTCTGTCTCGGATCTTTGAGTAGAGAGTCAAAGACCAATGCAAGCTCAGCCATCTCGGCCTTCTTCTCCTCGCTCAGTGGGACGTCTGAGGGGCCCGGCTTGGCGCTTTCTCCATCGTGTTTGAGCCCAAGTTGCTCTAGCAATCCTCCGAATACCATTTTCTCCTGGCTGGTGATCTTCGGTGCTATCTTCGTTGACTTATTTTCCGGCCAAGCTGGTCTGGGACCTGAAGGTCTGATTGAGGCTCCTCGTTTCTTCAAAAAGCTTCTCCGGGGTTTTGGGGTTGCATCTTGCTCTGCGCTCGGGGTGGTTGACTCCTCAGAAGCATCCTGGCTTGCATGCTCCGGTGACTGGTTCTCCGTGGGTTCACTGGTATCAACGGGGTGGTTCTGCGTAGAAAAAGAGCGCGGAGAGTGACGATTGAGCTGTTTCCGGACCGGAGGTGATAGCGAGGTAAGCGTTCGAGTGTGATAAAGGAAAGGCACGGTAGAACTCGTGGTTGAGGAGAGGAAGCACAGGCGGGTGATATTTGTCGCCATAGCTGCGTTGGGTCTGCGCTCGCGCAACCTCTTTAACGTGCACGTCTCAGAGTAATTTCCAAGTTAACTCTCACTTCTCACTATTTCCAAATCGTCCAACCACAGTCCAACGCAAAAAAAAAAAAAATTTGCACGCGAGTTCACTTATTTTCTTTTGCCCCGACTTGAATCGGAGATCACTTTTTCGCCGCTATCTAAGTCACGTGATGTCGTGTAAGTCGCCCACGCGTGTGGCCCAGGACGTGCCTGGCACCCCCGAGGCGCAAACCGATACCCCCAGTGAGCCCGAAGAAGATCCCACCATGACGGGCCCAAAGAACGAACTGTCTGAATTTGAACAGCAGCGTTTGGCAAACATTGCTGAACGCGATGCGCTGTTCAAGAAACTTACCCTCGAGTCGCAATCCTCTGGACTTTTTACAAGCCCTAAGGTCTCTCCTGGCAATGGCGCAAAGCCAAAGAAGCGCACAACTCCCAAAGTCAAAAAGGAAGCAGATGTTACACCCCGACGTACATCATCTCGGTTGAAGGGCATTGCGGCTGAAAGCGAAGTAGCAAAGCGCAAGGCCGACGATGAGTATGAGGCAATGCGCGAAGCGGAGAGGACCAAGAGGATGCGCCGAACAGATGAATTTACTCAGGCAGATATGTTCATCTCAGGACAAAAGCTCAGCCCGGATAGCCTGATCGGTGTGGATGTCATAACTAAGGGCGTTGCCAAACCATATGAAAGAACGTTCGGCGCGGATGATATTGACAAGACAACTGATAAAGACCTCAAGGCTCTTCGTGAAGAGATGAACGGGCTCACATTGTGGGAGCAATGGGATCCTCAAAGTAAGAATTCTGCTCTTTATCCTGAAAGATCACCATTCTGACGCGTGTTTGAATCCATAGGAATTAAGGTCACCCCCGAGCGGGTGTACAGCATGGCCTTCCACCCGTCAGAAACCAAACCTCTTATATTCGCCGGCGACAAAATGGGTCACTTGGGTATGCTGGATGCTTCACAAGAGAAGCCTGGGCTAGGCGAAGACCATGACGATGACGACCCAGATCCAGTCCTCACGACTCTCAAGCCCCACACCAGAACAATCAGCGCAATGATGGTGAACCCATCAAAGCCCACTCATTTGTACACTGCGAGTTACGACAGCTCGATTCGAGCACTCGACCTAGAGAAAATGGTTTCTTCAGAGACATACGCTCCCGAGTCTACTGACATCGACGAGGCAATTTCCGGTGTTGACATGGCCCCAGAAGACCCCCATACCTTGTACTGGACTACCCTCCAAGGAGAATTTGGCCGCTATGATACGCGCACACCACGGAAGGATAGCAATGTCTCGCGCTGGGAACTATCAGAGAAGAAAATCGGCGGTTTCTCATTGTGTCCTTCCAACCCTCACTACTTCGCAACAGCCAGTCTGGATCGATTCCTCCGATTATGGGACATCCGCAAATTCCCCCGACACAACCCCTCTCCTGTTGCCGAGCATGAAAGCCGACTTTCCGTATCTCACGCTGCCTTCAATGCTGCCGGACAGATTGCTACTTCTTCCTACGACGATACATTGAAACTCTACGATGTTGGCGCGAAGGGTCTCTCTTCATGGAAACAGGGTCACAAGCTCGCAGAGAAAGAGTTTACCCCCGATACTGTCGTTCGACACAACTGCCAGACCGGACGTTGGGTTACTATGTATGTTTTATTCCTATTTTTGTCTTCATTCAAAACACTAACGTTGTTCTCTAGTCTGCGCCCTCAATGGCAATTGAATCCCCAATCTCCGATCCAGCGCTTCTGTATTGGAAATATGAACCGGTTTGTCGATATCTACAGCAGCAGTGGAGATCAACTTGCTCAGCTTGGTGGAGATGGAATTACTGCTGTTCCTGCTGTGGCTGTTTTCCACCGTAGCAAGAACTGGGTTGCTGGTGGTACGGCTAGTGGAAAGCTCTGCTTGTGGATGTGATATGAATTCTTTGCCCATTTACTCAACCTGATTGCATCAAGTTTGTGCCCTTATGGCGTCAATTGCGAATCTTCCCCCTTTTTTTTTGATATGCAGTTCAGTCTTCCCTCTAGCTGGTGTTACGGAGCTTGTTTAGGGGGTTCTTTCTCCTCTATTGTGACATACTTGGTCGAATTCATTGATGCACAGAGATATCTCACAAATGAACAGCATTTGCATTTGATATCTTCGATTTCTATCTAATAACAAGGTCACTGGCTTTGCAAATGTGTATTGGCGAAATTCTCAAGAACGAGAAGACCAATCCATTCCATCTATTGGAAGAACATAAGAAGAGTAAAAGGTATTTACACGATGGCCACCATCTCCAAAGGGAAATCCAAACACACAAGAGAAACAATCCAAAGGATCTCAAACGACCGACCAAAAAAAAAGAGCAAGATATCACGAGAGGTCCGGCCGAGTTCAAAAACCAGAACATTGTTCTTTTCCCTGCTTCCAAAAAACCCAGATCCGTAAAATTTTCTGAGGTCTCTTTGGTCTCAGATAGAGCCGGGTTGGCGGGACAGATGTGTATAAGGGAGGGCAGGACCATGAAACACACAATCAAAAGAGGGAATGGGTATCAACACCATGACACATGCTTTGGAGAACGTGGACATATCGATCAACTAACAGAAGGGGACTTGAGGAGGCAAGATGGGGGAAGGGTTGGGGAGTGGAGGGAGAAAAGAGGTACATTGAAATCATGAGCACATGGAACAGAGGTAGACGAGGAAGGTCAAAGTCAAAGAAAAGCGTGTACTGATGAAAGGAGAGAGAGTGCATGGACAGACATTCCTGCATTAAGATTCATTGCGTAGGTCCTCGTGCGACTGGTTTTGATCACGGTCCTTGGCCTTGCGTCGGGAAGGAGGCACAAAGTCGAAGAAGCGGTACTTGCTCGAGGACTCTTTCGTGACGCTGGCCCTGCGTGCCTTGACGTTGTCCGCGTACTCAAGCGAGTAAGTCGAGGAATTCTTGGAGCTTCCGGTGCTGTCGCGTGCATCAGACCAACGGGGGATGGAAAATGGGACACGGCTTTGGTCCCAGTTAGCGGATGACGAGCTGGGAGGCGTATCATCCTCGGCATCGGGAGCGTGGTCCGTGGAGCGGCGAGGGATTGTAGGGCGCGAACCAAAGTAGCCAATCGAGTTGCGATGACTGCTTGAGACCGGTGCTGTGCTGGATCCTGACGTCTCCGCCGCTGGTGTGCCTGGTTTACTTGAGCTTTCGTCGTAGAAAGTTACTGCTCGCTCCATTGAATCCACTAATGCCTCCCATTTGATCTCAAGATTTCCGCTTGGTCGCTCGGCTTGTTCAGCTCGGATAAGACACTCCTCAGTGCGTCCACGCAGACGGAGGGCTTCTTTCTGGAACTTGGCAAGGCTGGGATCCAACTCAGTCAATTCGTCAAGTCGTTCTGGGGCTACATCAAGCCAAACTCGTATCAAGTTTGCAAAGGAACGGGCATGATCAATGAGGAAAGGAAGACTAGGGAATCCCTCACGGGATGTGGGCGGCAACCGTCCAAGGATTTGGATAGGGGTGGTGTAGGAAGGTGTGACAATAGGAACTGGGCGATCGGCGGGAATAGCACAAACGGAATCGACGAATTCTTTGAACTCCGAGCGATGGCCAACGAGGAATTTATTCATTGGCTCCATCCAAGGTTCTTTATTGCCGAAGGTTGTCATATTGGCCAGACCCTGCAGAGCTTTGGCGATGAGGGTCAAAGTGCGCTGTGCACGGGGACGAGGGTGATCTACAGGTGGTTAGCAAAGAAGAGTGAAGGCTGGAGACCATATTCGCTACCTTTCAAGAGTCCGAAAAGCTTCGGATTCAGAATAGCCGGGCAGAAGAAACGTAGGAATAGGAAGCCGGAAACACTGCTGTACGTCACAGACCGGAGGAAGTCGCCATAGCGATCATCTGCACAGGCCCGGACGTGGCGGAAGATACGCCGTAGTTCTGCGGGACACCGCGATGCAGATCCCGCGATGGACTTCCATACGCCTGTAGTGAGCGCTGTGAGGTTTCGCCAGTTACGTTCAAGATCTTCATGGCGTGGAACTCGGGCTGGATCGACTTCGCATTCCGGATCGCTCTCATCAATATCGCGTAGCCGTTCTGCAATGGTTTCCTCCAGATACTGCTTGCCGAGACGACGCATGTGAAGATCGAGAGCTTTAGTCAAAAGCGAGTTTCCACGGAATAGTAGATTAGCCTCCACAGTAGCCGTTCTTCCCATGTCTCTGACAAGGACCTCGCGCTCTTGACCAGCACTTTCCGATGAGTTGTTCGAATGGATCCTCGTTGGATATCTCAACCTGTTGGTGGTGGATTCTTTGTGAACACCGTCAATTTCATCTTCAACCAGAGCTGAGATCCATTCCACCGTTGAGCCTGAAACCTGGAAGATATTCAGAAGCATCTCGGCTAAATGGTTCAGCTCTGATGACATTAATTGTGCCATATTGATTGTGAGCCCATTAGTGAAGGAATGGAGAAGTTCTGACATCGCTGAGTACTCGTCGGACATCAGTACAACAGTTTCCTCCATCCGTGCTCTCATGAACATTTCACCAATCGGCTGGTCTTGATCATCCAGGATAGGCCACCATTTTTCGGTATCCACGCCAGCGTCCAGTTCTTCAAGTCGTAGGTCTACTCGTCCGAAGATGATGTCGTTTGCAGAAATTTCAATCTCATCCAGCACTTTCACAGCGTCTTGGTTTGCTGCATATGTTCCATGGGCAACAAGTGTCCAATCTCTCTGTGTCGGGTTGAGAGTTTTGACGAGGATAGAGGCTTGAGATAGAACCGGCGGCAAGTCGTTGAAAAGGAAATCTTCTCGCCAGAAAGGATTCACGGTGCGATACTTGACAGCCGTCTTGCCACGTATTTCCCCATCTAGAAGAACTTCTGTGTAATAGTCGCTGACCCTGGAGGATGGAGCAGGCTGGCCATGTGATCTTGACGCCTTTCGACTTCGAGGAGTCTCCTCCTCTTTAACGCGAAACAGCTTCGCCTCCACAATTTTCAAGCTCAAAAACCGCTCGATCCGGAACATATCCTTGGTCAAGTTTTGCCCGGTAACCTCGGGCTCTGGTGTGAGGGTGGGTTCCTCTCCTTGAGACGCAGGGCCATAAAGCTCTGGGATTGTGAAGGCACGGAGAAGCACAAACCACACCTCGAAGAGGACGCGGCTTTCAAGCGCAAGGTATATAGGTCGTACATTGGCATCGGGTACTGGATGCGCCGTATATTGAGGATAGATGGCAATGCAAAACTCATCATCCAAGACGGAGGAGTTCAGCTGCTGAATTGCGCAGCGAGACAACTGAGAGAGCTGCACACATGCTAGGAGAGCCACATCGGATTCTGTGTAGAGCTTGAAGAAGCCATTCTCTTGTAGTGTGCAGCCCACTTTCTGCCACGATGAAGAAAGAGCCCTCGACTGTCTGTATGTAGACACACGACGGCCAGATGCTGGCATTGCGCCGGAAGCAGATGGCTTGTCCCATAGAAGCATCTTGCCAACTTTGATGATAGTTGCATCCTTTTGTGCTGCACTCTCCGAATTCCGTCGACGTTCGGGGATACGCCGATCTCCAATCACAACCTCTTGAGGTTTTGTCATTTTATTCTGAACGCCCTTGGGTCGAATGGGTTGCCAACAAAGTAGAGCGGCAAGCCAGGAATCAAAAGTCTCGTTTACGTGTGGTCGTAGTTGTATCCCAAGTCCAGAGGTAAATGTGTAGACGCTCAAATAGGTTGTCTGGAGCTCGGAGTCGAACAATGTCCGGACACGGCAACCACGCAAATCGGGAATCAATGTTTTAGCCAACGCTGGCTCTCCCTTGGCTTGATAAATCAAACTTCCAGTGGCGACGTTAATAGCGCAGTATCCGGATGTCCAGGAAGTGGTCGAGGCTGTTCGAAATGACAGGATTCCATGCATTCTACCACAGGTGGTTTTCATCAATTGTAGGATTTTTGTGGCCTCCCCACTCGAAAGGGGCGAGGCAAATGAATCGTGATTTGACGCTCCATAGACTACCGGACCGACAACTCTGCTGAGTCGATGACGAGGGACAGTTTGACTGCTGTACTTCGGGGACTCGATAGAAGGGAAACCGATGGAAGATGACGGATCTTCCAGCGCTTTTGGGTGGGATGGACTGGCCGTATTGATTGATCCGACTCGCGTTCGACTTTTGAAGGCGCTGGGGTGGATATCGTTGCGTTGCTCCTCAGCCGCTGTGGTCCGCGATCGCGCCCGTTGGCTCTTTGCCTCAATTGGGGTCTCTTCTTCGCCGGCTCCAGCTGAGTGAGATGAGTGTATGTTGAATTCCCGACGACGCTCGGGCTCGGTGGGCCGTGATCGCACAGTGCTTCGAGGTGAGGATGGGCCGCCGCTCGCGAGGTGCTCAGGTTCGGATAAAGGAGAATGATTGACGGGAGAGTGCGACTCTGGTGTGACAGTTCGAATGGTAGTTTCTCGGAAGCTGTCGGGATAGACCATTCCATGCCGGTCCCTAGATGAAGATTTCTTGCTGACACGCCGTTCCACTGGACGACTATATAACGCTTGGTGCATCGAGCTCCGCTTGAACGTGTTCGAGTTCTCAGACTCCATTTCGCTCGATAATAGATCGCCCGCTTGAAAGGTGATATACACAATATAAGGATCAAAGCCGTCAGTGAGGAAGAGAGAAACGAATTCGGTCCCTAATCGCGCCCAACACAACCTCGGCACAATCGGCGAGATGAGCTAGGTAGCGACCCGACGTATGCTGCACGGCTGCGCTAGTACAATTGGGAATCGCTTTGGTGCAGGAAGTTGCTATAAGACCACATGGAGTCCGGTGAGAGGTCGGGGATCGGAGTCGCACATTCGATCGAGACGCCGGGAGGGGGGGGAAAAGCGACGGAAGACCAGGACAAAGGAGGCGCGGGTCACCGTCGTTTGTCTGAGAGGTGCAGGAGAGTCTAGCGAATGCGGTGAACGTCCAATCCTCCCAATATATAACAATAGCGTCGCTAGGCAGTGTCAGTGATCGAAGCAGCCGACCCGGGAGATTGGCAATGGAGAGGGACGTGATATCATTATTATTGCGTGGGGGGGGAGTCCAAGGGAAGAGAGGGTGAAAAAGTTGCAGGAGATGCGCACATACCTTCATCAGTCCCCTTTGAAATTGGTTTGCTTATGCTATCTGCAGGTTTGGGACCATATGTGTTTGTGTGCGTATAAGTTGCAGATCAGGTGTCGGCCGCTTTGGGACGGGGCAGAATAGTCCAGGACCAAAGTCGGTTTTTCCAAAGAAAAACACGTCCCACAAAGGATGGGGATTTTCGCAACGGGATGCCCCAGTGAGGATTGTCGCAAAAAGAGAGGGGAGGGGGGAGAGGGGAGAAGTGGGTAACGGATGGAGCTGACTTTGTATAGGGGAAAATTACTGAGAACGGCCTGCCCTTTTGCTCCCTCGTGTCTCGAGCTTTCTCCAACACTTTCTATTGGCCCCGGTCTCTCTCGAATCTGGGAGTATAGAGTTGAGGCACGGGGAAGGTGATGGACAACACAGTATGTTTTGCAACCGTTCTACAGAGACGTCATCTCAGATTCATTGCCCAGGTACGAAGTTCCCATCTGCTCTCAAGATGGAATCTCCTCGATCTCGACTCGCAGTCTTTTAGCTTTTAGACTTTCCCAGCATTCATCGGAGCAAGGGAAGACTACGTCAACGAACTTGACTCCACGAGCCACGAGATATAGCACACTCGGTGCAGATGGCATTTCACTACTCCGTATGGGGTGCATCACTAGCGCAGTGGTTCGCGGATGCCCGAAATGGTTGTCCTAAATTGCCGAGAGGCTTTTGGAAATGAACGACTTTGCCGAGGGGTGAACTGAGCATTGAACTGACTAGCCGACTATCGGGCTAGTGGAACTGGGACCAGTTCTCCTGACTCGAGCAAAAGAGTCCGTGTCGATCAGTACGGAGTCATTTAATTCAACCAGATATGTATACTCCGTACTCTGTACTCCGGACGGAGGACGGGACGGCATATGCACACATACACATACCCCATATCATATTCCCATACGCATTCGCTTTGACAGTGTAAGGACTCCATCTACTCCGTGTCCTCCGTACACCGTGCACCGTACTCCGTACTTTGTATGATATTCGTTTCCGTCCTCTCCACAGTGCAAAAGTCCTAACCCGGTACCCGGGGCGCAGATCCTGGCCCCAAATGGTACATCGCAATACAAATTGGACTACGGAGGTGTCCTTCACAGATGATTTTCTCCTCCTTGGTGCCTAGATTCGTCCGAGGGATTTGCCCGAATAGAGAAAAACCCCCGAAAGTGGAGACACAGTTGATCATGAAGCGATCAGAAATGAATCCTGCAAGACCAGTGGAAGCCTGAGGCAGATATTCCACAGTTGATGCCTGAGGCCCCTGATTTCCCGCCTTCAGGAGTTATGTCATCATAGGCACGGGCCTGGAGCTTCTGGGGAATGATCACAGCTCTTGATGACCACTATCACGAGGGCTGGGTCAGGTGCATACCTTTTCGCTTTTGTTATAAACCTGGAACAACTCATCAACGGTGGCATATCTCCATATCTAGCTTCTTTCTAACCCGAGGCAATTCAGCATCGCGGAGCTATAGTTGACCCTCATTTCTCCGCATTATCTAGTGCCCGCTGGATGGCATTTGATCACCACGATTACTGGCTTGTGAAGCCGATGCCATGAGTGATCTGAAAGCGGTTTCAGTCTGATTCAAAAATGATGTCCTCCAATATATTGTCCCGGTTTCTACCCCCAACGGGCTCGCCATCGGTCTACGAGACTATTCGCCAACACGACGCGGGATCTGAATACTCGGATGTTGAAGAGCGTGCAGGATTGGTTATGGAGGATCATCGGGAACAATTTAGTGACCGGGAGCTGGAGGATGCACTGGCAGATGCCCAAGACAGCGAGATAATCAGTCCTAGTACTGCACTGCTCGCTCAGGCACGGTCGGGGAAAGCACCTGCGCAACGGGCTTCTCCATTTGGCACTCGTCGTCGCAGGGCATCCCGACCCCGATGGATGGGGCAAGAATCATCACTCGGCTATGAGCTCAATGATCATGATGAAGATGTCCCTCAGTCGCTGCTAGTAGAAGGCCATCGTGAAGATTTAAAATCGCGCTTGCCTCCTCCTCCCCGGTCTCATGATCGCCCGGATCGACGAAGTTCTCCCAGTACCGAACCATCCCCGCTACCTGCCAGAACACCTTGGAATGAACAACGACCTCCTCAGCCACCTGATGATAGCGGCCATCCAATAGGAAGATGGTTCGCTGGGCAGCATCCAGGTCTTGCCAATATTGACCCCAAAAAGAAGGCAATGTGGCGATGGGCAAATGTGGAGGATTTGGACAACTTCTTGAAGGATGTCTATACATACTTCTTAGGGAACGGGATTTGGTCTATAATGTTGACACGGGTGCTGAATCTCTTGTACGTTCATGGTCATACACATCCCAACGAACCGCAAGAGAAACTGACGGTACACACAGGACATTTGCATTCGTCGTTGGGTTTTCAACATTTTTAACTAATTGCATTGATTATCCTAAAGTCCGACGGAGTAAGACTTTAGATGAAATCCTCGTTCCACAGTGCACAGCAAATATGTCCGGATCGTCTACATTTTTGTTGTGGCTCTGCAGCTTCTTCTGGATTGGGAAGCTCTTCCAGTATCTGCTAGATATTCGCAGACTCAAACACTTGCATGATTTCTATCTCCACTTGCTTGGTGTTTCCGATGCCGAGGTACAAACGATTTCATGGCAAGAAGTAGTCAGCCGATTGATGGCGCTGAGAGACTCGAATCCATCTACTGCAGCCGCAGTCTCTCCCAAACATCGGAGATTTCTGGGTAGCCAGTCGAAACAACGAATGGATGCCCACGACATTGCCAACCGCCTCATGCGCAAGGAGAACTATATGATCGCATTGGTGAACAAAGATATTTTGGATCTCACGCTTCCAATTCCATTTCTTAAAAACCGACAATTATTCTCCCGAACAATGGAATGGAATCTCAATCTTTGTGTCATGGACTACGTCTTTAATGAACAAGGCCAACTGCGAACGTTGTTTCTCAAAGACACCCACCGAAGGGCCCTGAGTGATGGATTGCGTCGGCGCTTTGTTTTCGCTGGTGTTATGAACATTTTTGTAGCGCCCTTTATTGTCGTCTATTTCATGATGCACTACTTCTTCCGATACTTCAATGAGTTCAAGAAAAACCCGGGACAAATCGGTTCTCGCCAATATACACCTATGGCAGAATGGAAATTCCGCGAGTTCAATGAGCTCTGGCATCTCTTTGAGCGTCGGATCAACATGTCGTATCCATTCGCCAGCCGCTACGTTGATCAATTCCCGAAGGATAAGACTATTCAAGTAGCGAGATTTGTTGCTTTCATTTCTGGGGCTCTTGCCTCGGTACTGGCTCTCGCATCGGTCATCGACCCAGAGCTCTTCCTTGGATTCGAAATTACTCCTGACCGGACTGTTCTATTCTACCTTGGTATCTTTGGTACAGTGTGGGCTTTTGCGCGAGGACTGGCACCTGAAGAGACCGATGTTTTCGATCCGGAGTACGCACTCCTCGAACTGATCGATTTTACACATTACTTCCCCTCCGGGTGGAAGGGACGTCTGCATAGCGACGACGTGCGAAAAGAATTCGCAATTCTTTATCAGATGAAGATTGTGATCTTCCTAGAAGAAATCCTGAGCATGATCTTCACCCCTTTCGTCCTGTGGTTTAGCTTGCCCAAGTGCAGTGACCGCCTCATTGATTTCTTCCGGGAGTTCACAGTGCACGTTGACGGGGTAGGGTATCTCTGCTCTTTCGCCGTCTTTGATTTCAAGAAGGGGACAAACGAGCTTTCCCAGGCTGGAACTGGACGCCGAGACCCCGGTAAACAAGATCTACGCACCGATTACTTTTCAACCAAAGATGGGAAGATGCTAGCTTCCTACTATGGCTTCTTGGATAACTATGGTGCCAACCATCAACCGACTAGCCGGCGGCCATTCCACCCCCCGCCAACCCTACCTACCCTTGGCTCACCCTGTGCAGCTGACTTCGGTGCGCTTCCCGACCGTCATGACCATCTTCAGCTGCGCCCTGGGCCATTCGGTCCTCAATCACTGATGGGTGCCTCCAAATTGAAACCAATAGGAGGATTCGACCCTCGCTCTCCCGCTCCATCTATTCTCCTCGACCTGCACCACCAACCCTCAACCTCCGAATTCAGGACCGCCGCCCGAACTACCTCTCATCAACACCAGCGCTCCAAGCTTGGACGCCTTCAGCGCCCGTCTACTGACCCCATAGACGATGAGGAAGAGCCATTGTCTGAGGCAGATCATGGCTCCGCAACTCGACAGTCCGGTATTCGTACTGGTGCCTCCAGTGCTGGCGCAGGCACCAGCGACAGCAACCTTGGCGATTCTTGGCGCATGAACCCACTCGGCAAGGAAGATGATATAAACGAGGGCAATGAAGATGAAAATATTGATGCCATCGCTGGTGGAGGCGGCGTCCTAGGCTTGATACAGCAATTCCAGAAAGCTAATACTGAAGGCCGACGGACGACTGTGGGGATTTAGATACTCATTCCCCAGTCCAATTCCCAGGAAGATAGCAGTTTATATGCTTCAGATACGATATATGACCATTTTATGCGAGCTTGGTGTCTCTTAGGGCAGCTTTCTTTATATTGCTCTATTGTGTCATTGTCTGTGGTTTAAATACCCTCGAAATGAGATTTGAAATACAGACAGTGATCAATATCTAAAGCTCCCGCATCTTCATGATGTATACAAATGTAGCCCTGTTGATAGAGATATCTGCCTCCTATACGTGTACCCGTTAGCGATAGCGGAATAGATGAGATTAGGGAGTCATATGGCAAACCCTGAAAATTCAGGTAGAGGGGAGGGGGCCCTGCACCACCACCCTTTTTATATACGGGGTACGGTTTCTTGCAATGAAATCCAAGGAGGGAATAGCCTCTTCATTTGGTCAAGCTAAGTATCAGCAGGAAAGTGCATAGTCCAAGACTAGACCTTATCCACATAGCTTATATGAAAAAGATATCAAGATCGTGACGCGATCATCTCCGTTTCATAGTCTGCAGGTGATACCGCCATGATCATGTCAATCGAATGGAACAGCACTACAATCCCAGGAAAGACTGCAGGACATATCGTCAAAAACATGGTTCTGGTTGTTCATGTGGGACGTCCAGAGGAGAGAGCGAGTTATGTATTGGGAAGAGAGACAGAAGTTCTGATTATCTAGGTATTGACTAGCCCGAGGATCCTCTATGTACCCAGTCTGTTTATAGTTTATATAGTAGAAACTGCTCGTTTTTATATCGTTTTTAGTATTCTTTTCCTTTACAAATCAATCTAAAAGGTCAATACTTTCTACTCCGTAAGTGCCCTATATTGTGGTCCCAGGGCCTGTCCGGTTGACTGGAAACATAGGGGTCACAATACTCCGTACGGAGTATACCACTGCAGTCAAAGCCGATTCCGCGAATTAGTTTGGCTATGCCTCTGTGGCTTGATGGGTAAACTGCAGAGGTACGGAGGACTCCGTACATCATGGCTGCGTGGATCTCCATAGATCAGGGGCTGTGTGGCGGATTGTGACATAAATAGCCCCCTGTATGAATGAACAGGTCTTTTCCACGCCGATCATTGGCCCCGGATTCTGGCGCCTGGACTTCCATCTCCACTGTGTTTCGGGAGACCCGAGAACAACCGCGGTCGTTAGGTATGACACGAAGTATGGAGTATGGAAAGCGAGGATCGTGGTTTCTCTGAATAGGGGAGACCTAGGAACTCTTGCAAAGAGATGGAAAAAGGGTCCGATCGAAAGATCCAACGACCGAAATAGAACGCGGCTCTGGTGGATCGCTTTATTTCATTATTAATCTCGTGATTTCATCTGGACTCCGGCCAACTCCCTATTTGTTTTTTCGCCTTCCTTTTTCCTCCTTTATTTTCTTTTCTTGTCCAAAACCAATATATACCCCTGCAGAAGGGTGACGGCTCGCTATGTTTCGAGCTCGCCGGTACCGCGTCCTGATCATATTCGCGGCGGCTTTCGTCCTCACGTTCTTTCACTTCGCGCGCTCACGCGATTGGAGCAATACAGTGATCGAAGAGTCGGTTGCTGTCACCAATCCTGCCACTAAAAAGCCTCCGACATTGATACCTGAGAATCCTGCCGCCGTTGATCTCGTCGAGGAGAATAGAAATCATCTGGTTGCCGATCCTCATCGCGACACCCCAGAGCCCCCACCACCGTCGACAGAAAAGTCGAAATCGCCAGTGGGCCCCAGTAACACTTCAAAGGACGATCGATACAAGGACGGCTCTCATGGCGCACCGCCGGTAAACCCGCCCATCAAGGATACTTCCAAGGATGCCCCGAAGGATACCGCGAAGGTGGAAACTACCGTCCAGTTACCACCGCCGATAGAGCAGGGTGTCAGCAGTACAATCGAGGAGGAGATTGACAATGGAGATGTTGGCAGGAAGGCAGTGGAACGTCCTGGTTCTAACATCCCAACGGCCGAGTGGAGGAAGTTCCCAGAGCGGTTCCCCGTCCCCGCAGCGGAAGTGATCAAGCTCCCAAAGGAACAGTCGAAAGCAATCCCCAAGCTGCAGGCTAAGTTCAAGGATGAGTCAAGCTCAGATAAGCAAGAGCGTCTCCAACGCCTCAGCACTATCAAGGCTGAGTTCAAGCATGCTTGGCAAGGTTACAAGGACATCGCGATGGGACATGACGAAGTCAAACCCCTGTCGAAGCAATTCGAAGACCCATTCAATGGCTGGGGAGCGACATTAGTCGATTCTATTGATACTCTTTGGATTATGCAATTGAAGGATGAGTTCTCTGAGGCCGTGGATGCGATCAAAAACATTGATTTTAAAACATCACTGAGAGCCAATATCCCGATGTTCGAGACAACGATCCGCTATCTCGGAGGTCTTATTGGTGCCTATGATATTTCTGGACAACGATACCCCGTGCTTTTGGAGAAAGCGGAGGAGCTTGCTGAGGTTCTCATTGGTGCCTTTGACACGCCCAACCGCATGCCGCACCTTTACTATCGCTGGGCCCCGTAAGTCATGCCACACTCTATCTTAAATCATCGGTGACTGACATCCCTTCTTAGAGAGTCAGTTTCGAAACCGCACCGGGCATCTTCCCGAGCTGGCCTGGCTGAAATTGGATCGCTTTCCTTGGAGTTTACCCGTCTGGCTCAATTGACCAAGCAGGACAAATATTATGATGCGATTGCACGGATTACCAATGAATTGGAGAAGATCCAGGATTCAACTAGTATTCCTGGGCTGTGGCCTCTGCGAGTCAACGCACAGGGATGCTCGAAGTACATCCCGTCCAAGCCTCCCCGTAATGGCAGCCCTACCCGTGAGGAGCATGCTGCTACTACTCCTAAGACCACAGCGGTTGTTCACAATGACCACGCTGCACCAACAGACCTTGACAGCTATTTGAACTTGATTCCACGCGACACAGACGTTGGCGTCCAAGGACATGCACAATCAATCAATGATACTCGAATCGCTAGTGAACTTGGAATCCAAGCACGTGGGGAAAGCCCAGCCGACCAATGTAATGGCGGATTGGGACTTCCCAATTCAGTTAATGATAACACATACACCATGGGAGGAATGGCAGACTCAACCTACGAATATCTGCCCAAGGAATACCTGCTCCTGGGTGGCCTGAACGAGCAATACCAAAATATGTACATCAAAGCAGCGACTGCAGCCCGCAACACTCTTCTTTTCCAGCCCATGGTGAAAGGTGGACGCGATATCCGCTTTATGGCTTCGGCTACAACTACCCCCGGAAAGAACACAGAGCTTATTCCCACTGATTTCGAGTATGGAGGTCATCACCTTATGTGTTTCGTCGGTGGTATGTTTGCCATTGGTGCCAAGGCCTTTGGCATCGATGGTGATTTGGAGCTTGCAGCTAAGCTGACGGACGGTTGTGTCTGGGCTTACGAGTCGACTCAAACCGGAATTATGCCTGAGCAATTCCGTCTTTTGCCCTGTGAGAAGGGCTCTGCCTGCGAATGGGACCAGGCTCGCTTTGACGCCGGCCTGGCACGCAACTCGCGTATCGACCCGAGCGCAGGCCCCCAATTCCGCAATGGAGAAAGCACTTATGAACAGCGCGTGAAGCTGAATGCTCACGAACCGCCGCAAGGCTCGGAGAGCAGGGCGGTCCCCCTTCCTATGCCAGGCTCATTGAACCCTCACGATGTGGGGAAGCGTGATGGATTTGCACTAAGAAAACGCACTGCATCCTCGTCCGCCGTTTCAATCCCAGCACCCACACCCAGTGAAGCTGATGCTGACCTGCAGAACCGAGACGCACCTCGTCCTTCTTTGTCGCCCGCTTCTCCTCTAGTTGCTGAAGTCGGCAAACATCACCTCCCAGCAGGAATGGTCAGTATCCAGTCGCCGAAATACTACCTTCGGCCCGAAGCCATTGAGTCTGTCTTCATCATGTATCGCCTGACTGGCGACGAATCTTGGCGCCAAAAGGGATGGCAGATGTTTGAGGCCATCATCAAGTATACCCGCACGGAGATTGCCCATGCGGCCATTCAGGATGTCACAGCCCAGAAACCGACCCATAGTGATACTATGGAGTCTTTCTGGCTCGCTGAGACGTTGAAGTATTTCTACCTTTTGTTCAGCGACCCCGATGTCGTGGACTTGGATAAATATGTTCTGTAAGTGACTGACGTAGCCTGTAAACAATTGACTATGGACCAAATAACTGACTATTTCTTACAGAAACACCGAAGCGCACCCCTTCCTGCGCCCGATTTCATAATTTGCATTTTGATACCAATGAAAGTTCTTTCACTTCTATATACAGCCATAATTTGTATCTATTAAACACCGGAATAAACGTAGTGCGTACCTGGGTAGGGGTTGACCCGCAGTGGGACTCTGGAATTCCCCCCCGCCTTCAACTCTCCAACTCTCCAACTCTTTCAACCGGCAACCGGCATGAACAATCTGACGGGAAATGGAGCCTGAGGTCTCGGAGACTGAGTTCTGGACTGGTAAGTGGTGTCTCCGTACTGCCATCTCCGTTGGAGACACGCGACAATTGACCGGTTCCTGTAGAACTCCAAACGATCGTCTCCAAGCCCTGTGACTCCGAGGACGAGATCGACGACGCCCTCCGAGCTTATCTCAGTATAGCGACTCAATATAAAGGTGTGTCAAAGGTAGATCCGGCTTCAGAAAAGGCGATGCCTTTGTCTCTACGCTCGACAGCACTCCGGCGAGCAGCGCCATGTCCGCCCCCAGTTTTGCTTTCACAGCGACTAACACACCGGCTTTCCCCTAGACGAATACCTCCGGTCGGAAACCGATATCTCGCGTTGCTCCTACAAGCTCTTCACATCGACTATCTTCGCCTCCCATGCCGAATATGTGCGACGACAGATCCTGTACGGCCTCCTGCAGGATGACGACCCGACTACCCTCCACTTTCTTGCGTCATTCATCCTCTTCGATGGGCGACAAAATGAGGTTGTGCTTCAGACGCTGAATGATGAAGGCGTATTTGCGCGCCTTCTGGAGCTGATTCAGGCCATGCGAAGGGCGGATTTGGACGGTGATGCGGGTCTTCATCGATTGTTGATGGACCTTGTATATGAGATGTTGAGGATACAGAGGGTCAAAATTGAAGATTTGGGTGCGTTTGGGATATATATTTTTTTCTTCTGGGATCGGCTTCTGTGTGGGTTGATGGCTGATTATGAAGCTCGTGTGCAGTTCTCGTGGACGACGATTTCATTCGATGCCTGTTTGACATTATCGAGGATCTTTCTGACGATGTTACCGATCCATATCATTATCCTGTCATACGTGTTTTGGTGAGTACATATAAGGATCTTTTCGAGTTGGAATTGGACTGACACTTTGCATAGCTAGTTTTGAACGAGCAATTCATGATCTCGGCTCACGATCCGGTGGATGACCGGCCCTCTGGTCAATTGACCAACAAGGTTATCAAGATCCTGTCGGCATATGGGGGGATGTATAAGACCTTTGGAGAGAACATTATTCTTCTTATCAACCGTGAAGGTAGCTGACGATCTTCCCCTTCAAGCAAGAAGATGACTGACAACATGCAGCCGAGACGTCTCTACAGTTGCTCACATTGAAGCTCCTCTACCTCATATTCACAACTCCTAGCACATATGAGTACTTTTTCACGAATGATCTGCACGTTCTTGTGGATATTTTGATCCGGAATCTGTTCGATCTACCCGAGGAGGCCTCTGCGCTGCGGCATACCTACTTACGTGTCCTATACCCGCTACTAGCTCACACACAGTTACGCCTCCCACCACACTATAAGCGTGCTGAGCTCCGTAGGCTACTCAGTATCCTTGTTCGAGGACAAGTTTCCTATGGAGCCGATTTAGAACAGGAGAAAATCCTGCATTTTGAAGAGGTAGATGAGACCACACGTCGACTCGTGAATCGATGTGCGACAGTGGATTGGCTACGCGATGCCGAACAACCCGAAAAAGCAGAGACGCAAGAAACTCCCACTCAATTAACGGTAACTACAATCGAACCCATCTTGGATCAATCCGTGCAGCATGCGTCACCCATAGATATCAGCGAGTCACCCGTCGTCACTCGCACTCTTTCGCGAGCGAGCACAATCGCTAGCTCGTCTGATACAGTCTCACCAACGAGAATTGACTCGCGCGGCTCGTCTAATGCACCTGGAAGTCGGGAACGCAGCTTAGCCCACCGGCTCGGCATGAACTTGGAGCCAGCATCCGCGTCTTCACTGAGCGTTCAGGCGGTTGCAGCACAACACGAAAAACCAGGTATCATCACTCCCAGTCGCAAAGATGGTGCTGCCGCTCTCGACAACGAAACCCAAATAATTCGACCACCAAAGGTCAAACCCGAACCCCCAAAATCTCGCCGGTGGCGCGGGCGCCGTCTGGGCGCGGATGAAGAGGAGAACCCCTCCACAGGCACAAGCAGCGACGGAAACACCATTCCCGAAGGCGTGGAAGTCAACCCCACTACCGCTTTGCACACCACCGCGCCCTCGTCGCAGGCACCTACCAGTTGTCGCCGTGACTCCGGCTCAGGTTCCACCCTTGCACCACCAGCTACACGACCGCGGCGGTCTGTATCCAATCCACCCCCAGCCCTCCCACCACCGCGCCGGTCCAGCCACACCACACCTTCCTCCAGCCATCATCGACCAGTAGTTCCCACCGCCGCGGCAGGCCGACATGGACAAGCCCCTCTTCCGCCGAAAACGCGGCGTTCTGGTCGAGGCAAGGCACAGCATGGACAGAGCGACTCAGTCGAGAGCGGAGCCAGCACTATCAGTCCATCAAAGGAGCCTGAGACATCAAAGGAGCCCGAGGCTGTTGAAACGCCCGTTCCCCAACAAGCAGCATCCCCCGAGAGCAGTGTCCAATCAGACCCATTCTCGCCAAAGTCTCCCGCGTTGCTGATATCGCCTTCCGAGATCACCGCTGACGCAGATAAAGATGGCTCTGCGCCTCTCAGCGTGGAGGAGGCGGTCCAAAACGTCTCTTTGCATTGAGCGAATTGTGTGTTGCTCTGTTTTGCTTTGATTTCTTTCGTCATTAGATATACTCTTTTGCCCATGGCTCATTTTCAGGTTATTAATTTTTTTGGCATCAAGCGCGGCCGTTCGGGTTTACAGATTGGGACATGATGGGATATTGTGTCTCTAGATTTTCTTTTGTGTATGAGCATTAATCCAGGAATTTAACGGGGGGTCTAAAATATTTTTCGTTTAAGATATCTAGTTGAACGGTTATGTGCCTTTAGAACAACTACTGGATCAACAGTCTAATTGTAAGCCCCGTGAGATAGATAGCCTACCACAGATGTGTTATTGAAACAGTAGAATGTACCACGATGACCCTATCCAAATGCATTACTTCAACGCTCTGGCTCGTTGCCCTCTAAAATCCTCCTTCGGAGGGCACTCATGATTGCGTTGGCTGTTACTTCATCGGCTAAATCAGCACAGTCGGTCTCCGAGTAGCCACATTCGAGATAATCGGCTATCGGGTCGTACGTGAAGGCGATGTTCAGCCCAGTGTCCCTTGGTGTCCTCATCTTGTCCTTTTCCTACCCCTACGTAGTCATCAGTAAAAAAAAATGCAGAACAGAGCTGTAGAACTGATGAGCTTCTTGTCTTGATCACAGGCATGTGGGCTAATAGGTTTGCTTGGAAAACCATCGAAGGGCTCACATCTATTATATACATACCTATGTGCTCCCAATGATGCCATGGCTTGTGCTACATGTTGCCATGTGCTTAGCACAATTGCCACTCTGTTGGAGAGTATGAACAGGTGTTTCCAATGGTAGAATAGATAGGGCTTCTCACAACATCAGCTTACCTGTATATAGGTTACCAGAGATAGTCGAATCTCAGGTGAGGTATCCATGGTTGTATCTCCTTGTTACCTACCTGGGTATATATTGACGGTTCTCGTCATCTGTTTCCTTTCCAGAGTCCCCCGTATTGCGCATTGAACATCTACTGAAATCCCAGGAAGGATTGGATAGCAGAAATACTAAAGCAGCCCTGGAGAGTCTTTTCGCTGACCATGAACTAGAATACAGTATAAACAGGGACAATCCATCCAAGACAGAATAAAAATACACATCAATTCCCACCAGGAAGCAAAAGTCTTACACTTCCTCTCGAACTCAAGTGAGAGTAGATAGATTATGGATCAAGAATCTCAAATCTTCAATCCCCAACTGCGGCCCAGCCCAACAGCAGTATTCCACCCAAACCCAGCACACTGTCCAATCCCAGTAAGCTTATCAGCAATAACCTTCCGATCCTCAAACCGCCGCTCCACAAACGCCGCCGTCTCCACAAGATCCGCCGTCGGATCGCGGGTCATAACAACCTCGGAACTAGCATAGATAGCCGAAACCGCCAATCGGCGCGTATACCAACCCGCATCGACAGCATCATCACCAGCAAGAGTGAGGATATCCGAAGCAAGGGCGTGCAACTCCGTCAAGGAGAGGGGGATATTAGCGAGGAGGGACATTGTCGCAAGAGCCTGGAAAAAACGACAAATTTTAGTAATAGTAAAGAGTGTACGCCCGAAAAAAAAATTCAGGTCAAACTCACATCTTGCCACACATCCTTGACCTCCGTGTTCATTCGTAGTCGCTCCAGAATCAGCCCTCGGACTCTCTCCTCAATACTAAGCTCGTGCACATCCTTCCCCTGCTCCGCCGCAATGCGCCGGAATAGTCCCCCCTCCTCGACTTTCCCGCGCAGCAGGCCTCGTCGACTCGCGAGCCAGAAGAGGATGAGATCGAACTCGGCGCGTGGGAGGAGCTGCACGGAGACGTCGAGGAAGCCTGCGTCGCGCGCGCCGAGGGCTAGCGCTGTGCCGCTGAAGCCGTGTGTTGGGACGTGGGTGAGCGCCGCGGTCAGGATGGCCGTTTGCGAGTTGGTATATTCATGGTCTGGGAGGCGGGGGTGCAGGGCAGAGTGGTAGTTCCGGCGGGGGTAGTGTCGAGGTTGTGTTGGAGTTCGGGGTGTGCGGGTGTTGGTGGGGGAGTGGTGGAGGGCGGTGGTGCTCAATGCTTGTGTTTGGCGGATCCAGGGAAGTGTGGTAGGGAGGACCCTTTTGGGGAGAGCGCGGGCGAGGTATGCCATGATTCTTTTGCGTGTTGTTGGGTGTGGTAAAGAGGAGAAGTGTTTGTTGGAGATGGATATTGAAGTTGGTCCGTGCGTTTGAGGGCCCATACATCGGGCAATAGTATCAGATGTGGAGGGTGTCTTCTCCGCTCTGGTTACTCCTATGTTTTGATCTTGTTTTTTGACATGGCAATGGAGCATAGAGATCTATATTTGCTGTAATATTCATTGGTTGGCCTATAGAAAGCTTCTACAGCATCCTTAGCTGGAACTATATGAAAGGAAGCACAAGTCCGATTGAAGTGAAAGGTAAATGTATGGATCTACTCTATAGCATAAAGATGTATATTAGCAGAGCATCGATGCTAAACCGTAGTCCCATATTGTAATCACCCAAGGCACATGAGAGGAAAAAAAGGGGGAAAAAGACGACAACGCGCAGGGGCGAACAGGGGACCAGAACAGCGTTGCGACACGTAGAACCGTTGGACCAACGCCGCCGATATCAAAACAGCGTACTACGAATTTACGAAAGATAAAGACTACAAGGCAATGAATTTGCAAACAGCAGGTTTTTCTCCGTTGAAAAAAAAGCAGAGTTGATCAGCCCAAACGGGCACTCGAATCCCATTTTGAGAGGACAGAAGCCTCAAAAGAAACTGAATGGGAATAAGGGAATCATCGAAGTAATAGAAAATGAAACGAAGCCAGACGCCCCCCTGCCAAAGAGACCGGGTTAAAAATGGACGAAAACGCTTTACATAATCTGGTCTTGAGTCAGACCACCGGTTGGCTCTTGGCCTTCCATTTCCTCATGACCAGAGGGGCCGGCGTGCATGTACTTGACAAAGGTGATGCCCAGAGGACGACCACCGTACTGGTAACCGGAGAACTTGGCTGTGGATGAAAGGTTAGCGGATGAATACTTGGATTGTCATGGAAACATACCAATGCCGGTTTCAGCAGTGTCAGCAGTGTCGAACTGGACGACGCCGGTACCGCGGGAGCGGCCATTGGGCTCGTACTGGATCTCAGCGCGATCGACCTTGCCGATGGTAGAGAACAGATCAACCAAGTCCTCGTTACAAGTAGACCAGGGCAGCTGTGTTCAAATTAGCATTCCATGTCGATACCTGCCGTGGATTTCAATACTTACGTTGCGAACATAAATAATAGCACTCTTATCGCCGTTGGAAGTGGCGTAATCGGTGAAAGGGTTCGGGGGACCCGAAGGGACAGGAGGTCCTTGCTCAAATCCACCAGCGAAGCCGCCGTGACCGCCAGGGGGGCCGCCGAAGCCACCACGACCGCCGAAGCCACCGCCGAAGCCACCGCGACCACCACCGAAGCCTCCACGGCCCATAGGACCGCCGAAACCGCCACGGCCACCAAAAGCACCTCCGAAGCCGCCACGACCACCGAAGCCAGGACCACCACCCGCAAATCGATCTTCACGAACCTCAATAGCGCGACCCTGCCAATCGTATCCATTGAACTGGGCAATGGCATTGCGAGCATCGTCGGGGGACTCGAAGGCAACAATTCCAGAGCCCTTGGGGCGTCCGCTAGGATCGGTGTGCACATCGGCACGGATGACAGCACCTTGCTGGGCTGTAATACAAGATCCGGGTCAATTCATCTCGCACTTGCACTAGATAGAAGAATAGGGATTCAGTGCCAAGAGTATTCTTGTCCTGCACTTACCAGCTTGACGGAACAAATCCTTCAGATCTTGCCAGCCGACATTGAACGGAAGCTGTACCAAATGGTCAACAAAACCTGCCAGTATTTAGCAAAACGGGGATAAAAGGGGGACAAACGTTTGAGACATAAATCTGTCGGCCACCACCACCTGGGGGACCTCCGAAGCCACCACCACCAAATCCACCTCGGGCACCAGGGCCGAAGTCGCCCCGTGGGGGACCTCCAACGAAACGAGGCTCGGATTCGCGGTCCTTGGAACCCAAGTTAGTTCCGCGTACTTGAAACTTGCAATAGACTGGATTCCGCCAACACATACCTCACGAACATAAACAAGTCGACCCATCAAGCTCTGATTGCTAAGCGTATTCACAGCGTTCTGTGCTTGCTCTCTAGTCGCGTATTCCACAATCCTAGTAGACATGTTAGCAGGGGGTTCGAATTCAAACACAGCGCAGATATCACTCACCCGCATCCCTACAATATCAGGACAGCAAAGGCCCCACCGTCAACCCTACACGAACGACAAAAATCAAAGGGAGTAGAAAGGAACTAGCCCCCTCTACGTATAGACGCCCACCTTCGACATTCCATTTGGAAGAAGCAACACATCGGCAAAGAGAACTTCTCCAGCTGTAAATCGCAAAAACCATGACCCAGATTAGCTTCCATGATCCCTGCAAATCACCACACCAAATGCGCAACCCTGCTCACCCTGTCTCATAAAATCTTTAAGGTGATGCCACTTAACATCGTAGGAAAGGTTGCCCACATAGACTCGGCGGTCTTGCTGGGACGAATCGCGAACTGTCTGCATCATATTTTCTTTGGCAACGGTGCGGTCCTCGAATCGGGCCGGAGGGTATCCACTGCGTCCACCGAAGGGAGAGCCTGAAGGGGCAGCTGCTCCAGATGCACTCAATGGGGATCGGGAACGGCGTTCGGTACGGCGGTATTCGTCACGCTCACGGCTGCGAGAACGGCTGCGGGGGGAGTACGAACGACGGGTACGTCGGGGAGGACTGCGAGAACGGCGACGGGGCGAGCGAGACCTCTCACGCTGTATGAGGTCAGACATGAACAAAGTTTGTATAAATGCGGTCGCGGAAGCGGTGTATTGTGAAAAATTTGATGGAAGATAGATGGGAAAGAGAAGCAACGGTGTTCTAAGGGCAATCGCAACCGCGGAATGGCGCAAACTCCGATGGGGGTCGGGGTCCCTCGGCGTGGGTCAGGTGACCACCAGCTTGAGGGGGTTGTTTTCAATTGAGGACCACCGGGGGTTGGGAGCTTAGGGCCACTGGCGCACGGTTTGCGCACGCCGCGCAATTAAAATTTCCCTTTTTTGAAATGCAACGATGCAATGGAGAATGTCTTCTGCGGCTCACGGATCTGGGGAATATCTGATAGAACAGAGACAGGTCTCCGCCCCTCCCCGCACTGACCACTCTCTTGCAATCATTGACCATACCGACATCGATCATCGTGCGCCATGAGATGATTGTAGACCCGGGGCGAAAATGGGAAAGACAATAAGGAAACGATCGTGGTCAACTTACTTGGTAAGGGCGATAAACGTCCGCTGGAGGGAATGGAGCCGTTAGCGGAGAATCTCAGACCAAAATATAAGACACAATATAAGGGGAATGAATAAGAGAAAAGACGAAGGAGCGGGGGAATCTTGAGAGGATCAGGCGTCAAGGTTCGACACTTTGGGGGGGACGACATTGCCCGGTGATTGGATGAAGTGCATGACCGGGACCTGAGTACCAGGGAGACGAGAGTAACAAACGAGTAATACAAAGATACGAAAAAGAAAAGTGTAATAATCAACAGGAACCACGAAGAACTCACCCATGATTCCGAGCTCGACGGCGCGTGGAGGTAAGGCGTGTAGAGCGTGGTAGGAAGGAGGAAGAGGGTGCGAGGGAAGATCAGAATTGAGGAGAAGAAAAGGAGGAGCGACGCGCGGTTCCTGGACTCCGGGATTGCTATATATGAACACCAGCTTGGAGAAGAAGGGAAAATACAAGAATTCTGATATTGTACTTGACACCCCGGGCAAAACCCGTCACCGCCTATTAGCCTAGTACGGATATTTAGAGCTACAATATCACCCGAAAGGAGTATCATGGGTTCCTTACGTTGGTTGACGGCTTGAAGATCAACGAGCTGATCTGGCCTGCCTTTTGAGGACCTTCCCAGCGCTGTAGGTACTGCACTAGGAGGTGTGCATGTAGGGCCCATACTATCGGGGTACCAGCAGAGGCCCAGGCCTTATCTGCCACTTATCGTGCATCCTCCTCTTCTGTACATCTGCAGGACAACCTGCACCTAGGCACAGTCCTTTTTTGCGTTACTCCAACGAAATGCCACGGCCTTCATACACAGGCTACAGTCGTGTGAACACGCGGAAAACAATGTTCATTAGGATTTTACTTTCAAATCTCGTGGAAATACCACAAGGGTTCAATTAAAACGGAACAATCCAGGCAACGAAAGAGAAAAAGATGGGGTGCTGAGTCTTCAGCATTGGGAATCAATACACAAAACAAGAAATCCAGATGCGCCACACCCTGCCGGTAAGAACGAACGCCGATGCAGCATGACTTTTATGCTGTGGGGGAAGCGGGACTCAGGAGTCCCCAACGAGAGGACCAAAACGCCTGGAACGGACGGCGATCTGGGTGAGAGGCAAGGAGGGGTACAATTACAGGTGCACGTAAAGGAAATGGAATCGACTGAGATGGGACGCAAACATGAAAAGAAAATATAGAGATCGGGATGGAGAAAGAAGGTGATCGATCGCCTACGCTGCGACATTGGTAGGAGGATAACGACCTGGGATCTTCATTCCCAGGGCAACGATGCTATTATCGGTGTTGGTGCGCAATAGCTCGGGTGGAACTTTGGGCCCACTGTCGGATTCGGGAATTTGATCAATGGTTCCATTCGGAAGACCAAGGGTGTGAAGCTTGGGGAGATCCGGGGTATCATCGACCGAGGTGGCATTGGTGTTGTTTGTAAATTCAGTCACATTGGAGTTGGTAGGACCTGTCGAGACACTCTCCCGTCGAGCCATCTGGGGAGGGGCAGAGTGATCACGACGATCAGCGATACCGACACCCGAGATGGCGGCAAGCGAAGCCTGGTCTCCTTCAGATCGAATCTCGCGGTCATCGGGGTTCGGGTTTCTTGGTTGCTGGCTCTGCCTCTGCTTAGCCACTACGACGGACGGTCCAATCCAGTCGCCGTAGTAGCTATCGTGCTGGGTCACCTTTGGGCGAGACCTTTCAGTGCTCCCCTCGTTAGATCGATAGACTTGATATGAAGCATTGTCGCTGTCGCGGTTATCTACTGGTCGCGAGTTGTCATCATAGGCACTGGACCCATCCTGGTAGGATCCGGCGGCTGCTAATATATCTCTACCGCCGGAGCTGTCCCCGCTGGAAGGTGACAATGGTGCCTCCGGATTTCGGTCGATTTGAACGTCGCTGGGGAAAGCACCTCCAGCCTGGCGAGAGGACGTGGGTCGATCGTGAGACATGACCACAGAGCCTGCAGAATATGGAGTGCGATCGGCTTCATCGTCCTCCAGTACCTCGCTGTTCATCGATCTACCGCTCACGCTGCGGACATGCTGCCGAACGAAAGCGTTTCTGGCTTCTCCCGTCTTGCTAATCAAGCCTTCGATATCTTCATACCACGACATCATAGTCTCGTGAGACTCAGCGCGGAAGACCCACGAGTGACCGCGGTGCATCGCGCCTGTCTGTCGGCCCTTCAGCATAAACTTGTGGGAGCTTGACTCTTCCTGTGAGTGGGAGCCGAGTTTTTGCTCTGGCAGATAAAGGGACATGACTGGTGTCTGCCATGCTACACGATCTGCCGACTTGAACTCGTGGAGATGAGTCGGCGACAGAACATACCTGAACTTGATTAGTCGATGTTTGTTTTAGACTGCATACAAGGTAGGGGACTCACCAGCCAGGAGTGTAACTTTTGAGATATTTGCTCTTGCGCTCCAACATGCCAGCCCTGACTTCAGCAGCTGCTGGATGGTCCCTGCCAGGGTAGGTGATGCTCTCCACATTTCGAAGAGGAATCCGAGGATCGACGAGTTCGTCGGTGTTGGCGACAAATTGATTCCACTCGTGATCTTGGGGCATGGAGATAGGACCCGTTTGGAGCTTCTCAACAGTATCAAGAGCCTCGTTGGCTTCGCGTCGGAGGATATTAGCGTACGCATTGTATGCCTTTTGGATCTCGCTGACGACGATACCCTCTAGCTCGCGACCAGAGTTCTCCAGGTTCAGAAAGGCCTAGATGAAAGGATAATTTGAGTCAAATGAACAGCAGACATGGGGGGAAAGTCAGGACCAACCCGGTGTAAATAGTTCTCCTCTTCGATCTGTTTCTCAACCTGCCTCTCCACATTCAGACGCATGATGAATGGATCCCCCCTGCCCGCTGTCGCGGAGGGATCAGTATCGACAAGCCCGAGGGCCTCGTGCAAGTTCCGCACAGACTTGCGCGTACCGTCGATCTCCTTATCGACAGTGTTTTTGAAATCACCCGATAGATTTTTGATCTCCTTTGTCTTCTTCTGAAGATCGCTGCGAAGACCAGTCAACTGGCTGATCACCTCCACCTCCACCTCAACGGCTTTGTTGGCCTCCGTATAACCTTGTCGATGGAAGCTCTGCAGAATTTCAGTCGCTTCGGCCAAACCACCTGACTCGAGTAATCCCGCTGGTAGGGTCTGGTTGTTCATGACGTTGGAGGCGGACATGAACAGTTTCGCTCTAGTTTCGTAAGACTTCTGCACCTCCTTAAAGAAAAGAATCAAGTCCTTGAGGACCTTGCGCCAAGCTAAACATCAATTAGCGGAATGCCCACCACCTCAAATTACGGAGTAAAGCCCTACCTCCAAACCGATTTGCCAGTACCTCGGTCGGGTTGCCGTTGGTAGGGATCGGAATCATGAAAGCGCTGTTGACATCGTCCGCGCCGTCGGTGTGATACTTTTCGCGATCGCCCAAACTGAGACTCCTCACACTACCCGCGCGCATACTTCTGCGGCTTCCATTGCGCCTTAAGCTCCCATTCTTGCTCAGCGAGGCCTTCTTTCGTAGGGTGCTTGTACGGGACGGGGTCGTGGAGCGCACGTGGGATGCTGTGGAGGCAGACCGCTGCATCCCCACCGGACCTTCGTACATCGAACTGCGGTGACTGACGGTCTCGAAGTCCTCCTTGAACCGGGGGTTGTGGGGGACCTGGTTCGGCTCGACAGCGCCGGAGCTGTAATGATATGCCGAAGTGCTGCCTGCAAAGGAACTCGGTCGCGAGAGTGTAGGACGTGGACCGTACCCGCGACTCAAAGCCCCCGGGTCGCTAGGGTACGGGATGATGTATGCATCCTGTGAGGGTGTCTGTGGCCGCGCGGCCGTCGCCATGTTTGCGAGAACGTGGGGGTTTATGGTTTATGCAACGTCAGGGGATAAGTAAGACGAGCTTGACTGAGGTTCGGGGCTAGAGAGAAAGACCAGAAAAAGAGAAGATCCTGAGGGTGAAAAGGAAAAGGCGAAGGGGAGGGGGGGAATTCAAGAACCAAGGATAATAGCTCTAAGGCCTAGAGGCCTAAAGTGGCGTCTTTTTTTGGTTACCTGGCTAGCGGAGGAATTGTATGCGGGGAGTAGAAGCAGGCTTGAAGATTTGGCCCCACTCGACAGACTATCTGAAAATAGGAGAGAATAGGAGAAGATCAGAGATTGGGCTCCGATACACCTATTAAGGGCAAAAATTAAGGAATTCCCCCGATGACGTCTACGAGGGGAATGCAAGATACGAATGGTGACGGGGTTACCACTCGGCAGCCCCGGGAGAAAAAGAGGGGAGAAACGCCAAAGTTAATTGCCAAAAGCCCGATTTTGGATCTTTGGCTGTTCTTATTCCAGGTTGACGTACTCCGGAATTCAGGGCCGAGGGTATTCGGTAGATGGTGTACTCCGTACGGAGCGCGTAGCTCTCTTTCTATTGTCAATTTATGGGCGACTCCAATTCGGCTGCCTGTTGATAGAAAGTGGCTGAGAGGACTCCGCCTCTACACAGGGCAAAAGATCTCCAACTAATGCATGGGAATAAGATTATTGAATGTGTCAATTCTCACCCGATCCACTTCCTCTGTGGCTCGTAAAAATGAAAAAGGGGCCATCAATTCAATGCTCCCCCTGATCGTCTGCTGGTACTGGAGTGATGAACAGTGCATGACGTCGGGATCTGGGGAGAAGCGAAGCCACTTGGGAACTTTGCACCCTTACCGTGCTCATGTACGGAGTGGTCCCTACACCGTACTCCGGTACCTAAGTTGTTCCAAGGTAATCCCATGTTTCCTATTCCAGCTGCCGCTTGAAGGGCGTTCAGAGTCAGGCTCAGGAAACTTCAGTCCGGGACTCAGCGGCTCCGATGCCATCACGTGATATATGAGTCAACCAGGTTCACTCAGGTTACATGTAGGGACATGTACATGACTTCCAAGGTTGGAAAGGGGTATGGAGTACGGAGTAATCCAAGTCGAAATCAGGCAAGGTTCTCGGGCAGGGACAGTCCCCTGGCCCAACGGAGTGATGACATAATAAAATTCCGGGATTCTGTCTGGGCAGAATTTGAGGAGACACAATATCAATACATGTACGGAGTACTTCGTACGGAGTACATAATTACCTAGATGCCAACCTTGACCTTAAAGCAGAATTCAGGGTACGAAGTAGGGAGTACATACTCCGTACATACATAATGTACTCCGTACATCCCAGCTGTGTGCCTTCGTACATTATGCCTAAGCGCAAGCGCCCGGGCGGATCCCCATCCCCACCGCCCCGCTCCTCACATCGTCCCCGCCAACCGCGTCAAATCTTTCCGTCCCGAGGGACGTTTTGTTCGGTGCCCAGCTTCGCTCAGACTGAAGTCGAGAAGGCCGATGACGGGAACAATCTTATAGCTCGCGCGCGTGAACGACTCGGGCGGTACGACAGTGCCAATGAATCTCAACAGCTACAAACCTGCTTTGAGGGACTGCTTGACTGGCTTCCGCCAGGAGGAAGAGACTCCACGCGCACGATATTCTCAATGCGGAAGCTGGTGAAATGTCCCTAATGATCTATCAGAATATTCGCACTTGTCTGCTTCAACCGAGTAGTTGCATATGAACTTAGCGTGAATATGTGGCTGACCTCGCATAGTTAAAGCGTCTGGCGGGCAAACACCCGCATATGTCGACTCACCGCATCAAAAGAGACGTGAAAATGCTCAAGCTGTGTATGAGATGATTGAGGAACCGCAACCGTGAGACTCGGATTTCCACAAAGGCTGTCTCGAACGTGATGGAGATTGTTGTGTTGTGACAAGTCACAAAAGCCATAACGTTTGACAAGGCGAAAGAAACGGGGTCAGCGGAAGATGTTCTACAAGGGGATCTCGAAGCTGCGCATACTATTCCCGGGTCGTTTGCAAGTTCTGACCTTATGGTACTTTCCCTAGAGCCTCTTTGTTGAAAACCACAGATTAGTTATAGCAGAAAGGTGCAAGCGTCATCTTGAGCATGTAGGAAACCCTCTACCGGTGTTTCCCCGAGATGCACACAGTTATACGAAGTTCCAGAATCAATGAGATCGAGAATGGCACCACGCTTCACTATTCTATCCACCGCGCATTCGGTCGCTTCCGGTGTGCTTTCGAGCCGATTGTGCGTTTGCGTGCTAACCTTTAAAACTGGAAGGGTTCGTTCGTTTAGGACTAGCTATTGACTTACGCGAACGCTCCGCATACATACCACTTCGTCAAGTTCGAGTGCTTTCCTGCCGAAATGAACCCATTTCTTCCCGAGCAGGTCACTTTCATAGATGCATCCCAGCCTGAGTCAGAGTCCCGTCTTCCCCATCTGGTCTTGTTAGACTGTCACTATCGACTTGTGAGATTTTTCCACGCGAGTGGGATGGGCGAGATCATTGACAAAACTCTTGACCGTTTATAGGAACTTAGGACTCGCCCAGTCTTAGCCCGGAATGGCACTGCTGATCTGGAGTATCAGTTGGTAATAGTGCAGGGGTAGTGATTCTGCATATCCCAATTACGAAGTTCTGATACTGACGTATTCCACCAAGCAGACTCTGAAATCTCATAGAAATTTTATACTGGGGAGTTTGACCCCAAAGTAAGAACGTATCTTGGGTTCCTTTGATCCTTAGATATACCTGCACTATCATTGGCTCCTCGAGGATCCGGGAATATCCCCTCACTTTGGATATCATTGGACACCGAAATGCTCCACAGGTACATGGCTCCTTCGAGGTTGATCAGGGTTGGGTCCCATAAGGATACTACTGGTTCTATCATCTCCTTTCGAGTTCCCTGGACTGGAACATGCACGTCCCTGTACGGCCTAGGACTGCACATTCCGAGCGATGCTCCAATCGTGAAATGCAAATTGTTTCGAACTTCCTTTTGAATTTCCTGGACACTAAAGAAAACCTGATCGAAGTGGGCATGGCCTGAATGCGATAGGCAGCGTGATTTGGGGGGGATAATTTACACAAAGCAACGGGAAAAGGAGGATTTGGAAAGAATCCAGACTTATGATGCAGGAACCGGGGATGTGGGAACCTCAATGCCGTAAGCCTCCTTGATACGCTCGCGGCGTCTCTCTTCGTAGTTGGGGCCGTAGATACCTAGCGGAATTAGTATGGGTAAATGACATCACGGGTTGGACATGCACATACCACGTCCTTCGCCCAACTCGGAGATAGTCTGCTCTCCGGGGGTCTGGAAGGCCTTGCGCAAGGCCGTGCGACGGTCGTACTCATCCACCGAGGTGTCCTTTTGGTATCCGAACAGAGAGCCACCGGTGTACTCGAAGGCGGTCATGGCGGTCGAAAGCGCGATGCCGTAACCGAGCACAGCGGGGAATGTGCGGGCTGAAATAAATACGATTATTAGCTTCCCGCGCATAGCCATAGCCTCAATTAGATTCTAAACTCACCTCTGAGACCGAGAATGGCACCCGAGACGAAACCACCCAGAGCGACGTTGTAGTGGTCCTCCTTCTCGCGCAGGTTGGCCGAAGCAGTCTTGATGAACTCGTAGGTACCACCCATGGCCGCTGTAACATATCCAGTTTAGCAATTGATCCACATTGATTCATTCATATATAGAGAATGCCCTACCAAAGGTAGTAATAATACCACCGCCGCGGACGAAGACGCCCAGAGTTCCGACGTTCTGTTTGGTAAGGGTGTTCTGCACAGCCGCTGCGAAAAGACCGACGCTTCCGGTCAGCGCCGTGGCCTTCATGGCTGCTGAAATAGCATCCTTGGGGTGATAGCTGTCATCCTCTTCGTGGTGCGCCATGATGTGTGTGTGTAATAGTAGGGATGGGACGGCTTGTGGTATGGGATGTAGTTGTAGGATTTTGGGGTCAGCTTTCTGCCATAGGCCACCGCCGAGGATACCGCCGAATATACCGCCCGCCATTGGGAGCTCTACATGGTTATACTTACATTGATTTCGCCTCCATCGCCTCTCGATTCCTTTGTTTCATCCATCTATTTCCTAGAGACTGCTTGCTGTTTGCTCAAACTGCATCGTTATCCCATAATATTTCGTTCGGTAGGGAGAACGGCTCTCCAAAGCTTGCCGCTGCTTAGTGCCAAATGCAGCTGGCTCCCCGCTGTTCCCTCTGCATACAGCTACACCATCCCATCATTTGAGAACGTACCCATCCCATTCAGCTGGGAAAGTGCGCACCTCTGTGAGCTTTGACACAAAACAACAAGCATTTCAAAAGATCAAAAGTTTCCCATAGCATCAAGACGAAAGATCCAACCTGTGAGAGGCCTTGAGGCCAAGCAGTGTACCTCATGGCATCTGTACAGAGAGGGGGTAAGCCATATTCCCTAGTTCAACGAAATTGGAATGAAATGTCTTGCAAATACTGACAAATCTCTTGATCCATCATGTAGGCAAGTCTGCGCCGCGTCTTCTTTGTGATATCCAGCTTTATGATCCAGCACACGATCCAGACACAGGCCGCAATCTACTGTCAGAAACTCCGCCAGTTTATCCCCCAGGCTATGATGGCCCGCTTGGATTCATATCACCGGAAGCATGCCATCATGAATATGTTTTGAAGGAGGACCAGACTTTTATGGCAGAGCCAGAGCATCGAAGAAGGCTAGGCACTTCTTCCAAAGTCTCAGCCATCTGCACAAAATGCCGCTATCATCTTCAGGTAGTGGTTAACTATACCAGTCATTCGAATGCTTTCAGCCAGAACAAGCAGGACCACTTGCATCATTTGGTCTATAAGTCAGGCCGGCAGAAGAATGGCCTTTCTCCTCCTGAAGTAACCCACAAAGGGCAGGTCGCAGAGACATATCACTACCAATGTTCCCATGTCTCATGCTCGGCTATGGTGTCTTTGCGAATTGTTTCACCCATCCTAACCCCAGAGCTCATTAACTTAATGACAGATAAGGATTTGCTGCGGAAAAGAGCTGAAGAGGCCACAAAAGCATATCCTGAATCCATGGAAGGCATGGGGGCACCTCAGCCGATCAACGTATTGGATAATCTGCGCCTGTACATCACGAATGCCCTGCGAAATCCTCAGCGCAGCAAGCCTATCTCATCGGTTAATAAGCGATTCATGCACTCTTTTGGTGTGGAAGGTGCTGCCTGTAAGGTGTTGCTCGAGTTCCTAGAGTTTGCTTACAATAAGGTTAGTAATAATAAAATTGTCTTTCCATATGGGCTTGTCGTCGTTGTTCGCAGGGGTTCGTTGTCGCGCTGACGAATCGAACCAGGACACTGGAGCGTGGCATCCACCTAAACCGAGCCCTGACTCGGACAAACCTTACCAAGACACGCTGTGTCTCTATCTTGATGACCTGATCCACGAACTTCTTGTCTTAATTTATCTCCGGCCAGCTGCAGATCGGAGAGGATGCCAGTATCCTGATCTCCCTCCCTCTGCAACTCCCATCATTCTTCGTGCCCTAGAAGCACACGACTGTGCGTCCCTTGTGATCCTTGATAATAAGGGATTCCACTGATTTCTGTCACAGATCCGACTGCCATGCGTTACAATGAGTTTGCAATGGCTTCTACTCCGTTTGTATTCCCTCCCTTGGAACTGATAACCTTCGACCTGACAGTTGTCTATTTAGTTGCTATGAGGACATCGGGGTGTTGGAGAACTTTTCTACAGCGGCAATCATTGACATGTACAAGCAACAGGTCTTAGTTGACTCCGGAAGAGCTTCGATTTACTTGAGTGCTCTCAAGGCTATCGGCAATGTGCGCGGCGCTGGAGACCAGGAGCTCATTGCGATCGCTGTCAGCGAAGCTTACGCGAATGGGCAGTACGATCTTGAGGATATTGAAAAAGCATATCAATACTTTGATCTCCGCCTTTATGACCCATATCTCACTGAAGATAGCATCATTGGCAAATTCTATGCTTTTCTCAACTCTACAAACAATGATGTCGAGGCGCGTCTGCACTTGTGGCGGATTGGTGATTCCAGAAGAAGCGAGCGCATTAAAGCAGCATCGGAAGACCGTGTGTTTATCCAACCATTATGTCTCAAACTCGAGCGCATGCTAAGTTGGTCATAGGTGTCTCTACGGTTGAGCAAGCAAATGTCTTCTTGGGGGTTGAGGATCAGACCCCGGATGACTTTGTTATGACGATGTACACTGCAAAGGTTTGTCGCCTAGTCAATCTGCTTCATTTGAGAGATCAACGTCAGTTAACATATCTAATAATTAGATCAACGATAACCCGCTCAACAAAGAACTGGCGAAACGCGCTGTCTCACTCATCGCAGAGGCCCGCAAATCAGTCGCCTTGACTCATTTCATCAACACCGGAGAGATGATTGCCGGTGAAATGGACATTGGCGATGCCTATCGTCTCCTCCAAATTCCTGATCGAACTGCGGATGATGGGGCTATCATGGCCGCATACACAATTTGCGTCGATGAAAACCCGAGTGATGCTGAGAGATATAACCAGGCTCTAAACATTATCGCCAAACAGCTGGACAGTCCTATGCTGAAAAACATGACAGGCTTCTCCAGTGAACCGGACCGAAACATGCAAGATTGGCCAGTCGGGTTGCAAAACATTGGCAACACATGCTATCTTAACAGTCTATTGCAGTTCTATTTTTCCATCCGCCCTTTTCGCGAGATGGTCTTGGATTTTGAACGCTTCCAGATGGACCTCGATGACGTGACAGCTCTAGCAAACAAACTAGTCGGGTCAAGAAAAATTTCCAAGAAGGAGGTTGAGCGATCTCTTGGATGTGGGTTTATCGATTCGTGCTGATGGCGATATCTCATTCAAGCTAACAATTCCCTCTAGTCCTCAAAGAGCTCCGAACTCTGTTCCACAGCATGATTACGACGACTCAAAACTCTGTTACTCCCAGCCAGGAACTTGCTCGCTTGACCCTGGTCAGCCCAGGCGGCGAGGCGGCTATCCGTCGTCGATCGACCATTACTGCTACCAGAACTGACATCCTTGGTGAAATCAATGGTGCACCGGTTTTGGGGCCCCTCGGGCCCCCTCAACCCCTTCTCGGAGGTAGGATGGAGCATCCCTCATCTTCTGATCAAGTTAACCATGCGCCTGTTGAAAGTCCGACTGCCAGCAATTCAGGCAGCGAGGGAACATTAGTCTCGAATAACAGTCTTGATGATGTACCTGGGCTCTTCATCGATGATAAGGAGAACAATCCTCCGGACTTGGATCAAGTTTCGGATCAAGCAGAAGCAGGATCTGACGTGGATATGAATCTTATCAACAATGATAGTACATTGGTCACCCCACAAGTGCATAATTCTCCACCGCCTGTCCCTCCTCGCGCTGGCGAGAAAATTGATCCTCCGAAGAAATTGAGCGACGAAGTTGAACTTGGCGCTCAACAGGATGTAACCGAGGTTATCAACAACGTTTTGTTCCAAAGCCAGTGCGCAATCAAGCCTCGAGCCATTGGTAGCGACGGCGAACAACTTGACCAGATTAAGGAGTATGTTATGACAAACTTTTCCACGCGAACGTCCCGTGCTAAACTCTTCCATAGCTTGTTCTACGGTACAACGCGCTCTTACATCACCACCTCGAAAGGAACGCGCTCGAAGGACGAAAGATGGTGTGACATCAAGGTTCATGTTGCAAATGGACCCCGAGACATCTATCATGCTATCGAAGGAGCATTCGATGTTCAGGGCATTACAGTTGACAATGGTCCGGCGAAGCAATTCGGTTCCATTAGCCAGCTTCCGCCGGTTCTTCAAATTCAGGTGCAACGGGTTCAGTTCGATCCCGATAAAAAAACTTCCTTCAAATCGACAAACCATCTCGAGCTGTTCGAGACCATCTACATGGATCGATACATGGACACGAAGAATGCCGAGATTGTCAACCGGCGCACTCAGTCTTGGGAGTTGAAGGCCTCTTTAAATGCGCTCATGGCTCGCCGCAGAGAGCTTTCCGAGAATAAGGTAAGGAATATGCTCAGCCGACCTGTTTCACGTCTATGTCACTAATCTTGGTTGTCTTTTGTTTGTTGCAGAATACTGGTGTTGACATGGCAACATTGTTCCGCAAAACCCGTGCAACACTTCAAGATCTGGACTCTATTGGAAGTGATCCTGGGCTTCGACCGGGATCCGAGCCCAATTCTCTCGATATTGGGGTCGATGAAGACCTCCTAGGTGGGCTCGAGAACCTTACTTTGAAGGTAGAGAACGATCTGCTAGGTAAGGATTTTAGAAAAACTGTGTCATTTCAAACAAGCATATTGACTCATTTGATAGCTCTGGATCAAGAGATTCAGGATACGCAGACTAAAATTTCGACCCTATTTGCTGGTCTCCACAGTATTCCCTACCGGCTGTATGCTGTTTTTGTTCATCACGGATCGGTTTCATTCGGCCATTACTACATCTACATCTTCGATTTCGATAAAAATGTTTGGCGCAAATACAATGACGAATATGTTACTGAGGTTCAGAACGTGGACGAAATCTTCAAGAACGATTCGACCAATAACCCTCCCACTCCATATTTCCTTGTTTACGTCAACGAGGACATGAAGGAACGTCTGACAAATCCTGTCTGCCGTGAGATCAACGAAACCATGCCTGATCTCCCCGATCAGCAGCAACCAACCGCCATGGAGGGTGTTCATCCCACCACTCCCGCCGTGGACGCGAACCTGGATCCTCCCAGCTACGAAGAAGCGGCTGCCCTCCATAACGGACACCCAGGTACGGGAACCCCCGGATCCCCCGATGCGGAGCCCACAGCCTAGCCGTGTCCTCGTCCTGCGACTGACTGCAGCCATGTTGGTAGATACCAATGCCGCGTCCATCGATGCAACGGCTGTCAACCCTCTGAAGCGCAAGAGTGTCGACGCCGAAGCCAGGCCATCCCGTCCGATCTGATTTGCTCTTCTATGACACCTACCATGACAATATGATTGGATGATTTTTTTTCTCGTTTTCCTGATTCCGTGGTCATGACTGCACGTGGAAATTCCTGCATTGCGAGGTGCGAACTGTTTTTGTTATCCAGCGTGTACATACGCCGAAGATACCATGGAGTATTTGTAGAGTTATATTTGCAGATAGCCGCTATTGATCTCATCTCCAAATGTGTTTCATTTCACCTGCGCAGAGCATTCCCATTACAATTTGAATGCTTACCTCTGACCGCTTTGGGCTCACTATATCATAACGCGGGTTTGAATTTAACTTGAGAATCACATCATAGCTGACACCGGCATCGTTGTGCTCCCCTACCATGTAGAAGAGATTATTGAAAGTCATGAATATTGGGGGAAACACAAGTGTCCTGAATGGTTCCAATATCACTGTGAGGGAAAGCTTTGTATTTAAGGCACCGGAAAGGCCGTGGGGTGGATAAACCCAACCATGTCGAGTGGAAAGAACCACCTACAGGCTACAACGGAGTGTCAAGGTGGACATAGTAAACGAGTGATATGAGGGGGAACCTAAGGTTGGAAGAAGCCTACATAACTACTAAACATGTCAGCCTTGGAGCCTGGGAGCCTGAGAGCCTTGAATCTCAGGCTTGAATTTCCCGCGCAGAACCATGGTTCTGAAGAGTAGGGGTTGAGTCAGCACTCCCGAACTCCAAAGCCGCGGGATCGGAAACGGATCGGCTGTGAATTTCGGCAGCGGGGATAGAGAAGTCGATGGGGCTTTTTGGGGGTTCTGACGGTAGGCAGTAGCAGAAAAAAAGGGGAGGAGGTGCTTTTTTAAGTCTAGGTAGATCTAGAGAATTTTTAGCCATGCGAAATGAGGTCGAGGGGCTGAAAGAGCTGGGCTCAGGGGAGTTCATAGAAGACAGAGAGAGCCGGGTATCCACAATTCCGGGGAAACGAATATCACTCGGGACTGGTTCCGCTCTCACTGCCGCTCGGGTTTATAAGAAGTGGCTATCGCCGCTTGGGCAGGGCGTTGATTCTCCGGTCTATTAAATAGCTTGGGACCCTTTGGATTGTTCTTCTCAACGGTATCCAGTCTCCTAATTGGAAGTTATTCACTATGCCTTCCCAAGTATCAACATGTCTGCGCTTCGCGCGCCAGTTCTCAGGCAACCCCGCCCAGGTAAGTCATTTATTTGCCGGTGGCTCAGATTGTAATTTGGTTTTGAGTCGCGGTGACTGACATGGCATGCCTTTTATTAGCACCAACGTTTCATGGCCCGCGCATTCTCCAGCAGTGTTCGCCGATGTGAGATCAACAAGGTCTATCCCTCCGCCGAGGTAGCGATCAAGGACATGAAGCCCAACACCACTCTGCTCGCTGGTGGATTTGGGTTGTCTGGTGTGCCCGACACTCTGATCAATGCCGTTCTGGAGAACCCTTCCATCACTGGCCTGACCGTGGCTAGTAACAACGCTGGTGTGGACGGAGCTGGTCTCGGTCTGCTCCTCAGGTCTAAGCAGATTAAGAAGATGATTGCTTCTTATGTCGGCGAGAACAAGACCTTCGAGCGCATGTACCTGACCGGTGAGATCGAGTTGGAGCTCACTCCCCAAGGAACTCTGGCTGAGCGGTGCCGTTCCGGCGGTGCGGGTATCCCCGCGTTCTACACCCCCGCCGCCTTCGGGACCGTGGTGCAGACTGGTGCCGTGCCCCTGCGACACAACGCCGACGGCACAGTCGCGCTGTTCAGCGAGCCCCGCGACACCAAGGTGTTCGATGGAAAGAGCTACGTCATGGAGGAGTCGATCAAGGGTGATTACGCCTTCGTCAAGGCCTGGAAGGCCGACAAGCTTGGTAACTGCCAGTTCCGCTACGCAGCCGCCAACTTCAACGGCGCCATGGGTCGTAACGCCAAGATGACCATTGTCGAGGCTGAGCACATCGTCGAGCCTGGCGAGATTGAGCCCGCTGCCATCCACCTCCCCGGTATCTACGTCAAGCGTGTGATTCAGAGCACCACCCCCAAGAACATTGAGAAGTTCGTTTTCGCCAAGGAGGAGGGTGCCGATACCTCTGCTCTCGGAAAGGGCGAGACTGCTAACAAGCGCGAGCGTATCGTCCGCCGTGCCGCTAAGGAGTTCAAGAACGGCATGTACGCCAACCTCGGTATTGGTATGCCCATGCTTGCTCCCAACTTCGTCGACCCCTCTGTCGAGGTGACCCTGCAGTCCGAGAACGGTATCCTCGGTCTCGGTCCTTACCCTAAGCAGGGTGAGGAGGACGCGGATCTCATCAATGCCGGAAAGGAGACTGTCACTCTTAAGCCTGGTGCTAGCTGCTTCGGCAGCGACGAGTCCTTCGGCATGATCCGCTCCGGCCGTATCGACCTGACCATCCTCGGTGCCATGCAGGTCAGCGCCAAGGGTGACTTGGCCAACTGTGAGTGCTAATTTCCTCCCTTTTTTGACGGACATAAACTAATACTTTCGCACAGGGATGCTCCCCGGTAAGATTAAGGGCTTCGGCGGTGCTATGGACTTGGTCTCCAACCCCTCCGCCACCAAGGTCGTTGTCACCATGGAGCACACTGATAAGAAGGGCAACCCCAAGATTGTCAAGAACTGCGAGTTCCCTCTGACCGGCCCTGCCTGCGTCAGCCGTATCATTACTGAGCTTTGCGTCTTCGACGTTGACTTCTCCCACGGCCTGACTCTCGTTGAGATCGCCGACGGTGTTACTGTCGAGGAGGTCCAGGCCAAGACCGAGGCTCCCTTCAAGGTCGCCGATGACCTGAAGCCCATGCTGTAAATTTGCATGCAATCTGTATGATTTTGTCAAAGCGTTTTGTATCTAGCAATTAGGAGTTCGATTGTTTGGAATTTCATTCCCTGGGATGTATCCTGGGTTTGCATGAAGCATACTACTTTCGAGGAATATCTCTATAAATATATTCGTACACTTGAGTAGAAAAGATAGTAGGTATACAGCAAGCCAAAAACAAAAAAGAAAAGGTATTGGTACATGTCATGCAACCCATCAAATAGAACCCCATAATGCTCACTCAAAGCCAACAAGATAATGATTAATCAAGTTTTCCCAACTTTTTTCCAATGTCAAAAATCCAAAAGTCTATACAGCAAGACAGGCATTACGACAGCCGGATGATACCAGCCAGTCTCTTCCGTAACCGACCAAGCCAATCGCGGTTCGGCGCCTCCGCAAATTCACGTACAACATTGTCATAGTGGTCTGGGTTACTGGCCGGTCGGCGCAGTTTCTCTGGCAGGGGATATTTGCGCGCGTAGCGATTATTCAGCAGCGATTCAAGCGCGCTTGCGGAGGACTCGGAGATTGCTGGCTTGGTCTTATCTGCTGAATCAAGACGGGACTGGATGTAGGTTTGAACTGAGACAGAGGCTGGACGGACAGCATCTGAGGGCCAGTGCTTGAGGAGGTGTTGGAGGCGGCTTTGGAGGGAGCGCGGGTTAAGGGTCTAGATGAGTTGTTAGGGTATTAATTGGGATTGGATGTTGGGGCCTTTCGAGGGCCGTATGTAGATTGAGGTGATGGCATGGATACTCACTGGTGCTTTAGACATGATGAACAGGAGATATCACAAGATAATTGTGATCTAGGGGACGGATATCTTCAGTGGAGAGCTTTCGAAAGTTGAGGCGAAGACGGGATCAGTCTATTTTGGCCTGGCGCATCAGGCATCAAGCAGCCACATCCATTCCTGTTGCCTTCGTATCAACCCTGACATCTCCCCCATCCCCCTGTACTCTCGTTATCTCATTTTTGCATTCCAACCTAAGTTCTTTCTTGTCTTATTTTCCTTTCTGTTTCTCTTGATCGCTCCCCGCTCAGCTCGCCATGAGCTCGCAGCGCTATTCACGGGTACGCCTCCCCCTCCCGGTGATCTCATATATCGGAATCCTTCCCCCCCGGATATGGGTCCTCGGCATGATACTGATCTCTTTTTGTTTAGGTGAATGCCCATGATGAAGAGGACGGGTCACATTCTTATCCGCTAAACGCGCGATCCGAATACAACTCTTCTGCGCCTCCTTTCCGTTCTGGGTCTCGCTCATCCTCGCCGTCGTCGAGGCGGTTATTACACGATGATCCGCTGCACAATAATGATGAACAAACACTGGCTGACGCCTTCGGGGACGAAGACGCCTCCGATGATGACAATGAACCGGATGATAGACAGCGCTTGATGCGAGCTGACCCCGAGTTCCGGGCTCCCCCGGATAACACCCATATCGCCACTGCATCCTCATCGGAGACGAGGGTGGATGTGCAAGATCCGACTCGCACGGGACTTCTCAGGCGGCCAACGATATTACCAACTTTCACAGCACCCACGTCTGGAGGGAGCCGGCAGATCGCCCCGTCTAATGATGGAGTCTTTGCCAATCTTGCTGCCAAACCAGAACGGGGCGAGAAGAATGAGGATCTTCCTCCTGTAAGTCGACAATCAAGAATTGATATTTTTTTGATCTACTTGGAAGACCCGATTGCTGATGCCCCATACAGTCATACGAAGAAGCCGCCGCTGATGCGACACCCCCGTATTGGGAGACTACGATTGTGGCTCCTGGCATCTCCTCCGACGAGGTCTACGTCGATGGACTACCCGTTGGCTCTGTTTTCTCCTTTATCTGGAACGCCATGATCTCAATGTCCTTCCAGCTTGTTGGCTTCTTGCTGACCTATCTCCTCCATACCACACACGCCGCAAAGAACGGCAGCCGAGCCGGTCTCGGTCTTACTCTTGTTCAATACGGCTTTTATATGAAAGGTGGCACTGATAGCTCCGGTTCTGAAGGTGGGGGCTCAGATTACGTTCCTCCACCTGATCCCAACAGCCACAACTTCGACCCAAACTCAGTTGGCGAGAGCGGAGGCGATGGAGGGAGCGGTGCTATCTCTGGTATCACCACAAGCGAATGGATTTCGTATGTCCTCATGATTGTTGGCTGGTTCATTTTGATTCGTGCGGTCAGCGACTTCCTGCGAGCACGACGTCATGAACAGCTCGTGTTGCAGAGCCCAGATCGGGGTCTGGGTGTACCAGTCATCGCAGAAGGCGAGCGGTCCGAGACCGTTGTCTAATACCAGTATACACGATGTTTTCCCTTTTTTTTTCGGGTTATGGACATGATAGGAAATGTCCGGCGTTGCAGCATGGAGTTCTTTTTGTATCGACACCCCCTGGAGTATTGCCTCCGGATTGCATTCCTTGAACCTTCTTTTTCTTCTTCCTTCACCTTTTCACTTCTTTCACAGACCACTCGACTTTTATTTCTGATCGTGTAACTATTTCGAAGATACCAACATATTTGAACACCACAATTTGGGCTGTAGATCGCAACGTAATCAAGGCCATAGTTAGGGTCTGCACACGTTGGCCACGCACTGCGCCACAATAGGCAGCATTATATCGGATCTCTTTGGCCTGGCATTCCTTTGACTCTCTGTGAAACTGTATCGGTTTACTCTGAAAGCCAAGCAGAATGCAAAAATAAACAGGGTGCTCTGGCGGAATGACCAACTCCGCTTACTGCCGAGGGCCCCATTGTTTATTTGCTTCCAACCTCGACTCTTCAACACCACAATACCGGCCTTGCTATCTGCGTTTTTGTCGGGCCCGGTGGATCGCGGCCCTGTCCGCCATGACTACTGTCCCTCAGGGTCCTGTTGAAGCGCGCTCATTGTCGACGATCACCGCTATCGCATCGAATCCCCCCGCCTACCCACGCAATCCCACCCACGAGAAGCACGAGCCGCTATCTCTATACATTGTGCGCGTGCCCGGGAGTAAAGGTATGCATCAATACCAATTCCAGTCTCTCAATTAAACTATCTATTTTTCTGCTTGGGAAGTCCATTGCTCTGACTTATCGGGCTCGCTTTAATATTCAGTGAAGATAAGCCGCAACTAACTGCTGCCTACGAGTATATTATAGACATTTTCCTCTCACCTCTCAAACCACCAACCAAATTCAGTGTCTCTGCCGAGGCGATCAACGCTTCTCTTTATTATCTCCATGTTGCGACTCCTGAGGATGATGCACTCCTCCAGCAAGTGGAGGCAGAGCGCGAGGAGGAGGCCCAGTTGCGCAAGGAGCGCCTCGAGAAAGCGGGCGCTGACGACCCGGCGCAGCGCGAATTCGCTCGATTGAATAATGTACGCCGTAAACCAGTCGGTGGGAAAGAAGATGTGAAACCCGAGTCTTTGTCCACATCGTCTCAAGAGGATGTTGCTGCCCCTCCAGCACCTCCAGCACCTCCAGCACCTCCAGCTCTTCCAGCCCGACCAGTCCCTCCAGTTCCTCCCGCTTTGCCTCCGCGCCCAATGACTATGCCACAAGCCTCAGCAGAGAATGTATCTTTCTCTGGGGTTCCAGTCACCATTGCACAGCCCCCCTTGAACAGTTATATGCCCGATGGAGTGTCGCTAGAATTGGGCGCTGAGGCTGCTACCCCACGACGAGCTTTACCCCCGCTGCCACCCGGTGAAGAGCCATGGACCAATGCCGCAGCAGCTGAGGATTCGGCTAAGAGGGCATCCCGATGGGGCGCATTTGCTGGACATCTGGAAAATCAGAAAGAGAACTGGAAGGGGAAGTATGAGGCGCTGTCGGCTGGCCGCAGTAGCCTTGACTCTCCCAGGCCGCAATTGCGGCCTCATTCTTCACATGGTCGTACCGGATCACCACTTGGAAGCCCTGGGCAGTCTCCCAATCGGCGTAGAGATGCCTGTGGGAATTCTTCTAGCAATCCTGGCTTTCATATCACGCTCATTAGACGTGATCCAACATCTGGTACACAGTGGAACGTGGCAACTATATCAACTCCACACATGGATCGCAACACTGTTGATATTGAGGTCTCCACTCCGGGATACAACAGATTCACGGGCTCCAATGATTTCCCGTCGTTGTCCAACCTGGCAGTCAATCTCCCCACGGGGATAGGACGCTTACCTACCTCTGCCCTTCCCCAGTCATTAGCCACCGAGCAACCGAAGGAGCAGCAATCCGGACCACGCAAATTCCAACGCCAGCTCTGCGTATCAAAGCCCTTTGGCGAATCCGCTGATTATAATAATGGCTACGCCTCACTGAAAAGCGGCTACTACGTCTTCACCTCTCCTTGGAACGGCACCTGCACCTTCGCAAGCAGCGTAAATGGCCGAAGCCTCAAATGCAAACATATGATCCCAACGCCCGGTGGTTTTGATCCATCAACCGGCGAAGCTGAAATACCTCCCGCCGTCACCGTCGCCGAGCTTCGCTTCAACACTCCATTCCAAGCAGCGAATCTGCACTCTCACGCCCACCACGCAGCTAACAAGCCCCATCCAAACCACATCTCCCCCTTCACTCAAAGTCAAATTCAAACCCACTCTCTCCCCCGCGGGAATGACTCCACCGACAACACCAGCCCGGACGGGACGCCCCAGCAGTCCTCCAACTACACCGGCGGAAAGCGCACCTCTTTCTCCAATTTGCTAAATCCGAACAACTACGCCAGGCCCCGTGCACAGTCAGGTCCAGGCTCAACGCCTCCGAACCCTGCCTGGACCGCAGACCAGCGGGCAAACTTCAACCCTTCAGACCTCCTCCGCAGAACCTCTCTGCGCGCACACCGCTTTGCGCGCCAGAGCCAATTATATACCGCTTCCCGGTCTCACCACCGCAGTACAAGTAACAGCAGCGGAGGAGATCTGGAGTATGATTCTGATGAAGATCGGTTGGACTTTTCACTTGCAAGGGAGCCGGCTGGTGGTGGGTTACGAGGAAAGAGTGCTAAGCTGGGCAAGTTGGTGATTGAAGACGAGGGTATTAAAATGCTTGATCTTGTTGTTGCGGCTTGTATGGCTGTTTGGTGGAGGGGGTATTATTATTGAGCTGTTTCCATCTTGGTCTTGGGTCTCGATGGGCATTTTTTAATTTAGCGATCATGTTCGCCATATACCTAGCATTGACACGAATTCATGAGTTTCATTCCCCTTTTTACATATCTCTTCTTTTTTATGTTTATCTGTTGAGTACGGCGATGGGTGAGATGGTCTTTGTATAGAGCTACCTGCGACTAACTCGTTGCGGTCTAGTCGCGTGGTTTCCGGCTCAACTTTATTTTGAGTGCCGTTTTGGATCTGACCTTTGATCTGACGTCGGTGTCTTATATCACTTAGTCTTGTTCCATTCTGACTGCCATATACTCCGTACTACCACTTGCTTATCCCGTTCTCGTTCCTTGGCTTCACATCTCTGTCTCTCCGTCAGTCCAATAACACATCCTTAGAGGGCTGGAAGCTCGATGACAATACACGTTCTAGGTGGGATATCCCCTGGACATGTTTCTCAACCTCATGTTTAGATATAAAATTCCATATTCAGGCACCAATCCAAGATCTGTCGTAATGATATGTATAGCATTTCCAGCATTCTATCTTCGACCAGGACAAAGACAAAAAACATAGAAGACCCCCATGTGACATATACAAACCCAGACAATATCTAACAACCCTCATCTATAACATCCGCATATTTCATAAACTCCTCATCCGTCTTAAACATATCCAGCTCCTCCCTGTGCGTCCCCAAAACCAGCTCCACGCCCCCATCCTTCCTCAAGGGAAAGATAGCCAAGAAGCGAAAACGACCAGCCCCACGCTCCAACTGCGGCCGAATCGACTCAAGCAACCCCCCATTCGCGAAAAGCCCAGTCCCAAACCGAATCTCATCAACAGGGAACATCATCTTATTAGAAATCATAGCATGCATATGCTCAAGCCCCATATTCGCAGTCGAAAACCTGCTATGATCGGGGAGTGACTGTAGGATCGTGAACGCGTCGTGCACAACCGAGGGAGTGATACGGGCAGCAGATTGGCGGAGCAGATACGCCACGCGTCCGATGGTCGTCTCGGAAGAGCAGAGGTCGTTGATGGGCATACTGCACCGGTTCAGGATGAGCATGCTGCCCATGTATGTTGATGGTAGTTGGGAGGAGAAATAGGGCCGTCCGTCGATGGGAAGCTCGAGAATTGATTCCTCGTCTTGTGTGAATGTTTGCTTGCGGATTTCGGTTGCGACGCGGTAGCGGGCTTTGATTGCGGCGCGCCAGAAGAAGGCTTGTAGGATGTCGCTGGTTGATTTGATTATTCCTTTGGCTTCGGGGTCGGATAGTACTTCTTGCTTCATCTTTTCTACTTTCTCGGATGGGATGAGGAACATTGTTGTCTTGAGACGTCTTTCGGCGTGGGGTAGTGGCCAGATTGGGTGGAGGGGGAATTTGTGTCGGGGAGGTAGAGATGCTTCCTTTGAAGACTTCTCGAGGGTGAGGGATTGAGTTTCGGTGGTTTTTGTCGCGGGGCTGTTGATCTGGTCTTCTTCTTCTGGAGGGTGGAAGGGCAGGAAGTTCCATGTGCCAGGGTCGATTTCGTGAAGTGGTCGGGTCCAGCCTTCGTGCTGGTGGATGATCTCTGGCAAGCTGTGGTTGAAACTTTCTGGGTCATACCAGTCGCATGTTGCGGACTTATCGCCTTGAAGATATCTGCAGTTCTCGGCCCAGGCCTTGAGAGCGACCATGACACCGAGTCCGTCTAGACATGTATGATTCAGTTCAACTGCGAGGATACAACCGCCAGAGACGAAGTTGGCTTGTCCGACAAAGATATCAGCCGGTAACTTGGGAAATGGATCATCCCTCAGCACAAGATCGTCCTTGAAGGCAGACGGTGCAAAGCCTCCATCGCGCAACTTATCAAATGAAGGGAGGACTTTAGAGAGGTCCTTGTAGACAAGACGATTGTAGGCAGAGCTTGCCGCAGCTAAAGGTGGGATTGTGACGCAGAGATCTCCCTTAGTGTATCCAATCTCTTGCTCCGAGCAGTTCATTATCTTGCCACTGAGAGCCGGGATTAGATCAAACGTGCGGTTTAGACCCTCCTGCAAGTTTCTAAATGTATCTTCGAAACTGACGCCGTCCTGAAGTGAGAAGTAGAGAACCATTCCCATGCCGTGGTTTGGGTTGACATAGTCGAATGCATTCAAGCGGAATGATTGCCTTGCCTTGTGTTGAGCAATCATGCTATTCAACTTGGTCTTTTCATCACTGGCAGGGTGATCAGAAGAACCCTTTTTGTTTGCAATCTCTGCTTCAGCCACTAAAGATTCTATAGTAGCAGTGAGCTTGGCAATCGTAGGACTGGCGTAGATATGACGAGGGCCGATCTGGTCAGTTAGCCCTGTAGATGCTCTGATCATCTTGACGATTGCAAAAACACCGAGGGAATCTAGCCCTAGAGCAAAGATATCCGCATCTAGGGAAGCTTCTTGGGCCTCGGGAAGTGAAGATGCGAGAGTTTTGCGAATGCAGTCTTGAATTGAACTGGTTGAGCTCATGTCCAGGGTAACGATATTATCTGGATCATCATCACGAGAGCTGTAGAAGCGCTCAATGTAGTCTGCGTAGAGCTTCAGGGTAGCCGGCCGTTTCACAGTGCCCTTGTCTGTGCGGTAAAAGGGCATCTCGGGGTTTGCGAAGGTGATGAAGTCCTTGAGTAGCTGGTTCTTGTGTCTGGACATAGAATTGGCCTTCTTGACCGTTTCCCAAATGCTGTCTAGAAGTTCTTCCGTCTTTTCAGATGAGTCTTTCAACTCAATAAGAAGACCTGCTTGAGGCTTTCCGGTTCCGAAAATGAGGCAACCATTGATAGCAGGGTGAGTGGTGACAAAAGCTTCTGTTTCCAAGGGCGATATCTTATATCCGTTGGAAAGGACGACAAGATCATCGCTTCTTCCTTTGAAAGCCCACAGATTAGGCTTGGTGGGATGTTGCATGTACAAATCCTTCAAGTTGATTGACGACTCATCTGGGAAGGTCTGGAAGATGCCCTGGAATAGGGACCAGTGCTCGTTGCGGTGCACCCAATGCTCATATGTGCCCTCCTCTACTTCCCTGAACTCAAAGCCAGCGTAGGGATGGAAGCAAAACCAGAACCAATCTTCTCTTGGTGTGATGAGATTGCCAATAAACAGACCCTCTGTGGTACCGGTCAGGTTGAGAACTCTTATCACCTCATTTACCTTGCCAGCACTGACAGGGCTCACCGGGCCGCCAGATGCACAGATGAATTTGGATGGCTCCAACTTTGATAATACGTGAGGCGTTTCACCCAACTCGTCGACAAGCGACGGTACCATGCTCCAGATATCGATGCTGGCATGTTCTGCAAGGCTTTCCACAAGGTTGATATTTGGTGAAACACCTACTGGCCCCAGAACGCAGTGCAGATTGAAGAATGCGGGCATCAAAATGTCCATAATTATTCCCGCCCCCTATCGTCACTTCAGTCAGTCTTGGCTTCTCATAGCACAAAGGATGATAAAATTATTCACGTACATGGCTCATGGGGAAAGAAGAATAGATTTTATCTCCTTCTTTCCAGTCGGATGTCCATGGGAGCAGGCCATCATCACCGTTGACAGGTGGTAGCAGTCGCACTGCATCCATAGTACCGATCAGTGCGTGAGACCATGAAATGGGCTTCGGAACTCCCGTAGACCCAGACGTATGAAGTATACAGAATGGGTCATTCTTGGCCTCTCCGAATGTCTTCGTATAAGGGAAAGGCTCGGTTAACGTAGCGTCGAGAAGCTCATCCAGGACAGGGAGCTGCAAAAGGTTCATGGAGCGTTTCTCCAGGATCTCATCCACTAGAGGTACTGGAGGTACATCGCTGGCATTGACCCATATATTGCAATTAGTTGTCTCTAGGACAGCGAGTGCTCCTTCCGTGTTGTTTTTGGGTGACAAGAACAAAGCCTGCGGGAGAAATTTCTATGTTAGCCTGCGAAGACAACTTGTGCAATGTGATGTATGGATATGATTACCGTGTAGCCAGCCTTGATGCATGCGTAGGTGAGCAAAACGTGTCTCAGATCATCTTTGTAAGTCATCACAGTTAGTATAGCTGGTTCAGATAAGAGTTAGTGTCCGGGTTACTCATTCTGCCCTACTTACGAGGTCCAATATATCCCACAGGCTGGATCGAGTCAGATTTGCCAACCTGATTTCGAAGCCACCAAGCAGTCTTGTCAATGGCCTGTGTGAAGACCTGCGCGGTGATATGCTTGAAATCCAACGAATCGCCGACAGATGTCGCTAGAGAAAAGACGATACTCTCTGGCTCGGCAGCCGCCAACCTGTCCATTATTTGAGGAAGAAGTCTCTCGCCATAGGACATCGAAGCGGCCTCATAGGGCTGTTCTGACAATGTAAGAATGGTTGGGATCTTTTCAGAAGATATTCCTAAGCCGCTCAACTCATTGGGAGGGGAGGCTATCTCTTGGGTAGTGACCGTTCCTGTGCTCCCGGCAGACGAAAAGAGGGAGACGTTGCCAGGCGATGGAATAGCAGGTGTGAGGCTGGGAGTGTTGTATGCTTTGCTGAGATATCCACTGACGCTGAGTGGTCTGGCCTTTTGAAGGTAGCTTGCTGTTGCTTCAGTGATAGCGAGAGTATCTCCATCTTGTCGACTTTCCATGAAATGACTGGGTCGGCCATCAACGTACACGATCTCCAGTCTATTGTCGTTTCGGAAATCTTCCATGGGAGCGCTGACCCACTCTCCAGTCGCTAAGTGAGCAACGCTGCAGTGCCATGGAGTTGTGAACCCAGTCTTTGTGTTTAGCAAACTGATGGACAGTTTATTTCCGGCCATCGATTCGTGGATGGAAAGCCGCACGTGGTTTGGGTAGGCGTTCTTGACGGCTCCTGCAAAGGCCTGGGAATAGATTGTCAGAGACCAGGTCAATTGCTTTAGATAGCCACAGTAACCACTCACATATCCTCTGATCAGCATCTGTTTGGCAAGATACTTGCAATCGCGCCTGTAGCTATTGGCACTCCGATTTGCTCCACGTGGAAAGATGTGCTTCAAATCCGATTCCAAGAACCTCTTGTACCCGAGGAAGGTCAACTTTGTGTCAGGATTTGTGCGGATTTCGTAGTCGATGTCGAGGTCTTCTTTTCCATATTTATTGAAGAGCAATCGCCGAAATGTGGTGCAATTAGCAACGTAGACTATCTCGCTGATCTTTTCTGGCATGGGGAATTCGAGCAGATCTTTTAGTCTAGAGAAGGAAATGAAATCAAACTTGTTTTGAATGGCCATCTTGCGTAGAGCTTCCCCGTACGCCCATGTCTCCTGGTCGGAGATACACAACAGATCTGAATCCCCAGGCTAGGTTAACCACAATCTGTCCAATTCTTCGAAACATCCCCAGATAGTTAGGATGCCAGGGTTGTAGACGTACCATTGTATGTTATGCCATCTGAGATGATGGTGACCGCGGCACCAGGTGGGTATATTTGCTGTATGCGCAAGCACATAGTATTCAACCGATCGAGGGCTAGCTCTTCAGCTTTATCTGGTAGGCTGCCGAGGACTTTGAAGACCTTGTTTGCAGACTTGAACGGGAAAGCTGGGAGGCATGCCTGTACTCGTCTCCCTGTCATGACGAATTCATCGATGACCGGGAGGAAGTGACTCTTAAGCCCTTCCAACCGGTCACTCGCGTCATCAAACTTCTTGAGCGCATACTCGAGGATGATGTCCAAGATACGACGGGAGATCTCCCGAGCTTCCTCCTTCGTCTGTAAAGTGTCGGCCAAAGACCTTTTTCTTTTTTGCTTTTTTTTCCAGGATCACTCACATGACTTTCTGCAGATTTGAGATGCATAATAGCATCATGGTCATATTCTCCGTCGGTGGAATGCATGTCTACTGAGTGTGCGGAGTAGCAGAGAAAGTATATATTGAGGGCTAGGTCGTCGGTATAATGATATATTAAAGGGCTGAACTGTAGGTATCACGTTTGGGTCAAATAAAGCAGGTGGAATGAAGAACGATGGATTGATGAGGCATAGGGTGCTTTTAAACCGACCAAGAATCAAGTTCGACGGTACGAGGAAGCCACAAGGAGCCAACTCGAAAATAGCGATGTGGTACCAGGGGAACTATAGCCCCATGATGGCAGTCCTGCGTCGCATTTCCCATTTTCAGGCATCCAAAGGCTGGGGTATACGAGGATAGTACATGCATTCGATGCCCACCAGTGAATCAGGGCTTATTGCCATGTGCGACAGTGGAGATAGAATGCGCATGAGACCCAAACAGGCATATTCGAGACAATGATTAGCACATTCGAGGCCAATTGCAGGTCGAATAGGAAACATAGCCTTTATAGCTGAGACCCACGGTCTTCGTATGAGGCTGAGCCAAGTCTCATCTGGTCGAAGCAAAAGTAGAATATGATGCATCTTACTCTATAAATACAGACCTGTCGTCCTGCCAGGTCACTTTCTTGCTTGGCATGTTGGTTTGACTCAAAATCAATTGGTGTATGTACGGAGTACTCCATACTATGTACATGACGATCTTAGATACGAATCCGGTTTGTCCGAAAAAGAAAGAAAACATTCCAAACACGGAGTTGTTTTGCGAGATGAACACTCAATAGCAGAAGTATGGAACAGATGACACGAAGGTCAATACATGCCATACTGGACTTGGGTTCCATTGGACAATATTATATGGTGGACATTTGATCCAGTACACCGCAGACATGCCTAACTCGCTTCTCTTCTTCAAATTTATCTCTACCGATGAGTTAACTTCCTCCAACAATCTTCATTCTTAGATGACAATAGCAAAATAGAGCATGATGGATTTCTCAAGGATCAGCACAGCACTGCCTATAGTTCTGAATACGGTGTCTTTCATGCTGGCTCCCTCTTTCTCTAAGATCACAGACTCCTTCATCCACTCCTATACGATTAGTGATGTAGCCTCTCGTTTCGCTGCAGCCCATTTTGTAAAAAATGACAATATGCCCAGGTGCCTAGTTTATCCGTCTTGTCATCCATTATCGCCAAACTACAGTTCTGTACATTTGAGTTCCTCGCCTATCCTCCCTCCATCAGCCTATAGCTACGGCTGAACCTACAGCGAATGATCAACCACGCGATCGGATCTTATTCTGAAACATGCACTTAGCTTGGACTCGAAACTTCTATTATGTGCCCGAGCTTCGGGTTTTCCTACAGGGCTGCATCCTGGACACCTTGATGGTCCTCTCTGTCTCATGATTGCATCCACATGTCAAACACATTCCATTTCTTATTCACCTGAAGTTCGCCCCTTCAAGCCCAACTTATTCTAGAAACGAGCATCTCTAGGCCCCCACAGTTTTCATAGGTCTCTAATCAACCTTGGAAGATATTCCGTACTAATGTCAAAGTTAGGTGTGTTTTAGCGTACATCCATGGACTGTAGCGTTCACACCAAGATGGCCTTTGGGCTATGTGATTGGTTGATCTATGAAGCCCCGCCTTATTCAGCAATGATCTATGGACATAACAGGTCAAGTTGTTGAGCCCTCTATCACCACGACTCACGAGTCCACGGTTTAAGGCCACCAAAGTCATATTCCGACTTCCAGTCAGCAATTGGAGGAAGAATACCTAGATATACTTATGATAAGACTACATTACAGACATCTGGATATGTCATAATGGCGCAGGGATGGGGTTCATGCATGGAGACCCTATATGCACTGATGTACGTCGACCGATGTGGGTGGGAGATCACTCTCTTTGAATCCACTACACCGCCCAGGCCACACTCGAAAGATACATAGAGAGGTACCCAGTACCTCTCTCAATTGATTGACATCGATTTTGTTTTCTTTTTCTTTCTTTTTTGGAGAAGGCTCTACACGTCGATCGCAGCTCTAAAAATATGTTATCGCCCTGCTTAGTGCTATGATTAGCAAGCGCTGTCATGACTCATGCGGGCTGGCGAATGATTCTAGTCTTTTCTCATCTTTCATTCACCACATTACTGAACATGGTGCTTCTATCGGGCAGAGGGGCAGAGGATGTGGAACCGTCGCGGGTCTTTTGTCGACATGAGTGGGCCCGCTCGTGGTGTTGCCTCTGTTCTTGCATGTATCTAGCAGGCTGTCTCTCCTGTTTGTAGTGCCTTAGGAACTGGTATTGTTGTCGGTGGCCGATTGAGAAACTAGAGACAGATATTCTGATGACGGGATATATTGGCTAACAACATTGAATCTATGTAATGAAGAACCTAAACTTACCGCATGATATTTCGACCCGGAAAAGGACAATGATCCATGAAACTGGGGAGGTGGTAAAGAATACAGCGAAAACGCAGACCAAATCAAAGAAGAGACGCAGACGCAGACACAGACACAGACACGACCCAAGCCATGAAGTCCGGCGAGAGAGCAGACCGCAGGCAAACGGAGCGGAGGAATTCATGCCCACGATTGGAATTCAGATGAAAAGTGAAAGAACAAAAAACCCATGTAAATCGACCCAGTCTTTTTGTTTCTCTGATGGTATCTCTTGGCTAAATTAGATCAACATGCAGGGCGCGAGAAAAGACACGATCAGGTTTAACACGCCGAACAACCAAGACAAGAAAGGAAAGGAACAGAAATATCAACGGTGATGCACATCCATGCCGCGCTGCAGCGAGGATTCCAAGTCATTAGGGTTGTAACCACCGCCAGCGGTAGCCTCCTGAGGTCTAGGATCCTCAGTCTTCCAAGAGCCCTGTTGGTTCTCCGGGATGGGGACGTTAGTCTGTTGGGCGATCTGCTGCTGCTGGGCAGCGTGGGCCTGCGATTGCTGACGGACAGTAGCGCGGAAGCGAATGACCTCATCGAGGATCATCTTGCGCATTTCCGGAACTTCATCGACGACCTCGAAGTGGAAGTCGAAGGTCGTTGGGCAGTTCGGCTCGTCAGAGGCGTCGTGCCAGATGTGCAGGTAGGGGTGCTCGAGAGCCTCCTCGACGGAGATACGCGACGATGGATCGAATGCCAGCATGCGATCCAGCAGGTCCAACGCATCCGGGTTAGCTTGCGGGAACAGCTGCTTGAACGCCACCTTCGGCATGAAGGGAAGGTTGCGCACGTATTCCTGTGCGCGGGGCGATCCAATGCGCGCCAGAGTTTCTTCGTTAGGTGTACCCAGGTAGTGCAAAATCTGGTTCAACTGGTCAACATAGTCGCGGCCCTTAAAGAAGGGTCTGCCACCGAGGAGTTCGGCGAGGATGCAGCCCACGGACCAAACGTCAACTGCAGATGTGGGGTTAGCGGGGATACTGTGGCAAAATTATGCAAAAAGTTACGTACTGGCTTTGGTGTAGCTCTGGAAGCTCAGCATGATCTCCGGTGCACGGTACCATCTCGTCGCGACGTATTCAGTCATATACCCCGCGTTCTCCTCCGGATCGATCGAGAAACCACGGGCCAGGCCGAAGTCGCAGATCTTGAGCTCACAGTCCGCATTGACCAGCAGGTTACCGGGTTTCAGATCACGGTGCAGAACGTTCGCCGAGTGAATATACTTGAGACCGCAGAGGATCTGGTAGATGAAGGACTGGAAGTGGGCATCAGTCAAAGGCTGACCGGAGCGGATGATGGCAGCCAGGTCGCATTCCATCAATTCTGCAGGTTTATCAATATTCGGTCGCTTCGAGGCAAATGCAAGCAGAGCACCTACCCTCATAGAGATATGTTTCGTTGAAGTTTTCCGGTCGGGGAATATCCATATCGTAGAGGCATGTGATCTGGGAAGGTGGGCTTAGCGGCTGAAGGCATTGTTGAGGATGAGCTGCAGCCTACATTGCGATGACCGCGGAAATGCTGGAGCAGCTTAATTTCACGGAGGGCGCGCTTGGCCAGAATCTTCTTGCTGAAGACATTGGTCACCTTCTTAATGGCGACACCTTCGCCGGTCTGGACGTTGGTAGCCGCACTTCGTTCTACCATCAGCACGTGTCCAACCAGTATGATCCGCCGGAATGAAGACCTACCACACGATACCGTAGGCACCTTGGCCGAGCTCCTTCGTCACATTGTATTGCTCGTTCACGATAAAGTCTTGGTTGAAAACCTTGAAGACCTTGCGACCTTGTAAATCAGCCATGACGAGTTGTCGCGTCGGAGAGTGGAGTGTTGGAGGCGAGACAGGAGGAAAATGGAATGAACGAGGGTCCAGGGTCTTTAAAAGGCAAAAGGAGAGAGGTTGAAGAGGAAAAAAAGGGTGAAGGGTCGAGAAGTGTGATGGGATTCAGCCCCGCAGTCTCCGCGGGTGATCCGCCACGCGAAAGTGCTAAGTCCACTGCTTTGGCTTTGGCTGCTGTTGGCTTTGAAGGAATCGGGTCTTCCAAAGAACTGCTGATTTTAAATAGATCTGAAAGAACCCCAGTAGCGGCGAATTCTTGGATTTTCCAAAAAAATTTGATTGATGTCACTGTGAAAGGGGGAAGATAGAGCCTATTTCATTGTATACTGTCTCCATACAGACTACATACTGCCGGTTGCATATCTATCAAAGTATCTAACCTCCTCTCTAGCATCTTGATCTCTGTATATAGCCTCGCGGCCAACAAAGAGACTCGAAAAAACATCGAACAAAGACAGAGCGGGGCTGAAACCTGGGAGTGTTTCAGGGACGCGGTGCCAATCCTTATATTGGTACTGCAGGTGTCATGTCAGATTGGCCTGTGCATCATACTTGTAGAGACCACACTGCAGTAGGGCGAGCAGAAAACCAAAAAAACACCTCAAATCAGGTCAGATTCAAGGAGAAGACTCGATAGGAAGATCTGATCCAGGGGAAATCAAGGACTTCAAACGAATCGAGGTCCGATCGTTACTCCGATAAAATGCTTCTATGTCAATTAGGGCAGTCCAGATGCATTCTACCTACGTACATGGCACTTTTTATGAATCAGTAACGCATTTCAACCTCCACACGGCATTCTCCTACTGTAGTTCCTTCTATAGGGACTTGACCTTAGCCTCTAACTCGAACGCACCATAATACTCCAATTCAACAATTTTCAGTCTCAGTCTGAAGCTTCTAAAATCAGAATTGTCCCACGGGTGTATTGGTAGACATCGATTTATGCGTAAAGAACAAGACGATTTCCTCCAAGGCCATCTTACGAAAGCCTTGCCTTTTTATTCGAACTCAAGGGGGGAAGTAATCTTCCAGGGTACGCTTACGCTTTCTCGCGCACACCTCGATGGATCCTGGCCGAAGATCCCACTCGTGCGAAGGATTACAAAGATCGATAAATAGCTTTGTCATCAGTGCTAGTTGCTTGGCGTCGATGAGGGCATGGTGGTTACGCCCCGAGAGAGGGTGGTCTTCTCCAAAGAGCAGTGGAAACACCAAAGATAGGCGTAGAGGAAATCTTCTTCCTTGAAAGCAGGTAGTGCCAAGAATTCTCTTCAGGTTGAGGCGAAATTCTTCAAGTATCAAGCAGAGATTTTCATCTCCAGGCAGAACGTCTTCAAACCCTTCTTGTTCCAGCCAGTCTCTTAAATGAGACAGGTCAAAAGCCCAAGTCCCCCAAGACAAAAAACTGGTTTTGTTGGAAATACCGGCTTCTTGGAGTTTTTCAACGACCTTCTTTGCACCGAGGGTCCCATGCAGCGACCAAGATCTGCGGGTGTTCTTTTCGTGATTCTTCTGGCGCCAAGTGGCCGGTGCAGAGAGGCGCGATGAGGGAGGAGCGGTTATCCCTTTACTATATCTCGTAAGACAGTCGAGTACCCGGTTCCCTTCTAGATCAACGATGGAATATCCTTTTCCGGAGTTGGCCTACCACCATGATCATTTTTTGACATGGCGTTTGGCATTGGATTCATCTGTAAACGTTACGGTGCATCCTAGCTCTTCTGCCCGTGGACATGGATGACGTGGTGGTGCCATTGATGTTGGATCAATGTGATTGGGGGGGTGCTGAAGGGGTTGAGAGCTCAGCAAAGTGAGCAGTGGGATGATGCTGGTGAAGCCCAAAATAGATAGAGGAATAAGAGCGAAGTGCACGAGGCTATTGAGTAATCTATGAAAGCGTGCTGCAAGAACAGGAGCGAGGTGGATACGGAGAGAGGCCATATTATAGATAGTAAACAATTCTATGGAGGTAGCCTACATCTTCATCTCAACAGAAGGTGTAATGTCTCGGGTGATGTATGAGATATCTGGGTTGAAAGAAGCCGGAACACGCAAATTGAAACATTATAGTCTACAACAGCGGGGATAGACGTTGCCAGACTCCTAACAGAATAATGAAATAACGAAGAAATTATATGTCATGCTAAAAGTGCGGAAGATCGAGGTACTATGCAAAGGACTACTGTAGCTGTCGCAAGCTTAACGGCCAAGGCCCGCTTGGCTTAAGACTATAAGAGTCAGGAAACCTATATAATGACTCTATGTCACTTAACAATCTTAATGGATGGAGGGGTGGGAGGTATAGGTGTTGAGATTTCCTAGCTCGTCTCAAACTGGCCTCGGAAGGACAACTGCTTTATAGAGATAAAGAGATAAGAACCAGTGTGTCGGAGCGTAACTATAGGGACAAAGCAATCTGCAAGATGAATGAGTGACACTGAAACCATGGTCTATAGCCATAGGAGACTGCTTAATATCTTATGGATTAATAAAGGATATAGAATAAGAGACAAACAGCTTATATGTTTCTGATATGAGAAGCTGAAAAGGAGCCGAGATGAAGCTAATATGATAGATTGAGAGTTTATAAACTCACGTATCTAGGAAACTGAAAGGAAATGAGATAATCCATAGAGAGTTAACGGGCTCACTTGTGTGAGATAATGAGTTAAATATGTCTTATTTGCTAGGCAGGCGTAACTACGACAAAGCCCGAGATACTCTCCACGATCACCGCAATGGAAAGACTCACAAACGGCAAGGATAGAGAGCCCGGCACCAGACTGCTGCAAGACACTGAGGAGCATCGACTGGACCACACTGATGCCAACGAGCTGCCTAGCCGCAGCCCCCGGTGCCAGGCGATCTGGCAGCTGCATTTAGCTGCATACCCTCCACGGAGGATTTAGCAGCGGTTAGAAAGCTTCTACAGAGGCTCATCGCCAACTGGAAGGCAGTAGCGAGCAGGAAGTGGCGAAACGCTCTCGAAGTCTATTTCATCCTGTCCCTACAGCCACAACTACTCCTGCAGGCACCATTATTTAAATGAATCTTCTTTCACCGCCACTTCTGTTTCTGTTTCATCCCTCGGCCAAAGGCGGCCGTCGTTTTCGAGGGCGGCACATGTGCCGATATCCTAGGTACGCGTTGTGCATCGGCAGGTCGATGGAAAACCTCACATTTGCGTGGCCGTGAACTTACAAGTCTTGAACAAGGATATCGATCGAGGCTTGTACCTTGCTTCGGCAGAAAGATATCCTCCGATTTGTGAGCGGAGCGAAATTTCTCTCAGCCATCGATGCTGCGCAATTCTTTTCTCAATGGACTGTGCATCCCGATTATTGGCACAAATTGGCCGTGGATTCGCATAGAGAGCAAAAATCCTTTTACGGTGGCCCTGATAGGCTACTGTAACAGCCCGATTCATGCACAATGACAGGCTGAGCGAATTTTGAGAGTCCTAGATTTTCACGCGGTAGCAATGTGACTAGCGCTCCCCTTAGGGGATCTGGAGTCGCTAGAAGAATCGAAATGTTCCTCTTTTTCTGCTCCAAGCGTGACAGGTGGGAATGTTTTGAGTTAAACTCGCTGGGGCGAGATAATAGGATAGTGAGGCGGCGAAGGTGAGATGGCAGTGAGAGACATATTGATAAGATTGCGCCGGTTATATGCTGTTGTATGTGTGTATAAAATATGGTAGGAAGATGAGCCCTTTTGACATGGTAGTAGGAGCCTGTTTTCGGAGTATCACGGAGTATGTATGCCTCACATTGACAAGATGGTAGAATGATGAAAGAAACCCAAAGAATCAAAGAGTGTCACCTGCCCTTATCCATATATAGACATGCCTGTAGGTAGAAGCAGCTCTTCAAGCGTTATTTTTCTTCTACACGCTCAACCCTAGAAAGTATGAAGCTATTTGACTGTGATCAACCCTTCTTGGGCTTCATATGTGATGGCCTGCGGCGTCAGCCTTGCCTTCTCAGACTTGCTTGCCTTCTTTCGGATTCTTTGCCCCTCTCCCAGGTTGCTAGCCTGATAATTTCCTTTGTTTGCTATTCTTGATGCTACTCAGCCTGGCTGGGGTGTTGATATTTGATTGGCTTGCACATGGGAGAAATTATCATATAAGATCCCCAGGATCCCCCATTTGCTCTTTCTCTCTCTCCCTCCCTTTCCTTTCCCCATCTTTGCTTTTCTCGTCTTTGCACTTTTTCTCATTGATCAACTTGGCTCCTGGCATAGTAGTGAGGAAAAAATTAGGGCTACCTGGTATTCAATAATGATACTGCTCATCATACCTAGGTACGTGTGACAACCAGTCGTCGCCTGTCTTCTTCATTGCCTTATTTACCTCATCTCCCAGACTGATAGTTCCCTTTGCTTACTATTCTCAATACTACCAGGTACTAGACTTACTTGGGATGTGCCTTTTTGATTGACTTGCAATGATGGGGTAGTGTAAGACCCCCCATCTGCTCTTTCTCTATCTCTCTTTCTCTCCTTCCGCTCCCCATCTTGGCTTTTCTCCGTTTTGCACTCTTTTCCGTTGGAGATTGACCCGGCTCCTGACAATACGGGCCAAAGTGGCAGAGCTCCGAGAATGTCCTTCTAGGTGCTACCAGCAGGCTCAATTCGGCGGAAAAGAGTGCATTTCAGCTGGAATTCCGAGTGCAGGGAGGAAAAGAAAAGAGAAAGATAATCTGCAATAGAGTCCTTTATGTCGGGCCAGGGCTGCAAGCCAGGCAAGCCCTGCAACGTCTTTTCCGCCGAAAAGACACTTGCCATCTTTTTCGGCCGAATTCTCCCACAGCACAAGGCAGGCAGGCCAAGCACATCATTCTGTTGCAAGCCCTGCAACAACTTTTCCGCCGAAAAGACGCTTGCCATCTTTTTCGGCCGAATTCTCCCACAGTACAAGCAGGCCAAGCACGTCACTCTGCAGCGAGCACCATTCTCTGTAAGCTAGGCAACTCCTGCAAGCTCGCCACGCTCCTTCTAGCTCGTCACATTAGGGCGAAGTCACTAAGTCACTAAGCTTCAGAGAGGCCCATAGTGCTGCTGCTTTACCCGCCCAAGGGGAGCTCGCTGCGGTGATGCGAGGCTCAGTGGCTGAGCCCCTAAGATCACAGCTGCTCTACTATAGTCGGGGTATGTAGGTAGAATATTAGGCGGAGTTTGTGGAATCATAGAATAATCGCATGTACTTCATTTCACTTTTCGTAAATCGATAGCGAATATATCACCTACAGAGTGTTCTCCAACCTACGTGACTTGCGGAGGTCCTTAAGCTTAGCTCTCACCTCCTCAAGGCCTACCATGATTCCCTTTGCCTGGCTCGCAGGATCATCACGATTGCGAATGTTGACAGTGCGCGCCTCCTTCTCCTGGGCACCCACAACAAAGATGAAGTTATACTGGGCCAATTGGCCAGTGCGGATCTTCTTCTGCAGGGTGTTGCCGCTGGTGTCCACGTCCACATTCAACTTATCACCCTGCAGGATGCGCTGCAACTCCTCGGCGTAATCGTTCAGAACTGGCATGACCGGCACAATGAGGATCTGGCGCGGGCTGATCCAGAATGGCCACTTGCCGCCGAAGTGCTCAATCAAGATACCCAGGAATCGCTCAAAGCTACCAATAATAGCGCGGTGAATGACAACAGGGCGGGCACGGCCGAAAGGCAAGCCATCGGAATTAGCCTCGCCATCCTTTGTCTCTTCGCCGGCGCTCTTCTCCCGCTTTTCATTGGTCTGATACTCCATCTTGAAGTTCAAAGGAGCCTGGTAGTCCAGCTGGATAGTTGCGCACTGGAACTCACGCTTGAGGGCATCCGCGATAGTAATATCAATCTTAGGTCCGTAGAAGGCGCCATCGCCCTCATCAATGGTCCAATCATCACCCTTAAACTTGGTCAAGGCCTTCTTAAGCTGGTCCTCGGCGTTGTTCCAAGTCTCCAGTGCACCCATATACTTCTCAGGGCGAGTGGACAACTTCAGCTTGAAGGTAAAGCCAAACAACCCATAAACGGACTGCAATAAATCGAACAGGCCCTCAACTTCAGACATAATTTGGCCCGCGGTGCATATAATATGACTATCATCCTGTTGGAAACGGCGGACACGAGTTAAGCCACTCAGTGCGCCGGATGCCTCGTTTCGGTGCAAAACACCGAAGTCTGCAATACGCATGGGAAGCTCGCGGTAACTCCGCTCGCGGTGACCAAACAGAACGAAGTGGCCAGGGCAATTCATAGGCTTAAGGGCCCACTCACGCTTTTCGACATCTAGCTTGAACATGTCTTCCTTGTAGTGATCCCAGTGCCCAGAGGTCTTCCAGATGCCGACGTCATACATATTGGGCGTTTGGACCTCCTGGTAGCCTCGCTTACGGTATTCAGAGCGCAGCAGAGACTGGAGCTGGTTGAAAATCTTGGTTCCATTGGGAAGGAGGAAAGCACACCCAGGAGACACCTCGTCGAAGAAAAACAACTCTTGCTCCTTGCCAATTCTTAGGTGGTTCCGCTTCTCGGCTTCTTCTAGGAACTTCAAGTGCTCAGCCATGAGCTTCTTGTCTGGGAAGGCGACACCACGAATACGCTGCAAAGAGTCGTTGGATTGGTCGCCAAGGAAGTAGGCTGATGAGTTCTAGAAGTAGAGATTAGCAAATGTTGTGCTCGGCTAAGGGAGTCAATCAGCAACACTTACCTGCATAATTTTGAAAGTCTTGATCTTGCCGGTGTTCTGAATGTGAGGGCCTCGGCAGAGATCCACAAGGGTGCCGCAGCGGTAGACGGTGCTGCTCTCGCCGGTGACAAGCTTATCGATATAGTGCAGCTTGTATTTGCTGTACGCGAACATCTTCTTAAGGTTCTCCTTAGAAACCTCCAATCGGTCAAAGCTCTGCTTCTCCTTGAAGATACGCGCCGCTTTAGAGTCTAGGGACTTCCAATCAGATTCACGGACGACCCGTCTGTTTCGATACATATTAGCGTGGCACAAGTGTTGGTGTAAGGTAAGATAGCGATAACGCACCCATCGGGCATGGCCATATCGTAGAAGAAACCCTGGGGAGTCGGAGGACCATGGGAAAGAAGACATCCGTATTCGCATTCACATGCCTCACCTAGAGTGTGGGCGCTGGAGTGCCAGAATACCTCACGGGCCTCGGGGTTGCTGAATGGCATAAGAAGAACACCGCAGTCCTTTTCCAAAGGCCGGTTTAAGTCCCACAGCTCCCCATCAACCTTGGCAATCACAATATTGGCAGCCACATCCTTGGGAACGTCGCGCAGGAAAGATCCAGGAGTGGTCTCGAAGGCTTTGGCGGGGACGGAGGAGGGCGGGTTGCCGTTGCCGATATCGAGAGTAACGTTGATCTCAGGGTGGGGGCGGTTCTTGGTCTCCTCGAGGTATTGCTGCCAGAGCTCTTCAAAGAGCTTGTTTCGCTCAATCATGACCTCGGGGAGGGTATCGGGGCTGGGTGCCTGCTTGGATTTCGCTTTCGCATCTTTTGGAGGGGCAGCGGCAGCTTCAGAGGCGTTGCTGGCCTGTGCTTCAGCGGCAGGCCGCACTGGAAGATCCTTGGGAGCTTCAGACGCCATTTTTGAGACCCTTGGATCAATCACACAAGAGAATTCAACTGTGGACAAAAAAATCTGGTTGTGGTGTACTCCGCGTGGAGGGGGAAATGACTCTTCACGCGGGCGGTGAATCAAAGGTCACGTGTTGGTACTGCCCTTAGCGACACTTTACCGCTTCAAGTTTCCACCAAGCGAAAACTTCTCCAGCTTTGTACAAGCCGTCAATCACCAATAACGCCACAACATGTCTTTCCGTGGACGTGGTAACGCTTCTGGGGCCGGTCGGGGAGGTTTCGGCGGTGGCCGTGGTGGTGAGAATTTTCCAATCTGAATGCGATGCGAAAGTCAAAAGGAGCTAACGAAATTTTTTTGTTGCAGGCCGCGGAGGCTTCCAGCAGTCATTCGGCCCCCCAGCCCAGGTTCTGGGTAATTATTCTTCTGATTTCAACAACAATTGATTCATATCGCTGATATACCGATAGAGATGGGTTCCGTGATGCACTCTTGTGAGGGTGAGATGGTCTGCGAGTCGATCAACCCCAAGATCCCCTACTTCAACGCTCCTATCTATCTGGAGAACAAGGTAGGCCACCGCTCCAGTCAACGAATACAGCTCGCAAAACATGACCTAACTGGTTCCATCCATAGACTCAAATCGGCAAGGTCGATGAGGTCCTCGGCCCTATCAACCAGGTCTACTTCACCGTCAAGCCCCAAGACGGTATCGTCGCTACTTCCTTCAAGCCCGGTGACAAGGTCTACATTGGTGGAGATAAGCTTCTTCCCCTTGAGAAGTATGATTGATCTTCCTTTGAATCCGTTTACGCTGTGACTAATTCGCCTTGTAGGTTCCTCCCCAAGCCCAAGCCTCCCCCAGGAGCTGCTAAGCCCAAGCGCGCCGGCGGTGCTCCCCGTGGCCGCGGTGGATTCGGTGGTGGCCGTGGTGCCCCCCGTGGTCGTGGTGGATTCGGTGGTGCTCCTCGTGGCCGTGGTGGCTTCGGTGGTGGTCGTGGTGGTGGTTTCGGTGGTAGCGGCGGCTTCTCCCGCGGCGGCGGCGGCGGCGGCGGCGGCTTCTCTCGTGGCCGTGGTGGTCCTCGTGGCGGCGGCGGTTTCCGCGGTCGCGGCTATTGATCCAATGTACTGTCTCTTTATGGCGTTTGGGGGATCTGGGAGCTTTTTCAGGAATATCTTTCCGTCTTCTTGTGCATCCTGCGCAATTGCAACTTAACTGGCTGCAGGCTGTAGAATATCACCAGTCAAAAATGTTTCTGTTATTTTCATTGATTGTCTAGAGTGTGCCATCCATATGCTCGATCGTAGGGTTCAGTCCATGCATTACTGTTGGTCGTACTCTGTAGAAATCCGGACATTCACGGAGCCCGATAGGTTAGGATGTGGCTGGTGAATGTGGCGCAGCTGCACCGCCTCCGCTTCTGTGCAGTTGTGAATGACGTTGACCGCTCAGCGAATCTGTGCGTCTGTCAACACTCCAAGCAGGATTGACAGCCATTCTTATTCCCCTTACCCCTTGGTTGTGCCTTTAGACATTTTATTAAAGCAGAATATTCTACTGTCATACGTTTTCGTTCAATCTGATACCCATTTGAGCATGTCTCGTCGGACATCGACCATGGCATCGAGCGACTCCTCCAGCGGTGGTGTCCCACCTTCAGGTGATGGAGGTGTGTTGGAGCTCCCTTTGATCGTCCATGCGTGACCTAACTTGCATTTTTTCAGGCCAGCAGAAGCAAAAAATGCTTCTTTCTTCGGACCACGGTCATTTCAGCATGGTGAAGTCAGTCTCGTCCAATTTCTCGCTCCTTTTAGCCTCGGCTTAACCTGACAACCAACAGGGCCATGCATCTTGCTGATCTGATTACTGAATTGAATGGTAAGAGATTGGGATAACCTGAATAACCTCTGTGAATTGACTCGCTAACTTGCTATTCTAGGTTTCTGCGGAGGCAAGCTCAAATTTCCCAACTGTTTTGACGATCCGCGACTAATATGTTGAGCAGTCATGTCGGTCTTCTCGTCCATGCGCTACTGTCTCGGAGACCCTACAGATTACGGCGCCATCTGGGCTGCCCTCACATTCATGCCTTTTGGTCTGTTCTTTGACTTTATGGATGGTAAAGTCGCAAGGTGGCGCGAAAAGTCCTCCCTCATGGGACAAGAACTTGACTCGCTAGCGGACTTGGTAAATGATCCCGGGAATAAAATACAATCAAATTTTTGCTGACCCTCTTATAAGATCTCCTTCGGACTCGCTCCCGCCGCTGCCGCATTCGCTCTTGGTATCCGGACGTCGCTTGATCACGTCTTCCTTACATTCTTTGTTCTCTGCGGTCTGACCCGGCTCGCCCGGTTCAACGTGACTGTTGCCGTACTCCCGAAGGATAAGACTGGAAAGTCCAAGTACTTTGAAGGCACACCTATTCCGACCACTCTGTCAATCGCCGCTCTCATGGCATACTGGGTCTCTAAAGGCTGGACGCACGAGAATATTCCTCTTGGTGTCCTCGCGGAGGGTACTATCTTTGAGTTCCACCCCGTTGTCCTTTTGTTTGTTCTGCATGGATGTGCAATGATCAGCAAGACGATACACATTCCTAAGCCATGAAAAAAAGCTCAACCCATATCTGGCCGCGCATTTATTGTTGGAGAAAAAAACAATGCCTGGTTCAGTTGTCTCTCTCAACTTGGGCAACTGAAAATAAAAAATCGAGAGGGTCGTTGCTTGTTGGCAAGGCATAGCATGATCTCGATCCACTTAAATGAGGATGATAATTGAATTTCAATTGCATAGATTGATCATAGTCATTCGATATATTTCCTATGTAGGATTTGAATTGCACACATATATACATCGTCATTGTTCCAGAAGATTTGTTTAAGCTAGCGCTGTCCATTGTTACCAATGTCTAGTGTGTAGACAAAGAAGGCCTGTAATCTGCGTCTGCGGCGCTTGCTGGTATTCCTTGTCTTTGTTGGGATCTATATATGTGAGTAACCGGTAGTCCTCCCAGGACAACAATCATACCCCTCTTCTTCTAATCGCCTTCCTCGACGGAGCCTGTATACCCTGAATCAACGGTCAAGGCAAGTCTACACAGAAAGCATCAATTAATTCTTATATCAAACCCCACGCAGGCCTAACACTGCACCGTATTCCTCAAACCGCTGCAAAAATGGAGCACCCAAGATGTCTCGGTCGTCAGAAAAATAGCATGAGCCAAATACTCCAGGATGACAACCAAAGCGGCAACACAGGAAGCCCATACTCCAGACACGACTCATGTGGTCGATCCATCTGCGCTGACGACCAGCGCGGTAACAGCCCTGGCAATCCAGCTTGGAACTGCGTTCGGTGCTCTCGAAGATAGACGGCAGACTCTAAACGCCAGGTCTCACGTCAGATCCCCTATGTTTGGGCTCGTGGAAGAATCGCGTCTCCAAGCTGAGACGGGAATATGGCGGTCCACTGCAAGTACTCCGAGCTCAGGGATCACTGTATACCTGTAATATTATGCTTTAATTAAAGCTTCCAGCTGCAATCTGGGCTCGCAACTGCACGTGAACGTGAGTATGATTGGGAAGTTGTTGGATGTCCAGATCGGCTCGTGGATGTGTGACCGCTTTAGATTTTGGTTGCTTTCCTTTTCTTTTGAGTCGGGTTGTCAGGCCTGGTATTCATCAAGATTCTTCTGCTTGTGTTCCCTCCTTACATAGTTTCCCTATGATATGCGAGATGATACTGTTGAGACAGTGGCTGGTGTCTCAGGCATCGACCCTCGTTGTCTACATTACGTAGAGAGCTCGGGAATCTCGTGTCCCTCCCAATGCAACTCTCTCCCTTCTTCTTGAGTCCTATATTCGTAGGCCTCAACAGAGACTGTTCTCACTGCCAGAAATACACTTCTCACATTATCTGGTTCGTTCGGAGGAAACCATGGATATCTCTTCAGGCTGTCATCCACGTGTATAGATAGCCGTAGGAATGCAATCTATGCTGATGAAGATCGTCATAAATGTCATGATAACCATCTCACCAGGTATCTTGATAATCCTCTCCCAACTCCTTAACAAGGATATCGATTCAACACCATCCGATCCACCAATTCTCACACCGACAAAAGTGCAATGCAGGCAAGTCTAGACAGCAAGCCTCATTGCCAGCTCACGAGACCGTCACTACGCTAGACGGTGTGACTGACCTATATGAGAAAGCAGCGATGACGATCACCATACTTGAGCCTCTGAAATGTTCCAGATGCCATGCCGGTGTCACAAAAGAGATAGTCCAAGACGAACCCCCAAACAGGAATGCTGGCAGACCATGCTACAGATGCAAGCCCTGTCATCATTTCATCTGCTTCGATGATGCTTATGGTATCAGTTCCGCGAATTGGCTCTGTGATTGTAGCAGATATGCTCGCGGGCAGATATCAGGGGTTTCGAAGCGGGTGAGACATGGTAATCACTATGTGTGTGCTCGTGGAGATTGCGGATTCTATGAGGAACTATTGGATGCAAACGGTGTTTAGCTACGGATCCCCGATCGGCTGGTGGAGATGCGTGCGCAATGCTCTTATATTTGAGGCTTTGGGGTTTTGATAGAATCATTGTCGGCTGGTGTCGTTTGGTGTATGTCGAGCTTTAGAAACACCTAGGTAGGATTCTTCTTGGTTCTGAGTGCTTGTAACTCGTATGTAATATCGGGGTTTCCTGAGCCCTAAGGCTCAAGATTAGACCCTGAGATTGAGTCCCTGAGCGAATATATTGCATAGAACGATTAGCTGCCAATATTTAATAAAACGCGTATAACCAGATACTATATTGCAATGTGAGTCATCCGGCGGTTCCGCCCAAGTCGAGTCTGAAAAACGGCAGTGAGAAACATCCCAGTCACAAGACGTTCAAATTTTCCCAATACTACGGAGAACAGCGTTTTAAAATTAGAATAATCTCAGGTGCCTTCTGGCCAGGCCTAAGATCCCTTTCTGCATCGTGGGTCGGGTTCTAGACCTCGAGGCAAGTTTCACGTTGATATTCCATTCCAACGTTCCGCTTACGCTTCGAAGTGAACCGAAATTCGCATTGACATGTTGGAACCAATACGGAGTACGGAGTAAGTACAGAGTACAAATTGCAGCAAATCAAATCCGACTAGCCTCTCTTTAAATTTGATTCTTTGGCCTTCGGCAAGGGGTGCTTTCTACATGATTGTTTGCCGGGTGGAGCAACCAACTGGTCTAGTGAACGCCACTGGTCCCGGAATCTCTCTGGATGGTCCAGCCGCTGTCTCCGTTGCGCAGGTCTAGACAAATAGCTTGTAGGCTTGTTGGGGCATATACGGAGTATACAGGCCGGTATTGTGCGCCGATGGAGTACTCTGGGCCGTGTTTTTGGCGGCTCTGGACGATTTGGGTTTCGGGTCCAAGCACATGGGCAGTACGGAGTATGTCTCACTTGGCTCGATCCCGGGTCAACTCAATGAGTATACGCGTCTTCAAAGAGTTGTAAAAAAGGAGTGATGACAGTCACTGGCTACAATTGTCGAACGTGGTGTGTGGCCACGATATCGGTCTGCATTCTCATGTATATCATAGATGCTGGGCACTACAATCCATGGCTATTGGTCTAATGCTCGCAATGGAGTGTAAGATCTGGCTCGTTCCAACTAGATCGGTTCAACTGGAGCTGCAAGGTACACGCGATACATCAGAAACATTCGACATCCGGAGTGCACTTGGCCGCATATGTGTATCAGTAAATGCCTCTCTGCATGCGATGCTCTGTACGCAGTATGGGAGTATGAAATACGGAAAGCAACGGTCTGCAGATGATTTCAAGTCGGCCATTGCTTGCATGATGCTAACGTGGTCCGATCATTCTCACCTCCGATATCTGCCCGCTCTTTTGTATACTTCGTACCTGTGCGCTGTTCATATTGGCACATAGTAGCGTATACTCCGTCAGGAGGACACATGCAGGCAGTGCTGCCAGTACTGTACTGCTACTGGTCGCCAAAAGACAGTTGTCACGAGAAGATTATCGAAGTTAGAATCTATATTTAAGATGTACACCGTAACTTGCCCCGAGGCCTTACGTTGTAGATGCCAATTATAGGTGAGTTGTACGATGTTGATCCCAAGCCACCGTACTCCGTACAAATGGCAAGATCCGTACTCCGTACAGTGCAAATTGTGAGTGCTTGTGCCTGAGGTACCTAGGTACATGTGTTGTACATGTAGGTAAGCACGTGTGTGGTTTGTTACAGAAACAACCCTGGAGGTTGTCACTGCGGTACGCTCCACCCGGGAGTGGCCGCTCATTACCCACGGAAACCATTTGAGGCGAAAAAAGGGGGGAGATATCAACATTCCTAATATGTCAAAGAGATGACCTAGGGGCAGGATACGACTTGGAACCCTGTCAAAACTACCTAATAAGCTTAAGTGTGGAATCCTTCGTGTTTTTTTTGGTATAGATGTTGAAACGGTTGGTAGCGCTGGTACGGAAATTCGCCCTGGAAGAGGGAAATGAGCCAACCCCATGATGAACTGGTAATTTTCTTTTTCTCCTTCGACGGCAAATCTCGGCTGCGGGCTGTCAAATGAAGATCTGAATTTCTCAAGACCCCAGGCTACCAGCCAAGAATGCACCGGTCAGTCATAAAGGACCGTGGCGTACGGAGTACTCCGTATTTCGTGTCCGGCTCTCTTCTCACAGCTCGGAGTAGACTGACCCTGAGACAAAAGGAGACCAAAAAACGTTATTAGCCGAGGGTCGTTAGAGTGTGTTGTACAGTTTTTGAGGGGTAAACCGGTCGTCATCAAGGGTCCCTCTCCTCCGTACGGAGTACGGAGTACATGTGGCAAGGACGATCTTTCATAAATTCGGTGTATAAACGATACATCCTCCATACATAACATTGGATAATCAATATTGAAGGTCCAAGATTAAAGAAGTTTCACATAATGGAAGTCTCACCAGGACCACTTGACACCCAAAGGAGACTAGCCAGATGCCCAAGGCCCCCGTTTCGCTGCCGTGTTGGGCCCAAACGGGAAGCGATCAGCAACGGTCCCCTGGTTTGGCCGAGCGGGTGCCTGATTACCTAAGACAGGGCACGAGTGCTCATTGGCTGGCTCGGTGTATAGTTGTATACCTGATACACCGATGTACTGGTACCATACAGGAACCCTGGAAGCAAACAAAACGACATTGAAGGACCTGCGCTGAAAGTACCCGGTACTCGGCTGCACCTGTACCCCCCCCCGTATTCTAAGTACCTCATACCTTCTCTGGGGAACACAGACCCCTTGACAGTCCCTTTCTCAAGGGATCCATTACCCGTCACTTCTCTTTCCTCCTAATCTTCTCATTCTCTCCCTATTGCTCACATTCGTTACCTCCGATTTCCTCGCTCGTTGACTACCTTTCTGAGAGGTGGTCAAACTGCTTTTATCCCGGTCGCTCACTCTCGAACTTGTAGGGGGTGAACCTCAACTTGACCACTCAAGGTCGTCAACAGAACGCGAATTCACCTTCTTTTACCTGGCCTCCGCTCGTCCTTCTCCCCTACCTACCGAAAATCATCCTCTCGCTGGTCAAATTCCCTCCTGGGCGACCAACCGAATAATTTGGGAGCAAACGTGGTGGGCAGTTTGAAAACAAACGGCGTCTACCAACATACATTCAAACAGAAGTACCTGAGGATCACGCAGGCCGTTCCCAGTACTTCGTCAATCATCCCTGCAACTGTGTTCAGCGGTGTTGACTTTCTGCACTGATCTTTGATAACTCGACTTCGATCATTACTCTCCCCATACATCATGCTATTCAACACTCAATCCGCCCTTGCGGTGACGGGCGTCCTCATGGCGGCTACCTCAGTAGAGGCTGAAGACTTCAAGGTGTTTCCTCGTGGTATCGAAGCGACCCTGATCGGCTGTTACTCCAGCATTCCTGGATTTGGCAAATCCTCCACCTACACATACCAGAGTTCCGGATGGTGTCTGGATCATTGTTCCAAAGAGTTCGCTACCTTCGCTTTGACAGGAGGCTCCGATTGTGTGTGCGGCGATACATTACCGCCATCCAGTGATAAGGTTTCCAGTGACAAATGCAACAAGCCGTGCAGTGGTTGGCCCTCAGATATGTGTATGTCGGCATCGCTCGTCCTATGGGCATCAAGATAATTGACTTGCTAACGATTTCAAATAGGTGGTGCTTCCAACTACTATTCTCTCTACACCACAGGGTTGCTGGATGATGTTCCTACGTACGAAAAAGAAGATACCAAATCCAAATCAACTACGACCACCAGCAAGGCACAGCAAACAAGCACCACCAAAACCGAATCGGTTGCGACCACCATTTCGACCGCGCCTAGTGGAGAAACACAAGTTGTGACAACCCACCCCAGCGCGACCCCCACCCCTACCGATGACATTGAGGAACAGACCTCAAAGAGCCACAACACTGCCGCGATCGCGGCCGGAGTTGTTGTAGGAGTGGTCGGATTCGCTGCCCTCTGTGGTGCTATCTTCTTCTGGTGGCGATCCAAGAGGAACAAGACCAATCCCGGAAGTGCGCCCGTTGGCGGCTATGGCCGTGACTCCGGCCCGCCCTCAATGTCTGATTCTCGGTTCGATGGCGATTTCATGGCTCAGCGCCGCCAAAGCAATGGCAGCATCGATGACGACCATGACTTCTCTCGTCGGATCTTGCAGGTAAATACACGCGACGCCTAGTCCTACTGATATCAAGCTAACTTCTCATTTCAGGTGGCAAATCCCGATCGCTAAATCCACAACCACCCCCCACACCATTCACGCACCTCCTCCTTCTCTCCACTCGGTATTAGCGAAACCCATATCCTTCTTGACTCGGTCTACTTTATGAGAGCTTCCTATCTTCCTATCCCGTTGTCGTTATCGTTTTTTTTTTTTTTCCACTTGGGTTATCCAGCGGAGTTATGATATCCGAACCACAATTGGCTTGACCTGAGTCTGTGTCTACACTTGGATGATATTTTATCCCATTGATCCTGCATTTGAATTGAGAAGTGCCAGCAAGCTCGGTGACTCCCGATTCTTATCCTAAACGGCATTACCCTGCTTTTCGATCACCACTTCTTTCAAGGATCTATACTTGGAGAATACCCACACCATCGGCCTCCTCCGTCGAGGACCCAATCTTTGTAACTTGTTCAATCATAGTGACGTCTCGTGAATATAGAGATGTGTTCGAAAAGGCGTTTTCTTCTTTCGAGTCCATCAATGCTTGATATTTTTGATTTTTTGAATACCTCGTTCCTTACGTGTGATTTCCTTTTTCTCTTTTTTTTCTTTTGATCTTTTGTCTCCTGTTTTCAGTCGGATCTTTGCCTATCGGTCTTAATGAGCTTCTTACATTCTGCCGTTCGGTCTGATTCGGTCTGATCCAGGCATGGATGACTGTAAATAGGCAAGATCAAACAGCTGTACTTAATGTGAGAATTCATATGCATATCAGTCTGTGGGTCTTTGCTGGTAAACGAGGCTGTCATAAGCTGGTCGACGACCTGATTCTTTCGCATACTCGACCAACAGCTCACTGTATATTGTAGCCATCTCTGCTATCTTCACCTGCTCGACGATAGCTCTGCATTGGTAGTCTCTCCTAGTCTTGCATTAATTCAGTTGCTTGAGGTGTGGCGGTGATGTGTGGATTTATATGTGTTGTCGCCCCGATCAACTATATATTCATCAGGTATATTGGCTTTCTACCTACTCTAAAACAGCCAACATGTTACCCAGAGCGATAGTATTACTATCCAATCTGCGTATGAACAGGCATACTCCCTCCGAAGTGATCGCAATCTTTAAATCCCGTGGAATGCGGGGATGGAATGTGGAGAATGTGACATCGCCTCGTGCATAATCTCACCTCTACTCGTATACTCCATGTCCAACATCTATCGCCTCTGAGATACAGCTGCTGCCAATAGTCTTATGAAATAGGGCTTCTCTAGAAAACATCGCTATCCATTTGCGCGAGCGCGCACAGGTCTCGCTGCTTCAGATAGCGTGAAGCAGCACCCAATCCGAGTCTGATGCACACAATCATACGCAGTAACCTCGCCTAGACAGCCTGGATAAACCCCATCTAGTTTCACCTAAGATATTAATCACCTCCCAAGGTTGGAAGTCTTCATCGACTCGAAGAATCTCAGCTTCGGAGTCGCATTCCACATCCACCCACCTGAAGATATTAGAGGACATACCAGCGCAGGCACACACGTCTACATCCAGACTCCAACCATGCCGCAAGCGCAAGGCATCAACCACAGTTATAGATTCCAGCCCCGAATCCCTCGAGGAGAACCCCCCAAAGAACCCAAGACCGACACCCCAATTCAAACCCTACCCCATCCCAAAAGCCAACCGCCTCCTCGAACCAGGTCCAGTCCTGCTACTCTCAACAGGGAACACAGTATCCCCAACCCACAACCTCATGACAATAGGTTTTCACATGATGGTCCAACACACAGCCCCAACTCTAGTAAGCGTCTGCATCGGACCATGGGACCACAGCTTCGCCACTCTCCGCACAACGAAGGAATGCGTCCTCGCCATTCCGGATGCCAGCATCGCCGCGCAGGTCGTCGATATAGGCAACTGCTTTGGTGAGACGATGGATAAGTGGGCCCGGTTCGGGTTCGAGCCGCTTCCGGCTGGGAAGGTTTCGGCGCCGCTGGTCGGTGGGGATGGTGTTGTTGCGAATGTGGAGTGTGTTGTTGAGGATGGGAGTCTGGTGTCGAGGTTTAATTTGTGGGTTTTGAGAGTTGTGGGGGTTTGGGTGAGGGTTGGGGCTGGGTTAGATGGAGTGACGGGGTTGGAGAGGATGATCCATCATCGTGGGGATGGGAGGTTTGTTGTTGATGGAAGGTTTCTGTTGTGAGTTGGATGGTTGAGAGTGGGAGGTAGTCCATGGGTATTGCTGGCTGTGCCGATATCCAGGATGAGAAGCATCTCGAAAGAAGGAGGGAGAGCTTTTACAAACATCGAGTAGGACCTACGAGCTGTGTTACGATGTCAGAACTCTTCGCATGAACATACTGGCAAGCCACACATAGCCAAACCAAGGACAGAACCAAGTCTGAAGACTAGACTATTGTCAAGAGCGAGATCTTGCATCTATTTCCCCATATTCTTCGCAAACCTGACAAACCTCTGTATTACGCTTTGACCCAGAGTCTATAGACACGGAGCAAGCACTCTCAACCTCGCCTTTCGACCGAAACACGGACGAGAGGACAACCGCAGAAAACCTCGCTGGCTCTCCGTACGGAGGACTCCGTGCCTCCATAGGATCCCCTCACCTCTTTCATGACATCAGAAGAGCAGATCCACACAGCAAACAAGCCACATGGGTCATCGCCGCCAGCTGACTAGCTCCAATAGTATGTTGTACACCAACTAACTAGTCCTTAACCGCCCAGCGTGCCCCCGATTCGAGATACTCCAAAAGATCGCCAGCCCAAGGATATCAATACCACAAGCCAACGGCGGCTCGGCAGACTTGGGGCTTGACAGCCACGTAGTTCCAAGCGACGCGACTCCAGCGATGATCTAGACCTGCAAGCGAGAGAAAAGAGATTGAAGGATGGCTGGTCTGTTACATTGGCAGACCATAGGAAAACAAACCCTTGCTCGCAGGACCGTTTTTTTATTAAATTTCCAGGCAACTGCCATTTCGCTGGGATAGTTGAATATTCGCCAAAGAAGACTCGGAGACTAGGCGAAATAAGGAGAAAGAAGGTCGAGCAATAGGCCGAAAACGGCAATTACGCGTTTTTGGACTTCATATACATGACTCGAGTGACAATATGGGGAATTAATTTTACATGCGGTTTGCTTATGGCTATTTGTCAGGTATTTTGGTCCCAGAAATTGCCTCACAGCCACTCACACGGGAACTGTTGACTATGGACGCTGGATTATGCCTAACACATAGCGTTCCGTATCTCCGAGATGGCCATAGAGCGGATCGATGATATAGGTACGGAGTATGTATTCCGCACTTCGTCCAGTGTATGGGCTGAAAGGGGTCTAGAATGCCAATGATGCAAGGATTTCTACGAACAGCCATGCCCGTCGGACAATTGTTCATCGACTCTAGCTGTAGATCTCTCCGAGCCAATAGAACATGTCGCCGAACCAACAGCGTTAACAAGCATGACCAATGCACTCTGGCGCCTAGAGCTGCCGGTACGTATGATGTCATGCGTGGTGATCCTGCCATGCAAGTTCGAGGCCATTGGATATACTCCCAGAGCTAGAGCAGATTAATCTATTCTTACCGACCCTCGATTGGTCTATATTGGGATGTGTTGGTTGTTGGCCCTGACATGCAGAATAGCCCTTCCTCCGCGAATAGCGATGGACATTGATCACGGAGACACAGAAAGGAAATGTAATGTTCCTTAATTAGCAATCTTTGGGAAGGTCACATCCCTTAAGCAGACAAGCTAGTCTGAACGAACCGATGGAACAGCTAGAACTGAAGGATCGAACTGAGTGGAGACGCTTTCAAAGCGCAATCTCCCTATTCCACAAACAGATTAGCCTCCCCAACATGGGTTTCGGGTGCGTATTGAGCACGCTTGCGACACCAGAAAACCCGAAACTAGACCCGGGAGACGTTGGGCGATCTGCGGTGGTCCACATTGGACCATGTGGCCTCGATGGGCAGGAGAAGAGATTAGCCCCGTCGCACATCGGAGGATTGCAATGTCCGTACGGAGTGTGTATCTCCGAATAAGTCTTTCTCTCGACTCCGAGAGAAGGGGGAAAAAAAAGGGGGTAAAGGGAAGCTTGGACGAACTAAGATCCGTGTAGATCTAGTTTGCGCCGTTCCGTTCCAAGACTGCGCTACCCTCGTCTGAGCAGAAATTGTCGTGTCAGAGCCGTATCATCGAATAAACATCCAAGAAATGTCTTTTTCTGGGCTCCGAACAAAATGTCTCCGACGTGCATTTGCTGGGATCGGCTCTTTCTTCCGGTCTAGAGTTACATTTGATACCTGGCAAATGAGAGCAAACACCAATCCCCCCCCCTTTTGGAGAATCGCTGGGAAAGCAAGTTTCTCTGTTTCTTGACAGAACCCCGGGCATTGTATCTGGTGCCTTCTGCGTTGCTTCTTCGCGCGTTCTCTCGTGCTACCCTAACCTAATTCCCGAGCCGATCGGGAAGTATATGCTGTACTCCGTACTCCGTAGGTTAATGTGGACTAATAATGTTGAGAAGGTTTGTAATCAGTGGCTTGAATGGGTATAAAATAAACCAAAGATCCCTAAATTCACCGATCCACCGGACCTACATACCTTCCTAAACCGAAGGGCTCACAGGGAAACCGGGTCAGCACGATGAAACAAGCAAAAGAAAAAAGTCCCAGGATCCCTGCTCGAGTCAGTCAAGCTCTAAAAGCCGGGAGATACATTCGCCTGAAAAAAAAGCTAGTTGCTCTGCATCGGCTCTGCAGTAGCACCTGTGCCCTAAATTAGGTCGCATTCATTTCCCATTTAGTGTCTTGTTCTTGTCAGCCACATGGGCGGTAGGGATCACGATCCTTGGCGCACGCTCAGTCCAAAGGAAATGAAGAGGGGCGTTCTTTTTTGCTTTTTTTCAAAAGGAAATCTCTGTCAATGCCGTTGTGGGCACTAGAGGGTTTGTTAGTTTGCGTAGAACATAGATTAGTTGCAATTTATTTGCAAGGGCAACGTAATATACCCCGTAGATGTTTAATTGCATTGTTCAGGACGAGCAAATATCCAGAATTCAACTCCTATGACTCCGTACCCGACATCTGTTGTATGGTTCCTGTGTGGTACCCCGTACTTCGTACTTATGTTCTCCATCAGATGAAACACACTTTCCAGATCCAGCCATTGATGCTCAGGCCATCAACGAATCCTGCCTGGCAAGAAGTCTACCACATGGCATGATCTGATCGACGGGGCCAATCTGAAACGTGCCCCAAATGGATCCGGGCTTATATGAATCATACGCCGTCACGGCAGTGGGAACATCCCTGCAAGGCGTCAACATATCCAGGGGAAGAGAAAACGCCAGAATCACAAGCCTTGTCTCTCGCTACGAAGGACTGTCAACGGAGCACATGTAAAAAAACAAATGAAAAATAGTCGCACTTCTATGTTGTATTCAATCTGCGCCATCGCTCCACTGTCACAGCCCAGACCAGAAGAAAAAGAAACAGAAAAAGCAAGGTCGCCACTCCCGATCTGTGCCCCCGTGGGGTTGAAATGCCGGGACCCCAGGAAACAATAGTCGATTGTCCATGTACTTTGTACTCCGTATTCCGTACTCCGTACATCCTGGCAGAGGGTGTGTAGGCATTGTCGATCCCGGGACATGGGGGAAGGGAACGCTGGGAATCGTTGTGGAAATGACCAGTCGCCTGCTCATTACATGTTCGATTAATCTATCACCCCTGCAAGCGTGCTGTACTATTGGCCAAGTTAATTTAACCATGCAGACGACAACAAATACCTCACGTTGCTACCGAGTGCCGATCTTCCGATTTCCGATGGGCTCAAGCGATGTCTTCAACTCCGTACATGGGATTTGAAATCTATTCACTGGAACTGCATGGGCCATGCATGTTTCTTCATCCCCGTATGCGGGGAATGCAAGGCACTCTTTTTTTCTTGCCTTTTGCAACGTGCATTATGCTTCGCTGGGAGGAGAGGGGGGGGGGAACTGCTGATGACAGGCGACGAGAAAGTGAGAGGCGACGATCTTCCCGATGGGATTGGGCCGTGAGTGCAGATCGAGTCTCTCGATGTTTGGCGAGAGGCGTTCTTAGGTTACAGGGTGGTTGCACTCGATGGCAATGGATTACGCATGTCGTGGATGTATAGCCTGTTTTTGGCATAGATAGGCCCAGAGTCTACAACCTATGGACTCCGTAGTCTGTATTCCGTACTCCGTATACAATATCGAACCCAATGTCCAAGTCGGAAAAGTCGGTAAACCGTCTCCATAACCACAGTGGACCTGGACTAAGCCCGATTTGTATAATGTACAAGGAGAATGGAGCTGGGTCTTTGGCTTTTTCCACGTGGGTGCAATCTTAGGTTAATTGGGCCCTAACGGTCTGGCCCTTGATCTTCGATCGTGGATTGGGGAGTACGGAATGTTGTACGGAGTACGAAGTACTCCGTATGGAGAGTGAATCGATCCAGCGCCAAATGAGCTACAACCCTTTTGATGGATTTTCCCCCTGATCCCGACATTGTTGTTCCAGCATCCCAACCCGAGACCTCGGGGAGAGTCTTCGGTTATTTACGTCGGTGACTTGCCCGGAACACGCTATTTACATTGATTTGATTATTTTACCGATAGTCCTTTTCCAATATGTCGGGTTTGCATCATGTGCGAACTCGAAGCCACGGTCCACTCTGGCACTCTAGTGTGAATGAGAAACTGCTAGATGCAGTTAGGGGCTTTGCCGGGAATCCAGGCTATCTGCGGTGTTGTTAATCTACTCCGTACTTGGCCGAGCCACACCAATCAGCTCGAATACCATTGGTGCATGTCTGAGGTGAGATTCCGAAGTTCACCATGGGTTGTGGGAACGATCCCTGATATACAGCTGGTATAGAGTACCGGTGTACGGAGTACCTGAGTACGGAATATGGACTTCACCGTAGTATCCTGACATGTTCGATCTGCAAAACAAGGCAACCCATATGCACAACACCGTCAGCCTTGTCTGCAGATTGGCCACTGCAATGCTTAACTGCCCTCCCGAAAGGGACACGATATCCCCCAGGGAACGTCCACCGATCAACCCGGGGGTGGGGAGTCGGACGAGAGATACCCGAAAAAGTCACTTCGTTTTATCATGTTTTTCGACCTGATTCGAACCAAGAGGCTCTAAAGCTTAGGGGCAGGTGGAGCCAAACAAGAGAAGCAAAAGAGCGCATTTACGCCCTGTACTCCGTACTCCGTATGCATATCCCGGATCCGAAATGCTCGGCGCTCTGTCGAGTCAATCTTTGGCGTTTTCCGCTCCCCTTTTTTTGTACCTTCGTTTGCCGTCGCTCTTTTTGAACGCCTTCTCTGATTGGAGTTGGCGTCCATATGGAAATGAGTTCAACAGTCCCAGGAGGAGGATGTGCACTAAGCCCCAAACAAAAGACCCTGGGGGTGCGCCCGTGTCGATCCTGGCCTGTTCGTCACTCCATGAACATTCTTACTCTGGGGCTAAGGCTTTGTTGATCATCACACGTTTCCAGCGCAGATTTAATTTACTTTGGAGCTATCCCCCATTCGAACAATTATGCTACATTTCACTGAATCGCCTAAAATCCGAAATCCGAAATCCGAAACCCCGATTAATCTCGGCTCAGTACCCTGTCGATCAGGAACGAGTGCATCTCGAGCGTATACACCGGCCCATTTCTGGCTTAACCTCTGACATCCACTATGGCCATCCTATGACAAGAGTGGAACGTTGCGGAGACCCCAAGGCAGACAGGACACCGCATAAGCATGAGTGTTCTCTGGGCACGGCCATGTGGACACAAAACAGTCTAGCTAAAAAAAGAACCAACACTCAAGCAAGCTCTCTGACTCGCTCGTGACGGATCATCGTCAGCAAGGTATCTGCACGAGGTACCGTGCCTTCTTCATGCTCGTGTATGCCACCGTCGCTATTCTGGGCGCAAGGCTTGTCTGTCGCAATGTCTGATTCGTATACTCCGTACGGAGTACATGGAAAATGAATATTCAGGGTAATCTTCATAGCAGGATCGTAATAGACTTTTTATAGACTTGCAGTCGAGAGCTTATCTGGAGGAGTGCTTGCCCTGTCTCACATTCGGTATCGATACAGCTGGTATGATCTGACATGCAAATCCTCATCTACCCCGTAGCTCCAACGCCCGTACGATATCGGGTCATCGGCATGTAAATTTGAAACAAGAGTTGGCGATGTCCTCTACCCAGCAGTCCAACCCCTTACGGCGTAGAACCGTGAACGATGACAAGCGAGATCGCGAATCGCCCAAGAACTTTCTTCGTACTCGAAGAGCCTCGATTGGTTGGCAATTCCCTCCCACCTCCCATATTACCACCGTACACCGGAAGGGGCATAGATCGTGATTCATGCACCACGGGACGGTGATGGCAAATGACGATCGATTATGGCCAAGGATTAAAAATACAAACCAAAATCCAAGCCTTCACAGGCTGCCTCTCTGGTCCTAGCCGCAGCAGCCGATTAAACGTGATCCCGACCATCCCCCCCCAGCTAGCACAAAGTATGGACAGGGGGGAGGCATGCATCTGTATCTAAACTTGGAAATGAGGCTGTGATGGTTTCATACGTTCTTTTCTGAAGTTGGTGTCAAGATGTTTCACGTTCCAAGATCTAGTACGGAGTACGGAATATGTCATTATTATTCTTTCGCAGGCAGTCGTGGATCCTCATCTGCAGTAGGACATAGACGGTGGATCGTGCGAGAGACCGATTCCCTTCCCATTCTCCCCCACACCTGTTTTAGTGTCCGTGACTTATCGTCAAAACAACCGATAGGAGACAGCACGAAGAATCCTTTTGTATGTGCGTAAGAAAAAGGCCTGTCATTTTCTAGGTTAATGTTCCTTTCGCTGTGGATTCGCTTTGTAGAAGGATTCCAGAAAGCTAGGGTCAGGGATAGCGCTGGGGAAATTAGAGGATCCCGAATCTACCTAGACTCATTGCCACAGGGAATCCGATGGTCGGCCACGAGGACAGGGGGGTTCCAGGGCTATATTTCTCCGGTTATGCACTCTCGCAAGCGGGGTGCAGGGCAATCAAGCACGCGAGATGTACTCCGTATCCATGGGCATTTGTGTGGCAATCCATTCGGTGTACGGAGTATGGTACGGAGCACGGAGTACTCCGTATCAAAATCGACGTTCACCCCCGGACGAACTCTGACGTCTTGCGACTCGGATCCGGACTTGGGTCCATTCACCCCATGAGTAAAGGATCAGCATGCTGAAACAGGAGCGTAAAAAGGCCAGAATGCCAAGTGCCCCTCGTCCACGATAGGCCAAATTCAGGTTAAGAGCCCCGCTAGGCTGACTCTTTTGGATTTTTCGATTTGGGACTGCCTGTTTGGGTTTAGCGTGTTCCGTTTAGGTCGAATCGATTGCAACTTCGGTTCAGCGTTTGCTTGGATCCACTGGATCTCTCGACCTTTTCTGAGATCGTGGTTTTGTGCAAGGTCCTTCCATGGTTGGCTTCGATTTGGAGGCATTTTCAGTGTATGAGGGCGAGGGGACTAATCTGGAGATAAGGGCATAGAAACCCCCCTGTCCTAGTTCTTTAGACTGGATGCCTATTTCAGACACCTCTTGCCGGCCCGGTATCCAATCGCTGTTCTAGAGAGAGGAGCCTCTTATTTACTAGATTGGGGCTAGCTTTGGATCTTGCGAGCTGCCTAAACCAGTCCACGGGTGCACCAATGCACCACCTGGGCACCGAGTGCACCCTCCACCCTGAGCTTCCCGGTGGGGCAAACCCGTTGCGTTCCGTGGGAGCTTGGACTCGCCTCGATGCGAGAGGTTGCTCCACGCGGGATTTGGAATATCGGAGTTCACCCGTGGACAATTTGGTTTGCTTTTTTGTTCTTAAAAAAAGAAGAAGAAGAAAAAAACATGACTACGACGTAATTAGTTACCATTTGGAGCCCAATTTACTGATGGTATCAGCCGAAATAGGTACATATACAGTTAAGCACCCCAAGATGATGGTAGCGAAGTAACGCTATCTCGACCCAACTCGCCTGGGCAAAACGGGTTATTCCGCCATTTACTTGTTATGGGCCATTCGAGGGCGGACTGGAAAGTGCGCCTCAGCCGCACTCTTGTTGGCTCTAATGCAATGCCCCTGTCGTGTACGGAGTAAATTTAGTACGGCTTACCCTCTGATCATCCCGCAGAGCGATCACCGCCTCCACGCCCGTGCTGTTTTCTCTTTTGATCTAATCTCAGTTAGCCTTATGTTGGATTTATTTTGGTGCTAATTATTATTAGCATGAAATATCCTGGTTGTATTTTTAAATTATTATTATTTGATTGCGATTATGGGATTTGATTTTTCTAGCCTCTTAAATTAATTTCCCTTCAATTTGCTCAAAGTCTATTAATCCGTCTCGTAGATCTGTAGGAACAGCCTTGTTAGTGTGCATATCGTGCCCTTTATATCAGTCCACCTTCGCTCTTCATTCCTTCTCTTCGTTCAGGATTCTTTGCAGATTATCTCCTCGCGTCTTGAAATCAGCCCTAGATCTGGGATATATTGTCAGATACCAGCCCTACTTCTCCCACTCCTCCCCCTCCTCTATACACAGGATGACCCGGGCATCCTCAAAGCGCATCGCTTCGAGCCGTATCGTTGCTGTCTTGGACTCGCCTTCTGTCTCTCCGCTCCCTTCTTCGCCGGAACCCCAACAGTTTGCACCGGCCTCCAAGATGGTCACCCGCAAGAACAACATGCGCCCCACTCCCCAAGCAGATATCGCTATGCCAATCACCTATACACCAACCACCCATCGTATTAGCAAAGCTAAGAAGGGCAAGCGCGTACATGCCTGTCAGCACCCAGGATGTGGAAAGGTCGGCGCAACCCAATGCATTCCTGAGTGGACCAAACTGACTCGATTACAGGTCTTCACCAGAGCGGAGCATCGAAGACGCCATGAGCTGAACCACAACCCCGAAGCTTCGTATCGCTGCAGAATACCAGGATGCAAGAAGGCATTCCACCGCGCTGATCTACTTGCGCGCCACACAGAAAGACAGTAAGTACGATGAGAAGGTCTAGGCAATCTGGCGTATACTAACAATGATGACAGCGAGCTTGAATCGCAAACCGAGCAGCCCTCATGGGCATCCAACTCGCGAAACTCTATCGCCTCCGAGTCTTCTGTTCCGCGCTGTATGTCAATGGACCACGGAATGTCATTAGTCGCAACATCGCATGCCCATACTATGTCCATTGGCTCGCTGGTGGCTCCTGGGATTCACCCAGATCTGGCCAACGGCTGCTCATTAATGTGGAGCGGTGTCGACCTCCCTCTGCAGCCCCGCCCGGCCTTTCAGAGCCAGCTCCCCGAGTCTGCAGATGATAGTCCCTTCTACTCTTCCCCTGCAGAGACCTGCCCCTCGCCTTTGTCGGATGCGACTTTCTCCCTCCCTCCCCACTCTAGCTCCTCAATCTCTTCTGCGTCTGTCTCCGTTATCGACCAGTATCCGAAGAGTATTATGAAGGTGGAGGCTTCGTCACCGCTCCAGATGCACACCTCTCTCCGCTGGGAAACCGAACCCGGCATGCCTCCGTCGCACATGCTTCCCATGTCCATGACGGAGAATATGATCCAACCTGTGAGTATCTGCGACTTGCCAGTTTTGAACCATTGACTAACATATCTCCAGCCTGTTCAGTGCCACTACCCTTCTCCCTCATGGTCCAGCGCAGACTGCCTTCCCTATGAAGACCAGGTCCATCACATGCAACAGTTTCAGCCCGTGAACTGGGGCATGTGAATAAGTGGATCGCGCTATTTGATCAGTCCATGTTCAGCATAGACGGTCAATTGTCCTGACCCCACCAACACACTCTCGAGCACTCTCCTCAGCACCTACTCGGCGGCAACCACCCAATGGGCGTTGGGCTGTACGGTCTAACCTTAGGCCCCATGGCAAAGGGTAACCACAGTGGGCCCTAGGGACCCCGTCCCGAGCGCCATCGGTGACTGAGAGGGATATCCAGTCTCGACCCCCTACAAATGACTCCAATTTCATTAGTAGGACGGCACTCCACCGGCTCTCCATTCTCACCCAAGATGAGACCCACCGGTCGCTTTCGGCATATGGTCTCGACTTCTCTTCCAGATTTCCTAAATAGACGGGATTCCCCCAGCAAAAAAGACAGAGATAACGATGGTTTGTCCCGATATCGGGGAGAACTCTTTTTGGTCTTGCGTTCTACGACATAGAGACTAGAGTTATTGGAGAGATGGATCTTCTATTTTTTTTGTCTTTGTTTAATGTCTTTCCTTTGTGACCTCTGACGATCATGATTTACCTCTTATTTTATTTCATTTTTCTTGGCTTGTTTTCTTTTGTTTATTATACCCCTGTTCAGGACATTCAATTGTACCACCCGTTCAATACCCCAGCATTTTGAAACCAAGAAATGCATCTGAATTCGAAATGTCAAGAACCATACGCCAATTCCAAGAAGCAAACTCCCAACTTTATTAAACCCAATTCCCATTCTAGAACCACAACTCGGTTCCTCAACGGGCCAAGTGAGATAAGCGATCTCCGACCCGAGCGGATATTGATTCCATGGAACCTGATAAACTTAGATTATGTAACACGGAACAAAGCGAAACCGCCCAAAAAACAAAAAAAAGAAAAAAAAGAAACCATATCAAATTTCGCTTAACATGCCAGAACTCAATCAAAACCCATCCAATCAGACTCTTCTCGGCCGGGTCCTGAGATCAAGTAGCTGGCTATAATGATTCTCGCAAGCGAAGCTCCACCCCATTCCCCCTCCCGCTACTCGTTAATTAATTGAAAGAAAGAAAAAAGAAAAAAGAAAAACCACAGACCATACCAAGGTTCTCTCCCATGTGGCATTGGGACGTGGTATTCTCCACTTTTGCTTTTCCTCACACGCTAGACCCGTTCCGGCGTGGTCTCCCCTTTTAGGAAAAACTTGGATGCGCATATGGGTCTGGCTTTTTTTCAGCTCGAGTGGAGGAGTAATTGTGCACATCGAGTGGGCTATGTACAACATACATATACCTCTCGTGTACAACTACGGAGCACGACTTGGACCTGTGGGAACCTGTGGAATTAGTTCCGCATGGACTGAGCTTGATTTATTTGGCTTTTCTTTTTTGGGTTTCGATCCCTTATGACAGACATCTGGTGGGGAATTGCTCGATCTGGAAGTGGGAGTACAAGACTATGTGTGCTTTGAGAGGATGGAGTATCCGTAATGGAGGACGGAATGCGGAGTTATATTCTGTGGGTTGTATACTCTGGATGGCGATATCGAAGCTCGCCATCACGTCTTGGGTGGTTTGCTTTTTGTGGGGCGAACTGGCAGTGTCGATCAGGGGGGCGTCACGCGGTTCTGGCCTTATGTTGTGGGCTTTCAGACCTGCCTGCTTGGGTGAGGATGTGCGTTGGTTCTTGGCTTGGAGACCGTGTGATCTATCTATTGCAGATGTGGAGGGGGATATGGAGTACGGAGTACGGAGTATAGGAGGAGATTTTATCTTACTGTGACGGTGGCATGCAGTATTTCATACGGAGTACGGAGGACAGTCTGTTGGGAGACTACTGGTTAAGGCCAAGTCAATTGATGTGGAGAAATGCTTGAAGAGAATGGTATTGGCTAGTCTTAGGTCTGGGCATGAGGCTTGATGGGCTATTGCCTAGATGCTTCGTCAAGTAATGTCCGAGTTTGAGAGCGGGTTCTTTATGGAGACTTCTTTTGACCGTACTTTCATCGAGCCTATGGATACGTTCTAGACTCGGCTTGCGTTTCTTCATTTCTGCCTGGTTTGTATTGGACTATGATCGGTGCCGTCGGAAGTTGGCCGTAAGTTCAAGGAAAGAAAGGTGTTTTCATTGGTCTAGTAGACAGACTTGAAGATAGATGGCTATGCAGATGATAGGACAAGTCTTCAGACATGATCAAGCGAAGAAAATGAACTTTTTTCAGTATCCCTGATGTCTGAGTAAACAGAAGTCACAGAATGTCGACGCTTTTACAGCAGAGGGAATGCCATCCCATCGCCGCGCATATCACTGCCCGCAGCATAAACCATCTTGCCCTCATCATAGTACGAGCGAATGACTTGGCCACGCCCAAAGGTAGCACGCTTCCAACCAGTCAACACCTCGACCTTGTGACCCAGACCACGGAGTCCCTCCACAACATCATCACTAATACCCTCCTCAACCCACACGGTACGGTCAGTACTCTCATCCGTCGGCGCGGCAAGGCAGAAGCGCGGCGAGTCAAGCGCTGCCTGGGGATGATATCCGAAAGCAAGCATATTGAGCAAGACCTGCACATGGCCCTGTGGCTGCATAAAGCCACCCATAACACCATACACGGAATGCAACGAGCCATCAGCGATGTTGGTGATCAAAGCAGGGATGATGGTGTGGTAGGGTCGCTTGTTCGGAGCCAGGACATTGGGATGACCTTCTTGCAGCGAGAAATTCACACCCCGGTTCTGTAGCGTGAAGCCGCATCCTGCAGGGATAATAGCGGTTCCGAAGCCGTCGTAGTTACTGTTGATAAAGGAGATACCGTTGCCTTCTTGGTCGGTCACTGCAAAGTATACCGTGTCGCAGTGGTTGTGCGCTGGACTACCGTGGTCCATGATATCCGCTGCGCGTTCTGGCGTGAACAACTTCGCCCGTTCGGCGAGATACGCGCGGTCTAGCAGGCCTTGCGATGGCACGTGTTCCACATCGGGGTCTGTTACCCACCAGCGTGCATCAGCGAAGGCGATGCGCAGACTTTCGATCACAGCGTGGAGATATTCGGTTGAGTTGTGCTGGGATTGGGTAAATTTGGGGATTTTGCCTGATTTCTCCAGTTCTTCCATGATTCCGAGCGCCATGAGCGCTACGATACCCTGGCCATTGGGCGGGTGTTCCCAGATCTCAACACCCTGGTTGGCCTCGCCATCGGTGCCGGGAGTGGCCTTGGAGACGATGTCCTGGCCGGTGAATTTGAGTGAGATTGCGTCAACCTCTTGGCTCCCGATCTCGGCATGAGCGGCTAGATCCTCAAGTGTCATGTAACCGCCTCGATCCTGTACGACTTTGACAATGGCTTCTGCAATACGGCCTTGGTAGAAACCTTTCTTGCCCTCTTCAGCAAGTGCGCGGAAGGTCTTGGCTAGAGTTAGATTCTTCATAACCTCGCCTGGATATGGAGCTCGCACGCCATCTTCAGCGGAAGGATCAACCTTGAGCATTTCACGGAAGTTGGGGGATGCATTGCGGATGTGCTTCTCAGCATCTTGCCACTGTCCGTGGGTTAGTTTACTAGCTGGCCTCGATTGGGAGCCGAGTACTCACACCCTGAGATGAAAGCTCCGAGACAGGGAATCCCTCCTCGCCAAGTTCAATTGCGGGTTGTAGAATCTGCTTGAGTGACAACTTGCCGCTGCCGAACTTCTCAATCGTATCTACCCATCCAGCAGCCGCTCCGGGCGTAGTCGCAGCGAGAGCGCTCAACATGGGTATATTTCCCGGTGCTCCGGGAGCTAGACCGAGGTCCTTGCGGATTTTCTCTAGGCTGGCACTACGGGGATACCGGCCTGAGCCATTGAGCGCATGCACTTTCTTGGTCTTGGCGTTGTAGAAGAGACAGAACATATCACCTCCAATGCCCGTAGAGCAGGGCTCAGTCATGTTGAGTCCGGCGGCTATAGAAACACATGATCAGTGCCTTGTTCCTTATTTTATTATGCAACACGGAGCGAGGCTTACCCACGGCAACAGCAGCATCCTGGATGAGAGCATTGAGTCAGCGCTGCCCAAGTTGAACGCGATGGGAGGATTGATATACATACTGCAGCGTTGCCACCTTGACTCAGGATACGGTGACCTGCAGCTGCAGCTAGAGGCTGGCTGCATGATACGATGCCCTTGGTGCTGTGGACGGTGCTCCGTCGACTGGCAAATGGGACAAAGTCCGCATTCACCCGGGTGTATACAGCTTTGGCGTTGAGCGGCATGTTGGCTTAGGAGACGCAAGTGCAGAAGTGGGATATTATGACTCTTATAAGCTTACCCCCACTCACTTCAGAATACGAAGGAGCTTGAACGTGAGGATAAAGGGAAGTACCCCGCCATTTGGAGACTTGGAGTTTAGGGTCGATGACATCGGGGTTAAAGAAGCCCCGGTGTTTACGACCATTTTGGGCCGAACTTAGCCGGAGAGGGGAGGACGCATCTCATCTTGTGATATTGACGAAATCTGACCTCAAGATCTAAGGATTAAAGAAACCTGAACACCCCAAGACTTGAATGCTCATAGATTCGAGGAACAGTAAAGAGGCGATCCCCGGCAACTCACCGCCCCTCGGAGGACAAATCCCTCATTCCGCCATCATCCCACCTCCGATCTGACTATAAAGGTCCATCTTATCTGATGAGCTGATCTAGAGCCTCAGATGGAGCAGCATGGTGGTGTTTGTCGACCTCGATGATGAGTCCGATAGATCGGCGCATTTGGAGAGGCCATTCCACTTGGCTGACCCCATCGCGTCGGAGCTACCTCCTACCGACACAGACACAAACCCCAATCGGAATGGATTCTCGGCGGCATTGAGTTGCTATCCGTATGTCTTGACCAGCAGAGAAATACAGATCCAGCTAACGCGTTCATGCAGCATCGTGAAGGAAATCGCTCGCGCCATCGATCTAAACACGCTTTATGCCCTATCGAGTACATGTCGCCAATTTCACGCAAACCTCCTCCCATTCCGCCACCAGCTAGCGAAAGAAACCCTCCGATGCGAGAATGAATACATCGAAACCCTAGCAGAAATGCTAGACAGCGGCTCTGTCCTCCCGGACAGCGTTAAATCCGTCATCCGGCTCCTAAGCCGTCCCACCGGCGAACAAAGCCGTATGACCCGCGGGAAGGTGGGCAAGTGCGCGCGCGACATGGTTGGCGAATGCCGACGCTGCGCCAAGGTTGTATGCAGAGTAAGCTTTCAACCGTCTCAAAGATCCCCACTAAGGTCGCTAACATCCACCGCAGAATTGCACAATCAAGCCACCGTCCCAAACAGCCCTCAAAAATCGTATCCGTCGTCTCTGTCGGTGCTGCGGTACAGCTCCGCTCTCTGCACATCTCTCCTATCCATCCTCGGATCCCCACGCACCCGCATGGGTGGAAGATAGCGTCGCCGCAACGGCATTCGCGCGCACTCCTTGTAACTGCGAGGAAGATATCTGGCTGTGCACGCAGTGTGGGATGACGTTGCGCAGCAATGACACGACCTATCGTCGTGTTTGGGCTTGGCGCACGCGCTACAGCACCTACCTCGGCGGCGCACTGGGGACTGGAATCGGTGAGGGCTGTCAGGGTGTGAAGTGCGGGCGCGGCGAGAGCTGTCTTGCTGCGCAGGAGATCGAGCTTGAGGTCGACTGCGAAGCTGATGAGGGATCTGTGAGTGATAGCAGTAGTACTGGGCATAGTCCTGCGGCGCCTCCATCTGGTCAGGACAGGACTGGTGTTTCCACGGATACCCATGATGACGAGGAGCCTGGGTATTTCCGACAGGAGATTATTGGGCTGGGTGGTATCCTCAAGCATAAGTCTAAGAAGAGAGTTAACGTTGGCGCTTGTGTTGTTGAGTATGAGGATGAGAGGGAGACGGGGAATTATCTTGTCAGGGAGGAGAATGGCTTGTATCGGGCCTGGTGTGGATGGTGTTCTAGGGTGATTCCGGCAAAGAACGAGGTGAATTCCTGATCTCTAGTTTTTGGATTGCTTTTTGGATTGTTTTGGGGGCATGGGTATTCGATGTCCATGCTCTACATCTTGCATTTGGAACTTCGGCGATTTTGCTATTCTTGACGACTGACTTCATGCCGCTGGCAAAGAGAACAGCTTTGCAAACGTATATTATGACTCATGACATGAGTGAATGCATTCCATCCAGGAACTAAACTGAACAGGAATCATATGAGAGCCAGTGATGAGTACAGACACTGGAATTCTATAGAGAATACAAGACACGCAAATCATGAACTTCAAAGCTTCAATATATATATATATATTTTTTTGTCTCAAGATACATGTTGAAACAAGTCTGGCTAATAAACAAGTAGACTCCTGCAATGATTCGCTCCCCAATGCAACATGTCCAACATACACTCTCCGATCATAATCAGTCTGTCAGACCACAAACCACCCAAATAAAGTAAAAAGACAAGGTTGAAAGTGAACAAAAAACAACGAAAACCGGCAAGATCCTAGTGAGCAGCAATAGCCCTCCAGATATTCTTGAGCTTCGAGTCCTCTCGAGGTGGAGACTCCTCACGCCTGTGTCGGCGTTGAGAGCGCTCCTCCCTCGTCTCCTTATAACGCCGAGAAGAACCTTCAGCCCTCCTCTCCCCTCCCTCTCTTGCCCGTTCACGCTCAGGCTCAGGCGCTCTATGCCGATCTTTCTCCCTCTCCCTCTCCCCAGACAGACCATGTTCAGCCGTCGACGAACGTCGCAATTTCCGCGTCTCAGTCCGCTCAAGACGAGGCTCATCCACGTATCGGGATCGAGTCTCAGCCCGCTCAAGACGAGGTTCCTCCTCGCGGCGCGATCGAGGCTCAGTGCGTTCACGACGAGGTTCATCCACGTGTCGGGATCGAGTCTCAGTGCGTTCACGTCGAGGCTCATCCACGTGTCGGGATCGAGTCTCAGTGCGTTCACGACGAGGCTCATCCACGTGTCGGGATCGAGTCTCGGTGCGTTCACGACGAGGTTCATCCACGTGTCGGGATCGAGTCTCGGTGCGTTCATGACGAGGCTCATCCACATGTCGGGATCGAGTCTCAGTGCGTTCACGACGAGGCTCATCCACGTGTCGGGATCGAGTCTCGGTGCGTTCACGACGAGGTTCATCCACGTGTCGGGATCGAGTCTCGGTGCGTTCATGACGAGGCTCATCCACATGTCGGGATCGAGCCTCAATCCGCTCATGACGAGGTTCATCCGCATACCGCGAACGAGCCTCAATCCGCTCATGACGAGGTTCATCGCTGCGTCGGGATAGAGATCCACTAGACCGTCCACTGGACCGACCATCAGAATATCGGTCTTCATACTCACGATCGTGGCGGCTGCCACTACTGTGGCTTCCCGAAGATCGAGGAGGCTTCTCCACAGGCGGCCCAGCCTTGGCGGCATTTAGACGCAGGAGAGGTCCGTTAGTATCTGATTTGCCTTCTGTCATGTATCGTAGGAAGGCACGTGGCTGAGGCACCAGCACGGGTGTTGGAGCCTGCTTTGACGAGGTCCTGGTTGAGCGAGAACGCTCAATTGCCTGGCTTGAGGGGCTTTCGGAAGGGCGGCGTTTGGATCTGGATTCGATAACTTCGTCCTCGTTTTCTAGTTCCCTTGGCCTCTCCCTTTCCCTGTCTCTTGCCGAGCTTCTCGAACGTTTGCTCCTCTCGGTGATGATCCCGCTGCGCTCCCGCTCATCAGCGAGAGCACGCTGCTTTCGCTGAGCCTGGGATTTCTCGTCGTGTTGGCGTCGTGCCTCTTCCAGTGCCTTCGCCCAGCGGTTGGTGAAGATACCTCGCTCACTCTTCTGGCGTTCGAGATGATCCCGACGGCTGTCGGATGAGGTCTTGGGGTGTCTACGCTCTCCCTCTACCGGTGAGCGGCGTAATCTACGGCGTCGAGCGCGGCGAGCCGCTGCGGCTTCCTCGCTTTCGTCTAGAGGTCCCTCAGGATGAGGCTCGGCGTCGATCATATCCGCCCCGCGTGTGGCGTCTTCCGGTGGCACGAGCTCGTCTAGCGCAACTTCGTCGCGAACGGAGACAGGGCTTGGCTCGGGGACTGGTTCCGGGGTAGGTTCTGGATCTGCTGGTGGGTCTTCGATGGGAAGGTCTCTGGTAGCCTCTGGCTCGGGAGTGGGCTCCTCTGGCGGTGTCTCAGGTGCTGCCTCTTCCGGCGTTGGAGTCTCGACTGGTACTGCAGCTACATCGGGCTCCGGTGTCTCAGCTGGTGCTTCGTCCGGAACTGCCGGTTCGACCGGAGATTCGTCAGGTGCCGGGGTCTCAGCTGGAGCAGGTTCGGCAGGAGCTGGCTCTTCGGGCGTTGGCTCTGGAGCAGGTGCTTCCTCTGGGATCTCCTTTGCTGCTTCCTCGGGTACGACTTCCGGTTCTACGGTGGCTTCTGCAGGTGGATCGGCAGCCGGTGCTTCTTCGACTGGAGCTGGAGCAGGAGTCTCCTCTACAGGTTCCGCGGCAGGAGGAACATCTTCGGTCACTTCCTTCTCTTCGGCAACAGGTGGCTCGGGAGCTGGCTCGGCGGGAGGCTCTGCAGCAGGTTCGGGTGTTGCTTCGGCAGGAGGCTCAGCAGCGGGCTCGGGCGTTGGCTCGGCAGGAGGTTCTTCGGCGGGAGGCTCAGCAGCGGGCTCGGGCGTTGGCTCGGCGGGAGGTTCTTCGGCGGGAGGCTCAGCAGCGGGCTCAGGTGTTGGCTCGGCGGGAGGTTCCTCGGCAGGAGGTTCAACAGGAGCGGGCTCTTCAGCCGGTGCCTCCTTCACAGGCTCTTCAGCAACAGGTTCAGCAACCGGCTCAGGTGTTGGTTCAGCAGGAGCTTCTTCAGCAGGAGGCTCGGCAGCAGGTTCAGGTGTTGGCTCGGCGGGAGGTTCTTCAGCAGGAGGCTCAGCAGCGGGCTCAGGTGTTGGCTCGGCGGGAGCTTCTTCAGTAGGAGGTTCAACAGGAGCGGGCTCTTCAGCCGGTTCCTCCTTCACAGGCTCTTCAGCAGCGGGTTCGGCAACTGGCTCAGGAGCTGGCTCGGCAGGGGCCTCCTCAGCGGGAGGATCTGCTGGAGCAGCCTCTGGAGCAGCCTCTGGAGCAGGAGCCTCCTCAGCAGGCGCAGCAGGCTCTGGGGCAGGCTCTTCAGCTGGAGGAGTAGGCTCTTCGACCGGGGCAGGCTCCTCAGCAGGAGCAGGAGCAGCTTCTTCCGGGGGGTGGCTGCCGGTGCTTCTTCGGCGGCTTTCTCAGCAGCGGGTTCTTCGGCAGGTTCAGCGGCTGGGGCTGCCTCCGCAGCAGGAGTAGGCTCTGGCTCTGGTTCTGCGGGAGGTGCTTCTTCGGCCGGTTTCTCCTCCACTGGTTCTTCAGCCACAGCGGGAGTCTCCTCCACAGGGGGAGGGGTCTCTTCAGCAGGGGCCGGTTCCTCAGCGGGAGCCGGGGCTGGTTCTTCCGGAGTCTCGGCCGGTGCTTCTTCGACTGGTGCCTCAGCAGCAGGTTCTTCAGCAGGCACTTCGGCTGGGGTTTCCTCTACCACGGGTGCTTCTTTAACTGCTTCGGGCTGCACCTCAGGCTCCGGTGCCTTTTGTGGTTCAGCCGCAGCCTCGGGCTCCGGCTCAGCTGGAGTACTCTCTTCGGCAGGTGCCTCTTTAGGAGCTTCTTCGACTACTTCGGGCTCTGTAGCTGCGGGTTCGGGAGCAGGTGTTTCCTCAGCTGGAGTCGGTTCCGCTTCAGGCTCCTTGGCGGGTTCTTCGGGGGCCTTTTCCTCTTCTGTCACAGGTGCTGCCTCAGCCTCTGCTGCTGGTGCTTCGGGTGCTGCTTCGGGCTCCGGAACTGGTTCGACTACGGGTTCTGGTACGGGTTCTGGATCCTCTGCCTTGTTCTTGTTCTTCTTGCCCTTCTTCTTCTTCTTCCCCTTACCTGCAGCCTTAGGTTCTTCCGCGGCCGGTTCAGGCGCTGCCGGTTCTTCCATGACTGGAGTCTCAGCAGCATCATCCGCAGGCTTTTCGGGCTCAGCTTCGGGCTCTGGAGCTGTTTCAGCTGCCGCTGCAGGTTCTGGCTCTGGTGCTGCTTCGGGCTCTGGCGCTGCTTCTGGCTCTGGTTCAGGCGTTGGTTCAGATGCTGGCTCTGGTGCTGGCTCTGGTGCTGGCTCTGGTGCTGCTTCTGGTTCTGGTTCGGGAGTTGGTTCAGGCTCTGGCGCTGCCTCTACTTCTGGTTCAGGCGTTGGTTCAGGCACTGGCTCTGGCGCTGGGTCCGCCTCCGGTTCAGGCGTTGGCTCCGGATCTGGCTCCTCTGCCTTGCCCTTACCCTTCTTCTTCTTCTTTTTCTTCTTACCCCCGGACTTAGTCTCTTCCGCAGGTGGATCTGGCGCTGCTGGCGGTGTCTCCGCAGCTTTTGCTGCGTTTTCCTTCTCTAAAGCTTCCTCGGCAGCCGCTTGAGCCTCTGCCTCCTTCTCAGCTGCGATTGCTTTAGCTAATTCAGGATCCTCTGCGTCTAGATCGAATGCGGGAAACTCTTCGTCTAGACCTATTGTCAGCTCCATCAGATCTAATATAAGTTTGAATACTGACCTTTGTTCGCATCTTCTGCGCCTTCGGGCTTTGGATCCTCTTCAGGCTTGGCATCGTCTGGCTTCGCCTCGTCGTCAGGCTTGGGTTCTTCGTCAGGTTTCGATTCTTCCTCGGGTTTGGATTCCTCTTCAGGTGTGGATACCTCCGGTTTTGGTTCATCTTCAGGTTTGGGTTCCTCTTCAGACTTTGGTTCCTCGGGCTTTGCATCCTCTGCGGGAGGTGCCTCTTCTACGGGAGCCTCCTCGGGCTTCTCTGCTTCTGGGGCTGGCTCATCACCAGCAGGGGGTTCGTCCTTGCCCTCCTCTTTAGGCTCATCGGGTGGAGACTCTGCTGGTGCAGCCTCTGCGGCATCTAAGCATTATGTTAATATCTGATACATCACAAATACATCCAGAGTGCCTAGACGACAAGTCTCATCGTCTATGGAAAAATGTACTTACCTGCAGACTCAGCGGCCGGGCTGTCATCGCCTTTTGGCTCCGCGGCAGGCTCTTCAGAGGCAGCGTCCTTCTCCGGTTCGGTAGTGGGCTCCTTGTTGTCCTGGTTTTGGCCCTCGGTCAGATCGGTCGTGGAATAGGTGACAGGGTAAAATTGGAAAGATTGAGATTCAAAATCAAAGGTCTGGTATTGACGCTCAAAACTTTGATAAGAGTATTGAGGGAGATCAGCATACTGGTAAACCATCCTCAACTACGGCTGCCGCCGGGTCGGGGGCAGAGTCGTGAACGGGATCTTTGTTCTCAGGTACTGGTGGTGCAGAACCGACGGGGGATCGATTGTTGTTATTGTTTTTATTGTTCTTTCCCTTCTTTGCTTTCTTAGCCATGGTCCCCGGTCAATGACGTATCATATATCGAGGCCCGGCGAGGCTGACTGGGTGCGCGTGATGTAACGAGAACCGGGACAAGGAAATTGATAAGCCGACTTGTCGGGCTCTGTGAAAAGTACCGGGGATGACAAGGTGGAACGAGGGAACAAAAGATACAAAGTCAAGTTGGAGAATAGAGGAGTAAGATTTGGGCAGGGTACATGTATTAGAAGACTAAAATGGAAACGAAGGATATGCTTGTTTCTCCGGTGACACAGAGGTCGCATTGGACAGTCATGGTGAGGCAGCGTATAATAGTTCGTCTCCCTATGCGGTCGGATGGGACGACAACAAACAGCATTACGGTTTTGGGTCCTGAACGTCATCAATGAACTGCCCGATGGAGCCACTTGTCATTGGGCCACGTCGGTCGTCGAGTCCCCATCTCCAGGGCCGACATGGTGGTTAGTGAGGCCCCAGTGCCTGGTTAGGGCCGGGTGAGAGCAGCTCGATCCCCACCGGGAGGAGTAGGTGCAGTACCAAGCAGTCAATGGTGTGATGGGATTGGGGATCGGGGAGCACATCGGTCAAGATAGGAAAAGGCAGTACTGCAGCGGCATGGAGAGCCGGGTCTATTGAAGTGGGGTGAGTGCCACCGCGAAATTTGAATTCGGTTTTTTTGTTGGCGTTTCGCTTTTCGGGCCCCAATAGCACGCCCTGCTATACCACGTTGTAATGCATTCCGTATTCCGCACATACGCACACACATGGAGATATTAAAAATGGAATCAGAAGAATGTTCGCAGGCGTACGCAACGCACGCAAGGCCACGAAGGCAATGTTTCAGCGGAAAAAAGAGCAACGCGAATGTGATGCAGACCCATTTCTGCCCAACGTCCCCCGGTAACGGCGGCAAATCAGATGCAGGCATACACCGCGTGGTGGGGAGATCAGGGCATTAACCTCGAAAAAGGATCCGGTCCTTGGATTTCCTAGCTAATTTTCCAATTCGTTGACTTGGTCCAGTGAAACGGGGAAGGCGAAACAGGGGTGGCTGGACTCGATGGCTGGAGGTGTGAATGGAGGCTGGAGGCACTGTATGGAGATTGTATGGAGATTGTGCTCCGTATGGAGATTGTATGGAATGCAGTGGATAACTGCATCTCCACTCTGGCCACCGACACGACACCGACTCTTCAAAGTCAATTCTCCATTCTTTCGCTGCCCACGGCAAGGGACAAGCAGTTGGTGATGTAATCTGCAGTTCAACTCGGTTTCAGATGTCTGCATCGTGGAGGTGGGTCAGGTGATGTTGACTGCTTCCACTCCGTGTTCTCCTGAGATTCTCATCCCAACCATCAGTCCAATCCATTGCAGATCATTGATTTGCCCGATCTTCGGGCCAAATACCAGCCACTCCTGAACTACCACGTCCGCCCGATTCCTGTCTCCAATTCGAGCGGATACCGCTAACAGAGGCCACGGCTATCCGATTGATGTGTTGACAGATTCGTCACTGGGATCCTCTTTTTCTCTAAGAATGGCATACTCCGTCCAATGTACAACATACTCTGCCCCATGTATACATACCTAAGAGAAGAGCATAGACAGGTATGGAAGCCCGCGCTTGAGTCCGAAAATAGGTGCATGCATGCCCAGCCCACTGTGTGCTTTTCTGGCGGATCAACTCGGTGCTGGTCTTCCGTGCCAGTCCCGATCTGTTGTGCGTCCTGATACAGGTCGTCAGCCAGATGGCCAAATTTGGACCTATCTACGGAGTGCATCCAGGTATCTACCCAACTTGATGCAGCGGGCCGAGCATTTCATGCCGTGTCACTTGGGGAATGACAGTGTTCGGGGCGAAATCGCAGCTGTAAGTCTAGACTTGACTAGACTTGACTGGACTTGACTAGCCTGGGCTAGCCTTGGCTAGATTTGACTAGATTTGATTCTATTCCCAGAGTTGGGCCAGTATTCTTAGGCTTGATCTCTGGAATATGGAGTCCATGGACAGAGTATACGTAAGCCATACTCTGCGCCAGTGTGTATGGCTTGGAGATGGGCATGAATATTACTCCGTTTTGCCACTGCGCTCTTTTTCCTTTTGGCTAGTCTGTTCAAAGAAGAAAGCATTTGCCGATCGGAGAGGAGAGGTCTCAAAGGCAATGGACCCTTGTTTGGTGCCTTATATTTGAGATTGCAACTAGTGGATGGATGGGTCCTTTGGGCTACGGAGTACGGAGTATATCTCCCATAGACACGTTGCAAGCAACGAGTCCGCTAGGGAATGATCCGCGTGAGAGGAAAAACGCAAGAACCGACTAGAATCGAGGGGTAATCGCAGCGCCTTCACGAATATCGCTTAGAAACATGACTTGCGTTGTCAACCCCAGGTACGGAGTATTGCAACACATATCCCGCTCATTCCCGGTGATCACTCGTTCCCCCTCACAGATGCATCGAATGTTCGCTACGAAGTAGAAGCGCTGGAGTCAAGGACGTGGCGTGATGAGTTCGTGATTGGCTGCCCCGTTATTTCGTGCAGTGGATCAATACTTGCAGTATCATTCAGATCTATCTCCCAATTTTGCGATGGAAAAGTACGTTGGAGCATGAGTGAATCTGGGGTTGGGGAAGTAAACCGCACCAACGCTAGCCAACACAGCAATAATTTGTACAGCGAAGTGTCTCTTCGACAAAGATTGACATCATGGACTCTCATATACCTCCAGGGCTAGGTACTTGATACAATCTCCGAATGAATCGAACGATCTAGCCACCCCCGGACAACGTTGTCCGGAAACTTACGAGCCCTTTTTTTCGCCTCCATAGGTACATGGAGGTACTTGTCGGAATCGGCCCATGGCAAAGAAACAGGAATGACATTATGGCAGTAGGGGTTTCAAGGTTGAGCAGCTGGGAATGAGATTGGTCCAAGAAGCGCTGCGTTGTTATTCAAATCAAGCTTAGATATGCAGTGGATGTGTTATGAATGTTGGACAGTTTCTGTGATTTGGGCACACTGCTCGTCATCATTGAACACGCTGCAGATGACCCTATAGGGGATTTTCCCTTCTCGAGATACAGAATCAAAGGGCTAGAGAACCAATAGCCGCGAAATTACCAGCGGATTTACAAAAGCGGCGATCCCCTTAGACCGATATCTTCTACTTGAACATTGATAGAGCTGGAAGAGTTCGCAACATCTATGGGTCAAAATCAATTCAGATTGGGTATCATTTCTTTTAGTGATAAACAGGTCGAAATTTTGAGGAGAGCAAACAGCCAGTTCCAAAGAATGCGGATGCAAGGAAAGAAACAAAGACCAGCTCCACATGAGTAACAAGACGAATGGGTATGGATATAAGTATTTTAGTGAGACGTGAGACGTGGGACATGAGACGTGTGTGCATAACAGAGACAGAAGACCAGCGACACCAAGAAGATATGGCAAGGCCCTTATCTGTTCAAGCAAAGCAAAAATATATACCAGAGCCAGAGAGAAGATGCAACCCAGTGATGGGTGAGAACAATCATGTGCGCATCTGTGCATCCATTGATATCCTCCATTTAGGGCCCTTGACTCTCATCAAGAAGATGACAATGCTGCTTGTGAGGCCCACAAGGCCGAGAATGGTAAAGAGCCATCCATTGCCGATGCCGTTGATGATCGGGGCTGTGACAAGAGAGCCAACGCAAGAGAAGATGTTTCGCATGAAATTGTTCAGAGCTACTCCTTCCGAGGATTTTTTCGGCATGAACTCGGTGAGCATAGTAGTCACCATACTAAAGATAAGCATTGAACCTATGCCAAAGAAGAAATTGGCTATCATCTGTTGATCCAGAGTCAGCGAGTGATGGGAGATATTAGTTATATATCGAAGTTGACATACCGGGACAAGCCAATAGACCCCCTTCTCAGCCGCCCAACCGTACCAGATCAGGCCTGCGGGATAGAGCAAAGCACCGGCCCAGGCATTCTCGCGCATTCGGTCTTCGGGTCGTAGTATCAGTCTACCTTTTTCGTCATATCGGTTGGCCTTCTTCGCCTCCCGTTGCATGATGCTGTCCATCCATTTGCCACCAAATATACTGGCTACCATGTAACCCAACGAGTTTGGAATGTACATCAAGCCAACGATAATGGTCGAGAAGTTGTATGGCGCGCTTCCGAAGGTTGATTCGACACTGATATTGAGGACGTACAGGGAACCGAAGGTAATACTGGCGTAGTAAACAGTAAGAAGGACAGGGAGGAAGCGGAGGTAGAGAATGATTTTCAGTGGATCAATGAAGACCATCTTCAAAGTCTTCAACCACCTGGCAGTGGAACGAGCAACCTGTCGCGATGAGACTCGACTCAAGGAACGGTTAATAGCCAGATCCCCCTCATCGTCAATGGCAGGTAGCACGGGCTTGTGCACAGTCAACGTCTCGGGGAGGGCGAACAAGATAAAGATCAGCGTGAGAGCACCAAAGGCCGAGAGGAACCACAGGGTACTCCGCCATCCCCAGCGCTGAGCTAGAAGACCACCAAAAATGGGTGCAAACAAAGGTCCGCACAACGGACCGAGATAAAAGATACCCATGGCCCGTCCTCGTTCCCTGGAATCCCAAAGATCGGCGATGGTGCCAGCACCAACAGCCTGAACAGAAGCAGAGGCGCCACCACTCAGCATCCGCATAACGATCAACATTCCGATGGAGTTTGAGATGGCGCAAAGGCAATTGAACACAATGAAAAGAGCAAAGGAAGCCAGATAAATGGTCCGTCGTCCAAGTCGCTCGCTAAATGACGACCACCACAATGGGAATATCGACATTGCCAGCATGTACAACGCGATTGACAAATTCGTGATGGTGGTTGTCGTATTCAACTCCTTGGTTACCTGAGATAGTGAAGCTAATAGAGACTTGATCAGATGTGATTCCAGCACTAAATTTGCCTTGAAGACTTACGATAGAAGATTGCGCTGCCCATTGGCGCTGTGGCTCCAGCAACCGCAACAATGAATGTGATGAACCATTTCATTTTGCGAGGGTATGTCTTTGGATCCTCAACCTCTGCCACCATAGCCAATTGACCAAATAAACCTCTGCGCTTGAGTCGGGCGACCTTGATGGGAGGACCGATCTCCGTCGACTGGCGCTCTAAACGCGGACGGATATCTTCCGGGTCATGTTCATCATCAGTAGGGATGCTAGAAGCTCCATCATTGTCAATATCTGACTTGGTCTCGGCTATAATGGTCGTATGTTCCTCGCTGTCCCTCGCTGTAGGCAACGACAATGCGGCGATGCCGTGTGTCTCTGAAGGCTCATGCATGTCGAACGAATGTGTCGCCATTGAATTTGGTAGTTTCGATATGGAATCTGAGTCCAAGGCAACTAGATCGTGTTATTTTTGCCAGAACCCTAGTCCTGGCTAGACGAGGGATGAAACGTGGATGCCTCCAACCACCGAAGGGAAAAGGTAACTAGAGAAAAAGATAACGAAAAGAAGTCGGCACCAGCCAACAATTAAGTGTCAAATAGCAGACTAAACCGAACTGAAAGATAATGTAAAGTGTTACAGGAATAACATGAACAGAAAAGAGTGCAGTCCTAAACAAAACAGCCGATGATCTGCTTGCGTCGAAAAACGTCGATCGATGTTCCCATAGTATGCGCGCTATAGGATCGGCAGGCACCAAAGTACATGTGCGACGTTGTATGTTGTAGGTCTAATGACTGGACCTGTACTCTGTAAGGCGAACTAGGAGAAAAATTCACCTTCTCACAAAGATTTTCTCCAAAAGATTTGAACGACCGACAAGCACCGACGAGGACCGAGACACCATAGTAATGAAATACCTTCCACTGTGGATAAATATCCGGACATGCTTGCGCGCTAACACATATTGAGTATCGCCCCACCAACCACCGTTCTTTGCCTCTTCGATACGGCAGGTCAACGGCGTGGAAAGCCAGTGATCGTTGGGCACGAATGTGCCGCTTTCCGTCGGCAAACAGTGAGGGCGGGGTATGCCGAGGCGAATTGAAGATGAACAGATGAGATAGAACACCAGAACACCAGTAGATGGCATCAGATAGTCTTTGACAGTTGCAATAGACTCATCTTGGCTTTTAGCTGAGTGGTTGCGTGATCTTTATCCACTTGTGCCCCCCTGATCCCCCGGATCCTAGACTGATATCCCTTGGCAAATTGGGTCAAGAAACACGGGGTCCAGATCTATATGATCCAGAGACACATATGTCGTCATCGAGGATATGATAGACCAAACTATACGGAGTATGGAGTACGGAGTAGTGACCTCGTCCTCTCTGCAGCCATGTGGTGGAGCGAAGAGCTGCAGGTGCAAGATGATTAATAATCCTTTAGATCTGCCCAGGTGCCCAGGTGCCCAGGTGGAGGCGAAAAGACGGTGAACTCGATCCCGATTCTCCCAACACTCAAACCCCAAAGAACCAATTGCCTCTCGAAACTCCAAATAAAGAATAAAAGGCAATCCCAAGATGACCGTGCCAATTCAAACCAATATCGACCCAAGGGCCCAGGTTCAGGCCCACCTGTCCCAATACAAGGGTGACAAGTATGTCGAGGGCTGGGCGTCCCTCTGGGACAAGGGCGACAAGCTGCCCTGGGACCGGGGATTTCCGAACCCTGCTTTCGAAGACACGCTTGTGAAACAGCGCCCTACCCTTGGCGCACCCGTTGTGACCGATGCACAGGGCCAGTCGTACAGACGGAAGGCGCTTGTTCCGGGCTGCGGGAGAGGTGTGGATGTCCTCTTGCTTGCGAGCTTTGGTTTCGATGCCTATGGCCTCGAGTACAGTGCCGGTGCTATCGAGGCCTGCAAGAAGGAAGAGAAGGATAATGCCAATTGGTACCGGGTTCGGGACCAGGCTGTTGGCAGTGGGAAGGTCACTTGGGTCCAGGGTGACTTTTTCGATGATGCTTGGTTGGAAAAGATTGGTGTACCCTTGAATAGCTTTGATATTATTTATGATTACACGGTGAGACTACCTTTTGCCTCTGCTGTATTTCCTTTCGCATTGCGCGATTGATTGCAATGCGGGGAAATTGCTACTCGATTTGCGATGAAGCATGCTTTGTTTCATGTCTATTTCTCTTGTTATTTACTGTTCCCACTCTGACTATCATGCAGTTCTTCTGTGCTCTGGAGCCATCAATGCGACCCAAGTGGGCGCTCCGACACACCCAACTTATGTCCCCTTCGCCAGCGGGCAACTTAATCTGCCTTGAGTTCCCCCGTCACAAGGATCCCCAAGCACCGGGTCCGCCATATGGGTCCTCATCAGAAGCATATGTGGCACACCTGAGCCACCCCGGCGAGGAAGTGCCGTATGATGCCAAGGGCATCGTCAAGCACGATCCTCTGCGGGCACCGAGCGAAGGTGGCTTGGAAAGAGTGGCACACTGGCAACCTGAGCGCACGCACGAGGTTGGCCAGGGCGAGAACGGGGTGATCCATGACCGAGTCTCGATCTGGCGTCGTCGTAACTAGATCCGTGACGCACCTGGCAAAACAGAACAAGATAAGCAGACCTGCAATTGCGCAGTCAAGCCCCAACCGAAAGGGCTGAGGCATAAATGAGATGATATTGGTTCTGAATAGCTTATTACTTTTTCACAAGCGCGTTGTAGTGTTCACCAAGTCCGTAGGTGTGGCGATAGTAGGCGAGCCAAATAACGCGTTTGCGCTTCTCCTCTTCGTCGAAGCTGTCGCTGTCACCAGACTCGATTTTCTCCATACGCCCATCGCTCTGGACAACGTTGATTTCCACGCCGTATGCCCGAGCAATCGCCTGCAGCTCCAATTGTCCGCCCCACTCGGCAGTCAACTTGATCTTTCGAGTGTAAGACTCCAGTGGCTCTTCCATGAACGCTTCGAAGTCTTCTTTATGTTCAGTAATGAAATCAGCCGTCACAGCCCGAACAGCTCGGTAACCGTCATGTTGCGGTGAGGCGACTGTATCGATGCGTGACTGCGTGGCTGGTTGGAGCATGATTCGGCTTGGGTCCGGCCGCAAGCCGACTCCGGACTCATCGAGCTGCTTCGCAACCGCCGAGTAAAGGCAGTGTCCATCCGGAGTCACTTCTACTTCCTTCAGACCAAGCTTCTTGAACGCAGCGTCCATGATTCCTTGTTCATTGCCTCTGTAGTTTGTTTGTGTTGCGGCCTCTTCTGCAGCTGCGGCTGATTGCGCGGCTTGTTCGGCTGCACGGCGGGCAAGACGGGCTTTTTGACGATTTGGCTTCCTTTGTTGGGATGCGGCGGGCGGCTCTGATGTAGCTTCGGCCGTTTGTTGTGCTTGTTGTGGCTCCTCGGTGGGTTTGTCTTCTTTCGAGGCTTCGTCATCTGTCGGTTGGCCATCCTCCAAGCTGAGGTCTTCGAGTCCTTCAACGGAGTCTCCATTTAGCTCTGCAATTTCTGCCTGCTGTTTCTCGGACAGCTCGCGCTGCCATTGTTCGCATTCATCATTGACTCCCTTGCGAGTTTTCTTGGTGGCGGACTTTTTCTTTTGCGTGATCCGCCCTTGGAGATCTTTTTTGCTCTTTGCGATGTTTAGCCAGAAGTTCCTCCATTGTTAAATAATGGAAATAGAACAAAAATCAAGTCTATTGCAATGCTGGTATACGCTTTGCACGAAAACAGTCAAAACACCTCATCCAGAGACCCCGCGAAACCCTGACGATGCAGCCCTAAGTCGACCCTCAAAGAGGACTAGTGTAGGCTCCTCGGTCTAAAGATCTTCCACGCCCGTGAGCCTCGGCTGGTCTGTCAAGTAATCTCGGCCTCGGTCCCGAGGGGGCGTGATGGGGATCTAGATGGGGGTGACAGATATAACAAAAGTAGCTTCTTGTTTTTCACACTTTTGATCATTCCAATCCTCTTTACAAGTTCACAATGGATTCTGCAAGTCTTTTCAATGTCAAGGTTAGATCACTACGTACTCTATCTCCTGGGCCATTCTAACGCGCCTACAGGGCAAAGTGGTGCTGGTCACCGGCGGAGCTAAAGGCATCGGTCGCATGATCTCAGAGGGCTATGTAACCAACGGCGCCACTGTCTACATCTCCTCTCGTGATGCAAAGGCCTGTGAACAAGCAGTCAACGAGCTCAATGCGCTGGGCAAGGGCAAAGCCCATGCCATCCCGGCCGATTTCTACAAGCTCGAGGATGTGAAGAAGTTGGCGGAGGAGCTGGCCAAGCGCGAAGGCAGTAAGGCACCACACATTGCACAAACAGTGATATCAATTCTCACAAGAATCCTTCTTCCTATAGAGCTCCATGTCCTCGTCAACAACTCCGGCTCGAACTGGGGCGCTCCCTACGACAAATATCCCTCCGAGGCCTTCACACGAGTCCTGACCCTCAACCTTCACCGAGTCTTTGACCTGACCCAGCTCGTTACACCACTTTTGGAGAAGGCGGCTACGCCGAACGATCCCTCCCGCATTATCAATATCGGCAGCATTGATGGACTCCGTGTTCCCGCGCTCGAGACATTCGCATACAGTTCCAGCAAGGCCGGCCTACACCACTTAAGCCGGGTGCTTGCCAACCATCTAGGCCAGAGAAATATTACGTAAGTATATATGCTGTGCTTTGCTTCTCTTATAATTATGTTTCATGGAAGGAGAGCTAATTCCATTTGCAGTTCTAACACCTTGGCCTGCGGTCCTTTCGAGAGTAAGATGATGGCTGCCACCTTGAAGGAGTTTGGTGAGACGATTAAGGCCGGTGTGCCTCTTGGTCGTATTGGAACCCCGCAGGATGTGGCTGGAGCTTGTTTGTTCTTGAGCAGCCGTGCTGGTGCGTTTGTCAACGGCGCGACTATTACAGTCGACGGCGGAAGTGTCATCGCTTCCAAGCTGTAAGCAACAATGTGAATGGCGTTGTCATGAATATAGTTTGTAAATATCTGTGTTTGGAACTCGTTCTGGATTACTCCTGTTCACTAGGACTCTGGGCATATACTTCGACTTTCAGAACATTTTCCCCAACATTCCGGTAGATGGCTGGCTACTATGCATCAGCCGCAACTGTCTTCGTTTGAATACTTTTCAGACTGATTCTTGTGAAGATTCACAGGTTTTATATTTGTAATTTGTTTGTCTTCTCCTTCCCCGGCCTCGAACGACTGTTATCTGAAGGCTTATCAGCGGCAACATAAGTGGAGCGGCGACATCATCAGTGCGAATGCCGTCATTCCCTTTCCACCTCTGCCAGGTTCATACAACATCTTGTATCAAGTTCGATTTCGTTGCCATCTCATCCATTTTGAAACTTGAACATATCATTTGATTCCAATACTGTCTCAAAGCACTGAACAAGGAAAACCTCGTGACTCAACTGCTCGGATAGCTCCTGGGCAACTACATCGTACCATAGGAGCCCAACCATCCAGCTGGTCATATAGCAGGCCGGTTGAAGCATCTGGACTTGCTGCTTTAAGTTTATTGATTCAGGGGAATAGTCGGTGTGGACGCGTCCTTGTGCAACGCACAATTCAATTTCCAGATTGTACTCCGTACACTCTCTTCATCCCCTGCCAAAGACCATGAGCTCGCCAAATGGGCATACCCGGTCTGGTTCCATTGCCATTGATCCCTTCTCAAATGCAGATGTCTATTATGGTAACGAAGATACTCTGAATGCTTTCAAGTCGAGAAGGCGTGCATTCTCGGTGGTAAGCAGCCACATCTGGGCGGTAACCCCGCGGTGACAGGTACAACAAACTTACACATCCTTTTGCTGGGATCTATAGGGCGTGAACGACTACAGTCGCGAAGATATCAATGCATTCTTTGGAACTATTCCTTCTCGACGAGGGAGCCACGGTATGCTTGCTCGGAATAATCGTACATGCGGTCAGGACGAGAGCTGACAGCAACAAACAGATGAGGCGTCAGGAAACCCTCGAAAATTCCTTATCGAGGTGGACGAGACGCTGGAGGCTCTCTTGAAGCAGGAAGATACAGATCAGAACATGCAGATCACTATCGAGGATATGGGTCCTAAGGTATGCTTGATGCTGTCGATCTTCGGAAGTGAATGCTAATCGATGTAGGTGCTTTCGGTCGGGACTGCCGGATCATCTGGACACAATCGAGTTGATGTCCGGGGCACATATATGCTTTCCAACCTCCTCCAAGAGCTTACCATTGCCAAAGATTACGGTCGCAAGCGCATTATTCTTGATGAAGCACGGCTGAGTGAGAACCCAGTATCTCGACTCTCCCGTCTGATCAAGAACTCCTTTTGGAAGGCCCTCACAAGGCGAATTGATGGCTCCAACATTGAGATAGCAGGCCGAGACCCGAAGGACTGGACTGATGATCCTCGGCCGAGAATCTATATCCCGCCGGGTGCTCCAGCGCAATTCGAATACTACGAGCGGATTGCTAAGGAACACCCTGAGCTACGTCTGGATGTGCAGATGTTGCCGGCTGAAATTACACCAGATTATGTGATCGGGCTCAATGACAAGCCCGGTCTGCTGGCTCTGGCTATGCAGAAGAAGTTGAACGAAGCAACGATGGAGACCGAATTGGTCGGTGTGCCCTTCGTAGTACCGGGAGGCCGCTTCAACGAGCTGTACGGTTGGGATAGCTACATGGAGTCTTTGGGACTACTCGTCAGCGACCGCGTTGATCTTGCCAAAGGCATGGTCATCAACTTTTGCTTCGAGATCAAGCACTACGGCAAGATCCTCAACGCAAATAGATCTTACTACCTCACCCGCTCGCAGCCGCCTTTCCTAACCGACATGGCACTGCGTGTCTATGAAAGAATCAAGAACGAGCCCGATTCCAAGGAGTTCCTGCGAAACTCTATTCTTGCAGCTATCAAAGAGTACAACAGCGTTTGGGCCACCGCACCTCGCCTCGATCCAGAGACTGGCCTATCGAGATATCGCCCTGAAGGCTGGGGTGTTCCCCCAGAGACCGAGCCGTCGCACTTCGTGCATATTCTCACCCCATATGCCGAGAAGCACGGCATGACCTTCAAGGAATTCGTCAGGGCATACAACACAAAAGCTATTATTGAGCCTAAACTCGACGAGTATTTCATGCACGATCGTGCCGTCCGCGAATCTGGTCACGATACCAGCTACCGTCTAGAGGGCGTTTGTGGAAACCTTGCTACAGTCGACCTTAACTCTTTGCTGTACAAATACGAAGTCGACATCGCACGCGCTATCCGCATCCACTTCAACGACAAGCTCCCCATCCCAGCTGAGTTCCGCACCGCCCAAACAAAGGACATCGAATTCGAGTCCTCGGCAGTTTGGGACCGTCGCGCGCGCAAGCGCAAGCAGCAGATGGATCACCTTCTCTGGGATGCTGAGAAAGGCATGTACTTTGACTACGACACAGTCAAGAAGGAGCGCACAGACTACGAAACCGCTACGACCTTCTGGGCGATGTGGGCAGGTCTGGCATCTCCCCCGCAAGCAGCAGTCATGGTCGAAAAGGCCCTGCCCCGCTTCGAGGCGTTTGGCGGCTTGGTTTCGGGCACCGAAGAGTCCCGTGGCGCTGTCGGCTTGGAGCGCCCGAACCGGCAGTGGGATTACCCGTACGGCTGGGCGCCGCAGCAAATGCTTGCATGGACGGGCTTCTTACGCTACGGTTACCAAGAAGAGGCGGAGCGGCTGGCCTACAAGTGGGTTTATATGATCACCAAGGCATTTGTTGACTTCAACGGCGTTGTCGTGGAGAAGTATGATGTCACTCGGCCTATCGATCCGCACCGGGTTGATGCCGAGTATGGCAATCAGGGCACGGACTTTAAGGGGGCTCCCCGTGAAGGGTATGTTCCCGTTCTCCTTTATTTTGATAGGTTCGATACTAACTTCCTCGCAGGTTCGGTTGGGTGAATGCTAGCTACGTTTACGGACTGGAGATCCTCAACGCCCACATGAAGCGCTCTTTGGGAACTATTACACCGTATGAGACTTATCACAAAGCCGTTGTGGCCCAGAATGCATTTTAATTGGGCTCAGTGTGGGCGGCCAAAATGAGAATAGAACATTGCATGCACAGGTGAGCGAAGGTTGGACCTTGGATATCATCCGGCAGTGTTTACTGTCCAGCGTTGGATTTTGCTTTGCAAACTTTGGGTTTCGTGATAAATAAGATCCTTTAAATAAGAAAAAAAGAATGGATGTTTAAATGAGTTCTCACTTCAGGATACATGCTCCTGTCTATTTACGGTGTGTACAAGATAGATGTTTTGTTCAATGATCTCCGGGGTAAATGATTGCCCCGCAAAATGAGCTTCGTCTGGAGTATATTCCGAACCACGGCCGCTATCTCAGCGAAAATAAGTCGGCGGTACCTCGGGGACATTCCCGACCGAAAAAAGACCGCGTTTGATAGATCCCGAAGGCGTCATTCAAGCCCTCCACAGGGGGAGGACTGCATCGATAATATGACGGGTGGGGGAGCTGGGGATCCCTGATTCTCCCGATGTTGTTCTCGTGAGCTCAGGAACTGGGGTATCAGGGGCATAAGCCTAGGTCCGCTTGTTCCTGGTTTGTTCGGCTATTGTTTTTTTTTCTTGTGTGTGCGATGCGTTGGCTGAGTTTAAGTATCCCTAGGTCTATAGAAGGAGAAAAAAGGCACGCGATCCACTTCATTTAGCCCGGGAAGTAGGTACGTAGGTACATATAGCCGTGCCAGTTCAATACCGATGTTCTGCACCTCGAACTCTCTTACATGAGAACCAAAGATACAGGTATCTAACATTGTTTCATGTCCTCGAGGCCCTAGTCCATAGTCCCAGATCTGCTGCTAGTGTTATCTGTTCCGCATGGGGTTAGTTTAAGAGAGCTGAGTTGTGCCGAGGTCCAACTCGCAGGGCGGTTTTGAGTCATTTTTTTTCTTCCATCACCAGGGTGGGCCGACCGCTATTGGATAGATGCATGTGTAGGTCATTTTTGAGTGTCATGCCTTCCGGTCTGAATTCGTCGAGGTGCTGGGATACGGGAATCTGCCCGCATATAGAGTGTTAAATATAGTGCAGTGGAGGGATGGGCGGGACATGGCAGGCTAGAGTAATTAGTTGTACGGAGTATGGTACAGTGTGTTGTTTGCTGCTTTGAGTCTATAGACCTATACCTACAAAAGGGCATATCAAATCGACAGCGAATCGCATAAACACCGACGAAAGCCGAAATCCCTTGGTTGAAGTAGCTGCATGCAGGATCTCAGTGCCCAGGTGGAGACCCGCCGAATACCGGGGCATGACAGAACGGCAGGGATGACTAAGGCAGCAATGGTATTGGGAGATCGGTTTCTCTCCGCGTTGCGACGGTGTTACTAAGAGGGATGGTCAGATGGGATCATGCGTTGCTGATTATCACGGGCAGTTTTCCGCCCAAATATATGTAATTGAGACTATTCCCAAGTCAAGGAGATGCCCCGAAGGCAGTTGGATGCACGTGAAAATTGACTTTACGGTACGTATGGTCACGGTAATGGCATGTGTCTTCGACGTCATCCGCCTTCCCGGAAATTTGCATCTTCAACGTTGAATATTCCATTTTCCCAGGCACAATCAAGCAAAAAAGGAGATAAAACCACCTGAACCAGATTCCTCTCCACGATCTGAAGAGATGCCGATGATTGTGACACCAAGGGAACGTGAATTAAAGGTGCGCAGTGGCAAAGCGCAATCCCATTAGACCGAGGATCATTAGAGCCTGGATCCTCTCTTCCGAACCAGTCGTACCCGCCTTCCGCCTTTCGGAGCGCTTTGCCCGTGAAACATTGGTCGAGCCTGAGTCTGCGATGGGAGAGTACCTAGGCATTGGAAGTATTGGTTTTACTCCCGGTGAGCCGAGCGTTTACCGACGACCTCAAGTGTGACGCATTCGAAGGTTAAATAAGTACCCCGGGTTTTCTGGCTTGTGATTGAGATCTTTCTTTTTTTTTTCTATTATAGCTTGCTTCTCTTTTTCCTCCGAGAACTTTTTTTTTTCTCATCTCTGATACATTTGCTTCCATTGTCTATACTTGGAGCTTTGCACCCCGACGTGACACAGATTCCACGTCTGAATATACCATTCGAACATATTTGTACCCTTTTTCTGTATTATACCAAAAAGTCATTATGGGTCTCCACGAAGACGAGGACCGCCAGTACGCTGCGGAGGTTCAGGCCGTTCAGAACTGGTGGAAGGACTCTCGGTGGCGCTACACCAAGCGCCCTTTCACAGCTGAGCAGATTGTGGCCAAGCGTGGCAACCTGAAGATCGAGTACCCTTCCAATGTGCAGGCAAAGAAGCTCTGGAAGATTGTTGAGTCGAACTTCCAGGTACGTGGGGGAAAAAAAAATTTCCAAAAAATTTCCGCTTCGTTGAAGGATCTTAGGTAGATACTAACTATTTTTGTGATGAACAGAACAAGCAGGCTAGCTTCACCTACGGTTGTCTCGAGCCTACCATGATCACTCAAATGTGCAAGTACCTCGATACTATCTACGTCTCTGGCTGGCAGAGCTCATCTACCGCTTCGTCCACCGACGAGCCCTCTCCCGATCTCGCTGATTACCCCATGGTACGTCACGCATATTGGCAAAGATCGAAACCCCCACATACTTACAGTTATTCCACAGGACACCGTGCCCCGCAAGGTCAACCAACTGTTCATGGCCCAGCTCTTCCACGACCGCAAGCAGCGCGAGGAGCGTGTCACCACCCCCGCTGGCCAGCGTGGAAACGTCGCCAACGTCGACTACCTGCGACCCATCATCGCCGATGCCGACACCGGACACGGCGGTCTGACCGCTGTTATGAAGCTCACCAAGCTCTTCGTTGAGCGTGGTGCCGCCGGTATTCACATTGAAGATCAGGCCCCCGGCACAAAGAAGTGTGGCCACATGGCCGGTAAGGTCCTCGTTCCCATCAGCGAGCACATCAACCGCCTGGTTGCCATCCGTGCCCAGGCCGATATCATGGGCTCCGATCTCCTGGCCATCGCCCGTACCGACTCCGAGGCCGCCACCCTTATCACCTCGACCATCGACCACCGCGACCACGCTTTCATCGTTGGCGCCACCAACGCCAGCCTCCAGCCCCTCAACGACCTGATGGTCGCCGCCGAGCAATCCGGCAAGAACGGTGCCGACCTCCAGGCCATTGAGGACCAGTGGATCAACCAGGCCGGTCTTAAGATCTTCAACGACGCTGTCATCGATGCCATCAACGCCGGCTCCAGCGCCAACAAGAAGAGCCTCATCGACCAGTACCTCGCTGCCGCCAAGGGCAAGAACAACACCGAAGCCCGTGCCATCGCCAAGAGCATCACCGGCACCGATATCTACTGGAACTGGGAGGCTCCCCGTACCCGTGAGGGCTTCTACCGCTACCAGGGTGGCACCCAGTGCGCCGTCAACCGCGCTGTCGCCTACGCTCCCTTCGCCGATCTCATCTGGATGGAGAGCAAGCTGCCCGACTACAACCAGGCCAAGGAGTTCGCCGACGGCGTGCACGCCGTCTGGCCCGAGCAGAAGTAAGTTTCTGAATATTTCCCCGTGCATCCTAAACGTTTAACTAACATCCCCCTCCAGGCTCGCCTACAACCTCTCCCCCTCCTTCAACTGGAAGAAGGCCATGCCCCGCGACGAGCAGGAGACCTACATCAAGCGCCTCGGTGCCCTCGGCTACTCATGGCAATTCATCACCCTGGCCGGTCTGCACACCACCGCCCTCATCTCCCACCAATTCTCCAAGGCGTACGCGCAAAACGGCATGCGCGCCTACGGCGAGCTGGTGCAGGAGCCCGAGATGGAGCAGGGTGTCGACGTCGTCACCCACCAGAAGTGGAGTGGTGCCAACTACGTGGATAACCTGCTGAAGATGGTTTCCGGTGGTGTGAGCAGTACCGCCGCTATGGGCAAGGGTGTTACTGAGGATCAGTTCAAGCACTGATCTGGTTTCGGGCTGCTCATGTTGATACCCTGATGGTCTTGGCTGTCTGTCTCTATATATGTGCTTGATGTCTTGCTTTTTTTAATGTCAATGTGGCGTTTTCGATGTTTTTTATATACAGACTTGGTCTGGGCTGTCGTCCGGTCTGGATGCATAGGCCAATCTTTGCATTTTGGAGATCACAGCATTGTTGATACTAGGTGAATGAATGTGATGTTCATAAATGATTTGTGTGTGTAAAAGACTGAAGTGTACTGCTGTAGCTCACCTGTAGACCCCGGCAGAGTTTTCACTGATATGATATGCTATCCATCGAAGCTATTATCCCCAGAAACGTCTAGCATCAGCGTACTGCAATGGACTGGTTATGCTGGTGGATTGGTGGTATCTATCCAATAAACCAAGTACTTATTAGATTCGGAGAAGTTCGAATCCTATACTGAAAATGGTATTGTAGCTACACTATAGAACCATCGGCGACGAGCTTACTTAGCTTGTACTTACAACGGTAGTAAAATAGTCCATTCGACAGTCCCTTGAACAATAGCGGGACTCTTAACCTCTAACTCAGCAAGCGAAGACTGTATCTTCTCCGCTTGAATTGCGTTTCTATCTATCTTACGTGCTTCGGATTCATGAGCGATGCGTTGGAGTGCCAGTTCTCTATCCTGCAAGGTTGTTGTAGAGAACGCTGGTTTCAGATGTCTGATACTTTGGTGACTACGAATTTATGATAGTCCATACAACACTAGGGCATAGTGACAAATACCTAAACCATATATATTCGAGACTATATGGAGTGCACTTACTGCGACTATCAAGCCATTAGCCCCTTTCTGTTCAGAATATATGTTGTAGTGTATCTGATAGCCCAAGACAGATAGCCAGGACGTTAGAAACGGGATCTGCAACGTTAATTCCAGGGGCGAAAAGGGTCCTTTATTTAGAGTCCGGAAGCGGTTTCGTCCGGTGGAGCAGAACGGGAAAGGCGCAGATCGTTCCTCTGGAAAGGGGGCGATTTCTCGGGGTTATAAGTGCTTGCTGTTCTGTTTATCGTCCATGGACCTCTGGGCTTCTGAGAGAGGTAGTTGAGATAATGAGATATCGCCAGAATTGGACTATGTGAAGTCATACTGTAATATAAGCTTCTGTGCCATGTGTTGCGAATCAGCGCACCCTTATGCAATGCCCCTCTAAACCTCCGAGGGAAATGCACCCTAGAAACATGACCATGCCCTTTCCAAGCTAGTCTGATTCCTGGCACCTATCAGAGGGCCTCCACATGCGTTGAAAACCCTTGGACTCTGCTGATCGCCTGCAAAGCGGGGAGTGCAGATCGTGTGAAACCGCGGCTCCTTCTGACGTATTGGGTACAGGGAGCTCAGCGCTGGGGGAGCAAGTCGCCTCAGAAGATAGACAGTCGCATTGTATTTTCACTGCGAGATATTTGAATTGAAGATCCCCACAAAAAGCAAGAAAAACAAGGAAGAAAAGGGGCCCGGCGCAAGCCCCGAAACCAGAATGGGCCGAGAGCTCGGAGCATGTGGATGCGGAGACCTTAACTCTGGTACTAAAGTGGAAGCTCCCTCAACGGATTTTTTCTTTTTCTCTTTCTCTTAAGACGATAATTTATCACTCTCATCATGGTCGCACTACCGGATTTGCAATTTACCTCGCTGGACGAGATTCCTTCGCGCATCTCCACACTTCGCAAGACCTTCTTGGAGCACAAGACCCGCGACGTAGAGTTCCGCCTCGTGCAGCTGCGCAAGCTATACTGGGCGTGAGTACTGTATCTTTCTTATCCATTGCACCTGACTAAACTTTTCCCCCAGCATCAATGATCATGAAGAGGAGATTATGGAAGCCTGCGCTCAGGATCTGGGCAAGCCTCGGTTCGAGACTAATCTTGCGGAGAGCAAATGGCTCCTCAACGACATTGTTTTCACAACGCGCAACTTGCACAAATGGGTGAAGGATGAGAAGGCCCCCGATATCGATCTGGCGTTCAAGTTCATGAACCCCAAGATCAGAAAGGATCCTCTGGGATGTGTGCTGGTCATTGGGTAAGTGCGCGGCTTTCTCCTCCGCTTCGCGCATCGCAATACACCGAGGTCTAACAAGTTCTTTTCTTTTCTAGTGCCTTCAACTTCCCCTTCCAGCTGACTATGGGTCCCGTCATCGGTGCTATCGCCGCTGGAAACACCGTAGTGATCAAGCCCAGCGAAAATGCTCCGCGCAGCGCCGCTGTGATGCAAAAGATTGTTGAGGCGAGTCTCGATCCCTCGTGCTACACAATGATTCAGGGCGGTATCCCTGAAACACAGGCCCTGCTTGCCGAACGGTGGGACAAGATCTTCTTCACGGGAGGTGCCAACGTCGGACGGATCATCGCCAAGGCTGCAGCTCCCCATCTAACTCCCGTGGTGCTCGAGCTGGGCGGTATCAACCCAGCCATTGTGACCAAGAATGCAGACCCGAGACTTGTGGCCCGCCGCATGCTCTGGGGTAAGCTCTTGAATGCTGGCCAGCTCTGCACCTCGCAGAACTACCTCCTTGTCGACAAGTCGCTGGTTCCTCGAGTCGTGGAGGAGTTCAAGATCGCTTATAAGGAGTTCTATCCCCAGGGTGCTAAGAACTCGCCCGATTATTCGCGCATCGTCAATGCAGGCGCTTTTGCCCGTCTGAAGTCTATGCTTGATAACACTAATGGCAAGATCCTGATGGGTGGCACTATGGATGAGAAGGAGCTGTTCATCGAGCCCACCGTTGTGCAGGTTGAGTCGGTTGATGACTCCATGTGTACGCAGGAGAGCTTCGGGCCTTTCATTCCCATCTTGGCTGTGGAGAACCTCGATGAGGCTATCCAGCTGGCCAATGGTGTCTGTGACACGCCGTTGGGTCTTTACCCCTTCGGTAACAAGGCTGATGTCCAGAAGAGTAAGTCTTATTTGTTTTTTTTTGCTGTATCAGATTCTCTATAGAGATAGCTGTTCTAACCCTCCATTACAGTTGTGTCTTCCACCCGTTCCGGTGGCGTTTCCTGCAATGACGCTGCTCTGCACATCCCAACATTGGCCTTCGGCGGCGTCGGCGAGAGTGGCAACGGTGCTTACCGTGGCCGCTCCAGCTTCGACGTCTGGGTGCACCGTCGTACCATCACCTCCACCCCAAGCTGGCTGGAGTCCATCCTGGCTATCCGCTACCCACCGTATGCCGGCAAGATCAGCAAGTTCAATGCTGCCAGTGTACTGCACCCCGACTTCGACCGCAACGGCAACAAGCTGGCTCTCGGCTGGCTGCGCTGCATCCTGACTCTAGGCGGGGGCAGCGCGAAGGCCGGAGCTGGTCGAGCTACCGTTGCTGCTGCCAGTAAGTAAACATATCTTTTAATTTCTCAAATTTCTTGTTATTTCCTTTGTGAATATTTCCCCCACCCGGCACATTATTATCTCCTTTCCAGGATACAGTCTGTCATCAAAGTCTTCTCCTCGTTCATCCCCAGATCGCGAAGAGAAGCAAATTCAAACTCCGAGTGACTGCTTCTCAAGATGTGAATCGTGTCTTGGGCTGCTGATACTTCAGATGGAACCATATCATTTCCCCCTTCTCATATACCCTATTTCATGTATCTCTCTTTATCATTTCCTTTCATGTCCCCATTTACTTTCTACACTCCGTCCAACCACTGCCATCCCCCAGACAATCCAAGAAAAGGAAAACTACTCCACTCATAATTCAATATTAATCAATCTACCTCTTCTCCTGTCTCACCCCCATATCATGTCCTCCCGTCCCACCTGTGCCTTCCAAACCCCGCAGATCCTACCTAAAGTTGCAAGCATCTAACCCGTAATAGTTGCCTACGTCGTCCTCCAAGTTCTCGAACGCCGATCGAAGCTGTGAACCCCCCTGAAAATTGGAACCGTTTTGATCGACACTCTTTCTAACCACTTGGAGTCGCATTGGAGTCTATCCCCGATGCACCTTTTGGTCTGGGTGTCGTGTCAATCACTTGACTTACTCTTGGGGATAATGTATGGATGATTTGCACTTGAAAATATTGGTTTAGCTTTGTAGCGATGACTTCAGGATCTCTCTACATTGCTATATTATGTAAATATTTCGCCATGTACTTTCTTTTTGGATTCTTGGGCTATGTTTTGGCTAGTTAGCTCCCTGTATACGGATGGATTTGAGTGTTTTTTTTTTCTTTCTCTTTTATCACCGTGCTTAAGTGCGCTGAATATATCGAAGCGAAGTTATATGCAACTTATTTGAAGTGACATGCCCCAAGGCCCCGGCTCTCGTGTAGCCCTACCTCGTTCAACGATGTCACAAAGTCCTCATTATCTCAACGGGATATCTAGATAGGATGTTATTTGGTAGAGCTCTGAGGCATACCCCGGTCATCCCTTAGAGCACCCTTTGGCTTGACTACTGGTGTATGCCCCGAATCCATCAAAACTTGCTCCGCGTGAACGAGGTCCAGTGGTCATATCCGCAGCTGGGCAGGCAGATCAGGCCACAGGAGAGTAATCGATACAGGCTTGATTCCCAGATAGTTGTTTTGCCGGACATGCCAGTAGACCCGGGTCCATGGAAAGTGGTTAGACTCAACAGCCGACTGCTCCGCTGTGGCTTGGGATTGTTCAGAAGGGAGAGACACCTACTCGATATGCGATTGCGATATGACCGCTCGGGGCTTTTTGCACAAGGGATTCGGCAGTTTGCTCGGGGGTTTTTGTCGGACTTAGGGTTTTAGTGGACTCAGGGGAAGATATACTGGTTAAGGATATTACGAGGGATATGGGGGATCCCAGTTGCGAAGCTTCTACAACATAAGCGGCAAGTGTAGATTTGTAGATTGTGTTGTTTCCAGTCTATGTGCTAGTGATGTTATCTAGTGAGCAGACGCAGTAGGCTGTAATGTGGATCCAATCTCGCGGCTGCTGTCTGCGGGAGACGCCAGATGTTATTCGCTGACAGATCGCCAAGTTGGAAATAGTATTATATCAAAGGTTGATCCATGTAGTCTGTGGGTGTACATGAAGGTTAAAACCCCCAATTGAGAAATCTAGACAGATGCAATGTATTCGTATCATCATTCATGCGGTCAAACGCAGTGGGCTTGAATTCGGTTCTTCTAACTTAAAGAGAGAAAAGTACATAGTGCGTTCGTCAACAGCGCCGCTCTATGCCGCGGTTACTCACACACAGATACTTGACACCCTTGTATGGTTTGACGCTCTCGCCTAGGCCGCGACTGCGGCGCTGGTCGATATTGAGACTGTCCACTTTGATACCGGAGGGCAGCCAGCCTCGCACGGAGAACGATACTGACGCTGAGTTGGGCATTAAGCTTGCGTTGACTTGAGCTTTAGTTCTGCGAGTCGGGCGGGATGAAGATGATGGGTCGAAGAATGCGGGGAGGTGGGCATTAGATTGGGGTTGGGGTTGAGTTTGAGGAGGTGTTGGAGTTTGGGGTTTAGAGTGATTTGGGGATGGGGTTGTGGTCGCAGCAGGGTCTTCTGCATCTTCTGGCTGTAAGGCAGCGGAGCGGGAGGACTTCTTTGTTGACTTCTTCTTTTTCTTCTTGCGCTTAGAGGGGTCGGAGGATCGGTTTTTCTTCGATGTACTAGCAGATGCATCGTTATAGGCGGTGGGCTCCTCATAATAGCCTTGCAAGAGGTTGGCATTGGCATCTTCGTCGGCATCCTCGAGGCTATCGTCGAAGTCATCATCGGCAGATGGATAGCCGGACACACTGCAACGCAGGGTCGCAGTGCCGGACAATGAGCCAGCATCCTTGCCAGTGGGAATCCGCCACTCCAAGAGCCCGCTTGAGGGAGTGAACTGAGCATCACCACGGCTGGCCTGCATATCCGTGATATGGCGGACAGACTGTGAGATTGGTACACTAACGACGACCTCTTCAAGTGTTGGTGCGGAGTTTCCACTCCCGCCTACACCCAAGAACGACGGTGTTGATGTGCCGGATCCGGTCCGAGTAGCTCCAGGCCGCGAGGAGGAACTTTGGCCCGGGAAATTTGTGTTCAAAGTCAGTCGCACCTCGAATTCGGAGCCAGATGACCCCAGTGATTTGCGAATATCCACAATAGCAGGTAAAAATAGCTTTTCCATATGGCTTGGTGGCTCATCCAAGTCGGGATCTATGGGGAGGAGATCAACTTCGTACCCAGCCAAAATAAATCGCCCATCCGGGGGTATGAAACTGAGCTCTCCCGGGCGTTCTTTCCACCGAGCCAATCGAACACATGGGTGGAAAACCGGTAGTTCAATCTTGCGGCCAAGGGCATGCTGACCTCCTGGTGCTGATAATGATAGGAGCAGGTCTGGAACTCCCGATATCTTCGCCGTGAATGCAATGGTTCCGGATACCAAGGCAGAAAGTAGTCGACCTGAAGGAGCCATGGTAACAGAGAGAGATTCGATAATATCGACATATAACTCGTTAGAGGTATGGCGCACACCCGGTCGTCGCCAAGGAATGGCGGGTCCCTGTGATGCACTGGCGGCGGCGAGGGATTGTTTCAAAGGATTAGTAGACCCTAGCGTTGGCGCAGATGTACTAAATCCCCCAAGATATCATTAGTTGTAGGCAATGCCATGTTCAAGCCAACGGCTACGCACCCAGGTACTCCGATTCCACCTAACAGCTTTCCCATCCACCCAGGAACCTCAACAACTTCTTGTAACGCATTAGGCTCGGTATTGCATATCGTCCCTCCATCGCACATTTCATTAAGAAGCTGTGCTACAACATCGTAATTGGATTGGATCTTAGTTGAGAGCAGTGGTGCTCCGACAAAGTCCTCGAGCACATCAATCACGCGGTGCAGGAACTCAAGCGCCAGAAGCGGTTCCGTGTCGACTTCGCTTATTGCAAGAAACAATAGATTTGACTCGACTGTCGAGAATACTGTCACTGGAGGCGAAGCGCTAGGAATGTATAGCAAAGAAGGTCGTGGGGCGGCATGGGCGAGGTAGAGGGGTAGGATGGCGGAGGCCGAGGGAGGGCGGGATCGATATACATGTTCGACGAGAGGTGCACTGTGGAGAATGGGTTAGTATACTCTTGCAAGCAGCTAGATGACGACATACTTTAGCTCATCATATATGTAGAGGGCGTCAATCTCGCTCATGTTGGCAGTTGTTTGAGGATGGGTTACTTGTCTCGGCGTAGATCGCATAGCTCTCATGTATTGCCGCTGATTCCCGCCTTCCGATAACTTTTTGGAGACAACAGACATCAAGCCATAGCATCCAGACTAGTGAGTTGGTGCGCGCTTGCCTTTTTGCCTTGTGCTAGACAACAGTGAATACGCTCTATTCACATCGATATCTCTTGAAGTCTGCATCATGAACTCCCAGCCGAAGGATGCCAAGCAGGCTCTGGCCGAGGACAAGTACGACGACTGTTTGTCCTGCAGAGTGACGGGTATGTTTATTTTTAGCCTATAGTCTGGAATGATATTGCCAGCGTGTGTTACTGATACCCGGCATAGGATCGGCCGCGTTTGTTGGTCTCGGAGTTTACAGCTACTATACTGGGATGGCCAATCTCCGAAAACAAGAGAAAGCCATCATGCAAGGCCCTACAAAATACAAAATGGGTTCGCGCAAGTTGGGCATTGCCTCAATATCCGCAACATTAGTGGGTATGGGGCTGTGGCGGGCTTTTAATTGAAAGGTGTACAATCAAACACATACTGGGGTATGTGATATGTGAGAGCGGTCGAGGTTGAGCAGAGAAGATGTTTGATAGTGACACGCAGGTTGGAAGTTGGGAGCTTTGTAAGATATTGATTGTTATTTAGTTGCAATCCAATGATAAATGCCACTCCGGGTATCGGGTATCACCACAGGCATATCCGTCTATATGCTATATCACAAGGGTAGGGGAAGAAGTAGAAGACGAAAAAAAAGAAGAAAAAGAAAGAGAGAAGAAAAAGAAACCCAAGGAAGAGAAGAACGAAACGAAACCATATGCACAGATCCCTTCCTTGTTATGCACCCGAAAAGCACCCTCATACCCGAAATCCCACCCAGTCACTGCGTGACAAACAGAAGGGAATATCCTCATCATCGCGTCGTCATCGTATACTTTGCCCAGGCCAAACCCTAGGTAAAACGGCCTCGTTTCCCACCTCCTCCCATATCTCGTCCATTATTGAGTCCGGATAAGTCGAAGAAGTCTGGGAAAGTGAATTTCCTCTTTGACCCAAGACTGGCGGGAGACTCTCTTGGCGATGGGCGCGCATTCTGCCGTGGATGGTTGGTGTGACGGTGGTGTGGACGAGCATTGCGAGGCATAACAGAAACACTCACAGGAGCGCCATCCTGCATGGTCGCAGATGAATTATCTGATGACTGCACGTCCATGTCGAGTTCTTGACACTGAGGGTATGTAGGGCCAGCAGAGAATGTGAAAACCGTGGGTGTAGCAAAAGAAGGTGCTTCGAGAGGTTGTGCAGGAGGTGTGACCGACTCCGGCTTGGGTGTAGGTAGTGGCGCGGGCGCCGAAGTGGGGGCCTGACGAGCAGTGGTTTCGAGCGTAGGTCTTTCCTTGCGGGCGGTAGCTGGCGTGGCACTTCTGTCACGCTTGTCAAGCTCTGCATCTTCATCGCTACTTTGAGCCCCAGTGCCGTCACACTTCTCAGTTGCCCATTCTCGAACCCTCCACCCCTCTCCGTCTCCGAGACCAAGGTTCTCACGATCAAGGAAGTGAAGCAGATCCTCTATCGCCTCCTGATACCCTGCCGACCTTGCCTGAGCTTGTTCACATACTGCATTCTTATACAGGTTTGTGACGGACAGAGCCGCCGCTTTGAATTGCTGGAGGAGTTGCTCCGGGGGTTGCGGGCGGGGTGTCGAGCTCGGCAAGGATGTGTTGAGGGATCTCATGGAGTCCATGGCAGGGAACGGTATCAAAGCCTTGTTGGGCGATGGCTTAAAGGGCAAAAGTGTCTGTAGTCACAGCTTCTAATGCCGTGCGTCGTCCCTCGGTGGATGCACCGTGATATGGAGGAGCTTGGGAGTGATAGAACTGCGCAGTGAGGAAGAGAGCAATGGTAAATATAAAAGAGTCACAGCCTAGCACAGATAGGACCAGGTATTTCTGAGTAGTTGTTTCCCTAGCTGTGCAACAATAAGCGGCAACAGATGTATTTCGCAAACGAAGGAACTTTCCAGGTTGTTGCAGATGACCGCCTTGGCCCGGTAACGAGAAGCCCACTTTCCGCCGGAATAACCTTCCTCCATACCGACCCGGCTGGAAGGCGGTGTCCCTATTTGCCATCTGCGCTTCTCGACGCGCTTGAATATACCCTCAGTCCTATTCAAGAATTGTTCAAGAGCATTCATGTTGTGGGCCCTATTTGAGGAATTGCTCCCACTTATGAATTGACTTGAATCTATTTAAAGACAACTACTCTCAGACTCTCCACACATTCACCACTTTCGGTTCTTTCTTCCACCACTACGCGACCCAATTAATCGCGAGCTTCTGAGAGTCTTTGTTGCACGCCCAAAGACGTGTTAAACCAGCAAATCCACCTGCGCCGCGGCGCAAAAAAATAGAATATGGCTCCTGTCCTCGCGTCCGATGCGGTCTCGCAGGCTGATACACCCATGACTGATACAAATGACGACATGGTCCCTTCGGTCCCCGTTGATAGCGCCGACGCGCAAATGACGGTACGAAAAGTTGACCCTACTTGCTTGCTCATAATATGATGGAATATTGCCTTTTTTCCATAAAGGGAACTTTATCTTTGGGGTTCAAGCTTTTGCTAATCACTTATTGCAATCTAGGGCCTCCGAGACACCCCAGATTACACGGTAAAGATGCCCTCGATAAGCGCGATGCTTTTCAAATTTATGGCTGCTAATTATTGAAAAAGGACTCCGACACTAATCCCAACACCACTGCAAGCAGCGTTGCCGGCGACGCGGCCGATGGACGTAGGCGCAGATCTGAGGCCAATAACCTGAGGAAAAGTATCCTAGGCAAGAAGCATGGTCGTCTAGATGATACAAAGGTATGTCTATAATGTACGATCACTAACAATTCTTTTTCTGATAAATGCTGTCTTGTAGGAGGATGATTCGATTCGCCGATTCCGGTACCTTCTGGGTCTCACTGATCTATTCCGCCACTTCATCGAGACCAACCCAAACCCCCAAATTAAGGAGATTATGGCCGAAATCGACCGACAAAATGCAGAGAAAGAAGAGAAAGTCCGGAAGGGTTCCAAGCGCAGTGGGGGTGCTAGTGGGGAGCGACGCCGCAGGACTGAACAGGAAGAGGACGCAGAGCTTTTACAAGATGAGAAGCACGGAGGCGATACCACCACTGTTTTCCGAGAGTCACCAGCATTCGTCCACGGTGAACTACGTGATTACCAGGTTGCTGGCTTGAACTGGCTGGTTTCGCTACATGAGAACGGTATCTCTGGTATTCTGGCTGATGAGATGGGCCTCGGCAAGACTCTGCAGACGATCTCTTTCCTCGGCTATCTCCGTTTTATCTGTGGTATCAACGGGCCTCATTTGGTTGTCGTGCCCAAATCAACCCTGGACAATTGGAAGCGGGAGTTCGCGAAGTGGATCCCTGACATTGATGTCCTGGTCCTTCAAGGCAACAAAGAAGAGCGACAACAGTTGATCAATGAGCGCTTAGCTGAAGAGGAGTTTGATGTGTGCATCACCAGTTATGAAATGATCCTCCGTGAGAAGTCGCACTTGAAGAAGTTTGCCTGGGAATACATCATCATCGACGAGGCCCACCGAATCAAGAACGAAGAATCATCGCTGTCCCAAATTATCCGCCTTTTCAACTCACGCAATCGGCTGTTGATTACTGGTACCCCATTGCAAAACAATCTGCATGAGCTGTGGGCTCTACTCAACTTCCTTTTGCCAGATGTCTTCGGCGATTCAGAGGCATTCGATCAGTGGTTCTCAAACCAAGATTCTGACCAAGACACTGTCGTGCAGCAACTCCACCGTGTTCTTCGCCCCTTCCTGCTCAGACGTGTGAAGAGTGATGTCGAAAAGAGTTTACTACCGAAGAAGGAACTAAATCTTTATGTCCCCATGTCTGAAATGCAACGGAAGTGGTATCAGAAGATTCTGGAGAAGGATATTGACGCCGTCAATGGTGCCGCCGGGAAGCGCGAGTCCAAAACACGCTTGTTGAACATTGTTATGCAGTTGCGGAAGTGCTGCAACCATCCTTATCTCTTTGAGGGTGCTGAACCAGGTCCCCCATACACGACGGACGAGCATCTTGTTTTCAACTCAGGAAAGATGGCCATTTTGGACAAGCTCCTGAAGCGCATGCAAGCGGATGGCAGTCGTGTGCTTATCTTCTCCCAGATGAGTCGTGTGCTGGATATTCTGGAAGATTACTGTGTGTTCCGAGACTATAACTACTGCCGTATTGACGGTACTACCGCCCATGAGGACCGAATTGCTGCCATTGATGACTACAACAAACCCGGATCTGACAAGTTCGTTTTCCTTCTCACTACCCGAGCGGGTGGTCTGGGCATCAACTTGACCACAGCCGATATTGTGGTTCTCTTCGACAGTGACTGGAATCCACAGGCTGATTTGCAGGCCATGGATCGTGCTCACCGTATTGGCCAAACCAAGCAGGTTAAAGTCTTCCGGTTTGTCACGGAGAATGCCATTGAAGAGAAGGTCCTCGAGCGAGCAGCTCAGAAACTCCGCTTGGATCAGCTTGTCATCCAGCAGGGTCGTGCCGGACAACAGGCCAGCAAAGCATCTTCAAAAGATGATTTGTTGGGCATGATTCAGCACGGTGCTGCCAACGTCTTTAACACCAAGGGTGCCGATGCAACCGAGGTCACTGAGGATCAGGATATCGAAAGTATTCTGCGTAAAGGTGAAGAACGGACTGCGGAGCTCAGCAAAAAATACGAGGCCCTCGGCATTGATGATTTGCAGAAGTTCTCGTCCGAGAGCGCATACGAATGGAACGGCAAAGATTTCACCGAGCGCAAGAAAGATATTGGCATCAGTTGGATCAACCCAGCCAAGCGTGAACGCAAAGAACAGTTCTATTCCATCGACAAATACTACCGCCAGGCCTTAGCCACCGGAGGCCGAACCGCCGACACAAAGCCCAAGGTCCCACGTGCTCCTAAACAAATCACTGTCCACGACTGGCAATTCTTCCCTCCTGGTCTACACGAGCTCCAGGAAAAGGAGACAGCTTATTTCCACAAGGAAATTGGGTACAAGGCCCAATTACCCGAAGGCCCCGAAGAGGAGCTTAGTGAACGAGAGGCCGAGCGAGATCTTGAACAGCAGGAGATTGACAACTCTGTCCCGCTTACCGAGGATGAGCAAGCCGAGAAAGCTCGCATGTCCGAAGAAGGATTTGCCACCTGGAATCGACGTGATTTCCAGCAATTCGTCAATGGATCTGCCAAGTTTGGCCGTACCGACTACAAGGGTATTGCTACCGAGATAGATAGCAAGGAGCCCGATGAGATCAAGGAATATGCTGAGGTTTTCTGGCGACGATACACCGAGATCCAAGATTATCCCAAGTACCTCCGAGTCATCGAACAAGGCGAGGAAAAGGTGCGGAAAATGGATCACCAACGCAAGATGCTTCGCAAAAAGCTCGAAATGTATCGCGTGCCGCTTCAGCAACTCAAGATCAACTACACTGTGTCCACCACGAACAAGAAGGTTTACACCGAAGATGAGGATCGATTCCTGCTGATCATGCTGGACAAGTATGGTGTCGAGGGCGAGGATCTGTATGAAAACATTCGTGAAGAAATTCGTGAATCCCCTTTGTTCCGTTTCGATTTCTTCATGCTCAGTCGTACGCCTGTGGAAATTGGTCGCCGCTGCACTACTTTGCTCAACACGGTGGCGAAGGAGTTTGAGCCTAACGGTGAGGGCAAAGGCCGTGGTCGCGACCGCGATGAGGACGAGGAGATTGAAGATACGCCCCCTGCCAAGAAGAAGGCTAAGAACGGAGCTGCTGTAAGTTTCTTTTACTCATCGATTATCTGGCCCCTTGATTCTAACTTTTCCACAGCCAGCCAAACAAGCCAAGAGCACTAAGACCGCCAAGGGTGGCAGCAAGACCGCCTCCACAGCCAGTTCACGAGCCCCTAGTACTGCTGCGACCAAGAAAACTCGCAAGAGATGATCTTATGAGTTGAAGAAGCGTGTATGTATAGGTTGATAGTTTGCTTGTCTTCGGGGGATTCGGATATCGGAGGGATTGTCAGGATCGGCGTTACCAGATGATCTGAAATGTACTTTTTTTTTCTTAATCCAAAATAGAGTTATTGCCTTGTTTCACTTGGCCTCAATGCTTGTTGTATAATCCTGCATCTTCATACCAAAACGTCCACCGGAGTCCGAGACACCGTGCGGATCTCAGGCCACTTTTTGCCGCCATCATGCTGCTGAAACAGCACTAACCCTAAGTCATCTAGGATGACGAAAGCGTATGTACGTTGCATCTACTCAGGAGGTCCTAAACCGATTTCAACCTGACGCTTGTTTCGAGTCCCCCGCCGAGCAACTTATCCCATGATATATCATTCCAATAGCACAAATAAACATCCAGTTCCACATACCCTGATCGTCACCAGCTCCTCAACCCAAGATTATTCTCCAAATCTTCCACCATGACAACCAAAATAAATCTCGTCGCGAACCCGCACTATCAGAAGTCCGGCACGAAATCGTACGTATACGCCATGCGCAAGTACCGCTTCAATCCGACCAAAGGCGGCCGCTATTTCCTCGGGATGACCATGATACAAACCGGTCGGCCATTTACCACCAGACCTATTGGCGGCCGTGCGCGTTTGCAGCAGGTGCTGCAGAAGAAGAGCGCCGACAGCGAAAAGGTTGAGCAAGTAGGAGCCGACGACGTACAGAACGAATCTATGTATCTTGCGGAAATTGGCATTGGCACTCCTGCGCAAACGTTGAGCTTGGACTTTGATACTGCGTCTGCCGATTTGTGGGTAAGCATATATCAGGTTCCTCTGTGCACTGGGTGTTCGGCGGCTAATAATTTCCAGGTTTGGTCCACGAAACTCTCAGCTAAGACTTTGGCGGAAAACAGGAATCATACTGTCTTTGACCCAGCGAACTCGAGCACGTACAAGGAGAAAGAAGATTCGATATGGCGGATTTCGTATGGTGACGGCTCTTCTGCCGCTGGCTTGGTCGGTAATGACGATGTTGATATCGGTGGGGTGGTGATTAGAGGTCAGGCTGTTCAAGTAGCCGATGTGTTGTCTGCCCAATTTACCCAGCGTGCTGGGGACGGGCTGCTGGGGCTTGCGTTTGGTAATAACAATACCGTCAAGCCCGAGCCTGTGAGCACACCCGTGGAGAATATGATCTCGCAGTCCGATATTCCGAGTTCGGCCAAGCTGTTCACTGCAAAATTGGGTTCGTGGCGAGATGCTGATGAGCCGGATGAGGGCGAGTCGTTCTATACTTTTGGTTATATTGATCAGGACACGGTGACGGCGGCTGAAGCAGAGATCTATTACACACCCGTCGATAACAGCAATGGCTTTTGGATGTTCGATTCCATCTGTGCCACAGTGAATGGGAAGACAATCTCTCGGACTGGAAACAAGGCTATTGCTGATACGGGGACTACACTAGCGCTGGTTGATGATGAGACTTGTCAGGCCATCTATGATGCCATCCCGGGGGCAGAGTATGACCATGACAGCCAGGGATGGATCTATCCATCCAATACACCGACTGACAAGTTGCCTGTTGTATCCTTTGCTGTTGGTGATAAGCAGTTCGCGGTCCAAAAAGGAGACTTCGGATTCGCTGAGGCCAAGGCTGGGTATGTTTATGGAGGAATTCAAAGTCGGGGTACTATGAACACAGATATTCTAGGTGATACCTTTCTGAAAGCTTTATATGCAGTAAGTAGTCCTCCTCTTATATTTCCACCGTCACTCAGGCTCAATCATTCTGTTAGGTCTTTGACGTCGGCAATCTTCGCTTTGGCGCTGTGCAGCGAAAGGAACTGCATTAGAATCTCTCTGTGCTCTCTGAGTCAAGTTAGACATATGCTACAACATTGTGTTCCACTCTATGCTTGTCTTATAATGATTGCGTTGATTTGCACTGTCAGTTCAGAGATTCAATATGCCTGTAGCATGTTTTTCAGACGGGCCAATGCTAGAACGCCTTCAAGCAATGACCAGGAAAAGGAATCAAGGGGGGAAAGTATCCTAATCCATAAATAAGAAAAAAAGACCAAAAAAAAGGTGATCGGCTCCTAGCAGTCCTTTCTCGGTAGAAGACTGCGCGAATCGAATCTGGCACCAGTCCCATTTTGGGACAGTCCCTTTTAGGTAGGACATACCCTTTCAAGGAAGAGTAGGACGTTTAAGCCAGGACAACCACACAGCCACCGGTCGGATCCGTCGACAGGGAAGGTGTTGTCCTTTTACTTAAGGGAAGAAGTGAGGACAAACATGTACTTCCCAATCGGGAAGGTGGGTTCATATCACGTGCTGATGCCTGAGCATGTGATTTCTGCCTGCGGATCATGAGTCAAAGCACTGGGATAAAGTGAACAGTGTACAGGAGATGGGAGACTCTGGCTGGTATACTCAATGCTTTAATGAACCTCTATACTAAGCTCTGCTAGATATCTCTCATATCAGTTGATCCTGTCATATGAGACAATGCTATGCTATTTGAGTGCCTCGATGGTGGGCCCCGAGAATAGAGAAGCTGCCGTTGACAGGCTCCAGTCACTACATTATCTATCAAGATGTCACAATCCACGGATAATCTGTAGATATATTTCAAAAAGATTACATATAATAAACGCTCTCGTATGCATGCTACTAAACTAATCATCATAGATCGGCCCACTTGATGATGGGCTTGATCACCTAGAGAAGATATACATGTTAGCCTGTCCTATTAACTTCAAACATCAGGGGAACCTACACTTCCTGAGTGCAAATCTGCCAGAGCTTGTTCAAGGGCATCAGGGGCATAGATTTTAGCAAGCTTGTCAACGGGGAATTTCCCTTGCTTGTATAGATCAATCAGCTGTGGAACAATCTAAAGACGAAAGATTAGTCACAATTCAAGTATCAAACCAGAGATACTCACCACAGCAGGGTTTGCGCAGCCCTCAATCACACCGACAACACGCTTGCAACCCATCATGAGTGCCAACGGGTCGATGTTAAGTGATGAGCCAGGGCGAGCCACGCCCACAATAGCCAATGTGCCTTCGTGGCCCAAAGCCTTGACAGCAGCCTCGAGCAGAGGGACTACACCAGTTGTGTCAAGGATACAATCAACCCCATCAGGGAACATATCCAATAGCCCCTGGGCAAGATCGGACACACTCTTTGTGTTCAATGTATGCGATGCGCCAAAGGACTTTGCCAGCTCGAGCTTTGCGTCAACGATATCGACCGCAATGATAGTTTCGACACCCAGAGACCGAGCAGCCAACATGGCCGCAAGCCCAACGGCGCCCATTCCAAGGACAGCAAAGCGACTTGTCGGTCTAGGCTTGAGAACATTGAAGACGGTGCCAGCACCGGTCAGATATCCACAGCCCAGCGGAGCCAGGACCGCCATGTCCTCGATCGTGATTCCAGATTCCGAAGGAGACTTGACAACCGACCGCTCATCAACCACAGCCAGTTTGCTCATGGAGGACTGGCCGAAGAACTGACCGCGGATTTGGCCCTTGCCACCCGGGAAAGAGATAGGTGACTCGGAAGCACTGAGGCCGCGCGCACCGGCGAAATTAATAGGTGTTATCTGATCACAGTATCCATTTCGGCCTTCCTTGCAGGGCGTGCAGGATTGCTTGTGGCAGGAGCTGAAGCTCAGGAACACAAGGTCGCCCTCTTGGAGGGACTTGTCTTTGACGCCACTGCCGACGCGACGGACGATTCCAGCGCCTTCGTGGCCTAGAACGGCGGGATAATCACCGACAGGGATCGCGCCTTGCTGGACAACAATATCCTGCGAATGTCTTAGTTACGCTAATATGGGCTGTGCGAGGCTGATGGGGAGCGATTCTACATACTGTGTGGCATAGGCCGGTATACTTCATCTCAACCAGAACTTCATTTGCCCGGACTTCATCCAAAATAACATCTTGAAGGACAAAGGGAGCCCCGGGTTTCTCAACCACGAATGCTGTTGTTGGGATTTGCTTTTCTGGAATCATGGCGGAATAGGAGATTTGCTTCAGTGCACATGCAAGATGCAAGAGTGGCCTTGAGAGAGATCAAGATTTGAAGATTTCACAAGCCGAAGTTAACATCCGAAGCGAGGCGACCTCAATCTTAAAAAGACATTTTCATCCTGAACTCCGACGAAGCCTTTGCTGCGGGTCTTCCCCCCGCAGGCCCGGTTTCTCCCCACAAGCGGGACTTCGGCGACGAGATTCGGTATATCTCAACGAGGCACGAGTTAGATTTCACTTTTTTCTTCACACGGACCTATTTTCTTTGATTTCTGATTGAACAAGAAAGATTTAATTGTCAAAGAAAAGAACAGCTGACACTTCCCCAGAGTCCCACTCAAGATGAAGTAGCTGCCCTGATGAACCCTCTAGAGATCCCGAGAGAAGAACCAACTCAGACCCTAAGACCAAAACTCCATTTTTGTGCTATTGTACAGTAAGATAGTTGTAAATGCTAGAATATACATAGTTATTACAGTAGATCAGTTACCACATCTTCTCCTTTCCGATGCTTTTTTCCTTCTTAACGACCCCAGCCACAGCCAGTGGAGTTCGCAAGAACTTTTCCATCAAAACCGCCGCAGCAACGCTGACATTCAGACTGTCAATACGAGCGGGATCAGACTCAACGCCCAGAATGGGACTGTGGCGGGCGCCTGGAATACTGACAATCGCATCGGCATGCGATTTGATGTGCGAGCTTAGTCCAGAGGCCTCGCTACCCATCATCAAGACACTAGGTGCGGTCATGACAGGAAGGTTGGCTTCGGCTTGCTCGCCGTCCGCTGAGAGCTGATCCAAGTATACAGAGCCAGGGCCGGGTGCATCTGCAGCATAGAATCGCCATCCATTCTGTTTAGATCTTTGAATGAAATCAACTTCGTTCGTCACATGAAGAAGAGGCATGTTCTCCGCCGCACCAGCCGAACACTTGATCGTGATGGGGGACAAAGGTGCAGAGTTGCGACCAGCTAGGACAATGGCATCGACCCCCAGAAAATAGGATGAGCGAATGATTGCGCCCATATTACCGGTATCAACAATTCCATCCAGTAGCAAGACCACTGGGTATCGATGGCGCGGTTGACTATCGTGCGGAGGCGGGGAAGGATGGTGGATCCGGATCCTATCATCGGTGCCATTTACCGCAGCTTCTTCCCGGGTTTGGGGCGCAAGCTCCGTCCGGAAATATTCTTCGGAGATAGATGGAACAGCCTGCAAGCCACGCACGGGCAATTTGGGTAAAGGGGATGCCTCCAAAATACACCCATTGTGAGGTCGCCCAGCACTCATCTTGTCCATAAGCCTAGACCAGCCTGCAAATGCCATTTTCACCGGAATGTTCTTTGACAACGCCAATTTGCGAATTGTGATCTTTCCTGCACTAAGCTCTTCATCCATTCCTTGGTAGAGATAAAGCTTGTATATTTGACGTCTGCTGCAACGCAGCGCCGCCTCCACAGCGCTGGTACCGTAAACAAATTCGGAGGCCGGTGTAGTGTAAGGTATAGTGTCGGGAACTTTGACGTTCTCCTTCACTCGCTCTGGTGTACTGTGCGTCATACGATGAGCCCGAGACTTAGATGAATCCTTTTCCCGTGGTTCGTCCATTGAAGGCCCTCCTTGTCTTGATGGGGAGAATGTGTTATCATGCGTCCGCGATTGGAATCGTGACTGGAATCGTGACTGATGTTCACGAGGAAGTCCTCGGAAATCTCCAGAACGAATGAATTCATCCGCATCAAATTCGAACTTTTCTTCCTTTCGACTTTGTCTTGGATATTGGGATTTGTTGTCATTCCATGGTGAGTCTTGTCTGTCATAGTCTTTACGACCAGAACCTTGGGATCTCCCAAAAGTTCTTTCTCCGTATGATCGGTCTTTGGAGCCATATGTTCGAGAAGCATTGTCTAAGCCGCCTGATCTTTCGTATTTTTTCTCCCCGTACTGTCGCGATCCGTGAGGCCGGCGATCATTGAAGTTTGACTCATCTGATCTTTCGTACTGTCGCGCTCCGTATTGTCGCGCCCCGTATTGCCGGTCCTCGTATTGTCGTTCACGTTGGGGCAAACGAGACTCGTTGCCGCGACGATCATCTCTGTCCACTGTTTGAGATCTGCGAATACCCCGACCAATTGCTGAATTCAATGACGCATGGCGAATAGTCAATACTGTAGGATGCACAGAGCTGATCACTCCCGACAAACGAGTATTCAGATTCGTTCTTGAAATAGTACCAAGCATTGTGATTGAGTCCTGCTCTTCTCTCGGGCTCCCGCTTGGCTGAGAAGTTGCCTATCGGACTGCGCTTTAGGTCGATACCCGCCTCCGTACTTATCGTTATCGCGTCCACGCGCCTCGCGAGAGCTTTGTATACTCTCCAGTCCCGTTTCGACTTTTTGCTTTCTCCAACTCTCTCAGCCCAGTCCTTTCTCCATCTTCTTTCATCTCTCCGTATCCTCGATTCCAGAGTGCCTTTGAGCATCCAGTCCAACCTTGCCTGGATACTCATTTGCATTCCAATCATCAACCTCTTATCATTCTGCGATTTCTCAACTTTGTTTCACTTGATTTGACTTTCCAGACCCTCATTTGAAGGAGCCGCTTGTGCGGTTCCAACAGCTTCATCTCAATCCTCTGGTCTTTCACGTGACCAGCACGCCGCCATGTCTCAATCTCAAGACATGTCCCCAACTTCTGATGATCCTGATGCAATGGCTGCACAATTGCCAGAACAGCTTCAGGGCTTAGCCCCTCGCACCACTCCTGCTACCATGGCTCAAGGCCTCGATAGCATCCCAAAGCCAGTGCAACAGATCACTGGAAATTCGGAAAAGGCAAACATGTCTTTTGAGATTGTCGTTCCAGTGATGGACAACCTTAAGGAATATGAATATTTGCCCGGCCACTTTGAGGTCTCTCGCATTCTTGCGGTGGACATGTACGAGCCAAAGCTCATTGTCAGACTGAAAAGTGGTGAACGCGAAGATGTAAGTGGATGTGATCAATCAATCAATCCCAATGTTAGTTCAAATCAACTAACCATCTATTTTGCTTAGATGACCATCAGTAAATTGAAAACTTTGAAGAACGGACCTGAAGCCTTACGAGAGTTCAACCGTGGTTCACAGAGCCCTGATCCTCTGGCAATGGACATTGACCTAATTTCACACTGCATTCAATCCACTGGAGACGGTTCTGCAGATTATGATTCGGAAATGGATTGGGGTATTGCACGAGGCCGCCAGCGACGTGGTCCGTCAGTTTCATACGATCATTTTTTCCAGAAGCTTGAAGATGAAGAAAGCGACGACGATCATAAATCAAGCAGCAGTCAAGGATACGGTGGCAATGAAATTGAAGACTCAGACGAGATTAGTGATGACGATGACGACGACGACGACGATCCTCCATCGACTCGGCGTCACTTGAGAAGAGGTGTGCAGAAGCGTCAGTCACTACGTGTCCGTGAATCCTCTGAGGAGTCTTTTACTCCCAATACTGGAAAGCGAGCATCATCTCGCCTGCGCCAGACTCGTCGCCGTAACATGAAAGAACGACTGGAGGACGATGAATACTCCGAACGTGAAATTGAGAAGCCTAAGCAACAAAGATTCTCAGGTGCCAAGGAGCAGTTCCGTGAACTGCCAGATGACAATGAATTCAGACAATGTCACTCCCAGTTCTGCATCAAATGCAACCAAGGAGATCATGACCCTGAGAAAGGGGCTCTGGTGTTCTGTCAAGGATGCACTGTATCATATCACCAAGGCTGTCTTGGTGAACGAAGCAGCCGCAAGCATTTGGTCACCAAGGTTGACGAAGGAGACTTTATTCTTCAATGCAGACTTTGTTTGGGGATCAAGAACCAGGAACACGACATGCAGCCACACGAAGGTCATTGTGCTGAATGCAGAGAACCTGGTCTCATGTCACAGCCTTTGCGACAGACCCTCTCGGCCCAGGCTGAGCAGCAATTGCGGGAGGCCAATGACGGTATAGATCCGATAACACACATGGATATGTCGCGTGTCAACAATATTGATAATGTTCTCATGAGATGCCTTGGCGAGCGCGGCTGCAAACGAGCCTTTCACGTGCAGCATCTTGCGAACATGGACTGTACCGAACATCACCCTGATAATTGGCAATGCAACGAGTGCCTAGGAACTCCCTTTGTGCCAAATCCAATCAATGTGATAGTTGCATGGAGACCGAATAATGCCGACGTCAAAGTTGTTCCGCGGTTGGTTGAAATGCTTCCAGAGGCGGACAAAGAATATCTTATCAAATGGAGCACTATGTCTTATTTCCGGGTCACCTGGATGCCTGGAGATTGGGTGTGGTCCCAGGCTAAACCGGCAAGTCTCAAGGCGTTTTTCAAATCCTCGAGATCCGACAAGCCGATTATGACAACTGCAGAGGCTGTCCCTGAAGAAAATTTGCGAGTTGACAATGTCTTTGACGTGGAATACATCAACGATCCCGAGTCCCAAGCCGATCGAGCGAACGCGGAGATGGTTAAGCGAGCATTTGTCAAGTACAAAGGACTGCCGTATGAAGACTCCGTATGGGAAGATCCTCCGAGTCAGACTGAGACCGCCCAATGGAAGGACTTCCAGATCGCGCTTGCTGACTGGGTGCGCCGAGAGGAAATCCTTGTGCCTAAGCCGAAAGAACTCAAGAGCCGTCTCGCAGTTGCCCGCACAAAAGAATTTGACCAAAGTCTTCTTCTTTACACTCAGCCCGATATGGTCACCGGGGGTGAACTCATGGAATATCAGTTAGATGGCGTGAACTGGCTTCTTTACATGTACTTCAGGCAAAGGAATGCTATTCTCGCCGACGATATGGGTCTTGGCAAGACCATTCAAATAATCACCCTGGTTTCGGCATTGATTGAGAAGCTTGAGTGCTTCCCATTCTTAATCGTTGTTCCGAACGCGACTGTACCAAACTGGCGCCGGGAGATCAAGAGCTGGGCGCCGGGCATCCGAGTTGTCACCTATTACGGCAGTGCTTTCGCTCGTGGAATGGCCAGGGATCACGAAATGTTTCATCGGGATGGTACTTTGTGCTGTCATGTGGTCATTGCATCGTATGAGAGTATGTCTGATGGTGAGGCCAAGCGAGTCTTGGGCTCAGTCAATTGGGCCGGCTTGGTAGTTGATGAAGGACAGCGCCTCAAGAATGATAAGTCCATTCTTTATGAGCGCCTTCGTCAGATGAAATTCGGATTCAAAGTGCTTCTCACGGGCACACCACTTCAAAACAATATCCGAGAGTTGTTCAATCTGATTCAATTCATTGACCCAAAGAAGGATGCCGAGAAATTGGAAAGTCAATATGGAGGAACGCTCGATAAGGACGACATTCGAGAGCTTCACGACATGATTCGGCCATGTCTTCTGCGTCGAACAAAGGCAGAGGTTTTGCCATTCCTTCCTCCGATGGTGCAGATCATCATCCCCATTTCAATGTCAGTTCTGCAGAAGAAGCTGTACAAGTCGATTCTTCAAAAGAATCCACAGCTCATCAAAGCGATATGCAAGAAACATACCGGCCAGCTGAAGCGGGCCGAGCGTCATAATCTGAATAACATCCTGATGCAGCTTCGAAAGTGCCTTTGTCATCCATTCATCTACAACCGCGACATTGAAGAGCAGTCTGGTGATCCCCAGCTTACTCATCGCCGTTTGGTTGAAGCATCCGGAAAGCTCCAATTGCTCAGCTTGATGCTGCCACGACTTCGGGAGCGTGGACATCGAGTCCTCATATTCAGTCAGTTCTTAGAGAACCTCGATATTGTCGAAGACTTCCTCACTGGTCTTGGGCTTCAGTATTGTCGCCTGGATGGCAAGCTGTCGTCGAGAGAGAAACAACAGCAAATTGATCAATTCAACGCGCCGGATTCCCCATTCTTTGCGTTTTTGCTTTCGACCCGGTCAGGTGGTGTTGGAATCAACCTCGCCACTGCGGATACTGTCATAATCATGGATCCAGATTTCAACCCGAAGCAGGACATGCAGGCTTTGTCGCGTGCCCATCGAATCGGGCAGAAAAACACCGTTCTGGTCTTCCACCTGACAGTGCGCGCATCAGTGGAAGAAAAGATCATGCAGAAGGGTAAGACCAAGATGGCACTTGATCATGTACTTATCGATCGCATGGAGGCCGATGAGGACGAGGAAGATTTGGAGTCAATTCTCAAGCATGGTGCTCAGGCATTGTTCAATGATGATGACTCGGCGGATGTGAAGTATGATATCCAGTCTATTGATAAGCTGCTGGATCGTAGCCAGGCAGAGCAGGCCGAGCAAGTGGCCAGCGAAGGAACCTCGGACCCGACGGAGCAGACGCAGTACAATTTTGCCCGAGTGTGGCAGAAAGACCGTGGTACTCTTGAAGAAGTAATCGAGACCGAGGACACGCCTGTGGATAACACAGTGTGGGAAAAGATCCTGCAAGAGCGTGAACGTGAAGCCAAAGAAGAAGCAAGTCGCCAAGCTGAGGGTCTTGGTCGTGGTAAACGAAAGCGTGGTGCTCCTGTCGTCTACAACACGCCCATCGAAGGAGTGGACGACGATGAGATCCCTAGTCCTGCCCGCCAGCCATCTAGCAAGATGCGTAAGGCCGCCGTGGACGACGATTATGTTTTCAACCAGCCAGAAGCTGATATCGAGGATGAGAGCGAGTCTGAAAACGGAATGACTGCAATGGATACCGGAGAGGATGTCCTGGCTGATGTGGAATTGGAAGAGCCATTGAACCGTAAGACCCCCTTTGTCCACCATGCACTTCTTATCACCACTCCAATAATTTTTCGCCAATTACGAACTTATTCCCTTCATATTATTCCTCGCAGCAAATATGATGCATTTCGCTGACATACATGATTTTACAATAGCTCGCGACTTCCAACGTGTGCAATCCCCCCCACCACTGCCTATGCCGCCAACAGGCACCGACGGCGCTCAAGAACCTCTCCAGCTGTGCGTGGCATGCCAACAATGCCACATGCCCGGTGGTTGCCCGCTTCGCCAATCCGGTGTCGAGTTCTGTGGTCTTTGCGGCGTGGCGCACTTCGGGGGTCGTCGCATCTGCCCCAACCTGCGGTCGATCGCGCAGATCAACCAGATGGTGGATGCGTTGGAGAAGAGCACGGAGGCCCCAGGCCTCATCTCAATCGCCAAGAGATACCTGAGAGGTGTTCTCACGTCCCATGCGCAGATCAAGCGCATGAAGGTGGCCAAGGCCGCCCAGGCCGGCCCTCACTCTCCACTGACCTCACCCTCAGTTGGTGGAGTGAGCGGCGCCTCAGTCATCGATCTGACTGAGGCCAATGAGTCGTAAAGACTCATTCTCAATTTCTTCTTGCTGCCCCTGTGGGGCAAATCGATCACATTGTGATCAAGTGCGTTCTTATCTTCGGTTCCTTTCGTGTCAGATTTTGTTAGATGTACATTGTTGAACAGATTTGCATTGGGAGGAGTTCAGTTTTTTTTGGGGATGGAAAAAAAAAAAAAAAAACAAAAAAAAGGATAGGGGGCGTTCCGGGCATTATGAGCGAATGATACCCAGAGGTCGATATGTTCAATTTAATGTTGTATGATTACACTCGTTGGTGTTGATATTTAGGCATTGTAGGTCTATCCCGAGACATCTAGGTACTCATCTTGGAATCGTGGGATCCCAAACAATTTAGAGGATGCGAATTGTATGTGTTTATAACACTCAGGAGTTGGGATCTCTCCTGATTCAACAGACCCATTACACTGCAGTGTTTCTGTGCTCTTTGGAGCTTTGGGGACAAAGACCATAAAATCCTTTGATCACACAGTGTCTGGTGTCAACATGAACCAGAATATACTGGACTTTGTATCGGATTGTACAGATTTGGTGTCACCGGCAAGCAAACTTACGCAGGTAGTGATGCTGTCGCTCTAATTGCTACTACCTCCTAGATCCGCAATGCTTCAGTAAAGGGTTTCTACTTTGCAATCTGCAGGCATTGCTAATGGTGAGCCCACTAGTGACAAACCAAAATTTAAAGCAATAAAGATGGCTATATGGCTATTCTTCCTCTTCATCATCATCCTGTAACACATCTCCATCCTCTTTCTTCATCATTCAAGACCATCGAATGGGATTCACACCATGGGTCCCCCTAAAAGCTACCATGAGCGAATGCAACACCTTACAGAGCAGTTCGCACTAATGACACAAGAGTTCACTGCTAGCATCCAAGAATTATCAGAGACCACAAGGGAGCTTACAGAGCTGGTAATCTCAGACTCAGATTTATCGCCTCAAGATGCAGATGCTCTGGTCAAAAAGGCTGATGACAATCATCATGTCCAAGGTTAGTCTACAATATCGTTGATATCTGCTTACACATTATCAAGTGGAAGAGATATTAACATGTACCCCTATCGTGTAGCAAAGAAGTCTTCAATAAAGCCAGAACCTTCAATCAAGGTCGAAGGGCCTGACCCTGATTTGGCAGCCTGTTCCCGAGAACAAAAGACGGCTGCTAGAGATATTAGTCCAGGACCATCTTCCGAGGATATTAAAATGCCCTCGGCCGCCAAATCTGATTCAACCGAATCGACCGTCAAATTTAGCGACTCAAGCTCGGAGCACAATATCATATCCAACACTCCGAAGAAGACCCTCAAAAGGAAACGTACCCCGAGTTCCGTCAAGCCATTGGATACACCACAGAATCAAAACCAGCTTTGCCTTTCGTGCTCTCAAGATTGGGGAAAGCCACTGCAGCCAGGCGAGAGGTTACTGGATTGCCTAGCTACCTCTGAGAATGGCTTCTGTTGTGATAAGTGTGCTCGTGGGGATTCCACAAGTGAACTAGTCAGTACAAAACTATGTTAGCAGAGGAATCCACTATCTAACTTAGTCTTAGCTCCCATCCCATCTTGTGGGAGATTTGGTGCAACTAAAGCGTGAGATGAACAATGCCTTGGATGCAGGAGATGCTACGGAAGAAAGTTCCCATTTTCTCGTTGGATATCAAGGTGTGTCCTCTGAAGTCCGTCGTCTATCCAATGGGACTAGGGCATTAAGCCTCAAACAAAATATGGACAAGTCACAAACCAAAGTGTCGTCAAGCTGTGGAGACCCAGGGAAGAACGCAGACAAGATCAGGTTAAAAAGTCAAGAATACTACCGGAAGAACACAGACAGGATCAGGTTGAAATTTCAAGAATATCAGCGGAAGAACGCAGACAAGGCAAGGTTGAGACAGCAAGAATACCGGCGGAAGAACGCAGACAGCATCAGGTTGAAAGATCAAGCATACCGGCAGAAGAACGCAGACAGCATCAGGTTGAAAGATCAAGCATACCGGCAGAAGAACGCAGACAAAATCAGGTTGAAAAGTCAAGCATACTACCGGAAGAACCCAGACAAGGCAAGGTTGAGACAGCAAGAAAACCGGCGGAAGAAAGCAGGCATCGTCACACAAGGAGGAACAGAGCCGTGTAATGAGAAGAACCAAATCGCATCAAGGCAGACCCAAGAGGAGGAGCCGAATTCAATATATTATCTCAAGCCAAAGGACGAATTACCAGAGAATATGCTCAAATCAGAGGACAAATTCAAGGTAGAGAACAATTCGAAGCCTAAGGATGAGCTCAAGCCAAAGGCCCAGTTGAAGCCAGCAGAGGAATTCGAGCCAAAGGATGAGCTCAAGTCGGAAGAGAAATTGCCAGAGAGTGGGCTCAAGCTGGAGGGCATCTTCAAGATAGAAGACGAGTTTAAGCTAAAAGAATGAGCTCATACGAGAGAAAACTGTGTCCAAGTTCTGGGATGAGCTGTAGCAGATCATGGGTCAAGCCGCGACAATGGTGTTCGCAGAGCTGCAGCTGGGAAGGCTCAATCGTTTTATGATGTTGGATCACCACTCCAGACTTATCTGACACTTGAAGGGGATATCAGATCTGGCAGATTGTCAGAAGGTGTTCGAAAATCATATGCTACACTCATCGGACGGGTCGAGTTAGGTCAAGCCAAGTCACGAGACCCGAATCACAACATCAGTTGTCTGACAGCATCCGATGCGATAGCATCAGAGCATATATTGAGGGAATAATTTGGGTACAATTCTTATGATTGTTGTTGTTACACCGAGGGCATATACTATATGTTCATGGTTTAAGAAAATTTGCAGGCTGTCGGTGATTTTGTCCATTTATTCATGCCAGTGATACAAACTGTGTTTTCTTGAATGCGACAGCGTAATGATTTGTAGCTTCTATTGCAGTATCTCAAGGCAGAATATCGAGTATTAAGCTGAGTTGATGTACATCAATATGTCCCATGAGAACAAATGAAGAAATTCTGTCTATATCTAGCAGAAGACCATCATAACAGTTGATTGTCCCAGTCCCTAAAACAAGACTTTGTTCTTCATATAAATGAGCCTTGATGTTTCTCTTATTCCTCTTTATTGATAGGCACTAGACTGCATATAGAAAGAATTCTCCTGGGACAAAGAGGTCTAAGTTAGGTCTTAAACATGCATGGCATTGATATAAGCATATTCTAAGTGACACCGTATAGGCAGCGCGGATGGTCCAGTTTAGAATCAAACCGGCTGTCTACTGCAGGTAGCAGCTTAAATCTGCTAAGATGTTGGTAGATTCACGATCTCTCTACTCCATTTACATGGGTCATTTATGCCTTGAGATACTCTGTTCCTATCTCCTTGTTCCTATTTCCTTCTGTATTCTTGTCCTCCGACATGTACAGAGTAATGACATGTCTGCGTGCCAATATTCTACATTGTCTGAGTCTTTTTCATCTGGTCGACTAGGGTTTCTTTGTCTCCACGGGTATGTGATTGTGATCTTGAAGATAGACACATCCCCATTGTCCGTCTATAAAAGTCCAGCGCATTTTGTAGAGTGTAATTATATTCCTCTCTTTGGTATACTGTAGATAACTGACACATCTGGACTTTATGGATGGAACAAAACTCTTAGTCCAATGTATAGGGATTTGTTCCCCGGGACTTCAGTTTCTAGTCAGATCACCTCTTTGCCCTATCCTCTTCATCCCAGCTTGTTTGTCTTTTTTTATCATTGATCACCTCTTCTGTGACCGTCACCTGTCAACCCTCAACCCTCAACCCTCTCATTTGTGCCCTCTTCTCTTTCCTTTTCCCACAAACAATCTCTTCCACCTTTCCTCTTCCCACCTTTCCCCCATCCTCCTTATTCAACTCGCATCCTTTAATCTTCTGTATCACACTTGCGGGATATTATTATTGCGCATTCTTATCCACTCTGATTTCTTATTTGTATTCTGATCAAACTACCTTTATCAAAATGGCGACTCCTGGTCGCCCTCAGTTCTTCTGTACCCGCCCTGACGGCACTCTGACTCCACTTGTGGCTGTCGATGAGTTTCCTGCTGGTGTCTCTGTCCGTGGTGTCTCTCGCGTCTTGAACGCCAGTGAGACCCAGGGTATGACCAGCTGTGGACTGGCTGCCCCTCGCCCTGACCCTTGGGCTATTGACGGAGTTGTCTACTCTTCTCCCCGTGGAGCTGGATCTGAGAACCTCTCTGAGATCCGCAATTTTCTTTTGCAGGTTTTGGGAAATGGAAATGTCCCGGAGAACATCCGGATGTCCGCCAGTCTGATACTGTTTAACGGCATCGACCGTCACGGTGCTCTTGTCGGCGAGGGAACTGCTACCGGCAGTAGAATGTCTCCTTTGGCCCCTGCGTTCTGTACCGGACCTCAGGCTGCGAGCAAAAATGTAAGACCAATGTGCAATCAACATGTCATGAGATATGTTTCTAACACTTCCCACCCAGGCTTCGCTTTCGAAGAAGGAGTACTGTTCCTACTGGATTCGACACGGCGAGTGTGACTACGCTCAGCAAGGTAAGTAGACGTTGTGACCGAGAGATCTTATACAGACCTGACTGACTCTGTGCCGCATAGGTTGCTTGTACAAGCACGAGATGCCACTTGATCTGGCCTCGCTTGAACGACTTGGTCTTCGCGACATCCCCCGTTGGTTCCGTGAAAAGCATAACCTGCCCAGTCTCGCTTACTCTGGACGCGGACTTGGAGACGCACGTCAGCCTCTCTCGATTCAGGACCGTCCTCCTATGGCTGCCCTCCCAGCCTCGGAGTCTTCTGCTAACGGCAATGGCAAGTTCCTCAAGTCGCCTCCGCGTGGCCCGGCTAACCGTGGCACGAACAACGGAGCAGGTCATAACCAGTATCGCGGCGCCCACCGTAACGGAACTGGTACCTGGAAGACCATTCATCGCAACGGTCGTAACCGTGCCATGAGCGTGACTCGTCAGAGCGCTTGCAGCGAGCAGAGCGGTGGTCAGTCCTCTAACGTCGAGACCACCCCTCCCAGCAACGAGCTCGGATTCCATGAGTGGTGCACTACAGCCCCTTCTGCGAGCTCCTCCCCTGCCCAGCCTATCGGTCACAGCCCTGCCTCCGTGTCTCGTGTCTCGCCTGTCCTCCCCAACGTTGTCGCCAGCAAGTCTCTCTTGGATGATGGTAATTCCCGCGCCCGCGTTCTTGGATTGAAGCTCGCCGAGCTGACCGAGTACAATAAAGATGTCTTCGAAGCAGTTCCCGGTATTTCCCTCGACGTCCCTCCCCGTCCCAACCTCACTGGTCGTCTGTACGAGCACAGCTCCAACCCGTCTTCGGAGGGTGGTGTGATGCTTCCAAAGGATCTCAACTTGGATTGGCGCCCAAGCACCACTTCTTTCCCTTATGCTGACGTCGCTGCGGGTAAGGTTTCTGCTTCTAGTGCCTCTTCCACCGCCGCCCAGTCGACTGGCGGCTCTTCCACCCCTCGTCTTGCGGAGCTCGCAACTGCGGACACTGGTCTTTTGCATTCCGATGACATCTGTGTCACTTGGGGTCCCATTGGAGGTCCGATCTACAAGCAAATGACTCCTCCCGCCAACTTCAATGCGCCCGCGTTTCGACCCAACTGGAAGCGCCCCGGTACCCATTAGCTGAACAACCATCATTTTCGCTCAGGACTGCCTTGCCTGGGGTAGTAATGCTTGATCTGCTGCATTAGACCCTTAGAGTTCCGTCATTTTTCGTGCCCATGTGAGATATGGGTAATCATCGACGCTGTTTCCGCTCGGTGTTTACTCGGATAGACACTCTGATACAATACACTATATCTTAACGCACGAGGAATGAGTCAGGAAACAACGATATGCAACTGCTGAGTGAGAGATGGAAGGCTGGTGTGGATGCGTCTTTGTGTTTTGCAACTCGGTTTCTTTCTTCTCGGTATCTGGACGGTTTGGGTCGTTGTGCCCTTTGCTTTTTGATGTTGATATGGACCACCTCTGTCCATATGGCATCCGCCTTTCTGTTCTTTCTTGTCTTCTTGCCCTCTTTGTTTTTGTTTTTTTGATTTTTTTGATTTGCTTTGCTTTTGATTTTCTTGCGAGGATTCTTGTTTTCGATTCTGACGGGACAGCAAATCCGGGTCCTCTTTGGACTGGATTATCTGCTGTGAGGTCAAGTCGTTGGCTGGAGTATGGCGTGGCTCTGCACTGCTGACCATCTGGTCTTGGCAGGGACAGATGGCTAAATGAATAACTTTCACAATATTCTCTTTTTTCTGACATTTCGTAGTCGCTATGTAAGGGTGAGGATTTAAATTAAAGCTTCACTTGAGGAAGCATAGTCATAGAGTGGTGAGGATGGATGCACATTACAAGGAACAAAGTAACACTGTCAGCGAGCCTCCAATGCATGGAATAAAATGACTATAGTACATTCGAAAGAAAAGATGCCAAAAATCCTGAAATATGCGCCCGCGCCTCGCAAATGTCTGACAACAGCTTCTCAAACACACCCAATATACAGTTGACGAACATCTATTACCGGCGAGTCACCTTTTTGCGAGCACCACCGACCTTGACAGCGACACGCTCCCGCTCTTCGGCGGCCTTGGCCTGGAGAACGGGGTTGAGGGAAGGAAGCACCTTGATAGCGTGAGAGACAACTGCGTTACCGTCCACCAGAGCGGCTCTCGACTCCTCGGCAGTCAGACGCTCCTTGCGCCGTGCGGCAAGCTGGTTCCGGCGGGCCTCGGTCATGTTCCAAGACTCGGGGAACTGCAGTCTGGTCTTGGGCTTGTGGTGACGGAGATCGAGGGGAATATCGGCGAAAGAGTCGCCCTCCTTGGCCTCCTTGATCATCGAGTTGACGACATCTACCAGATAACGCTTGTTCTGGGCGCGCGAGCTGAACTTCTCACTCGACATGCGGATGACATCGGTCTGGGGGTTGTAGCGCGTACCGGCCAGCTTGAGGAATGTTTGGCGCTGGGCCTCGGTGAGATACTTGGGGGTCAAATCTTGCGATGCAAGCTCCACAACGACCTTGGGCTCGGCAGGGTGCTGTTCACCCATGTAGGTAGTGTAGCGGAAGCGGAGGATGTGGGTGGGAGGAGGCAGAGTGAATGGTTTAGCAAGCTCTATGGTTTGGGGTTAGTCACTAGAAACCATCATCCGCATGAGCAATTGGTCTTACTGCTCAGCATTGGCATATCCCATGCTGTGATGCGGGCATATTCTCTCATTTCACGGTGCAATTCCATTTCTGCGTGTGCCATGGATGTGATTTCATCATCGTTGATTTCCTCGTCACCATCCTCCACTTGGGCCAACTCATCGGGTTCGTCTTCAGCCCAGAAACCTGGTTGGCGGGGACGGAGATCCTCGAATCGCATATCCTCTTCCTTATCAATCTGTTGCACGCGCTTCTCGAGGTCGTGGAAGACTGCCGCGCGCTTCACGGGGTCATTGAATTCGGCAACCAGGCGGATGTTCTCTTCGTCGAATGCCGCGCGTTCTTCGGGAGACATCAGGTCGTACATTGATCGCTGCTCTTTGGTCAAGAGGTCGACGGAGTACTCGGGCATTGGAGGGAAATCCTCCGCTTTGAGTTCCTTCGGCGGAGGAGGCATGACGGGATCTTCCTGGGCGCGATTGAGCGGCGAGGCGGAGAAGTATCGGACGGACGGGGCCATCAGGCCTCTCCGGGCCATGTACCGGGCTGGCTGAGCCAATGACCGAGCTGCTGAAGCCATTGTTGAAGATATAGCGTGGGTAGGGACAGGAGCGATGTTTTCCACTTCCACTTTTGCGAGGTTCACCGCCGTGCGCTATTCCATATTGGGCCTAGTGGATTCCGATTGCACGTGATACTATATATCATTCATGGATGACAACTTGCTCTTGATATCTCTTGTAATCCCATCTCAGTAATGCAGCTCGTGTGATAAGTTTCTGAGAATGATATTTGAGCTTTTTGCTTCCCCATCTGACCCCACAGCACCGCCACAATGAAGATGTGCTTTGTGACCGTGGGAGCCACAGCCTCCTTTAAGAAACTACTTGAACAAGTGCTCAGCTCGCAATTCCTCGAGATTTTGGCTAAGCGAGAATACACCCATCTTCTTGTCCAGTATGGTAAAGATGGCCAACAAATATTCCAAAGCTTTGTCGACAGTGAGCAACCGTGCCACGGCATCACTCTTGGGGGATTCGACTTCCAGCCAAGCATTGATGACTACTTGATGATGACCGTGGAAAGAGAGCGCCATGATCAAAAGCGCGGCCTGATTATTTGTCATGCTGGTATGATACATCATAATCTTGTGTATCAAATGTGTGAGATATCGATCACTCAAAAAACTTACACCTTTGACAGGAACTGGGACTGTGCTGGCAGGACTTCGCCTCGGCACACCCTTGATTGTGGTTCCCAATACAGACCTTGCCGACAATCACCAGCAGCAGCTTGCTGATGTGCTCGAGGAGGGCAACTACGTCATCAGTAGTTCGGTCCAGTAAATGATCTCTCCTGTTCTGTCCGTTCAGTCCGTTTGACTAACCATCAACCAGGGACGTGGGCAGTGCCATTGCCAGGGCCGAGGCTCAGAAAACTAAGATATTGTCATTGCAGCCTGGGAATACAACTCTTAGGGAGAGCATGTCTGACGAATTGGGGTTTTTGGATTGAAGGGGCCCGTTGGGGTGCTGCATAACGAACGAATCCCTTCAATTTCTAGGAGTCTGGTTGACCGACTAACGGGCTTGGGCTCTGTATGCTATCACGAGTTATGATTTTACCTTACAAAAGACTGGAGAGCGATGAACTAAGTTGTTCGAGGTTGGTCTATGAACCGTCATTCCCAAGACCAACAGAATCAATTACTTTCTGGAGCTTGGAAACCCCGACCATTCACCTTGTCACACAATTGTAAATGTGTATTTACTTCTAGGTAATTCATAACATAGTAAGTAGTACCATAATGCACTCAACATCCAAGTGTGTGCCAGTAGTCCTAGCGGTGGACTAAGTGGCCCAAGCTCCTTGTTGACAATTCCCGACTTGCGGATTTGCGGTGTCGCGTCCACTCCTGAATCAGTGACAGCATCGCCGCCCAACCACCTGAAACAATATATGTGCCTTTATCCTAACCTCCGCTCCGTCGATCTCCCGAACCGCCCATCCTAGGCCGAGAGGCCGTCTACACCCGCGCCCTGTCCTCGATCTCATCTCCCCATCCCAACCACACTCCCCGCAATGGCTGAGGCTACCCTCCACAACGTGCCAATTGTCATCGACAATGGCAGTGGCACAATCCGAGCAGGCTTCGCCGGAGAGGAAATTCCATCATGTTATTTCCCATCGTTTGTCGGTCGACCCAAACACCCCCGGGTGATGGCCGGTGGTCTGGAAGGAGACTCGTTCATTGGGTCCCGCGCACAAGAACTCCGCGGATTGCTCAAGATCCGCTATCCGTTGGAACACGGAATTGTCACGAATTGGGAGGATATGGAATCGATTTGGCACTACGTCTACGAGAACGAGCTCAAGACCCTCCCCGAAGAACACCCCGTCCTGCTCACGGAGCCACCGCTGAACCCGCGCGCCAACCGTGATATCGCGGCCCAACTAATGTTCGAGGCTTTCAATGTGCCAGCCCTGTATATGTCGATCCAGGCTGTGTTGTCGCTCTATGCGTCTGGTCGTACCACCGGTGTGGTTTTGGACTCTGGAGATGGTGTCTCCCACGCAGTGCCTGTCTTCGAGGGTTTCGCTATTCCCAACAGTATCCGGAGGATTGATGTTGCTGGACGTGATGTTACGGAGCAAATGCAATTGCTGTTGCGGAAGGCCGGCCATGTGCTGCATACCAGTGCCGAGAAGGAGGTGGTACGGATGATCAAGGAGAAGGTCTGCTACGTGTCACTAGATCCGAAGCGGGAAGAGAAGGAGTGGATGAACAGCTACCACAAGTCCGATGCCAAAGCAATGGAGTATGCACTTCCAGACGGACACAAGATCAAGGTAAGCACTGTTGGTGGAATATCGTTTGTATTGCGGATGCAACAATGCTAACGAAGTATGGATGAAGATTGGCCAAGAACGTTACCGTGCGCCTGAAATCCTCTTCGATCCCGAGCTCATCGGCCTTGAGTATCCTGGTGTGCACCAGATCGTGCAGGACGCCATCACTCGTACAGATCTCGACCTACGAAAATCGTTATATCTCAATATTGTGCTTTCTGGAGGCTCAACGCTCTGCAAGAACTTCCCTGATCGATTGATGCGAGAGATTAAGAAATTGGCAGTTGAGGACATGAAGATCCGTATCTCCGCGCCTGCTGAGCGCAAGTACACCACGTGGATTGGTGGTAGCATTCTTGCTGGACTGAGCACATTTAGAAAGGTATGTGCAATATTCTTGTGCCCACAAATCACCGCTAATTAACTGTTTTCTAGATGTGGGTAAGCGCAGACGAATGGCACGAGGACCCCGAGGTTATCCACAAGCGCTTCGCATAAGGGACTCGTTTTGAAAGTATTCGATATCATGGTGGCCTTCTTCCGAGTCAGCCTGGGATTGATCACATCCACTGCCTTCAGGGCTACTCAAAGACACCATCGCCCAATCCCGAGAACAAATAACACAAGAATAAGAACTTGTCAACGTGTATCGATCATTATGCAATTGGCAGTGCATATCACCAAATGATCGACCAACATCGCAAATCCGAGTCGCGTCTTTGCCCGACTCTTGATACCCCAGCTTCCGATTTACTCTCCAGCTCATGTCCCTTGGCATCAGCTCTCATTTTATCCGTGCAAATACAATTTCTTCTACGTCTTGGACATGAGTTTCATTCTAAACATACTTTTACTGCTAGAATATGAGGATCTGTGGATTTGATGTTGACGGGGCTAGGATTGGCCTCTTTTCACCGTAGTATCTAGACAGCTATCACTGTCCTTATTTCGTCTGAGCGGAGCAGCCCATCTTGGATGGGATGTCCACATCCCGGCGTGTTCTATTTGTATATACCAAGGTTACTCAGCAAATATGGCAGCCCTGGAGCCTCCAACAATCTACTCGTCACTCTCTCAAAAAAAAGGACCTACGGCCTAATACCTTGCAAAAGGACCGCCTTATTAAGCATTGCAAGAGCCCTAGAGACTTCATTCTTGCCACAAAGAGTATATAGAATGGACGATAGAGCATGATGTTACAGTCAAAAATATATATGCTACAACCCCAGCCTGGCCATACCTAGAGATGGATCCGCCTAACGTTCTAGAGTACAGACGTAAACACAGGACATGACTATAGCCATGAATATATCAAGCCAAAAACACCCTATCAGAACAAACTTGTATTCCAAGATCCGCACACCCATAAACCGTAAACCAGTAAACAATACAACAAAATACCTGGAAGCTCTCATGTTAAAATTGAGTAATCCAATATTGCCAACCTTGGAATATAGCAAAGTGGCGTATACATCCAACCTAGTGTAGCGCCTAGCCCCAAGGCCAAGAAGAAAATCTATAAAACATATCCCTTTCCATCCTCCGACCAGGCAATATGAGCCAGATCCCCGCCTCTCTGATTCATCCATTTACCAAGGTTCGCCGATGCTGTCATAGATACCAGAGCCGCATCCGGCTGGAGCTTCCAAGCCCACAAACGAAGAACTATGAAACAAACCCTATCATTCCCAGATTATTATGAACCCTGCCATTATTGTCGCCAGCTCACATAGCCACATCTCGAACACCCCAATGGCGTGTTCCCCGTAAGCCATTGCCACAATTATTGGGGTTTTTTTCGCGGAGGACGGACTCCTCCGCGGCCTAATCCCCTTTGTTCTCACCTGAAAGGCGTGCAACAAACATCGCCACTTCTTGTCGAACAAAGCGGAAGCTTCTAGACCGGCTGTACAAAGAAATCCCTTCCCCAACCTTCCAGAATTGGAAGGTCCCTGTCAAGGCGGCTTTGGGCGCCTACCCGCGGATCCGACAGTACAACCCGACAATGTGACGTCTCGTCATAGGTGGAACCCCAGGACGTTCTGCCCCGTACTTCGTCCAGGGTTACGAATATACGGATATACGGATATACGAATATACGATCGAAAATAAAGAGTGTAAATCTAGGAGTGTCAATCCAGCCAGGGAGACCCAAGCATGCAATTCATTGTTGACCCAGGGCTAGAAAGTAGTAGCTCGGAGTAGCGCTTTGGGGGGGAATAATGTTGAAAAAAAAAGCAGACCCGATGAATGTGTACACGAGTAGCTACAAAAAAAGGGGGATACAGGAACTCCGAGACGAGATGCAGCCAGACAATTGTTGTTCGATGGCGCTATCTGGGTGATTGTGTTGAAACCAAAAAAAAAAAAGAATATGTAACCGGTTTCCAGAACCTGGCGTTTGTCTGATGGTTTGGCTCAGGGCGCAAAATGACCATAACAAGAACATGATGGAACGCCGGTTGCTAACGAGGATAGTTCTCAATGCAAAGCAAAGGATAATGGGATTTGTGTTCGTGGTTTGGGGGGGTGTCGGTGACACATGCAGAAAGAAACAGAAGGGGGGGTATCAAGGTCTTGTGAGACGATCAACTTGGATATGGGTCCTGAGTGTTTCGGTCTGGGTGATCCGGTGGAATCCCCGTGTTGATTAAAATGAGTCGGTGAGAGAGAGAAGAGCAAAGAAACTTTTTTTGGTGTCGTTATGTCGTTGATATGTTGAATGTGGGGGATGCAATTAGGCATGAGAAGTTCCCTTGAGGCGACCCCAACCCTTCTCGAGACCGCGGCGGGCCATGTCGCGGGCACGGTCAGTCACGGAGCCGGTGCTGGAATTCGTGGCCGTGCTGGCGGCGGAGTACTTGCGACTCAGGCTGGGGGAATTGCTGCAGTCGTCACGGTACATGGTGTTTCCGGCACCGCCACGGCCGACGTGGTAGACGGGGGCGGCCTGGCGCATATCCCGTTCGAGCTCTTCGTCGAAGCTGAAGATGGCACGCTCGCTGCTACTGTGGACGTTGCCGGCACCGCCACGGCCGGAGATGAAATTCGTTGGGGTGCGAGAGTCGAGACGAGTCAGAGATGCCGGACCAGTTGCGCTGCGTGAGTCGGTGGTCTTGGTGTTCTTGAGGCTGACGACATTTCCGCATCCACCGCGGCCAGTGTAGACCGCAGGACGACCAGCGTGCGGCACCGACGGGTGCGGCTCAACGACGCGGTAATTTGAAGGCATGATTGTGTGTGATGAAAAGGGTGATTAAGAGTTCGAGGTATAGTTGCGAAGTATAGATATAAAGCTGAACAGGCTAGGCTGCAATTGCTATAATGGCAGGTCCATGTGAGGTACAGACGGGAGTTGCGAAATTTTGCTATGGATCCCCCTACGGCGGGGACAAGTAGTTTTATAGTCGAGGGCTTTCGAGTCATTCATCTCCCAGGTACAACATCCACGGGTCACAAGGTGCTGTGGGGGGGTTTTTTCGATTTTTTCATTTTTTCATTTTTTTCATTTTTCTTTCGATTTTTTCTTTATTTTTCATTTTTCATCTTTTTTTAAACTGGATTTGCCCTTTCGTCATCGCTCTAGAGCGGCCATCTCCAATTCCCCCTTTAGGTGCTGTGTCAGCACCCGCCAACGTCCTGGAAACACCCGTGTGACTTGCCGATGGGCGATGATTGGTCCGAGGGCCCCCCCGACGGCGGCAGCCCTAGCGACGGTGGTTCAATGTCTCTTGCCGCTTTTACAGGATTACCGCCCACTGGGCAACGACCAGGTCATCTGACTGGGGCTGCTCCACCAATAGAAGGTGGCAAAACGTAACAGAAACCGAGCCAGCAGCCAATCAGGGTTTCCATTACCCCCAGGAAATTCCAAAAAACACCTCATTTCTGGATCCGCCAGTCCAGATCCCATACTTGCCAATGTTCAGCATAACACACGTTATTATCCCTTGTACTCCGTAATCACACACCGCAACACCCAGTTGCGATCACGTCAGGTGTGGGAATGGCCTCATTCCTTGATCATTTGATGTCAGACTGGCATTACCACATCCTCGACAGCATAGTACATAGTCAGGTGTAGCTAGGTAGCTTGGCATACCCAGGTGACCTGCGCAGTAGTGCATCGTATGGTGTAGTCTGAAGATTTCTAGAATACCACCCCCTAACAGTGTATTTTACTGCTCCAACTATTGCATCATTTACCGGCCCGTGTCCACTTTCTATTTCCAGATGGGAACAAGGGGGCTGTTTGGCACCAGACCTGGCAGGGTTTTCCGCAACAACCTGAGCCATCGGTCTGGTCAGTCTACGACGTGATATGACCATGCAATAATGCAACTCCGTACTTCGTACGGAGTCCCTCGATGCATACGTTGTATATCAGATCTGAAATATCGAGCGTAAAATACTAGCGCTATACCGAGATTTCAGGGGGGCTGATCCACGCACGATGACCCCATCGCACTGAAATTTGCGGGATAATTCTTCCTTAGTGCACCGTAGATCCAGTCTAGGGCACCGGCTAGTGCGCATCGTACCTGATGCCTGGGAGATCGCAAACAATTCACGCATCGGTGTACAGTGCTCTGCCCACAATGCCAAGTATAATGTGTCAAGGCTGGGTTTTTTTACTTCCACGCCACCTCAGAAGAACAGCTGGCCTTGGAGTGTCTACTCCGTGCTTTGTACTTTGTACGGAGTACTTACCCCGGTGAACTCAGGTGTCCACCTCCTTTCTCTGTTGTAAGGTACCGAGGCAGCCGAAAACGGAACAGGTAAGGTGCGGTTCCCCAGACTAACGACTCTGGAAAAAAGGAAAACGGGAAAAAGAAAAAAAAAGAAAAAAAAAAAAAAAAAAGAAAAAGGAGACGAAAAATTTTCCCGCTCAGGTGCGCTGACTGGCCGAGAGATCCGAGCGGCGTTCCAGGCAAATCACCGTCTGTGCGTTTGGTTTTCCCCAGATTCTGTCGTTCCCCAGACTGGAGAGTCATGCGGTAGTCCGTGACCGTTGTTCTGCAGTTGTCCTGGAACAGTCATATTGCGATGGAGCCCTCTCACTGTACTCCGTTTTCCGTGTATGGAGAACCTACAGAGAGCACATACCAGATATCGGTAGAATGGCATTGCCGAGGAACCATCTGTCTCACGCCTCACGTGGAGGCCATTTTTATTTCCGTGGAATGTACAGCGTACATTGCAGGTCATGACAACATACGTGTCCTGTGCCAGTGACACGGCCATAGTCCCCGACATCCAGGAACAGGCTGCTATCCCGACCTCCCAATTGGACGAACCACCTGACCTGACACTCGACGTTTCGTTCACTGACAGCTATAGCCAAGCAAAACCCCCTTCCCTATATCAAACCCAACTATGCCAATAGCAAACCCAAAATGCAAAAACGAAACTGCAAAATGCAAAATGCGCGATTAAATCCCCCCCAAGTGGGTATGTAGCATTGGCAACCAGTCCCATCTGCCACCACCAATCCCCACGTCCAAACCACGCACCCCCTCAACCACAAACATAAGAACACCCTTTTTCGCATCCGCCCATTCCCCTCTCCGACCTGTTAGATAATAGCGCTGCACCATGACACATGATTATCCCTCGCCCAGGTCTCGACCGGCGCGAACCGGTAACCGAGGCCCGGTGCTGCATGCCATCCAACCTGCAAGGATCTCGCACAGATCGGCGGGATATTGGCACTACGTAGTGTGTCGAAAAAAGAGAAAAAAGACCGCTACCCAACCTTACTTACGTTAGACATGGCAGAGCTGACGCCTTGGTTATCCGCGGGTATGTACGTAGCTCCGGATGTCAGCTTCGGGAGTAAGGATGGACCAGCGCTCGGAAACAGCGCTTGGGGGGTTTGGGGATGATGGTTTTGATTGTGTAATTGTATCATTTCTTGCCTTTGATGACGCTTTGCGCGCTTTCTATGATGTGACCTGTTTGCGACGGTGCATGTCCCGTACATGCGGTCAGCTGTGTCACGTTTTGAGGCCATTGGGGCTCTGCTTGTTGGGAGGTTGGTGGCGGGGAGTAGATGTTGTACACCGATTTACAGGTGAGGGGGTTGTTGCATGTTGGATCAGTGGGGGTAGTGACGTTGGGTGTTCCTTTGGATTCGGTGCTTGGGGGTGAGATCATACCCAATGCTATACTTCGTGGATATTGCCAATCCCTATTCCGAACGTCGAGACTGGATACTCGAGTCTGGAACATGTTCTCGGTTGCGGGAGCACAGGGCAACAACACAACGCCTCTGAGCCTGGTTGGTAGTCGATTCTGAAATGCTTGGTTGGGATTTGTGCGACGTTGCTTGCCACTACGAAATATCAAACTCGCTCTCTAGCGAGGTAGGTATGTATATTGGACTCGTTCGGGACAACAACACCGTGCCATTCCCAACTTCCCTTTATTCGGGGTTGAAGTCACTGCAAAAGTATATACACCTATGCAAAGAACAACAAGATGGAAAAAAGATCCGGGTTGATGACGATCATTCCGCAGAACTCACATCAGACCCAGTTGGATGCTGCAGTTCCCGAAGGTGGCGACAGAAACTATCTGCGAGAAAGACTGGCCCTCGTATCTATAAGACCCTTTTTATGTGTTCGAAGTCACGGGCCATGGCCCATCAGCAAAATACAAGCGCCCCCTGTGCCTCCTGCTTGTAGCCCTGACCGAAATAGGAAGCCAGTGAGGAAGCCGGTGAGTAGTGATGCGATATCAGAAACCCTAATGGAGGACCCGCAAAAGTTGGGAAAACTTCGTCGAAAACGATCACCGTCGCGCAAAAGACAATCCTTCACGTGATACAGCCTGGAAGGAAGCCAATGAGAGGTCTGCAAGCTCTTCAAGAGGACCAATCAGGGGTTGCGATTGAACTGTAGGTGAAAGACTCTATCTAAGGAACGTGTACACTATCACGGAATAGCGTTGAGGCAAATAGGGAAAAGAGAGAGAGAAGGACAGAAAGAGAAGAAGTCCAATTCTTCTATCTCTGGGAAAGTTGGGGCCTTTATAGCCCCCCAGCTAGCAAACAACTATCAAAGGGCGCAGTCTACACAAAGAGGGTGGACCAACAGACACTGAGGGGCGTCCCAACAGAGAGTCGTGTTTTCGCACACTTTGATTGTCAGGGTATCCTTTCAGGGCCCAGGAGCCCAGACTGCCTAGAAGACCTGCTATGTCTTCTTCCGTCCCCAGAGATGGGAATCCTATGACCTCCACAGGACCCCATCGAACTAATTCCAAACCAGCATCCACCATTTCCGTCCGCCTACCTGACGATATCGCCTCTCTGGGCCCTTCAAGCTTTGCGGCTAGCCGAGGTGGAATGTCACGTTCATTTAGTCCATGTCTGCCTGTGGACTTTGGAAAGAGTCTCACTATGAACAGGCGTACGGAGTATAATATCGCACTCGGATACACTTCCTAGGTAGATTCCTCTATCATAAGAGGAGCAAAGTGAATTGTATTTAAGCCTGCAACTTTGACCGCCAGAATAAATTAGACGGATAGGTACTTCCTTGACACTTTCTTGATACTATTCCCTTATCACCTGATCCTTCATTCAGAATGCCCTGCTATCTAACTCAGATCTATACTACTGAGTTTCAACATGAGGTAAAAACTGAATATAGACTAGGTGCTCAATAGATGCCCTCTGACTATCTGGTTTCTCGATGCATGCTATCGAAACTCTATATCAGTCTATATGGACCGGTGTGGATTGAATCTCACAAATTCAGGAATCTCCAAGCTGAGCATCCGACACCCAATGAGTACCACCAGCACAACGATATCCACCGGCTTGTTTGAGCCATTGAAAGCCAGCGATACAGAGCCCCATGGTTCTCAGCTTCGTCTGATTAGCTTGTTCCTTCCGACGAGCCTCGGCCAGAGCCTCCTGCTGCTTTCTGAGCTTCTCTAGGATTGCTTCCTGTCTTCTGCGCTCCAGTTCATGTTTTAACCGGGCTTGCTCGTGACGTCTTTTAGCATCCTCGTCTGCTTTCTTATTTGCATCTTCCAGTTCCCGTGCAGCCTTTTCCTCTTCCTCCTTGAGTTTCAAGACCATCTCCTTCTGCCTGTCCTCTTCCTCTTGCACGCGCAAGTACTCCTTTTCTCGTTCCTCTGCCAAAGCTTTATCTTTTTCGAGTTGATCCCAAACTTCGTCTGTAACACCATCATCTCGCTTTGCTGTGGTAGTGGCCTTCTCGGTCTGACACTCGGTCTTTGTGTCGGGTTTAGTCGATGTCATGTCCATGTCGACCGGGTTTTGGCTGTCCAGCTTTGTCACAGGGCTGCTACTAATTTGAGTGCGTACAGGAAGGTCGGCAATCTGCTCTCCACCATTGAATCCGGTTGATGGGGGGATTTGCAAGTATTGTTTCCCGCTGGATCGCTCGTTGATCATTGAGTCGAGCACTTCGAGCACGGTATCTTTGCCCAGAGCCAGCCTTTTCCCACTGGACGACTGAAGAACCTTGCCAAATATTGTTTTTTTGAGTGTCTCAACATCTCGTGCATTTGCCCATCCCGGAGTGCGTGAGAGCCTGTCAAAACGTTGGACCATTCCCCTCATAAACCCGGAATCAGGGCTTTCCAGACAGACTAAATCAAATTGGGCCTGTGAATTGCTTAACAAATCATTCTTCTCTTTCAGCAAAAGCTTGCATAGCAACTGGATACAATCCGCTGAAGGCAAGGGGCCGAATTGAACAGAAGCCGAGAAACGACTTCTGAGGCCTGCATTGACCTGTAAGAGTCGCTCTATGTCTGCGTCATAACCGGCTAGAATGATTATCAGTTTTTGGGCGAACTTAGGTTTGGTAATCCCATCCACGATCTCATCCATAGCCTCTTGGGCGAATTTTCCGTCCGCGAGGCGATAGGCTTCATCAATGAAAAGTACCTTTCCAAGACCACGTTCAAGGACTTGCTGGGTTTTTGGGCCTGTTTGGCCTACGTATTGACCAACTAGGTCCGTCGCTGAGGTCTCGACTACTTCACTTGAAGCCAACAAGCCCATATCATAGTATACTTGGCCCATCTTTCTAGCTGTGCTGGTCTTTCCAGTGCCTATCGAGGTTGCATGTCAGTAAAACTCCGCGTCTAGAGTTGATATAAAATATGAGAAAAGGATCCGATACCTGGAGGACCGCGGAAGACAAAGTTGAATGGCAGTTGTTCGCGAGGATCCCTGCCCAGCTGTCTGAGAATCTGAACCGTTTGACGATACCCTTCTAGTTGGGCAACAATGCTTTCACATCCGATGACGCCTTCAAAAAGCTTTGCAACACTTTCATTCCTATCCGCGCGATCGAAGTCTTCATCAAAATCAGGAGCATCAAGGAGGCAATCTGAAACGGAATTGGGGTGTTTGCTGGATGCCAAGCGTTTTTGATAGTGCATCTTGGCTCCGTTGAGCAAGTTGTCAATCTCGCCGGCATTGCCGAAATGTGGACGATTTCGGGCACGCTCCAACATCTCCAGCACAACGCGACGACCGCGGTCAGTTATGCCGAAACCTTGTTCTTGGAGTTTCAGATCCACGATGGAATCCAGTTCATCTGCGGTGAAGTCTTCGAAGACAAATGCCTGATCCATTGGAAAGCGCCGGCTGAGGCCAGGATTGACCTTCTGAAACATCTCTTCCATGAGATCCTTGTACCCCAGAAGCAAAACACACCTATCATCACCAGGTGTGCTTTGCACTTCTGCAACGATTGTGTCCACGGCGGCAACCCTGAATGGATCACTTTTAGAACCTGTTCCATCTGAGGTACCTCCAGCGAACAGTCCATAGGCCTCATCGATGACTAGGACCTTCCCCAATGTGGACGCGAGTATTCCCTTGGTGTTCTTTTCAGATTCTCCTATTACGCTGCCAACAAAGTCTGACGGGTTCTTGACGACCACTGTGATTGCTGTTAGTCAGGCTCATAGACAACGTCAAGATTCGCATACCTTCGCCATTAGACAAAAACCCAATATCCACAAGAATCTGACCGTAGATTTTCGCAATCGAAGTCTTCCCAGTTCCAGGATTTCCCAGGAAGACCTTGTTCAGACTATACTCAACCAAGGGCTTCTCATCTATCTCACGCTGGTAGTTGTATCGCATGGTATCCAGTATGGCTTGCACCGTCCTTTTCACAGCACCCAAGCCAATCATGGTCTGCAGCTTCTGCCAGGCATTTGATGACATCAGAGCCTGGGATGGATCCGGACCGATCAGATCTTCCTGACTCAGGAAGAAATCGTCAACTTTGCTGACAGCCTGTCGTCTTTCCTGGCTGAGACGCGCGGCTTGTCGCTCGGAGATCTTGGTCATGGTATTTTCAACGGCCCTTGCATTTGCAAAGCCCTCACGACCACGCCCGCGGCCTATTCGACGAGCTACGATGCGACAGTAAAGTCCCCCAAGGCCATCCTCAACTTTCATCTGCTTCCTGTATGTCCTTTCGATGCATGCCCCCAAAATCTGCATTAACTCAGAGTCATCGAAGTCGGCGAATTTCAGTTCATGGGGGAAGCGACTAGGAAGCCCTGGATTATGAGCAAAGAACTTCTCCATCGGGCGTTGATATCCCGCCAGAATGAAGACCACTTTTCCCGTGAGGCTTTCAACTTCGGCCAAGAGGAAGTCTAGGACCTGGGTGCCCCCAAAGCTACTGCCCACGAGCTGGTAAGCTTCATCGATGAACATGGCGCCTCCGCCATCTTTCAAGAGGGTCTCAAGGGTCTTTTGGCATCCGGAAATACCATCGTTTGCAAGCCTAGACCCAGTTGTCTCGACAAATTTATCACCAGGAATGACCCCCATAGACGCCAAGAACTTCGCATAGAGACGGGCAACCGTTGTTTTGCCGGTGCCAGGGTTTCCAAGCAATACAGATCCAAATCGATCACGGCTAGGGTCGACATTCTGTCTAACGGCCACGTCCACTTTGGCCTTAATAGACAAGAATTTTTCCTTCACTGACTCAAGCCCGGTCATGTCCATTAGCTTGTCAATCTCTTGGCTTTGAGCATTCAGAAACTTCTTTTGGTATGCCCAGTCAGTTTCGGCTGCCGATTGCTTTGGTGGTGCCATTTTCTGGCGAGTGGGAGGCTCAACACTTCGGGTGTGAGTACTCGTTTTGTCGGCAATCGGTGGTGTAGCTATCTTCGTGGTGATTGATGGTACGTTGGTAGGCGTGAGAGATCGCGCAATGGAGGGTATGCTTGTGGTGATTTGAGATTGCAAACTTCCTTGAATGGTTGCTGGTTGAGGGGGGTTCTTCAAATTCTCAATTTCCTGTCGATGTTGTTCAAGAATTTTGGCTCGTTCCGCGTCATCGAATTCATCGCGTCGCAAGCGCTTTAGATAGGAAGCTTCCTCCTGGGCCTCTGCAAGTTTCTGAGCATACTCGTCCTGCTTTCGTTTCCGTTCTTTTTCTAACTCAAGATCACGTTTGCGCTTGCGCTCTTTGATTTGATCTTCGAGGATACAGAAGTGGCAAGAGCGCTTCGTTTGTGAACATGCCACAGATAATGAATGGCCCCGGGGGCATTTCCATTTGACGATCTTGGTACATTTCATTTTTGAATGATCGGCAAGCTGATGGCATTTTGACGGGCATTCGTGGACCCCGCAACTCAATTTTACGCCACTATAAAAGAGTCAGTGGACAAAGATCTGCTATGTTTTCACATAAACCTACCAAGGCGCAGAGCATCCTCCATCTGGACATTCTCTGTCAAAGTCGTCTGGTGTTCGAAGAATGGCGTTTGTCTGAGGGTGTTGCTCGCATCGGACGGGCAGTCCATCGTACAGGTGACCGTTCGACTTCAGTTGGTCAATGAATGGTTTCCAATGCCGTTGGCCCTTTCGACTGGAAACGAATGTTTCCGAATTTCCTACTAGAATGAGGACGTTTCGCGCTCGGGAAAGCAGGACATTGAGCCGCTCGGGGGCTGCCATGAATCCTATGTCGCCGACTTTGTTGCTGCGAGTGAGCGATGCGATAACAATCTCGCTCTCCTCTCCTTGGAAGTTGTCTATTTTCTTCGGTGAGACGACTGTTTGCAACCCATTCCTTTTCTGTACTTACCGATTGTGGAAAGCCTGATCTGACGCTTGGCATGGGAAGCGCTCGCCTGGGATAGAAGCCCTGCTTTAACAAGGTCATGGGAATCAATATCATTCAACACGGGATCATTCTGTTTGCTGAGAGTATGCCTGAGTAGACTTAGTTGACCGAGATACGGAGTCAGAATCACCAGTTTGTCTGTTCCATATCCCTGCTGTCCAAGATACTTCACGATCTTGAGCACTACGTCTGCCTCAAACGAATTTCTCTTGCTCCCTTTCGAGTTCTCATCACGTAGGTCTGAGATCTCTGAGAAGATTTCTTCGGGGTTTTGATGATGAAAGAATATCACTCGGTCACATAGCCCTCGGGGCTGAGGGCGGTTCTTGGTCTTTGGGGCGTCCTCCAGCCCAGGATAAGTGAGATTGCGTACGAAGCTCGAGATTTCTGGACACATTCGATGCTGCTTGAGCAATGTGGTATGGGGAAATCCAGCATGTATGAGTCTTTCAAACAGGGAGACGTTCAGATCATAACCATCTCCCTTCTCCGTGCTCAGGCTGTAGCTGTTGATCTTTGGTCGTAGCTGCTGGTGGTCGCCAATCAAGATCAGGTGTTTCGTTTCTGGTGTCATCGCTGTGAGCACATGGGATTCAAGGATCTCGCCCGCTTCTTCGAGCAGCACTATCCCAGGAGAAGCATGTCGGATATCCTCGGAATACATTGCCGCAGCTGTAGTAGTACAGCCAATGATTTGCTTTTCTTTGAGAATTTCACGGCTTCTCTCGCCCAGGGTAGCACTCAGTCTGCTTTGGCATTTGTCGAACAAGGCCATACTGACGCCCAAAGACTCGGCCTGTTCACCCAGAACAGCTCTTTTCCAAGCTCTGTCTTTCTCTTCTCGGATCTTCAAATCTAGTGTCCACATGTCGCGACAATGAGCGGGAAGCTTATTGATACAAACTCCAGCATTTTTACCCTTGATCCATCGGTTATAGAGATATTCTTTCTTGATTGACTTGCCCCCCTTAGCCACGGTGGTCATGCCATTTTCGTCTTCGGGTACAGACAAAGCTTCGAAAGCCTTTGGTTCTTCAAACTCCAAATAGTCCAAGATGGATGCAGCATTAGCTGCAAGCTTCTTATAAGCTTGGAAAGAATCGTCCAAATCAACCAGTTGATCATTTCCGTCCGCTTCGAGTGCCTTGATGGTGTTCCAAGTGGTCTGCGTCCTTCTATAAGATGATTGCTGTTTGAACAATCCAAGCGGCTCAGTCCGCTGTGTTGATTTGGAGCCGATGCGGACTATGGCAGATGAATTGATTCCGATATCTAGCAAGTCCTCCAGAAACTGATCCAAGGCATGATTGGTGTAGCACATAACCAGAATCTTGTCTTTGGTGTTATCATGTAGAGTCTTTGCAAGAAGCGCACCAATAAAAGACTTGCCAGTACCTATATTTCATGCTGTCAGTTTGACGTCTTGAATAACGAGAATGAAAATTTCATCTTCCTACCTGGAGGCCCTTGAATCAAACTGACTCTTTGTGTCAATCCAGCCAGCAGAGAGTCAAGTTGGGAAGGGTCCAATGTCACTGGCTTAGGAGTTTGAAGGATATTCTGGATATTGAATCCGATTTCTTCCTTCAATTTGTTAACTATATCCCAAGGAACCAGGCTTGAGTCACGTATTGGCTGATCTTTTTCGTAAAGGAATAGCTCTTCTGTGAGAGGCAAATCTACTCTCTCCTGCAAGCATTTCAAGATTGGCTCATACGCAAACATTGCAGTATCCACAATCAAGAACTCCAAATCATTGTAGAGTTTGAGGCAAAGAAGAGACTTTTTGACCGCTTCTTCGCCTGCGATACGCAACATGACCACTGGTGGATTGGATACCAGATCATCGATCTCTCTTTCAATTGTAGCAAAGGCCACGAGTTCTGTGTCTCGAATCAAGCACCCAAAGGCACGATGCTTGACAAAGTTCGGCGTATTTTTCAAAAACGTTTTCCGAGCCTCTTTCGACATGCCTTTCAGTCTCTCAAGGCCGAATTGGGCAGTGACGCCAACAGTACAAGGCCGGAGGCGGTCCTGAGGCCCGGAAGTACAGCGAAGACGAGCAAGAGAGAGGGCTTTCAGGTGGACTGCCGACCGCCGTCCCTTCTTTGTTCCTCTTGCAATTTGAAAGTCATCACGGAGCTCCGAAAGCATGTCCTCTCGCAGAAGGCGAAACTGGTTGTCAATATGACCCGCGATACGTTGGTTATCAGGCAGCTGCGCGACATCTTCAGCACGTCGATAAAATGGTTTCTCCGTGCACCCCATCTCATCCGCCGTAGGGAAAATGGTCGTCAAGCGGAAATCAGCAAAATCATTATCATGCCGACCTCCTGCTGTGGTTTCCGAGGCTTGAAGAGTGGCCGCGGATGATTTCATCTCCAAAAGGTATTTGATCTTGTGGCCCAAGTTTCGCGTGTCCATAGAGGCCGAAGATAAGAGCGATCCATCGTCCAAAACAGCCTGGGCATCGGTTCTCACATCTACTCCAGAAGAGGCAGGCAGTGAAAGCAATTCTGTCAACAACCAGCATAGAGCCCGGATCGCATCGTCGTCCAGTTTCCGAGTGCGGAATGCCTCCAAAAATGCGTTCCAGAGAGTCCGAGGCTCCAGTATCACCAGAAGAATTTGTTCCAGAAACTTCCCGTTGCAAAGAAGCTTGACTTCGCGGTGGTTCAGGTATTGAATCAACTTTGCAGTATACTCGTTGATGAAAGCCGAGCTAAGGTTGAACCTCAGTCCACTTTGCAATACATTCAAGGCGCTTGGACTTGAGACGATTCGCTGAACCACAATACAAGGATCACTTTGATCCAGGATCGCTTTCACAAATCGCTTGAAGTTGGCTTGATCTTGCACTTCTTGTTTTCCAAGAACGACGGCTCCGAAATATTTAGCCAGCCGCTCTGATTGAATGTCGGCAGACATAATGATATTGATCAGCTAGTATGATCGAAATTGATGAGTTACAATTGAAAGATATAAGATAGAAATTCTAACCTGAGATGTGAAAGTGGCGCCTTGGAGGGGGTTTATACTTGTGACAGTTACGGCTCTGCGCCTCAGTGCCAACAGCGCAGAGGCCATCGATTGGTTACAAATAACCAAATGCGCAGAATCTCTTATGGTATCCTAGGCTTGCATATTTGGAATGCAATGAGGCTTCTTGCACCAACAGAACAGGATAAACCAATCGATGAAGTAGAGGGAGGTGACGTGTCGACAGGGGTCTTTGCTGTAACACATTAAGCGCTGGAGTCACTGGCAAGAAATGGCAAATGACGAGACACTCAGTTTGGTATTTCTGTCCACGTGCTCGCACCTGACACCCTCGAGCTTGGTTATTCTTCGTTTGTATAATTACTCTCTCGTTTACTCTCTCATTTACCACTCCTCATCCGCGCTGCCCAGTCCAGTCTACAAAATGACGCGAAGAGCTCGATCAACTCCAACAGACCCACGGAGGACAAAAGAGATTGATCCAATTCCACCTCCTTTGGGCGATTTGATTGTTACCATCCACCACGCCGACATTGAAAGTGGGAGAGATCAAGAAAAAGACACAGCTCGGATTACGAATAGCCACTACTTGACATCGTATAACTGGCTCAGTGGCAGAAATCCCAGCATCATCGTTCCAGGTGGGAAGATGAGGTCCCATGATACTCAGCCTAGTTCACTGTTGGCTAAACCAATATCTACCAGGTGAACCACCACAATGGAGCCCTCCGTCTGACGTTCCCAAGCTTCGACAAGACAATGGTCGATATTATCGTGACAACAATGCCGGAAGATATCCCAACCACCCACTGGAGCCGATGATACAAGCAATACTGACAGACAGACCCGAGTTCCCCGTAACTGATGTGGACATCGTCGGCTGCGAAAACACTTTGGGCAATTTGCTTGGTTTTGTTCGTGGAAAAGATAAACCCTTCAGAATGCTTGTCGAGGTACTCGACACAACGGTTTTCTTCATCAGAAGGCAAAACTCGCCTATTGAGAAGTATAACGTTACTTACGGGTACGGGCATACTTTCCCAAAAGTGTACACCACATGGAGTGCCAGTGTGGCCGGATCCGATTCCCATCAGCGGGTGGTGGAGTATGACTTCGCCGATTTGAAATGTTTGATGCGGTTTAAGGCGGATGGATTCTTGTCCAATCTGATTCCGGAGACCAATGAGCTCACCAAAGCCCCCGTGTATACAAGTGAGATTGCCCAGGAGGAAGCTTTGCCTTCCATTGAAGATGCAACAATCTCGAATATGCAACCAGCTCCCACGAACGAATCATTGCAGCAGCTCGGAATTGCGAATAAAGGCCGGCATATCCCACAATGTGCAATCTTCGATCTGAAGACTCGATCTCACAATAAAAAACCCGCGGATGTCCTTAGGGAAGAAATGGCCCGACTATGGATGACGCAGACTCCAAGCTTAGTTCTCGCCTTCCATAAAGCAAACAAATTTGGTGATATTCAGATCCATGATGTCCGAGAGGATGTTGAGCAGTGGGAGGATGACCACCAACCGACCCTGGCCAAATTTGCCTGCTTGCTGCGAATGATCGTGGGGTTCGTTCGGAGCATGGAAGATGGGAAGATTGAGATTGAACATGAAGAGGGTGAGCGGGTTTTGAATGTGAGAGCACAGGGTGGAGTTGTCTCCGGCGTCTTATCCCCAGGTGTTGCGTGCAACTGGGATAAGTAGGCCAGACTGAATGCGAACAATGATTGAAATAGCCCTTCTTGTGTGAAACATTATGTGATATGAAGGCGTACCAGTGTAGGTAGAATAATTCCAATCCTTTCAGTTATGAAGCTGAGTCCAGGGCTTGCTATAATTCTAGCTGTGTCCCGTAAGGATAACATAAGAGGATGGGCCAAAAAAAACAGAAAGGGTTCTACATCGCCATCTACATCGCCATCTGACAGCGTGGTGTTGATACATAATAGGATATAGAGCAGCCTTTGCGATAGAAGATAGTGGAATCTATACATGTAGTCAAGGTAAATGAGCGGACGAAGATCGCATGTTGTGTGCTCACAACTGAATTCAGGCTTCCCTGAAAGCACTAGCTCTCCCTAATTTCGGAGAACAGTCCAGGGGGTCGTGATACAAATTTATCCGTTAATTTTATTTGGTAGTATCACCCACACCGCATGATTTGAATTCGCCAAATACATTTCTTGTGTAGACAAGAGCCCTGAAGAGACGTTGATGCGATAAGACACTATTCTGCCATGCCCGACCGCTTAAACCTTCGCCATCGAGCTCCGAAACGACCTGCCAGTCCTAGTGCCTCATTGTCTCTCTATTATCTGTGTCGCTTGGGTCTTACTTCCAAGCTGCAATTTGAGAATTCGATATCACACATCCAGCAAGACCTTGCTAGTCAACAACTCCGCCAGCTGAACAACATCCATCCCGGAAGCGAATTTTCCTCTTTCGCGCGACGACAGCAAGGTACTTGGTACTAAACCGGCAAGATGCCCAAATATAAGTATTTTCTAGGCTATATACTCTCAACTGAAAGCTAACAACCCATGCACTCTTCTGTAGGTTGCCTTGCAAATCCGAGTCTCGACAGACAAAGCGGTGTCATATGAATCCTATTCCGGACGCGATGCGACACGCTATGCCGATATCGACTCTAGCATCTGAAGCTCATATATCAGATTACTAACTCCTCGATTCAACTTCTAGGTGATTACTGCGATGTCTACCTGACACACGACTCAATGAGCGTGCGCAAGGCACACAACTCGGGCCGAAACCACCTGAGGAACGTGGTGGACTACTACCAACGTAGGTCTCAGCGATAGCGCAGGCGCCAATACCAACACCAACAGCTGCACGATTGCTAACCACAAGAAATCTGTACAGAGATTGGCCAAGAAAAAGCCCAATCCGTCATCGACTCCATCACCTCCTCCTACGCCGCAGAGGGCCAACAGGTTCCCAACATGATGCCCCCCGGTGCCTTCCCGCCTCCCTTCGGATTCCCTGGTATGCCTCCCCGGCCTTTTCCAATGAATCCAAAAACTAATAATAAAGGCCGCCCGGGCATGCCCCCTCCACCCTTCGGCATCCCTCCACCAGGCGCCCCCGGCGCCCCAGGCATGCTGCCTCGTATGTTCCACCCACCACCCTTCCCCGCAGCCCAAGGATTCCCAAGACACCCTGGACCTCACCCAGCTAATCACTTACCCTTCCACCCAATAGCCCCCGGAGCTCACGGTCTGCCTTTCCCACCGCCTTTCCCTAACGCCGGAACCCCACCAACAGGCGGCTTCCCCCCGCCTCTCCCCAACATGCCCCACGGCGCAAATCTGCCCATCCCACCACCAGGCGGCTTCCCGAACTTCCCTATCCCCCCACCCGGCGCTGCAGGCTTCCCACCTATGCCTGGTCAGCCTGGCATGGGTCCTGGTGGCCCTGCGCAGATTCCAACTGGTCCTCGCGGCTCAGAGGGATATCCTCCTCCCCCCGGAGGTGGACCTCCTGGTGGGCCTCCCGGTGGGATGGATCAAAGGTGGTGATTGGGAATCTACGAGTGGTTTTCATGAGGATTCGTTGCTGATACCTTTCTTTTTTTTTCTTTTGTGGAGATGTGCGGTGTCCTGGGCGTGGCATGGCCTTTCTCGTCCTTTTTTTTTTGCTCTTTACTGTTAATGTAAAATAGCGGTTTCTTTTATTACGTTTATTTGCTTTTCGTACGTTATGTTTCGTACATGATCTCTCGTGGATGTTATCAAGTTATGGAATTGAATTCGTTATGAGATGGCCATGGCATTGATATATAAAGAGAATTAGATGTATGAAGTAAGAAAGAGAGAATTGAGAACACAACATCCACATTGATAATTATGGACAGAGCATCATTGAATAAATATTTAAACACTAGAACTACTTCCCAGGATACTGGTGGAGATTGAAAACTCACAACTGGAAAATCTGAAGAATATATTTCATCGGCAGTAAAGATCCTGCGGCGACAAAAAGAAAATAGAAACCCAAGGCCGATCACCATATCCAGAATGCATCAAGAACGCCAAACGGAAGTAAAGACAAGGGAAATACACGTCGACCGTGAAACGATTAGGGCCGGGGAAAGAAGAAAAAAAAGAACAGCCCAAGTGAAGAGGTGGAGTAAATGGGAAAGGAAGGAATAGATGATAAAAGATCACACCATTGACAACTGTGGGGGATCAAGAAAAGAAGTGTATCTGAATCAGCCGATAGCAACGAGGATGCTACAGGCCTGTGCAGAACAAAAATAAAGGAGCAAAAAGAGAACCCCGAACCCAGAGGAATAGATCGTCGGCATCCCGCGCTAAAACAAAATCACATATCTTCATCTCGGAAGCAACAAAATAGGAGACCATGGGCCTCTTTTAGTGGTCATAACCAGCACCTCGTTGCCAAGGACTGGCAGAATTTTGGGCTTGGTAGTTTGTCGACAAAGCAGATTGGCCGATAGGAGCGTTATCGAAGCTCCGTGGGGCGGGTGAAGGTGATCGACCGAAGTGGTCATATCCCGGGGGAGGGTTACCCGAGGCACTGCTGGGGAACAGTGGTACAGACGGGTCAACGGGGGACCGAGGCGCTTGGGTGATATTGCCTTGCGGGGGGTAGGTTGATTCCATTTGACGGCCAATTGTGGCACCGTTTCCGCTAGAGATAGAGGCAGTATCGTCGTCGAATGGGTTATTATTATAATGTCCAGCCTTGTCATCACCCCGGGCTGTAGCGCCCAGGGCATCCAGTTCAGTGGTAAGCTGAGTCTGGGACTTGATGAACGAACCGCGGTCATCGCGCATGGGCTGGTACCGAGTGTCGGGGTTCTTGGAGACAACGGCGTAAATCGAGGCGAGCAGAACGAGGATCAAAAGGACCAAAGCGAACACGGCATTATAAACGAAGAAGATGACACCCATGACACCAATCATCATTCCAGGGGGGTCGAACACATCCGAGAAGACCAATAGGAAGATAGAATTAAGGAAATTGATCACAGCAATGGAGATGTTGAAAATGTTTGTTTTCTTGTCCATCCAAGGGCGGAGAACGCACACAGCAACCAGCATGGCGAGCTCAAGGACCACCAAGGCCACTGTCTGAACGACAGGTGCAGGTTGGCTCAGACCAATGAACATACCCTTGATCAATGTGTAAATGAGGAATGGAACAACGAAGTAGTACGCCGTCGCTCGGTACTGCACATATAAGAAGCCCCACTTGTTCAGACAGGCTGGGTCAGAGTAGAGAATGTAGGCCGGATTCTTGTGCATTGTGACTGAACGCTTTGCCAACCGGATGACCTTCTGAGATGCCCATCCGAGGGAGATAAGCATAGACAGGATCATAATCACTGCCAAAACCACCTCAGCTGCCGAGTCACGCTGTGTGAACTCCCAGAGGCAAAGTACAGACATTTGAGGGAAACCAATGAGTGTCAGGCGAAACAAGATACCGCGAAGAACGACCTTCCATCCATTGCGGAAGTCTTGGAATCGGTCGCTCTTCATTTTGCCGTGCTTGGCAAGAAGCTCGGTAATGCCCTTGAATGCTGCAACGATGATGATGACGAAACAAGTGAAGACTGAGAAGAAAATCAAGCCAGTGAGGAAAATGTTGGTTTCCTCCATGTTCGCACGGAATCCAACGCGGTCAATTCCTCGAATGACAAGAAGTTTCTGGGCTTGCTCAGCTCTTTTAACCATACCAGTTGAACGCTTAACCACCATTGCACTGGTGGCTCTTTTGAACAATTCCACTGCAGTTTCCACTGCAGGAGTTGCTACGTCACGCTTGCGACGCCTGAGCACTTCCACAGAAGTATCTCCAAGTTGGGACATGAGGGTCGACGGGGTTCCACCTGTCGCCCGCTGGTACCAAGTAGCAATCGTCTGGAGAAATCCTACGCGGATGATACCCATGCTCCACTGGAAATTCTGTGTCCATGCTTCCACAATTGGAGGCATATGGACCGAGGTCATGCCAATCATAGCCTGTGACTGCATGAATCCGAAAAGAGAGAGGGCGTTAGCTGCGACATGAGCCGCTGTGTTGGAATGACCTAGTCCGGAAGTAATGGCAGATGCAGCAAGACCCAAACCCGAGATAATAGCAGTTGTCCACGAGACTCCAGCTTGGTTTACAGTCTTGCCGTTGGAAAGCGAGGCCTCGACGCAAGCAATTTTTTCTTTCGTGTCAGCCGTCTTGATGACAATTCGCACATTGGCATCAAGGTCAGGAACGGTATAGGCAATACCTGGCCAGTGAATATCAGCACGTTGTGATTCTCGTTTCCTACACAGCAGACTTACCTGGAATGCTGTCTGAGGTGCCATCTGGCAGGTCGAGGGAAAGTGGACCCAAGTCTATAGGTCCAGCGGCCATGGGACACATTCCCATGCCTTTAATCCCACAGGGATCGAGCGTGTTTTTGTATGCCTCATAACCATACGCGGTGAGGGTCATTTCCGCAACGACCTTGCCCGTGATGTATGAGACGCCATCAAGGCCGACCACAAGAGAGTTGTTTCCTGGGTAGAAGACGACGTTGAAATAAGTTGCTGTGAAGTTGCTACTCTGCATACACACGCTAAGTGCATTAGATTCAAGGAGCTGAATGGCTGAAGCTAGCGGCGCCAGAAAGGCGACGAAGCCGGCGAGGAGCGATAATAACCGCATTTTGTCGTAAGTTCTATACCAGGGGGAGGTTGCGAAGCAATAGGTGAAATTCCAGTAAGATTTCAGGGCGAGGGGAAGATCTCTGACGGCTTTGTGTCAGCGGTACTCCAGAGTACCACGTTGCCAGCCGCCGGATGCGGAAGTTTCTGTACGGCCGAGTCGTTGATCGCCGTGGGGTCAGATTATGTTTCCCAATATCTCCTTGGAGGGTCACCGTATGGTGTGTCTTTCACAAGTCGGCGTGGGAGAATGGGGTGATTATGACTTTCACTGGTTCATTGAATATGAGCGGGACGGAATAGTCGCAAGGGGGGTATGGAATTGAATAAGTTGAGTTTAGAGACGAATGAAAGTCGATAGGTCAGAGTCTGAATGAAAGCTGATAGTACTGAAATGGGCCTAAAGGACGAGCCTTCAAGTCAACAAGGCGAAAGAGCGAAAGAGCGAAAGAGCTCAAGGTCGAGAGCGAGTGGACTGGCGATACACAGTATGGCCGAAAAAGGAGTAAAGGAGTCAGAGGCCTTGAAGGAGGAGAAAGTGTGGTTTAAAGTGAGGATGAGATTCCCTGGAATCACCAAGAAGAGAAGAGGTTTTAAAAAGAAAGACAATGAGAGAATGAGGGTGAGAGAGTTGAATGTTCTCATGGGAAAGACACTGCCCAGGTGCCCAGGTGCAATGACCGTCGCCATTCCACTGTAGGTATGTGGTCCTGTATTGTAATATGACAGGGGCGGCAAGGGCTGGGCCAATCACCGGCCGGTATTGGTGTTTGAGTTTGTTCTGCATGGCCACTGGCACTTCCCCCCGTTACCACATGCAGAATACCCGCCCCTCTACGGAGTACTCCTTACAACGTAGGATTCTATTACTTCCAAGTTTCCTTTGTCCACCTCATTCACTTCATTCAGTCTACTGGAGCATATGTCTGCCATACACAGTTAAGAACTACCTATACTTCATCGCACACGCGTCTTAACGCTGCCGAAAGCGGTTGATGGACCGGGGCGGAATCAAGCGGGTCCTTGGCCCTTGGGATTGACTGAGAGAAAGTCGGGTATGCTCATATTAAGTCTTGCCCTGACCCAAAGGAACCGCTGCCCCCAGCTGTGGAGTGAGTCTAGAGGTGGACCGTTACTTCTTGCTCTATGTTCTACTCTCAGTCTTACAACATAGACACTACGGAGTATGTATATGACCGTGCAATTGTGTATTTTGTCTGGTATTTGGCCGCTACCCACGATTAATTAAATTTAGAGTGTCATTCTCAAACTAATTTTTCTCGTTCCCCATTGCTCAGGGGCACTAAACGAGCGTTTGCTTCTTCCTATGCGATGGTGTGTATATGGGCTTTCAAGGTTCCTACGCTGATATCTGTGGCTTCTTTTGTTCCAAGGTTAGTCGTTTGTCTTTGATCGTTTCAGATCCGGGGCTAACCTTTCCCAAGCACTAAATATAATACTAGCGAGAGCTACATAGATATCATTCTTCTTAGTCTATCCACACGAGTCTAGAGCCAAGAAGATCAAGTTGTATACACCGTAACAGATGTCCTAAGATCCTCCACGCTTCCTTTACTCCGTACAATACCATGTTATACAAAGTAACCTCAATATGATACATGCATACGGAGTGGCTCGCCATATAACGATCAACATATGCCAATCAACATTAGTGTTCACGCGATTGCACAGCCCCGTTTGGCAAGGGCCCGTCTTCATCCTCGCCTCGGATCAGACATGTTTCAGAAACACTGGGGCTGACATCTGTATGACCAATTCTAGCTTGAGAAGGAGATTTATACTCGCGTCAAGATATATGTCTCGCCCCTTATCTTGTACTTCGGTGTGTGGCTACTCCGTAGAACATATTATACTGCATAACGTTGTTAGTGTGCCCTAACTCCATATTTTCATCCCTGATCATCCGAAAGGGGTGATCGGAAGATCGTGATTCTGGCATGCGCGTTATGACGTTTTGGTTACTCCATATTGGATTTCATTTTGCTCAGCCTTTGGTCTCACCTATATGAAGTTATAGCCAGTCCATACATAGGATATGCTGAGATCTCGAAGGCGGGGAGGACCACTCATGCATCGACCCAGCCTTTTCTGAACTGTCACACGGGTGCCCTGGCTATTTTGGGCGCCACGATCTTAATCTGATTGGCCATTATAGATATTGCATCTCATTGGCCAGAACCTGAAATCTCTGCATTGTGCTCTTTGCTGCAATTGGATCGTTCGAGGTATATTTCCACCGGTAGATCACTTTATTTGCATCTTTGTACTTTCAAGCGCCTTGATCAAGTTGTGAGAAAAATCCCCGGATTTCGTTCTAAAGGCCTTTCATGGTGTCCATGACCAATAGGAAATCTTGAAGTTAGCCCCAGAAGTAATCGAACTCTTTTGTCAAACGTGCTCCCTTCATATTGAAGAACAAAAAGCGCCTTGGCTAAAAATGACCAAACATCTCAGCCAGGACTATTTTTCCATCGCATGAGCATACCCAAGACAAAGTGCCCCTAGATAGAGAAGCCCAGCCCTTGGCATGAGACACGTACATTGGGCAAGTGAGTGGCTATGTGTATTATTGTATTCTCCCACCCGCACTGTCCACCTGTCATCTTAGGTACTGATATTTCGTCTGCCTGATCATGGCCAAGGTCGCGGCGCTTGCGCAGCATCCTTGGTCTTGCTCTGGCATAATTTATTCTCGGGGGTAAAAAAAACCTTGCTCAGCACTCCGTACGGAGTATGGATATAGTGATCTTCGCGACCTACCTATGGACAATGACAACGGCAGATATGGTCCATGGAAGTACCGCCTGTGGATGATCAAGGTTACCACCAGGGCAGATTATGAGCCTTGCGCCTAAGGCTACCAATGCCTTATAATAAAGGCACCAACTGATCAATCCTATCAGCACGTGAGGTGCAGTTCTGCCACATCTCACCGATTAGAAAAAAAAAGTAGCAGAATGATTTCCGCCCGCAGAGATCAATAATCTAGGTCCGCAAAACATATTGATTGTTTGTTCCAGTGTAAACTACCGCACTGTCGCAGGAACAATCGACAAAATGCCTGGCCCCGTGGACACCGCGAAGTCCATCAACAAGCGCAAGAGAAAGCATGGCTCAAAATCAGAGAGCGAAGCCGCCAAGCCAGTGGAAGCCAAACCCAGCCCAGCAGTGACCCCGAAAAAGAGCGTGGCCTCGACCCCGAAGCCTTCAGCTGAGAAGTCTACCAAGAAGCGCAAGGTCAGCGCTTCACCAAGTCCCGAGGAAGAAAGCTCCGACGAGGCCGAAGCTGTTGAGGATGTTGAGGAGGTCGATGAGGAGGACAGTGATGTCGAAGACGTCGAGGCTGCGGCTGGCACCGATCTTCCCACCATGGAAGATGTCCGTCTGCCACAGACTGAGGGCGAGCTGCAGAAGTTTACTGAGCTTAACCTTTCCGAGAAGACCATGAAGGGTATCGAGGATATGGGCTTCACAACCATGACTGAGATTCAACAACGCACCATTCCCCCTCTTCTTGCCGGACGTGATGTGCTCGGTGCCGCTAAGACTGGCTCTGGAAAGACCTTGTCATTTTTGCTGCCCGCAATTGAGATGCTGCACGCTTTGCGCTTCAAGCCCAGAAACGGTGAGTTTGCAACATCTCGATGGACTATTGTATTACTATTCGAATATTTGACTAATCCACTGATATAGGTACTGGTGTTCTCGTCGTCTCCCCTACCCGCGAGTTGGCCCTGCAGATTTTCGGTGTCGCCCGTGAACTCATGGCTCATCACTCTCAGACATATGGTATTGTCATCGGAGGTGCCAATCGTCGCGCCGAGGCTGAGAAGCTCATGAAGGGTGTCAACTTGCTTATTGCTACCCCCGGTCGTTTGCTGGATCACCTCCAGAACACCCAAGGATTCATCTTCAAGAACCTGAAGACCTTGGTCATTGACGAGGCAGACCGAATTCTCGAAGTCGGTTTCGAAGATGAGATGCGCCAGATTGTGAAGATCCTGCCCACCGAAGAACGTCAAACTATGCTTTTCTCCGCCACACAGACCACCAAGGTTGAGGATCTGGCCCGGATATCACTGCGCCCCGGACCGCTGTACATTAATGTCGACCACCGCAAGGAGCACAGTACCGTCGCTGGTCTCGAACAGGGTTACGTGATTTGCGAGGCAGACAAGCGTTTCTTGCTTCTCTTCTCGTTCCTGAAGCGTAACCTCAAGAAGAAGATTATTGTCTTCTTCTCAAGCTGCAACTGCGTTAAGTACCACGCTGAACTTTTGAACTACATCGATCTTCCCGTTCTGGAGCTTCACGGAAAACAGAAGCAGCAGAAGCGCACCAATACTTTCTTCGAGTTCTGCAATGCTAAGCAGGGTACTTTGATCTGTACTGATGTTGCCGCTCGTGGCTTAGATGTATGTTTCTGATCCCTTCCTGTTCGTGTTTATCACTAAACTGACTCCTCTTTCAGATTCCCGCCGTCGATTGGATTATCCAGTTCGATCCTCCTGATGATCCTCGTGACTACATTCACCGTGTCGGACGTACCGCCCGTGGTGCCGATGGCAAGGGTCGCAGTCTGATGTTCCTCCAGCCCTCTGAGGTCGGTTTCCTGAAGCACCTCAAGGAGGCGCGTGTGCCAGTCGTGGAGTTCGAGTTCCCCAGTTCCAAGATTGTCAATGTGCAGTCCCAGCTGGAGAAGCTCATTGGCCAGAACTACTATCTTAACAAGGTAAGCTATCATCCCCACTCTCTCATAAGTCTGTGTTTCATACTAATGCATTTCTGCAGTCCGCCAAGGATGGCTACCGTTCTTATCTCCAAGCATATGCTTCGCACTCCCTCCGCACCGTGTTCGATGTGAACAAGCTCGATCTCGTCAAGGTTGCCAAGGGCTTCGGTTTCACTGCTCCTCCCCGCATTGACATTCAGCTGGGCTCCAGACTCAGCCGCGATAAGAAGCAGGAAGGACGCCGCACATACGGCAGCCAGCCCAAGCACGGTGCTGGACTGAAGTTCAAGCGGAAGCACAATGACTGAGAACAATCTGTATGAACATCAAAAGCGATCGGTTGTCTCTGCATATTTATTTTAGGGACATTGGAGTTCAGCAATGTGGATATATCTATTTGGGTTTCAATTCTTGCCCTTCTTCTGTAATCACGAGAGAGATGACATTCGAGGCCAGTATTTTGTATGGTAGACGAAGGGATAGTCGAATGCATCTTGTTCATTGCATTGAAACACGGGTTCCTTCCCATGTCCTTTTGGGCCTCGAGCAATGGCCTATGATAAGTACGGAGTACATGAGCAAATCAGAAATGATACTCCGAATTTCTATGCCCAACATGCGAGGTCAGCCCGAATTCCTTTCGATCAATTCCAGATCTCCAGGTTTCCCAATCGTGCAACGTATGACGGTGTGATGATGCTCAAAATTCTTCCTTTGTCCACGGAATGCCACAGCAATCCTCTGTATCAATCCATGTGGGCGTCGGGCTGTAACCACGTGGACGGAGTTGCACTTCAAACAGGAAGAAGAAAACCACAGAAGAAAACCAGAGGAAATGCCATAAAATATGGAAATATGTAAGGGAATTGTTGATACCTACATGCCATGAGTACTACCAAGTCCAACATCCTACGAACATCGAACTGATCTACAAGGTCATTGCGAGATGCTCATCTCACATTCCCACCCTGTACTCCATACTTCATAGATAGTACAGCACTGCCGTAAGGCGACCGTTTGTCAACAGGGTCAATCGATCTAGTTGGCCACTAATGTACGAGATGCAGCCAATGCTTCCCCCCCCTGGCTGTGGAAGTAGTCCCGATGAGAATTTCTTGCAGCTCCGTTGCAAGCGCCGCGTGTATATTGCTGTCCAGTCACAGCGTGGGAACATGGATAATGAATCTCGGATCAAAAAGCTGGGAAATAAGCATCGCCAATAGTGTACCGTTGAGGGCCGGGTAATAAGCCACCGACTGCCCGATTGCAATTCCAATTGCAACATGACGAGGCTGGCTAGGTTGGCACGTCCTGAGCACACGAGTGTGATGAGCTGGCAGACGCCGGGGCCAATCATCCGATCTCCAGGGTCTCTGTCGTCTGGGCGACGATGTGGTTTTCTTTTTTTGCTCATTTACCTCTGACCCACGGACAACTGCAGGTGGACCGTGTGTGTTCGTGTGTGACGGGTAGGGTTTTACTCTGTAACCCGTACGGAGTACGGAGCACTGTGATGAGGGACTCCATACTGCGTAGATCCTCCGTAGTGGTTACGAAGTATGGCTGATTCCGTGTTGTGGAAGGATGATGCCAAGAGCATCCCAGCCCCGACGAGGGTATACAGAGGAAATCGAGGTCTTAGAACAGGAACAGATCAAAATAAGGAAATTAAAGAAATTAAAGACGGAGAAGACCCAAGGAACCCAAAGACGATCCCGTTTGGTTACCTGGTACTCCGTACTCCGTACCTGGTACCTGAACACAAAGTACCTGTTGGGTACTCTTTCTACGCCGACCCGCGCCGCTCGGGACCTGTGATGTACAATCGCCAACACATCCAGCCTCTTCATTTTTTCCCACTGGAGGCTGGGCAATAATCTTTAATTACTCGGGTATCGGCTGATATCTGCCTGTTCTCTGATCTTTCTCCTTGGTGATTCTTTCCCTCTTCTCATCGTTTCATGTGATCGGCGAGCTTTACACCGTTGCTTTCTCTCCTCTCCTCTCCTCTCTGATCCCACATTCTTAATTCTTCCCTCCCCCACTGTTTCGTGGTCTGCGCTGGTACGCTTAGAACTCCTATCAGAATAATTAGGATCTCTTGGGATCTCTTTTGTCTCCCCTCCCCCACTATCGTGCCAACAGGCACGGAGCAACCGTGACTCCCCAACAACATTCCCCTCAGAATCCCATCAGGTCAACCACAACGGAGCATGCGATTGGGTTGACGGACGCCTCTTCAACATGGGGGTCAACACCCGCAGACCGATGCTTCCCGCCCCCACAGAATCCATCATCGATACGGGGGATAGCGCAACGGGCACAGATCTGGCAACTGACATTTCTCGCCGCACAGACAAAACGTCGTACTCTATCCCAGACGACGGTAGCCCCATCACTGTCCCCACTCGGCGACAGCGGGACCGCGACGAGAAACTGTCTCGTTCTCACCACGATTCTCATACCTCATTACTCATCGAGTATTTCGAGGGCGGGAAAGGCACCAGCGGAATTGTCTCCCGTCCCTCCGTGCGAGTACGTGTGACACCTTCGTCGGCGAGGAAATCGAGAGACAGGAAAGATCATTTCCAAATTACCGAAACAAGCGGCAGCCACAGCCACAAGCCCTCGTACACACACCGAATATCTCTACCAACGCCATCCGATCAAAAACAAATAGAGTCGGGCCCGGCGGATGATCAAAGCGTTGACTCCGATTCAGCTGAGGAGGACAGTCCACTATCATCACGTCGCGAGGGTGTCGATATCGAATTTGTGAACCGCGGAGACAGCGAGATGTCTACCCTTTCGCAAGATACCCGCTATATGCCCACCACATCCGAAGTCTCGTCTATGCCGCCGGAAAGCATGATCAACGCCTCGTCGACAGGCCCCAGGCGGAAACGCAGCCAGAGTCTGGAGCGTGGCTCGCCCCATGAAGAGAAGGGTTTGCTTAAGACCCCCCACCGACAGAGAAGTCGAAGTTTGAGCACGGAGCGGATTGCCCATCGCGTGGCAGAAAAACTCGCCGAATCGCCGCAAGAGGCTTCGAGCGGCAGGCATAGAAGCAAAGGCGGCATGGATTACCTCGACGCTGAACCAAGATTATCCCGTCGCCGAAGGCACAAGTATGCGGACGAAGATATGATCAGTGCAGAATCGAGTCTTCTCAGCGGATCTGCAGTCTCTTCGAACCTCAGGTCCGATCAGTATTCGGTTCGCTCTGGTGCATCCAAGTCGTCTATCAACAACCCAAAGTTGCTTGAGACGGTCGAGGATGCAATCAGGAGACTCATCCTACCAGAGTTGAAGGAGCTCAAGAAGGACCAGAAAGTTATGACCAACAAGAGCAAATTCGAGCATGACATGGCGACACCTCACTCGTCCGGCACTAGCTCCAGAGATGAGCTGGGCCGGCGGCTTTCTAAACACGCCAGTGCACCAGATATCATAAAGCCCAAGGTTGTCCTGAACATGAACAGCAAAGATGAGGGCATTGTTCTTTCCCCCGAAGTCGTTCCACAAAACAAGGAACGCAAATCAAGCAAAAGCAGTGAAACTTCCGAAATGGCCGTGAGATGGGCCAATCGACCCGACTTCACCGAACAAGATAAGATCCGACGTCAGAGGAGCAGGGGTCTTCGCGATGCCCATGCCGCTGCACGGGTTGGCTCTGCTCTTACGGCAGCTTCTTTAAAACATCACGACTCCAATTCCAGTCTGGGTAAGAAGGAGCAGCGCCGCAATAGTGGCTCTCGGAAGAGTGGCTCCCGTAAGAGCACAGAGAGTATGAACTACAACGAAACCGAACTTGTCTTCCAGAAGCACAATGTCGCCCCCATGCCAATGCACAGCGAGATGGATTCCGAGTTGACTAGAAATTCTTTACTCTCCGAACGCACGGCAAGTCCCACTTCCGAGACGAGAGGCTCTTACTTCGATGTGGCACGTGGATCGCCGAGGCAGGCTGTATCGCCAGCTTCTCGCACTCCCACCCGAAACTCTGTTGACTCGCGTTACGGGCTTGGAATGCGCCACGGCAACCAGTCGCACCATAACATTTCAGTACACAGTGCCTCGGATCGAGACCTGCATGGCAGAAGTCAATCTCCTGGAACTGATGGTGGTAACTGGACAATTGCGGCTGCCGCTGCAGCGAATCTTCTTGACGCTGCTCACCCTGGACATGACCAAACAGAAGACGACTACTATAATGAAGCTTCTGACCGTGGATTAAGCCCCATTCAGAGCATCGGGAGTGATCTCACTGAGACTCACCATGGCCATTATCCGGTCCACGATGAGCATGCTGATGAAAAGCACGAGATTGAGTCTCGACTGTCCATTGAGTCTTTGTCATCGGCCCCAAGTACAAACTTGGCGAGATCAACCCGCCTCGGCACCAGTGATAAAAGTCAGAGCGGGATTTTCAAGGACAACCCCGGCCTCGGATACGAACATTCGCGCCAGGGGTCTCAAGACCGTGACTACTATGGCTACGATCAGGACAGCAGACGCACTGTCGGAGATCAAGACAGCGAAGTTGATTTCATGGACAAGGTCAAAGAAGGCCAGCGTGTGACAACCGGAATTGCTGCTAATCCTAAGTTCATCCATCCAATTGCCGTCGAATCCGCAGTTGCTTCATTGATGGATCCTTCTGTCCTTGAGTCTCAGCTTTCCTCCGCAAATCGGTCGCAAACAGATCTAGGCCCACGACCAGGTAGCCGGAGTCCTGAAAAGCCTGCAAACGAAGGCTACCGCGGAAGCCCTTTGAAGCAACGTCAGGATGCTTCCACTGCCGATGAAACCTCGTTCCCGCGACGCATGGGTGCTACATCGCCTCCTCAGAGCGTCGCCCAGTCCTTTGACGAAATGGACGAATCGGTTATGATGCCTGCCGATGACACGCGTGACGTGGAAAGCCCTCTTGCGGATGCTGAAAGCCAACAATCGGAGTCGGAAATCAATACCAATCCGTCCATCATCCAGGGCCCCATTGGCGGTGTGGCTCAGGGTGATCATTGGAGATATAACTCACGATCTCCCCCAGTAGAACACTACTACGACACCCAGATTGGTGGGTCTAAGGGTCTGAATGCCGAACAACAAATAGGGCTTGATGCAGAATACTACCAGACTGCCCAGAATATCTTTGGCGGCGATGATTACTCTTCCCACTCTGCGGACGTGCAACCGCGGCCATTGTTCGGTACTCCACCTGGTGCCAAGGATGAAGGCTATGTTTCGGCTGCCAATCCCATGTCTCCCAGCATCGGGACCTCGAAACAGGGTAGTCGAGGACTCGCAGGTGCAGATGCCGCTGGAATGGGTAGTTTCGACAGCCCTGCTGGGGCAGATGATTCGTTTGGCTCTGGTAATGAACGTCACTTCAGTGGCTATTCTCACGGGGTTGGCTCGCCTCTCTATGACGGTGCCACTGGTCGAGGCATCGAACGAATTCAGTCCCAAGACATTGTGGCTCTCATGGACCATCTGACTGTTCGTGACGCCCAGCGGAATGCCAGAGATACCGAAATTCTGGTTACTCTAGTTCGAAGTGCCGCTGAAATGCGCACCTCCTTCGAGCAGATGAAGAGGTTCATTGCCGAACAGGATGATCTGATCATGGATACCAGCGACAGAGGACATGAGAGGACTCACAAGGCGCTTGGTGGCCCCCGTCCACTGCCCTCCAGTGCTTCTCGGAACCGACAGCTGAATACAGCTGATGAAGAAGACAAGCGGAAGAACATTTTCAAGCGTGCGCTCAAGGGATTGAGTCTCAAGTCGGGAAATGATTTGGCTAAGATCGAAGGCATGCTTGAGCAGCTACTTGGCGAAGTTGAGGCCTTGCGGTCCGGACAAGATGGATTGAGCGTTCGTGGTGGCACCCGAATGGGAAGCATGGAGCTGACCGGGTATGAAATTCCCGGTCAAAACGGTGCTCCTATCGAGACGAGCCGCTCTCCATATGGCTCCAGCTCTTCTCACCCGGCGAATGAACAGCACAGAGATTCAGATCAGCGAGTCAGCACTGTCCATGAAGTCGACGAAGACCTCGAGCTTGACGATCGTGATCAGTTCCTGACCTCGCACCTCCCTGTTCGTGACGCTGCTCGTCACGAGCGGTCTGGCTCACTGCCACTTGACACGCCTCCTCGCAAGCCGGTGGCTACCTCAGCGAACAGCACTGAGACCACCCCCAAGGCCGACAAGGCCCGCAAGCACAAGTCCAGCAGCTCTTCCATTTTCCCCAAGTTCTCCCGCTGGTCCAAGTCCACTGCCACCTCTATGGGGGACAACATTCGCAACAGCATCCAGCCTTCCCGCAAAGACCGTCCGCACTCTGACCAGTCACGATCAGGATCCGATCTCGCCCCCCTTGGTGCCTACAAGGCCGACTACTATGACCCCCAGGGAGATGACCGAATCCGATCCACTTATACCCTGGACGATGAACATGACGAGAACAGACCTCCATCCCCATTAGTGCCTTCCCAAGTATCCGAGATACCCAAGTACCGCGGCCATCGAGGAAGCCTCGAGCTCCAGCACCCCCAACCTCGCCAAGGCCCAACTGGCCGCTACCAGTCCCGCCTCGAGACCGAAGCCCAGACCTACGCCAGCCCCGTCTCTCCCACCGGCTCAGACCAATGGGAATCCAACCCCAGCCTCTCCGCAGCCAATCCCGCCCAACCCCGCAACAGCGGCGTCAGCGGCAACGCCCGTCTATCCCCCATCTCCGACGCAGGCTACTCGGAGACCAGCTCACGAAACACCGGCCCACCCCGTCCTCCCAAAGTCAAGGACGATGGCCCTCTCATTCCCGAGCGTCCACCCAAAGTACCAGAAGACGAAGAACATTCCTACACCACCGACCGCGTCGTTTCCAGAGTATGTAACCCACTCCCATCCCAACCACCCACCCCCTAACAACCCCCAGAGCTCCGCCATCCGTTCCCCTCCCACCCGCAAGCCAACAGGCCCGCGCCCCCTCACCTCCGGCGGCACCTACAGCCCCAGCAACCCCAAGCGAACCCGTTACCGAGGCAGTCCCGCGCAAATCGATTATGACGATGACCAATATTGAGACCTGCACTGTGATACCCCTGGGTTAATGTTTTCGTTTCTCGCCCTCTAGCGTATTTTTTTTCTTTTCTTTTTTACGACATTCACGACCGGCTGGAACCCTGCCCAGTTTTGCTTCCCGACTCTACGAGAAATGTGTGTGTATTTAACAATGTCTACAAGATTTGCCTGCTTATATCACAGTTCGGGGGAAGTTATGTCTTCTCTCCGTTCTGTGTTTTCTTTTTTTTTCTTTATGCGCTTGCCTTTAGGGCTTGCAGCTCCCGGGCATTCGAGGTTGTTCCTCTTTGTAGCTTTGTAGAGAGCGTGGCAGAAAACAGGTGATTGATTCTAATTCCGAGATGTGAAATGCTAGTATTAGGACTGTGCGTCGTGTCAAATACAGGCGAATCCACACAAGAGCCTTGATAGAGCCTGCTGCGGGGTGTGTATATCAAGTAGACAGATAGGGAGGGTTTGTGGCCGCATGCATGTACATGGCGAATTTCCCTGCAACTTAGGTACGGCGGTGATGTGGTGAAGTATAGAATTTATTGAATGACAAGAATGACAGACCTGATCTTCGGTAATGGATATAATGCATAGTAAGAATCCCAAGCACAACGATGACTCCAACCTCATGCTTCAAACAAAAGCAACAAGGCAGACCCAAATTCCCAAACAGTCAAAAGAGCAGAGCTCCCAGTATTCACCACGAGACAAATCCTAGACTCCATTCAAAGAAACGAGCTTGCAGTCCTCACAAGTATATCATCTCCACAACCCATGCCAATAGAACTTCTCTTACCCCCCGAGCTTAGTAGTCCGAGAAAGGCCGAACAGAGGTAGTTCCCCTCCCCCTAACAGCATAAGCAGTAGCAAGAGAGCTATAATCCAGCGAATCACTAACAGGGAACTTCCCAGGATAACTCTCGATCGAATGATACTTGCGAGAGCGATTCATCTGTACAGTATCGACATCAACGACAGGATCATTCTTCGCACCGAACGAGACAGCCTGCTGCGCCTTAATTGCAGATTCCGGTCCAGGATCACTGAAATGATCACCCGCACGCGCCACAGATATCGGCGCAGTCTTCGGCACAGGGAAAGGCACGTTCTCGATAAATCCCGGCTCTGGGGTTGACACTGGTGCTTGAATGACTAGCTCTGGCTCGTGGCGTACATCATGCCGTTCCTCGGGTGAGCCGTCCAGATTCCGCGATACCATGTTCAGCGGCTGGCGGAAGATCGCTTTCGCAGAACTGGCGATTGTTGAGATGCTGCCTCGAGTGCTGGATCTGATTCTATGCACGGTATCATAGATGGATGAGCTGTCTCGGTGTGCTAGGCTAGCCATTTGAGTGATGTTCTCTTGCAGGTTGAGTATGGGGGATTGCTGTTCATCGGAGGAATCGGAGTCATGCTGTGCCTGTGTTGGCCAGATAGGGATGTCTCGAGAACTAGGACCTGGGAGTACAGTGCATATGTTGGTGTCTTGGTTCAAGAGGCCGTTTCCTGAGGCAAGTTGCCATGGCCGCTCTGTTGCTGTTGCGGAATTGTAGACCGGGAGCGGGGCGATGCCGAGGATGGCAGTTGTGACTCTTGTTTCTATGCGCACAATGGTATTGTTGAAGGGGGGGAACTCCCTTCGTGAGTTTCGCAATGGCAATGCGAGGTACGAAGCTGCGTAGAGGAGTTGCAGGTATAGAAGCGTAATGATCAGGCGGATTGTCTTTGGGAGGGATATGGGGAAGACGCCCGGGGCAGGCATGAAGGGTTTTTGATCCATGATGGATTGGAGAGAGTGAAAGAAGAGGAATTAGCTGATCCTGGAGACCGCATTTTGGGGACCGAAGTGATATCCCAAACAAGGAAGGCACGAAGGAACCAGGGCTCCTTCCGTATAGATCTCCCGGCTCCACTTGCCAACTCCGCCTCCTCAACGCTCGTCGCTCATGTTCAACGCCGTCGTTAGACACTCGACTCAGCACATCATGTCTGCTGCGTGCAAGCAACTTCGTCCGCGGAAGTTCGCATCCCTCGATCCCGCGCAAATCTCCAATGCCCCTCCTTTGAAGGGCATTGTGTTTGATGTCGATGGAACTCTGTGGTGAGTCATCTTATCTCGTTCTCCCGTAGTTATATGAGTGACGCGCTCTGTTTCCCTCTGTATTTTAATTGCAGCATATGTGGGCTTTTTGCCCTGCATCCGGGCCTGTTGCGAGTGGTATTGATGCCGTCGTTGAAAGTGGGATGATTAAGGCACCAACCTGGTATTCAGGCAGCAACACAAAGGCTACTTTCCTATTTGGGCAGAGCATATCTTGTGTCTCGGCAGTGTGAATCTGCCTATGACAATCTTCCCATGACCACCGGAGGATAATCCCTGAATGTGATGGCTTCATGTCCGCTTGGTGACCTACAGGTGAACAGTGCATATTGCTGCATGGGTTTCTCGTTTGCTATCAATTTCCTGTCTATCCCTCCTTGATTTTTGCTTGCCTACCTCAAGAATAGAGGCCATTTACAGTGTTGAATATGCTTGATGTTTCCCCCCGCTTTGATCTGGTCTTCAATATGAAAATGCCTCAGCCCTGCTAACCATGACCAGCCTACCACAGCACCACATGTTCAGAGAAATGAGGTATATACTCCTGACTGTACCCCCGATATCCTCTGGAAACCAACCTAACTCCCATTATAGAGAAGCCCTAGGAATCGACCGCTCCATCGATATCCTCGAGCACATCCGCCAGCTCCCAGCAAGCGAGCGCCCCGCGGCCGTATCCAAAGTACAAGCCGTAGAGCGACGAGCCATGATAGACCAGCAACCCCAGCCAGGTCTTCTCCAACTAATGGAATACCTCAAAACTCGTGGCCTCCAGCGGGCTCTCTGCACACGAAACTTCGAGTACGTATCAACAAACAATTCTTCAATTCAAGCCACTTATTCAATTCTGGCTACCTACAAACAATGCTAACATACAGATTTCTGCGTCTTGCAGAGCACCGGTCCAGAACCTGCTTGACAATCATCTCAATGGCCATGTCTTCCTGCCAATCATCACTCGGGATACCCCCAATCTCCTGCCCAAGCCTGATCCCGCCGGTATTCTGCATATCGCGAGTGAATGGGGGCTGCCGAATGCCGAGAATCTGATCATGGTGGGTGATAGTATTGATGATATGACCGCTGGCCATATGGCGGGTGCGGCAACGGTGTTGCTGGTGAATGAGAAAAATGTGCATCTGAAGGAACACCCGCATACGGATCTTTGTGTTACCCGGCTGGATGATTTGATCGTCATTCTTGAGAATGGATTTGTTGGGGAAAGAGGGAATGATGAGACTGTCGAGTGATGGATGTTATTCCCAGGCGTGGTGTCATTTGAAGTCAGGACCTAAATGCCTCCCTTGGGTTGGGAGGAACGCAAAACAATCTGCCGAAGGAGGGTATGTGCCATGTAAAGAGAACTCTGTAGCCCAAAATCAAATGTCGGAAATGCCGTCTTGCCTTTCAATCGTAGATACGTGCTCGGTCAAGTTTGAGGGGGAATATGGAACCAGTGTTATTTCTTATGTACATGACTACCTAGGTAGTCTTCGCTGAGGTGGGCAATGCTCATATTCACGTTAGATAGAAAGACTTTCACCATCCTCTGCCTCTGCCACCGCCACGTGGTCCGCGCGATGGGCCGCCGCGTTGGGATCCACGGCCACGGCCGATGCCTCTTGACGGAGGAGGACCTCGGGGGAGTGGAGGGGGTGAGCGTGAGCGGTTGTTGTTTCCGGCGAACGGTGGACGACCATGGGAAGGCTTTCTGGACTGCGAGTCACCGCGTTTGGCGCCAAGTCCACTTGAAAACTTAATATTGCCGCGAATATTGCCACGGGGCTGAGGGATGGGACGTCCCCGTCCGCGGGATACACGAGACATCATGTCATCCTCGTCTGGAGATGGAGATCTGACACGGTAATTGTTACGGTTGTTGCCGCGGGAAGGAGGACCAGGACGTCCTCGTCCTGGGGACGAAGGTCGGGTCCATTCTCTGTCTCTTCCTCGGCCTGCTGGACCATGCGGCGGAGCAACGGTATTGAGGTTCGTGATCATGTCCGGGTCGATGTTTTTCAAGGTGAATGATGATGATGTGAATGGTAAACGCCTACTAGTCACTTCACAGTCTCCAATAAGATGCTTTGAGCTGCTGCAGTTGGCACAAGAGATGGATACGGTGACTTGTTCGGAATGCAGATCCCTGACTGGGAACTTCCATAGATGATCACATTGAGATTCCAGGTGTGGTTCGTTGCAGTAGTCGCAAGGTACTTCGGTTGCGAAATTGCGTAGCTTTGAGGGACATCCTGGTTCGTCATGACCGCGCTCACGGCATTTTTGGCATCGTCGCCAGTCAGGGCAAGTACTGCTTTGGTGCTGATTCCAAGCACCACAGTGTTCACACTAACAGTCAAAGGTTAGTAAGACGATTTTGAGCGAATGTGAAGATAGACCATACCTCTTTCGCTGGGCAGACTTCAGCCAAGTGCCCCTCGCATTGACACTCGAGGCAAGAGATGGGGAGTTTGAGATCGATATCATGGATGTCACGGTCAAAGTACACATACTTGGCCAGGATCTCAAGGTCCTGCTGACTGAGGTCCACTAAAGATGTGGGCGCATTTGGATACTTGCTTGAGAAAAGCCGGAACGCCTCCTCTTTTGACCCAGGACCGGTCGGGTGTGAATTGGCCTTGCTGAGTCCATGCTTGTGAGCCAGATCGGCAGGGCTATAATCATCAGCGGCATCTGCTCCCATCTTGTCCCCGATGTTCAATAAGATAGAGTCATCGGCCTCTGAGCCAAGGGAGTCTGAGTCGGATGATTCACTCTTGGAGTCGATTTCCCCATCTTCCAGCTCATCTTCTCCTTGCGTTTGGTCCTCCTTCTGAATTTCAATGTTTTCTGAAGGCTTTTCTGAAGGCTTATCTTCACCACTGGCTGACGAGACGGACCCGCTGCGACTCCGCCAATATTTGTCATTCACTGCTTCAAATTGGGCGACTTTCTCGCTTGTTGGTGCCGCTCTCTTTCCAAGCGTTGTGCGCACTGCAGCTTTCCGACCTTGATTCCAGCTAATAGCAGGCGCAGTGCTGCCGGCATGTGGGTTTGCGGCCGCGATATCGGAGTTGGTATCGGAATCGGAATCTTCACCTGAGTCCGAACTAGACCCAGAGCTAGATGTGCTATCTGGATCTATCGGCAGGGCATTGGCAGTAAAAGCTCCACCTCGAGGAACAAAATCTTTGAGATCGGACTCGTTTTTATTTCTGTTTCTGCGTTGTCTCTTGGCCGGGCGCGAGTTGCTATCGTGCGATGTGGAACGCGATGTGGAACGCGGGTTTGATCGAGTGCGCGGTGCGCCCACCAAAGCCGTGCGCGAATCGGCTTCTTCGTCTGATGAATTTGCCATGACAATGATCAGACAGATCGGATAGGTACCACAGAAAAGAAGAGAGGAAGAATAGTCGAATGGGATACTTTGGAGGGACCGAACATGAGAATTTGGGTTGCCCAAATTTCACGGCAGACTATAGCAACCCTTCGCGCACTTTGGAGCTTGAGGCCGTATGTCGTACACCGCCCTCATCAGGTACTAGATCATTCCCAGGTTATCCCCGGGACTTTTAGGGGTGGAGCAGTTCGTTGGAGGCTATCTTCGTGGCATCCAGAAATTGTATACAGGAGCAAATACCTACCAAAACTCTCAAAACACAGGGAAATCCTCGAACTGTTTCTATCATACAAGCAAACGGTAATGTGCCGTGACTATGGGGTGGGAAAGGCAAGAACTGTTACGGAGTAGATTGCCCGTCCTTAGGGTTTCAGCTAAGCCAATAGATCAGTTGGTTAGTGTCTACCGAGTCTAGACCTACGCTTCCAAATCCCATTGAGGTTGTCACTCGATATGATCTACCCGAGACTCCAGGCAAAGCAGATCTAGATCTACGCCAAGAGTGGGGTTGCTGCATCTTGTCCCATCGGAGATCATGGTGATGTACTATGTAGGACATACATTGAGAGCCTCTATCATTGGCTATATAGGCCTGTCGTTGATGATCCTATAGTCTGCAGTTCAACGTCTTTTTCCGGCCCCGTTAATCGAGACACTGACTTCATGGCCAGTACGATCACCAGGTTACTACGAATTTCACTCACTATATGATCTGGATCACAAGTGGTCCTCCTGTGGTAGGTAAGGATCCTTGCAAATATAGCAGTAGCCTAATGGTTTTGATGGGGGTTCTTCTGCCTTCGTGGTCAATAGCTCAGAGCTTATAGTGGCTTGGCTCCTCAGAGTGGAAAGGTGTTCAGTGGTAGTCTGCTGTCTATTTTGTTCACACAATAGGCTACATGCTGATGACAGTGAGCCCCTCTGCAAGAAATGCTTTAGCAACCTTGTGAATCCAACCACTACCACCGGAACAATATTTGATGACTCAATATTGACGGTCTCAGGTTGCAACACTTCAAAAAGAATCCACTTGGGTACCTCTTATGTTTTGGTTGTGACAGGTTCCCATGCGCATTTCTCGCTTCCAAACAGATGGCTAGCCTGAGCAAGAGGACTGCCTAATCATGGTACGAGGAAACACCAACTATATTGAGCATGTGAGCCTCCTTGTGGGCGGGTCATCGGCTGCCAATACTTTTGATCGCTTTTGGCTTGTCAACATCGTACCACACGGGGTTGGACCTACACGGGTCATTCAGACGGCAACCAAGATCTTGCTAATTTGAAAGGGATACTCCGTATGGACTCCAAAAATACTGGAAGGGTAGGCCATTGCGTGTGATGGCACTGCCTTGACTTCCCAATTGGGGTATTGGTCCATATCCACTTTTGCTCGCTAGACCGGTGTCGAGGTTTTCTCTGTCCCCCAGAGGATGCAGTGTGCAGAAAGCCATTTACTTGAGTGTGTGGGAGTGCGTATGCCTGCTACCTGACATATCATCTCTTCTGATTTTTTGCATGCATCAATCTTTGCTGCACACCAACAATGGTTTTGTCGGTTTTCGAACGGCCGACATGGACAAATTCTACCAGGAGGTCTTGTGATATGTCAATCAGACCACAAAGTAAGCACCTTCTCAAAGCCAAGGTGTCTTCAGGAGTCATAGGTTTGGAGTCATAGGCCAAGCTTACTGTGGCTAAGTCACTGCTCCGTATGCACTGGCTGATTCTGTAGGCATCCATGGATGTCCCGGAACTATTTGCCCCATAGGACAAGGAAAATATCCAAAACAATCATGATCTTTGAAGGGAAAAAAAAAAAAGTCCGGCAAATCAAAGTAGTCAAACACCAACATAGCAAGCTTCCCCCTTAACGACCAGATAAAGGAGGTATAGTGCTTCCGGGCCAGATTCCGCACATGCATCGCAGATTGGTGCATTCGCGTTTAATTGCTAGACCAATCTAGAAGGCGAATATATTACGACAAGCAATCTAATTATAGCTCAACTCTCCCAAGAGGAAAAAATAGAAAAAAATAGCAGCAAAGAAGGAAAATAGAGTGTCAAACATGAATCAGAGAGCTCTTCCGCACCCCGTGACCGCAGGCCGATCCGACCGGCAAACTCCAGTCTGGGCCGTGCCACCTCATCCCCACGCTCCTTTTCTCCTCCTCTCCTTCTCTTCAACATATTCTCTGTGATTTTGGAAAAACAACCGTCAAGCTGGCGTCTGACAATTCCAAAACGTCTTCCCTGTTGGCCCCCCGTGGCATCTCCTTCCCTCCGGATGTCGACACAGGGCCGCATCGGTTATCTCCAAGCAGCATGAGCCAAAAACAAGGTCGACGGAGGCGGTCCAGCAGTTTGATCTACCAGGAGCCAGCTGAATCTATTGAGCGCTCAAGTGATCAGTCCGCACTGCCGAATTTGAATGCAAACTGGGTCAATGCTAAGGGTGAGTGACAAAAGCTGATCTTAAAGAGACCACGCATTCCACAAATGATACAGCAAAGAACTGACAGCTCAATCTTCATTGGATTTAGGTGCCTGGACTATTCACTTTGTCTGTATTGCCGTCCTCAAGATCTTCTACGACATCATCCCGGGCGTCTCGCAGGAAACCTCATGGACCCTCACCAACATCAGCTACATGTTCGGATCCTTCCTCATGTTCCACTGGGTGCGGGGCATTCCCTTCGAGTTCAACGCTGGTGCCTACGACAATCTCAACATGTGGGAGCAAATCGACAATGGCGACCAGTACACGCCCGCTAAGAAGTTCCTGCTCTGCGTTCCTATCGTGCTCTTCCTCCTCAGCACTCACTACACCCACTTCGACCTGACTCATTTCACTATCAACTTCATGGCCACATTGGGGGTGGTTATCCCCAAGCTACCTTTCGTATGTTCTCTCTTTCTCCGCAAAATCAGCGTGATGAAATATCCGTACTGACTTTTCTTCGGCAGTCGCATCGGTTGCGAATAGGTCTCTTCTCCGATATACCCGAGGAGTCATAATGACTCTCATTAATCTTTCTTTTTTGTTCTCCAATTACTATCCACGTTGGCGTCTTCACAGCCTTGATATTCCAACCTTCCTCGCCTCCCCTTCCTTTTCTCTATAAAAGGCCTTTGCATCGCGAAATTGATTAGCGGGGATTCGAGCCGTTGGTATCGCACATCCTGTTTCTTTTTCCGTCGGCAAATATGAAGACGCAGAATCCACTGCGAACCACTCCACAGTCCCATCTTTTTTTTCGATCTGCCCTTGGCAGCTTGTCCATGTCTAGATTCCCAAGTATCCAAGCCGTGCATCTTTGTTAACCCTGCAAGCTTATGCTTTCTCGGCCCTCCTGAAGCCTTGGACCGTGTGATGTAAGGGATTATAAGGTTCTGTGATGAATGCACAAAGAAGCAAGTGTGTAAATAGGGCTTCGATCGGTAATGCAAGTCAATCTCTTGGCTGGGGCCCATGCGGGGATCTATTGCATCATCGTATGAAGCAACCCGAATCCTAGAGTCCACAGTCTATAAGTTTCAGCTCTCGATCTTTCAGGCCCTCGGAGGGTGTAGAATAAAAGAAATATAACTCGAACTACAATATTAGTCACTGTTAGTGACCGACAATGCAACAAAAACACCCAGGTACAACATAGAGGGACCGGAAGCATACCTAGATACGCCTCTAACATGGTAGATATATCCATGGATGTATGAGCTGCAACGAACATCCGATCTCGCTATACCTCATATTTTTAAATAACCTTGCGCGATCTGCGTTCGACTTATTCCGTATATTCTCCGTCAATTCTGCAGGTTTGGAGTGGCCAATTTCATTGTATAGAATATGCATTTTCTGCCTTTATTGGAAACAAAGAAGTTCAATCTTTTAATAGTAGTTCGAGATGTCTTCCCTTGAATAGAGAATCGTCTCAACTTCCTTTGGGGTGATTGAAATATCTTTCTTATTCTGAAGAATGTCCTATCAGATCGCCCCCTCGACGCGCCCAAGCCGCGACTGCTTATCGATAAGCGCGTGATTGCGATCCAAAATGTTTCCCAAGTTTCTCATCGACTACTTTTTCAAATCACCCAGTATTGCCATGGCGATCATTGACGAGGTACCATCTCGGCCATTAGTACCTCTCCAATGGGAGTTGGCTCGGCAGACGGAGATTTTCCTTGAAGATGGCCTCTGTATGTTCCTGATCCCTGTGCGTTCGAACACGTCCAAGAGAAGCTACTAACCTGCGCTTCTTCAACCAGTCCCTCAAGCGTACAGTCTTCTTGCCAATGTACTCGCGTCGGGTACTATCTCAGGATCCAAAATTGTGATTCCCCAGCCGCAGCATCTGGCTGTCGCAGCCACGATGCTTGTGCACCCGAGGACCACCACGCGCGCCGAGTCTGGATACGAAAAAGAAGCTGCGAATTCAGCTCTGCGGGTCCTTCGACTAGCAAATTCTCTAGTTGGGCCGATGGATGGAAAGTTCAATATCGCGTTCGAATTCAAGCACTTTGAGATGTCGCGCCAGGGCAGACGGCGTTTGGACAGTCCGACGCTGGCTGAACCTGTCGACCCGGATAAGAAACCCCTGAACACGAGATATAGCCAAAGCTCGTCACTCTGGACGCGTGCGGAAGACTTCTGGCACGCTGTGGGCTGGGCTTTCAACTGTTCAGTGCTTCATCCGGCGCGGTGGGAGCGCTGGCAGGTATGGCTGCAATACATGTGCAACGTGCTCGAGGATGACTGGAAGGAGCGCGAGAAGATATATCTCGAGCTAAAACAAAAACGCAAAGCAACTGAGGAGATATTGGAGACCCCGGTCCCACAGGACGATGACCCGCCACCGAGAATAGGCAAAGGACGAAAGCCTAAAGTTCAGATAGACGAGGACTTGTGGGTATTCCGAGAAAGCCTGATTTTCGGTTACATTGTGTCGAACACCACGCCTGGACGGGACCGCCGAATCATGCGGGCAATTTTTGCCAATGGCAAGTCAAGCCTTGGCGAGTTCAAGGAGGTTTTCAACGACGAACTGAGAATCCCTGTGCCTGACCAAGATTCGCATAATACCAAGAAAAGGGCAGGCGGAGTTAACCTTGAGAAGGATGAATATGGTGACTATTTGGACAACTCAGAGGAGGAGTTCGAGACTGGTGCAAGTACGAGCTCAGTATCCCCTTCAGCCAAGGGGATCAAGGGTAATCTGCCACGGCGAACCAAGCGCACCCGACGAGGGACTCGAAACGCAATGGGCGATGCCAGTGAACCCGTCAAAGTATCCGAGGCAGGCCAGACACCTTCCCACGATGACAGTGGACTCTCTTCCTTCGGCGGCTATACCTCACTTGCCCTCCGCCAACAACTGCTGAGCATCCTCTCCAGCGTCTCCGTAAGACTGCCTCGGGAATTTACGCCCCTCGACGACCTCTACCACACATTCGTCGAGAACATCCGTGATCTTCCACTCCCCATCTTCCAACACTTCGTCACTCCTTCCAACCTCCCGCACTTTCTGCCCGAGGCACATTCGACTCTCTGTGAGCTCTTACTCTATGTTATGCGCGAGAGCTCTGCACCGAGCTCCAATAACGACTATCTCACCCAAGTGAAACTGGAGAAGTGCTTCCTCCCTTACGCGGGAGCCACGCCGAGCGTCATCAACAATGCGAAGATCTCGATTCTGCTAGAGGCGTTGATGACACTGCTCCACAGGAGCAAACTGCTATACGTGACGAACTCGCTCAAGACCGCCGTTCAGGCTGGAATTGCTCGTCGCGAGAAGTCTTGTCGCGATCGGGACTCGGTGGAGTGGATTTACCTGCACGAGAGCGGGCTCAGGATGCAGTTTATGGTAGATTATATTCTACCATGAACCCCGTTCTATGAGGACTGGGAAGATTGGAGGATGTGATGATTTTATGATAATGATACTTAATGTTTGAGTTTTTGAGCGTTATAGCATTTAGATGCATCTCGCTTCTTGGGTTATATTTTCCCGTTTTGAATTTGTCTGCTATGCGAAGTATAAGGCCTGTGTACTTTACAGGGAATCTGAGTCGACTAAAAAGCACATAAATTGCTTAGTCCGGATCCTGATGGTTGAAATAGCGGTCTTTTTTGCTTCCAGTACCTTTGGTTTTCTAGATTCAACCAGTTATCAACCTAAGTCAGTGCCTTATCCGCATTTGTCTTCTCTATCGGAGCGAGATTTCGCTAAGCACCCTATTTCAGTCCCTATCGTTAAGCCATCTATCCGAGTTCTTGTGAACGGAAGCTATTGCCAACCGGGTGATTAAGCATACGACGAGATAACAATACCATGCACATACGAGGCTTGGGAGTCAAGATCTTTATCGTCAGATCACTGACGTTGGCTATGGATTTGAATTCGCCTGAGACGGCATATGGCACTTCATGGCCGATGTCAGCAACTGAGTACTGTGGGAAAATCCTGACATGCATGGCCCCGGTTCTATAGATGTGGATGTGGATGTGGATCAGTTATTTTTTGAACTCGACGGTGGAATTCCCCTAACTAAATCTATGATGGACAATAGTCTAGAAAAGGTATGGTTGAGTAGCTGCTATCCACAACCACTTCATATCAAACACAAAGCAAAGGCACCGCATGGGAATCATAGAATAAAAACAATAGAACGAGTCACCAATGTAGAAATATGATGATAGCCATCCACAATGGCAGGGTAAATGGGGTTAAAAAGGAGGTAGGTAGAAGAGGAGTAATAGACGAAGGCAAAGGAAGAAACATAGGAACACTCCGTAAACAGACAAAACAGCACAGCTCGCAAGCCGAAAAGCTCAACAGCTTACCGCGGCGGCCGGGGGCCAATAATCTGGCGCCTAGCACCACCAATACCAAGGCCAACTCCACCACGGTTCTGGTTGTCACCGCCCATGTAGCCATACTGGTGGACATCCCAGGTCTGACCGGGTCCCGAGCCTTGAGTACCGTCGCGTGCTGCAGCCTGCGTCTGCTTCTGGTTCTCCTCCCACTCCTGTTGGCGGGCGCGTTCGCGCTCCATTTCTCGTTCCAGCAGGGACTTTGAAGCCCATCCGCCGGCCTTGGTCTTCTGCTGCGAAGCTTCGCGGCGACTGTTCTCAGCGTCGACCTCGGAGGTCGTGGTGTAGTCCTGGAAGCGGTGGGAGGCTGGGGCTGGAGATGCAGGCGCGGGGTTTGAGGCGAGGAAGTTGTCCACGCGAGTTTCGCGGCTCCGATTGGTGTTATATGCTAATGGGTCTGGAAGTGGCCGGGGTGTTGCAGGTAGGTCCCTGGGAGGAAGTGCTGGCTGTGCGGAGAAAGATGCTGGCTTTGGCTCCGGCAGTGGGCGAGAGGGTGGTAGTGGTGCTTGCTCGATGGGTTTGGGCTCCTCTACCTCGGCCGTAGCTGGCATGTCCTGGTTATTTTGCCACTCTGTGCGAAGAAGTCGCCGTTCCTGTTCAAGAGAAGAGAGATCGTAGCTAGGCTTGGGAGGCACCGGTTGAGGGCGACTTTGGCTGCGAGGCTCAGGTTGATCTCCGGTATTTCGGGTCTGGACTTCCTGACGTTCGGTCTCGTACAGGCGCTCCCGTTCCTTTGCCAGCTGGAGCTCGCGCTCGAGCTCTTTGATGCGGCGGCTTTCGGGCGTTTCCTCGGGCGATTTCGCTCCGCTGGTGGCATCACTAATCTGGGAGTTGGAGGCCTGGTACTGACTCAGGAACTGACCGTTGAGACGAGTATCGTTGAGACTGCGCCTTTTTTGTCGTTCCTGCTCGAATCGCTCTTCGGCTTCCTTCTCTTCTGTCATACGGCGCTGCTCCTCCGCTTCCCACTGGCGCTTTTCCTCATCCCAGAGTTTTTTTTCTGCTTCTACTCTGAGGCGCTCCTTTTCTCTCACACGAGCAGTCTCTTCCTCCCATCGGCGCTCCTCTTCTAATTTTGCCTGAGCCTCTTCTTCTTGCATCTTTCGCTGGTGAGCCCGATCTGCTTCTTCCTTCGCTGCATTTTCCTGGCGGATGCGCTCTTCCTCTTCGCGCCTACGCTTCTCTTTCTCCGCCAGACTGGGCACAGCAGGGCCGGGGGTGGTGATCTGCCGGCGAGCGCCAAATGCAACCCCCTGATTCCCTTGGCTAGCTCCGCCCATGTATCCATATTGATGAATATTCCAAGCTGGCGTGGTGTCCTGCTCATCACCCCTATTGGCCCAAGTGCTGTATGATCCAGAAGGCTTCGCGGGGCTGTCTGATCGAGAGTGAAGCGTAGACCGCGCATCGGTGGCATTGCTAGAGGAGCGGTTCGACCGGGGTGTATACACGCCAGTGCTTGAAGATCCCGTCGCATTCGGGCTCACTACACCGCGCTTACTCTGCGGACCAACAGTACGAGGGAACTTGTTCGGCGCAAGAGTATTAGCGCGACGACTGAAGGCCGCTAGACACTGGAGGACTTGCGCCGGATCCTTCGCTTCGTAGAGATCAACTGTCAGGAAGACATCATGAGGGGGAAGATTGAGGGGTGCCATCTGGCATGCGCGTAGGAAATGCGAGATGTTCTCCATCTGTACGAACGGCGCCGACAACTGCTTATACTTCACGCCCGGTGACACAGCGAGGTTTACCAACCTAGTGATTAAAGGAGTCAGCCATGGGTCCATACCAGTTCAATCGTAATATAGAAGCACAAACGCCACTTACTTGCACAGCGCGATACCATCTTTTAGGCCATCGAGCAAATCCGGCGATGCCAGTTTCTCATGCAGCACCTCCTCAATCCAGTCGCGCACCTCTGCGGCTGCCTGCGGGGTATAGCGGGCCAGGCGCATGTTGCGCAGGTCCTTGTCCAACGAAGTCACCGAAGCCATGATGAGTGTCGAGTGATTCTTGTTCAGGGGCTGGAAGATGAACAGTTATTGCCACCTGGCAATGTATCCCTTTAAGGGTGCCTAATCGGCCCTAGTAGTGGCGGGTATTGGGTAGCAGAGGGGGTGTTCCGTGATGCAATTGGCAATGACAAGGGAAACAAATTACCGCCAGAGCCAGAAGTATAGGAGATTGCTAACAAAGTCGAAAAAAATCGAGAAAAAAAGGGGAGAAAGAAGCCGAGAGGTGAAAAGGTAAGGAATGGAATGCCCGGGCTGTTTATTCCCGATGACGTTCCTGATAGTCTGGCCCGCTTCAAATTGACCTCCACTCTCTATTCTTTGCACAGCCTCAGCAATGGTCAACAGTCTCTGGTTCAAATGGAAAAAGCTTCGCCTGCCCTGGCGGAAGTCCTTCCTGGTTGGTTAGTATCTGATGCTTTTGTTCCTTCTCGCGAGTGCGGCGCCTGCAGTCCCGCTAACCATCTTGTTCTAGGTGAGGACCTCGCCGGAAATACCTTCTGGGAGTTCAAGGATGTGATGAACGCATCTCGGTTCCGACGCATTGTTCGATTCGATCCTAAAACCCATTTCAGTGACGTTCAAGTGACACGTGAGTTCTGTCGTCTGCAGGGAAGATGCAGGCTCGGCGTGGACCGCACCTCCTCTATCCCGGGGCAAACATAGGGGAATGACTCGATTGAGCCTCTAGCTAACGTCGTCTTTCATTATAGCACAATGGCATCAATGGCTACGACATGTTCGTCAACACCCCCCGAGTCTTGAGGAGCAGCGGCAGGATCTTGTCCGTCAGGCGCAAATCAAACAACTCGCCCGACTCGCCGACGAACGCTGGGCCAGCAAGGCCTCCTTCCTCGATAAGCCCAAGACTCACCAGCCGGTACCACCAATTCAAGCCAATGAAGCAGGTCTAAATCCGCCCTCTGTCAACGCTGCCCCCGCACAACAAGCACCGGTGTCCCCCAATACAGCGCCGAAGGCAAATCCTGCTCCCGCCGAGCCAAAGACACAAAAAGAGAACCCATGGGCCAAGGCTAACACGACCAATCCGGGAGAGGAGTGGCAGCCTGATGCGTGGTCTCCTAGTTCCAAGCGGTGAAGGTGAAGGTCAAATTGGGATCCTCACCTCGCAGGGCTATCAAAACTTCCGCAAAAGAGTCATAAGCCGGAAGGCAAAGGCAGTCCTCCGCATTTCCGGTCATCAGCAAATACTAATTGCACGAGATTGCGCTTATGTGGCCATGAGGCTATCGCATGTCAAGGAATCTTTCCTGTCACTTGTCAGATGAGGGCGAAGATCATGGCTGGAGTCGAACGTGTCCAAATATAACCTGGAAGCCAACTTTATTTGGCCTCTCCATTGTGGAATAATCAGTGACTTTAAAATAGCGTCTAGACATAAAGCGCCGATGACTTTGATCTATACCTTTGTTTTCATCTATCGTTGGTCTCTTTCTTGAGCTCAAAAGGCAACAATGTGTTCTTCGACTCCTCCCAAGGCCATTGTCTTCATTATCTAGCCATCTCGGACTCGGTCATGATAGAGACCCTCGACTGTTTAAAAGCCACTCTAGTCCGCCTGAACTCGATGACTCTACTCCAACAACCCAATTCAGCAATCTCCTTCACAAACCAACTTAAATCAACTTAAACCAACTCAATCCAACTCAACACGATACATCACTTAACAAAATGCCTCCTCGAAGACAAACGTACTACATGAATATGGGCAAGAGTTTTATGCCCAGGTTCTGGGGTCCACTTGGTCTCTGGAATCCCGAAGATCCAAGTATAGTCGCAGCTCAAGATATGGTTCTGGCGCATCTTCATACAGCCCACGATGATATACAAGATAGATGGATAGAAGAAGGGCTCGACCCTTCGACTCTCCTCAAATCCAGGGTCAAGAAAGCTGAGCTAAAAACTAGGTTTATTGAGGCAAGCGCACAGCTTCCTCCAGCAGTGCGAAGTCTAGATCCCCAGATCGCAGCTGATTATCTATGGGATCTATACTCGTATTACAGGCACCACGAGCCCTTGAACTGGGGATTGGGAGGCCCCCCCATTGGGCCTTTTCAAGCTAAGCAGTGGCGTCCACTGGGTCTCTGGAATCCCACCAATGATCCCACCATCCGCGCAGCCCAAGACATGGTCCTAGCGCATATTCATACAGTCCATGATCGGGTGCTAGGTGGCTGGGTGAGCTCAGGAAGGGAACCGCGCTTTTTCCTTGTTACACTCGACAACCTACTCGCACTCAAATCCGGGTTCATCGATCCGGCAGCACAGCTCCCACAATCCATTCGGGATCTTCAACCAGACGAAGCATCCGAGGCTATGTATGTGCTGTATCGGAATATTAGGGATCGTAACCCCCGTGAGTGGGGAGTGAACCATACCGAACGGTTGGCACCTCAATTTTGGGCTCCTCTCGGTCTTGCGAACCCCAATAATGATCCGGCTATTGCTGCAGACCAAGCTATGGTTATGACGCATTTGCATACAGTTCACGATAGGTTTCATGGCCCCTGGGTGAGTTTGGGAAATACCCTGCCGAGTTTCCTTATAGCAAGGGCTAATCAAGACAAGCTAAAAGCTGGGCTCGTCGATTCGGCAGCACAGCTCCCAGCATCAGTGCGGAATCTTGATCCCGAGGCAGCATCCACAGCTCTATTTGAGCTTTATCATTTTTACAGACAATATGAGCCCCTGGACTGGGGACTGCCACCTGGTAAGCAACCATCCATGCCAAGGCTACTCAAAATGCACAAGGCTGCCGTAAGTAAAGAAGGAGGAGGAGGAGGCCCGGAGGCCCCCGCAGTCCCCGAAGTCGAGATGGGAGAAGCAGAGGAAGAAGCAGAAGAGGCTGCAGTGCGGAAATATATAGGCGGTTGGCTCCAAGAGCATCCCTAGGAGCTAGGATGAGAAGAGATGGATTGGACTTTCTGGAATCATAGCCTCCATGTTATACAAACTTATCTTAGCTGTAGTTAGGGCACAAAATATATGTGGAGCATATAGGAAAATGACCAGACTGTGGCATACCTCCGAGAACACCTAATAACGTAACCAGAGAGTTGCAACCCCGGTTCATCTCTTAGACTACTATGGTTGGAACAGTTGAAGCTAGAAAAGCGAAAGACATCAAAATCGCTCTCTCTCTCTTCGCACCATCAGGCTGCCCCTGGTCCATGAAGGCCTTTTTCTGCACCAAAAGGTCTTGCTAGGGTATTAGAGCTTCCTTCTTAGGACTTCAAGTCTTCTTCAAGTTTGATGAGATGCCATGCGACGGACTTGTAGCGCTTTGACGTCTTCTGCTGATACGTACTGCGAAAGTAAGCGACGGATGACCTTACGCGAGCATGTTCTGTTAAATATCCTCCTACATCTACATACATAATGTTAAATATTCTCCTACATCTACATACATAAAATATATTCCTTTACAGCTACCTAGGAATGTAATTATGCATCCTAACCAGGGCCTTCCGCATAATATTACCCTCTACGTAGATGTGAATACTTTGTCCTTGCAAATATATATCGAGGCCCAGCCGTTAGTCTCGGGCTACTAGATCACAACTGCCTACACAAATATCAAGGCTTCAGTTTGAATTTTTTGTTTTTTTTTTAACCACTCTAACATATAAAACACCCCCTTTTTTTTGTCTTTTTTTGATATTTTCCATGCCGCAGCCCAAGCGTGCTCAAGAAACTGCAAGGATGTCGCAAATAGCAACCTCGGTCAAAAGCTAAGGTTGACTTGACATGCAAAGACATCCTCGGATTTTTTTGGTATTTTCAAATTTTGGACGCTTCCTGCAGCATAGGCACGTCTCAAGCTTGTAAGAAAAGCAAGGACACCCAACCCTTTTTTTTGTTGTTTTGTATTTTCTAGTCATGCATTTCGCATCATAAGCAAATGTTCCTGCCCAGACTTAATTCAGTCATTGCAAACATATGAGTTCACAAGAAAACAATCTGAGAATGAGACAAGAGAATCAACATCTTCAAAGCTCTCCAGGTTCCGGAAGAAGTCAGAAAAAGCATCAGAGTTCAATCAGCCAGAAAATGACAAGTGTCAATTCTAAATGTAGACCATGCTGTTGTGGCAGGCGTCTGCCATAGTCACGACATTGTCAGGCATTGTGTTCGTGCTCAAGATAGTGGCCATATTCTCATGGTAGTAAGCTAACAGGTACTTGCGGGCACGATCACAGAACTTGTCAGCCAGGAAGGCAGGCGTGCTGTAGCTGATTGAGCGAGTAGCGCGCCCCATCATGTAACAGATGTTGTGAGTGATTTCTTGCAGAATGTCAGCCGGCTTGCGATCCGGGTTGGCCTTGGAGTTAGTGAAGATCTCGTCGTGAATGACGATGTAATGAGCAGGCCGGGCAGAACCTTGAAGCGGAGCTTGCGCTTGGAGGTAGAAATCCCAGAAGATTGGGCGGGTGACTCCACGGTCGACAACACATCCGTTGATTGGGTTAGCTGTTCTATCTTGGTCCTTGGCAGTGGTTGGGTAGAAGCGTACATTGTGACGCTTGCCGCAGACTACGATGGTGATATTGGGCATGGTTCCACGGTATGTTGCTTTAGCAGCGTTACGAACCTTTGGGAGTTCTTCTGCGCGAACCATAGTGAACTGGCCTTCACTAACACCGTCACGGTAGATAAGGATATTTTGGGGCAACTGACCGTTGTTGTGCTTTTGCCACAATCTTAGTCGACCGCACATCATTTCTGTGAGGTATTCCACATGTTCTTGGCGGCGTGTCTGGGATCGAATTTCACCAGGCCATTGTCCCATGCGATGATCCACGGAAGCAACGATGGCAGCAACACTGGGGAAGGCTTCAGGATCTGTGCTCGACGGATGGGTGACGTCCAAGCCGACGACCATGGTAGTCTTTCCCGCACCAATGAAGCGTGCACCTGAGGAGTCTAGGAGTTGATTGCATCCTCCCATCTTGAGGTTTACCTTCATGGCATTGTTGCTCAAATACTGCTCACTAACTCTGTCGTCCTTGAATTTTTCAGCTTGCATACAATGTGTAAGGACTCCATGCTTGATGTCTCCGAGATATTTGATGTAGTCGAAGTTTTTACCGTCCGTGTTAGGAAGCAATACGACAACGAGGGAGTAAGCGGACTTGAGCTCTTCGAATGCATTCGCAAGCAGCTCTCTATTCTTCTGATCGCCTCCGTCGGCGGTAGAACCAAGAGTGACCTGGCGGAAGGGCTTTTGTGGGGGTGGGAGTGTCAGACCATGGTCTCGCAACTTCTTGTAGAAAGCATCTATTTTGGCATCAGGCTGTGAGAACCATTCTCGAGCACCGCGCTTGCGAACCCAAAGACAAGTCCACGTTTTGATGGTGGCGCAGTGAGAGAATTTGGTTTGGATTAGATTCCAGGCGCCAAACTTAGGAGTATTTTTCTTGCCAGCGTAGGTCAGGTTTGGGGGATTCAAGATCCGTGCATGCACAGTGATCATCTCCTGACCGGATCTGATTCCTACCGCTTTTGTATCTCCACTAGTGATTCCCATGATGTCCAATCCTTCAGTGATAATAGACTCATAATTCTGGGGTGGTCGACGACAACTGAATTTAATCATATTCTGGCGCTGGGTGCTGGACGGCTCTCCGCCGAACCCCTGGCCACGAATGATCTCCAAAAGCTCCATAGGAAGGTAAACTGGACGCTCACGGGTTCCAACATTCACAACCGGCATATCATTGGCATGCTTGAGTTTGATGTTGTAGTCTGTTATTCTTTGTTAGCGGATTACACCGTACACATCAATCGATGGACAACAAACATACCCCTTTTGAAATAATCGGCGACACTGATGTAACCTGCCTTTCCATCTCTCTCCATCCAGAACTTCACGTTATCGGCACAGGAACCAACACGAGGAACTTGTGGGGGGTGGGCAAACTTGGGGTCTGGCTTTTGGTCGGGCTTTTGATCGGTCTTTTGACTACGTCCATCCCTAGGGGTGGCAAGCCCAAGGATGGACTTGACAGGGTATTCCATAATCCCGGCTCCATTCTCTCGCTGTTGCAGGTGTGTCGCATAGACTTTAAGGCCCTTCACATATCTGTGCAGAAGCTCCCGGTCTTGATCAAACAGCTCGACAAATTCCTGGGCCAAATTTGACATACGACCAGGACGGTAGAATGCACCATGGCTGACGTTCAAATTGAGCATGATTCGTCCAGCACCAAGTCGGACACTTGAGTAGTAACCACGGACGGCTTCAACGCCACCTCTCATATCGATCGACTGCTTTCGGCGGTCCATGCGGAAGAATTTGTTGCGGCCCTTGCCGATGATGTTGATACCGGGATCCTTGAAGCCATAAGCACTCATGAGAATATTGAGAACACGAAGACAGGGCGCTTCATTATCAAGTTCTTTCCTGTGTCCGGAGTCACGGAGAGTTGTAATCATTTGTTCTGGGGAGTAGGAGCTTTCATGCTTCAGGGTCACCTTCCAGGGCCCAATATAAGCGTGAGACTTTCGACCACTGTCCTTTCCGTTTCCGTTTCCATCCTCCATGGTGCAAGTGAATGGGTGTTTCATTTCGGGAAGTAGCTCAGTCGTGACAATCTCCGTGGCTCCATCGGTGGCGACACCGATGTTATTGAAGCCAGAGTACCTCCGGAGCATGGTCTCCATAATGAACCTCTGCTGTCCCCTTTTGGCATTTTCGGGATCGAGCTTGAGCCGATAGGAATGGAATTTCACACCGGGCTTGAAGTCCAGAGGAAGGAAATTTGTCCGAACTACGATAGCGCGGCCAGAGGTGCCATAGCCAGGGCGTCGTGCCAACCCTTCGGGTTCAGGACGAAGCTTTGCAGTCTCAGCAACATATCTGTCTTCAAAGTTGTGGACATTGCGGTTGGGGGGCTCAATGGGGTCCGTGAGCATCCTGTACGCATATTAGATTATATTTTCATCTGACATAGAACACATCAACTCACTTGACCGGTCCTTCATAACCACCACGTCCACCGCGGCCACCACGCTCTCCTGATGGGCCTCGGCTTTGATGGCCTGCCCCAGAGCCCCGTTCACCACCACGGCCTCGGGGACCTCCGCGATCACCACCGCCCCTAGGGGCACTACGATCGCCACCGCCACGGCCGCCTCGAATGGGCAAGTTACCGTGTGCACGTCCGGTCATTTTAGCGAATGCCGGCGAGAAAAGAAAGGTGTAGTCGGAAAAAAGAAAACGTGAGAAAGCGGGAACACGATCTTTGCGTGTTTCGAAGGAAAATGACAATGGCGGGAACGGACCCTAAAACGATGTCCGCAGGGGCGAAAATAGATAGATGAGCGAATAACAAAGTTTGTAACAGGACAAGCGTATCTTGTCCACCGCAGGATGGCTTTCAAGAAAAAGCAAAGTGTTGGAATTGTGTAAACAAAACTGGAATCCTGAGTTAGTGACGATGAAGTAGGAAATGTTGACGTGTTCGGAGATTGATCAAAGACGAACCAATGCAGGAGAGTGATAGGCAATGCAATGCACACAATGCAAAAAGAAATGGATGATGGAAGTGAAGGTTTCGAGCAAGGACGGTGGAAAACCAAGGTAATGCAGGGAGAAGAAAAACCGCTGGAGCAAGTAGTAGTCTCCGAATGGATCAACAAGAGCAAATGAAGGCTTAGAAGATAGAGGGAATGACTGGTGCAAGTTCGGGCAAGAGACAAAGATATGAAGCAATCGAATGTCAAGAACTGAGGGTCGTCGATGCAGCAAGTGAAGGTTATAATGAGAGATGCAAGGCAAGCAACTGAAGATAAACTGAGCGATTGATGATATGGAGAAGCCAGGTTAATGCGAATGAAGGTGAAATAGATGCAGGATGGACTCACGGCCCGGACCAGAGACCATGGTATGCAAGTAGAAATGAGATTTGGAGATGAAGGGAAGTGGAAGGAGGGAAGATAGAGACTAGGAGGCAATGTACTGGGTGTGAGACAAAGGATATACTCACAAGAGATGATAATGTGTAACTTGAGGAGAGAGAAGAAGGAAGAAGGAAGAATTGACCAGGAGGGTATTTATAGTCCGGGTCCAGCAAGCAATCGCACCTTCGGGGACTGGGTTTGGATGATTTCGATTTGTATTGGCTGGGTATGTATGCATCCTGGAGAAATCTGGATTGTAGGTAGATAGATATGGAGACATAGTATGGAGGGAGCTCGGCCTCGAGGGTATAGTATGGAGGACTGAGTATAGTGTACTCAGTATAAAGACCCATCAACAAGAAATCAAGCCTGCCAGATTTAGTCACAATGGCAATAAGAGTATCAGTATGGAAAAAAAAGGACCAAAGGCTCACCAGTGTGGCAAAGGAAGACGGACGCTTAGGAGGCCCCAAAGAGCAAAAGAAGGAAAAGGCTACAGCAAAAGCTGGATAGTCACAAAGTATTATAAGATTAGGTATCCACAACGAGTCTAGATATTAGAACAGTCTAACGTTTTGAGAGTATAATAACCCCGGCCTAGGCCTGAAAGCACAAACCGAAAACACCCCAAGCCAGAAATTTCCCAATGATATAACCATGAAACACCGGCTGGAAAAACAGAGACCAAAGTAAAAGAATACAAGTAAAAGAATCAAACTTAAAAAAACATGTTTTAACACAGGGCAGCTTCGAGAGCTTCAACATCACCACCGGCGCTGCGAACAGCCCTAAATGCGGCCTCGCTCAGCTTGCGACGACGATCCCGGGCTTCTTGCTCGCGGCGAGCCTTGGTCTTGGAGCTGCCGGAGGGAGCAACTCCGGTCAAAATCTTCTCGTGATCATGATGGGTAAAGTTGACAAACGAGACGCTGACGGCCTTGTTTGTGCCTCGTGGCGATGAGCCAGATGCCTTGGCGGGCTTGGGGCTGTCAGTGCTCTGACCGGAGAGCTTGCGGGTGTGAGTGCGACGATGGGAGGACTTGGAGATCGAGGGGGTTCGGACATCCTTGGGGGATGTGCCGGCTTTGGGAGAGAGAGATGGGGACTGGGAGATGTGGGCTTGGGAAGTGGTGAAGGAGGTGTCGAATTTTTGATGGTTGGCGGGGAGCATATTAGATGATGTGAATGACTGATCTGCCGACATGTCATATGAGGGATTGAATTGGATCATGAGTCCTCCCTGCATCATGTCATTTTGGCCTGCCACATTTTGCATGGAGCGGACGGGTGTAGGAGATGCGAGATACGAGGGTGGTGGTTGAGCGACCCGAGACGGCATGGGAGACCACCATTGGCTATCTTGGCCCTGGAGATCAGGGGTGAAAAGAGCTGAGGCATGAAGAGAATCGGATTGCCAAGAAGAGAGGGATTGGGGATCAGATGAGTTCGATGAAGAGAAAATATCATCTACCGAGGGGGAGCTGGAGTTCGCCAATGCAGAAGAGCTGGGATGAGCGATATAATGCTGTTGTTGCTGTGGTGCCATTGATGTATTCGGTGTCGGCATTGGAACGGACGGGGACTGGTGGAAAAGGTGTGCATCGTACTGAGGAGGCATCTCTACTGAGTCTGTAGGTTGGTTGAGAATGTGTTCGGTAGGCATGGGTTCATGTTGGACGAGGACATCTGAAGGCGGAGGCGATAGCGGCAGACGATTGTCGGAGTTGTGAAGATTAAAGTTCTGGATCCGCTGGGTCCAGGCCTCGGGATATGCCATTCTTCCTTTGGAAAGGTTGGAAGAACGAATTAGAGTGGGAGAGAAACTTTGTTTGCGCAAATGAGAACGGCGCTCAGTCGGGCTGCGATGGCGGATAGATTTGGGAGTGATGAGAGCGCTCTGCGTAGGCTTGCGTCTCGGGGTAGTTGGAGGAGTGGATGGCGATGCGGACAGACCGTGGGTTGCTGCAGGGCGAGAGGAGACCTCAAAGTTATTCAGACCCAGGTCTGAGATGGCAGAAGGTTGGACGGTGTCATGGAAATCAAAATGATCTACAGCTGCTCCGTCATCCTGCAGGGACCACTCGTTGCTCCAGGGCTGCGGTGATTGATGGCGCTTAGAAGTGGAGACAATGGGTGAAAGATCGCCACAATGGCTGGATAGCGAGTCAAGCGGGAAGAACTGGTCAAAGTCGCTGGGTAGAGTCGAATCTCTTCCATCAGCAGCAGAAGTATCCATGTTGACGTATTGGTTAAAAAAGTCATTGAAAGAATGGTCGTACTGTTGGGCGAACATCTTGTCGGATTGCCGTTTGCGGCGACCAAGTCAAAGAACGGGACGAATAGTGTAGTCAGCGACTGAAGGACCCAAGACTGGATTTAATTGGACACCCAAAGCGACAAGTCTCCGATTGATCTTGGGACTGTTTGGAATAGTTCGGGGAATCGACCCGGATATCCGAAGGATGCAAAGGATGCAAAAAGAAAAGAAAGCGTTTGGATGTTTGGATGTTTGAGTGTTTGATGGGTTGTCAATCAAAGAAAACACTGCAGATGATGCAAAGAAAGCAAAGCAATCAAACAGATGCATGTTCTATTTGAATAGCTGCCAGGGACACCAGCCTCGGAATTTCACGACACATTCCACGCGCTCTAAAGTTGGATGAGGAATGTGCTATGAGAGCCCGGCTGGCTCCTGGCCCGCTCCACCAACCTCCCAGAGGAATGATTCAGGGCCCCTTGGACCAATCATAGCCTCCGGAGATTTGACCGGCCGGCAAAGCTGTCAATCTTCGTCAAATTCAAAGGTGCTTCGTTCTGGACCGCCCCTAATGGGAATGCAACCCTCTAGCCCTAAGCCAGAAGCAGGCGGATGGACATCAAACGGGTTGGCAGAGTGGGTCCGGGGAAAACTCAGGTATGTCAGGCCGATACCTTTCATCGATAATCGGTTATAGATCGTAGGAAGACCGGTCGGGAAAGAAAAATGGGTCGGACCACCCCCCGGGCTACCCAGAGTTGGTCAAGGAACCAGGACAAGCTAGACAATTGGGTCATGGAGATGATCACCTGTCAGGTTTTGATTTCTAGTGTAAGCGTCATGCTAGATGTGACCCAGTCATCAACCGCCCAAAGAAGACTCGACCTGGGTGAAGGTATGATCGACAGCGCACACTGGCTACTTCCAACTTTGCTTCATCATTAGCCAATGCACTGCAATGACAGTGGAGATGATATTTGTTGGCCAATGCGCAGTTGTGTCGAGACGGTTCGGAATGTGGACTGGAATGCAGAGGCTGGGCGGAATGTCACGTCTCGGACAATGCACCGAATAATTTGAGAAATTCGAGAAGGAAGTTTTTTCCCGGTGAGCCCTTCGTCAGCAAATTAGACAACTTGCACCTGCAGGAGATCGTCGTCCAGCATCAGCGTTTGATCCAACGTTCTATATTTGGACTGCATAATCAAAGGCACAGACGATCGAGATAAGGCTATGTTTGAATGCAGTAAAATGCAAGCCTTGTCTTCGGGCCGAAGTAAGGATCTGATTTTTCCTTTCCTGTTTTGAAAGGACACAGGCGCCATTTGGCTGTTGCAGCAGACCCTGTTTTAGAAGTGGGAGACTCCCCCTTTGCATCTTGTTCCTCAAATGCTACCTACCCAGTTCATGGTTAGCCAATCTGAGGCTTCCTTGAATCAGCCAGTGACTTGCAGGGTGTCAGTATGATTACGGGTAATGTTGCTTTCTCACTGTCGTGCTTGGGCGGAGCGCACCACAAACCAGGACAAACACGAGGCAATATTCCACCACATAGCATCAATGGTCACTATAATATCACTGGAATATGGACGGCCTATATTGTGAGTCGGTCAATCTGAGACCAGGGATGAGTGTGGTCGAAATTCAACGAGTCACTCTAGGTCAGCCTGATGGGCTCGCAACTCGTTAGGCAGTTGTACTTGGTTCTCTCAGAAGACCAGGGTACCCATGTAATCAGACTCTTGGCCCAATGGAGACATGAGAAGATGTCCAAAAACGAACGTGAAAAAGTCCAGAGTACGGAGTAATGAGCCCGATGTGTTAGTGATGTGGCTATAGCCCTACTCAAGTGTGATTGTCAAGATCGGTGTAGCGCCCCAGCGGCAAGGAAATCGGTCAATAATCGATCTTCAGGTCAATTATCCATTGTCATGGAGGCCAGGGGGAGAGGCTCCGACCAGAATTTGAGATGTGACGCTAAAAAAAGCAATTGTCGGCTGAGGCGTAGATCGTACTCCCGCGCTCCCGCACTCCCGAGGTTGGCTCTCTCTCACCTGGGTAAGAGATGCTGAAGGAAGATGAGGCATTAGAATAGTGTTGATATCCTGGTAGTTGCTCACAAGTTCGTATAGAATGTAGTCCCCATGCAATGCTCGAATGATCTAGAAACCTTACCGATGACATGGTGACCAGGCCCAAAGGGAGATCCCGATTTGGTCAAGTTCGGGCCCAGCTGAGTCAGATGACGAGAAATCCCCATCTTGGAGGCGACCCTCTTTGTGGCTCCCTTTTTCTTTCTTCTCAGTAGGCCACTTCGAATAGTGCCCTTGGATTCTTAGCCCTTCGGTTGCTGCTTATCTGCAGTCTTTCTTGCAACTCCTCTCACAACTGCACTCCTGTGTTTTTGTCAACCTTCGAAGTCGACGTGACTCAACCCCAATTTGCCCCTCGTCACACCCCGCGAAACGTGGGCCATTGTTCTCCTCTTCTCTACATCTTCGCTCGTCCCCTTCGCTTCTTGATTCTCTGATAGGCCTTTCCGTGGTCACTATTCGTGAATCCCGTTGCGACCCGCCTTACTCTCGTGACATTCCGACGCCGTTTGCATCGCGTCGCGAGAACAACACGCCTCAACCCTCTGTCTTGCCATTTTCATACACCCTACATGCATCTCGACAAGACCTTTGACTTCCGTATCATCCGCGACCGAAACCAAGTTATTTCAGATCTCCCCAACAACCAGCCCCGATCCTCTTGTTGTTCCGCAAATCAGATCGGCCAGAAAGCACACACCCATATTTAACCACAAACCCTCTATCTCAAAACACCATGTCTTGCAACACCATTGTCGGGAACAAGTTTCCTTAAACTTTTTACACGACTCCCGTGTGCCTTCATTATGCACTATTCTCCGTGCTTTGCAGGCTTTCGATGCCCTTGCTATTCTTTTAACCCTCACTCGATTCACTAATCGCACCTTTCCAAATTCACACGCCTTTCTCTTCCACCAACCCACATCTCTTCTGCCCAGGAGTCCTCGGTTACCGGGCTCAGTACGCTCTAGGACCTGATATTTTGGGCAAATCAACATATTACACCAAAGAAACTGTCCCGCTGAAACCATGGACAAATCAACCGCCACGCCAATGAGCGACTCACTTGTCCACCGAGGATCGTGGGGCTCTGTCTCCTCTACCTTTTCCAATCTCGAAATGTCTTTCTCCCACGACAGTTGCTATGGCTCGGACGAAGTCTCAGTCACATCGAATGCTGGCCCCCCAGCACAGTCAAGTGCTTCGACCTCCACAACCAAGACGTGTTTACGTCCTTTCTTGAAATCAATCCTCAAAAATTCAACCAGCAGTCTTGAATCTGACGATGAAACCGATTCGGAATCAGGTTACAGCTCGGATGGGATCGACTCTGATTATGATGCTCTTTCCGATGATTCCGATGAAGAGGACGATGATATGTCCGATTTCTCGGTCTGGGATGGCGATGAGACGATTGGGGATGTCCCAGAGTCGCATGAGGATCACACAGGTTCCTTCGACGATGCCTTCATCTCCTTTGAGGAGAACTCGGTTCGCTTTGATCCGAATGTGCAGTACATCGACAGTGCGGAAGTATCGGATGAAGAAAGTCCTGATCACCAGATGACTTGTCATGAAATGATGATGCTTGCTCGGGACTCCAACGGGACCCAGACTCTTCTGGATCAACTCGACCAAATGGACCTCGACGACTTCGATCAAAATGAAGACTCTCACCATGAGTTCGTTCGCAAATCCACTAGTCAACCGGAGGAGTTTTCTCGTGATGCTGTGGACCTGGATCGCAGTCTCTTCGTTGCTTACATGAATGGAATGCACGGAATAGCCACTCCGAAGTACCAAACGTACCTTCGGGTACAGGTCGACCACATTCGCTTGGGCAAGGACACTGATTTTGTGGATCCAGAGGGTGCACCTTCATTGTATCTCGACTTGGTCTCCAACCATGTCATTGGCACCTTCTGCAATCTCCTTGCTGAAGATGAGCTGAACGAGTTAATCACACTCTGCGCCGAAGAGCAAGCTGGCAACCCTAAAAATCCAAGCTCGTCAAGCTTGGATTTGGATCACCACCAAGCACTCCTGAATAAGATCGAGCAATTCCTGCTGGACAGATTGGCGAATGGTCGCGTCAACATTGATCCTGATGAGCTTAGCTTCTTCGCTGGTGGCATTGCACACGATCTCGGCACCAAAGCTTTGCCTGCACGGATCTAAGACCTGCACTGCCGCAAAAAAAATAACATGACTTTACGATTATGAACTTTTATTTTCTTTCGGATTTACCCGCTATCGGGCAAGGGACACAAATGGGGTGGCTTTTAAGCCAGGAAAAGCTTCCAAATATTTCACAGGCTAGTCTCGGGTTATGATCCGACAATGGTTCATGTAAATCCCGAAGTAGCACTTGATATTCAAAAACAATTCTAAAAGTTCAATGTTTCCCACGTCGAGGATATAAGTGTAGCCTAGCCAGCTTTCCTGTCATCATCCCTAACCTTGGAAGCATGCAAGCATCAGGCGTCGAGCCTTCCAAGGTTCAATGACAGGCAATGACCTCTTTCTCCTTCTCCTTCCCCTGCAAGTATGGAAAGAACGGGCCACCCTTGCTATGACACTTGGACTAGCTCGCTCCAAGGTCTAGATCACGTTCAGTACTACATCCATCCTCATGTGGCAGCACAACAGCGTCGAGTCTACTCCGTAACTCGAAACGCAAGGTCTCACTACACTGTATGCACATATCGCAATCCCTCTCTTAGTAAGTCAATGATCAACCCAGATACTCCGTACTCCGTACAGCAGCGCGCTATGACAGATGAGCATAACCAAAACAGGAATTAGTCGAGCCGGACGTTTCAGAACTCATCCTTCACCCCTGACACTCGCCGGGGTATAACAACGCCATTCTACTTCCGATCTCCTGACACCCTACCCCCGGTAACAAACTTGACACACCGAGAGCCCTTCATCCCTCGTATCCCAGGGCCTGGCTACATGCTAGCGTGTGTTTCGAGAAATTCCCGGTTTTACTTTCTTATAGGGTAAAGATGGGCTGATGGGTACCTGCGGATAAGCGGAAATGATCTCGCAACCAATCCTCCGTAGTGCGGACCATGCATGTTCCTGGTGCCAGGGACGATATTCCTTTAGGAGAGTTTTGACCTCTTGCGTCTCCGGTTTGGTTTGGGTGCAGCGGGGAATTATCCATATCCACAGGGCTCCGTTCGGGCTAGCAGGGATTATTAGTGGTTTTATTCCGAGGTATGGATGATACAGTACGGAGGATATTGTTCTACTAATTCAAGCATGAAGCTACCACAACGTCACTATGGTATGAGAGCGGGTCAGAAAGCCAGATACGAAAATCATGTATCAGTTGGATGGCCAAGATGATGCCAAGCTCTGTAGGTTACAGGTTCCATGTACGGAGTCAGTGCAGACATACTAGGGACTTGGCTGTGAGGCACACATACATATCATCGAGTGAGGATCGCCTCGGGGTTTGATATACCGCGAGTGTGGCAAAAGCAAAGAACGATGAAGGAGATGTGTATACTCCGTGGTCGGATCTATCTAGATTGCATCTTGCATCGGTCTCGCATAGTGTCATATTCAAGGTGACAGGTCATATCAAAGTGCCTCCATATGGAGAGACCAGCGATGTCGACTTCGCCGTTTTTAATTTAATTGTTTTCGTTTTAGTCCTCAACGGCGCAGAGCACGGACAACGGCAAAAGACCAAAGATTCTGCATAGCATGGGGTGGCTGTTTTGGTTTGATCTTCCAGAAGGATGCGGTGAAGACATGGAATTGAGTTTGGGTCTCTGGACTGCTTTTTGGTGGCGGTTGCTTGTCGATCATTGTCGATCTCATCTTACTTTATTCGGAGAATATTGTGTACTCCGTACCGTGCATCGCACTCGATAGTTCGATGAGGACAGGACGGTGTCGATGTATAACATTCATATTCTCGATGTTGTACGGAGTACGGAGTCCGAGAGCTGAATAATATCCCCCCGTACTCCGTACCTCATATGGGTTGACGAGGAAACAGATAAAGCAAGATCGCGGACATATTCGGCTAATCCCTCAAAAAATTACTCCGTAGCCTGTCGATCATGGCAAAATTCTTGGCTCTATTGAAGACTCCGGAGACGCTAGGTTGTGGAGCCGTGAAAGATTGTGAAGATTTTGAGTAGGGACGGAGTGGAGCGTTCTGCTTTCCGGATGGGGGATTGATAGCTCCAACAATGGAGTCGGGTTAGAGCAGGAATATGATGGGTGCTTCTGTTCCACTGTCAGGGGCTGATTGCCCCAGACCTCAGGGGAACCAGGTTTTTCCTGATGACGATCATACAACGTACGTTGTTGCCATGGCCACGAGTGCTGTGGTGTGATGGAACTGTCAGGGATGAGATTCAGATATGGTGGTGGGAAAGACTAGTTTGTTGCCAGGGCTGAGAATGACATTTCAGGTCTGGCGATAAGGCGCGATGTTTTGTGCGAGTCGGGTGAAATCATGCATGGGGTGTAAGCTCGTACTTGAATGATATCCTGATGCTGTACGTTGTAAGCTGCTTCTAGGGCTGAGGAGTGGTACATGCAGGGCAGGGAATATCCATGAGAGAATCCGATATACCTATCACGGCTGGATCAATGCTGCAGCTCTGTAAGGTGGAAAAGCGATCCGCAGTCCTATGCTGTATGTCTGTCAAGATGTGTTGTATCCGTACGGAGTACTCCGTATAGTGATGGCATTTGATCCGGAATCTCCGGATTTCATCGCCAATGCAGCAGGCTGATGTCCTCAGGGCCAGATTCAGGACCGGAACAATATCCACTGTCGTCGTTAGTGACTGCTAGTGCGCGCTCCTGGAGGGCAGCTAAGGCAATAGTCGCTATAACCCTATTGCACATCGCCACATGGGCCCACTTGGTTGCAAGCCGTCATCTCCGTTGATAAAAATGGACACTCGATTTAATTACGATTTCAGCTACGCCAGGTACAATGAGAGGGTTCAGCTTCGCTTAAGTATGCACTGTATTCTCAGGTCTATATAGTGCGAGTCCACTGGGCGATGGGGGCTGATTGGAAGACCCAGAGTTGAGCAATCGCAGGTTCGGGATCTGGCACGGTCACATGGAGATTGCCGGATGTTTTGATCTGATCGGATTTAATTTGGTTGGACTTGGTCTCAGATGCAAAGGACTGAATCTAGAATGGAGATGCAATTTATATGGCAATTTGCATAGAGTTTCTCGAAAGGCGACGATGGAGCTCTGGCGATCGAAAATAGTCCTTTGTGCGCCACAAGCTTCTCCTCGTGTCTCCCCTGGGACCCGTGGAACGGCCGAGGAACGTGTGGAAAGGGGATGCCAGACGCTAACAGCCGCACTACTGAAAGTGTGCCCCATGGTGGCGGGGTCCTGGGATCAAAAGCTCTTTGTGAGGAACATTTGCAAGCAACACCATGTACCTTGACAAGCCCGTATTTCATTGTACAGAATGAACCCTGCAGACCAGGGTCATCGTGAGAAAAATGGCCGAAAATCAATAACTCGCACCAGAACGGCATGGCGCTAAAGGCTAACTGGATCCCCCGCCTGAATCCATGGAACGTCATTCGCTGATTGGCCCGCGCCAGCCAATGGGGTCTGAAACGAGGACCGGCGGGGCAACTTTTAGTGCGCCGATCGCTGGAACCTTGGGACATTGTTCGGTTTTTCCCCTGGCGCCACTTGGGAAACGTGGGTTTTTCCCTTTTCACCTTTAGGGGGGTACCTTGGTAGGTACCACATATGGTACATATGGTACATATGGTACATGTATATGGACAATGGAAACACAACAGTCACCAATAGATTGCATCGATATACATACAAGAGACTCCCTACTACCAGGCATCGCTCAATAGCCTATGGCGTTTCAGAATAGACAATCAACGGGACAATGCAACTCGAAAGAAAAGGTCAGACTGGTAGATTTGTATACACAGAGGCTCCATAAATTTTATTATTCCGTACTCCGTACTCCGTAGTCGACCCCGAATGCACCACGTCCCCACTGACTCGAATGGAATAATTACTCCTGACTGTCTCAGCTACACTCTCTTTCACTCTGTTTTTATCTTGTTTCATTCTTTGATTTCCCTACCCCAGTGCGGTATGACCACTGATCGCATCTTTGATCCAAACGGGTAAGTTGGAAATCCATCTTTCATTGTCACGGGGGCCACCGGGGCGACGTTGCGCGTGCAGTCGTACAGATGCAAAGGCCCAAAATGAGCCCCCCAACTTCACCCAAGTCAGCTCTCACCCGTACGATCGTGTCAGGCTGACGTTGCCGGGAGTACAGGATGATTTAGAAATTCGGTTTCTACCCAGCGCCTTCCCGTCGTGATTGAGGACGGTCCGCGAAGGAACCAAAGAAAAGGCAACCAAGAACTCTCAAGCCTCCCAAGTCCTCGAACCCTCGACTCTAAATATACCTGGGGTGCACAATGCAGTCCGTCAAAGCACCCGAATTCCTGGAGACTGGCGCCGTGTCCTCCCGTTCGCGCAGCGCCAGTGTGGTTTCCAGCGATTCACAATTCTCTCGCGTCAACCTCATGTCCCCACCGTCCGTGACGCCGGCCCCAGCGTTCATTTCGCCCTCTGCAGCTTCAGACATCATCTCCGCCGATCAGGAGTTCAATGCCGCCGATTTTGTCGCGGAAGACGAGGAGACCGGTGCCGGCGCTGCCGCGCTGGTGACCCCGGCCGCGCTCTCGCTCTTGAATGGATTCCTCGATAATCTTCTATTTAATATCCTCGCTTCGTCAAAGTCAACCCAGCTTGCGCACATCCGACCCGCCATGGCCGAGGTGTTGAAACCTCGGCTAGCCCAGGAAGTCGTGGATGCGGCTGAAGAAGAGTTGAACGAATACATGGGCGGGGCGGATGATGAGCAGACCGAGTTTCGCGGCGGCCAGCAGCCTGGCGGGGAGTTTGATCTGGTTCGCTCCTGGAAATTGACCCGCTTACGATGCATGGTTTACACACGACTGGGCGACATGGAGGAAGACGACGAAGATGAGTTCATCGCGCAAGACAACCTGGGTGAGACCGATGGCGCACCCCGCAGATTTACCAGCCATGTCGATAATATTACACCGGCAGCCTCGATTTTCCTTACCTCAATCATCGAATACATTGGTGAGCGCGCACTCGTCATTGCCGGCGAGACAGCACGGTCGCGTTTATCAGCACAGCTCAACGATGGCAGTGATGGGGTAAACGGGGACGAACGGAGAAGAATAGATCGACTGGTGGTGGAGGATCTCGATATGGAGAAATTGGCCCTGAATGCGACGCTGGGTCGCTTGTGGCGAACGTGGAGGCAGCGCAGACGCGGAACCACTCTTTCCCGGACGCTATCTCGCGAATCATTCCGTCGTCGTGCATATTCCCTGGGAAACAGCCGCAAGAGCAGCATTGTGACTATTGAGGAGCCATTGACTCCCAATGAGCCGGTTCCCGAGCTTCCTGTAGGAATCTCAGTCGATCCAGCTACTGTTCCTTTGCCAATAGGCAATTTCGACGTTGAAGAAATCGAGGTCCCTGGATATACTGGCGATCTAGATGGCGAGGTGCAAACTATGCAGGCTGTGGTTGCTCACAAAGTGCGACCGCGCAGTCTGATGGTATTCTCGTCGCCATCGTTTGTGCCAAAGTCTCCTAGGTCAGCAAATAGCTCACCCGTGAGCACCTCAGCTATCGAACCCAGCAAACCAGTTCGTCATGTTCGTACAAGGTCTCTACCCAGCAGTGAAGCGCCCCCGCCCATTGCCATTGCTATTGCCCCCGACGTAGAACGCGAGTTGCCCGCAGATCACCCATCACCTACTCCATCCGAGAAAAAGCAACTTGAGACTATGTATGAGGATGACGAGTCAGCCGAATACGTGGATGCGACCGAAACTCCGACCCCTGGGATCGCCATCACGGCAGAACACGAAGAGTCACAATCCTCCGAACCTGCAACAGAAGATTCCAAAAATGCAAGAATGTCGTTCGTGCATGAAGAAGAGGAGACGCCGGCAGTCAACGAGATGGTTACATCCCTACGCACTATTGCGGAGGATGAAGACGCTATTTCGGATCAATCCACTAGTGCTCGTATCCCCATCGTATCCTTGGGGGATCGACCGAATCAGAAAGATCCGGAGGTAATTGGAGGCAATGGCCTGTGCGAAAAGCCGAATATGACTTCGACGATACGACAGCCCTGCAGGGATGCCAGTCTCCTCAATGCAAGGTCGATCTCTGCTCAGACGAGCGACTATCAAATGCAAGCCGTTGCAATGCAAGGGGTGGACTCCACACCGGCTCCATCCGCAAGTCCCATCGAAGCTATCACTTCTTCAGCCGATGACGATCTCAAAAAGCCAACCATGATCATCACATCTTCAAATCGATCCCTGGAGGACGAAATGGCAACCACAAAATATCGCCACTCTTTGGCTCCTGACACCTCTCGCCTGAGTTCTGGTTTGGGCAATTCACAACAATCAAAAGCTCGCCCAAGACCTATTCCATTGGAGGTCATAACAAATAACCGACTTTCCTCCGCCTCTGCTATTGAACGCGCCGCCGTTCAGCGCATGTCTCGATCATCGACATCGGTGAATTCATCGCTCAACCTCAAATCCCGTCGATCTGGGAGTTTTGGAAGTGCTCGCGAGAACAAGCGTCCAGTGACTGCTAGCTCCACGACCTCACAGATGTCAAATAAGTTGAAGGGTCTCATGATTCGACCACAGGGCGATTCTAATTCGCTTCGTATGCGCAGCTCGTCTGAGACAAGTCGTGCATCGGGCGGTAGTGGTGACTCTGTGGACAACGAGTTCGCCGATTTGGACAAGTTGATCAACAGTGATGAGACTATCCATTACACTCTGACTCCCCGAAGTGTGAGGGAGATGACATTCCCTGACCAGCCCAGCCAACAAGTTCCTCGATCAGACACGGTCGGTACTTATGACATGGCGAATTCCTCAAGGGCCATTGCCTCTTCAAGCCAAGAGAAGCATCGTGCTCATACCTCAGTCTCCTCAAAGGCAACGGGAGAAATGAGTCCAATTTCACACACCAGATCCATCGAATCACCCAAGCACATTCCGCTTACAACGCGCCGGACCAATATGTCATCAACGTCGAGGTCTAGCAAAATTTCACAGGCGCGTGATGCGCGAATCGCTCCTTCAGATTCGACACGCGACTTTGCGGAATTCATGAGATCGACTGGTCCCGCCGGGGTGCCATACGAGCCTAAGAACTCTGTGTCTACCGAGAGCAGGAAGCCTCCTCGGCCTCAATCAACTGTGTCCACAGCCTCCCGAGGAAACAGACCTAAGCTCGTACCTCGATCTGCTGAGACGGGAGGATTCGAAACCTCGGACCTTATTGACTTCATTCGCGAGGGACCTCCCATGCCAGGAGGCGCTCACCGGATTCCGCGGACAGTCGCACCCTTCTGCAATCCCCACGATTCGGAATATCTCGATATTGACCATACAACGTCCACCTCCATCGTCAGCACTGGTTATGGGTCTACAGCCAACAAATCTTTCTCATCTGTTGGCTCACGGACTGCGTTGCTGGATTCCACCAGCCAAAACAAGGCCACGGTGTCGGAAAGCACCACGTCCTTTGACGATCCTCAGCCTGTGCGGAAACAGCGTCGTGTACCGGATCCCTACGCTATCGATGATGATGCCGATGACGCGCTTCTGGAAGAGCTTCTAGAAATGGAAGAAAACCCCAAGCCCAGACGCGATGAGGAAAGCCTCGTTGATTTTCTCCGCGACGCCCCTCCTCCCTCCTCTGATCAGCCTCCCCAGCCATTTGCACTCAGCACTCCGGCATCAAATAGTCACTCCGGTACAGCGGGCATGAAGTCCCGTCTGCTCCGCACCTCTCAGAGCTCCTTGCGTACACAAAACACTCTCACCAAGGCTCAGTCTAACTACTCTGTCAAGGTCGGCACGGAACGCAACAACGGCATTATGCCTAGCGTTACAAACCGCAAACCTGACACTGGCGACCTGGCGGATTTCCTTCGAAACACCGGGCCCCCTCCAGCCCCTGCGCGAGCTACGTCTACACCGACGGGCTCGAAGAACAAGGACGGGGGTATTTCTCGTTTCTTCACGCGCCGAAAGAAGGCCACGGCCTAAAGGGTTGAAAGTACCCTGACGACATTCTCGACTAATGTCTTGCTTTGCTGAGCGTTCCAATTCATCTAACGATCTACACATCATGTCCATCACATTGGCCTTCCTTGTTTGTGCGAGAGTACTGCCATCTCATTTTCTTTTCCTGAAGCTCATTTACATAGAGTCATTTCTTTCTATCTCCACTGTTGACTATGGCTACGACCAGGTGGCTTTTGTCCTACATTCTCTCGCGCTTTTGTGTGCCACTTTCTTTCCTACATTGCGTGGTACTGAATGGCTAATATAAGCTTGGACTTTGCCATCCATCTACATGTACTTACGGGGACTTCATTTTGATTTGCGTTCAGATTTCGAGATACCATGCCTACGCTTGGGCTAGTTTTCAGCGCCCTGGCACTCAGAAACCATTTCATTTTATTCCTACATCCGAACTGTCATCATGTAAAATGAACCCAACTTAGATGCATCGAGATAATTAGATATTCTCAATAGTAGCAGCATGAAACGTGGGACTAGAAACCCCTCAGTCGAAGTATAGATCCCAGAGCCTAAGCCCGGAACAAAGTTTATCCCGCACTCCTTACCAGCTGTCATCAACAGCAACAAGCATCCGTGTTTACAACCGCCAATTCCACGCCGCAACCATGGGCACCTCACCAATCTCGCTGAGGGCCATCCTCGGCTTCCTCTTCGCATTCATCCAACTCACTTATGCCCTGAAATTCGACCTCGTCGCCACCTCCGGCGGCGGCAAGAACGAGCGATGCATCCGCAACTTCGTCTCCAAGGACCAGCTCGTCGTTGTTACTGCCACCGTTGGTGGTACAAAGGGTGATGGCCAGAAGGTCAATATTCACGTATGTGGGGTTCTTTTCGGTGGTGGTTGAGTTTGTTGGTTGTGTCGCCTTGCTAGGACTCAGATCACCAAACCCAAATCATTGTGGACCGCAACTAATACTCTTTCTTTTACAGATTAAGGATGCTATGGGCAACGATCACGGCCGTCCCAAGGATGTTGTCGGCGAGACACGTCAGCTATTCACATCGCCTGCAGACACAGCTTTCGATGTCTGCTTCGAGAACCAACTTATGGGCCACAGTAAGTGGCAGCGCCCTTGACCAATCTCCCGAAACTATGCCGGAGGTATAAAAGAAAGTGTTACTAAAGCACCACCAACAGACAGCATCGCAAACCCCAGCCGCCCGATCGAACTCGATGTCGATATTGGCGCCGACGCCCGCGATTGGAACAGCATTCAGTCACAGGAGAAGCTTAAGCCCGTTGAGACAGACCTCCGCCGCATTGAGGAGATGGTCGCCGATATCGTTACCGAGATGGAGTACCTGCGTGCGCGTGAGCAGCGTCTGCGCGATACCAACGAGAGCACTAATGAGCGTGTGAAGTGGTTCGCTTTCGGAACCATGGGTATGCTTGTCGGGCTTGGTGCTTGGCAGGTTGTTTATCTGAGGGCTTACTTTAGGTATGTCTGGATTGGGTCCGGGATATGGTTATTGATTACTGACGATCATGGTTTTGCAGATCTAAGCACCTTATTTAGATTCTCGGTCCCTGGAATGGTTGCATCTTTGATGGTTCTCTTTTTTGGTTTTGCAGCGGTTGCATTGCAAATCCTTTTGCTCTAATGTCGAGCGGCATTCTGTTCAACAGTCATGATCTCAATGATATAAAATGTACACCATGCTTTTCTGCAGCCTGGCGCTAATAATACTTCCGGTTCCTTGCATTCGAGGTCGTGGGTGTGGTGGTTGGTTGTATTGTAGGCATTGGAATCGTCCGGTGAGGTATCGACAAGGAATTTATCTAGGTAGTCAGGACTGGCTACTACGCACATGTACGTTGAAATATATACCCAGTCCTAGTACCAACGTCTAAAGGCTCTCAAGATTCCAAGATTTCAATATTGGATAACTTCATGTACTGGAACGTACATGTATATGGTCGAAGTATAGATCGATCTCACAAAGAGACCCCGAGTCAATGAAACCCACATTATAGAGCGGCCAAGACACCAATCAAAAAGTGCCCCAGCTTCAAGTCGTCAAATAGGCCCTAATAGGCCCAAATCATTGCATTGTATTGAGTAGTGTGTAATCCACGGCCTCTCAGTGGAATGCTTACCCCTGCAAACAGTACAAACACCGGGCATTGCAGGAGCTCTCGGCTCCCCGGGGGCATTACACCGGATGATGTCAAAGCCGAGCATCAAACCTCAACTTGCTCAATCCTAGAGAGAAAAAGTTGCAACTCTTTCTTAAGGACACTGTACAGCAAGATGTCCGCGCCACGCATGCTCCATCGCCTTGCGCGACCAGTGCCATCATCTCTGAGCACAATTACAAGACTAAACCGCCAATTCGGTACCTCAGCTCTACGCCTCAAAGATGCCAGCGATGAAGCTGCTGCGGCGAACAAGGCGTACCGCGCAGAACAGGCTGGAAAGTCTCCCAACCAATTCATTCCCAACACAACCTCCACTATGACCAAGGACTTCCCCAGCGTCGGCAACAAGCCCCCGCCACCAGAGATGCTGAACTCTGTCGAGCCCAACTACAGACCCTCGGATCCTTACCCCGGAAGGATTGAGCATTTCACCGGTGGTCGCCAGGACGACGGTGCACAGAAGCCCGAGCTTGGTGTTGGTGAGATGGAGGGCATTACGTTCAAGGTTGAGCCCTTGAAGCGTGTTGGAGAGGAAGCCGCCACGAAGAGAGCGCGTCTACTATGTTAGTTCCCGTTCCCATGCACACGTCTTGGTTCCCGGTTGTTAGAACCGAAGCTGTGGTGCATTGATATTACCAGGGAAACATGTCAAACTAACTAGCTCCACTTCAGATCAAAGCCGCAAGCGCGGAATCCTGGAGTCGGACTTGCTCCTCTCCACTTTCGCCGATGTCTACCTGGGCAAGATGAACTACGACCAGCTTGTCGAGTATGATAGCTTCCTCGATGAGAATGACTGGGACATTTACTACTGGGCGACACAGGACCCGCCTGAGGAAATCTCCGCCTCCGCTCCCAAGGAGGATACCATCACCGAGAATTGGAAGGAGACCGGTGCCAAGAGCGGTGAATGGGCACAGACTATTGGAGCTTTCAGAGCGGCTTACCGGCCTGTTCCATCACGCTGGAAGGGCTCTGAGGTCCTTACATTGCTCCGTGAGCATGTTCGTGACAAGAGCGCCACTGGCTTTGAAAAGGCCAAGAATAAGAAGACTGGTGGTGGTGGTGGCTTGGGGAGAATGCCTGATGTCCAATTGTTCAAGTCCTAAGAGACTGTTGGACAAACTGAACTCTGAACTCTGAGTCTTTGTTGAATTAAAATCTGTACTATAGTTGTCATGGTTGTCCATAGGAGACGTGGACTTAGAATGTGGTATATTTGGTGGTTTGGGGATCAATGGGTGTAAAGTACACTGGCTTGTAATCTGAAATCAAGAATATATTAAATTCAAAGAACAAACATTAATCAAAGCCCTGAACTATCACTCAACTACATACTTCATCTACATTGCAGTCCCTTCTGTATAGATCTGGGTCATGTGACTTCCTTCGCTTAGTATTAGGGCTCCACGGAACCACACAAGGACGCAGCGAAGCGGCTTAGGGCTTGAGCGGGCTGCTCCCATCTCGATTTTACCTCCCCCCAGAGTCAACGACAATCTCCGCCCATCCCTCTCTCTCCTTCATTGTCTCATTCCCATCATGGCTGAGCAGCTGGTTCTTCGCGGCACCCTTGAGGGCCACAATGGCTGGGTTACTTCCCTTGCCACCTCCCTGGAGAAGTAAGAGCGACCTATCCCGATCGGGGATTGAATTTTCGAGGGGACAATTTCTGACTTGAATGCTTGATGATAGCCCCAACATGCTGCTGTCCGCATCCCGCGACAAGACCCTGATCATCTGGAACCTTACCCGTGATGAGCAGGCCTACGGTTACCCCAAGCGCAGCCTCGAGGGTCACTCGCACATTGTCTCTGACTGTGTACGTTTCCCTTGTCCCGAATGAACCACACCCAGAAACCATTGGATGCGACAGATGGGAATGGATGGCGCAATTCGAAAAAGAAGAAAAGTGGAAGATGGAATGGTTTGGCTGACCGATGGTCTTGTCTGCGTTATAGGTGATCTCCTCCGACGGTGCCTACGCTCTGTCCGCCTCGTGGGATAAGTCTCTCCGCCTCTGGGAGCTCTCCACCGGTAACACCACCCGCACTTTCGTCGGCCACACCAACGATGTTCTGTCCGTCTCGTTCTCCGCCGACAACCGTCAGATCGTCTCCGGTTCCCGTGACCGCTCCATCAAGCTGTGGAACACCCTCGGTGACTGCAAGTTCACCATCACCGACAAGGGCCACACCGAGTGGGTTTCCTGCGTCCGCTTCAGCCCCAACCCCCAGAACCCCGTCATTGTCTCCGCTGGTTGGGACAAGCTCGTCAAGGTACGCTATCGAATCCGAATCTCCCTGCAGAATTTCCTCCCCGCCTTGCTGTGCCCGCGTGATGTTTGCATAAACGTATTTGCTACTTCAGAGCCCTTCGGGGCCATGAGACAATTTTTCACCCATTTTGCCTGATGGGCACAGCAACAAATTTTTTTGTTTTTAATTGAACGAGAGAAGGATTGGAAAAATTTTTCCTTGATCACTTGACATTCTTTCCGAGGGTATCGACGCTAACACTTCGTTCGCGTTTAGGTTTGGGAGCTCGCTTCCTGCCGTCTCCAGACCGATCACATCGGTCACACCGGCTACATCAACACCGTCACCATCTCCCCCGACGGATCCCTCTGCGCTTCCGGTGGCAAGGACGGTACCACCATGCTCTGGGATCTCAACGAGTCCAAGCACCTCTACTCCCTCTCCGCCGGCGATGAGATCCACGCTCTCGTCTTCTCCCCCAACCGCTACTGGCTCTGCGCTGCCACCAGCAGCTCCATCACCATCTTCGACCTCGAGAAGAAGAGCAAGGTTGATGAGCTCAAGCCTGAGTTCGTTGAGAAGGGCAAGAAGAGCCGTGACCCCGAGTGCATCAGCTTGGCCTGGTCCGCTGATGGCCAGACCCTGTTCGCCGGTTACACCGACAACAAGATCCGTGCCTGGGGTGTTATGTCGCGCGCATAGATTTAGGTTGTTGTAACGGAGCTTGAGGAGCCTCTTTTTGATCTATTGACAAGGGAATTGAAAAAAAGTTTCAAAAATACGGCAAGAAGAGCATTGGTTTGGGATGTATGAGCCACGAGCAATGAAGCACTTCTCGCCGGGACTGAGGAGTCCCCGGCCTGGAGGTTTTCTGACATGTCTAGCTTACTGGATCCGCATGAAAATGTATGGAGATCTTGTTCTAGACGTGTGATGTTCTAATACCAGTTAAGGCATCAAAATGTTTCCTATTTTTCTATATCGTCGCTGGCTTGTAAATTTTTAGTAGCCGTATGTGTTTATGTCTTTCATCTTTCTTTGCCTTCCTACTCTATACATTCCTACTTCGTAAGGTCTAGAGTAGTCTTATTACTTATCGTCGGTGGATCATATCTTTCCGGTTGTCACAAATGATATACAGGAGTGGTTTGATTCTATTTGGTGATAATGTACATGCCGCATGAAGGCCTTCCCAAGTCTACTCCTTATTTCTTTTCAAGTCTCTTCAAAGCCTCCTGGGCGATTTGACTGCCTTCCTCGTAGCCAATTCCATCAGCCAACGCCTTAGCCTCAGTATACCGCTGCTTAGCGATTTGTGGCTTCTTTTGTAGCTCAGCCAGTTCGCCCAGGTTATACGTCGCAACCACGCAAGTAATATCACACTCCTCGTCACGGATCGGCGGCTGAATATGCGCAGCAACCTCAATAGCTTTCTCCGCCCACTTCTGTGCAGCCTCAACAGTCTGCTCTGCTGTAACAGGCTGTTGCGGCTGGGCCTTAGCGGGCCGTTGAACCTGGCCCACCAATGCAGTAGCGACATCATTCAGCAGCACCACCTGTTTGCAGGAAATGGAGGTTCCTTCAGCGGCGCGGATCAAATCCAACGCACGCATGTACAGCGGCATGGCCAGCTCATATCGCTCCTTGGCGGTATAGGTAGCAGCAAGCTCAGCCAATGCCGTCGCGATCTCAGTGAGATTCAACCACGCCTCGCCTTCTGAGCTCTCACCACTGCTAGAGCTACCAACAGGAAGTCCCAGTCTCTGACGACGGTGCATTTCCTTCAGACAGATCTCCACAGCTGCGACTTGCGCAGCCTCGGCTTTCTTATCATCCTGGATATAGTCACTGGAATACAGCTCACCGAGCTTCATCGCAATACCAACAACTTTCTTCAGCGCCTTGTCCCGCTGAACAGCCTCGTACTCCGCCAGCGCTTTCAGATCCTCCACGGTCCCCTGCAATGCATCGGTGTTCACCTGGACATTATCGGGGATCTGTCGCGCCTGCTTCACCGTCTCAGCAGCGGCAGCAGTATTTCCCGCAGTGACTTGGTCCACCCACACAAGTGTCTCATTCTTCGTCCGCTCCAACACGTCAATCGCCGGCTTCACAAGTCCAGCTTTCTCAAGCATCATAGCGACCTGCAGCTTGATCCCGAGAATCTCATCGGAGTATGGGTGAATCCCCATCTCATATGCTGTCCGCAGCGCCTCCTTATACGACTTCATCGCCTTGGCCGGGTTGAGATCAATCTCGGTGTAGTAAACCGCTGTGCGGAGCGCATCTGCCACCGGCGGCGGGAACTTGTGGTACTGCGGCGCGACCCGCGTCACTTCCACATAGGAGATGTAAGCAAATGCGAAGGCTCCGCCGATGATGGAGAAGATTGCTAGTGGCATGAGGACGGGGTTCTTGCGCCAGATTCCTTTCGAGGCTTCGCGGTATTTGCGGCTGATTTTCTGCAGGATTGTGAGGTTTCGTGTGCCGTGGCTGTTTGCGAGGGGGTTTGCATTGTTGAAATGGGGCTTCAGCGTTGGTCGGGTGTTGCTATTGGTGTATATTGAGCGGGCGATGCTCTTCGTCTGGGGTTGTAGAAGTTTTGCGGCATGCGCGCTCGTGCGCTGAGATGCTGCGCGGAACATTGTGGATGTGCGGGTTTGAATATCTCTTGGGATTGAGTGTGTGGTTCTCCGGCACAATGTGTGAAGTGGGCGTTAAGAATGAAGAGAGAAAGCGTATAGGGCGAGTTGGTGGAGAGTCCGCCCTCGGTTTTCTGGTGGTCCGAGCTCCGCTCCGCCATATGACGTCGCCCGCTTGGAGCATTCACTTATCTTTCTATTCGTTTTGTCTAGATGTTACGTTCCGTTGATCTCGCCTTAATTGAAGAGCTGGTGCAATTTGATTAACCCAGAGCCTCATATTGATCATGTGTGGGCGATATGCTTTGGGTGTGGTACGTTGCGGCTCCTATATCTAGACCGTCCGCCAGCTGACGATCACAAGCGCTTGGCATACATCCAACAACAGCTGCAAGATCAGGGCATGCAAGTAGATGAAGCACCCGATGATGATGAAGTCAGAGAGACATATAACTTTGCACCCGGCAATTTCGGCGCCGTCTATCGCGCTGATGTCTCCGAGAAAGGGCGCTCTGATGTTAGACAAGATGCTGATAGCGAGCGCCAAACCGGAGATTCAGAAAAGGGAAAAGAAGATGATAGCTTAAAAGCCAAGGCGTCAGAAGATGCAGTCATCAAATACAAGATTCAGAGCATGAAATGGGGCCTTATCCCATTCTGGACGAAGCGACAGCCAGATTACGGATCCATGATGCGTACGATCAACTGTCGTGATGATTCATTGATTGAAGATACTGGGATGTGGACTACCATGAAACGACGAAAGAGGTGCATTGTCGTCTGCCAGGGCTTCTATGAGTGGTTGAAGAAGGGGCCTGGGGGAAAAGAGAAGGTTCCGCATTTTGTCCGTCGCAAAGACGGGGAGCTGATGTACTTCGCTGGACTATGGGACTGTGTTTCCTATGAAGGTGGGTCTCGGGTACTTAGACTTGGAATCTTACTCCGACTGATTGATCTTCTACAAAGGCTCTGATGAGAAGCTTTACACCTACACTGTCATCACGACATCTTCCAACGCCTACTTGAAGTTCCTGCATGAGCGTATGCCAGTCATTCTGGACCCAGGGACCGAGGCAATGCGTAAATGGCTAGATCCAAGCCAAAAGACCTGGTCCAGGGAGCTTCAATCGATTCTCAAACCATACGAGGGTGAACTGGAGTGCTATCCAGTCCCCAAGGAGGTCGGCAAAGTTGGAAATAACTCCCCGAACTTTATTGTTCCTGTCGACAGCAAGGAGAATAAGAGTAACATCGCAAATTTCTTTGCTAATGCGAAAAAGAAGGAGAAATCAGACCCCTCACCAAAGGAGGAGCTTACGTCGCCGAAAGTGGACATGGTTCAAGACGAGCAGCGCGATACCAAAGATTCGGAATGGAGTGAAGACAATGCTCCTAAACCGGTGCCAGCTGTTAAGAGGGAACATAATCCAGATACCCCTACCATCTCAGATCAAAGCAAGAAACGAAAAGTTGATGCAAATTCAATTGCGCCATCGCCGCAAAAGAAAAAGTTGCGCAGTGCTACGCACAATAGCCCCATGAAGAAGTCCAGTGGTGCGAAGACAGCTGATGGCTCTCAACGAATTACGAACTTTTTCAAAAAGTGAAGATATTTACAACGCAGTAGATGTACTAAGACAGATGCTGTCTTTTTCTATTTTTCTTTTATGATAGGCTATGCTTTTAGCCAATAATATATGTTAGGGCAGACCTGAAACCTAGCTTCTCCAAAATATATCTCTTTGAACACGCATTTTTATCCATTATATCTATTGACCCGAGCGTACGAAGTAGAATAATCAATTTCAACTTGCAAAATGTGTTGAGTCGGGAACAATTCGAGCGCAAGAGAAGCGAAAAAGAAGTCACTGTGCAAGTCGATCAGCAGTGATCGAATGCAACTTGAAATATAAGGAAAGATGCGTAGAATGTATGGAGATGTTTAAAGGTCAATATATTGTACATAGAATTTAGGGATTGATCGAGGTAAATGTCAAGATCATTTCTCGAGCTCTCGAAGCCTCTGGATTAGCTTTTCTCTGAGGAAAGGACTCAATCCGAAACTATATCAAAATATATCAAAAGATTAGCACCAAATAAAGCATGATCAAATACCCAGAAGGGGATACTTACATTCCATCGCGGGTCAGAATCCGATAGGTACCTGCTAAATGTTAGTTTGGCCCACTGAGCACCATCAAGAAGGGAAACATACCACTTGGCTGATAATTGCCATTGTCTCCAATGAATTGACCTTTTGCATCTACCTCAAGACTTCCGAACATATCCTCAGGCCTGAAATATATTAGCATAATTCTTGTATGAAATAGAGGTAAACACTCACCAAGCAATCCGCCCATAGTCAGGTGGGCGTCTGGTGTCAGACACATGGATCCAGCCACCACGTCCACCAGATCCTGCGCCACCTTGACCACTAGCACCACCACTAGAATCACCTCCTCCTCGACGTCTGATCCCACGCTGACCGGTCATCAACACGCCGCCTGAGCTCAGGTTCGCGCCGGCTACAGAGACCATGACCTGCGCTTGGGACTTGGCATCGGGATCTTCATGCGCATATTTAGAGCATACATCCTGAACGATGTTCAAGAATTTCGGGTTCTCTTTGAAGGAATCTGTTGTTGGTGGGAGTTGGGTTGAGAGTCCAATGGCCAAGTCTGGGTTGACTGGCTCGGAGGGTAACAGTGACAAGATATGGGTTCCATTTGCTGGTTCAGCATTTGGGAATACATACTATCGACATGTTAGCATCAATCAGAGCTTGATAATATGCAACAAATACGTACTATGTGGGGAGATCCTTCCAACGTCGATACACAGCGGAATTGAGTCCATTTGGGAAGACTCTGGGCCTGTCGGCCAAATGCTCTTGCAGCAAACATTGAGATAGAATTATTGATTTGCACTCAATTGTAGACTATTGAATAGCCTATAGGTTGGATATTTATCAATTCACAAATTTGAGACACCCTGGGCAGCTATTGGATCATAGCTCGATGGAAATGGCAGGCGGTTTGAAAGGCGGTGGATATGTACGATGACGACGAAGACAAACTGTACAAACACACGTGATGTCTTTCTCTTGAGCTGTCTGTTTGGGTCGTTCAAATGTTCTCTGACAGACAATTGTGCTCGTCAAATACAGTATACATCGTATACGGAAACGGAGGAGCTTGGGATGGGTCATGAAATTTGATCTGTGTTTTTATCTAACGGTCCTTTTCTTGCGCATTCCTTAGGTTAGCACTCACGGCCGTGAGACTCCAGTCGCATTCAAAGATACCCGGCTTCCTTGCGTTCTGTGCTTTGATACTCTTTACGATACCCATTTTTCTGGACGGCGCCGGCTATATCTAATCTTCAAAATCGCATTACAACCTTCTCTGATCACTCAATCCCTTCAATCATGGCTACGCCGTCGGCCAAACCTGGCGCAACTCCAACCCACCTCTCCTCTCCCCATCCGTCCTCCGCTCCTCTATCTCGATCTCTCGCCCATAAATCACCTTCAATGAGGACACCCACAGGCTCAGGGCCTGGCCATGCACACCAGACGAGTGTCTCATCCCACCAATATGCGACGCCCCTCGCTGCGACTAGTGGGGTTGATGACCCCGTTAATTTCACCTCCCCTTCAGCTCTTTTAGCACTTGGTGGGTATGCCGGTATTAGCCCATCTCCGGTGATCCATGACGGTCTCGTTGGTGCGGGAATGAATGAGAACGATATCCAGAACCTCGGGATGCAGGGAATCAAGCTTGGAGTCGCGCGCGACAATGACGAAGAGCAGAGACATCGCATCGAAGAAGTTGTCCAGCTGCTGCGGGCACGGGTGTCTGGCAGAGGTATCTCCCGTGAGGGCGTGGAACGACTGAGTCGACTTGAAGGCTTCGAATCAATCTGGCAGGGTGATAATCTCAATATCGCGGGTAACTTCGTTGATCTTGAGATCGATTTCTACGCTGGCCTTGATGTTGTCAAAGATGTCAGCTTGCGATATGCCACACCCGAATACACAGAAGGCGTGCGGCGAGAAGAGGCTACGGCAGTTCTGAAACGGACACTCGCACAGTCCCCGGAAGACGCCGAATGCGGGAAATGGAGATCTCTCCAAGAGTTCCACGAAAATCTACACTGGCTTGCAAAACTTGATAAACTTAGCCAAGAAGTTAATTGCTTCGAGGCCTTGGAAAATCTTGAAGAGAACTTCAAGCGGATATGGATGGAGGAAAACAAGAATGGGAAGCACGGCGGTGAATACCAGCATCTTTGCGCTGGTGTGCTTGGTCGTCCTACAATGCATAAGGGGAGTCGAATTGGGCTCGGTCTGCAGTACTGGATCGAGCAAGCCAAAGTCTTGGATGCCAAATCGAATCTCCCGTCTTCGGATGCTATGGAGATTGATCCGCAACATGATCAAGGATCAAAGGACGAATTGGATGATCAAGAAAGATCATGGACTGTTATGATTGAATGTGAAGAAGGATATCCATCACTTCGTATCTCGAAGGAATGGGTCGGGAATGAACCTTTTACTGCAGGTGAAAGCACCGAAGCACTTCCTTCAAACGGTGCTGCCGGGTCTGTGAACTGGCTTGATCCTCCTCAGACTGTGCGGTTGACTCATGGTAATCATGACCCTATGGCTTTAGACTCCAGCATGTTGGAGTCATCGCCACCCAACCGCCGATTTGTCGGTAAACTTGAGCCTGCGCTCGACGTTCCTATTCTCGCAGCCTCCGAGATTTACCGGCATCTTGGTATGACCCTGCCGCAGGAGTTTAAGATGATCACATATGATGCCTTGTTGGTATCAGAATCCTCGCCGTTAACATCACCGGATTCGTCCCCCCAAATTGGTCGCAGGAAGCGCCGCATGTCAGTGCGTGGCGTTGACTCGAAGGGCGAAAAATATACGAAACAACATAACTACACATTCCAAACCTTTGAGTCTATAACTGGTCGGACTATCCGTGATTTGCCTTTCTCACACCCTCGACAACTCTCAGATATTCTTCCCGTATGTGTCCTTTCCCTTGATGTTGTATTTGACTAATGCAGATTAGATCCTCCGACAATATGCCGTCCTAGCCAACCTAATCCGCAAGACGTTCCATCTTCCAGCTAAGGACCAGTCTACTGGAAAAGATCCTTCAGATGGAAATTCCAAAAGCCCCCGCCCCCTCCCATCCAAGCCCAAGACCTCTTTGTTGGCCAAGACGGACCCATCATTTTGAATAATGACGATCCCAATCAGGACCGGTTAAATATGATGTTGGGTCTGAACAGCCTGGATGAAACCAGCAGCATCGGCACTGTAGCCGGAACTTCAACCCTTTCTTTTGACGGAAGAAGCCCCCGGCAACTATCCAAGGACGGTGTAAAGGTGGACGTGACATTACGCATCCAACTCGGCCAAGCGCCTGCCCTCATGTTACTCATCACAGACCAGAGTGAACGCGAAGAGAGCCCCCAGGCCTCTCAATCCACCGAACCTTCCACGCAAATCGCTATCTGTTTCGAAGTCGGGCTCAACGGCCGTATCTCGGTCGTGGAAACTGCTGGCTTTGTGGACGGCGAGCAAGGCGGAGACACTGAAATGCAGGGCATGGATAACTCAGATTCGGATCTGCAAGATGTACAAAAGAAGATTGCTAGGGTGCTTGAAGTTTCCCAAGACTTGAGCATACTGGTCGAGTGGGTCCTGCGTTGGATGCAACAACGGGCTGGGAATGTGTGAGAAACGGTGGCACTGGAATAACTGAGAATATTTCTTGTATATCTTTGGCTAGTAGCTTTCAGGTCTCCCAAATCTTCATGACTTATGTTCGGGATGATGTTGGTCACTACGTAGGGATCCAAATGGAGGAGGGAGGCAGTTATATTGGGGAAGGAGACTGAGCTCTTGACTCTTTAGTCTACGAGGGTAAATGGTTGAGGCATCAAGATACTGTCTCAACGCATTGGCCTCAATCAGCCTGAGGGTGATCGTCTATATCTAGAAGACAAGCCATCACAACAGCCCCGTTTCTCGAATCGGTGTCACCATTCGCGGAGAAGACCGCCCCCTCCCCCGTCAAGTTGGGCTGTTTTCGCATCATTTCCAACGCTCCTGTCTCTTAATCAAAATTGCCTCTTCTTAGTGCTCAGTATGCATACTGTTAGCCCTCGTTTTTTCGGAAAGCTATCTTCCCATTAGCGTCATGAGCGGATCCCCGATGTTCTCCGCAATTTCTCTTACCTGAGATGGACTATACCTTCCCACACAGCGTGTCGTATAGAACGACATTTTGCTTCTAGCCACTTAGTGCCATTTGCGAGGTCATTCTTCTTCATGATCGCTGCAGCATTGTCACTATCCGTAGATCACACTACTGGAAGTTTTTGCCGAAAGCTCATCTGATCCTGGGGCTTCAACAGCCACGTGCACTCTATGCCTGCTGTTTCAAAAGCCACGGACTCAGCTGTGGTGCTGACACTGGTCACGATGTCTTCTTTTATCGAGGTCCAGCTCATTGAGCACCCATCGAAATAGAAGATACAAGCCTCCGTAGAGGACTCGTCTTCACAGTCGTTAGATGATGGGTCCACGTAGCCATTTAGACCTTTGTCGCTTTTGCCAAATAGCAAGTCGAATCCTTTGGTTCCTTTTCTCGATCTCCTCGGTCGATTCAGCTGTTGCAGGGTCCCTGCCTTTCCAATGCATGGAGCTGCGGTGTGACATTGCAGCTTATTGACAGCCAGTGCACTATCAGGACAGCTTTTGTCGCTCAGCTTGCCCAGTTTCTTAATACACTCTGCGTTTGCTTTCAGTTGCTCTTCTGTCCGGAAATGGATGGGACCCTTCCAAATCCCTTTTGAAGATTTCACTCAAGGTACATTGACTTGATCGAAACAGGGAATAACCAGCCCAGGAAGAGCCACAGGACTATGCGCCCATCATGAGCGTAGCTGCGAGAGCGTTGGCTGACGAAATATCACTGTTGCGCAGTAAAGGCAGCAGGTAGGGTGGTGCCGTAGGAATCCTTCAATCCTTCTAGTCAGCAACGCGAACCTTCTGCATGTCTGTCATCGGATCCTTCACCAGGGAGAAAACTTTTGCCATCATCTGGGATGCATGAGATGCATGTCTCTCAGTTTCTTCCCCCATTTCAAGGCCTGGTAGTATTCAACACTAACCTCGCACCCCAGCTTATCGAACGAGCAGTCTCCACGCTGCTTTATGTTTCATCGCAGATTCCATCAGACCACAGATTCCCCAAGCTTCTCCTATCCACAAGAGCCATTAGCGGAGATCGATATGGGAGCAAGCTTGCATTGTCCACGAGCTAGCACAGAGTAATCCAACTAGGAAGCCGCCCACAAACTCCCTATGCTCCTTCTCGTTATGATCCCGAACCACATCTTATATGCCCACCCAGAACTCCCTCAAGGTGTGCCGCCAACGGCCAAAGCCGTCAGTTGGCATTAGGCTAAGGTGTGTGATTGGGTCGTCGCAAACGCATACCAAGTGACGACTGGCAGGGTCCCTCAAGGATTGAGAGTGGGTGATAACAAACTGGTTCATCCTTCGGGTAGTGCCACAGACCGCAGTAGTATGAGCACGGGCTGCGACTAGGAATACAAGGGTCGGGTATCAACCAGGACAGCCAATTTTTACATGTATCTAGCCTGCTCGCAACAAGGGCCATGTTCAGCCATATGATTCTGTACCAGTTTCCGAAAAGCGGCAACGAGACGTTCGAGTTTACGCCCCAGATCAGAAAGCAGGCCATTGGGCAGGGACGGGCGACTCATCATGGAGCCGCCGGAAGGACCAGGACGGAAAGGGTCAGAAACTTGCCAAAAACGAGCAAACCAGGCAACGACAGCAAGAAACTCGTATCGATGGCCTTCAAGACTCGCGGGCAGCTGAAAGACAAACACATTTCCGATCAGGTCTCGAACTGATTTTCAAAACAATGGCGCCTGGGAGAGACACGTACCCTTTCACAGGCCCACTGGTTCTGGTGGCAACTCATGCAAGCGTTTCGGTCCTGGGAATCCTGGACGCAGTGGAATTCAAATGGAGCGGAGAACCCAGATGCGGTCCCCTTCTCAAGCCACGCGCGTAGACTCTTAGAGACACAAGGAAGACAATGAGGGACATTGCTAGAGAGCCGACCGGGGCCTCTTTCACGCCGACGCGAAAAGCATGGCTTAGTAAAAGGTCCGTTATAGCCACGTATTGGAGCTGGATCCCCCCTGATTGTGATTGGGACTTCGCTCCGGCCCTCATTGTACGAACATGTCACAGCCAACGGACGCTTTCCGTCAAAAGCGTCCAGTATATCCACAATGACCGTCATTCATCAGCCCTGTAGTGCATGTTGTTGTTGAGGTAACATCCACGTTAGATCGCACGCCAACGATCCTGACGCTCAAGCCCCCTGTGTTCATGATAGCGTTGATACGACACTTGCTCAACCACCCGATTGCCATGGCCTCAGCCTTCAATCATTTTCTTTTATCACTTTTTCCATGCCTGCTTGGTGATGTGACTTGACGCGCTTGGTCTAGATTCATGAGGTAGACAATGCCCCGTGGCGGACTGTCCACCATAATCCGGTACATCACAAATAGACATTCTCTTATGCAGGAAACAGCTCTGGCAGAAGGACACACAGTACAGGTGTTCTGACTCTGCCGCTTTGTTTCCCATCTTTCAGTTCCAATGGGCGGGCCCGGAACGTGGGAGTAGAACTGTCATGGCATTTGATGATTGTACCCATCCACTTGAACTTGCTTTACTGGTCCACCAAGCCGAGAAAGATGGGACAAGATTCCAGATCTCATGCTCAGTGCTGGGGATAAGGGGAAGCGGAGCTGCAGCAACGGTGGTCTTTGGTCGGCCAGATTCTGTCGCAAAGCCTTCTCTGTCGACGATTGTGGACACGTTCAAGCATATGGCGGGTATTTGGGGAGAAGTGTTTATATAAAAATAACACCTGAAAAATAGAGGAAACAGTATTTATATAGGGAGGGAATTGTAGATATTGAAAAAGAGGATGACTGAAGACGATAATTTATATATCAACCCAGGAGATGAAGGGAAAAGGGGAAAGTCCCAGAGCATCATCCAGGGAAGGCTCGTTCTGACTACATGTAGCTAGAGGAATAGAGAATACTACAGAGTAGATGGAGCAAACATAGCAAACATCGCAGAGGTTCTTTGTTATTTGTCTTCCAAGCTTGGAGGGTTCTCAGTTGAGCCGAGCACAAACACAATGTCCCAGAAGATTGTGATATATGTGAACCAAACGCCTTCCTAATTGGGCCATACCCATTAACCATGCCAACATACCTAGGCTGTATGAACGTACTCCGTACCCCGTACACAATACCTGCCTTCACTCCCCACTCACACCATACATTTGAAACGATCTTTCCAAAATAACGCAGATCTCTCGTATGGACGCACATGCAGGTAACCCTACCCAAACAAGACGTGACCTGCAATTCCCGACTGTTTCAGGGCCGATCAGATAATTCTAGGCCTGAAAACCGATGCGGGGTCCATGGACCGTGCCTAACCTGTGCGTCACGCAGGGCTAGTTCATCCCTGGGGCAGAACCAGGCAGCTATGTACATGCCTGGGAAGATGACCTGACAGATCAGGTGCAAGCAGACCAGCTACTACCCTAAATCAACGTTGACTGGGCGGAGCTCCCATATGCGCCCAGACGGATCACAGCCGACGTTGTAGCCGTTTAATCAAGTTGGGCGTCAGTGCCTTTCCCGATCACATTACCCATCGTACATAAATGCTTTGGCGTCGGCGGTTCCTAGATCGGCCAACGACCGGGGGTTTGGTTGTTGGGATTCTATGAGGCATTTGATCTCGATTTAGTCGGCCAACAAACTTGGTGCAAGGGAGAGCATGTTGTTTAGGGGGCCATGACACATAGGAATTTTGTTCTCGGTGAAGTCGCCTGAGGGTTTTGGGGCGTCATCTCCGACATTAACCCTAAGTGGGCGCGTGTTGAGGCTTGTATCGCTGCCCCTCAATTTCAGGGTGAGATCGATGTCATACCCCGTGACTCGTCTACAAGAGATTCTTATCTCTGCCTGTATTCTTTTTTTGGGGTTTCGCCCCTTTTTCTCCTCTTTCCCCCTTTTACCCCTTGTTTAGTTTTGTTTGTGTAGTTTCATTTTATTCATCCGTAGTGCTGAGAAGCGAGTGACTTGAGACCTGGACATGTATGCGTGTATCGTACTCCGCAGACAGGAAGTCCATATAAAGTCTTGGCACAGGAGCCAATTTACTTCAAACCAGTTGACGATCTGTATCAGAAACAATACAACATACAACATACACACGTTGGAGGTATCCGAGAAACCGAGAATCAAATGGGCCTCCACATGTCATGTCCCTCATTCCCCATTTGAACATTCCGATGAGGCATTTTGTCGCATAGTTCCCCTATAAAACCCTCAAAACATGTTCGTAGATCTCATCCTTCGGCTATTTCAGGTAAGAAATGGGACATATGACCTGATTTAAATCGACGCGGCAAATAAGAAGCAAACAGTTACGTGAATATCAGTTGAATGTGCGAGATTCCAGTCAGCGTGGTTTGTCAATTCGGCTGCGAGCCAATCAGAGCCGAGCGATAAGAATGTCGATCGATGGGTTTATATTTTGATACGGAATATTGCAGATTGCATTGGTTCTTTTTGCATCTGATACTCTGGATTTGGAGACCGCTTCACCGCATTCTGTACACCGTATACAATCACGAAAAGCACTCCGGAGTACACAGTACAACGTACACCAGACCCCCTGGGAAGGTCTAGCCTGGGTACACAGTACCACCGCACAGCCCCCGGACTTAGCCGGTGACTAAGCCCAGATCTGGATGTTTCAGCGTGCTATTAATATATGTTGCAGGCAAAAGGCGACTCTTCAGATCGAAATAGGACTCCAAGCTAAAAGGGTTGGTATGGAACTAAGGCGTACGATGTATGCCATGCAAACCAAAACCTGGAGAAATGAGCTTGGACAGGGCTGAAGATCGGAACCTCCGCCACGCCAGTGGCCTTAGATTCCTGAAATCCCCGAGATTTGCCAGTCTGCCATTTGCCGGAGAAAACACGGGGGAAGGAAGATCTTAGTCGCCACTTTTTTTTTTCCCTTGGAGAATCCCTGACCTAAATCTCCCCGAACTGCATAGTCCTGTACTCCCGGATGAGCATATCAACCTCCAGAGTTTCCATGCTTTTTTTACCTAAAGAAATCACGCCCAAACCACCCACCCGGCTCGTGACTCTTACAGTACCTAATTGAAATCACACATATGAATCACTAAAATCGTCCACGGACCTGTAATACCGCCTTGATTCCCTTATCCATGGCCGGTGTCGGGGTCGGTCCCAGTCCATGGGGTCTGATTGGCCTGCGTGCTGAATCGACGGGAGTTTCGAGAACGTTTTGCCACGGTCCACCCCACTGGTCCGATTATGACTTGATCGCTGTCAGCTGCGGCGTGGCTGGGTTCTCCAGTCAAAGGGAGCGATGCGGAGCTGTATTATAAAAAAGGTGGGTGTGTCTGTCCTCTGTACCCTGTACTCGTTTCCGACACGCGTGAGAATGTACAGATGTATTCTATGGGTACCTGTCCATCCTGCAGGAACACGATACAAAGATCGCAGCAAAGGGCGCATGTAGACAAGTAGTGGCCCAAAAAAAAAAACTTCCAGGGAGCGTTCTAGCCCTTGACATGCGGCGTTGGGCGATAACGAATCACGCTATTATTATTTGGCCATAGCTCCGAGATCTCAGGAACCGCGGAGTCCTTAGGCGTTCACGTATCTTTCAATGTCGCGACGCGCGCGTGATGCTATTAATTCAAATTGCAAATTGCAAATTAAATTAAGATCAAGTTTGTAGAGTACCTTACCAGGGTAGGTAACAGGGGCTCTAGAATTTGCGTTGCTTTTTTTTTGTTGCTCCAGGACGTTTCGAATCGCCAATGCACGATTGTGGACTTTGCAGCTGATATGCGCTCTGTCCCAGGGGTCCTGGCGCCAGTTGCTAAGAGGCATGACCAACGGTATCACCGATCTATCTTGGGCTGAGTGTGCCTCATTTGAGCCTGATCATGGGAAGAGGTCAAGGCTGGAAGATGTGTATCTGCGGAATACACATGGCGTTGATACGAAGGACGGAGTACACAGCACGGAGAGGAATGCATATCCGGATAAGCCGTGGGGTGTCGGAGAGAACGCCGCTGGATCAGAACTCCAGATCTGGGAAAGGCCATGCGCTATACTCGGCTGGACAACTACAACAAACATGGCCCCTGGCGATTGTACTATGTGTTGATACACCGTTGTAGAGGCCTACATCTTATCGGTCCAACGGGAGACAGAGGATTGCTCAGATTACTGAGTTTTCATGGAATTTCATTACAAGCCCTGACCGCTGATTGCGGCCGCTAGGGCTATCGCACACACTTGACTTGGTTCGGGTGGCGGGAACGATTTTCAAGGAGCTTGAATGCGGAGGTGAAAGTCTGGAGTAAAGGATGTGACTACGTTGAAAGAAGGAAGGATAGACCCTAAGATGCTAGTCACATCCAGACTTGGATATCACAAATCAAACCGGTATAACGGTAGATCCCTCGGCGAGGACCGGCTGTGTCTGGATGATGCGACGATGATGACACGGAAGTTAAGGAGTGGCGTTGAGTTCGGTTGAAACTTGGGATTTCGTTTCGGTCTCACAGGCTACGGCGTTCTCCTCGGCTGTTGCGAAGTTAAAAAAAATCAGAAGAAAGTACCTTTTGGCGTGTTCTATTTCGATAATGAGGCATTAAAATCGCGAGATATTGGATATTGAAATAGAAAACTACTAAAATACTAAATACTAATACGAAAATACTAAAAGACCAAAATAGAGTGAGGGCTTTTTTGATTTGTTTCCCCAACGACAACCGGTTTCAGAAGGAATGACCGAGAGAGTACAAACACTTGCCGGCTGCGTGCCCGTACAGTATGAGGTACTTAATCGAGACCCCCGTACGGGCCACACATGACCGTCACAATACGGAGCTTAACCTGTTTAGGGAGTGGCTGAGCCGCGCCTTCCTGATTCTCTCAGATTTCCCCCTCCAGAAACGCCCAAAAATTAAAAAGAAATCCATAAAAAACCGTAAAAATTCAAAAGAAAAATCAAAATTCCCAAAAGGAAAAAGGAAAAGAAAAATCAAAAAAATACCCAAAAGAACTCCGTGACTAAATTTAAATCTTTTTTATCATCCCTCTCTTGCCCCTCCACATCTTTAAAACTCATTCTCTCCTCCTTTGGATTTTCTCATCCATATTCTATTTGCTTTGCTTCCCTCTGTTCTGAGGTTCCTTCGTGTTTTCCTTCCTTCGGGACTCATTTGAAAAAGTTTCTTGCTTGTCCGTTTCTTAACACATACACATATTCACTATGGTACGAGTCTCTCCTTCTCTTGTGTGCGGAACCGAGTCTAACGAGTTTTCAGGCTGCTGAATCTTCAACTGTCGTCTCCAACACGGGGAATGTGCGTTTGATTCTTGTTGCATTGGATTTCCACAATGGCCTTTGAGCCAGAGAGGAATGACATATACTGACTTGACTTGGGGAAACAGCTCCTGAAGTACATGAACCTTGACCAGCGTGGTCGCGTTCAGGCTGAATACGTTTGGATTGATTCCAATGGCGGTACTCGTTCCAAGACAAAGGTATGAGTCACCTCCAATCCGGGTGTCCGGCTCATATCGTGAACTTCGGGTGCTGCATGTTCTTATCTGGAATCCCCTCCCGGGCGTCGATAAGCCTTGTGCACGGGGATTCTCACGATTTTAGCACGCGACGCAGCCACCCGCTGTCACGTGAGATAGCGCTTTTTGGGAACCCCAACTAACTGGAATCTGTGCGCAGACTCTGTCCAAGCCCGTCACAAGTGTTGACGAGCTCCCCGAATGGAACTTCGACGGCTCCTCCACTGCTCAAGCTCCCGGTGACAACTCTGATGTCTACCTCCGTCCCGTCGCCTACTACCCCGATCCCTTCCGCCAAGGTGACAACATCCTCGTCCTGTGCGAGACCTGGGATGCCGATGGAAGCCCCAACAAGTTCAACTACCGTCACGAGGCTAACCGCCTGATGGAGACCAACGCCCACGAGGGCTTCTGGTTCGGTCTCGAGCAGGAGTACACTCTTCTCGGTACCGATGGGTGGCCTTACGGCTGGCCCCGTGGCGGTTTCCCCGGTGCCCAGGGTCCTTACTACTGTGGTGTCGGTACCGGCAAGGTCTACTGCCGTGACATCGTCGAGGCTCACTACCGTGCCTGCCTGTACGCTGGTATCAACATCTCCGGTATCAACGCTGAGGTCATGCCCTCCCAGTGGGAGTACCAGGTCGGCCCCTGCCCCGGCATCGATAGTAAGTTGAAATTTCCACCCAAACGAAAAATTAATTTCCGGTCAATTCGAGACTAACTCTTCTACTAGTGGGTGATCACCTCTGGATGTCCCGTTTCCTTCTCCACCGTGTCGCTGAGGAGTTCGGTGTCCGTATCTCCTTCGAGCCCAAGCCCATCAAGGGTGAGTGGAACGGCGCCGGTCTTCACTCCAACGTCTCCACGAACGCCACTCGTGCCGAGGGTGGTATGAAGGTCATCGAGGCCGCCATGAAGAAGTTCGAGGCCCGCCACGTTGAGCACATTGCCGTCTACGGTGAGGGCAACGAGGAGCGTCTCACTGGTCGCCACGAGACCGGTAACATCGACAAGTTCTCTTACGGTGTTGCCGACCGTGGTGGCTCCATCCGTATCCCCCGCCAGTGCGCCAAGGATGGCAAGGGTTACTTCGAGGACCGCCGCCCCGCCTCCAACGCTGACCCTTACCAGATCACTGGTATCATCGTTGAGACTATGTGTGGTGGCCTCTAAATGGATAGGAATCATTTGGTCTTAGCGCTCCGATACCCTCGGCGTCAACCTGGGAGTCGGACCAGAGCGGCCTGACTGCGTGAGGGAGCCCATTAGATGTTCTGTGCCTTATTTCTCTTCCTCTTCCTGTCTTTCTTCTCGTGTTCCATCCTTTCCTTTCTCCCAGTTCCAGTGTCCGCCTCTTTGCGTTACTGCTGGCCCTCCCTCGTTGTACCAGCCGCACTTTTTTTTTTTCTTGTTCTCTTGACTGCCCTACACTGGGTAATGTGACACGTACAATAGCATAGAATATTCATGGATGGGAAAATCAGACCATCGTTTATCGAGAGATATCATTTTGATATCGTTCCTCTGGAGAATCGACACCTAATTCCAAGTTTCAATTTTTACACTGACCCTCACGTTCTTGCTCGGAGTACTCCGTAGTGTTTGTGCTCTTGAGCAAACTTTGCCAACCATTCCGACCTCGTACCAACATATGTCGCAGGTACATGGAGTGCTGAAGCTCATTGGTCTTGTCCACATGGATCGGACGATCTCCCCAGATCTGGTGACACAGAATCTTAAACCTAATCTGGCATTGCAGTCGTCCAATAGCAGTGTTCTTCACCTTGGGCGTTGAAAGATTGCATGCCAATTTCGGATGAAAGGAGTTATATAGTCTTATAGTACTATGTTCATCACTTCGATTGCTTTTCTTCTCACCCACAAAGTGAAGTATTCAGCAATAGTCAATTATCAGAGTATCTGTTTTCCCTTCTATAGCTCTATAGAAGTCCTGTACATCGCAGCAAAATTAGAATATAGCAAAACTTTTTGAAATCCACACTTCCCTTCACATCTACCGCACAATCCTCTTCCCTCTCTCCAACCACCGCCTAACACCACCCCCCAACCCATCCAATCCACGCTGCCGCACCTCCCGTCTCCCAGCACCATCAACCGCCCCCTCCCCATCCCGATACCGCCCATCCACAAGCCGCAACATAATCTCCATCACCGCCGCAAAGAGAATACTCCCCGCCAGAATCCCAATCATCACGAGGTTACTCTTACGATACTTCTGCCGGCCAGGAGCCTCGTAGTCGCTCTGCCACCCGGAATACAGCGCATACGTCGTCAGGATACTGCCCAGATTGCCCAGCCCGGAGACAACTGCCGACGCAGCGGCAACGCCGACCTCGCCGTGGCGCGGTTGGAAAACCTCCGTCGTCCAGGTCATCGTGATTGGCACGGTTGGGCCGAGTCCGAATCCGACGATCAGGAGACCGCCGTACCGCGGCCAGGGGTTTGCGTCGGAACCCGCGTAGCTGGTGAGTAGCAGGCCGAGGATCTGCAGGAGAACAGGGACAGAGAAGAAGATTGCGCGGTGGCGATGGAAGCGGTCTGAGAAAGGTGTCACCAGAAGAATGGCGATGAGATCCATCTGTGTATGGTCAGCGGAGGAACACGAAATCCAAGAAAGAAAAACATACAATCCAAATCGGCGCCGTCAACAGACTCAATTCCACATCACTCAGCGTCGGGTCAATGGCCTTGATAATCAAATTCGCATACAGCTGCACTCCAATCCCAACGCCCACAACGCCAAAGTACATAATCAGCAGCGGATACAGTCGCCAGTCGATAAGCACATAGAGCAGATCCCGCATCGTCCACGCAGAGGAGTGATACACGCGCTTCATATCGTGGTAGTGCACTATCGCATCGCTGCCCTGCAGCGCCGGCTTCGTGGCCGGCACCCAGCGCATCAGCCGGCTTCGCTGGGGCGGGGTCTCGCCCGGTGCGGTTGGCCGGTCCGGGAGCCACCAGAGCAGGGCGAAGCCCAGGGCGACGGTGATGACGCCGTAGACGAGGAACATCCACTGGAAGCCGACGAGGCCCCGGGCGCCGTCCATTTTCTGGAACCCGGCTGAGACGAGGCCGACTACCGCGGCGGAGACTTGCGAGGCTGTGAAGTACTGGCCTATGCGTTTGCCGATGCGGGAGGGCGGGTAGAAGAGGGTTAGGTAGTATGTCATGCCGGGCCACATGCCTGCGGTGACGATACCGAGGAGGAGGCGGAGGAGGCTGGGGGTTTTTGTTAGAAGGGGTTATATTGGGGATGGTGTGGGAAGAGGGGGACGGACTAGAAACTCCAGGCTGCTTTCATTGCGGCGAGACAGCTTCCGATTACGCCTACGCTGATTACGATCCGGCTCATCCAGACGTGGGGACTGAGGCGGGTCATTATCAGGTTTGAGGGGAGATCGAAGATCACGTAGCAGACGTAGAACAGGGCTAGACCGGTTGAGATCTCGTGGCGGGTTAGGTTTAGGACGCTGGCGAGGTCGTGGCCGGAGTCTGTGTTCATTGTTTGTGCCAGGCCTACGTTGGACCGGATGGCTGAACAGAGGAAGTAGAGGATCCAGAATGCGGAGATGATCCGGCGGTCCAGTTTTCTGTGTTTGGGATTAGATTTTGTATGGCCTGGTTTGGGGGATGTGAATTGAGCCGACCTGTAGATTCGCTCGATGTTGGCTATGCTGTGGTCCTCGGACTCCATGTCGTCTGAGGTCTGGCTTGGTGGTGACTCTGGCTGCTCGGAGATATCCTGAGCAGTAGGTTGTTTGTCACCACTGACGGTGGCATGTTGATGTTCGGTTGACATCGCGATGCCCTATGATTATATCGCTAGACCTCTCTTGTTACAGACAATTGATCGCAGCAATGCACTGGCTTGGAGTGCGGCCGATTAATGGACATTAATTGTTCCAAATATAAGCTTAAAGCTGCTTGAGTCAGAGCTCATTTCTATTTCCCTCGGAAAGGTTAAAAACCTTTACCGAGGTCCTCAATCCCGACACGAGAAGAGAAAACAGGCACAAACATACCTCTGGCAATGCCCTGTTCTGTCGCGAGAGACCGGAGAAAGACCCGTTTGCGGATCTGATAAAGACAAGAGGGGTGATCTTGGCGGGGCATGAAAAATCGAACGTCCGCCAGTGACAAGGTAATCGGCAAAGGTATTAAGTATGATGGCTGTACGCAGTACGGAGTACTCCACGAGATGCACGTCAACTGACTCACACCCAGGATCCGAGATGAGCTTCCTCTGTTGAGGTTGAGGTTGAGCTCTCACCGAGCAGATCCTCGGTCTTTTCCCCCAACGTGCTTCACCGAGGATAACCTTATCCTCCGCTGTCTTTTCCGATGCCATTGCGCATGCTTCTTTCCCCTTTATATGTGTGCCATATGCAGGATTTCTTACGTCTTACACTCGGTGACTCGGTCCCTTGCAGCCCTGCTCAATCTGTCAGAAGGCTGGGAATACCGCTATGGCCCATACAATAAAACACCCCACCAAGCCGAATCACTCAACAACACTCCTGGAATTCTGGGGATTCAACGTTGAATTACTCTGCAATCTCTACTCCGTATGTATCCTCGTCATCGTTGTCTTCTGGTGATTCAATTGCCGATCTCGGGCTTATCACGTGGGTCTATCAAAATACCCGAATCGGGTGATTCTCGGGCTGGCGTGCAGGTCTCAACATTTCGAAGGGTTGAAGGCTGGTTGAGCACAACCCTTTGGATTGTAATTTTGGGGGTTTCAGTAATTTGATGATCTTTGTTAGTCTTATTAATAACGGAATAAAGGGTACTTCCCTAAGTTCGTCTACTTAGTACTGGTGACCGACCCAAAGTAGATCCATGTTCATACCTATTAAAACCTGAACATCACCAACAAAGATTGGAAAAAATTGGATAGTCTCTTTGGACTTCTGAAGAAATGGAATAGTTGAACCCAATCTACCTCCTCTTCTTCAGGCCCTTGTCCACAACACTGCTGCCTGCAAATTAGGATCGACACAAGAAGATAGGAACACTCTATTTCATAGACTGTTGAAACATATACTCCGCACCTCACAAGTAAATAAGCCCTGTCTTAGTATACCTTTTGACTTATCCCAACGCATCTCATTTTCAACTTGAATTGACAGGAGGATAGTACAATAGAGAGCCACAATCGATCACAATCTGCCAAGGGTAGAATGGATGTTAGTATGTACAGGGCTAAGTATTCCTCTAGACCTTCACATACTGCGATGTATTATACTCTTGATTATTCCGACAAGGCTTTACATTGGTATCATTGATGAGGATATTCCAAAAATAATCTGTCCTCCATACTCGATACCCATACTGCAAATTAGCCGAGACTGTCGGAGGGCGTATGAAGCATGACTAATGAGTCTATGACCGGGCAGATCCACAGTAATCAGGCCGCTTGGCCTAATGGTTAAGGCACCCGACTCCTAATCGGGAGGTTATGGGTTCAAGTCCCATAGTGGTCGATTATTTTTTGCGTGAATTCACTGGCGTAATATTTTTGTTCATCTCGTGGATTTAGCACTACATGAACTGTACTAAAAGATGTCCGACACTGATGCTTTCCTTTCCTTTTCTATGCACCGCAAACATTACAAAAGTATTTGTATACTAACTACTAACTACTAACTACATGTAGGTTTCTAATAGTGAGTCGAGAGAGCATAAAGAGGTATCAAGAATGAAGGCTGCGCGGGTTTGGGCATTGCACAATTTGGTTATCATCTTCAAACAAAGGAAGAGGATCATGGCCATGCTCATTGTGCATTGCCGCAAGTGTCTCGGCGAGCGTTTCGTCAAGAGCCTCTCGTCTAAACATCGTAGGTCTTCTCTTCGACCGTCGAAGGACGTAAACAGGGACGGAAGGCAAGTCAATATTTGTCATTGTCTATTCTAAAGCTCATTTCTAGCCTCGGGACTCGCATGGTCTATCGATATATTAGAATCCGAACCTGGTACCCCTGAAGGCTTCACAGGGTTACCAAATGAAAGCTTTGGACTTTTATTGAGAGCGTCCCTGAACCTTGGCCAAACAGCTAATATCTGGTGATATAGATAGATGTAAGAGATAGAGTCTCTCGAATCTCATTTGTCTACAATCATAGCGATTAATATACGGCATAAGGGGTACTGTGTCTATCATTTCAGAGTAATGTGATAGGCATCTGATTTCTTCAGGAGAGACTGAATGACCTTGTGATTAGGTAGCTATTAGCTCGCCAATAATGCTATTTTTTTGGTTTGCTTTATCTATCACCTAGGATTTTGGCAGAGACCGCAGATGGGCAAGGCTTGAAGTTCAGAAGGGACAAATCCAGAGGTCCGACTGCTTGTTGACCTTTCACCTTGACCACTCATACCTCTCGCGACAAATACACTGAGAGGGCATTCTCGTTGGTCTTTCGCGTCTGTAGTGTGTGGTATCACGTCAACAATCGTTGCATCTCTCACTCCTGACGCCCCAAACAACCCTTGTACCATTGCTGCTCCCTTTCTGATACTCGGGAGCCACCATCCTGACCTTTTCCCACTGCACCTGCCCTCGCATTTCTCTCTGGAGACCACGCGTGGCTCACCCACTCACGATGTCTTCAGAGGTCTCGCCATCGGGAATCAGCACCAATCCGCAAACAGGTGAACGCTTCATCCCTTCATCCGTCCGTGCTGATGGCTCCGTCCGCAAAGAACTCCGAGTGAGACCCGGCTACAAGCCAGATGAAGATATCGAACGCTATAAACCTCCAGGAGCAAGATCAACCGGCCGAGAGCCTGAGACACAAGGCGAGTCACTTCCAGCCAAGGAGATCCATGGCCACAATAGTCAAAGCGGAGCTGAAACAAACACTGTCATCAATGAAACCCTCACGGATTCTGAGGTCCCAGGACAGCCTTTGAAGACAAGCCAAACCGAAATGGCTCCTGCAGACACCAACATGGACGCTTGCAAGGACAAAGTTGGAGCTTTGTCGGTCAGAGGGGACAGCGCTAAATCGCCTAGAGCAGCTCGAAGATCCAAGAAGGCCAAGAAAAAGGCCAAGGCAAATGGCGACCCTTCGGCGGTTACCAACAAGGATGCTATGCATCGGGATCTTCCTCTGAGGCTCAAGAAACCTGCCAAGACGGGTACCACTGCCGAATACAAGGCTGTGGAGCCAAGCAGGTCAATCACCCCTCCATTAAACAATGAAAGACCTGAAACTGAGGCTGGCTTCACAGCTCAAAGCACCATGACCCACGAGGCAGACCAGCCCGCCACAGAAGATCTCGTCGACGAAGGACAGGAGTACAAACCGAGGTCACTTCCTGAGAAAAAGAGGGGAAGGGAGGATATGTCTGAGAAGATACCGACTCTGTCTGAGATGCGCAAGATGGTTCAGAACATGCCCACCATGACAACCTTGGGATTCAACCTACCTAGATCCCACAAGTCCAGAAAGGCAGACACCTGCCATGCCTCGTATTACAAATTACGCAGATCTAGGAGGAAGGTGACCTGGAAGGTAACTCCAGCCTCGGAGCCAGAGCAATGGTTTGATGCCCAAACCACTCCGGAAGGTTGATACGACAGAACACGAGCAGTACAGATAGTGTGACTCCAGAACTTGACCAAGTTATTCAATCCTCTTTCCGAGGCCGTGTCTGTATCCCCCATATACAACGTATTCCAACATCGAACTCTCAGATCTCTATCCCGTACTTCAACAACAAAGAAGATCCAAATCCCCTCCACTCCCCAATCAGGAACCATCACGAGGATAGCCAAGCCCTAAAGCCAAGACGACTGCCAGACCTTCACAACCAAAACCACCAATAGAGCAACCGTCTAAATCCGACATCTGTCTAGCGTAGTCCTAAATTCCACAAATTCTCGTGTCAACCTGAGTTCCCCCCATCACTCACCCCCCAAAAAGCGGCTCGAGTCCGGCGCCAAGCGGCACCATCTCGTATTAACAAACAAAAAACCACCCACGACAGGTAAGATGTCCCCCCAACAAGTCCGCGAATACGAGAAACAACCTAAAACCACCCTCTCGGTGAATTCCAGACCCTGAAATGAGCCGCATTGATCTAACCAGGGGTCCGGGGTACACAGCTCAACAGCTTAAATCCCCACCTCGTCCCCCCAATCCCAAAAAAGCGATAGTCGAGTGCAATACAAGGCAATCCCGCAAAATCCAGCTCCCTCTGGGACAAAAGGGAAAAGAAACCAAACATGCGCTCAATCTACCACCTCACATGCCTAGCGCTCACGCTCGCGCTATCCCTCGTCAACGCAGACCTAGACGACCCCCAACTCATGTCCAACGTCTCCCTCCACACAGACAGCAACCCCAGCTTCTTCAGCGATAACCCGCTCAAGCCCCGCGCCCTGGAATGCAGCATCGGCTACAGCGAATGCGCCTACGATACATCCAAATGCTGTCCGTTAGGCGACCGCTGCTGCGGGACCGGGTACTGCGCCGAGCCCGGCGAGACGTGCTGCACCGAGCGCGGGACGTGCGCGAGCGGGTATAAGTGCTGTGCCGGGGCGCGCGGGTGTGCGCCGATCGGCGGGGAGTGCTGCGAGGGCGGATACTATTGTCCTGCTGGCAAGAGGTGTCGGTTGTATAAGGGGAGGAGTGTTTGCTGTGCGCCGTCCGGGTGTATTGGGGAGAATGCGGGTATTGGGGACGGGGGTGGTGTTACGGTGCCGACTATTTCGATTACGGAGTCTGTGACTCGGACGAGGATTGCTGTTGAGACTGTTTATAAGTGGTATACGAGTACGATTTACTGGTATGGGTTCCTTCTTTTTCTTTGGTTTTTTTTTGGCGAGCCGGGGCTGATTGCTTTGACAGGACTTACTGGTCTTTTTATTGGACTTCTTTCTCGCCGTATACTGTTAAGACGGTTACGTCGACTATCAGGAGTACGTATACTGTTTGGTCGGTTTATGCGACGAATGCTGCTGTTGCGACGTCCTCGCTTGCCGATCAGTCTTCCAGTTATAATTACAAGCCGCCTTATACCGCGACGTATCTCAGTGCGTCCTCGACTCCGGTTACGTTGGCTGGGGGTCTTGCTGCGCCGACTGGCTCGCCTTCGTCGGATGATAACACTTCCGGGTCGGATCCAGGTGGTCTGACTTCGCTTGGTTCTGTTGGTGCTGCGGCGAGTGTGAGGTTTAGTGGGACTGGGGTTGTGGCTGCTGTCTTGGTTGCTGCTATTGGGGGACTGGCTTTTAGGCTGTAAGGCGGGGGGAGATGGTGTGTTGAGGTTGGGATTGTGTTTGAGTTTCGTTGATACCTGAACGAGTTTTCTATGTTATGAAATAACTTAATGATTATGCAATGATTTGTGAGACGTTGATTATATTGCAGTTGAAGATATATAATTGGAATAATTCATGATCAGCCTTCTAGGAGGGCTTAGGCGGTATCAGACGAGCTATCCTTGCGATGCTCAAAATGAGTACCCTTTCCAGTCTCAAGATCGCCTGTTTCGTTGGCCATATTGCCCTTTGGCTTATCTGAGATATAGCTAGCGCGACGAAGATGCTCATCGGTCTCTTCGTAGTTGATGAGAAGCTCGCCGTGCTTACCGTAGCGGTGTGGCTCGTTGCGGGCGACGGAGACCACGTCGAAGATGCTGGATGTCTTGTGGAAAATTGTATCCATCTCCTCCAGGGATCGGTATGCGGTTTCGGGATAGAAGAAGTAGACAACTGGGAAGATGAATGCGTTGCTATGAGGAGGTTAGTTGGCTGCGTTGCAAGCTCACTCCCATAGGATATACTCACATGACTGCAAAGATGATATATGTCTTATACTTGATTGTATCAAATGCAACAGGCGTGACCATGACAACCATGAAGTTGAAGATCCAGTTAGCAGAGGTTGCAAGGGCGTTGGCGGGAGCGCGGATGCGTAGAGGGACCTATCAGGTTGTCAGTGATATTCAGATATAAAGAAGATGGGTTTCTTACGATCTCAGCGGGATACAGCCAGGTCATTCCCAACCAGCCGAAGGCAAAGAATGTGTTGAAGACGAATAAGAATACGGCTGCGGCAATACCAGCCTTGGAATCGCCCTCGAAGCTGGTGGTGATGGCTAGGACGACCATGGAGATCGACATTCCGGCGGCACCAACCAACATCAGGATCCGTCGTCCCACCTTCTCCACAATAAAGATGGGGATCAAAGATGCCAGGAAATACTCGGTGCCGTTGCATGCAGCAAGAATGCGCGATGTCAAGCCATCCATGCCAATGGAGTTCTCGTAAATGGTAGCAGCGTAGTAGGTGATCAGGTTAATGCCGGAAATCTGCTGGAACATTTGGTTGACGTAGGCAAGTACCACACGATGGAAGTGTCGGTTCTCATCCATGGTGAACAGGTCACGGAAGCTGGCAGTTGAAGCAGCCAGTACTGCATCCTTGATGGCACTAAATTCCGCGTGAACATAAGGATCATTCTCATCCAAATCTAGGATGGCGGCGAGAACTTCTATAGCTTCTTCTTCGCGGCCCTTAAGAATCAACCAGCGAGGCGACTCGGGCAGCGGCATTACGAAGATCAGGATAATCAATGCAAAGACATTCTGGAAGGCAATGGGAAAGCGCCACGCAACAGAGCTAGGGTCCAGGAAAGAGAAACCCAGGTCAAGCCAGTAGCTGAGGGTAATTCCAGCCGCAATCAAGGAGCCCTCAAGCATGACTAATTTTCCACGGTGGTGAGATTTGGAGCATTCTAGGTCTCATCATTAGCATTGGATCTCGTCTCGAACCGGGTTAAGTACTTACCAGACTGCCATGTGGGCACAGTAGAAGTGTTCATGCCGTTACCGACACCTGTGACAATACGGCCGACAACGAGATGCGGCAGCGAGTAAGCGCAGGCTTGCAGCGAAGCCCCGATTACCATGATGATGGAGCCGACAAAAATTGTCTTGCGACGACCAAGGTAATTTCCAATCCAGATACACATAATTGCACCGAAGAAACATCCCAAATTGTAGGACGCAACAGTGATTCCTAATCTATTAGTATATGGGTGGAAGGATTATGGGGATTCATACCTTGTGTTGTGGAGTTGTTACTTGTTGATGAACTGGATTTTGAAGTATCGATTTCAGGGAAGACCGTAATGAACGAGTTTAATGTCAAGAGACCTCCCATAACGCCTCTGTGAAATGTTAGCATAAGAAAGTCATCGGTATTCCGATGTATAGCTTGCGACGACGTACTGGTCGTATCCGAACAACCTGTACAATCCCATGTTAGCACTTGCATACTTCTAGACTGAATAGATCAACGATGAACATACAAGAAATCAAGACCAGCAATCACGCCGATCATGATATTCAAGTTCGTGCCCCGAAGGCCGAAGAAGGGCTTCATAATGGCGGGTCTTGAGTATGAGGTGCAGCGTGCAGAAGGAGAACAGACTGTATACAGTCAATATGTATAGTCTAACTCTAGAAGTCAAACAGTATTGGTTGAATCGACGCCACTGGAAAATGGACTATCGAATAAATGGACTGCAACTCGGCAGAACGAAGAAAAACCCCGGCATGACAGTCCCGGGACAGTCAAGTTTATGAACCCCCAGCGTCAAACATGGAAGTATCCTCGACGACCAATTTTGGGACCGCAAACCGGAAATCAGAACGAGCCCGGCCCCACCCAATGAGGAGGAGGGGTGGCATCGGTGATGCCCACGATGTACGGAGTACCTAGATCGGTGTGCATTGGTGTCCGGATCGGGACAATGCGCCACTGCATGGAGTAACGTCTCCATGCCGACGTCGGGAGGGCCGAGAGGGGCCATGCCTGGAGAGGTCCCTGGGGTTGCGGGTAAATTAGAAGTCTCAACTCGGGAAGTGTCCCTGTGAGGGCATTGGATTACTGTCCGGCATTCCAATTTCCAGGTGGTCACGCTACTTTACGGTATTGTACGGTAATATTCCAACTTCACATCACCTGAACAGCGACTGAGGGGATCAGGTGCTCTCAAAGACTGTCTTCATTACAGAAACGGAACTTATGTACATAATCTATATAGATATACCCAGTAAGTGCCTAGGTAGATAGGGTATATCACAGTGGTGCGGTTCACACTTCGCATGTAGGTATTTTGAGCAACTTTGCGTACCTATGGACTGACTAGTGTTGGATGAACTGGAATTTCCGGTTTTGCCTCAAACCTGGAGAACCTGTCTCCATTTCCCCCGGACTCCATTTTTTTGTTCTCGGGCGTTGGGGCCCGGGGCAGGACCCATGCTGCACACGGAGTACTCCGATTCATATCATTGTACGGAGTACGGAGTATGCGACTGTAGCTTCGAATGTTTCCATAATTCCATAACACATTTGATTGGAACCCCTGCCAAGCACGCTCAGATGCCCAGCCATCGCAGGAACAATAAGGCTTCGGATCCATCTCATCTCCCCAAGTAGGTAAAGTAGGGATAAAAGCCGGGGGCCAGCTCCCGCACTAATGACGTCAGCGGCAATTAAACCGAAATGAAACAATATCAATGCCCTGCAATGAGCAAGGCTCATAGTGTTCCGTACTCCGTATTATACTCGGTATTTCGTGCCTACCTAGATATCAACATTGGTTCAGAATTTTCGGCCAAATCTCCCGTTCGGCACAAGCCGAAGCATGGGCTTCAAAAGTACGAGATCCGGGATACCCTTTTCGGCCAACTGTAACTCTGAAGGAGCATTGCAGGTTACCCAATCATGTCTTCGGCCAAGCATCTTGATATCCAGAACGTATGATACAATGCAGCTGAGGTCGTTCTAGTGGAGGTCTTGGCCCGTGAAAAGCACTCGCAAGCGCATTCCCCATTCGAGGCTCTGTGGAGCCGGGGTCCTATGCCGAACCTGACTGAGTTCTGATTTGCATGAGTGATTATTTTCTTATCGCTTACCAGATATAGTTTGCCTTCGTGTGATTCCTGGAAAACAGACTTCATCCCTCGCAGCCCTAACTGTTCCTAGGCGGCGTATACCTGGTAGCCTACACACAAGGATCTTCCGTACGTAACAACTATGGAATACCTACCTCGATATGTTGTAGGTAGCAGGTGTTCCATACAAAGCATGGAATATAAGTACCTGATCTCCTCTGCCAGGTGCGGGTTTTCTATCTCAGCTGCTTTGACTAGGGTGCTCAGAGCCAGGCTCACCGAGTAGATCCCTGCTTGGGAAAAGGAACACTAGAAGGAGGACATCAGGGAGCAACCAAAGGATGGTCACATGAAAACTCCAAACAGACACCTAAAGAGCCAAGGTATGTATCTGTGCTGCAAAGAGGCACTAGCAATCATGGAGAAGCAGGAGTCTGGGGGTGTGGTGGTCCATGTCTCCTCGATAGCCGGCATCCGGCATATTGGGAACGAGCACATCGTATATGCTGCGGCCAAGGCGGCAATCATCCGGAAGCACACCATCGTTGCGTTCGCCGCGGAAAAAAAATTATTCGGCTGAATACCGTCATTCCAGGACTCATGAACACTCCGCTGGTATGCGAGTGGCTGCTTGGACACTCAGGAGGGAAGTTCGAAGAATTCATTGCCCATTACGATAGGCAGGTTCCAATGGGCAGGATGGGCAGGATGGGCGAGGCATGGGATGTCGCCCATGCAGTTCTTTTCCTGGCGTCGGCTGAGGCAAAAAAACTCACGGGAACCGAATTGGTTGTTGACGGAGGAATCACTGCATCAACGGGTCAGGCCAGGTGATAACGGATGGAGTGAACAATCTGATTGGATATCCAAGAGGTGCCTGTTGCTGCTGGACGTGCAAGTCCAAGGTCGGCTGTCCTTCAGCTGGCGCAGTAAGAATCCTTAGAGCGACCGATGCTCGATAAGGTTATGAGACCCCAGATTTCCCCACACTCCCCCGGTTTTTTATCCCGGGTTCATTTCGACGAGGATATGTATTTCAGACTGTCAATGCGAGGGTGTTCAAGAGCAACGCTAGCATTCACTGAGATCACAGTTGAATGAATAATCCTCAGGATCAAAGGCGGAGATTCTCATTCCTTCGCGAGCCTAGGCCGGTCCTCGTGTACGGAGTACATAAGATCAATGCCGCCAGCTAATCATCTGACTCCTGGCAATGCTGGATCTCAGTAAAGGTCGTGGGGGCCTACTGGCAGGATGAACTGGGGCTGTGGAGGGCTGTTGTGGAATATAACGGAGTCCAACCTGAACAGTATGCCGAAGTTTTGACTTCAGGACAGGGAATTCTCAAGTGTGTACAGTCCCTTTACTTGCCCGAATCCATTATCGGCTAATAGATGCTGTTTGTGAAAACAGTCTCTGGAAATGGCCTGGAATTATGGGCCTTGAGACTTTCAAGGGAAAGATGGTGCATTCCGCACGTTGGAGTCATTCTTATGATTATTCAACCAAGCGGATTGCTGTCATCGGCAATGGTTCATCCGGCATCCAGATCCTGTCCCAGATCGCTAAACCAGATGGCACAGATGTGACCAGCTTCCAACGCAGTCCCACCTGGGTTGTCTCGCGAATGTCGCCAGCAATGTTACTAGGTCGCGAGGTTACAGGATCCAACCCTGAATACACTGAAGAAGATAAACGACCGTTCCTCGTGGATCCAAAGTGCCATAACGAGTATAGGAAACAATTGATTCATCGTATAAACAGGGCATTCAAAATGATATTTCCTCTCCTCCGCATTCTCCTGAGACCAAATGAGCACCTCAATCAAAATCCGATCACACATATATTCGTTGAAAAAGTGCACATTGAGTATTCCACTAAGATCTCACTGATCAATTCTGCGCAATGCACAGTCATGAAATATGCCAAGAGGCGTGCGCTATATAAGAGACTATAATATTGCTACCATACATTGCACCTGGGCCAAAAGACCAACAGGAGACTCATACTGGTGGTGCAATTGTAGAGTTATTACAGTTGCGTCTGGCTTAGCGAAAACCTCTAGTAGAACTATTGGAGGAGAGGAATCTCCTCTAATGGTTCGGAATCGACTTCGGGACGTTTGATCAGGCCGAGTTTATGGATGCCGAGTACAACAGGGTTCCGGGCCTTATCTTTCTCGGGACGATTTTACTTGGGTCTATCAAAGGCATAACAGAGGGTCCACCGTCAACTGTCAGAGTTGTGACTTGGCACCGTCATGCATTGACCCAATGCAACCGCAGCCTGAGAGAGAAACCGCATGCCACTGCTCAGCAGACTACTAAAATTTTGCAGAAGTTCATGAATGAATGTTTCATTGGAGTAACTGGCTATCTGAAATCCTCTCAGGTCAATGCTCCTCTTGCCCAGACCCTTCGTCCTTAGTCTCAATCAGGAAAAGGCAAGGCCAATTTCCACTCGAGACCGTCGGCCGGTCAGCGATCATTGAAGCACCCTGGGAAAAGTATCCATAGCCAACATCGAAAAAAAATTTCAAGTTCTGAGAAATATTCGCTTGATAGAAAATGCGCAAGAAGTCGGGGCAGAGATTAACACCATTCGTAAAACCAGGCAGCGTCGTGTCCATTTGAGCTACCGTGAAGTGTTCCAGGAACAGGTTTAACCGCCCCCCACACTTTCGCACGGTACTAACGATCAGAGAAAATGGCATCGAATTGGGCGATTACCACAAGTCGTTATCGTCCTGGCGCTTGTATTCAAATGGTTCCTCTTTGGTCTTCGGGTCCAGCAGCTCGGATTCGTCACGCTTGGGAGAGCCGGGGGAGTGATGGGCGTCGTCTTCACGCTCCTCCTGCTTGGGTGGCTGAGGGCAGCGACGGACAGTGTGACCCACTAGCGTCATATTAGCTTGTTTGTTTGGCTCAGGAGAATGTTCATCTTTAACTCACTTTCTCCACAGTTGTTGCACTGAACCTTTGACCAATTCTTCGGCTGGTCACAGTCGCGAGAGTAGTGTCCGGCTAAAATCATGTTCGTCAGTTTCATATTGCGAGAGACTGTGGCAAAAAAAGAGACCATGTTCAGCGCATGCACAAAACTTACTCTGGTCGCAGTTACGACAGGTGACAGTGGAAACATCACGAGGTTTATCACAGTTCCGTGCAAGATGATCTTCGGATCTGCATTTATGTTAGAAACAGCCACGACTTTAAGGCTCCAAAAAAGGGAACTTCACTTACCCACAGTTGCGACAGGCACGAGGTGGACGATTGGGGGCATTGGGACAATCCTTAGCAAAATGGCCAGCTAGAAAGAGGTTAGCCCATCACGAAATGTATCAAATATTCGAGCCAATGCCCTGTCATACTTTCGTTGCACCTCCGGCATTCAACACCAGCCGCAGATCGGGGCTCAGGGCATTCAGCAGCAATATGGTCTTCGGAACTTCGCAAAAGTCAGTGTCATCGGTCTCGAAATCGCCTCCCTTGGAGTCACATACCCGCAATTGCGGCATCCTTTCTTGTACCTGCGCCTCTGCGTACAATCGCGCACTCGGTGTCCAACCTGGTCGCAGTTTGAGCACTTGATCTCCACGCGATCATTGTTGTCCTGGCGCTCCTCCTTGCAGCTGCGTGCGATATGTCCCAATTCTAATTATGGTTTCTTAGCAAATTTCCGGTGCATGTACAGTGGGGATTGGACACTTACGTCCGCAATTTGTGCACTTGGGAATTCTTCGTTCATAGGGAATACCGGCGTTGTTCATGCGCTCAAGGTTCTCCTCAGGGCTGGAAGGCCAACGCTCTCGGAGGTGGGCACGCGATGCTTTAGGGCTGAAGAAGAAACCAATGGAAAATTGTCGGTCGAGTACTCCTTGAAGATCAATCAAGCTCATAACATCATCGACTTCAGCCTCCTATTGTTAAGATCCATTCGTGAGTTATTCCTCCATGAGCATCACAACGATATATATCACTTACCATAGCAATAATGTAGATGTTGAACCCATCGTCTCGCATCTTGTTCTCAATGTCGGCCCAGGTGGCGTGGGGAACGGCCTTGGAGTAGATTTTGAGGGTCTGTAATGAGGTCAGCCAAAGCTCAAAACTTGCAACGTATGTATAGATCATGTATACCTCACGGAAATCATCGAGATCTCTTTCATCACTGGCTTTCTTCATTGCTGCCCAGGCTTCATGGGGGAGCTTATCGGCGACAAAATTGAGGTCGAATTTGCGATTGCCGGTGCATTCGATGGTTTTATGGCCCTGGGCGAGGCAGTTCTTGCAAACATCTGGGGGTCTCTCTGGGCAGTCAATAGCTGGATGGCCTTCCTTTTCACAAAGGCGGCAAGTGCCCTTGAAAACGCGGGGCTTGGGGCACTCGGCCTTGGAATGGCTGTTTTTGGAGACAGTTAGCAGCGTAGAGTACAGAAAGCTCAGCAATGGCTCACCCTTCTTCGCCACAGTTGAAGCAGGCACCCATCTTGCGAGGCTCGGTGCAATCTGCTTTGTTATGACTGCATCTTTATCAGCACATTTATACAAACCCAGGACGAACAATGACTTACCCAGGCTGACCGCAGTTGTAGCAAGTCCGATCATCACCACCAAAGCGTTCACCACCTCCACCATTGTCCTCGGAGTGATGATGATAGCCTTCCCTATAGTTCAGAATTGGTCAGACCCGTTAAAATAAAGTGGCACGCGAAAGGCGGATAACTTACTGAACATTGGTGTCGTGGGATCTCAGAGGGGCTGCGACATTTGGGCATTGATGATTCATGTGGCCAGGCTCACCACAGCTTAGCTTTGTTAGCAATTAGTCGCCCGGGGAAGCTTGAAAAGCTTGGAGGGGATAACTTACTTGCCGCAGGTAAAGTCATCGTCATGGCCGTCATGGCCGTCATGGATATTCGCATCCGAAATGGTCATACCGCGATTGCGAGAGCGAGGGTTCTCGTCCCCAGCAGCCTCTAGTGATAGTCAGCTCCGCTACCGAAAGTACATGGACACTCAGCTGAAATGGACGGGATCTGATCCTGGACCAGGGTGTATATATGAAGCAGACAGCACTTACTCAGATGGCCCCACTCCCCAGACATCGTGGGGAGGCGGGGAGTCAACTTAATCCCTATGTAGACATTTGTATTAGCCAATCAATGAAGGATAGGGCGATAACATCAAAGTAGATAGGCAGTGCGCAGTGGGATAGGGGTGAGGTAGCCTTAAAGTTCCAAGGTTTGTCACAGGCGACATAATCACGATCAACATGAGGTGCGACATAATCATCGCCATCAGCCTTGGAAAGCGCCTTCAACATCAGAGAGGAGTTATAACAGCTCTAAAACGACAACCACAAGACCTACCGAAACGGTTATTGATGCAAAACGAGCGTATTCGCTATCTGACGATGAATAAGAGAGGTGCGAGGAGGTAAAAAGCAAGGAAAAGAAGAGAGAAACAAAACAAAAACAGAAACAGAAATAGAACGAAGCACCCAAGAGCTTAAGGAAGGAACGACGGACTTGCCTCAGGCAATCCATCCTCGATCAACCAAGTTTGTACCTACAGGTATGTAGAGTATGTATGTTTGTATGTAGAGTACATGTAGGTACATGCAGTCATGTACTGGTAGTGCAGGCTACATGCAGATGTCATACCTGTAAAAGAAAGTGGATGGATTTAAATGGTAGATAATCAATTCCTCTGCTAGAGATACACAGAGCGCAAGCAAAAACACCGCCGATATAGGACCACTAATGGCGAGTCAAGCAGCAGCCTGCCTACCATTACCTGAATAGCCTGCCCAGCAAGCCACCAGCGATGTTGTTCACGATCCTACCGCCCAAAGCCGAGTTGGCATATGTGGAGGCTTGGCCAAACTTATCACAGCGGGAGAACGCCACGGTGTTTGTGATAGTCAGAACAAGCGCAATGACTAAAACCGATATCAGTATCCAGTATTAAAGTCTAATTACTAAACCGCATTGGAAGCGCAACTCACCAATCAGGCTAAGCCAGATAACACCGACGAATCTCACAATGGCCAGGATCGCAAGGCCTACCCACAAAGCTGGGGTGACATACAAGCTCAGCCAGAAGAACCGCTTGTCGGTAGCTGTCACGGTGCGAACGTTCGGGTCGGAGGACTCGAAGACCCACTGCGAGTCGCCGGTTGACGTGTCAACCTCATTCCACCAACGTAAGCCGACCAGACGACGTCCCGCAATGTTCTTCAGGTAGTAGAAATCCGCAGAGAGGAGGAGAAGGGTGAAAATAAAGACGAGGATACTAAGTAGTTGTTAGCGTCGCACGCTATAAAGCGAATGGTCTTAGGTGGGATTCGTACAAGTCATCGATGAAGAGTACACCAAACAGATACATCAGCAGCGCGCCTAATCACTCAAGTTAGTCAAATTGGCACCCTCAATGTTCCTCGAGGCGGAAGAGGACATACCTATCCGAATGCCCAAGAAGACAAGTAGCGTGATCGGATGCGCGCTGAGGCGCCAGTTGAGGTCGCCTTGGCCTCCTTGTCCTTGATCCATGGCTTTCAAGGTAAAGAGTTCAATTTGTTCTGGGAGTGGAGGACCTTTCGGTCAGTGGCTTGGCTCAATTTAATCCAAGATAAGTCTATTGTTGACTGGCAAAGCTCCCTATGTGGTCGAAACACGTGTAAGTGCGGTGTCACTTGGCAGAATAACTGAGGCTAGCATAGATCAAGTGGATGCGATTGCTATGCATGAAGCTTGCTAGGGCTATATGATAATAAAAGGTGTACTATTATTTAGACCATATACATGTATATATTTCAATCATGCCATTTAGTAGATTATACTTCGGTAATGTGAGTCGCATACGGACGGAGTAAATGCTCACGTGATGATATCGAGTGGATCCCTTTCAGCCACACGTGCATAATTTAGGTGGAAGCTATATATGGCGCTAACCTGACAAGACGTCTAGCTAGATCTATATTACTACCGGCCAGATCTAATCAAAAGAAAAGAGTGCACTCAGCGAAGACTCTAAGAGCAGACAGGAAATGAAACGAGGGAAAAAGCCCTGGATCTCCAGATGAGCCCTTTGTCGTGAGTAGGGCTGCAAGCCATGCAGCCCGAGCGACATCTTTTCTGCCGAAAAGATCCTTGCCTTCCACCCTGCAAGCAGACCAATTACTCCACTTCTGATTTCCGCCGAAATGATCCCTGCAGGCCCAGCCAGATCATCACATACATAAGATCTCTGTAACTCACACCACGCAACTTAGGTGGCCGAATGATGAAGTGCAATTGAAGGAGACGGGTGCTTCTAGTAGTCTCAATTGCTAGACTTCAGCTATAGCCCTGGCTTTCCAAGGCTCTATGGACCTTCTATATGTAAACAGGTTATTAAGCCAGCTTTTACAAGGCCTAATGTCAGATGAGTGGTAGCTGAAGCTCGATGCTTTGTATTACAACCCATTAAATGGCGCACGGAGTGATTACTTACGCATCAATGATATATCTTAAAGCTTCATTCTTCTACTCTTTTAGTAAAATGTACCTTCTAAAATCCTAAATTCTTCCTGGATACATTGTAAGATAAATTGTACTATGCATTGTGCAAGAGTGGCTAACCCCATACCGATATGCATGAGCGTTCCAAGTACTCTCGCTTCCGCTCAAGGCGCTGGAGAGTGATTTTTATGTAGATATCGCTTTCACGGGTTTGCTGTGCCGAGTCCTTGACTCCTTGTATCATCTTCAAGCCCCAGAGATCACCAGCTTATATTACCTAACTTGAGCGATTCCCTACAGTAGCTTTCAGCTACAGTAGAACAAGTATGCTCCATCAAGCTTTCCTTTGCCGATATCCAAAATAAGGGTGATCATGTGTGTATAAATAGTAGTTGGTGCGTCACTAGGGCATCTTTGAGTTCGACGACAGTCGCCTTCTTCTCCTTCATCGGATTTTCTTCTTCGACGGTTATTCGATCTTTGTCATATGTTTGCGCTCGATCAAAATCTAGCCAAACGACTCTTTCCAGAGTATCCGTGACGATCATCATGTTCCGATGTTTGGGTTCTCTATTACGGATGAGCGCTTTATGTAATTGACGAATACCGTCTAGGATATTGTTCATTGGTTGCTGCGTGTAATTCTCTAACGTCATTATCTCTAGGTCGAAGATGCACTCTAGAAATAAAACTCTAGGCGAGAATACGTCGCCCAGAAACTGCTTCAAGTGAGGTTGGCATAGACTGGGGGCAAACTTCCTCGTGGAGCCTAGGAAGAAGGCTAGGCACGATTCCGCGATCACAAATCCCTTGTTCTTTCAGTCGAGTGTAAGCGGTAGTTTCGAGTACATGAATATACAATTCACGATCTGCGGGCTCACAGTAACGTCGTGGCCCACGCCCATGATGCTACTTGAAGTAGCACAAAAACATACCCACGTATATATGATCGATCTTAACCACTACTTTCATGATATATATTTGATCGCAGATGTTGACAAGAAATATAGCCGAGAAAGTAGAGACTCAAAGCATGTCTCTAAGAGTTATTTCTATCGCCTTAACATCATCGAGCTCCGATATGGTCTTAAATGATAGGGAGCGAGTTTTAAGGAAGATGGGATTTGAAAGGAAGCGTTGTGAGACAAGCCATTCAAGTCCCAGGCGAGGATTCAGCCCACGTTGATGACCCCTGATCTCCCTTGGGCTGTATATGTCCAGCAGGCTAGAGCAGTCGACACCGAGTCTATTACTTTGTAGAGCTCTGGGCAGTTGTGATAATAAGCAAAGTCCGCTGCAACTCAGGTATCAGCCTTCATCATGTCCATGGGTCCTCGCATTGATTATGTGAATATAAAGTAGATAATCAAGGCCCTCGGAAAGAAAACTGACAGAAGCAATTAATCAAGCTGGAAATCAATCTTTTCTCCAATTTTCGGTTCGAGCGTTGAGCGCTGAACAGTGAAGATGTAAAGATGGATAGCCGAGTCGGCTTCTTCCCGACCAAATCACCTCCATAAAAGACCTCCACTCCCGGAGACAGAACAACATACACGACTGTATACCCTTGATAGCCACGCGCAAATAGAGTAAATAATGGCAGCTCGCAATACTCTCCGTCGTTCCCTCCTCTACGGTAAGCTCCTCCCCCCTTCCTAAAGCTACCACTTCTTCCCCGCATTTCCCTCCCCGAGCTCTCCAAAAGAAAACCCCCAAAGCTAACCAACAGCCCCAAACAGTCCCCGGATCCTCCCAGCGCTTCCTAGACAAATCCCGCTCATTGACCGCCGACTGCGTCGCCTATGATCTCGAAGACAGCGTAACTCCGCACATGAAAGCGGAGGCGCGTTCCCTGGTGCGGAGAGCAATCGACCAAGCCGCACCACCAGGGATCCGCGAACGCGCAGTGCGCATCAACTCCGTAGACAGCGGACTCGCGCTGGGCGATTTGACCGAAGTCGTAAGCTGAACCCCCGGATAAACAATCTACCACATAGAGCAATTCGCTAACCCCCCGCAGCTCCAATCGCCAAACCTAACAACGATTGTTATCCCAAAAGTCAACTCCGCCTCCGACCTGACCTTCGTCACAGACGTCATCACCCACACTCTCGCCCAGCAACCCCCAGCAGAAAGAACCCCAATCTCCCTGCTGGCACTAGTCGAGTCTGCCAAGTCCCTCACAAACTTGTCGCAGATCTGCGCCGCGTCGCCTTTACTGCAGGGCCTGGTATTCGCGGCGGAAGACTTCGCGTTGGACTTGAGTATTACGCGCACGCCCTCGCTGACGGAGTTTCTCTTCGCGCGGTCTGCGATTGCGACGGCTGCGCGGGCGGCGGATTTGCCATCTACGATTGATCTTGTCTGCACGGCGTATAAGTCTGAGAAGGGGGATGGGTTGCCGCCGGCTGTGCTGGAGGAGGAGTGTCGTGATGGACGGCGGCTGGGATTCAATGGTAAGCAGTGTATTCATCCGTCGCAGGTGAAGGTTGCGGATCAGATCTTTGGGCCGGATCCTAAGGAGACGGAGTGGGCTATGCGGGTTGTTATTGCGGATGATAAGGCTGCGAAGGCCGGGAGGGGGGCTTGGACGCTTGATGGGAAGATGATTGATGTTCCTGTTGCGCACAAGGCCAGGGCTATTGTTAAGAAGGCAGAGGCTTGTGGGGTGGATGTCGATGCTTTGAGAGAGGAGTGGCAGCACCAGGAGCCCGAATAGGTTATTTATATGTGTAGCTCCGTATCTAATCTACGCATGATATTCCTGTGCATGTTCGGTCTATGTTTTGTTATGTGACGTGTGTAGCATTTACTCGGGGAGAGTTGTTGTTTCTGATGTCAATTGTATTGGATTGCCTCGCTAGTTCTAAACGTCTGGCTCAGACCACGAAGCGGCCGTTTGGGTTGCATGGCTACATGTATTTAGTAGCGGGTAGCCAATGATCTACCCTCAAAGATAAGCCTGAAGAATTTGTACGTTCATATTCTTTGTTGCATGCTGTGGTTGAATCGCGCCTTTGCAACAACACGTTGAGAATATGGGCCCCGGGGAGCAAGCTGGATTATCAAAGACTCGAGGGTATAAAAATTTGGTACTGGGGGTATCATGCCGCTTTGCAAATTGATTCGAATGACACATTGGATCATTGATCCTGAGTGTCTATTTCTTCGCGCTTGAGTAATTGGACTTTGCCCATGGTCAGGACTGGAAGTTCTGCGCCAGCGTTGGCCTCCATCAACTCACTAGCCAGCTCTTTGGCTATCGACTTGTCATAACTGGTGGGATCAATGCCAAGAATCCCCCCGACATAGCCGCCTCGCTCACCAGGTACACTGAATTCGCGGAACAAGTAACGCCACTCATTCAACCATGCCTTGACAGCCTTGCCAATTTTATCTTTGCCATTCTTCGAATGGTGACCAGTCCCGGTAATAGCATACACTACCCGAAGACCTTCCCTGGCATGCTTGAGCAGAATCTTCTCAAGATATTCAATAGCCTCTTCTGGGTGAAGACCATGCAGGTCAACATAAAGTTCCTCGGAAGATCCATCAAGGCCTCTCTGTGAGAGATGTTGGTTGCGTTCTTCATAGAGCTGGCGAGCAGCCTCCCGATGACACCTGCGCATCGCATCGTTCTCGGCCTGACCGCGCAACGACAATGCCTTGGCAGCTCGTGCATCATTACGGTTCCATGCTTGGGCAGCACTAATGAATATTTGTCAGAAAAGAATATCTAATAAAATCAAGTTAGGTCAAGGCTTACCTCTGGAGGAACTTGTTTCGCACAGTCCCATGGCGAATAGCCTCAGTTCGATACTTTATATACTGTTGATTGGCCCGTGTACCAGTTTCCAACCAAGGGATATTCCTTGGGGCTGGAATCGACTGAGCTGCCGCACTGTTCTCACGGCCTTTCGTGTCCTTGTTTCTAGACCCGGACTTAGTTTTCCCTGGGATAGGAGATGGGGTCATGCGGACCACATCAGCTAGAGATGAAGGGATACTTTCTTTGGCCAAGCTTGTCTCGCGATTATTGTGACCTCCGCGCTTTCCATGATGCTTTTTACCAGTATTCTTCGCATTAACTGCGGCAAGAGTTGGGAAGGCATCTGGGTCGTCTACAGACGGTGCGGCAGGGTTCAACTCCCGATTTTGGTGACGACTGGACGGACGCGAATTGGGCCGTCCAAGGTGAGTCACGCTTCCATTTCTTTTCCCCATTCCGGGAAGTAGACCAGGAGGGGCATACTTGCTGGCTTGATAAGCAGAAAGATGATTAGGGTACCGGCCCGTGTATTGATTTGCCCATTGATCACCACTGTCAGCTGATTGCAGTGGTGGGAATGCATCCGAACCACTGTCTACCTGGAAAGGAGAGGGCGAGGCTGGTCGGCTACCATCCGTGAGACTCAGATTGCCAATAAGCGCTGAAGGGTCATGTGAAAAGGGGCAGCCATCACCGGCTAAGCAGTTCCCCATAACCCAATACCTGGTGGGATTTGTTAGCCCGAGAACGATACATTTCGTCAGTGTGAAAGCACTTACTTGCAAAGATGTGTGGTCAAGTCATGGCTGAAGCGGCAGTCCGCTCGAAGGCATTGTCCAGTAGACAGCCAGTACTTACAGACCACGGGGCTGCGACCGCTGTTCAGTGGTGTGACTGGGCGAACTTGCTCCATTGTCATAGACTTGCCAACCAAAACACGACCGTCATCTTGTTGTTTTGAAATTGCTTCAGATTCTATATCTTGCGAGAGGGAGGCAATGGTGGCACCAAGATCATAACTGTTGGCCTCTAGTGCGGCTTCTATCTCATCATTTGATCGCTTGTCTCCGAGTACTGTCCGCAAGATGTCATGTGGGCTCATATCTGGAACAAATTCAACCGCAGTGGCGCTGAGTGCTCCGGGGGTGCTGAGACCGCCTGCGGACGACGTTGTGCTGTTTGCATCATCTGCGACTAACCAGTCGACATTGTTATCGCCTCCAAGGTCTCCATAGAAGTCAGAAAGTTGACTTTGGTCTGAGAACTCATAGGCATTTAGGCTTGGGGAATGAGGAATAGGCTGCGCAAGAGCAAGCCGGGGTGATGGACGTGGGGAAGTAAATGGAGAGACAGTTGAGGATAGCGGAGGCCGTGTGAATGGTCCGCGGGAGCTTTGCATCCACGAGGTACTCCCCGGACTTGTTCCTAAAGTAGAGTGGGGGGATAGCGGTGTGGATGAGCGAGCCATTTGCCATGGCGCAGGCGACGAGCGACGAATCACAACAGGCCGCACTGGGGGTGATGAATCTGGTAGATTGCGGTTGCGATGGCGCCAGAGAATGTCCAACACCGCATTCTCCAGAGGTGGCCCCGACAAAGACGTGTTCGCGCGCAAGAAGTCCTCCACTTTCTCTACTTGCTCTTCCTCATCCAGTGCCTGATCCTGCAGGATTTGGAGACATTTCTCGAGAAGTTCGTCAGAAACCATGATGTAGGTTGTGATGTGTGTGTGTATGCGCGGACGAAGGGAATCCAGGCATACGCTGAGATCGTTGCGGGGAGGATGTTGGGATCCTGGAAGGGGCGACTATATGCAGCCGTACTGAGAAAGTTGATTCTTGATGAAAGTAAAGTAGAGGTGAGAATCAGAGATGCGACACGCTCTGTAAGTCCAAATGAATTTCAAGGTTCGTAACTGAGGGCTGATAGGGGGGTTTCAAAGTGGCAGCGCAAGGTGAGTGTCGCGAGAGGGATAAATAATGAGGAAATGGGAATTACATCGCATCGCCAGCCATCGACCCTCCGATCGACTTTGCGAACAATGAAAGTGAAAAGAAAGGGTGGTGGAAGTGCAGAGGTGTACAAACAAAGAGGGGGAGGCGGAGAAGGAGATCAACACTGGGGGCACAACAGCTTATCGGCTACAGAGTAGTTGAGCTTCAAATCGTCGGGGTAGGACAAGTGCCATATTAATTATCGTGCAAATTATAGGAATCGGAAGCAGGAATCCAGTATAGCTCAGATAAATTATTGAGATTCCCATATATCATCTGGACAATGCTGAATTGCCTAGTTCTCAAGCGTAGGGGAACTGGTATACCGTCAGGGTGAGCATATCTCTAGAATAGGAGACCAAAAATCAAGATTTGTACAGAGCAGTACTCTGTACAGAAGAGTGAGATAGCTCTTGTAGTACAACATCAAATCAGATTGGCAGTTATGACATCCCAATCGAGACACGAACAGGACATGTAGATCAGTCAACATCCGAGTCCGGCGGATCCGCTGACTTGCAATCTGGACTTTCAGGGCCAAACTGATTTTCAGCCCAAAAAAAGCTGCCTATTCCGCCATCAATCTCCATGTTTAGTCCAACAGGGCTTTTACACGCCCTTGAACCTTCTTCGCATATCTGCCCTTTGTTCCCCCGTGCATAGCGCCGATCGCTTTGGAGCGGTTCATCCCCTCCCCGGATTCGATCATTCTATCATCATTGATATCGGGATCCTTCATATTTCATAATGCCTGCGGACTATGAGTCCACGGCCAGGGCATTGTCCCTCTCGCCTTCTTCTCCGGACCCTATACCTTCATCCCCTGGCAGCGATGTTCATCCCCCTTGGAGTCGCGCCGGCAGGCGGAACTCTGGTTGGTCGAGCGGGCAGGCGAGCTATCGCGAACAGATCATCCACCGTGGCACAGAGCTGTATCACCGCATGAATAAGATATGGGCAGAAATGCCCCTCTGGAAGAAAATCGGGACCATCTTGGCTTGCTTGTCCGTGGGCGCGTTGGGTATTGGGTTCATGGTGTTAACTGGAAAGCTGTTTATCTGGCTTGGCCCGGTCGCGGAGAAGTGGGAGACCTCCTGGTTAGCTGCCTTTATTCTGTGGCTGTGCGTCTTTTTCGTCTCATTCCCGCCTCTCGTGGGATGGTCGACATTTGGAACCGTGGCGGGGTTTATATTTGGTGTATGGCAAGGGTAAGAGCCGCATCTTATTTTCCCAAGACCGACGAAACGCTAACTCAACATGTCTTCTTTTATAGATGGCTAATTTACGCTTCTGCCACAATTCTCGGATCAACTGTCTCATTTTATGTTTCGCGGACAGTTTTGTCTGGATTCGTACATCGCCTGATGGAACGCGACAAAAGATTCGCCGCATTGGCCCTGACATTGAAGTATGACGGGCTCAAGCTCCTTTGCATGATCCGTTTATGCCCATTGCCTTACTCAATCTGCAATGGAGCCGTATCCACATTTCCTACAGTGCAGCCACTGATGTATGGACTTGCCACGGCCATCATCTCTCCCAAACTGTTGATTCCTGCATTCATTGGGAGTCGGATACGTCTGCTCTCCGAAAAGGGGGAAGAGATGAGTGCGGGATCCAAAGCTGTGAATATCTGCAGTATTGTCCTAACAGTCTGTGTTGGAGTCTTTACCGGGTGGTATATTTACCAAAGGTTTGACCCCTCCGAGTCTATCCATTCTCAATGTCTCAGGAAGCCGATGCTAATTTGTTCTTTCTCCCCTTTTAGAACCTTAGTTCGTGCAAAGGAACTCGAAGCCCAAGAGCGTGCAGATATCCGAGACTCCCTGGAAGCTGATCATGCAGCGCACCGCCCTCATCGTGCGTTTTCAGAGGATCCTGATGTGAATGAAGCTGCCACTACGCTGGCCAGAGACGAAGAAGAGCGGATTGGATTCACTGATCTAGACGAGGACAACGTTGACCTGGTTTTGGGCGACAGTGATAGTGACCAGCCGGGTCCTTGGAAGAATTCGACCAGACGACCGTATCACGATGAGTTCACTGATAATGATTCAGACGGCTTCGCAGGAGATGATGAGTCATATAATTTGCACACTCATGTTCAAAACTAAGACCATAAACCAAGAAATGAAATAGACATGATCTTGTAACGTGAAGAAATAGAGAAAGCCGTTGACGCTGAACTCCGTGCCGCAACCTGCCGGACTGAGAAATACGCCCCGCTCCGAGGAATCAAGCCACAAGGGTTTTTCTACTCTTGTCATCGTCCCTTCATCAAGTCTCGCAGTTCAATTACAATTGTTCCGAAATACGTCTGTTCTAATTGATGGAAAGCCTTAATCGCATTCTTACGGGGTTTCGTGGGAAGGGGTGAATTCGATGTATGTCCTGATGCGTGCTTCCTCGGTCTTCTTCATCTATCAGCTCTCATACTCCTTCGCTTTTTGTCGTACATCTTGTCTAATACAATATCAGTTGATTCATTCAGCCACTGCCAGCGATCTTTCGGCTTGCGCAAATCGAATTCCTATGCGGACCGTATTATGGGCGCCTGAATATCTGATATCCACGCATTCTCTGGAATAAGACTGTGAACGACCGCACATCCTTGAGTCAGAACTGTGATTCTCTTGGGAGCTTTCTGCATTTCCTCTTGTGATCTTTCTTTCTTTCTTTTTTCTATTTTCCTACTTTTTTGAAAGTCCTCGATACAATCGTTTGAAGGCCATCAAACTGCAGATACCCGGTATGAACATGCATGGTGCGAGATCCATGGAGTTTCAGGCGGCCGGAATTTCCCCGGGCCAAGACCCATACATGCATCAATATGTCCCAAATCCAGAGATACCGGTGCAAGGTCAAGAACATGTTCTATCACAACCGAATGAACTATCTGAACCACCCGCGAAGCGGCTACGGATCACGCATAAGGCTTACGAAACAGCTTCGGCCTCATTCGCCGTGGGAGATCTAGGACACAGTGATCCCAGGTCACAGACTTTCATGTCTGATGGATCACACATGGTTAGTTCAGCGGATAATTTATATGCCGCTGGTAGCAGCAGTACCCCGAATGAATCGACGACCTCAACCGACTTAACATCTTCATTTGAACCAAAGACGTCGACATCGCCTGCTCCAAACCCTCTACAGTCTCTTCCCTCACAATCAGTTGCTTTTGGACCGAATGTGCTCGACAGCGGAAAAGTTGATTTATCTAAATGTCGACCTCGGTCATCCATCCCATCTAAAATCCACCCATCAGTCTATGGCGAGCAGTGTGTTAAAGCGGCGTATGCCTCCAGGTTGAATCCATATGCTCTCCACCGACAAGAACAAGAGTTCTTGCAAGATCATCTTTGCCACGTTCACGTCACAATCTACCTCAATATCCGAAATGGAATACTGCTACTCTGGGGAAGAAATCCTATGGTTGCTGTCACCAGGGAAGAAGCACTAGGATGTGCTAAAGATTATCGATGGATGAATTTGGCTTCTTTTGCTTATGACTGGCTTGCGCGGAATGGCTACATCAATCACGGCTGCATGGAGGCTCCATTGGCTCCAGTGAAACCGAAACGCGGAAGACGCAAGGACGGACCTACAATCGTTGTAATTGGTGCTGGCATGGCCGGTCTGGGATGTGCACGTCAATTAGAGGGTCTTTTCCGCCAGTATCGTGACTCGAATACCTTGCCTCGGGTAATTGTCCTTGAGGGACGCCGAAGGGTTGGCGGACGCATTTACTCACACCCACTAACCAGTCTCAAATCGGGAAACCTACCTAATGGACTTGTCCCTAAGGCAGAGATGGGTGCTCAGATTATTGTCGGCTTCGATCATGGTAACCCGCTAGACCAGATAGTTCGTGGCCAGCTGGCACTACACTACCACAAGATACGCGATGTTTCGACGATTTATGATATTGACGGATCACCTGTCAACGAAGTGCAGGATGCGATGGCCGAAAAGCTCTACAATGATGTCCTTGATCGAACCGGATTCTATCGTCACAAAGCACAAATTGTGCCAACTGCGGAGGGCAATCGCGAAATGATCGATGCCGGCCGTGAATCGGTGGTAGATGATGGGCTTACTGTCCGACAGTATGAAGAGGCAAGAGCAGCTGGAACTATCGATTTATTGGTCCCCACCAAGAGAGTTCGACGAGGAATAAAGCACAAGACCGCAGAGAATGAACCATCCGTCCAGGTGGCGAGTGATCTAGTGGGTAATTCTGACGACGATCCGGCAGCCTTGACTTGCCAAAATACCGGATGGAAGCTCAATCCCGGTTACTCGGTGAACGATACCATTGAGTTGGACCATATTGCCAAAGCATCTCAGGCGCAGACACTCGGTGCAGTTATGGACGACGGTATCAAACAATACCAACGGATGCTTCCAGTGACGGCTAAAGATATGCGGTTGATGAACTGGCATTTCGCTAACCTCGAGTACGCCAATGCGACTAATATCAACAAACTGAGCTTACCGGGATGGGACCAAGACATCGGAAACGAGTTCGAGGGTGAACATTCCCAGGTTATTGGTGGTTACCAACAGTTGCCATACGGGCTGTACATGCTTCCAGAAAAGCTTGATGTCCGCACTGGCAAGATCGTGACTAATATTTCTTACGATACAACTGGCAAGAAACAGAAGGCAGTGATCCAGTGCGAGGACGGAGACAAGGTTCTAGCCGATCATGTTGTGTTCACCGGCTCCCTTGGAGTCCTGAAGCAACAGAAAATCAATTTCGAGCCTCCTCTTCCTGACTGGAAGCGTGGCGCAATTGATAGACTAGGGTTTGGAATAATGAACAAGGTTGTGTTGGTGTTCCAAGAGCCATTTTGGGACACCCAGCGTGACATGTTTGGCTTGCTCCGTGAGCCGAAGAACCCTGCCACCATGATACAAGAAGAATATGCGGCGAACCGCGGCCGTTTCTATCTGTTTTGGAATGTCATGAAGACAACCGGGCTTCCATGCCTGATCGCCCTCATGGCTGGCGATGCAGCCCATCAAGCAGAAAACACCCCCGACGAAGAGATAATCACAGAAGTCACTGGCCAACTCCGAAATGTCTTCAAACACACTACAATCCCCGATCCCCTCGAAACTATTATCACCCGCTGGGGCCAAGACCCATTCACATACGGCAGCTATTCCTACGTAGCCGCAGCAGCCTTCCCAGACGACTACGACCTAATGGCCCGATCAATCGGCAACCTTCACTTCGCCGGCGAAGCCACCTGCGGCACCCACCCAGCAACCGTCCACGGAGCATACCTCTCAGGACTCCGTGCCGCAGCAGAAATAATCGAACCCGTCTCCGGGCCCATAATAATGCCTCACCCACTAGTGCCCGAGAAATCAAAAGCAACAAGAAGCAAATCGACCACACCAAGCGGCTCAACCAGAAAACCCAGAAGAAGAGGCACCTCGTCCCTCTCTTCCACCGAACCCCCATCCACTAACCCCAAGCCCGCCTCAACCTCCACCTCCCGCAAACCAATGACAAACGAAAAATCCCGCCGCGACGCATACGACCAAGCCCTGTGGACAACTATCTACGGCGAACTCGGCGCCGCACCCCCTCGCCCCGCAAAATCAGGCTTAAACCCCTTCCTCTTCTACCAAAAGGACTACTGGACCCTCTGCCGGGAACAATGCGACGCAGCCCGTCGCGCATCATCCAACAACCCCAACGCCAAAGCTCCACGCGACGATATCCGCGCCGCGCTGGGCCAGATGTGGCGCACGGCAACAGACACCACGAAACAGCCCTATCTCGACAAAGTGGAAGAGAACCGTCGTGCCAACGCCGAGGCGTGGGAAAAGTGGAAAGTCGATGTTGCCGAGTGGGAGCGCAAGACATTCATCGTTAAGGACCGCTGGTGTGCGGAGAATCCGTTCGATGGATGGGTTGTGCCGGATTATCTGGCTGAAGGGGCGCCGGTGCCTGTGCTTGCTACTGCGTTTGCGAACGTGCCTGTGAAGACGGAGAAATAAATTGAGAAAACCGGTGTGCATTTACCTGGCGTGTTCCTGGCGTTGGGTCAATTGGTTCAGACCATGGCTAAGCAGAAGGTAATTCGTCTCTATGGAGATGGTTTTGTCACGAGTATTTGTTGAGATGTATTGATATGAATGAAACCATTTTTAATATTAATTGCCATTGTGTCGATAATTATTGTAGGTGAAATAGAGACATGCAGGGTAGTATGAGAAACTCTCACTGTCTTCTATTTCTATCTTGAGAGGTATAGGCTCCCTCAGAGCACCAGATGATACGAAGTTGATTTTCCGAGGTCCTCTTCCATCAGAAATGGAAGGAATAAAAGCAGGGAATTTAAAAAAAAGACACAACCCCACCAATATATGGACGGGGAATTTATGAATTTGAGATATCGCATAACACAAATATAAGTCTAGGAGGATATAAGTCTAGAAGAATCCTCGATACATGGGCCAAAAACCATGTTTCGTGTATCAAAAAATCGGGAGATAAGGCAGAAGGGCGAGAGAAGGGAGGGAAATGCATTTAGAGAACGGGCTTGGCCTCCTCGTGAGTTTCGGACTCAGAAAGGAACTTCTCGGCCTCGAGAGCGGCAACACAGCCAGATCCTAGATATTCAGGTCAGCAAACTATTACTATAATGGAAATGTTGGAGCGTAGGACATACCGGCACTGGTGATAGCCTGGCGGTAGCGCTTATCCTGAACATCACCGCAGGCGAAGACACCCTCGACGTTGGTGAAGCTGGTACCGGGCTTGGTAACAATGTATCCCTCATCATCGAGCTCGACCTGGCCCTTGACAAGGGCGTTGGCGGGGTCGTGGCCAACAGCGTAGAAGAGACCGTTGGCATCAACAACCTCCTCCTCGTTGGAGACAACGTTCTTGACACGCAGGTGGGTCATGAGGCCGTTAGGCTTGTTCTCACCGAGAACCTCAGTGGCGACGGTGTTGAAGCGGACCTTGCACTTGGGGTGGGAGAGCAGACGATCAGCCATGACCTTGGAGGCACGCAGCTTGTCCTTGCGGACGAGGACAGTCACGCTGCTGCCGTACTTGGCCAGGAACATGGCCTCCTCGGCGGCGGAGTCACCACCACCAATGACGTACAAAGGCTTGTTGCGGAAGATGGGGACGGCACCGTCGCAGACGGCGCAGGCGCTGATACCGTTCTGCCAGAAGGTCTCCTCGCCGGGAAGGTTCAGGCGGCGGGCGTTGGCACCTGTGGCAATGATGACGGCGTCCGCAGTGCGGACGGGCTCGCTGCCCTCGTCGTCGTTCCACTCCGTCCACATCTTGAATGGCCGGGAAGAGAGATCCAGCTTGGAGATGGTCTCGGTGATGATCTCGGTGCCGAAGCGTTCGGACTGTGCGCGCATGTTGTCCATGAGCTCGGCGCCGCCGATGCCGTTGGGGAATCCGGGGAAGTTCTCAACGTCGGTGGTGGTAGTGAGCTGGCCACCGGCGGCGGTGCCATTGGCGAGCATGCCCTCGTAGAGGACGGGCTGGAGCTCGGCGCGAGAGAGATAGATAGCGGCAGTGTGCGCACCAGGGCCGGAGCCGATAACTGTGGGGGGGCAACTGGTTAGGATGCTGATCTTGGTAAATTTGGGGTAGGCCGGATTATTCAATCCCTTCGAGAAACGACTCACTAACTACTTTAGAGTGCACCATTCTGGCGGTGTTTGTGCAATTGACGCGCGAGGGCGTCGGAAGTTTAGAGAAGACCGAGGCCGAAGGAGGGGACTGTGAGTGAACGGTAGTGGCTGCGGCAGCAGTTAATCCAATGGATCGAAGGGAGGGAAAACGACGGAAGGCGGAGGAAAACAGCTTGAAGGTGTTTCTTGAAAGTGAGGGAGAAAAGAAGAGGGGGGAGAGTTATAATATCTTTTCTCGGAGGGGCAGTGGGGACCAAGAAGGATTAGGTGACGAGTGATTGATAAATCGGCACTGAGATCAAAGAGACTGGGCCCAAACAGGGTGATACGATTGGATTCTTTTTCTTTCCGAGGTTTCCAGACCACACGAGCTTAGATATGCTTTCTTTCCTTTCAATGCCTGAATGCGCACCCTCAATGCGGCTTTCTAAGCATCTCTCACGTGAGCGAGTCGAGACCGCTGATGTAATGCCATCAGATCACCTGCCGAGACGCTTGTTCCGGGCCGAACTCCTTATACTCCACGGCTTCACTTCATACGCACTCGATGTTGGTCTGAACTCGCTGATATTAGGGGAATCATTTATCAATGGGACAAAATAGCAAATATCCAAGTCATAAAATCCATACAAATCGTGAGATCGCAAACGTAAAAGTCATAGCTAACGTCAAATATCGCGCTGATGTACACTAGATCACGCCGAACCACTTTTTCCGTGGACGGCCATGCTGTTCAGCATCTGTAGAGTGCTCAGCCATCATATGCGGCGGTAGGCGTTGAGGAACCTCGCCCTCAGAATCCTCATCCTCGCTCCCAGGATATCCCTCATAGTGTGGTTGAGGATGGCTAGTGACGGCGTTCGCACGGGTATTATTGATAAGGTCATGGTCCTCATAATCATCTTGGTCTTCGTCATCGGTGAAGTCTTCTTCGGCTTCAGATTGTGTTTTGGCTCCTCTATTCTTCTTGCGGCGGGGCAGGAACTTTTTCCAGCCTTTGACGATCTGTGTTGGAGGCGGGTCATATTCGGTTCCACTGAAGTGCAGTGCTGGCACAAGCAACTTGTAGGGTGTGGTAACACCCGATGGGTCTTGTGGGCTGATCTCCAGGTTCAATGTAATGGCTAGTCCACCTTCGAGGTTGATGTAGGCGCCTGCACCATCATTGCCCTGCTTGGCGGCTTTCTTCGCTGCCTTTTGACTGAGATTCGTTGGTCGGCGGTGGAAACTACCGGGTCCTGGAGGGGCAGCGGGGCCTGGGAAATAACTGTCCGCGCTCTCGTGGGGTTGAGTATGGCCGTCAACGCTCGCACGTCGATAGAAATCGTCCTCGTCACCTCGGCTGAAACTCATAGTCCTCGTTGGAGGTGGCCCACGGGTGGAAAGGCGTCTGAGAATTCCAGACTTGCCAGTAGACCCTTTATCCCCCTTATCCCCACGACCCAGCGACAATGTTCGCTGCAACTTATTGGGCCGAGGCTCTGGTACTTCGGTCATTTCCGACTCAGGCGTTTCGGGTGGAGTAGATCCGGGCTTATACTCCCGGATCGAACACCAGTTTCGCCGAGGCAGCAAGCGTTTGTTATTTCGGGGCTTGCCGTTGACATCCTGGGTAAAGATGGGGATAACATCCTCGTCTGTGTTCGAATCCATGTGGTGGATGGTATTCCGTTTGTTGAGCATATCCGAAACCAGATCGGTTTCTGGAATATCTGCGATAGCGGAAGAAATGACATTCGGCATGTACCGATAATCCTGGTCTTTAGGGATATCCAACTTGGGATTCGAATAGAATTGTCCAACTGCGGCCAGGTGGACATCGCCACTGCAAGATGGAGTTAGCTTTTGTCTGGCGTTTCGGATCGCCTTTGAGCAGCAAATTCCTCGGTCTTACCTGAGTATTGTGACTCGAATGGATTTCTCCGCAGCCAAATCCTGAAGATCTTCAACCAACCATGTCCGTTCGGATTTGAGGTGCTTGCCAGCCCAGTAGTCATCAAAGACTGCAGCCTTGCCGAGAGATTTGCGGCTGTTTGTGAACTTGCGGAGCATTGCCTAGGGTTTGGGTTAGGCTTGGGTTTGAACAGAGACAAAAAATATACGAATTACGTACCACTCGTGGATAAGCAACAGGCACACTTGAAAGCACAATCAAGTGCTTTGTCTCTTCCTTCATAATCTCGCTGTGACAGCGATCCCACAATAAGTCACATGTCTCTTCGCTAAGGACCTCATTAGTCTGTAAGAACATGTTAGCACAATCCAAAAGTCAGGAAACAGGAGAAATCATACTCGGCGCTCAGTGCGGCAGTCAAGTCCCAAGAACGAAATACCATGGCCAAGAGACATGAACAGATTTCGGCTTCTCTGTTCAATATACGGACCAGGGTGAGCACCGAGAAGCCAACTGGGTTCATCCATCTCGGTCTCGTCCGGCACACTGTGATGCTGGAACAGCAAATAATACTTGAACGCAATCTTTCCAATTCCAGAAATAACGGGACTCTGCATGAAATCATCATGATAAGAGCCAAATCCTTCAAAGATCTCATGATCATTCCAAATGTTGATCATGGGAATTTGGGAGTTCGCCAACGAGAACAGACCCTGTGAAAACCATGCAGCATAGCGCTCAAGATAAAACATCTCCAACTCAGCACGGAACTCAGGGGTGAATGGCGTCCCGTATTTGTCCGCCGCATTTTTGATCTTGAGCCATTCTTGGAAAAACGTCGACTCTGTGATAACAGAGTCGTTGAAGATCTGATCACCTCCACCAATCATCACATGGAATGGACGAGTCTGGTGCTCATTGAGAATATCTCGCCAAAGAGGGTCAGGGCCACAGACTTTGTCAGAGTCCGCAGAGGGGCTGAACCCATTACCACTGTGGAACATGATGTTCATTGACTCGCCAGCTGCGGGAACCCAGAATCCCAAAGCAGGTCCTTGGTTAATGCGATAGGCAATTCGCTGCTGCGTTGGGCTAAGCTCAATCTCCAGATTGAATCTCCAGAAGGTGACGTCTCTTGCGGCGTCTGCATATAGACGGGCGCCCGGAATATCTCGGTGCAGACTCGCCGTTTCACCGTCGACGGCATGCATCCGATTGGAAGGCATAGGCTGTTTGATGCCTTCACTGGTATAGTCAACCATACTCGGTGAGAGCTCGTAGATACCATCGTCGTTCTCAATAAAAGAGAGGTCGACTTGCTCCTCGAGATGTTCGACTGGCTTGACGTAAAGGGGACGTCCATCACGACCAACTTTCATGAGCCCCGCTGTTGGGTCAACATATTCGGGAGCCAGTTGCATTCCATCTTCATGACTGATCTCCACGGGTGGGGGAGGGAGAAGATCCATCGGCTGAGAGAATAGTCTCAGTGTAGGTGGAGTGTCGTAAGAGGAGCGAGAATCTTTTGTGACTATCATTATAGATCCTCGCCATATGTCTTTGTCAATAGGGCCACTGGCTCCATCAATTCTGACTTGTCTGATACCTGTGTATCGTAGCAAAGGACCACATCGCAAGAATAGACTGGGTTGGAAGTTCTTGTGCTCGGTCACTCCTGGTGATTGTTAGTCAATTCGGTTCGGATTTCGTAACAATTAAGGGTTCTCAAGAAATGAGGTGGCAAACAATCTTACCTGTCAACTTCTGAGCAGGAGACTTATAGTTCTTAGGTAAAGCCCTACTCTTCCTGCGATCTTTGTTACCACCACCCTCCCACCATGCTTTGCTACGCTCCATATCAAAGTGTTGGAAATCGAAGTCGGGGGCCGCAAGCCGAGCAGGATGCGCATTCCTCCACTCAAAGACAGGTGGGGGTGTGGGAGGCGGTACATCGAAAGACACAGATGCTTTCTTTGGCTTGACTTGTGACTCGGCACTATCTTGGGGCGTACGAGGTGCTGTCAAAAGTTCACCGGTTGTCTCTGCTCTCAATGCGGGAGGAACCTGCATAGCTCGAGGGCCTGCTTGAGACATCGAGCGACTGTGGCTGATATTGCTGGCAGGATGCGGCCTTGCTGCAGGTCCGCTCACCGTAACCGATCGTCTTGGCACATTGCCAATCTTGGCGGATGATGGGATAGCGGCTTGTGCGCGTGTAAATTGGGAATCATCGGGGCGCTGGATGGCTGGGTACCGAGAATCTGTAGGAACCGTGCTGTTGTGACGCGCAGCCGTGCTTCCAGGTTGTCGCTGCGGTGGTGCTGCCGCATGTCCGTTTCGCATGCCATTTCCCACTGGAGGATCCCTCTGTTCGCTTCTTCTTCTCGTTGCGCCGGAGGATGGTTGGATTTCTGGTTGGCCCCGTTTTGCTGATGCCTCACGAGCCACTGCTGCCATCAATTGAGCTTTCTCCTGCTCGGCTTTCTTGCGCGCGATGCGCTCTCGGGCTTTCATTTCCGCCTCTTGGACTCGCGCCCGCTTCTCTTCCTTGCTGATTCCAGTCAAAGTAACTTCCAACTTTTGAAGAGGGGATCGGTCTGATGCCCAGTCTCGTTGTGAATGACTGGCCGAGGTAGAACGCGTGGTGTTCGACCGAGTCGGAGACGAAGAGACACCCGGCGCAGGTGGTTGAATCTGAATTTCCGGCATGGCTGCGCTGGATTTGGGAGGATAGGACGCTGGTGGAAGACCTCGCGGTGTGGTAGATTCCTCTGATGGCTCTGAGGCTGAGAAAGGAAGTGGTTTGCGGGTGGTATAATTCAAACTCCCCTCGGGCTGGTCTCGGGTTCTGGCTGAGGACGGCCTGGTATGAGGTGTCTTCGGGTCATAGTCTGTCTCGTTCTCATAGCCTTCTACGTTAGAGGCATTGGCGTTTTTGCGATTGCGCCTTCCAGAATCTCTTTGCGCTCCGTTGGCGGCGTGAGGGTTGGAGCTGCCATTTGCTAGATCAGGCGATCCGCGCATTGTTATGGCAGCCATGATGCTGTGTATTTGCGCCCAAGCTCAAAGTGATAAGTGTCGTAGATAGGGCGCCAAGTATGTGCAGTTTCAAATTCAGCTGGAACAAATATCGTTAATGTCGGTCTCGAAAGCAACCCGAGCAAATTTGGCAGAATTGCTGTATGCAGGTTTTCTCGAAATAGACGAAACGGTTTCGATGCGACTGATGCCTAACGCAGGGTCATTGCACCAGGGGCCGAGCTGATTGGCACCGACAAGCCAAATTGAGGGGGGATAGGACCAGTGACAGGGCGGTTCGTATAAATGCAGTTAAATATGAGGAACGGGCCTCAAAAATAGGGACATGGAATGAGGAAGTGAGAGAAAGAAGTCAGAGATTTTAATAAAACATAGCAAACCACAAGAAGGGTCTATACATCCGATATCCCGGTGGCTGGTATCCCCAGCCTTCGCGCGGGGCCATTGTCATACGAAGGCTTTGGTAAGGAGCCAAGGAGAATCAGCAATAGTTCATGTACGGAGTATGGAGTACATCATCAGAGCAAATGAGACCCGTTTGGGGGAAATCCGGACATTTCGAATGGAATTGATAGAAATTAAGCATATATAGCAAACTTAGGACAGCGGGTATTGGAATGAGCTATTGTTAGACTTACATGTCCACTCTCTCTGTCTACTCCGTAGTGCTACCTTCAACGTACCTCCATCGCAGTATTCCATTGGGCATCAAGGTTCCCCCAGGAGTTGTCTCTACAAGATTTAGATATCCCTAGAGAGTACGGTATACTCCGTAGGTGCCCCCATGGCTCTACCTGACGATTGTATACATTTGATTTCGGTCGATTTGGGACTTGGGTTGCCGCTTTTACCCAACATCCACGTTGGGCGTAAATCTCAGTCCGCAAATACGCCCAACGTCCCCCGTGAGACACGCCGAGTCCCAAAAGCGGCAGGGGCTCCAAACAGAAAGAGAATGCCAAGCAATCCACGATGTCCCTGCAAGGACACTCCGAGACTATTCACCTCCTGCAGTTGATGGGAATAGCCCAATAGCTCATGAGAGGTCATCAAAGTATTCCCAGGTACGGAGTACGGAGTACGGAGTACACGGAGTACTCGACGTTCAAAGTATTTCCTATCAACTGTGGCTGTCCTGACGATCCTATGGACCTTCCCCGGAGCCCGCAGTCTGCAATACGTAACCTAGATAAGCCACCTGCGCACCTATGTTGTAGGTAGATATTGAAGACCCGTGGCCTTAGAGCGCTTGAAGGCTTCTTTAATATTTGATGAATAAAGAAAACATAGGAAAATATACCTCAAGGTGCCTACCACATAGGTACCTCCATGCTAAGTCTCAAAGCTCAATAGACAGCTCAATAAGATCTGCCGTGTGGGTAGCTGTGGACGATCCTCCTATCTCGCCTGGGAACCCAGTGTCTCTTACTCCCAACTTCCTCATAACAACTATTGGAGGCATATTTATTTTACGAGGGCATCTTTCCTTCTCGTTCACCTCGACCATATTCATCTGCCGAGTCGCCATCCAACGGCCCGGAACCATCGATGGCACCCGCCTAATACGTCCCCTCGATCCCCAACGTGAAGCCACCTTCCCTTTCTCCCTTGATTCGAATTGATCCCTCATCATGCGCATTGTCGGTGGGATTACCGCCACCCTGGGCCTTATAGGGGCAGTCTCCGCAAACTTACACGCTCGCCCCCAAGAAACCCGCGACTTCATCGCCCTCCACCTTGACGATACCACATCTCCTTCCCACATCGCACAAGTTCTAGGTGCACGCCATGAAGGTCAGATCGGACAACTAGAAGGCCACCATTCTTTTTCTTTCCCACGGGAACAGTCAGCACAGTTTGATACCCTGTTGGATGATTTGCGGGCAAAGAGGAAGCTCCGGCGGCGGTCCGATGGAATCACCTCGCGCGAAACAAGTGACGATCCCTTAGACCGAATTCTGTGGTCGCATAAAATCGCTTCACCTACACAACGGTTGTATAAACGACTTCCGCCCGTCTCCGTGCCCTATAAATCGCTGGAGAAGAGAAAGCAGAATGCGCAGGTCGTTGCCTTCCAGAAAAAGGCTATGTCATCTCTGGGGATCAGTGACCCGATCTTCACAGACCAATGGCACCTTCTCAACACGATTGAAACTGGACACGATCTCAATGTGACAGGGCTCTGGTTGGAGGGTATCACTGGCAAGGGCGTTGTTACTGCAGTTGTCGACGACGGATTGGACATGAACAGCAACGATCTCAAGCCCAATTACTTTCCAGAGGGCTCCTGGGATTTCAACTCACAGGGACCAAATCCCTTCCCTGTTTTGCCTGAAGACAGACATGGCACTCGATGTTGTGGCGAGATCGCGGCGGCGAAGAACGATGTTTGTGGAGTTGGTGTCGCGTATGACAGCAAAATAGCTGGAGTGCGGATGTTGTCTGCACCTGTCAGTGATGTCGATGAGGCTCGTGCTATTGCATTTGCCTACCAGAAGAATGATATATATTCATGTTCATGGGGCCCCATGGACGATGGCACCACTATGGAAGGGCCGGGAATCCTGATCAAACGAGCTATGGCTGACGCCGTGGAAAACGGCAGAGGAGGCAAGGGCTCAATTTACGTCTTTGCCGCCGGTAATGGTGCAGAAAGTGGGGATAACTGTAACTTTGACGGGTACACCAACAGTATCTACAGTATTACAGTCGGTGCCATTGACCGGGAAGGATCACACCCGGCATACTCGGAGTCATGTTCGGCCCAGCTTGTGGTTGCCTACAGTAGTGGTGCAGGAGATGCCATTCACACTACCGACGTGGGCACTTCCAAGTGCTACAATGGTCATGGTGGCACTTCCGCGGCTGGTCCGTTGGCCGCAGGCAGCGTGGCACTCGCACTTAGCGTACGCCCAGAGCTGACTTGGCGTGATGTGCAACACTTGATGGTGGAAACAGCGGTTCCTGTGAGCGTGGACGACGGCAGCTGGCAGAACCTGCCATCTGGCCGCAAGTTCAGTCATGATTGGGGATTCGGAAAGGTCGACACCTATACCATGGTCCAGCTTGCTAAGACGTGGGATCTCGTGAAGCCACAAGCGTGGCTCCACTCGCCATGGCTGCGAGTACACCAAGATATCCCCCAGGGTGACCAGGGTCTGCTCAGTCGCTATACAGTAACAGCTGATCAAATGCAAAAAGCCAATATTGCCCGACTGGAACATGTTTCTGTGACGATGAATGTCAACCACACCCGCCGTGGCGATCTCAGTGTTGAATTACGCAGCCCTGCGGGAATCGTCAGCTATCTGAGTGTCTCACGCGCAGGTGATAAGGCGACTACTGGATATGTAGATTGGACTTTCATGTCTGTCGCTCATTGGTATGTGTTATTCTTCCGATTCGATGAGACATGCATCTGCTAACTTGTTTTTAGGGGTGAATCACCTGTGGGTGAGTGGTCGGTCATCGTGAAAGACGCCCAAGTCAATGATGACTCGGGCACATTCATTGATTGGCGACTCAATCTCTGGGCCGAGGCTGCGGATGGAACAAAGCAGAAGCCCCACCCCTTGCCCGAAGAGCACGAGAATGACCACCCCTATGAAGATGCTCATGTAGCCACGACTAGCGTTACGTCGGTTCCGATAAAGACCGGAGCCCCCGCAAACCCGGGTGACCAACATGACCGGCCCGTGAAGCCAAAGCCACAGCCAACACCCACGGAGCACACAGAGCCCACGGAGCCAACAAAGCCCACAGAGCCAACAAAGCCCACAGAGCCAACAAAGGCCGCGGAGCCAACAAAGGCCGCGGAACCAACAGAGATCACGAAGCCAGTGGAAGATGAGAAGGAGCCAACTAGCACCATCGGTAATGAAGCCCCCTCACCTTCCTCCTCTGGATCAGGCTATATATCCTCCTATCTCCCCACCTTTGGCGCTTCGAAGCGCACGCAGATCTGGATCTATGCATCGCTGTCTTTGATCATTGTATTTTTCATTGGACTCGGTGTCTACTTCCAGCTGCAGCGACTCAAGCGTCGTCGCACCACCGCTCACGACGACTACGAGTTTGAAATGATTGAAGATGAGGATGAGATGCAACCAATGACTGGAACATCTGGCCGGACACAGCGTCGCGGTGGCGAATTGTATAATGCATTTGCTGGCGAGAGCGACGAGGAAATGTTCAGTGATGATGACGAGCCATACCGTGATGGGTCAGCCAATATCCGGGAGAAGCCTAGTGAAGAGGGATCCTCCCAGGGTGGCGCCCATCAGGAAAAGCCTTAATCTAACTTCGACTACCTATCATTTTGCATTTTGCTTGGTGTTGTCAATATGCCCTGTTGATTTGGGTGATTGAACTTGGAGAATCATCGTTTACTGCGAATAGACGGGATGGCATTTGAGGGTTTGTTTGTATATCTATCATTTCTGGAGACTTCAAAAGCATGCTGTGCATACTACGAATAGACTGAACTATAACGTGTGTAATATATGTCAATAAAGCAATGTGACTGTAATAGGTATCAAGCTTGAAATAATATCTGCCCGTAATGTTGATCTTAATGCTTATAGCGATGACGACGTTCCGTTTCGGGGACTCCGCCTTGGGGCACCGCGATCATCGAACTCAGCTCCAACCTCCAAACATCCCCCTCCAGTCCACCTCTCTAGCTTTTTTCAATCTCTGTCACTCATTGCTTATATCGCCCCTGCAAATATTGGTTTTTGTTGACATAACTGGGGTCCGAACAACTATCAGTCGGTTGACCACGGCCGACCGACATAACCCCCACGATGGATCAACATGACGATTTCGACAGTGTTTCCTGGAAGCACGACCCGGATAGCGACATCTCACGGCCAACAACTGCAAGCACCGATGCTGCAGAACCTAGTGGCATTGAGCATGACTCCAATGGCAAGCGGAGAATGAGCTCCGCCCAAGAAGAGCCCCAGGCCGGCCCGCTTGCCGACGCCGTCGACCTAGCGGGCATCGGCGATGGCGTTCTTGAATGCCACGTTGACACTCCGCTCAAAGAAAATGACGGCACAAAAGACGCATATATCTCGTATCTGGTCACCACACATGTATGCGCATCTTTCCTTGACACACCGTCGGGGAGCAACTGCTGCCTAGACATGCTCGACATCTGTTAAAGAGACCATGGCTGACATATCTTAGACCGACTTCAAATCATTCCAGAAGCCCGATTTTACTGTTCGGCGGCGTTTCACCGATTTCTACTTTCTATACAAGACGCTCTATCGCGAATACCCAGCATGCGCGGTGCCGCCCCTCCCGGACAAGCACAAGATGGAGTACGTGCGGGGAGACCGCTTCGGCCCGGAGTTCACAACGCGACGGGCGTGGTCGCTGCATCGCTTTTTGAAACGCCTGGCGCTTCACCCGGTGCTTCGACGGGCTCCTCTTCTCACTATCTTCTTGGAGTCGCCAGACTGGAATGCACACATGCGCCTTCACTCAACACGGGTGTCCACACATACCGGATCGGATGGTCAGTCAACCGGGATCTTTGATAACTTCACCGATTCGTTCGTCAATGCTTTCTCTAAAGTGCACAAACCAGACCGGCGCTTTATCGAGGTCCGAGAGAAGGCCGATAAGCTAGATGAGGACCTATCGCATGTGGAAAAGACCGTGGCACGGGTCGCGCGGCGTGAATCTGATCTGGAGACAGACTATGCGGAGCTTGCGACGCAGTTCCGCAAACTCGTGCCATTAGAGCCTGCCGTTGAGATGCCGCTACAGGTCTTTGCGGCTTCGGTGGAAGAGACCGCGCGCGGGATGCGCAATCTGAAGGACCACACGGACCAGAATTACCTGGGATCGCTGCGCGACACTGAATCATACATCATGTCTCTCAAGTCCCTGTTGAAAACCCGCGAGCAAAAACAGCTTGATTTCGAGGCGTTGGTCGAATACCGCAACAAAGCTGTGACCGAACGTGACTCTCTAGCTGCAAACCCAGCAGCCTACTATGCCTCAAACCCGCTCACCTCCTCCCCAGCATCTTTCATTCGCTCCAAGATGGAAGACATGCGTGGCGTGGACCACGAACAGTCCCGTCGCGAGCGTGTGCGAAAGCTTGAGCTCCGCATTGACGAATTGACTCGCGAGGTTGAATCCGCCAAGACTACATCTGAGATGTTCGACGAGGAGGTTGTCCGCGAAGTTGCGGATTTCGAACGCATCAAGGCGGTCGAATTCCGAGATGGGCTTGGCTCCTTTGCCGATTCGCACATAGAGTTCTATCAAGGTGTGCTCTCCACATGGGAGCGGTTTATAGTAGAGATGGAGAGTGAAGTTGAGCCGGGACTCGACTCTGACGCGGCTGCGATTGGAGCCGTTTAATCATCTGGCTTTTTTGTTTGAGGCTGCTTGAATCCATGAACGGGATCGAGTTTGATATAGCAGTTCATGTCTGTTTGTTTCGCTAGCTTGTTCCGCGTTTCATACCCGCAATACCATCATACCTCACTTCCAAGGGTTTCCTTCAAATATGCACTCATTATATTATGTCCAAACTGGTAGAAAAACTACTACAAAACGTTGACTTCGTACGTTATGCGCAAGAGATCAAGGTTTAGAGAACTACTATGGGCACCCAAAATTACTACGGGCACCCAGGGCGCTAAGCCTTTTACGATTTACTTCCCACTGGCCATAATTTATTCACAGCTTGTCGTATTTAATATGGTACTCCCTTAGTATTTCGGACAGTACCCGAATCTTATCTGGGCACCCTATCAGTAATGTAGAATCTCGCACGCCATCTACACTACCATACAAAAATGAAGCTATTCCTAGATGCTGATTTAATCAAGTTTTTTCCTACTGAAAAAGGGTTTGGTGCAAAAATGAAGCTATTCCCAGATACTGATTTAATCAAGTTTTTTCCTACTAAAAAAGGGTTTAGTGCAAAAATGAGGCTATTCCTAGATGCTGATTTAATCAAGTTCTAGTGCAAAAATAGAGTTTTTTCCTACTGAAAAGGGGGTTTAGTGTAAAAATAAAGCTATTCCTAGATACTAATTTGATTAAGTTCTAGTGTAAAAATAGAGTTTTTTCCTACTAAAAAAGGGTTTAGTGCAAAAATGAAGCTATTCCTAGATACTAATTTAATTAAGTTTTTTCCTACTGAAAAAGGGTTTAGTGTAAAAATGAGGCTATTCGCAGATACTAATTTAATTAAGTTTTTTCCTACTAAAAAGGGGTTTAGTGCAAAAATAAGGCTATTCGTAGATACTAATTTAATCGAGTTTTTTCTTACCGAGAAAGGGGTTTAGGGAGATAGGGTTTGATCGGTTACGTGATCGTAAAATAGAGGCTATTTTTTAAAGATAGTGCTAATCGAGTTTTCTTACTATAGTTAAGATAGTATAGCTATTAACGCTAGTTTCCTACTATCCTATATAGTAAAACTTCTATCTTTAATAAGTCATTTCGACTAATTTTAGTTATATTTCTAATATATAAACTAGATATTAATATTATTAAGGGCCCCCTCTTCTACGTCTACGTCTACGTCTACGTCTACGTCCCCTTCCCCGCCTAGTTATAACACTACTAACTACGATCTAATTATTAGACTCCGTTATCTCCCCCTATATAGTCTAATTATTATTATACCTCCTACTAGCTATCCTCTACCGACCTAACCGACGAATAGCTACCTCCTTATCCCTTCGTATAATCTCGAATCGTAATAGCTTACGACGGGTTAAGCTCTTAAAACGTTAAGATACTCGTAATAATAAGATTATCTACTAAGATAACTACTAAGATAACTATTAAGATAACTATTAAGATAACTATTAAGATAACTATTAAGATAACTATTAAGATAACTACGGTAGGCGACTATACCCTCGTATAATATAAGGGTTTACTATACGGAGTTCTATTACCTAAGAGTGATTAATTATATTAGTATACGCTAGGTCTCGTTAGATCTAGTAGTAAGAGTAAAAGTCGGCCTAGGTAAGGCTCTTACCCCTTATCTAGGCCTCGTTAATATAGTAAATATATAGATACCCCTATATTAGTATTATAATACCTAAGTATAGTAATAGGATTAAAGGTTTCTCGTTATAGGATAGTAGATAATAATTAAATACTAATCGTACCTTTTTAATTATATAGTAAGTAACTAGCGTCTTAACTCCTATAAATAGAGGGCTACCGTTAATCTCCCGACTAGCTCTTTACGAGGCGAGCTCCTATTAGATCTTAATACTAAGACGCTTAGTTATATTTCCGAACTAGGTATAAAGAGCGAAGAGGTCCTTTATACCCGATTATATATTAAGTTTAAGGTAACGATAGGTAGATTCTACGCGGGATATAAAGCTTTTATTAAGATAGAGAAACCTATTAGTATAGTATTATAAAAAATAAGGACCGTAACCGCGGATCTATTCTTTATTAATATATATTAGTAGACCTAGATAGTGCTAATACTTATCCTTAAAGGTAGCCTACCGAGTCTCTATATTATTAACTATATACGCGAAGATAATAAAATACTAGTCCTTTTTTATTATTTCCTAATATATAGTGATTATATATATAATATTATTAACTATAGGGTATATTTAGGTATCGTCTTTAGCGATATTATTAAGGATATAACGACGGATAAAGGGCCTAGCGTATAACTCGACGTTATAAGTAATATACTAGAGGTATAGGATAGTATTAGTTATAGGAAAAACCTAGTAAAATAGCTAGTAGTTAGTATATAAACTATATAATAGTTAAAATACTAATATTTTTAACTATATTTCGTAAAGCCTACTCCTTATCTATTAAGATAGTATATAGGCTAAAGTAAGAGGTAGTAGCTAGAGTAGCTAGAGTAGTATCCTTAAAGTTATATATTAATATAAAGCTAGATAGATAGCTATTTTCGAGTATACTTTATAGAATATAGGATATTAGGGGACTAGCTACTAAAGACTCTAACTCTAAGGGATTAGCTATAGTAGTACGGATAAGTATTAGTATACTTATACTACTACTAATAGCTATATAGATATCCCGTAGCTAGCTAAGTGCCCGATTATAAATAGCTTCCTTCTTACTACTTAAAAAAGTATAGGTAATATAGAAGGTCTTCCTAATAGAAGATACTTCTACGATATTTAGTAGGGGTATCTTCTATTTATTAGTCTTATACGTATAGTCTATCTATAAAATATATAGATAGATACGTAGAAGCTAGAGACTAATTTTATAGACTAAAAAAAGGGAAGTAAAGGAGTTATTAACGGTATTTACCTTATACCTAATAATCTAAGTACTATCCCTTAGGAGATCTATAAGAAGGGCCTATATCGGGGTACGTCTAGCGAGCTATTTTCGTATTATACTAGCCCTAATATTATTAATATTACGGGTACGTAGATATAAAGTACGCCTCTTAGCCTTAGCCTACCCCCGAATACTACTTATAATATAACGGGTAAAGATACTATCGGTAATCTAGGTTATAATAGTAGGTAGGACTCGCCTTCGCTTACGCCTTTAGGGGATAATTATAGTTAACTCGTTAACTACACTATAATTATAGTAAGAAGTAATAATTTTAACCTACTAGATACCGCCGGTAGTAAGTCGAAGGTTACCTTTAAAGGGGTAGGAAGTTATATAACGAACTTACCTTCGCTATCTATTTAGGAGGGCCCGATTAGTCCGATAACCCCGACTATAGCTATATTAGAATCGTATCTTATTAGGTACGTTACGCTAGGTAACGATTAAGAAGCCTAGCGGGAGGGACTATAAGTTAAGGATATCTAACGCTTTAGCTTTTACGGCTTAGATACTAATAGAGGTAGTATTCGTAATTATTTAGAAAGGGGGTATAGTATCGGGAAGGTTAGGGGGTTAGGGGTCTATAGTATCTAGTCTATCTATATCTATTAGATATAAGTAAAAATTTACGAAGCTATACGTACTAGGGCTTATAGTTTAGGAGGTAGACTAAGCTAGGGTAAGAAAACTCGATTAGCACTATCTTTAAAAAATAGCCTCTATTTTATGATTACGTGACCGATTAAACCCTATATTACTAAACCCTCTTTTTTAGTAGGAAAAAACTCGATTAAATTAGTATCTAGGAATAGCCTTATTTTTACACTAAACCCCTTTTTAGTAGGAAAAAACTTAATTAAATCAGTATCTAGGAATAGCTTTATTTTTGCACTAAACCCCCTTTTTAGTAGGAAAAAACTCTATTTTTACACTAGAACTTAATTAAATCAGTATCTAGGAATAGCCTCATTTTTACACTAAACCCTTTTTTAGTAGGAAAAAACTTAATTAAATTAGTATCTAGGAATAGCCTCATTTTTACACTAAACCCCTTTTTAGTAGGAAAAAACTTAATTAAATCAGTATCTAGGAATAGCCTTATTTTTACACTAAACCCCTTTTTAGTAGGAAAAAACTCGATTAAATCAGTATCTAGGAATAGCCTTATTTTTACACTAAACCCCTTTTTAGTAGGAAAAAACTCGATCAAATCAGTATCTAGGAATAGCTTCGTTTTTGCATGATAGTATAGATGGCGTGTAAGATTCTACATTCGCGATAGGGTGCCTAGATAAGATTCGGGTACTATCCGAAATACTAAGGGAGTACCATATTAAATACGACAGGCTGTGAACAAATTATGGCCAGTGGGAAGTAAATCGTAAAAGGCTTAGCGCCCTGGGTGCCCGTAGTAATTTTGGGTGCCCATAGTAGTTCTCAAGGTTTATAGGTGCTGTTGTTGGAGTATATACGGTCAATATCTGTTTGCATGGTTTGCACTGCACATGTCTATCTTCGATCATCCGACTCAAACCTCCGAATATCAGACACAATGCGTCCAATCTCCAGAGCTGTTCTCCGGCCGTACGTTTGTCCAACCTGCCGACATGGCATTGGCGCTGGTCGGCGACGATTCAGCTCCAAATTGGACTCCCCCGAGCTATATGATGTAGTTTGCGTTGGAGGCGGACCCGCGGGCCTAGGGTTGTTGGCCGCACTCCGTATGCATCACGAGCATTATGCAGACTAGAGTGACATTGACTGATATGATATCGCTATAGGAGCATCGCCTATTACCTCGAAGCTGAAGGTTGCACTCATTGAGACTCAGGACCTCAGCAAAGCCAAATCATGGGATCTTGGACCGGACCAGTTCTCCAACAGGGTCAGCAGCTTGACCCCCTCGACCGTCTCATTCCTACGCAGCATCGGCGCCTATGATCACCTGGATGCCACTCGTGTGCAGGAATACCAGGATATGCAGGTCTGGGACGGCCAAACCGGGTCCCGTATCACATTCGACTGGTCAATGGAGACATCACCATTTGAAGATATGCGCACCGTAGCAACGATGACCGAGAACGCGAATCTGGTGCGCGCACTACTGCGCCGAATTGCCGAATCAGGAGACGAGAACCTCTCCCTCTTCTCAAACTCCACAGTCGCCTCCATCGAAAACGGCTCCGACCTGAAACCCGAAGGTCCCGACCTCTCAGCCTGGCCAGTCCTCTCCGTCAAGCCCACAGGCCCAGCCGCCGAGACCGAGGCACCCAAGCGCATCGCCGCACGTCTCCTCGTCGGCGCAGACGGTATCAACAGCCCCGTCCGCTCCTTCGCCGACATCTCCACCTCAGGCTGGGACTACGGCCGCCACGGCATCGTCGCAACCCTCGCCCTATCCGAGCCATCCACCCCGCCATTCCCAGCTTCCAAGCGCACAGCCTACCAGCGCTTCCTTCCCGCTCTCGGCGGCCCCATCGCCCTCCTCCCCCTACCAAACAACCACGCAACCCTCGTCTGGTCCACAACGCCCGAGCACGCCGCATACCTCAAATCCCTCCCCACCCCGGCCTTCCTCGCCATGGTCAACGCCGCCTTCCGTCTGGACATGACTGACCTCACCTACATGATGGGAATGCAAACCTCCGACTCCTCCCACCAAGACGAACTCACCTGGCGCACCCAGAACACCCCCTCCCAGCCCAGATCCCGCCCCCCGTAACAGGCGTGCAGACAGGAACCGTCGCTTCCTTCCCCCTGCGCTTCCGCCACGCTTCGCAGTACATCTCGCCGCGCGTGGCCCTTGTCGGCGACGCCGCGCACGTCATCCACCCGCTCGCCGGCCAGGGTCTCAACCTCGGTCTGGCGGATGTTGCTTCGCTGTCGAAGACTATCCAGTACGCCGTTTCCCACGGTATGGATGTCGGAGACTTGCTTACTCTCGAGCGCTACTCGTCTGACCGCTACTTGCCCAATGCTAAGATTGGGGGTGCTTGCGATCTCCTGCACAAGATGTACAATGTTCCTGGGGAAGGACCTGTTACTTGGGCGCGTAGTCTTGGATTGAGCGTTGTTGATCGGTTGCCGTTTGTTAAGTCTTTCTTGATGAAGAATGCCGAGGGGTATTAGTTGTGTATAAATATGTCTTTTTCTATGTATTGTACTTCTAGTCTTTCTATGCAAGCCTTTTCCTGTGCAATTTGTGCTTTTGTAACTTTGATAAATGGCTACTGGTATCGATCTAGATATTCGAAAGACGCAGTATATCCTACATCAGTAACGATGAAAGAGTATAGGTGGAAATGCAATGAATTGGGTATTTGAAATTCCACTAAAGACATCAACCCACACTCTTTAAAACGAGATATCTTTAGTTATTTTTTTGTAGGCCATCGAGCCCCAACCCCGACAATGCAAGAGATCTATATAATTTTGGGGAAAACAGAGAAACCCTCTCGAAGACAAAAAAACAACACGCTCATAAAGGGAAAACGAAATAAGAAAAATGAACCATTACTGGTTTAATTTAAACACTGGTACCCTGCAGCTGCTGGGCCAGAGAGGAGATGACACCCTGCTGCTTCTTGGCGAGACGGGTTTGCAACTCAGGGACCAAGGAGGTGATCTCGACTTCGACACCTTCCTTCTCGGGGTGTCCTTCGGGCAGACCCATCTCCTTGATGCGGCACTTGCCGGCGGCAAGCTCGTCCTCGCCGAGAATGATGCCGAAGGGGATGGCGCCTTGTTCGGCGGCCTTGAATTGCTGGGGGAGCTTGGGCTTCAGCTTGTAGGAGAATTCGGCCTGGAGGATATGTATGTCAGTGAATGTCAAATTGTAGGACAAGGAATCGTAAGCTTACCTTGATGCCAGCGCTCCACAGCTTCTGGCAGATGTCCATGCGCTCCTTCAACATGCCGCTGAAGCCCTTACCACCGAAGGCCATGACGTAGGCGTCGACCTCACTGCTGCGCAGAGCATCGGACTTCTGCTCACGCTCGAGACGTGCCTTGGTGATGGAGAAGATACGGTCAACACCGAATGAGATTCCAACACAGGGGATCTGTGCCTTGGGCAGGAACATGCCCACGAGGTTATCGTAACGACCACCGGCGGCAACACTGCCAACGCCGAGGGTGGGGTCGTTGGAACGGTCGTCATCCTCGGAGGGCTTGCCCTTGCCCTTCTTAATAGCCTTCTGCGCCTCTGGGGCATCGGCCTGCACACCAGCCGAACCCTCGGTGACAACCTCGTAGATGACACCGGTGTAGTAGTCCAGGCCACGGGCAAGGGACATATCGAAAGAGATCTTGTCCAATACACCGAATGCCTCCAAGTAGTCCATCATCAAAGCCATTTCCTCGAGACCGGCCTTGGCAGAGGCATTGGCGTTGAGGGTCTCGTCCTTCAGGAGAACGTCGAGCAGCTCTCGCGAGCCCTTGTGCATGACATATTTCTCAATACGATCCGCAACCTCGGGGTCGAGAGACTTCTCATCGACCATCTCCTTGCGCACATCGGCCCACGGCATCTTGTCCAACTTGTCGACGGCACTGGAGATAGGGCGGATCTTGTCCTCCGGAACACCACAGACGGCAAAGACACCATCTAGAATCTTGCGGTGGTTGAGCTTGATGGTGTAACGACCGTTCCAGCCCAGCTCCTCGAAGACTTCACAGACAATGCGCAGGATCTCGGCATCGGGCACCATGGAGTCGAAAGTACCGGCGATATCGAAGTCGCACTGGTAGAACTCACGCATACGGCCCTTGCTGACAGCAGGCTGGTCGCGGCGGTAGACCTTGGCGATGTGGTAGCGCTTGATGCTGCGGACGTCGGTGTTCATGGCGAGCCAGCGCGCGAAAGGCACAGTCAAATCGTAGCGCAGCGAGCAGATCTCGCCACCCTGATCCTTCAGATCGTAGATCAGCTTCGAGTCCTCACCATATTTGCCAGTCAGGAACTCGCGCAGCTCGAAGACGGGAGTGTCCAGTGCGGTACCGCCGTGGCGCTTGAAGACATTGGAGATGGTGGTGAAAATGCGGTCTCGGAGGAGGGCGTCGGAGCCGGACCAATCCTTGGTGCCCTTGGGGGTCTTGAGGTTGAAGTTGTTACCCTTTTCTTTCGGCATTGTGTCGTATTGAGCGAAGCGATGGGAGGAGGAAAACTGACGAGTGCGGCGGGGATGGTTTTGGTGGTGGGGGATGGTGGGGGCACGGAGATTATTTTTATTCGAGATGACTCGAGGGTTCTGCAGGGACGGGCAGCTAGTCACGTAACAGCGGGGAGACACGCCAAATGGATTGGCAATTGCTCGTTGTACAGAGCGCAATGGAACAGAAATGGACGGCATAAAAAAAGAACGACGCTGCGAAACAAGATTAACTGGTTCATCCACTCCGAGTCTCCCCTGGCCTCCTGAGGCATTGGCTGATTCGGGGCTTCTTCTGTTTGGGGGAGGTTTGTCCGAAGAGTTTATCCGGGCAGAGTTTTGGAGTCGATGCAAACAGGGCAAACAGGGTAAACGCCACAAATGTTCTCCCGCGGTGCCTTCGAGTCTCCGAGGCTTCCAGGGCTCTTCTATTGCTTCTACGCTGTGAAAGATCAAGGAACATCCGACTGGGAATGTCCTCCCACAGCCCCAGGGCTGAACTCACATAGATCACACGTTCTACTTCAATCTTTCCCGGTGGAAGTCTACCTATCTAGGTGATTATATTGGTTACAACGTTTCGAATCAGTCACGGCCATCCTATTTGATACTAGATCTGAGAAAAAGACATCCTATAGTTCCAAAATTAGCTCCCCAGCCCTTAGGATGTACGGAGTATAGCCCAACATTCAGCTTTCCCTAGATCTGCCCGTTGATTGTAACCTGAGAATTCTTTCATGCGGCTTATTCTGCGCCTGGGAACTACTCCCTTTCCTCTTCGGGCATCCTGCACATTCCAATGTGATCACGATCGTACAGTGGTCATCGCGAATGTACGATGCAACAGAGCATTGGTGTGGATGATAGCCACCACATATGACATGACCACAGTAAATCGCTCACTTCGGGACAAGCCAATCTGCTCCATAGGCCACAACGTCATCCAGCGGCCAGCCAGATGCAAAGTATGGTGTTTCCGGGCACAGTTGGGCAATACACCGAGGTGGGCTGTTTTCCATATCTTGAACGCCAACAAAGCTAAAACGTCTCCAACATGCGTCTTTTTTAACGCCGAGCCCCTTGGAAGTGGTCAAGCTTGTCTCGCCACCCCCACTATGATGTACATTACAGATTCGGCAATCAACGGAGCGGAGGTATCCTGGCCGCCTATGTTGTATTTTGTTTATGTGTGGTTTTCTCATTGGGGGAAATTCTGTGATCAGATCATAGTCTCTGGGATATGAAATCTTAATCCCGACAACTAATCAGACGTTGTACTGGCAAGATTTATCCAGATTACCCGTCGGAACGTGCGTTATGTGGCACTGGAACGGGCGAAGGAATGGCTGGGTTCCCCATTGCTGCGCCTATTGGGTACCCGCAAGGGAGTGTATTTAGATTGATATGCGAGGCAGATGAGAGAGACGTGCCGTCGTCTTATGGGGCCATGGGGCCCGGGAAAGCAGATGGTCCCCTTGCGCGACGATGTCATACCAGAGATCTGTGAGCAGCGTCGGGCAGACCGGCACACTTAGGGAGTCCGTACTCCGTATTGCCCAGCTTGTTAACGTTGACAAGAATTGCCAAGTACCGAAAAAGTAAGGAACACATTTCGCTTTGGAAGGGGCCACCTTTTTTCCCCACGGCCGTGACGATCATTGGCCGTTAGAAGACGCCATGCGAGGGGCGGACACATGGCCCGTGAGCGAAGGCGGCACAGAACCAATCACAGCAACCGAGTCCATCGTCCAGGCAGCGACGAGAGGGGAGTGCCCTTTGCCCATGGGACGTGGGGAGGAGGCCACTCCGGGGGGCCAATGGGTTACATTCAGATGGCCCCTCTCCGATATACCCGCACACAAATAGACAATTGCTCGGAATCTGCTGGAGAATGGGAGTAGAGCATCGCAAGATCGCAAGATCGCAAGATAGCAAGATCTCCTCTCGAGTCTCGAGTAAAATTCGGCGATTGGACCAGTACCTGCTTTAGATCCCCACGTGGAAGGTAGCGGCTAAGATGAATGGGGTAGGTCAAGAGATATCTCTGGCTTAGCTTGAGTGTCTTCTGGACGTTTCTGCAGGGAGTAAATTACCGTGATCATGACTTGTGAGATCCAATCAAATAATACTCCATTCCTGAAGGGAGATCTCCAATTCGAATGCCTGTAGGTAATAGTTATCTTGCTTTCTACTTTCTATTACTCCGTTTTTAAGCTCGAACCTCATTTACCCTGAACCCTCTCTCTTTCTCTCCTTTACCTTTACCCCAACCTTCCCCTTTACCGTTTCCCATCTCACCCCCCCGGCCCTTCTTATTTCCAGAACCCTTATGTGATCAACAACTTATCCCCGGACGCCCTGTATTTCTCTCCTTCGGCCTACGCATATCAACGGTGGACTCGAATCTTCCTCTCAACTCCCTCTCAACTCGGGCGATCAGACCCCAATGCAGACTGCGACCGACCACTAAGCCATCATGAAGGGGCTCTTCTCCTTGGGTTCAAAGAATGGGGTAAGTGACAATGATACATCCCTACAGCCATGCTCTTTCAGCCTTGTAGCACAGCAGATGCTTCGGGCTCTCCGTGAGACCATTCGGATTAGGGCCGCCACTGACTGGGAGATTCTTTGCGCAGGCTGCCCATCCCCCGACCACCGCGCCACCCGTGAAAAAAGACCTGCACTCCCCGCAGATCTCCCCGCTCGAAAAGCGGTTACAGGATATGGGCGCCATTCGTGGCGATGGCAGTGACAAGTTCTATGGAATGGAAAACGTGAGTTCCGGACTTCCCTGGAATCTGCTCGATTCCCACACTGACTGCAATCCTCGCGCCGGTCTAGTATGGTAACACGTGTTACTGTAACTCCATCCTACAATGCCTCTACTACTCGGTGCCCTTCCGCGAAGCCGTCATTAACTATCCGCAACGCACTCCGCTGGACAGCCTCGAGGCTGCGCTTGCAAAGAATCTACGATACCAGAACCCGAATGCACACATCGAAGCCGAGGCCCTGGCTGCCAAACAGAAGGCCGCATCGCCACCATCTGCGCGTCAGGCCGGTGTGCCCCCAAATCAACCACAGAAACCGGAGGATAAGGATTCGCCGGAGTACAAGAAGAAGGTAGCGCTGCAGACCCTTCCAATCCTGGAGACCAAGAACAATGCGGGCAGCTATGGGATGTCAGAGTCTCTTTTCACATCGCTCAAGGACATATTCGAGTCGGTGGTAGGAAGTCAAGCACGCATTGGCATCGTTCGCCCCCAACAGTTCCTGGACGTTCTACGGCGAGAGCACGAAATGTTCCGGACCGCCATGCATCAAGATGCGCACGAATTCTTGAATCTACTCCTCAACGAAGTCGTGGCCAATGTTGAAACGGAGGCCACCAAACAAGGGTTTGCGGAGAAGGCTTTGCCACCAACAGAGAGCGCCGATTCATTAGGAATACAGACATCCAGCACGGGTTCGAAGTCACCGAATACTACGAGATGGGTTCACGAGCTGTTCGAGGGAACTTTGACGTCTGAGACAAAGTGTCTCACTTGTGAAAAGGTTTCCCAGCGAGACGAAGTGTTCTTGGACCTCTCGGTGGATCTGGAGCAGCATTCGTCTGTAACCTCGTGTCTCCGCAAGTTCTCAGCCGAAGAGATGCTTTGCGAGCGAAATAAGTTCCATTGTGACAATTGCGGAGGACTGCAAGAAGCAGAAAAGCGAATGAAGATCAAGCGCTTGCCTCGTGTGCTGGCTTTACACTTGAAGCGTTTTAAATACACCGAAGACTTACAGCGATTACAGAAGCTGTTCCATCGCGTTGTTTACCCCTACCATCTGCGCCTGTTCAACACCACAGACGATGCCGAGGATCCGGACCGCCTTTATGAATTGTATGCGGTGGTTGTGCACATTGGTGGAGGACCGTACCATGGCCATTACGTTGCCATCATCAAGACCGAAGACCGCGGTTGGCTGCTGTTTGACGATGAACTCGTGGAACCGGTGGACAAGAATTACGTGCGCAACTTCTTCGGAGATCGACCTGGATTGGCGTGTGCCTATGTCCTATTCTATCAAGAGACAACTATCGAGGCTGTTATGCGGGAGCAGGCGCAGGAGAATCAGGCTCACACCCCTGTGGGCCCCGAAACAAGCGAAGCTGGGAAGACTAATGGATACTCGCACTCCCCGCCGCTAGCTCACGCCCAAAGTGCATCTCAGGTCCCTCCTGAACAGGCAGCTCCCTTCTCTCCTATCACCCGAATCCCAACGGCACCTCCGTTGTCCACTTACCAAGAAGAAGCTCCAGAATCTCACCCAGCTTCGCCGCGGCCTGTCCAGCCATCTCTCCCCTCGATCCCTGATGTACCAGCTCCTCCGTTGAGTCCAAAGAAGAGCGATCACCAACTACGGAAGGAACGTCGTGCATTGGAAAAAGAGAAGGAGAAGAATGAAAGACATCGCCTGAAAGAGCAGGAGCAACACAACCGAGAGATGCACCGACGAGAGACAGAAGATTTGAAAAGAGCCATCGAGGCCAGCAAGATCGAGTCGCACGATCTCACTGCTGAGAACGGATCACCAAGGAAATCGAGCGGTTTCGGCTTCTTACGAAGGGGTAGCCGTAGTCTCAGCCACCGGCTAAACAAAGAGAAGGAGCCTCGAGTCTCGACGTCTGATCTGTCCACAGCGCCGCTTGTCCCAGAGGTTGTTCCAGAAGCATCACAGAGCGAGACAGAACCGGCCCAGCCAGTCAAGCAGCCAGTTCAGCCAGTTCATTCGCCGGTCTCTCCGAGGGATTTCTCGCCCATCTCCCACCCCAAACAACCCAAACAATCCATCCGGACTCCCGAGCTCTTGGCCAAGGACCACACCCACCATTCGAAACCCGGTCATATCCCGCGGTGGAGGTCCTTCAGCTTCAAGAAGGTGTCATGAAATATAATCAGTGTTTCCCCATACAACACTTATTCCCGTCTTCTTTCACACAGCTTCACCCACTTTTCTCGGAGATATCCCCTATTATCTTGCACATATGAGCGCAAATTTTGTTTTTGCACATACTAGCTTCCTCCAATGGATGTACTATCATGTTCCTATGATCTGCGCTTCTCTGCCTTCTTATTCTGCTGTGGAAGCCCTCGATCTCAGGGTATCCTCCACAGCCATGTCTTTCTAGACTCCGTTGGATCTCAGATCCCGCCGTATCTGATCTTTTTTTCCCCCTATCTTCTCGCTATCTGGCCTGTGGTATTTGTTCTTTTTTTCACCCTTTTCCATTGCCATCGCTTTTCCGCACTGCCACTTTTTGTATCATGTACAGCGGCGTGATACCTACACTGACAGGGCTGATACCTGACAGGATTGCGAAAAGAGGCGTTCTGGGTTTGCAGTCTACTTTTTTTCCCGGCGAGCGTGGGTCATTTGCTGGAATTTGGGCGTCTTGAATTGTGTTTTTACGTTTCATTCCAGCTCATTAGCGAATCTTCTTTTTTCTTAGCATTGCTTCCTCCGCTCTAGCTGCGTACGTATGTATCAACCATTAGATTTCCAGGATTGGGTAGACACGCTTCGCCAATGTCTGCATGGTAATATCTTGGCAGCTCCGATGTACAAAGTAGATCTGAAGTAGATGCTATGCAATTAGACAGTATCCTGGCATATGCTTCGTAGCCTGGTGTCACCACATCTCGTCCAACCTTGGAAGTATCCCATCTCGGGTGTAGCATACTGTAGAGTACAGAACGCATAGGCTAAAGCCACTAGAGCTTATGAAACATCAGAAGCATATCCTGCTGTCCGCATCGTTTGTAGCATCCTCCAGCAATCCCCGTTATATGGATGCCCTCGCGGGGGCGGCCCAATCCCCTTACATACTCGCACCAATTCAAATTTCTTGAACATGCTGTGACTGGTATCGGGTTCTCGAGTTCTATCGAACAGCGCAGAGGAGAGCTACACTATCCCTGAACATCTATGGAAATCGCTCCCGGGCCCATACGGATATATGTTAGCGCGTATGATATCCGGTCAGCCGTGTTAAATAATATCCTTGGGCGTCTTTCGAAGACATGACTCTAGTCAAACTACTCCGTGTTACCAGCCCAATCTCAAAAGAAAAGAGTGCATTCCAGATTCCAAGTCCAGAGAGGAAGGGGAAAGACAGAGAAGGATCTCCAGATAAGTCCTTCTTCCCTGGGGGCTGCAAGCCCATGTAAACCCAGCGATACCCTTTCCGAAAGGATCCTTGCCTCCTTCCCAATAGCCCTTACCAGGTCGTCACACTCTGTCCTCCGTGCTTGAGCTTCTCTTCCTACTTTCTTCTCACCGCACTTCTCGCTTTACTCCCTTTAGACCTTATCTATAGCCAAGTAAATATATACAGACATAGATATCCAAGTAGGATGAGAGTGATAAACTAGATAGGGATCTAGCTGATTCAACCACTAAAAGGAATTACATCCCGAAAGAAACAAACCCCTACCAGTTAGCATCCCAACTGCTAGGGGATCGAAGAAAAAAAAGAAAGGTTTGAATTCGACAACTGCATGATTCGAACATGCGCCTCCGAAGAGAGTAGATGAGTGAATGCGAACAGGTGTTCGAGTTCGAGTCTACCGCGTTAACCACTCCGCCAAGTTGCCTTTGCATGTAAAGAGGCCCGATTAACAGATCCAGCAAAATGATGCGAACCGTGGATTCCATACAGGGCGTAGGTGGGGCATAATTCAAGAGTGTATGTAAATGTTGATATCGGATAAGTGCTTCAAGTTAGAGTAAGGGAGAGGAAGCTTGGAGCGTAGGTAGGATGCGTAAGATATAGTCTTCGGAGCAAGCTCTCTCGGATGAGTCTGGATGTAAAAAAAATAATAACAATAGGTAACGACCCTCGAGAATTACAGCTCCGACGTTGAAAATCGACAAAGAAGTCAAATTTCGAGTCCGATCAAAGAAATAAAAAAAAGATCTCGACAGCTGCATGATTCGAACATGCGCCCGCGAACGGAATTGATTTCGAGTCAATCGCCTTAACCACTCGGCCAAACTGCCTTAGATGGAAGTTACGGCCACATTAGGCTACATATTCAAAACACGCCTGTGAGCAAAGAAGGATTGATCGTTTACAGTTGATTGGGCTACGATTTCTATCAATTCTGGGTACCTAGGTATGATAAGAGCAGTATTCGACCTAGATGGCAAGCTCCCCGCTGGACCTTTGTCTCCAATTATTTGCATTGCAATAGAGTGGTTCGATATAGTGCTTAGAGCGACTGTGTGTATCCCGTGCTGCATTCTATTGATATACCTTACTCAGGCCGCCTCGGGAGACTCAGATCAGACTCGGTGAGCGAGCCAAAGCGCCCAGACCAACTTGAGCGAGGAGATCAGACTGCTCGGCTCGGGTGGTTCTCAGTGGGTTGCAGCCTTGGAGCGCTCCAGCTGACCAGACCGCTTATACGGAGTATAATGACTACTCCGATCAGACTTAGGGACATGCTCGGCTCTACCCAGCAAGTATGAAGCGACAAGGACGGAGTATTGAAACGGGAAAGGAACGCCAAAAGGTGGCAGAGGAAATCCGGTGCATAGGTTGGCAGGTGGAGCTAGCAGCTGGGGTCACAACGAGTCCTTCGGGATAGGATCCAGCCAGTGGAAGAAACTGCTAAGAGCGCATTTAACCGAGAATCAGCTCGTAGACAATGATGACCGTATTGATGACGATAAGGGGTACTGGATTATGGAGATTGGTTAGCGATCCTGTCGGGCCACGGCTGGTGTCTGAGTTGACCAGATGGGCTTGTCCAAGGCTGAACAACATTCCCACAATAGACTCTCAAGACTGGCCTAGTTGTAGTGGACATGGGAGGGTGCTCTGGAAACGTACTTCGCATCACGGTCCGCACACTGGCGATCAGATTGACGGACTTCGCCTTCACGCTTGTGCTATCGTATGTCGCGCCGAAGCCAGGCTCGGATTGTGTGCGACCCCATCCAACTGTATATATCCAGCATAAGTTAGATTCATCCGGTTTTGTATAGGAGATGTAGCTGGGGGAGGAAGGGCATACCGCGAGCTAAGAAGCGGTCTTCGGAGAGAACGGCGATGGCATTGATGATGAGAACGATCACTAGAGATCAAGGATGTCAGTATGAGCTAAAGAGTAGGGTTCTGTATAAATACACACCGTAGACTAGCTTCCCAAGGCCGAAGAAGAACATCGTTGCGGGGAGTTGGGGAAGATGTTAAAGGTGAAGTGCGGGAAGCGCCAGATCTCCGGATCAACAACTCACCTCGGATGCAGCCACCATGGGATACGGTTGGTTGACTCGATCAAAGCATACCAGCAGATAAACTAATGATGTGCTACAGCATCTGCGATCCTCCCTCTTCTCTTCCCCGCCCTGATCCTCCTCCACCTGCTTGTCGCTCCATACACCAAAGTCGAGGAGTCCTTCCACGTCCAGGCCGTGCATGACATCCTGGCCAACGGGCTCCCAACGAGCTTTAATGACTCGACCCTAGATCGCATCAATTATGACCACTTTTCTTTCCCGGGCGCAGTGCCTCGGAGCGCCCTTGGTGCGGCGGCACTCGCTATGCTCTCGAAGCCCGTCATCTGGTTGAATGAGGGGATCAACCAACAGCTACTAGGTACGGAAAGATCGAACTGCTATACGGCCTATCAAGCTGACAATTGCTTCCAGCTCGGGCTGTTCTTGGTCTACTCAATGCCTCTGCTCTGGCAGCTTATGCTAGCGGCCTGCGACGCAGCTTCGGCCAACTAGTAGCTATCTGGTATATCCTATTCCAGGCAAGCCAGTTCCACATGATATACTATGCCTCGAGACCGTTATCAAACATGTTCGCTTTCAGCATAGCAACGCTAGCAATGCGCCTGCTCCTCCCTAGTCCTCGGTCAACAATCCAAGACCGAAAACAATGCAGCCTTGCACTGATCCTCCTCACGATCGTTGGCGTCGTGTTCCGCTCCGAGCTAGCCCTCCTAATCGGAACACAGACTCTATTTCTCCTGGCAACACGGCGAATCGGTCTCAAAGACGCTATCTTCGCCGGTCTCATCGGACTCACCACAGGTCTCGTCCTCACAGTTACCATTGACGGCTTCTTCTGGCAGCGCTTCCCACTCTGGGCCGAATTCGAAGCCTTCCGCTTCAACGTTCTCGCAGGCCAGTCCTCAGAATGGGGAACAGAACCTTGGTCATTCTATTTCTTCAACGCTCTCCCTCGTCTCCTCTTCAACCCTCTGTCCTACCTACTCGCCATCCCCGTTGCCCTGCGCCAACCAGCCACGCGATCCCCCGCGCTAGCACTTCTAGTCCCGGCGCTCTCCTTCGTCGCGCTGTATAGCTTCCAACCTCACAAGGAGTGGCGCTTTATCGTCTACATCATCCCCTCGCTCACGGCAACCGCAGCTCTCGGCGCCGCATATCTCTGGACGCACCGTTCACGCTCTCTCTTTGCCCGTCTAGCCACTCGTGCCCTGGCCCTATCAACACTCGCAGTATTCTGTCTATCGAATCTCGTTCTCCTCCCTGCATCAGCGGCGAACTACCCAGGTGGACAGGCTCTCGATGCCCTACACCACCAACACGCCATCATGTACAACGCAACCGACTTGCACTCCAAGCCCGAATCTCCTATCAACGTCTACTTCGGAAACCTCGCCTGCCAGACAGGTGTAACACGTTTCCTGCAACAACACCCCTCGTCGGGGTGGGTATATGACAAAACCGAAGACAAGGCAACCAAATCCACAACCGAGTTCTGGGACCAATTCGACTATGTCATCGTCGAGACATCGTCAGATGCGGGGGTCATGGATCCAGATGAACTGAGTCTCAGACACGCACTCCCTGATTCCACATGGGAGAAGGTGCATGTGGTAGATGCGTTTGCGGGCATTTCTGTTCTGAAACCCGGCGCCCCTGCCAAGGCAATTGCCGAGAAACGTCTTATTGGCGCTATTGCTGGTGCGCGTGCTGTTGATTTATTCGAGGACGTGCGCGAGCATGTGAGAAGCTCTTGGTTGCGGGGGTGGTGGATTGAGGTGAAGATGAAGCCGAGGGTTCAGGTGTTGAAGCGGGCGAGGGACATCCCCAATGTCTAGTATACCGGATTGAATATATAGACTTTTTTTTTGTTATGTATGCATTTAGGGGGTATTCATAGAGAAAAGTCCAACAGGGCCATCTGGCATGGAGCTGATATTAACAATTGAAGATAACTACAATATGGTCCCAACATTCGACAAAGTACATGCAACTGGGTATTATTCATCAATCCTCTGCCCCGCGAGGCAGATTAAAAGTAGACACAAGGTATGGATCACAGTCCGCCGGGGGGACCTTCCAGTCGCGCTAGGCGAGACTCTAGATCGCGAACCCAGGGCTCGACGGTCTCCACGTTGGAGCGGAGAGCAGCTTCGCCCTGCTGCATCTTTTCTTCGACATTCGTCAGACCTTCGCGCCATTGCTGGATCTCGGAGGCCATCTCGGCGTGGCGTTTCTCGAGCTCGTTGAGTGAGTCTGCGGCATGTGCTGCGCCGGCATGACAGGCGCGAAGGGAGCGTAGACGCTCGAGGACGCTGGGGAGCAGCGGGTGCAGGGACTGGATTGTTGGGAGGGTGGTGTAGAGGGCTTGGACTTTGGCGGCATGTTCGTCGTCTATGGAAGCCTCCAGGGCGGGGACGGTTTCGGCGTCGGAGCTTGCTAGTCGGGCGTTGTGAACGGCCTTTGCAGCCTCGAATGCCTTTCTGCGGGCTGCAGTGAGCGCCTCCGCGTCTGTAGTCAACTTTCGGACTCGGGTAGAGAGAGCTTCGAGGTGTGGGGTGGTCATGCTGGTCACGGTACTAGCACCTCCTGGCGCTGTATTTGCTGGACTAGTGCCCACGAGAAGACCGGTGAGTGCTGAGAGGCGGGAGGTGAGCTGGTCCAGAGCTGGGAGGACTGGGTGTGGTGTGGACTGGTTGATGCCATCGACAACAAAGGGATTAGAAGAGCTTGAGATGCCCATAGAGCTTTCTAGGAGTGCTAGCCGACTGTCGAATGCTGCCGCATGAGAGAGGATCCCTGCCGAAGAGGCAGTCGAGGCTGACAATACGGACACTGCTTTCGATGCCTCGCTGGATTGTGTCTTTTGGTCTGCAGAGCGTGTCTCGGATCCAAGTTTCTGAGACAATAGAGCTGCAGCCGAGTGTGATGAACTCGCCGCACTTCGCGAGGCGTGCAGGTTGTCAAGAGCACGGCTCAGTTCCGCAACGCCATCACCAAGATCTTCCCCTGACTTTTCGGCTGCTGCTGTACCCTGAGACGGTTCGTTTTCTTGTTCCGCAGCCTCGGGCTTATTGGCCATTTCCACCTTGAGCTCCTCAACCTCCCTCCGCAGCCGCGCAAGCCTCCGGTCAAGTGACTCGTCCTCGCTATCACTCAAATCACCAACCTCTTCCACCCCGTCCTCGCGTCTGCGCCGACGCCGACGACTCATGCTCTTGCTCCGGTATGCCTGCCGCTTCATAGAGATGCTATCTGAGAAATTGACATCACGAGCGTCTACGGCCGCGCCCATGAAGTGCATACGCGCGCGGTCAGGGTTGACACCCTCGCGGTCGATATCCGAGTTCGAGCCTCCGTCATCGTGGTCGGAGTCGGTACGGATAGTGGCAGTCTGAACATAATCAGTTGACTGGCCCCGATGACGTCTTTTTCCTGTGAAATCACCGGACTTACGGGCAATGTGGATGCTTCATCGGTCAAGTCGGGGGTCTCGTAGATATCCGGGGATGGGTCCTGGGTCCCGGTCAGTGGGGATTCATCTTGATTTCAGAATGACCACAGCAAGCACTCACTAGGTCAGGAAGACCGGCGTATTTCTTATTGAAAGACATGATTGGATTGGGGTAGCTCCCATAGTAAACACCGAAACTCCTAATCACATGTACAGTCAGCAATAGATCAGGTGACTCTAGCCTCGGATTCAGGAACAAACACATGCAATTGACGCAATGCCTCTCGAGGTTCATTAAATTATCCAAGACGCTATTTATGACGGGGTATAACTTGCTGGGATTCCCCTCTTTTCCCCTTTCCCCCTGGAAGATCAGCTCCCTCTTCGATTGACTTAAGAACCGTCCTATTGCTCCTTTATCTACTTCCCCCCGCCACCCCGCATTCTAGCTACTCCAGCTACAATATATACAACCTTCAAGATGGCCGCCCCCGTTGATATCACCCTCAAGAACTTGAGTGGAACATGGGTCATGGTATGTGAATGAATTCAAAACGTCTTAAAAAAAAAGTAATTTTAACTTTGCATGCAATAGGACTCAACCCATTCCAACCCAACAGACCCCGTTCTATCTCTGGTATGAATCCCCGAAGCCCTAACTACTCCCAGTTGCCCCAACTATAAAAACCACCAAGAGTCTCACAAACCCTTGACTTTCACCTCCCATAATTTAAATACATACCTTTGGAATCTTCCCTCCCCTCTGCACTATCCCAGCCCTATGCCCATAAATCCTATACAGCAAACTAACAAACCAAACAGCAAGGAATGGGCTGGATTATGCGCAAGACTCTGTCTCTCGCAACAGTGACGATCGACGTCCACGAATATAAAGACGCAGAGGATGCCACCCTCTACCACGTCGACGCACAGCAAACCATCACCGGCGGCATCCAAGGCACCAAGGAAGAGCGCAAGCTCGACTGGGCAGAGCGTGAGCACGTCGACCACATCTTCGGCAAGCTGCAAGGCCGCTCGCGCCACCTCAGCGGTGCCAAGGGCGAGGACGGCGTTGTGCGCCCAGTCCTCGAGGTCCAGACTAAGGTCGGTAAGCCCGAGGCTGATGCCAAGGTGCAGAAGTTCTTGTCTGGTGATATCCTTATCGATGGCTCGAAGAGCGAGGGCTTCCTTGCCGAGGAAGCCGAGGGTGAGTTCTTGCAGAGCTTTGTGAGGAATGTGGAGTCTGGCTGGACTGCTGAGCAGGTCTGGGGCTTTGAGACTGTTGGCGGCGAGAGACGTCATACTCGTCGTATTGTGGTTGCTAAGGGAAGCAAGGTTGAGTTTACTAGACTTGTCTACATTTTCAAGGAGCGCAGGGCTGAGTAAGATCACCTCGCTTTTTATGTACTGAGTATAAGCTCTGCGGTTGCACCAGGCTCTTGTATTAGTTTGCTATAACGATATGTTAATGGAGTATTCAACCTGATTCGTTTTCCCCCTTCTTTCTTTCAATCTATGATAAGGCGTATTGGGAGTACGTTGAGAAGAGTCCTAGATGTGCCATGAGGAGGCTCGTGCATTAATGAAACACGAAATGTTTGGCATTGTTTCATATTCGAAAGTCAATGTTATTAGACTGCTGTATCCGCGGTCTAATCTAGTAGTTCATATTCATGTTCACAAATGCTGTCATATAAAAGCAAGCATATGGCTCGGATACATTCATTGTAATCCACCAAATACACGAGGCTTTTCCTTTTTGAACAAGGGGGTCATTTTTAGAGTATCCATGATGGGCTAAGGGAGAATCATGAAAGCAAGGAAGGCAGACACCAGAACGTTTAGGAGTGGGTGGGCATCACCACGTGAGCCTTGGTGCTGACTGCATCCTCACTCTTCCAGTGGCTGGTCACGGTCTTCTGCTGGGTGTAGAACTGCAAGCCGGGCTTGCCGTAGAAGGTGTTGGCACCACCGCCAGCAATACTCTTCTTGTTGCCGGTGAAAGAGAACATGGGAAGAGGAACGGGGATGGGAACATTGATACCGAGCTGGCCGGCTTCACATTCCTTCTGGAACTTAGAGGCAGTCGAGCCAGAGCGAGTGAAGATGGCGGCACCATTGCCGTATTCGTTGGCATTGATCACATCGATGGCTTCATCCAGGGTCTCGGCGTTAAGACACACGAGAACGGGACCGAAGATCTCTTCCTTGTAGCACTTCATATCGGGGGTGACATTGGTGATGATGGTCGGGCCAACCTGCAAGACACATAATTAGTTGGCGTTATATGTCAGAGAAACTGCTCTAGATGAACTTACAAAGTTACCGTTGGGGTACTTCTCGGGCGCGAACCCACGGCCGTCCAGTAGAATAGTCGCACCCTCTTCCTCAGCGCTAGTGATGAGGTCCTCAATCCGCTTCTTGCTCTCGGGGCTAATCACAGGGCCGAGATCAGCACCTTCTTCAAAGCCACCATTTACGACGAGGGCCTTAGCCCGCTCGGCAATCTCAGGCAACCACTCCTTAGTTTCGCCGACCATAACGCAAGTGCTCAATGCCATGCAGCGCTGACCAGCAGCGCCAAATGCAGCGCCGACAATTGCATTAAGAGCCTGGTTCTTGTTGGCGTCGGGCAAGACGGCGGCGTGGTTCTTAGCACCTAGGTTGGCCTGCACGCGCTTGCCGTTGGCAGAGCCACGGGTGTAGATGTACTCGCCAGCACGGTTGCTACCAACGAAGCTGATAGCCTTGATAGCAGGCTCATCAAGAATGAAGTCCACAGTCGGAGCACTGCCGTGGATGATATTAATAACACCTGGAGGGAAACCAGCCTCTTTGGCAAGCTCTGCGAGGATCATAGCAGCGCCAGGGTCCCGTTCGGAGGGCTTCATGATCAAACAGTTACCAGTTGCGGTAGCAACAGGGATACACCAGAGGGGAATCATGGCAGGGAAGTCTTGGTGATAGTTAGAATCTGTGATGAGGGGTTGTAATCTTTAACATGCAACTTACTGAAGGGGCAGATAGCAGCCACAACGCCGAGCGGCTCGCGGTAGCTTCTTGTCTCCATGTCCTTGGCTACTTCCAAAACCTCACCTGTCATCTGAGTGGTGATACCACAGGCGGTCTCGGCGACCTGTAGGCCACGGAGAACATCACCCTTGGCGTCGGCGAAGGTCTTACCCTGTTCAAGGGTAATAGACGCGGCCAATCGGTCCCAGTGAGTACGGATAAGACTAGTAAACTTAAAGAGAATTTGTTGCCTGGCCATGATGCTGGTAGCTCTCCAGGCGGGGAAGGCCTTCTCGGCCGACTTCACAGCGGCCTTGAGCTCCTCATCCGTGCTCTGGGGAACACGGGTGACCAGGTTGTTAGTGGCAGGATCGTGAAGATCAATCCATTTAACTGCTTTAGATGACACAAATTCATTGTCGATGAAGTTAGCCGTGTCAATGGGGTTGGCAATCTTTTGGTGACTTGTCGGGTATTCAGTAGCAGTGGAGTCAGCTGAGGTCGTTGCAGTCACAAGGCGTTGGGCTGTTGCGTGCAAGCGACGAGTGGCAGAAAGTGATGAGCAAGGCACAGTGGCTCTACGGGAGACCAAGCTGGCAAGCGAAGAACTTGTGAGAGATCGGGATGAAGACACAGCTCTGGCAGTCACCGACACCGGCGTGCGGGGAACTGCGCGGAGAGTGGGGATAGCACCGGCAATGGACCGACGAGCAGCCATGATGAATTGAGGAGAGAAGAAACACAGGGAATAGGAAATGCGGTATTTAGAGAAAGGACACACAGAGTCGGTAGAATATAAAGGTAAACCCTGGCTCGGAGTGAAGGAACTACCACATAATGTACCTTACCCCAGGCCCGAGGTAAACCGCCTTAGTCATCTTCCCCATACAAATCCCCCAGATAAGCTAGCTCGGTGCTTTGAGCCAATGAGCGTGGGCCATTGATCGGCCAAATCGCCGACGCTGCCCTTGATCGATCCTGGGCTTGATTAGGAAGGTGATTCCGCAACGACCTGGGAAGCTGTGTATAACCCTCTAGTACCTGTGCGGAAGAAGCTTTTAGGGCTAAAGGAGTCATATTCATGACATTACTTGCTAAATGGTACTGGCACCGAGGCAATTGTTTCCAGAAAAAAATAAAGGTGAATAAAAATAGTCGAGATACAGCAGACAAGAAGTATACAAATCGGGCTTCCTTTCAATGTTCTTACTGAACCTTCCGACTACAACACTGGTCAAGACACAACAAGAGGGGGATCACTGCGGTAACGGTAACAAAATGCAAAACTCTTCGCTGATTGGGTTTATTGGGGGTAGAATTCTTTTCTGCGTATATTTGGCTTCCCATTATCGCATTTACTCGGCGGAAGAGCGGGTGTTGCGCTTGGTGGCACCGCCCTTGTTGGTATCAGCCGAGGAGCTGACAGCCTGTTCTTTCTTCTCCTTGGGAGCACTGGCCGCCTGCTTGCCCTTCTTCTCAGGGGCAGCGGCAGGGCTGCTGGCGCCAATGGCACCCACAACAATGAGGATCATGGTCAAGAGGAGCGCACCAAGGCCACCGGCCACTTCAGGCAGAGTCTTCGCAGCGTGAACAGGGTCCTCCTTGGCGAGCTCAACGAAGTGGTTGATCTTCTGGCGGACGAAGGTAACGGGGTCCTCCTGGAAGGTAACGGTGGTACCTTCTTCCTTGATCTCAGGCTTAGGCTTGGTAGCCTCCTCCTCAGCCTCCTCGATGGGGAACTTGACATCGAAAGTCTCCTTGCGGAGCTTCTCAGCATCCTCAACGGAGTGACCAATGTAGATGTTGTCAAACAGAATGTCGTTCTGCATGGTCCAAATCTCGAAGCCAATAGCACCCATAGGCTCGAGGTTGGATGGGGTCTTGTCCTCGAAGTAGGCGGGGTTCTTGATCTTACGAGGAGCCCAGACACCCTTGTAGGCAGGGTTCTCAATGAGAGGAGCCTCCCACTTGCCCTTGTACTCGGGGTTCTTGATCATAGGGCGGGTCCAGGTGCCACAGCCGGAGACATCAGCGCACTTGGGGTTGGGGACAGTAGGAGCGAGCCAATCTCCATCCTCCTCATCATCCCAATCCTCGGGCTTCTCGGCCTCGGGGTCGGGAATGCTGGTAGCCTCATCCGCGAGCCAGTCTTCGGGTTGAGTGGCCTCCTCGTCGAGAATCTCGAAGGGAGCCTCTTCATCCCAGTCAGCGGGCTTGGTGGCCTCGGGGTCAGCAATCTGAGCCTCATCAACCCAGTCGGTGGGCTTGGAATCCTTGGGATCATCAATCTCCTTCTCAGGGTTGACAGGAGGGTTGAAGTCCTCGAGAAGGCTGCCCTTCTTGTTGGACTCGCCGTTGACGAGGATCTCGAAGGTCTGATCGGGGTTGACGATCAGGGTGTAGAGGGAGGTGACCTTGTTGGTGCGGGCAGCAGGAGGAGTCTTAAGGTGCTTCTCCTCATATTCGCCGGTCTTGGGGTTCTTGTGACGGAAGATGAAGTGAACCTTGTTGGTGGCACCACACTTATCAGGACCAAACATGATGACATAGGGAGTGCCGTTGGAGAACTCCTCCTGGTGGAGCTTCTTGTTCTCCTGGAGAAGCTTGAGGTAGGCACCGCCGCAAACGAGGGAGTCTAGAACAAGAAAATCGCGATCAGCACATGAAGACACAAGTACATATAAGCCGTGGTTACTTACTCTGTGGCTTAACCTCATATTGAACCACCAAGGTCTTGCCCTTGTTGTCAATCTTCTTGGGGAACTTGGCGGAGATGGCGTGGTGAGCAGCAGCGTTCTTCACGACCAGACCCTTGTCACCGTTGATGCCCTTGAGGACAGATGGCTCCTCAACTGCCCATTCACCAACATAAGCCCACTCATCGTCGGCCTTGGTGTTGTCCTTCTTCGCGTGAGAAGGCTTCCACCGCGACTCCCAATCATCGGTGAATTGCTCAAGGAAGGGAGCTTTGAGACTGGTAGGCTAGTAGAAAGAAACCTGAGTCAGCAGAGAAGAACAAAGAGAGCTGTTGTTTACATACTGTGAAGGCAGGCTTCTCAATGACAGTGGTATCCGCAGTCTCCTCCTCTGCATGGGCATAGCCCATGAGACTGGCAGAGGAGACCAGAGCCGATGTGAACGCAGTATTAAAGCGCATCTTGTACAAAAACCCGGAAGGAATGAAAGTGGAGCGCACACCAAGGTGAGGAAAAGAGGAGGCGGTTTTATACAAAGCGGACACTGGAGGAAGGTCCAGGTGGCCTCTTCACTAAGCTACCCAATCGGGACTAGGGCGTGTACACACAGGTTCGATCTTATTCTACGCGTCGACGTTAAATATGCTTGATTGACTGCAATTCGCTCGATGTTGAGAGCTGGAGAGTACTGGAGGATTTGATCTTTTTTTTTTTTTTGTTAATTCTCTCTTTTTTCCTCTCTAAATTTCCAACGTGAGCCATTGCTATGGATCGATCAGATATGAATGGCGTAGTGACTGTGTCCACTGCCAATGTGTCCAATGCATTCAAAACGCAGATCCCCGCCGATTGTTCCCCCCGCCCAATCAATCATTGGTTGCTCGGCACTCGCGCAAACTTCATCTCAGGAACACAAGTCTGCGCAATTGAATCCGATATTTGCCAATAGGTGAGTGCTCTCCCTACCTTGAAATTGCTTCACTCCTTACATCTACCTGGAGAGGTATCTGCACAGGGTTGCTAATCTATTTTAATCAGCCCACCATGTGCTCCACAGATCAAGCCGTCGCAACCATTGACAACAATGACCACTTAGTCCAATCCGATGATCCCGAACACCCAGCCAACCTGATCCCCGAGCTCTGCCGCAAATTCTACAACTGGGGATGGGTGACTGGTACTGGAGGTGGTGTAAGCTCATATCGCGAAGAAAAAAAAAGTGCAAGGATACCCCGCTGACGGAAATTAGGCCTCAATCCGCCAAGGTGACCACATATTCATCGCCCCATCTGGAGTCCAGAAGGAATTGATTCAGCCTCAAAATATCTTCGTACTCCAATGGCCCACCCCTAAGTACCCTCCCTCGGACCGCAGCTACATCCGCAAACCCCTCAAGCTCAACCCCTCCGCCTGTACCCCGCTGTTCCTGACTGCCTTTGAGCAGGGTGCTGGCTGCTGCATCCACACTCACTCGCAATGGGCGGTTCTGGTCACCCTGCTAGTGGAGCGGGAGAAGGGTCCTGACGCTTGCTTTGAGATCAACAACATTGAGCAGATCAAGGGCATTCCTCGCGGCAAAGGCAAGGGCATGCTCGGATTCTTCGATACTTTGAAGATTCCTATTATCGAGAACACTGCTTTCGAAGAGGACCTCACCAGCGGCCTAGAGGCAGCTATGAACAAGTACCCAGACACATATGCGGTCCTTGTTCGGAGGCACGGAATGTAAGTCATGCCAACCCAGTCCATGCGACAATCGTGCATATACTAATGCGCTGGTACCTACAGTTATGTCTGGGGCGATACTACCGCCAAGGCAAAGACTCAGTGTGAGAGCCTGGATTACCTGTTCCAGCTGGCTGTGGAAATGCACAAGCTGGGACTCCCCTGGATCAAATAAGTCCTGCGCAGTTTCTGATGACTTTCTCTTATATTGGGTGATTCGAGCTGGAAATTTTTGGATTGATTGCCGCGATATGAAGAAAGCTCCAATTTAAATGATGTGACGTATTGGCGTTGAAAACAAGCTAGTCGAGATGGGCGTTGTAGAGATGATTGAACGTTGGGCAGCATTAAGTCACATATATCCGACGGAGAAAAACCCTAATAGCTTCCATAGCATCAATTAATATTGTCAATTGTCAATAAAAAGAGTGGTGGTAATGCGCAATCTTCAAGACCAGCAGGCCACCTTGTGGACAACAGCCCAGGTGGCCCCGGATCCCGTGAGTGACTAAGGAATGCGGATCGGCCTCCACTCCAACTACGAGCTCTCCCTCGCCAACTACTGCACTAAGCTTCATTCAAACCATTATTGCCAATTTCTTGATTCATATTTGCGTCCTTTGCCTCTCCAATCACTTTTGATCTCAATCCGTAACAATGGATCTCGACTCGGGAGACTCCCCGTGGGGCGGTAAGCAATCATGAAACCACAGCTCTTTGAATTGCGGTCTGATTTAGGATGCAGATGAGCCTTCGCAGTTCAAGCCCAGCGAGGGCTCCAAACCCGATACTCAAGGAGACAGTAGGTTTTCTGTGGCTCGTCTGCTTTCTCCACGACCCCTCACTAAGCGCACTCAACCATATAGCAGCCGGACAAACCCCCGCGTCAGACAGCTCACCCGCTGTCCGGGCACCAGGAAGACGAGGTCCTCGAGGGACACGCAAGATCAGCGCACAGGCCACTAAGCTCGAATCTGTCGATGATTCCGTCGACCCTCTCGGCCCATTGGGAGAAGCGCCCATCGAGCCTACCCCGACACCCGCAGATGAGGCACCGGCACCGCCTCAGAAGGAGCCATTTGCCGGACGTAGCGCGCGACCACTTTCCCCACCCTCCCAGGCTTCTACCGGAGCGGGGGTAGCGGACCCTGCCCATTTGGAGGGGGAAAGCGCAAGTTTCCGAGGACCCCCGCCTGTGCAACCGCCCGTGGAAGGGGATGGGCCGAAGAGACAGACGCAGCCCAGCATGAGTGTGGAACAGGCTGCAAAGCCATCCTTCCAGATCTATGTCGGAGATCCGCACAAAGTGGGAGATCTGACGAGCAGTCACATCGTTTACCAGGTTTCGACAAAGGTGATTGGAGCCCACTATGTAGACGTGAAGCCTACGGGTCGGCAAAGAAAAAACTGACAGTAATTGGCATGATCAGACAACATCCAAGGCTTATCGCCAACCCGAATTTACCGTCAGCCGCCGATACCGTGATTTCCTCTGGCTTTACAACTCCCTGCACGCCAATAACCCCGGTGTGGTTGTTGCGCCCCCGCCCGAGAAGCAAGCAGTTGGCCGATTCGATACCAACTTTGTGGAGTCAAGGAGAGCTGCCTTGGAACGAATGCTAAACAAGATTGCCGGTCATCATATTCTTCAACATGATGGCGACCTGAAAATCTTCTTGGAAAGTGAAGCTTTCAATGTTGATGTTAAGAATAAGGAAAATCGGGAGCCTGATATTGGCCCAAGTAAGGGAATGCTCAGCTCCTTCGGTATTTCCGTTGGTGGAGGAAGCAAGTTTGTGGAACACGACGACGTAAGTGATACATTTTTGATATCTTGGTCTTGCCTACTGACAGATATGTAGTGGTTCCATGACAGAAAGATCTACTTGGATGCATTGGAGAACCAGCTGAAGGCCCTAATGAAATCAATGGACACTGTGATATTACAACGAAAGGGACTTGCCGAGGCCGCAGGCGACTTTTCGAGCTCACTACATGCTCTATCCGCTGTAGAGCTGTCTCCAGCTCTCTCATATCCATTGGAAGGCCTGTCCGAACTTCAGTTGCGGATCCGGGAACTTTATGACCGACAGGCGCAGCAGGATGTTCTGACTCTCGGCATCACGATCGATGAATATATTCGTTTAATTGGAAGTGTCAAGATGGCTTTCACCCAGCGCCAAAAGGCCTTCCACACTTGGCACGCAGCAGAGTCTGACCTCCAAAAACGCAAGAATACTCAAGATAAGCTCCTTCGCCAGGGCAAGACTCAGCAAGACCGCTTGAACCAAGCCAACGCCGACGTCGCAGATGCAGAGCGAAAAGTCCATCAAACACGACTGGTCTTTGAGGATATGGGCCGCCTTATGAGAAATGAATTGCAGCGATTCGAAAAAGAGAAGGTGGAGGATTTCAAGTCTGGCGTGGAGACATTCCTCGAAAGCGCAGTCGAGGCCCAAAAGGAGGTAAGTTCTTAAAACTCCAGCAGCCTTATCTCATGTAGCATCTATCTAACCCGAACCACCCATAGTTGATCGAACTTTGGGAGACATTCCTTTTGCGCCTAGATGCTGGCGAGGAGGGTGTCCCCTATTATGTGCCTCCATCTGAGGCAGATGAGACACCCGCCCCGGCAGAGCCTACAGGATCGGGCCCAGACTCGGCGCCACTGGTTGCTGAGGATGGTGCTTGATAACCCCTATGCTGAGCTGCTCTGAACTACGGATGCTGGTTCTTAATATTCGAAAGCAGCGCATTCTACTGTGTCTCATTTTGTATTCATTATGGAATATCCCTCTCTTCATGTTTGTTTATGCCATGCTGCAACTTATGATGGTCTTCAGCAAGCTTTGTCGTTTTTTCTTCCATTCTCGCTTCACTCCGAATACCACTGTTCGCGTATTGTAGCAAATCAATTCATTCTTTGCAGTGGCCAATAGACACTGCATTCGTCAATACCTAGCCCTTCTGTCCTTTCTCCTGCGTTAGACTGATACTAATCCTGTACTCATCACTTGCAGCCCCGAAGATGAGCACTTGCATCTAATCTCTCACAGCCGCACGGATTAGATGCGATACCGAGACGTGGACAACAGTCGATAAAACCGTCCATTGTAGTGCGTCACCTAGCTCTATGATAGCCATATACTCCAGGGCTACTATCAAGGCTGCACCTGGTATCTTTCTGTGTATAACTGGGCTGCAAATACCAAGTCTATACTGAACATCTCGCAATTCCTGGTGAAATCTACGTCTATATCTGATTCCACTAGAGACTTGACAAGTACCTCATTCTGTAAGTAGTCCGTCGCGAATTGGAAATACCCAATATAAATCGATACGCAGTGCTACCCTTGTTGAAATCAGCACAGTATGACATTCACCTTCCACTATATCCCCAACAAGATTTCCAACAACTCCTAATAACGTAGGTTCATTCAGATCAGGGATATCCACCGACGAAATGACAGAAATCGCCGTCGACCTCTGAGACTCAGCCAATGTCAGATTCATCTGCGCAACAGGCCATTCATAGACTGGGTGGTTCTAGGTATTGCCCTTTCTGGTTTGTTCCTTGGATATAGTTATGATGTCTCGCTTGATAATAAAGCTCTCAATTTGTTTATTTGAGGTTGTCCGTTGGTAACATCGTCTGTAACGAGTGCATTGTGAAGAGGATTATAGAGGCCTTCGGAATACCCGGACCTTTGACCCCAGATACAGAGTTTGACGTCCTCAATGTCCCCGTCAGGAGTCTGATATGGATATACAAGTTAAATATGGTTCTCGATATTTCTATAGCCAGACTCACAGAGTTTAGCTTCTGGTGGGGTTGTGTGAGATCCTTGTGAGGTCTTTATGAGCGTAAACAGGTAGTAGTGTGCCCATGAGCGATGAAGAGGATGGACAAGATAAAATCCTCTCGGAGACAATAAACAGGAGATAGGGGGCTCCGTGGAGAGAAAAAGAGACTTCAAGGGGAACAGAGAGACTTCAAGTAAAGCCGATATATATAGAGCATGGATGAGGGAAAAGATGAATTCTTGGTATAATACAGCAGGCTCATACCAGACATATGTATATTGTACAAGATCAAAGACAAAGAAAAAGAAACATCAAAAGAAAAAAAATCCCAACTCCCGACACAAAACCAGGTCAACCTGATTACGATGCTTATTTCTTGCCGGCGAACTTGGGAACCTTCTTCTCAGGCGGGGGTGGCGCCTCATTCTGACCGAAAGCACTAATCAAATCGAGCAGGTTATCCTCTTCCTCCTGCTCTGCCTCAGCCTGTGCCTTAGCATCCGCCTCAGCCTTCTTCGCAGCAACAGGGTCCTTGGCTGCATCGGCATCAACGGGCGTGTTGGCATCGAAGCCGCGACCGAATCGGGCACGGAAAGCTGCCAGACGACCGGCCTCGTCGTCCTCGACGTTCATCAGCTTGCTGCTGGATGGGTTCCAGAGGAGGGAGTTGCGCGTGTCGCGCGTGGAGCGGTAGATCGGGGCGGGCGAGGTGGTGCGGTGGGTGAAGGTGCTGCCGTCCGAGAGCGTGATGAGCTGTGTGAAGGTGTAAGGGCGCTTAGGGCGACGGAGGAGTGTTGCGTGTCGGCATTGCGAGCAGACGAAGGTTGTGCCGCTTGATTGCGTGGGTCTTGTAGGGAGAATGGTGGTTGTTGAGTTGGTGATTGTGGCCGCGGTGCGGCGGAGGGAGGTGTGCATGGACATTTCGAATGGGTGGGTTCTTCAAGGCCAATGCAATTATTCGTAAAGGATTATCGAGGTCGGCGGAGATTGACGGGGCCGCAATGCTATCGGGGAGGATGCGGAGGTTCGAAGTTGAGCCCGAAGCAGAGAAATTATCGCGGGTTATGTAAGCGGGTTTATGATTTCGGGATTTTCATAACTTCGGATGACTTCATGTCCTATGGCTCTGGTGTCTCTTTGGTTTCTCCTCTGATCTAGACATGAATTGGATGAGTCGGAATATCTGTGATTTTGTATCCTGCGTGATTCCCTGAGCGCCTTCGAAAGCCCCGTCAATTCCAGGCCGGGATGAAGCTTGTAATTCCACGAGTCGCGCATGGAGCTGCTCGGACAGGGCTCGGAGGTAGGGTTCCATGACATATCTCCCAGAAATTCTATCCAGCGTACTAATGGCGTCTTTTAGAGCTGTCATTCATTAAGAACTACACACCCCGAGCCCTGGGCACATCTCTATCCCTCCGAAGCTCTCCACTTGTACCAAATACTGAATACCGACCACGATGTGATCAACGACGATATACCAGCGATGCTACAGTATCTTTAAAAGAGGAGAATCCCACAGGGAAGACGACTCTTCCATCCCACGAAAGCAATGTACAACAACCGCCCCAATCATCCTCAACATCTATATCCGACCAAGTCCGCCTCCTCATGCGTCGAGTCCCTTACCCCGTCGCAATCATCACAGCAACCGATCCCTCCGGCCCAGAAGATACAACCTCCTTCCGCGGCATGACCGTCTCCTCTTTTAGCACCGTTACCCTCACTCCCCATCCGGTGATCTCGTTCAACGTGCGCCGCCCATCAGAAACTCTGAATGCGCTACTTGCTTCGCGCAGGTTCCTAGTTCATTTGCTTGCACCGGGGCCGGCGACTGCTACCCTCGCAAGAGACTTCTCTAAGGGAAATAATACTCTCGCTGCTATATTGAGCGGACACGGGGAGTTTGAGTTTGCGGCTTTGCCTACTACGAATGAAGAAGGGCTCTCTCAAAAACCACTACCTATTCTCAAGCGGAGAGGGGAATCAGCCGCTGCTGATACTCGTGCTGATTTCCCTTTCGTATTTGAATGTGCCCTGCATCCGCAGAAGATTGATGTGCAGGATCACTCGATTGTACTCGGTACTGTTGTTCGCGCAATTGAGGGCTCTGAGTCTGTTTTGACTCAGGATGGTGCAGAGTTGAATGAACACTCACCTGAGCACCTTTGTTTAACATATGCAAATACCAAGTTCTGGAAGATGGGAGGTGAGCTTTGAACTTGGTTCTCTAAGACTCCGGCATGTCTGTGTTTGTTTGGGCTTGGATGGATAAGGATTGTAAATATACATGGGAACTTGGCGTTTGTTCTGTACATAGACTTTGAATTACCTAGACACACACACACTATTTACTATACGATTTTCCAGTAATCACAGGTGACGGAGATGAGAAATGCTTTCATGATATTGATGCGTCTACGCTTTTTGTGAAAGAGAGAGTATACAAGAACCGAGTATAGAACACATTTTGTCGGTGTTAAGAACACAACTGCCATGTATCTCACTTCCATCGGAACCATCCAGCCGCTATCCCATCGCGAGACACGTGCCGCAGTACCACAGTAACCCAAGAGACCAGGAGCCATCACAGCATCGGCCGACGAGAAAGAAGTTGACACCAACCGAACGGAACTAAAAGCACGGACGCACAATACCTAAGACCATTTCTCGAAAGACGAGCAGGAAGTCGAGATCGAGCACTGATGTGGCAGCGTAGCTAGACATCAGATCATGAGACCAACCGCCCAAAACTAGTCTCGCGACGAGTGCGGACTGCCGGTCCCACTTCCACTGCCACCACTGCCGCCACTGCCAGTGCCACTACCTCGACTCACTGCTCGCTGGAAAGGACTCAGAATTGGGCGACCACCCTGAAGCAGAAAGCCATTTCCGTCAAACCCAGAGCGAGGTTTGGTTTCACCAAGTAATTCGGCTAGGTCGAGCTGGAGAGGCGGCAGACGGGCTGTGTCCAGGAACTCAGAGTCAAATTGGCTGCGAGTAGAGCGATTTGAGAACGAACGGTCCCGGTGGTTGACTTCCGACCCAAAGTATGAGCCCACGTTACCGATGGGAGACGTTGGAAACTGTGGGAGGAAGGGTAGGTCCTGCGAAGGGCTCGTTGGATTCGACGGCATTTCGTGAACTGGCGAAGACGAGATCTGCAGTGGACTAGATCTCGCAGGGGGAAAGCTGAGACCCAACAAAGATCGAGCAGTAGGCGCAATGGTCGTAGACGCGTTGAATAACGGACCACTGGTCTCGGGGAAAGGGTTAGTGCCTGGTAGATTGCCTTCGGGAGTGAGAGGACCAGACTCGAGGAGCATCTGCTGTTGCTGTTGCTGAATGGACTGCTCGATTGCAGTTGCCTGCTGCCAGAGTTGACTTGTGCGTAACTGGAAGTCCTGAACAGATTGGCTGATGCTCGCAAATTGCTCATGGAAGTTGGTCTCCATCTTCGATTGGTCCTGCTCTCTGGCAAATTGTTCTGCGGCCCGGCGTTCTCTCTCATTCAAGCCTTGGGCATTGGCTGAGATGATACGCTCATACTGCTCGTTCACTCGGGTACGGCGACCCTGGAGTCGTTCCCGCTTCTGGATAGCCTGATTCAGTTCCGACTCCAGTGCTGCCACCTGCTGAGCGGCAGCTGTACGAGCAGCAGAAACCTCTTCCTTGGTCGAATTGAAAAGCTCCACTTCACGTTCGAAATCCGCCTTATGCGCTGTCCATTCTTCCATCTCCTCCTCAGGGACCTTTTCCATGGTGTCGAGCTGTACATCGAGCGCCGCAGTGGCTTCTTCGGTTTGGCGAATGTTTCGTTCCAATTGAAGTGAGCGTTGCTTCTGCCGATTCTCGTCATTTCCGCTGTGGAGGCGAGTGTTGAAGTTCTCTAGTTCTTTCCGAATTTTCGAAATGACAGCCTTGTGGTCATTCTTCGTCTTCTTCAAGCGATTGCGCTTTTCGTTTAGCTTGGACTCCGCGTTGCTGATGGAGTTCTTGAGCGTCGTTGTGGGGGATGATGGACGGTAAGTCGGCTGCGGGGGTGTTGATACTGCGGAGACCACTATGTAACCAATCAATACCAGCAGAAAGAAACAGTTCCTTAAAATATCAACATACCTTGCTCTGTGTCAGTTGTTATAGGAGTCTTGACACTCATGGCGCAGATTTCCTCATCGGTATCACTTCGCACAAATGCACAGGTGTACGCGCAATTAGGAGCAAGTCCAGCGATTTCACCACGCCATTGAACCACACTCGGCCCTTTGGCATCCGAAACCCTGCAGATCGAAGCTGTGGCCCAGAGCGCACCGTTGACGCAGACGTAGAACGGTTCCATGTCCCCCTCTAAACGCCCGGCTTCAAAGGAGCCGGAAATAGCGGGGTCATCGGTAAATTCACCCGCGGCAAATTTGATCGAGGAGCTGTCCACATCCGTAATCCATACTAATCCATCGTCGAGAGAAACGCCTTGCAGATCCTCCTCTGTCATTGTGATATTGCGAGCCGTCTTGGAAGTAGCTCGTGAATGTTCATATTCTCGCATAACCGTGACCTTTGTACTGGCGAGAGCAGCCCAGAACGGTTGACGGCTCCGAACTTGATTGGCTTGCCGTCTGCGTTTCTTGGCTGATGTAAAACGATCCTTTCCGTCCTTCAATTGACCGTCAGGCCCAACGAAAGAAGACGAAACACTAGCAGCAGATTCTAGAGCAGAATCTGCTTGTCCTTGTGACCCCGCAGAAGCCTCGGTATCACCCCGCTTGCCAGCCCGTAACGGTGTCGGTGACCGATTCTTGGCCATCGAACGTCGTGCCATTGCGGTTCCGGCTTGTGCTAGGATGTGCACCGCAAGAAGGCTGCGAAGCCAGCTTGGGGAAGTTTGTGCTTCGGAGCGTCGGAACTCGGCGGGTAACAGGTGCGAATATTGAGAGAGGATATCGGGACTGAGTAGTTTAGCAGAGACAAGATGACCCAAAACAAAGTCTTGAATGCCTTTGCTGCGAACAAGATGAAGAAGCAGAACAATTCCGACACAGAGAGCGTTAACCCCGCCGTTCTTCCCGGAACCCCCGCCACCCAAGGTGATAGCAACCTGGACATGAGCGAGATCGATGGCGAAGTTCTGTGCCCATGTCCACATAAAGAGGCCCCAGAGCAGTATGCAGAACCCATCCATCGCAATCATAGTCCCCAGAGATGGCGTTCCAGCCGGACCCTGAAAGATATCAAAGTTCGACGATAAGGAACCGGCTGCGGCGCCACTCGGAGGCATGAAAGTCAATGAGGCGAATAAGAACTGAACCAGAGTCAAGACCATCGGCGGAAGTTGCAGCAGAAAAATCAAGATGGCGATGGTGTCATACATGGGGCACGACTTCAGAATGGTGGATGCGAGCTGGAGCGGATTGATCGAGGCATTGGATCCGGAGCGTTTCGAGTTTCCATTGCGAGAACCATGGCCTGCCATGCCCCCGTTCTGGGACACATCGTCGACTTCCTCCGCACATGCCATTTCTGCACCCTTGCTGTGTCCGTTCAACATTCCACGCACATTGCCATCTACCTTCGTGGTATCCCCTCCTTTGCCGGAAGCTGTCGGAGATACAACGGCCGTGTCGCTCGTAGACCGTACCGAAGCTAGATCGAGGTGAGCAGACGCGCCCGGACCGGTAGCAGAGCCGTTGCCCGAGGTGCCGTTCAGATGGCCGCTTGACCTTTGCTTAGTTACTTTCTTGCCGGGACCGACAACGCCATTCTCCTGCCGATTGCTCTGGTTCTTCCTAGCCGCAGCGGAGCGTGGCATGGACGAGGGAGCCCGAAACCCAGGTCCGAGTCAGCTTGGCGGGATGAAGCCAAGGACTGGGACCAGGAAAAAGGCGAAAACGGACTAAAATTGGATGATGTGAGGAGTGAGGATGTGGTGTAAGTCGTGATATAATGAAGATGGGAAAGAAAAAGAGTCGAAGGTAAAAGGGAAAAAGAAGAGAAAGAAAAAGGAAAAAAAGAGAGAGAGACAAGAGACGATGCTCTACGGGAAGCGTGAAGGGGAAATGGAAAAGTGCCCAGGTGGAATTGTATGAGGTCGAAAAGAAACAGAGCTGGTATTGGTATTGTCACTGCCTGTCGATCACCGGTACTTTTGGGGTAGGCGGTACCTAGGTTCAATACCATCGGCCCTTAGGCCACCGAGGTACTGTGTACCTGAGAACGACTGCAAATTCGCATCCGCCAAAGCTGGTATTAAGGCTGTGCCTTAGGTATTCCCGTGGCTTCTTTGTCGATCTGGAGTTTCTGCATGGAAAATCCCAGGGCCCAACCCACCGCCAAGCTTTCCCTGTTAAAGAATGTGTTTGACAATCCTCTTTTACTGTTGACAGGTCACGCTCTCACCTACGGTTGCCAAGTCATGCAACGCGGATACTTACACGTCGACCAATCCTAAGCTCTTTGCTTTCTGAAATCTGACGAATGTTACCGAATCGGTCCTGCCTCGGATGGAGGTTTTTCCTCGGACTAGCGCTGAGAAGCTAGAGGCGATGGAGTACTTCATACTTCGTACTTCGTACAACATACGTTGTACTCCGTGCAGACTGCACCCTACAGATCAACTTGGACACCCGTTCAGATCATTGGTGCCTATTTGCTAACCATCTACTCCGTACTCCGTATCCAGTTGATGATCGACCAGGCCTTGACCCGTCTGCTGCGGGGTCATCCTTGCAACAGACTTGCGACAAACGTTACGAATCCTCATGGTACTCCGTATGATGTGATAGATTGCCGATTAAAATGTGCTTGTTGGTATTGACGCGACTGGGCAGAGAAACCATGGGAGATACATAGGTATGGGAAACAGAAAAGCTTGTGTGTACAACATATTAACAAGGCTGACCACATTCTCGCTGCGATCATCACATGCTCGGCTATCTCGTGCATCCTCCTGAAAGCTCCGCACATAAAACAATCCACAGATTTGCTGGGTGGATCTATAAAACGTGGTGTTCGAGGACATGCCTTGATGGCGCAGGCTAATGCGCTACATGCACCATAAAACATAGGACATTTGAGAGGAAACATGCAAATTACAGTCTTGGCCCTTTCCGATCTTCCCCCTCCTATGCGATACCCAGGCTTGGCAGGGTTTCGTAGATCAGCCACAAACTTAGTAAAGATCGGCCCGACAGCCGTGATGGCTTTGGGTGATTTTTGATTCATGCGGTGAGTCCTACCTCTTTTGTACACCTCAGAATTGATTAGTTTTAGCGCTTTGCACTTCTAAGTTTTGAAGTTGAATATTCCCTCCCCCCCAAAAAATTACTCAATTGATGGTAACCTCTTCATACTGGCGTTGTTTTAGCGTGCCCCCTAGCCTTTTTTTTAGAACCGGATTTTACCTGGGTCCGATCAAATTCGGCTTGTTACGGTCGATCATTTCGGGTTTTCTGCTGGTTCCGGCATCCATGTCCTGGTTCGGCAGAGTCTTCAAGTGCATGTACCGCCCTCATGGGTCAGTAGTTGCCAAAGGCAAAGAATAAATATCCATGGATGCACTTTAGAATCATCGATCCTGGGAGATAGCTTGTAAAGTGGATTTGTATGTGCGTCCTGGGCCCTTTTAACGTTCTGTCTTTTAGTTTGTTCAATTTTCCATACAGGGTAGTTCGTGGGTCCAAATGCGCTTAGAGTTTACTCTGGCCGCATCGAGTTAGCACAGTGGCCAGGAACCTAGGTAGAACGTTTACACCACGTGCACGTACTCCGTAGTATCCGTGGTGCTACGGAGTACATGACGCTGTTTCCTGCATCGGGGATATCTACACACCGAGTGTACATCCTAGAATCTACACCGAATCCAACATGTCATAAAACACAATTTCATTCGAAAGATACGAGTGGTATACGCCCGTACGCGCAAATTTCACTTGGAGGGTCAGAATAGCGAAATGTACATTTTATTCCCTTGTTTCACCTTGATTCTGTAACCGGTTAGGAATGAGCTCCGAAGCAGTGTATGAAATGTGGAAGGAATGAACAAGGGATATATAACAATCTTCACAATATGTAGATGGATAATATGTATCCAAGCGTACATACTTCGGCGGGACAAACCTAGAACCCCAGGTTTACATTCCATCCCCCGCTTATTGTTAACTTAAATTCGAAGCAAGATTCTTTTGACTTACCTTCATGATTTGGTCTGTGCGAGTGGCATCTTGTAATGTGAAGATTCCAGGGCTTCAATCTTTCAGCCTAGGCAGATATCAGCCACCATAACCCAAGTTTGTTCTTTTCTCTTTGGATTTTACACACTATGCTTTTCCGGTTTTAATTGAGCATCAAGACGATATCAAAGGGATCACTAGAGGCGCACCGTATCTTATGTCCCAGATTAATTCTCGGTCAGCTATCAAGAGGCGTCTAGGTAAAAATCTGCTGCCCCGGAGAACATTTAGAGGCGGGATTCTAGGCTCTCTGAATCCATGGCCCCGCTAAAGCAGCGAAGATAAGATAGACAAATAGACAACTGGAATGGACAATATCAATTTTAGTGGCTTCTTAGCACATAAACGAGCATCGGAATAAGTGTCATTGACACGAAGACAGCCAAACCACCTAATAGGTATTAGTGAAATGTTATTCCTCTTCTATTCCCTGTTCACGCTATACAACCATCAAAAATACTCATGTAAATACACCTAGGAAACCATGAGGGTAACGTACTGTTGTTGAAATAGGCACCTGCCAAACCGAGGTCGCACCTGTACCATATTAGTAATCGCCATCGTGCGGGACCTGGCGTGGGGGTCTACCTGAGCAGACCCACGGATATCATTCAGAGCCGCAACCTTGTGACACCTAACCTAGAGGTTCCAAGAAATCACCCAAGTCAATTCCTACAACCACAGTCGGAAGGGTCACGTATAAAATGTCGCAGACTAAGTCCACATTTCTCTCGCGAGAGCCCCTGGTATGTGCTCCTAGCCCGACGATACTATTCGCACCACTCATGACAGTTTCAGGATTCCCAAGAAGCCAAGTGGAAGCGATTAGTGATAACGCATTACATCGATCCCCACGGGGTCAAGAGAGATTGGGAGTCTGCCGAGCGCCAGGTACACATTTTCTCCTTGTACATAGATCTGATTACAACGACCTAATCAGATTCATATTTATAGACAAGACCAAAAGACTCCCAGGTCGACGGGGTCAGCATTGTCGCTCTTCTGAACAAACCGGGTGGTTGTGAGATCCTTCTGGAGAAGCAATATCGGCCCCCAATCGACCAGGTCGTCATTGAGCTCCCGGCAGGATTAATCGATGCAGGAGAGACAATCGAGCAGACTGCGGTTCGAGAGTTGAAGGAAGAAACTGGGTATATTGGCGTGGCAAATAGAACTAGTGGTATCATGTACAATGGTGGGTCTATTTTTTTGTTTTGTCATTGAGGATTCGCTGACTTTGAGATGTCCTATTTAGATCCGGGATTCTGCAACGCTAATCTCAACCTGGTCTATGTTCAGGTTGACATGTCTCTTCCAGAGAATCAGAACCCCAAGCCGGAACTTGAGGATAACGAGTTTATTGAATGTTTCACGGTGCCGGTGTCAGATCTTTCTGCTGAGTTGCAGAAGCTGGAAAGCGAGGGGTATGCGATCGATGCCCGGATAGCATCTATTGCAGAGGGGATTGAGATTGCAAAGAGCTTGAAGCTCTGAGTTGCCCGATTGGTAATATTGAAAGTCGAGTTTTTGTTGCTTTCACCGGTAGGAATGCGAACCACGTGTGATAATAGAATGATTTGCGGGTGACTTGCTGCTTGACGATATCAGAAATATTGATATAGAAACACCCCAATGACATCCAAAGAAATCATTAAAAAAGCGAGAAGAGGTATTGCTACTCCTGAGTTCTCAGGCTTAGGCTCGCAAGTGCCAATCCTGTACCAATAAGATCTGAGTTGAAAACCAAGCTCATTTTAAACATGATATTCTAATCCATTTCAACTGCCTCTATTGACAATATAACCAAATGGACAACCCTCGCCTGAGCTATCTGTTGGACACACTTGAGACAAATCGTATGTACAAAGCGCAGAGAACCGCATCTGTCTAATCAAGTGGCCGAAAGATTAGCAAAGGAACATACTCCTTCGCAGCTCCACATGAACGCGCAACTTTAATTACTGCGACGCAGATCCGTGGTCCTCGACAGCATCGGCCGCATCCCAGCTCTCAAGCTCAAGAGTACGGACTCGGTTTTCAATATCTGCAATTCGCTGAATCCAGTCCTTCTTTTCCTGCTCTTGCAGTTTCCAGATAATCTCGAACTGCTCCTTGACAAATGGTGGGAATTCAGTGGCCTTGCGGTTCTTCGGGTAGTCATAGATCACAATATCCTCGAAGCAACGAGCAGCAGGGCGTTGGTGGGCTTCAGAAAGGATCATGAGTTCAAACCGGAAGACTGATTGGGATGATAGATGCCCAGACGAGTCTTCAATCAACTTGTGGTAGACAGTGACTTTGTCGGGGGATTCCATAGGCTGCGCAACAATTAGTAAATTGGATTATTTAGATCCTGTCCCAGACATGCGGGTTCAGGTCCTTAGGATACTGTACAAATTTATAGTCCACTTTGATACTCTTTAGAATCAGTCCGATTCCCTTGGAGCTAACCATGTTGGTCCATTCTTTTTTGTTTGCGGGATCAATGTGTGTCCCGATCTTGCGTGTCCAGTTGACTCGAGCCGTTTCGGCATATCGGACATAGGTAACGTTGTTGACGTGACCTACATGGATGTGTTAGTACTGCATAACTAGCACGCTCGCAGGGAGCAGACAAAAGAAATAGAGATAAGAGCCATACCCTAGTTCCCATGTTAGTGTTGATCCAGAAATCCGAGGTTGTATGTACAGCAAATGCAACAGCCAGGGGGGTACGGATGTTCTCACCATCAGATCCTAAGCCAACACAAAGAAACCTAGCATCAGCAACTTTTTCTCCCAATTTATATTAAACTGTCTATGCATCAGACTCCTACCTGTTCTCCCCAGACCACATTATGACGAAACAGAGCGCGCCGGTTCTTATCCGTGAGGAATCCCTCGCTTCCAGCGATCAATTCTCGCCATTCCCCAGCCAATTGCTGCAAAATCTTTCCCCCCTCTTCAATCTGAGCTGGATTCATCCCAAACATCAAACATTTCCCAATCCTCCGTTTGGTCATGGTGAGCCATCGCGCATCGATCGGTTTTATCGCCGAATGCGCAACATTTTGGCCGCCGGAGGTTACTGGGGAGGTTTGAGAGAATAGACGACGGGTGACATTTGGATATGGAGAGATTGAGGCAGGGAGATGCGCTCTGAGAGCTGGTCGGGCGAACATTGTCGTGTCGTTGTGGAGAGACGTAAATTGGAGAACATCCCCAGACTTTCGATTTGGTCGGCCCTTCGATAACCGATAAATGGGAAAGCTCGGGCCACTATCGGCGACAACCCCGCGCGATTACCCGCCTAGGCTCGGGGCTACAGTATAGGTAGTATTAGATGGTTCTCTAGATAAATATTTATGTGACTCTACTGTCATCTCTAAGTCAAGTATGCAATTGATATCGCGAGGATTTGAATTGACCAAAAAGTGGTAATGTAATGTAAGGAGAAACCCATGTCACGGGAGCATGGACGAACTCCGCTCGGCACGTCACCGATAATCTCCGAATCCTGGAAGCTCCCCGTTTAACCACCTCTGTTGTACCGCATCTGCCCTTCATCCCACCTAACAAACTACCCGAATTATCTTTGTTATCTTTGGATGGGGCAGTCATGGTGAACATCGAGCTGCGCCGACAGGTCATCAATGTCTACAAAGGTATGCGGCTATATGCGCCATGGCACCTTTACAATCCACCTCTAGACAAATCACCTGTCCAAGCTAATACCTCGAAATATACGGAGTAGAGCTCCTATTCTTAGGTAGAGAGTACCCCCTGGGTTACCAGTATTTCCGGGATCGGCTACACCGCGCGTTTGCGAGCCAAAGCCAGATTACCGACGATGAACAGATTCGCAAGGGAATAGCAAGGGCGGAGTTTGTGAAGAAAGGTTGGTGTTGTCTTTTGCCGAGGTCCTCGACTGTAATATTTCGTCGAGTCAAGAATTTGATGCTAACTGCTCTATACAGAAGTGGAAGCGCTGTAAGATTTATCCCTACGTTCCTCCCCTTTCCTCCCTATTATATCTCACCCGAGCTTGTTCCCCACCCCATTACCACGTACATTGCTGGGCTACAGTCATGTGGTATAGTGGAATTATTCATATATGTCATTCTTCTATACATTGCTTCCATGATGGAGTGTCTGGCTAGATACACTGTGCATAGATTCCCTCCTCATTATCATGGCATCATGCAAAGACCCTTTTTTTCACCCCCAGCACAAGACATTTGCGTTGATGGGCACTGACAAGATAAACAAAAAACTTAGGTACTATTTGAAGCGGTACCGAACGCTGAAAAAGCGATATGGAGGTGAGGCCTAATCTTTCCATGGCTCTCACCTCGTCTCCAGAAATGTTCAGATCATATGCATGTTAGAAACCCAGAAAGACAGAAATAAAATTGGGGTATCACCAATACAAAGTGCAGAATGGTCATTGCTTGACTTTCGCCCGGAACTCCGAATTGACTCGAGGGGTTTTCATATTTTTTGACCCCACCAGGCACTCACTTCGAGACACTCGCCGCTGGCGAGTCCGCCTTTCTGCAGGAGGTCGGCTGTCATTGCAGCCCACCATCGGTCCCATTCGTCACGGCCCTTCCCGCTAGACTCCATCAAGATCGGCTCCAGCCCTTCAATCATCTGGATTGTGGTGAGAAGAGCTGTGCGTCGGATTGAGCTTTGCTCTGGGGTCAGGGCCTTTCGTGGACGGCCCTTGGAATCTTTGCCTTGGCCGTCTCGCTCCCAGCGCAGGTCGCCCAATGGGATTGCAACGCGGCGACTGTCGACATTCTCCAACAAATCCACTTCGGAATTGAAGGCTAAGCCGATAGTCGCACATGGGAGCGCTGTTAATTTGAGGCGGTCGAATGCCTTCTCCACCCAGGAGTTATAATCAACCAGAAACTTATTCTGCGCTCGTGTGAATGGTGTGGCGGGAGAGAATGTATAGGTAGCCGTTGTATCGGCGATCTCCTGTTCTTTTGAGGTGGCTTTGCGGGCCGGAGCCGGGTTGGGTAGCAGCGAGCGGAAACTCCAATCTGAATCCCATACTTCTAAGATACCTCCAGACTTCAGCACCCGCAGAGGTTCACCCAATCCTGATGCAGATTGCGCCGGGCTGGAAGGACACATGCCGGCATCTTTAATGAACACGAAATCAAAATAGTCGTCTGGAAAGGGCAAGCGCGCTCGGCGTAGGTCATGGCGTTTGAACTGCCAGTTCATTCCCTGCTTGCGCAGATCCGGCGCAATGGAGATGACATCGATTCCGGCAAAGGCGACATCGGGATGGCCCTGGCGGACGAAGTATTCATGGCATAGACCGGACCATAGACCAGACCCGCATGCGATCTCCAGGACGCGTTTGGGAGGCCGATTGGCCAAGTGGGGGTTGCAAAACGGGCCGCCGAGGACGCGCAGCAACATCAACGTGCGCAAGCTTTGGCGGTGGATCTCGGGTAGGTCGCAGGGCAGCGGGTAGGTATTCTCCGGGTCGCGAAAGTAGGTGCGATCGCCCTGGCGCATCAGAGGGTATGTCGAGTAGTCTGTGAGCGAGCCCAGGGACGAGGAGGAAGTTGCGGCCATTGTTGAGCCTAGGTTGGAGTGTAGGTCGGACGCGGAGGCTGCGGCGGCGGCAGCGAACCCTAGTGCCATTGTGTCCATATCACTTTCCGCTCAAGTATCTCGATTGGTGTCTCCGATGACTCTGAAGATGGGTCGTGGACTCGGTCGCATACTCGGCGCTAAGTTGAGACTCATGAACGAGGCATGCTTTTGCTTGGAAACTTTTAAGGAAGATATCTCCGAGGCCAAAAAAGTGAATTAAAATAGAATGAGTTGAACAGGAAAGGTAAGATGGGACCAAAAGCGGGTTTGGAAAATATCCTTAGTGCAGGCGGGCGCAACTGAAGAAATTTCTTATTCAACGTCGAACAAAAAGAAAATTCCTGAAATTTCTTATGTTCCTCAATGGCCATACAAGGGTCCAGAGAGAAGAAAATATCTTTGTCCGAGAAGAACGGGGGTGTGGGAGGGAAATGGAAAGGAAAAAGGAAGGCCTAGTGAAGTGACCCCTGGAAGTGGCATTGAATATCCACTCGTAGTTTTTTAGTCTCTGCACGTAACAGTACTTTACTCCCCCAATGTCCAATAGTTGTATTGTGTGAATCACTAAGTACGGGGGGGGGGATGGGGGTTCTGAGCCAATAGCATCTATTCTGTCTGTTTCACCTTGCAGTGAGGATTTGGACTCCGGAGGATTTTCTGTATATGATCACTCACAAAACCGTTGACATCACGACTCCAATGGCAACCATGGGCTCTGGTCTGGGCTGTGACCGGAAGCGGAAGGCTGAAGCTCACAATATGGTTGACTCAATGACCAAGCCACCTTCCTACACCACTATTTCGAGGGTTAGTCGGGGACATTGTTCTCGCTAACATTGGTCTGTTCTGGAGTGTACCTCGTACAGGTGCGAGTTATGGACAAGGCCTGAGAAATCATGTCCTCTGCACTCTGCACTCCACACTCCGGGTCACCAGGGTCTCGGAAAACCTCCCATTTGACACAATTGATAAGATACATCACGCCCCAACGTAGAGGTACATATGTACTCAGCACATATCCAACCTCACTATGCAGGGACCATGGCAAAAAGTGGCTTCAGTACTCCGTAGTAATGTATCCCGTAAGACCGAAATACCGTCGGAGATGCCCCCAATCCAGACTACCGGGTACATCCTCCGTAGTCCGGGCTTCTGGGCCCAAAGCCTGAGGCCGAGCCCTCTATCTGATACAGACCCCATAGGGTTGTCCCGTACTCCGTGTCCAACGCTAAAATGGTCCCAGGCACCTGTTCTTGGTATCGGCCACGCGACTTGGTCTTCACAGACTGTGATCCGTGCTCGTTCCGCTCGGCAGGGTGAATATTAACCGTACCTGCAGAGAGGATTCGATCGACACCATAGCGTCGCCACGTACTTTTGGTTGGGACTAGTCTAGTTTTTTTTCCGCCAGACGGAGTGACAGAAGATAGATCGTACGGTAAGCCAAAAAAAAACAAGGGGAGAGGAAAAATGAGGAAAATGATTTAACGCGCTGATAGGGCGTTGTTGCACCAAGCCACCAGATGCATCCCTTCTGGTGAATATGCGAGTATACAAGGTCTGTGCCACTGTGCAGGAGTTCTACACTTTACACATCACCTGTTGGAAGCATGCGACATTCCCAGACGGAGTACGGAGGATGTATCAAGGTATTGCAGAGTACGGAGTAGACCCTGCCCAGACAGGTCGAAACTATGGGAAAATGAGGTACTATTTGTTTACTCTGTTCCGTAAACGGCAGGAAATAGATTAGCACGGAGACGGGATACAATCCTCCCGGGAGTGATCTTGCGTATACTCCGGAGTACGAACTACCATCTACCGGTGTGTATTGACGTGTATGAAGAGGTACATCACTACCTAGGTATCTGGGTTGGGGGATCCAAGAACAATCGACAAGTACAGAGCTCCTCCGTACGGAGTACAGGATGAGAAGATCATTACCCCATACTCCGTACACCATGCTTAACTGAGGAAATCGAGCAATGATCAGTCCATTCAACGTGTCGAGGTCTTACCCCAGAGGTTGAAACCAGGACGCTCGCTACGACACAAAATTATTTTAGTCCGGTTGACATCACAAACGAACCAATCCCAAAATTGGACTCGGGTTGAGAAGTTGGAATGCTAGCGCGGTCAAGACCATATTAGACCATTGTTCCATCTTGCCGTCTAGGTCTTCTGCCCTCTCTGTCCCAATTCATTATTGTGTATCCCGTATCTCACATCTATACCCAGTCCCAAAATATGCCCAATCGATACCTAGCACTAAAGAGGCTCAGGCAAGATGTCTGGGCAGAAACAGAATCCGATTTGTACTCTGTACACAGTTCGAAGACGGTTGCGTCTGTCTGTGGTGTTGGCAACCCCAACCACGTGGCCTATCTTCATACCAATCATCGTAGGAAATAAGAAGATGGAGATAAATGTGCAAGCCTGGTGTGAATGAGAGAAACCCCCAGCCCGTTCCCAACTGCCACATTCAGTCGCTGAATTCGGGGAATCGCCGTGTTCTTGGCAACTGGGAAGCTCCCACAGCTGGCAAGACTTGGCCCTTGCGGCGATTCACGTGATCCCGTGACTCCCGCCTCGCTGCAAACCACCAGTGTCATCTCAGGACGTCCTCATCGACCTGGAGACAATCGTGTGATTTGCTCATCTTTGCTACGTCAATCTTGCCCCACAGGGTCTCTTCGACTCCCTGTCACTCGATCGCTCATTACTCCTTTTCATCACTCCTTCTTTCAACCCGTCCGCCCAATCTCCGCCCTTTGGTACCGCTCCCACTGCACACCTCAACTCTCAGCGTCAAAGTCCCCGGTGGCGCTCAATCTGGTTTGATCGAGGTGGTTTTACGTGAGCTCTCTATGTTGAAGAAGAGAAGAGACCGTCTCCGACCCTCTACTCCTCTCACTTTGACTCAACGCAACTCAGCGCTGTCTCCCCACCAACAGGTTTTCCACCAGGGAAACAACACACGGTCTCGTCTGCCACGTTAAATGGCAGATGGTACCTACAGGTTCCAGCAGCCTGGGGCCGGGCAGTTCTATTTCCAAGCACAAGCACAACAGAACCCTCATCAGCGACACATCGTTCGGAACGGGACCAATTCGCCGACGGGTCGATTGAAATTCAACAACGACACCCCCTCCCCGTCCCGATCCCCTGCCCTCAACCAGGCTGCTGCTCTTACTTCCTTCAACAATATGTACAGCCAAACGCACCAAGGTCAGCATGTCATGATGAATGGCGGTCAGGCCCACCAGCGGTTTGGTATGCAGATCCCCAAGTTCCAATCACAAACCCACCACTCCCATCACACACAACAGCCGCATCATCACACCCATCACTCTCAAGCGACCCACAACCTCACCCATCAACACAATTTCGCCGGCGGCTCACTGGCCACGACCACGACCTCGCATTTCACCTCAACTCATTTGCAGAATGGAGTACCGACCGCAGACGATGATCTGGATGAATCAATGAACGAGCATTGGCAGCAGCAGCTCCAGCTTGCAGCGGAGTCTAGACAAGCTACCTCTCCTCACTACTATGCTCGCATCATTGCGCAGCAAACGAAAGGAATCCAGCTTATGTCCAGCCAAACTGACACAGAGAATGGGACCGAGGGGCGCAATGGTGCAACCGCGGGGAAGCCAGCTAGCCGACAAGGTTGGAATGCGCTTGATTTCGGTGGTCAAGGATTGCGCGCTTTGACCACATCATTGTTCAACTATGGTTTCATTGAGAAGCTGTACCTCAACTCCAATAAGTTGAAAGTCCTGCCTCCTGCTATTGGACAGTTGCGCAAGTTGACCCATCTCGACCTTTCCGGCAATGACTTGACAGAGCTGCCAGAAGAACTGGGCATGCTCTCCAACCTTAAGAAACTCCTCCTGTTCGATAACAACATTCGCACTCTCCCTTACGAAATGGGCTACCTCTACCGGTTGGAGACCTTGGGCATTGAGGGCAATCCTTTGAACGATGTCCTTAAATCTCAGATTATGAAGGATGGCACAAAGGCTCTTATCAAGTACCTGAAAGAAGAGATGCCAGGTACGTGTCAATGGCTCTCTCCACGCTTTCCAGCCCATTTGCGCGAGCTTTTTTTCATAGCTAACTTTTATTGTTACAGTCCATCTACCTCCCCCCGACCGTGATTGGGTCATTCTTGACGATACTTCAGCCTCGTCCAACAGCAATACGGAAAAGATCACCGTTTTGTCGTACAATACGCTGTGCGATTCTTCCGCTACCCAATCCCACTACGGCTACGTACCCTCGCGTGTTCTTTCCTGGGAGTTCCGCCGTGAACTCATTCTCAACGAATTACGATCTCATAATTCCGATATTGTCTGTCTGCAAGAGGTGGACCAAGGAAGCTACAATAATTTCTTCCGCGAACAGCTTGCCTACAATGATTACAAGGGTGTCTACTGGCCTCGTGGTCGTGCAATGGGCATGCAGGAGGAAGATGCCCGGTCAGTGGATGGCTGCGCGACGTTCTTCAAGGGAAGCAAGTACATCCTGTTGGACAAGCAGTTGATCAACTTCGGCCAGACGGCTGTCCGTCGCCCAGACGCTAAGGGTCAAGATGATATCTACAACCGCCTGTGGCAGAAGGATCATATTGCCGTTGTTGTCTTCTTGGAAAACCGGCAGACTGGTGCTCGCTTCATCAGTGTGAACGCTCATCTGTATTGGGACCCGGCGTTCAAGGACGTCAAGCTCATCCAAACTGCTATTCTGATGGAGGAAATTACCAAGCTTTCAGATAGCTATGCCAAATGGCCCGCTTGCACGGATAAGACCGCATTCCGTTTCTCAGAGGCCGAAAGTGGCTCCGAGTCTGCTCCCGTGGTGGAACCCGCTCCGTCGATGGAGTACACCAGTGGTGATCAGATTCCTGTTCTCATGTGTGGTGATTTCAACTCCTCGCCTGGATCCGCGGCTTATAACCTCATTTCTACTGGACGACTACCCGAAGCCCACCCTGATCTCGAGAAGCGACTCTACGGAAACCTCAGCCGGGTTGGCATGACCCACCCCTTCAAGTTAAAGTCGGCCTACTCCTCCATGGGAGAACTCAGCTTCACCAACTACACCTCCGATTTCACAGCCATTCTCGATTATGTCTGGTACTCCTCAAATACTCTCCATGTCTCGGCATTGCTCGGCGAAGTGGACAAGGAGTATCTCCGCCGCGTTCCTGGATTCCCGAATTTCCATTTCCCGAGTGATCACGTCGCATTGCTTGCGGAGTTTACAGTAAAGGGCAAGAAAGGAAAGGTGGTAGAGGCTGACTTTGGACCGCAACGGCACTAACGAATTGGAGCATTTGAAACTTACGGAGATGGGATGGGGTGTTTGTCCAACCGGTTTCTTTTCTTCGTGCTTGTTCTTTCGGAATCTTTTTTTTTGGGTGGTGGCTGTATTATGTAGCCAGCCGTCTCATGGTGTTTTTCGTCTTCCCGTATCTCTTTCCTTCTTGTGTTCCCTCCTGATTATGAACGTCCTTTTTCATGTCCTCTTGCTCTTTCCTCCCTCTGTATCCCCCTGATTTGCTAGAAGAGTATCTGTTCCTCGAGCAATGCTCTTGTCTCGTCTTCCTTGGATGTAGTCAAACGGCGTTGGCAGTTCATTTACTCTTTTGCATTCTCTCCTCAAACTCCTCCTCTTTGTCCCTCAACTCACTATCTATCTCTCCTGTGTCTTCTTCCGTTGAGTTTCCTGATTTATCTCGGTTTCATCTCACCTAATCTCTAACGTCATCTGAGACGGCTTCACGACGCTTAGGATTGCGGGATTGGTGTTCGGGTGGAACAGTGGTCGAAGGGTATATGTTTTCTTGCCCATGACGAGGTTGCTTTTTTTTTTGTCGTTTTCTTTTGATCAGGCGAAGGGAGTTCTGTCTGTTCTGTGTACGTGCTTACTGTGCCATTCGTTCTGTGCGAGGCCCAATCGAGAATAGAGCGTGGCTTTGTTCCTTTCCACTCTTTTTCAGTGTTCTTTTAAAGCTACACTCCTGCAGTAGCAATCCGGTACATGAAATATAGAGATGTAAGCATAGATCTATAGAAGGTGGGTTGTAGCCTTGCAATCCTTGGGGCATCAACAAGTCTGGGCTCGGAAGGCTCATGGTGTCTCTACAGTGCACACCCCTATCTTCGATGGGAGATCTAAATGAACGGAGAAGAGTAGCCTGCAGGTGCCTTGCAGATGGAATTTCTACCATACACAACCGCAACTATACTCTTTGATGTAGATCTCGGGAACAGCCGGTCACCTTGTTCTTGTGCAGTATATATCGAGTAGCAGAAAACACGACAATATATTCCGACCAAACGGCTTTTCTCTCGGTGATTAAACAGTCTATTATTAGCGCCCTGGTTGTACTTTGCGCCGTTTCATCAACCAGAGAAAAAGCAAAGCCACACTAGCACAGATGTAAGAGATGCCACAAAAGATCTGGGTATATAGATATGGATGCTGGGCCGATGGGCGGCGTAGCTTGAGTGCTATTACTTCAGAAACTGTAACACGTCGTCAACATAGGCTCTTCAGATCTGCGTTTGAAAAAACTCACATGTCGTTGGGAGCACAATAAAAGACCAAGACAAAGACAGCAAGGATTGAAGTTCCCCCAGTCCAGCAACCTCAACACATAATGGGCCTATAGTCTATAAGGAAGTTTAGTAGTATTGGGATATCAACCTCGTTAGAATAAGACTCACAACCCAGAAAACCCCCAGAATCGCCCCGCTAATAAGGGCGAACAGAATAAGGACGCCATATGAAGCCGAGGGAAGCCAGATGATGAAACAAGAAATGCCACAAAAGCAAGTCAAGAGACCGGCAACCTGAATCCTCCCAAACCGATCACTGACCACACCAATCAATGGCCGACCAACGGCAGTTCCCAGGTTCAAAATCGCGTTGACAACCGTAGCTTGATTACTCGAGAGACCAATGGCGCCTGCATAATCCGGGAGTGAATAGAGCAGAGAGATATAACCAAGCATACTGAGAAACGCCCATAACAGCAATAGAAGCACGTCCGGCCGACGTAGAAGCTTCACATCAAAGCCCCGCTGCGACGGCCGTACAGCTTCATTGCGATTTCGTATGAGTAGAATGGCAATGAGCAGTACCGAGCAACTGATAATAGCTGTAAATCGCAGAGCCCAGGCCACAGACATCCTCTGTATGATTGACCCGTCCATGAACGAAAATATCAAGCCTCCAATACCGGACCCAGCGGCGCTAATCCCATTAGCAAGACTTCTTCGCTTGTCAAACCACTGAGACAGAATTGCAATGCTGGGGACGTAGATGAATCCAACTCCGAAACCAATCAAAATCCCTTGTGACAGGTATAGATGCCAGATCCTTTCGGAAAACGATGCGGATATATATCCTGCTGCTAATAGCCCTAACCCGATCAACATGGGTAGCTGGGTGTTGTATTTACGAGCGATGATCGTCACAGCAGGCGCCACCAACATCGCCATAGAGAAGTTTAGTCCGCCTATGAGTGCGAAGTCCACAGGCGTGGATTCAGGATAGATATTCTCGGCGAGGTAATGTGCCAAGTACACGCCGTAGGACTAGAAGAGAATGTGAGTTTGTGTTATGGAAGGTTCATGAATTAGATATAGAGCAACCCACAGAGAAAGCACCCCAAGTGAAGCAATTAATCGAGAAACATGCGCCGACGCATACCCAGCCGTATCCACCGTCTGGTGGCGGCGAAGTATGAGAAGGAGGTGACATTGTGGAACGCCCAGGAGAAAAGACGTGGGGGAGACAAGATATGGTTGGAAAGGGGAATTCCCCCCGAATGGTCAATGATGGCTTGATTTTTGTATTATTTCTATATTGGAGGTGGGAGCGGCCGAGGAAATGAATCCGGTCTGTCTTGACTCTATGTGTAGAGGGGACTCCCGACTGCCGAATCTGGCATGTCACTGTTTCTTGGCATATCGTCGTGAGGTACTTACAGACATGATCAGCAAGAATAGATGTCCTCGAATGGTGATATTCTAGCGTGGAATGGTTATTCAGCTAAATTAATTCATATTCAACATGGAACTGGCTACTAGCAATATGGTCATCACTTGATGTCCCGGTTTAGCTGGTACTAGGTAGATATGGGGGTATCCTATCACTGGTAGAAAATAAAGAAGAGGCTTCGCACATAGGGGCAGTTCTCGGCATCAAGGCGGCACCAGGTCCATAAGCCTAGGCGATCGGGATCCCAGTCATGAGTGAGGCCATACCCTTGGAACCCAGGACGTCTTCAAGACTGAGCCATGAATACACTAGCTCATCTGATTTGCCTTTATCATAGGCGACACCATCTTGAATTGGCTTTTTGTTCTTGCAGAAAACCCTCAGCTCTTTGCATGCCACGTCTCCATTCTTCTCCAAGTATTTCCGCATCACGTCGCCAGCGCTTGTGACAATCCGACTCACTACCTCAAGCCCGCTAGATGTAAGTCCAACTACACGTGCACTTTGGGCCGAGCCTTCCGCAACGTGATGGATGAGGAGGACGATGCTTGATATGAAGGACTCATCAGGCAGATACGCTGGTGTGAAATATTGAACGAATTTCTGGTGCTCTTTGTCTCGGATAAGTCTGAGCAACTCGACGGAGCGTTTGTGCATGCCGAAGTAATTGTACAGAATTACAGGCTCTTCTTCGAATAATTTGGTCTTCAGGAAGGCGAGAAGCTGCAGTGGATCGATGTTGTGGGTATTCGACCACTTTCGGGTAATGATGAGTTCCGGATTGAGTTTTTCAAGGTCCTTGCTGGATGATTCAAGGTTCGATTTCTGTGAAAGCTCGTCCAGGATTCCGTGAATGTTTATGATCCCGGCGTCTTCCTCAGGACCACCCACGTACTGGGCGAAGAACAAGTTCGCGACTGCAGTGGTGGACTTGAGCACGCGGGCATTCTTGCCATCAGGCCTATGAAACCTCCTGCTCCGGGAGTCACGGGCAAAATTGGCAGCGGACGAGATGCCCGTGGCCAACTCAAGCCGGTTCAGCGATTCTTTGGCGTTCTTTGGCCGCGAACCAATGAAAATATGAGATTCGCCATGGATCTTGAGGAAAGCATCCATATCAGGCCACCTCAGGTCTTTCTGCGTTGGAGAATTTATGACGAGGTTGTGCAAGAAGGCCAGTTGCTGGACGTCGTACCATTGTGTAACGAGCTGCTGGCCGACCAACTGCATTCTCATATTGAGACTGAACAGGATCAAGCCGCAGAGGATAGCATGCTGCGAGAAGAGTGCGTGCTTTTCGGGCGCGGGGCCAATGCTGTCGATTTTATAACGGACTCGAATATCTTGGAAGAAATCTTGTATGATCCATGCCTTCACGGTTGATCCTATATTTCGAATTTCCTTGTCACCCTCTTTTGGCCAAAATTTGGGGTAAGGGTGTGTTTTGGATAGCTGAAAATAGTCATTGATAGTCTTCTGGATGCGAAGTCCAGACATTCGGAGGTCTCCAAATGCACCCAAGGTACTGTGTCGCATGATATGATGAACGTCGAGGAAGATCTGGGAGGCGAAGCAAAGCCACAAAGTAACATCTTTGGACTTGGCAAACTCAGCAAGGCCTCGAGTTATCGCATCCTCAGTAGGCATCTGGATTTTGAACCTATCGACCATGCAAAACTCTGGCAAAATCGAAAGAAGGATCATTTTGTCTTCGTTGAATTTCTGACCCAGAGACATCCGCTCTCTGTCCGCTTTCGGATTGTAAGTGCCAAAGTAGCCTTTTTTAAAGACTGGCAGCTGATTGACCTGGAGAACATCTGCGAAGGACTCAAGCAAGACCTTAGTTGGCACATAGCAAAACTCGGCTATATCAGCCATGTTCTTGTTGTATGGCAGGCCAACTTCAGGGGATGGAGCTGCGGAAATACCGCGGTTATAAACAGCGAGATTGTAGACAATGTTCTGGATATCATCCCTTCTCACGGTAAGGGAAGTGCACCAGTCATCTTCCACCTCCTGCACAAGATCTTGGGCAAGTTTCAAAGCACTATCAGTCACGACAGCGGCGTTCATAAGGTCGATTTTCTTATCTTGATACTCCGACCAGGTGATGGAAATGAATGTTTGCATGTTGTTCAAGTCTTGAAGCAAGCAGAGAGTCTTGAAGACCAACTGACCAAGATATGAGTCTGCTGTCTCATTTCCCTCATCTTCAACAACAGTCACCTTGACTATCTTCTTCGATTCGGCGGGGGCAGGTTGGGTTTGCGTAGTCTCCTGGGGTTCCTCCACCGTGAGGACAGCAAATTTGTTTAGAAATCTGTCGCCAATAGCATTGTCACTTTCAGCCTCGGAAGTCGGTGGAGGTTGCTTGGCGTCTGGCTTTGAGGGCTGGCTGGTCTTCCATTCTAGATCATCGCAAATTTGCTCCAGCACAGTGATGAAATGAGCATGCCGCTCGTTATTCGCAGAGTCGCCCCGGCCCAAGAACCAGGAAGTGACCGCCTTTCTCAATTTAATGGCGCGTTTCGCAAGGGTGAGAACTGATTCGGGTACCGTGAGAGTAGAACTAGCAACCACCTCGGCGAGCTTTTGCAGATCTTTGGTAGTCGCACTATAGTGAAGTGGATCTGCATTTGAGTCGTCGTGTTTGTGTTTGTGTTTGTCTTTATGTTTGCCCTTTCTCACGATGGGAGTGGCAGCAGCGAGTCCAGATGGTTGATAGCCACATTGGTTGGCTGTCTCCAGTAGCCAAGTTGCAAATGTATTGGTATCTGCTTTGTAGCGCGCGTAACTACTCTGCAAGAATTCAGGTAGCATGTTGGTAATTGGAAGGCCAAGCAAGTGTTACAGAGCCGCTGGCTGGTTGAAGAGACTAGCCTGGATCCTATGAGATGAGGAAAGGAATAGCGAGAGAGAGGATGGCCTGCAGGGATGATGGGGAACTAGCCGTTGGTAGGACTGGTAGACATTCGTGGAGGCTTTTACGGGCGACGAAGTATGCCCCCCGTGACTTAATTATTATGCTAATGTTCCAATGCCAGGCAGTATTTCAGTCATCCAAAGGCCAAATGCCTGATCTTACAGGGTCTATTCCTTAAAATACCTGAATCTGCCTTATTTCAGACTGGCATAAGTTAGAATACCTGAATTCCAAGTAAAACTGAGGGCTTAATAAGCAAAGTATGAAGTTCAAAAGAATGAAGCTATTATGATCCTGGGACTTGGTGATATGTACCATGCTTTCTGCTGTAATATAACATGACAATATGAGCTTCTGGACCAATGACAATGATGGATCGGATGATGCTAAGATGTGTATTGTACAGAAGGGCTTCGAAGGTAGGGCCCAACCAACCCCATTGCGGAGGTCTAATCCATAGTACAGTAGGCTTAGTTCTTCCATTTTGACTCGTCGTACTCATCCATAAGCTGAGTATAATCCTTACCAGATGCCACCCATCCCTTGATACCTCCGTCTAGTACTAGGCTATTGATATGCATGTCCTTGTGTTCTACCAGGTACTCTGCAAATGAATTGGCAGCACGCATTCCACGACCTCGAGAAGAGCCTAATTTCCTCGTCAGTCGGAGGTATTCCGATCGAGAAAGCTTCAAGGTTAGATCAGACTTACCACAATACCACACCACATTGGCGATCTTGGCCTGCAAGAGGACAGAATGTAGAGTCGGAATGGTAGCATATAAGCTCTGCGCTGGAAGGTTCAGAGAGCCTCGGATCGTGCCTCCCTGTAAATATATCGTCAAACATGTGGACAAGGAAGAGCTAATGGGTACATGTGTCTACCTCAAAATCGGTACGACGTAGATCAACCAGAATGAAATCCTTGCCTGTCTTCTTGCCCTGTTGAAACCACCGAAGGAGCTCAAGGCGAGAAATTGAGCCTGCTGCAGTACTTGAAAAGAGTAAGTCAAATGCTAAGAAACACACTGACACAAAGGTGATGTTACGTTGCTGGAATCATTTTTGATTTTCTCTTGGGGATGAGGAACAGTTGATGGACAGAATTGGGTAAAAGAATGTACGGCGGAGTAGGTTCAGAGCCCTGGGGCATTGTGTATAGTAACCAAAAACAATTCAAGCATGTTATTGTCCAGTAATGATTGGCTAAAAAGCAGTTTGGACTGTCACTGGTCGACCATGATTGGTTACGCAGTTTTTGTGGACTTCTTAGCCACGAGTAGTGTATCTACTGCTCGCTTGAGTGGTCCTAGGTAGTATGTTAAGCGATTCTTCCGCTTAAATCGCCCTTCTAGTGCCGTCTATATTGTTATATATCCTTCATCTAAGCTGTAGCTGCTGCGTTCATCCTTGCCTCCTTTAACTTCTTCTCCTCGCGTTCGCTGAACCGATCGCCGAAAAGACCGATATGAGGCCGCATCAGAATGGTATATTTAACAAATTCCTCCATGCAATCGACCAGCCGATCTCGATTACCACTAGGCATGAGTCGTTGATCTCCTGGTTGGCCCTCGTCTGGAAATTGGGTATATGCCTTTGGAATCGACGATTGATTCGGAATAGTAAACATGCGCATCCATCGACCCAAGATGCGCAAAGAGTTCACCGCATTGAAGGATTGAGACCCACCGCATACCTGGGCAATGGCCAACGTACGGCCCTGAGTAGGACGGACGCTCCCTGTGCTCAGTGGGATCCAATCGATTTGGTTTTTGAATACAGCGGTCTAAAATTGCGGAGGGAAAGCATTAGTAAGAAATTGTTGCATTTAATGCACAGATGGCTGCATGTTATCGCTTACCAGATTTCCATGCTGCTCAGGAGAAACCCAGATATGTCCATCACTCCACAGACTGAGCTCTCGGAGCTCCTGTACTTTAGGATGGCTGACATCGGTCTCGTTCTTCATTGGAAGACCTTCGGGGTCAAAGACACGCACATCACAACCAAGTCGGAAAAGGATACGGGAAGCTTCCATCGCTACTAGCTTTGAATATGACCTTCTTCGGAGACTGCCATAGAGTACCAGAACTTTTAGTCTCTCGTTGGTAGCCCGTAGATTCTGTTCAGCCATGTCGGTTGCGGTGGTCAACTCGAGCTTGTTGACCCAGTCGTCCGGTGCATTTTCGGTCAGAATGAAGGGTCGATACTTCTGGCGGGTTTCGGGACTATCTTCGCTGGAGGGTATCGCTAGGGATCGATATGGGCTTTCGGTTTGGGTGGTGTTTGTAACCAACTGCTCGGGAATGGCGGAAATCATTCTTTTTGAGTATGCGGGGCGCAGCAGGGATGATGAGACTGCCGGCCTAAGCGTCGAGTGCACTTTTGGTATAAGATAGCGTAGCATAGATTGAAGGGTCTCAGAGATTAGAAGATCAACAACTGTGAGTTTGGCTGATATAGTAGAGGAGGGAGCATGTCACTGGCGAAACATGATTGGATACAATTCAAGAAGCTAGCAAGTCCCGGAACCAATCAGGTGCTGTACCTTGATGCGATATCCTGGAAAATGGGTCTGGTCTATTCCTATTTGGGTATAACCGCCCTCTCGCGGAGCGTCTGGTCAAGCACCAGCACTTGACTCTTGAGTAGGTCGAGAGACCACTGTTATAACAGTTCTATTCCTCCTGGAGTTCAAAAAAGTGTAACAAGGCCACATGACTTTTTCAATTCTTGCTCTGCTGACTCATGTAATCGATCAACTGGTTCGGCCTACGTTTCAATTCTCACTGTGTATACTTTTCTCTGGATGCGTTAGTCCAAGAGGGAAATTCGATCCTCCTTGTTCGCCTAGACTACGGAATCGATGAGATTTATATGCAAATAATCAAAACTGCCTGGGAATTTTGATCAAGAAAATGGTCGAAACCACTAGACTACATTAGGTGATTCAGAGGTGTTGTGAGAAAGTGAAATGCCTCATCTCACGCTCTTTCCATTTCCACGCTTTTTCCGTCTCCTACTTCGTCGCTGCTGCTATGACACAAGCACACCTGAGCGAGGCCGAGAACGACTTTCTTCTTCTCCACTTCCTTCAAAACATAGAGATTCCGGCGTGAATGAGCTCAAGCAGGTCCTATTCACCTTCAACCCCCGTTCTCAGCACTGTCGAAGCACACTGACCTAAGAAACCATCCATGAAGTCGGCTTCAACTCGCAGAACTCCAGAACACCAGGACACCGGAGTGTCAATCTGTGATATTTGTCAATTCGTCGCAACCACAATCACCATCACCATGTTCGGCTACGAGAGAATATCCGTGGAAAGGACTAGTAAAAACGCAAAGTGCCTACCTAGGTAGAAATATAGTTAAGAAGCCTACTGCAAGAACTGTTAAGCACACAGTCAAAAGACTACATACTAAATCTTGATTCATGTGGAAAGAAGGATCTGTGGAAGCATACCTTCTAGCAGCCAATCATAGCCCGTATATGCTTTGATATCCCTGGGATCATAGTACTTCTTCCAACAGGGAATGGGATAAGTCCCGTTGCCATAGTCCAACAGTAAAATATGGTTTCCATTTTACTATCTAAGTACTAAGTAAGTCTCAGGTAAATACATACATTGAGGTTGAGAACTTGAGATATTCGATTGGTGCCTCAGGCCAACATGGTAGAAAGCAGGTGCTTTTGCAGATCCCTCGTATCACATGCCAACAACGTGCAAGGGACTTTCAGCTCTCACAGTTCCCCTCTCAAGTTTCTTGAACAAACCTCGACGAAAATGGCCACAGAAGAAAGCGTGCACACCCTTCCGGACGGCCTTGAGCTGTACACCAAAACATGGAAGGTAAGTAGGATAAGCGGCATAGGGCATATAGCTTTGATCCCACAAAGAGACTGAGATAGAGCTTAGCCCTTCAACCGAATGTCGTTCATGTCCAAAGCTAACAATTTGCTCCAGACCAGCGGATCTCCACGCGCCATTTTGGCATTTATCCATGGTTTTAGTGACCACTGTGAGTCTCTATCAGAAGCTATAAGCTCAAATTGTCCATCGTCCACCGTCCATGAGGCAGGCAGTTAATGTAAATTGATATCAGGCAATGCCTATTACGATATGTTTCCAACAATGGTAGCAGCAGGTATTGAGGTCAGATCTTTTGATCAGCGGTAAGTGCACTAGAGCCTGTGCTTTTATACCATCAACCCCCAAGAACGAACCCCATCCGATTATTTTGATACAAGGACCACTTTACTCCGAACATATTTGATATCAACATGGACAACCCAACTAACCGTCCAAAATCAGAGGCTGGGGCCGCAGCGTCAAACAAACCCGCGATCGCGGCAACACAGGACCAACTTCTCAAGTCCTTTCAGACATGCACTCCTTCCTGAACACCCTACCCTCTCAGCCCGACGTGCCCCTTTTCATAATGGGTCATAGCATGGGCGGTGGTCAAACCCTCAACTACATTTTCCACCCAGAGTCACCCTACAATAAAGACAAGTCCACCCGGCCCAACTTCGCCGGCGTACTTCTTTACTCCCCTCTAATCGGTCTAGACGAATCCACTCGTCCTTCGAAGCTGCTAGTCGCAGCGGGCAGAATTGTCGCAAAGCTGATCCCCCATATGCAGAAGTATACACCTCTTGAGGCGAAGCTGCTGTCTCGGGATGAGGCTGTCTGTAAGGAGTGCGTGGCTGATACCCTGTGCCACGACACAGGTACTTTTGAGGGCCTGGCGGGGATGTTGGATCGTGGAATTTGGTTAGAGGGCATGTTTGCAGCTGGCACTGGTGCTTGGGTGAAGAGTGAGGTGCCGTTTTGGTTTGGTCATGGAGATGGGGATCGGATTACTAGTTTCCCTGCGACGGAGGAGTTCGCTAAGAAATTGACTGAGAAGGGTGGGAATGTGGAGTTCTGCCCTTATGAAGGGGCTTATCATAGACTGCATTCTGAGTTGCCGGAGACTACGGAGAGGTTCCTTGCGGATGTGAAGGCTTGGATGTTGAGTAAAGTGCCTGTGGCTGAGACGGTGGTTGTTCAGAATGAGGCGGAAGGTGTTGCGGTTGATGAGACCAAAAGCACTGCCGTTGATGAGAATCCGGAGGCCGATGATAAAGCCAAGTTGTGATTTACTTGTTCTTTTGTCTTGACCTACTTTTGCGCATTTTGTTAATATTATCGTCACAAATCTCTTTATGGTACAAATGGGCTCAATCTCTATCAAATATGCAATAGTATACAGGTATATAGTCCAAGGAAGGAGAGGGTATGTCTGGGATAGCCGGCGCAGAAGCTCAACGGTCTTCAATACGACGCCAGACAGCCACGAAGCCGCCACCCTGGATACGTACTCCGACCTTTGGTCGACAGACCAAGACAGACTCTCCTTCCTTGGGAGGCTCCTCTGCGGCGACCACCTCAGAGGCAGTGTCAGAAGCACTGGACTGTTCGTCAGCCTCGGCTGGACTACTTCCCTCGGCATCAGAAGGAGCAGTCCAAGACGATGGGTCGGCACCGGACTTTTTAGTCGCAAACCGCACGTCCCACAAGCGACCGCCACTAATGCCAGAGCCAAGTTCGATGACCTTCTCCTGGACGAGGGGCAGTCGCTGGTCCTTGATCAGTTGAAGACACTCGCCAATCTGCGTAATACTAGGCATGAAGACCACCAGTAGGCCATCGCGTTTCAAGACCGGGGTGACGTGAGGGATCCTCAAGTTCGAAGAAGGCATATCTAGAATAACGTGCGAAAGGAACGGATCAACAGGATTTCCTCCAGTCAGCGAAGCCAGACCAGTCTTCTTCCGCTGTTGCTTTTGTTGAGCAACCCAATTTTCGACAGGGCCCACATAGAAATCAACGTTGCCTGAGTAAATTCCACGGCGGAATCCGCGGACATTTTTCTCAGCTAGCGCGGAGAACTTCGGCGATACGTCGACGGTGTGGATAATAGCGTTACGCTGCGCTCGCCAGGCATTCCAGTCCGCCTGTGCTGGATCCGCAGTTACCTCGCTGAGTTTTTCTCCTGTTTGTTCCGTGTCTTTTTCGCCCGGTCTACTGGCGCGTCCTTCTAGATATTTGATCTGGGATCGTGATGGACGGGGCGGAGGAGTGGTGTTGGCGGCGTGAATGGCCCGCGCCAGGTGTAGTGTTAAGGATCCATGGCCCGTGCCGGACTCAAGGATTTCCAAAGGTGGTTGTGTCTCACCGGCGACGGGTGTGTCGACATGAATGTCGAGAAGGGAGGCAATCAAATTGGCATCTTGTGGATAGATCTACTGGGATAGCGTGAGCAATGCGCCTGGAGGCGTGTGATTTGCGGGAGTGATGCGCATACCGGCGTAACCAGACGAGGAGTCAGGGCCACATATTCTTCCAATGTTGGGAGGCTGACTCGAAGTGGAAGGCCTGTATACAGAAGCAAGCATTAGTGACCTATTCCAGGCAACTCCGAGAAATGGGGTTCATTAACCTTTGCGAGACTGCACTGTGTCCCAAACACGTTTCCCAATAATGCTATCGTGATCCACTGCTCCCTTGGGAGTTTGGAACTTCTCACCTCGCTTCAATGCTTTTGACAGCGAGGGTTGTTTGCCGTGTAGAATGATTCGGTCTCCCTCTGCGCATTTCGTTAGTCTGGCTTTGGAAACAAATGTTGGCTCAATTACCTTTGATGGTAGAGAAGTTTGTGTCAATAGTCCGAGAGCGCAAGGCGCTTGGTGCCGGACTCACACCTAAGACACGCTGGAGAGCCTGGCGCAGACGAGACATGTTCTTAGAGTCGAGAATCAACAGTCCGGAGCTAAAAATCCTAAGGAAAATCTGGCTGATCGAGACTAACCCACTGCGGTACCGCTCGACCCACCCCCAGTTCACTGAATCGAGGGGCAATCTTTACACTTGCTTTTCAGTCTTTCTCGATATTGTACAGTCCTTAGATTTTTGTACAGACTATTCCTAATTTCCATTGCAATCATGGGTTCTACCGCTCTCCCATACATGGAGACTAAGCCCAAGATCATTTTCTTCACCGACTTTGATGGAACAATCACCGTCGATGACAGTAGGTGCTTCCCCGCAAAGCGCCAGTACTCCAGTATTGACTATAATCGCAGGCAATGACTTCATGGTACATCGCACCGCTACTGTCATCTAGCCCTTTACTGACATCGACTAGATCGATAACCTTGGCTTTGGTCTGGCAAAGCGCCTCGTGTTGAACGAGCAGGTCCTCAATGAGACCTTGAGTTTCCGGTGCGTGCTGGAGATATCGTATATCCGACAAGCAAATCCTAATTTTCCTGGTTTATGCGCAGAGATGCCTTCCGCGAGATGCTTGAAAGCATCAAGACCCCGTACGACGAGTGCATCCAGACGCTGTTGAAAAACATGAAGCTGGACCCGTACTTCGAGGAGTTCTACTACTGGGCGAAGGAGAACAATGTACCCATTGTCATCCTGTCCTCTGGCATGCGACCCATTATCAGCGCCCTGTTGGAAAAGTTCCTCGGTCACAAGCCAGGCAACCACCTCACCATCATTTCCAACGAGCCTGTGAGCCGCGATGGCAAGGACATCAACAGCGAGGGTGGCTGGCAAATCGAGTACCACGATGACAGGTAAGCCACTGTTTACCCGGCTGTCATTGACCCAGCCTTGCTGAGAATCATTCACTAGCCACTTCGGCCATGATAAGTCCCTGGAGATCAAGCCCTATGCCGCTTTGCCCGACAGCGAGCGCCCGATTCTTCTGTATGCTGGAGACGGTATTTCCGATCTGTCTGCGGCTGCGGAAACCGACCTTCTCTTCGCCAAGAAAGGAAAAGGTATTCATCTACTCGAACCACCTTGAGATCCGGATGTGGAAACCCTAAACTAACCCATTGCAGATTTGGTGACCTACTGTCAGCGCAGGGGCATGCCCTATACAACGTTTGAGAATTGGTCAACGATTCTCGCGTCTTCCAAGGATATTTTGAGTGGCAAGGTGTCAGCCGCTGATGTGGCTGCCAAGGCCTCGCTCGGCGTGTAGAACCAGGGTTGACCTCTATAGACAGGCAACTAGACGGATGTGAACGTGATGATGAATATTATTTTCACATAAAATTAGATCAGATTAATGAGAATATCTGTGAATAATTCAAAGTCTGCAAGTCAACAAATCACAGAAGCCAAAACAAAGAGAGCCAACCTCTGGACAAGCCTGGGCCAGTCTTTCAGGAGTCACCGCCTTCAGGCCCAAGCGTCGAGGGCGAACTTCAATCCTCCAAACAGGTTATACTTGTCCTTATATTCTAGAGTTGACCGGATCCGGTCTTCTTCTTTGCCCTGATCCCTTGCGCTTCGTGGACATCATGCGACAGTGCGCCTCGCTTTTAACCAAGTCCTTGCCAGGGTGATATCTATTTCATTATGGCTCGCCGGCTAGTATGGCATGCTTCCGCTCCTTGTGAAGCACTTTACTGACCGATGTTGTGTAGGTCCGAGCGAGCGTACAGCTCGGTTTGATTGCAACATTCATACTACTCCTGGTGGTTGTTCTTGATAATCGATTTCGTGTCCTTCCCTCGTCCATCCATGGCCATCTTCCATCGCATTATTCCGGCTACGTGATCACAGATGTCACTGTCACCCAATGTTCCTCAATCAATCCTTTCTCGAGCTGTAAGCTAGACCCGGAAACTTGGTACCGCGTCGACAAGGATCTTTATTTGCGCACGGGCTGGACCTCGAGTGCCTACGTCCAATTTAAACGGAAAAAGGAGGAGGAGCTGAGTTCTGATGACAAAGTGGTCATCGACTTGAAAATCAGTCGTCTTACTCCTACCGCGGAGTACGTCGGAAAGACAGAGATTGAGGCATGGGAACCCCGGCCAGGAGGCATTTGGCTCAAGCGCTCCTCCTCTCGTCACGCTAGTGATTCAGAAAATGCTGTCACATACATCGATGTCCTCTTTGGAGCGGACGCGGTCGATCCTCGTCCCAATTGGGAAGTTAAAGACACTCCGATTCTCTTGGATAGTTGGACAGAACAGTTGGAGACTCGTCTTAGTATTCGGAGAGGGCACCCGCAGGCCAAACCCAAAAAGCCGGTTCCCAGGATCAATGAGAACCAGAAGTTTAAGGTGATGCAGTTGGCAGATCTTCATATGAGTACAGGTCTTGGTGCATGCCGTGATCCTGTTCCTGCGGAAGCGGTGGCCGGTCAGAAGTGTGAAGCCGATCCTCGAACCTTGGAATTCGTCGAGCGTCTTCTTGACGAAGAGAAACCGGACATGGTGGTATTCTCAGGTGACCAGATCAACGGAGAGACCGCCCCAGATGCACAAAGTGCTCTTTTCAAGTCTGTAAAACTTTTGATCGACCGCAAGATTCCCTACGCAGCCATCTTCGGAAACCACGATGACGAGGGTGACCTTAACCGCGAGCAACTCATGTCCATATACGAAGAGCTGCCATACTCTCTTTCAGCCGCCGGCCCCGAAGACATTGACGGGGTCGGAAACTACATTGTCGAGGTCCTCGACCGGGGCAAGAGCGCACACTCTGCACTGACTTTCTATCTCCTCGACACACATTCCTACTCTCCTGACGAGCGTCAGTTCCGCGGCTACGACTGGATCAAGCCGAGTCAAACGCGCTGGTTCAAGAACACTGCCCAAAGCTTAAGCAGAAAGCACCATGAATACTCCCATATCCACATGAATGCGGCATTCATTCACATTCCGCTCCCTGAGTACCGCATGCAAGGAAAATACTTCAAGGGTGCATGGATGGAAGCCCCCACCGCACCAGGATTCAACTCTGGCTTTAAAGACGCCCTCGAAGAAGAGGGCGTCTTGTTTGTCAGTTGCGGACAGTAAGTCACATGCTTTCCCTTTCGTCACTTCAAATACTAATTATCATATAGTGATCATGTCAATGATTATTGCATGCTCGAGCAAGATGACAACGACAAGCCATCTCTCTGGATGTGCTACGGTGGCGGCGTCGGCCTGGGCGGATACGGTGGCTACGACAATTATGTCCGAAGAGTGCGATTCTTCGACTTTGACATGGGCGCTGGTCGCGTCTCGACGTACAAGCGTTTGGAATGGGGCCAAACGGAGGTCAAGATCGACGAAATGTTGATCGTGGATGGTGGTACCGTCAACAGTCCGGACAAAGCATTCTAGGGCAGGCCGACTTCTTTCCTCATTTCTCATTCTTCGCCATTCTGTATCGAGAGATCAGCGCGTCTGTATTGTCCCTGCTCTCATATACTGTCGTTTCCATTCTTGCCAACGGCCTTGTCCTAGTTTACTGTACATATATTTTTGCCCCTTGCCTGCAATAGGTCGGCGTCTGTGGGGAGTCTACCTTTTTTTTGAAATATCAAGTCATCTCTCCTAGTTTCCTCTTGCTCCGATTCTTCTACATCGTATCAAGGCCCGGCCTGTGTCGTGACTTTGGTGTATTCCGTTCGTTGACAAACAAACACCACAATGATCATCCGAGTTATATGCTACATCAATACCAAGAATTTTAACTCACCATCGTTTCACCACCATTTCTCAAAGAAAACACGCTGCTCCCCGACTTCTCCTAGCATCTGAGCCATTTTCTCCACCACCGCATCGGTCATCGCAGGAGGTCCACACACATAGCACACTGTGCCCTGAGGATCCAACTCGCCATCTTCACCCGTAGCCGCAGCACGCAGGTCACGATCAGATATTCTCTCTGAATGAATCTTAATACCAGAAGGTGACCCAGACGCGAGCAGACTAGATGACGAGCCCAAGTCCGTAAGGAAAAGGTCCAGTGAGATATGGAGCCGATGTGAGCTCTCTTGAGACCGGATGATCTGGCGGAGACGCGGAAGAAACAATACTTGGTCTAGGGCTGTCTCTGCGGTGACTGTTTCATGGTCTTGCAGTAGGCGGCTGGAGTATAAGATGCGGATGGTTTTTGGGTTGGGGGTGTGGGGCTCGTTATTGTTCAAGTGGGATAACATGGATATCAAAGGGCTGAGAGAGAGTTAGGCCTTAGAATGTACTGGCGTACATGAGATCGGGAGCGTCACTTACTTGATGCCAACACCGCCAGCGACGAAGACTACATTTTTAACATCACTGATACTAATACCGGTAGGCGGCCAGACAAAGCTTCCCCCAACTCGGATGTTCAGCTCCTTTCCGAGGATATTTTCTTTGGGTCTCCATAGCCATGCAGCGGAGGGATTAGCCGGCGAGTTTTGGACAGCCAATTCCACATATGGTGGTCGCCCTTGTGATTCCGATGAGGGCTCCAGCGCTTCGCCAGCTAGTGAATCTATGGAATCCTCTGGTGATGGCAGTATTTGTGCATCTGCAGGGGTGGACGTGATGGTGAACCCCCCTGCTTGGGTGATTGAGGGGATATGGACATCAAGCCATTGACCCGGAAGGAAGCTAAATGGCTGTTGATTGTTACCCTGTGCGCTCTGTTAGCTACCCAGTGACGCAGCCTCATGAGAATAGTGTGTGATAGACAATGTGATTGGGAATGTTGGTTGTGCGGGGTATATGGGTATGACTAGGATCTAACAGCGCGGGGACGGAGAGCAGCGCCAAGGGCATTGCAGCTGGACTCGGTGTACGAATAGAGGAAAGAAACATGGATTCGTAGAACGATAATAAGAGGGCAAAAGATCACCATACATTGTTCTCCTGGGGAGGTAGAGCAAATTGTAGCAGTCGAACAGAGGGGTTGACCTGCTCAATATGCGATAGCCTCACCGGATGGAGTCTATTTTGCCGGGGCTCTGCAGCCGTCCGGAGTTCGTGAGGAATCGAATCCTCTCTTTGCGTGCTCATTTGGCCTGTAGTTCTTGAGATAGAGCGGACCACTGAGGGCTGACTCGCCCGGAGGATGCAGGGTGAGATGCTTGAGCGGGGGAAGCGGACCCAAGAGTCGGAACGACTTCATCGGGTGTGAATCAAGCGATACAGGCGTACTTGGGTCAAGTTGATTGATGGACTTTCAGTCACAAAGATGAGATTTCGCAGCCTGACTACGGTGTGCTCCGTACGGAGTACATTGGGGGACACAGTTCGGAACTCTGACCACATGACTTCCTCTCTACAACCAAATGGACTCGGAATGCTATCACTCAATTCGAAAACATATGCCCCAATAATGGCCATGACTATCAAAAACGGGAAAGTTTTCTCTTCCCGTTCTCCTAACATTGGGGCTAACATGGGTATATGTACAGACCACTGCATATGGAGTCACAAAATGCGACTCACATCACCGCACAGTAGGGGTTTTCCAGGCGCCTCGAACTAATACCTGCAAGTTTGTTCGGAGCACAAGTTTTGCTTGATCTCGTTGAGGGAAATTCTGTGATGGGCGCTCCATGCAGATCTATCATCCTATCACACACTCTAGTGTGTGATGACTAGCACCCTGCCCTCGATTTCCGCCGTCTCATTGGTGTGATGACCCCGGGTTGCTACTTGCGCTGGCGCTTTGCCGCCCTCAAGCATTGGCTAGATGCACCTCCCAAACACACATCTAGTCCTCTGCACGATTGTGCCATGCTGATTCGTGACCCCTCATGCATACGATGGCTTCCATCCCCGACCACTCGTTGGTCACGAGCTCATATCTAATGCTCATCCTCCAGGTCGCCCAGACTTGAGTTCTTCTACCTTTTTTGCGCTCTTCTACCACGCCGACGCATTTGGTCCTTGAAGTGCGATAGACTGAATGTCTAAGCCAGCCGGTCTGGCCGAATCGCGTTGCACACAGTATTTCTTCCATAAGCGCTTCAGCTGAAGGGTCAGCTTCGGAGAAAAACCGTCGGGTTTCATTGCAAAATTTTCAAGACCATCGCCAAAATGCAGTTCTTCTTCCCAAAAAAGCACAAGCACCATCGGTTCGTCCTTTGGTTGATGGTCGCCGAGTTTCCAATCACCATCGTGATATTGACATTGACGGGCATCGCTTCTCACGATCTATATCGGACATTATTATGGCAAGATGGAGCGGACAATGGATTCAACAGCGCCCCGAACGAGGCATTATACGCAGCAGCAAATTATAGGCCGTATAAACCCCCGATGGTTTGGTCTGGATTGTATGGCTGCCTACACTCTCTGTCCAAAGGTCAATCGCTAACTGAGGAACAGCATCACCAACTACAGCCTTGTCCTTGGTGTCCTGAGCACATTCTTCCTCATCACCAAATTGCCGACCCATTGGATGAACCTATTCTATCCTCCTGTTGCGGTCTTTGTCCATGCATCATTGATCATCCTTTATATCGTGTCAGCAGTTTATCAAGCTGGATCTGACACATCAGACCCTAATCACTCTCAACCCGGGGCGCCATGGTATATCGCGAAGAGTTGCAATGTGGCTCATAAGAAATCCAATGTTCCATACTGTATGCAAGCCAAATCGCTGTTTGCTATTACAGTCATCATTATGTGCGTCCGACCACTTCCACTCCAGGCTATTTTTGCTTTGTTTCAACAGATATACAGTCAACTAACAATGCTTAGTGTTCACTATACTGTCATCCTCGGCTTGAACATCCACTCCTGCTTCATCACTCCCGAAGAACGCGAAGAAATCCTAGAGAAGAGGGAAGAGCGCCGCATCGAGGAAGAATTCGAAGAGGAGATCATTAAATCTCCCGGCATGATTCCCATGACTCCCGGGTCAATGCCCCGGGGAACAGCCATGATTCCTCGGACCCCAGGCATTCCGCCCATGGCGCATGGGGGGAACATCTCACCCTTTGCCCCGCGCACGTTGGCCTTCAACCGACTTGGCAGTACCTCCTCAGACCTCCCACTGCGGGATAACTCTCGTGTGACTTCACCTCAATACACCTCACCGCAACCCCAAGAGGCCAACGCGGAGAGTTCGTCAAGTTCACCGATGTATTTCCCGCCGCCACCAAAAAAAGCCTCAAAGACCTGAATGGATGATGAATTATTCGATGCGAGATATTGTGTTTTTTGTGATACCACTTATTGCTTATTGCTTATTGCTGTTATACATCACCTTCATTATTTACCGGGACAGGGATGATGACGTTGAAATGGGCTTGATGTTCCATGCCTTGCGTCCTCCCTGTGCAAGGCTCTACGGGCTCGCCTTTTATTGGCCAGATGCTCACAAGTCCTTGGTACATACCGTCATCTTCGGCGTTGGACTTTGGATTTACTCCGACCTTTGTGTTTGTTGAAAAATTCTTTAATTCCCCGTAATCAACATTGTGAGATATTATGAATATGAAGTGTCCGTAGTGCATCAAGTACACAATGTATGTAAAATGGACTGGGGCCGCATACGATGAGCGGCGAGCTATGTACATGTACGGTGTACATTGAAGGGAGATTATAATCACAGGACATAAAATCGTCACCCATGCCACAGCGGGCATGGGGCTCGTTCGAGAATCAGTCATGGGAAACCGACATGCTGGAAACCCAGCACAGAGGACAGCATGCTTGAATGGCAAAGCACCAGAAGAACGAACAGGGGTATCCTAACGTGAACTCGCAGGACAAAATGAAAAAAACAATGAGAGCAGACAGGAAGTAATTCCCGCCAGACCTTGGCAGGTCGCCAGCCCGAGCAAAGGAGACAAGCCGAAAGTGAAGAATCAGGCCGATTCCTGGCGTTTCTTCTCTTTTTTGGACCAGCGCACTAAAAGACGTCACCAGGATTAGCGCGTGCGACGCCAATATGAGATAGGTACGAAATGCACGTTGGGTGATGGTTGGGGCGGGGCAGTGGATATAACTTACAGCCACATGCATTGCACAAGGTCTTAGGCCCATTAGGCCCTTTTCTCCATTCGGGCGAATCCGCAGTTCCACAATCGCCACAAACATGTTGGGCCTTGAGTCTCTTCCGCCGGTCACCTTCCTGAGCAGTGCGCTCTTGGTCAGCAGCTGTAGTAATGTCGATATCGCAATGCACAAGCCGACCGCGGCTAAGACCTGTGCTGAGGCCCTGCGATCTCTCGCCATCTGCGTAGTTGAGACCAGTCATAATTTCGATACCGTCGATGTGCGAATATGCTCCGCTGGTGTTGGGCTCTCGGTAGGAGTCTGTTGACTGGCTGGTATCGGACTCGTCCGAGTTTGGTGCCACGGTGTCTGTAGTATCAGGATCGCTAGATATTTCCCCTGGAGCAGAGTGTTGGCCGTGGGTATCGGCCAAGGGAGCACGACGATCCGAGTCGCCCTTGGAGTAAGATGCCCGCGCGGCGGTCGCCTCTTCATCCTCTTCTTGCTTCAGTTTGGCAATCTGTTGAATCAGGCGTGCATTCTCAATCTTATGTTCCAAAAATGAGTCTAGCAACTGCGAGATCCTGTTGGGATACGGTCGGCACATGAGGAAAAAGCCGGTGCAGCGCTCGTGGATTGGAGTGTTTCCTCCGCCCTGGCGCTCGTCCTGATTTGCGATATGCGGATGACCGTATGCCTCCATGAGACAGTATGTGCTGCCGGCCTTTTGAAAACGTATATGGGTCCGAAACGATTGGTTTGCGGCGACCGAATCGTCCAAATCTCTTTGGAAGATTGACTGGTCGTCCTCATGAATGTATTGCGACAGAAGACTTCCCTCGAGTTGTTTCGGAGCACGCCCGGTGATGTGCTTGCACGATGGTGTGGCGTAAGTGATTCGACCCAGGGGGGTAAGGAGAAGGAGCATGTCCTTCATTTCATCGAGGACTCGCTCGATCCATGGCTCATTTGGGGGGCCTTGATATCCTCCGCGCTGGGGACCTTGTATGCTGTAGTGCCCACCGTATGATCCTGGAACTTGCTGCTGATCCATTGAATATATAGGGGGCGCTTCGTTGGGACCGGACCTCGCTTGGGAGGTGGGTAGAGACGTACCCTCATACGCTGGCGGGCGGCTCAGAGCCATATCGAGTGCGGTACAGAGAACTTGAACAAGACAGGTATGCGTGCACTAGGGCTGCACTTCGTTGATTGTCTTGAGATTCAGCGTTGCTCCCTTGAAGTACCAAGGATTGTCCCCTAAAAACGTGCTTGCACGAGCCCGGAATATAGTAGAGAGTGTGTTGAAGGCGAAATGACCATCATCCAACTTCAAGGCCCGCGGTACGTCGGAGGGGGGTCAAAGGGGCGTGGTATTGGACAGTATGTCTCTCAGAATATACACATTCTTCAAATAAAGGCCTGAATCCCCCTGTAAAGAGCGCACAGTGGAAATAGCACCCGGCCATCGCTGGTTGATGGCGCTCCCCTGTGGGCCTGCACTTTAGGACGATCCACGTGACTTCGTGTTGGCTTGACGCGGCAACTATGTGACCGATCACAATGCACGAGGCGATCCGAGCACTTTCGTTTCTCTGGAGATCGGTCTCTAGCTGCATGACCTTGGTATTCAATCAAGCTAACAGCTAAAGGGCTCAACTGCCTAGGAGCGTTTGTTCAGAATGTAAGTGTGGATCGTCCCCCGAGACCCCATGCCGCGATGCTGATCGATTTTCAGGTGTAAGTGCAACAATTTTATACCTCGCCGCGAGAACAAGAACGTTCCAACAGTTATTTAACACATCACAGCGAAGATTGATAAGCTCTCTATCCTGGGGTATGTTTCGATGTTTCCAATCCGCGTGCAACCACTGCGGAGGGTAACTGCACTCATGCTCATCCAACGGCACCGGTTCTAGAATCCGTTCCTTCGATAATACGCGTAGCGAAACGATACAATTTCACACACCTCTCACATTGATTGTCGGGTACAATGGATCAGGAAAGACGGTGCGGCATAGCGAAATGCAAACCCCAGAGTTGCCAACAGCAGTGGACTGACGGGTATGTAGACCATCATCGAGTGTCTCAAATATGCCACAACGGGCGATCTACCTCCGAACAGCAAAGGCGGTGCTTTTATTCACGACCCGAAGCTATGTGGTGAGAAGGAGGTACTGGCCCAGGTGAAACTTTCGTTCAAAAGCACCTCCGGGGCGAAAATGGTTGCCACGCGCAGTCTACAGCTTACGGTCAAGAAAACCACCCGACAACAAAAAACTCTTGAGGGCCAGTTGTTGATGGTCAAAAATGGCGAACGTACGGCTATTTCATCTCGCGTAGCCGAGCTGGATCAGATTATGCCGCAGTATCTAGGCGTTTCGAAGGCTGTGCTAGATTCGGTCATTTTCTGTCACCAAGACGAAAGTTTGTGGCCAATGAGTGAACCAGCAGCGTTAAAGAAAAGATTCGACGAAATTTTCGAGGCTATGAAGTACACCAAGGCCATTGACAATATCAAAGCACTGCGAAAGAAACAGAACGAGGAGCTTGGCAAATTCAAGATTATTCAACAGCATGCGAAAGAAGATAAAGACAAGGCGGATCGTGCCGAGAAAAGATCCGTCAAACTTCAAGATGAAATTGAGGCCTTGCGTGAGGACACGCAACTGATGTCGAAAGAGATGCGGCGTGTAGCGGAGCTCGCTGATAAGGCTTGGACGCAATCAGAAAGTTACGCCCAGGTTCTTGGTGCTCTCGAGGGCAAGCGCATTGAAGCTAAAAGCATTCAAACTACGATCGACAACCTGAAGAGGCATTTAGTTGAACTTGATGACTCTGATGAATGGCTTGAATCCACCCTAGAGCAATTCGAAGCGAAGCAGATCCAGTATCAGCAACAAGAGGAGTCCCATAAGGAGAACTATATGGAGATTAAGGAACGGATTGAGCAGACTCGGCAACGCCTTGGCCTAAAACAGGCTGAGAACGGGAAGTTTGAGAACGACAAAGCCAATTTCGAGCGACAGACTCAAAGACGCCAAAACATGATCAATGACATTGCGCGTGCCAACAACATCCGTGGTCTTGACGACAAAATGGATCAGTCTGAGATTAACTCATTCATGCAGAAGATCAAACGCCTTTTGAAAGAGCAGAACCAATCCCTAGATCGTGTGAAGCGTGAAGCCCAAAAAGAGCTCCGCGACGTCCAAGAAAAGTTAAACGAGATTGGGCAAATGAAGTCGGCGCTCCAGGAGACCAAAAATGCGGCAAAACGACAGATTGCGACGAATGACAAGGAGGCAACGACTTACCAAAGAAAACTCAATGAAATTGATGTTGATGAGGGATTCCAGGGTGCGCTTGAATCAAAGCTCGAGGACATCACGTCAAGGCTTCAGCACGCGAAAGAGCGCGCCAAAAATGCCTCCTGGGATCAAAATATCCAGGAGACCAACGCGGAGATCCATCGTCTCGAGGATGAAAGTTCAAGATTAAACACCGAGCTGATTGATTCAACCAAGAAGGCTGGAGACCTAGCTCGCCTTGCTCATCTCAAGAAAGAATCCAAGGATCGAGAGCGCAGCCTACAAACGATGATAGGGGCTCATGGCGATCGCCTGCAAAAAGTTGTTGGTCAAGATTGGCAGCCCGAGACACTGGAGCGAGCCTTCCAACAGGCTCTCGATACCGAAGTAAAACAGGTCGCCGATTCTGAGCGAGAGCGTGATGGTGTGAGCCGAGAACTAGAGCATGTCGAGTTCAAGCTCAAGACCGCTAAGAAAAACCTCAAACAACGTCAAAAGGAACTTGACGAATGTGTAAAAGAAATCCACCAAGCAGTCGACGCAGAGCCTTCCGAGTATCCTGAAATTGTGAAGGAGCGCCAGGCACAGTATGATCTCGCTCGAAAAGACGCTGATCAATATGCCGGAATGGGGGAATATCTCAACAAATGTCTTGATGCTGCCAAGCGAACAAAGTTGTGCCGAACATGCCAAAGATCGTTCAAGAATGAGTCGGAACTCCAGGTGTTCACAAGAAAACTGGAAGCTCTGGTTAAGAAGGCTGGCCTGGATGCTGAAGATGAGGCTTTGAAGAGCCTCGAAGAGGATCTCGAAACTGCCCGTGAGGCCAGTGCATCCTACGATACTTGGGTTCGTTTATCAGAGAATGTAATTCCCGACTTGGAACATGAAGAACAAGAATGTGAATCCCAGCGTGATCAGCTTCTGGACAAACTGGAAACTCATGACAGGAAGGTCAGCGAGAAGACAGAAAGCAAGCGTGAAATCGAAGGGCTTGCTAAAACAGTCAGCACTATTTCCCGTTACGACACGGAGATTAAGACAATCAAGGCTCAAATTCAAGAGCTTTCTGCAAACCAGCAAGATAGTTCAACTGCTCGTACCTTGGAAGACATTCAGGAACAAATCGCTTCAGTCAATGAAAAGTCCCGCGAGATGAAAAAGGCTCTCACAAAAGTGACAAACGAGAAAGAAAAGACGCGAACTGAGATCAACAAACTCGAGCTTGAGTTCAGAGACGTGAAGAGCAACCTGGACAATGCCAAGTTCCAGTTGGAAAAGAAAGCAGACCTGATTGTTCGAATGAACGAATTCAAGAAGCTCAACAACCAGCAGCGGGAAGCAATTGAGAAAGCAGATCGAGATATTGAAAATCTCACGCCAGAACTGCTCCAAGCCCAGGCCCGTTATGACGATATCAGCCAGCGAGCAGACGAACGTGAACGGGATCTACAGCACGAGATCAGCCGATTATCCGAAAATATTCATCAGCTTGACCTTGCCAATGACGACATCAACTCCTACAATGAACGAGGGGGTCCGGATCAACTTGAGCGTAGCAAGCAGGAGCTGCAACAAATTGAAGCTGAAATTGGCAAACTCGAAGCCGAACAAAGTGAGATCACAAGGGCAATCAATAAGATTTCGACCCAACTCAAAGACAGTGAAAACACAAAACGGCAATACTCCGACAACTTGACATATCGCCAGGCCACCCGATCTCTGGACAAAGTCGTTGAAGAGGTTGAGCAACTGGAAGCGCAAAACGCCGAAGTGGACCGAGGCCGTTTCAAGCAAGAATCAGAGCGCTGGACTCGTGAGCACAATGCCATTGCTGCCAAACAGGCGAGCAAGATGGGTGAAATGAAGTCTAAGGATGACCAGCTGATGCAGCTGCTGGCGGACTGGAACACAGATTACAAAGATGCATCTGCTAAGTACAAGGAATCGCATATCAGGGTTGAGACTACCAAAGCCGCTGTTGAAGATCTGGCTCGATACGCTGGCGCTCTTGACAAAGCAATCATGCAATACCACAGTCTAAAGATGGCAGAAATCAACGCGATTGCAGGTGAACTCTGGCAAAAGACATATCGCGGAACGGATGTTGACACAATCCTAATTCGGTCTGACAACGAGAACGCCAAGGGTAACCGATCATACAATTACCGTGTTTGTATGGTCAAGTCAGGCGCAGAGATGGATATGCGAGGGCGTTGCAGTGCAGGTCAAAAGGTACTGGCTAGTATCATCATTCGCCTTGCCCTTGCGGAATGTTTCGGTGTCAACTGCGGTCTTATTGCACTTGATGAACCCACAACAAACCTGGATCGGGACAACATTCGATCTCTCGCCGAGTCGCTGCATGATATCATCCGTACTCGTCAGCAGCAGGCTAACTTCCAATTGATCGTCATCACCCACGATGAGGAATTCCTGCGCCATATGCAATGCGGTGACTTCAGCGACTATTACTACCGCGTTTCGCGCAACGAGAGACAGAAATCGATCATTGAGCGGCAGTCAATTGCTGAGGTATGTTTTTAACACGATTTCTGCGTAAAATCTTGCTAAAAGTTTTCTAGGTCATGTAATATACTTCTGAATGTCCTCTCCCTTTTAATCGTTTTCAAACATATCATGTGCCCGTGCCATTTTTGCTTGGAGTGATGTTTTTCTCCAATCTGTCTGGCCTACTTCAAATGAAGCATACTTCGACGTGGATATTGTCATTTTATTCTCTTGTCCTTCTATTGCTATTTGATACCTATGCCTCGTTCCATCTAAAAGTTCACGAAATCTGAATAAGAGAATGCGGCATGCGCATTAAAAGATATTCCCAAAAAATACATAGTCGTAAGGAAAAAAAGATGCTATGCTACAGACAGCCGGTTTCTCAAGACAGAGAAACCAGTTGGATCGATCAATCGACACTAAAGACAACACCGGAACAAAATTGCACTATCTTACACTTGCTTGTCCACCTGACCTCTAGCCTCAGCAAGCATGCGCTCCTGGTCCTTCTTGGCCTGTCGGATAGCCTGCACACGCTGACGATCCGGACCAGACTTCTTCTTGATATCCGCCAACTTTTGCAACAACGCGGTGTCCTCGCTAGTGGCAGGGACGCTCTTCGCGCCTGTCATAGCCTGCACACGATCCCAGATCTGTTGGTACGAGCGGTTCTTGACGTCCAGAACGACCGATTGCTCATTGGCGTCAGCGGGCGGTGCAAGATCATCGGTAACCTTCCTCTCTTCCGCGAGGGCTGTTGCGGCATTGCCGGCCCGTTCGGCGAAGTAGATCGTCAATGCTGAGGGTCCTTGCTGGTCGGACGTCTGTGTCACTGTCATCGGCACGCCCGGGTTGTGATATTTTAGTCGCGGAAGGCAGTTACGCCAGAAATGCCGTGCGCCTGCGTGGCCATGGTCGATCTTGCGTGCATATGTGAGGTGGAGTCGGGTAACGGCTGGGAATTCTTTTGTTGCGGAGGTAAGGCTAGGGAAGATGGCGGCACCGGTGCCAATCTTGGTATTGAGCATCTGGAATAATGAAAGCAGCGAGTCAGTTGATTGATTGCTTTTCGGCTATACCATGGAAGACAGCGCGAGTTTGGCCTTCGGAGGTCAAAGGTCGGAGATCTAACGAGACGGAGTTTTGGCTTACCCTCTGTCAACAAGAAAAGAATTCAATTAGTTCATGACTTCGCGTTACTTCAGAGACCCCCTGGAATGAGAGTTGAGAGCAGCTTGACTTACAGTTTGCAGCTTCCGAAGCCGCTTGAACAAGTTGACCATGTTGGAAGGTTGTTACGCACAGGGGCTGGCCCTTGTGCGATTAGAGATTTGAGGGGAGGGATAAGGCAAGATTGCAACAGCAATTGGCAAAATTCTTGCTTGCTGGCAGGTGATATTAGACCAGAATCGCGAGTTTGTTGATCGGGGAAATTTATCGCAGATGCGCTTGTCGGCGAAGAAGTTGCTCCGTGATAGTCACGTGTAGCCTCCAATCTATAGATGGTATCGAGCACTCACTTGGAACAATCACTTAGGTCGCACTTTGAGAGCAAACAATCATATTTATCTGACGCTAATGGGCTGATATATTTGCTGAGTCAAGTCCATCTCCTTCTCTTCCTATTCTCCAACCTCTCTCTATATCGTACTATACAGCGTCGAAGCGCACTGTGGAGCCTCCGTAAAATACCATACGGGCGTATTACCTTGACTCACAAACTGAACAAACAGATTTTATATCTCGCCCCGCGATTCTTTTGTTCCCCTCCGCTCTCCAAGGGAAATTATAGGCCAATTCTGACAATCAGAAAACATGGCCGCCGCTGCTGCATCCGCAGCTGTGCTCGATCCGAGCAACAGCTCAAAGAACACCCTCAAACTGGAAAACGTTGATATACCCCTCCCCCACCATCGCCCACTTTCACTTGCTAACTGATAATTCACCTGCTAGACCGAAAAGCGAGACACTCTGGTCGCGATCGAAAAGAAGTACCAGGCACAATGGAAGGAGAACAAGGTTTTTGAGGTCAATGCCCCCTCATTCGAGGAAGCCCCCCAGGGTGCTATGAGCCCCGCGGAGCTCCGTGAGAAGTACCCCAAGTTCTTCGGTACCATGGCCTACCCTTACATGAACGGTACTCTGCACGCCGGACACAGCTTCACTGCTAGTAAGGTCGAGTTCATGGCCGGATTTGCCCGCATGGAGGGCAAGCGTGCCCTTTTCCCTCTGGGCTTCCACTGCACTGGTATGCCTATCAAGGCCTGTGCCGATAAGCTTGCCAACGAAGTGAAGAAGTTCGGTCAGGGCTTCGAAGGATACAACGAGGAGGCCGAGGCCGCTCAGGATAGCGTCGCAGCCCCCACACAAGAGGTCAAGACCGAGGCTGCCGAGAAGTTCTCGGGCAAGAAGAGCAAGGCCGCTGCCAAGACTGTGAAGATGAAGTACCAATTCCAGATCATGCTGGCAATTGGTGTTCCTCTGGAGGAAATCCACAAGTTTGCTGATGCTGCTCACTGGCTGGACCACTTCCCCCCTCTTGCCATCCGTGATCTTGACAGCATGGGTGCCCGCGTCGATTGGCGCCGTCAGTTCGTCACCACCGACGCTAACCCATACTATGATGCTTTCGTGCGCTGGCAGATGAACCGCCTGCACGAGCTCGGAAAGATCATGTACGGCAACCGTTACACCATCTACTCGCCCAAGGACGGCCAGCCTTGCATGGACCACGACCGCACTGAGGGTGAGGGCATCGGTCCCCAGGAATACTCGGCTATTAAACTCCAGGTTAAGGAATGGTCCCCGAAAATGGCAGAGCTCGTGAAGGGAAAGATCGAAGATGACGCCAAGGTTTACTTCGTCCCCGCTACTTTGCGTCCCGAGACCATGTATGGCCAGACCAGCTGCTTCGTCGGTCCCAAGATCAACTACGGTCTCTTCAAGCTGAAGGAGAAGGAGTACATTGTTGTAACCAAGCGTGCTGCTTGGAACATGGCCTTCCAAGGCCACTTCTTTGGTGATAAGTTCCCTAAGACCCAAGACGAGCTCCCCCAGGTTCTTGAGGTGGCCGGTTCTGCCTTTGTTGGAACCTTGGTCAACGCACCCTTGTCTTTCCACACTGCAGGTATCCGCATTCTGCCTATGGAGAGTGTTTCAGCCGCTAAGGGTACTGGTGTTGTTACCTCTGTTCCCTCCGACAGCCCTGACGATTACGCCACCTTGATGGATTTGGCCAAGAAGGCCGAATACTACGGTATCCAAAAGGAGTGGGCTGAGCTAGAAATCTTCCCCCTCATTGACACTCCTACCTACGGTAACTTGACCGCCCCTGCTCTGGTCAAGGAGCTGAAGATCAACTCTCCCAAGGACGCCACACAGCTTGCCCAGGCCAAGGATTTGGCATACATGGAAGGTTTCTACAAGGGAACTATGCTGGTTGGTGACTTCAAGGGTGAGCCCGTCAGTGCTGCAAAGGACAAGGTCCGCCAGGCACTCTACGACAGCGGCGATGCCTTCCCCTTCGCTGACCCCATGGGCAAGGTCGTCAGCCGTAGTGGTGACGACTGTGTCGTTGCCTACCTGGGCCAGTGGTTCCTGAACTACGGTGAGAATGATGCCGAGTGGCAGCAGGAGACCCTGAACCACGTTGTTAACAACCTCAACACCTACTCCGCCGAGTGCAGGAATGGATTCGAGAAGAACCTGTCGTGGCTGAACCGCTGGGCATGTGCCAGAACCTACGGTCTCGGATCCCAGCTGCCATGGGACAAGCAGTTCCTGGTTGAGAGTCTGAGTGACAGCACTGTGTACATGGCCTACTACACCATCGCTCACCTTCTGCACGGTGACCGATACGGCAAGACCACCGGCCCCCTGAAGTTGACCGCGGACCAGATGACTGACGAGGTCTGGGACTACATTTTCACACGACGCGAGATTAGCGACGACCTTATCTCCAAGAGTGGAATCAGCAAGGAATCTCTGCAGTCCATGCGCCGTGAGTTCGAGTACTGGTACCCTCTGGACGTTCGTGTCTCGGGCAAGGACTTGATCCAGAACCACTTGACTTTCTTCCTTTACATTCACATTGCCCTCTTCCCCAAGGAGTACTGGCCCCGTGGTGTCCGTGCCAACGGCCACTTGCTCCTTAACGGCGAGAAGATGAGCAAGAGTACCGGCAACTTCCTGACCCTCAAGGATGCCGTCGACAAGTTCGGTGCTGATGCTACCCGTATTGCATTTGCCGATGCTGGTGACAGCATTGAAGATGCCAACTTCGAGGAGACAGTTGCCAACAGCAACATTCTGCGTCTGTACACCTTGAAGGAGTGGATCGAGGAGGTCACCAAGGATCAGACTTTGCGTACTGGTGCTGCCGATGCCTTCGCTGACAAGCTGTTCAACAACGAGCTTAACAGCCTCGTTCGTGAGACTCAGAAGCACTACCAGGAGTAAGTTCTGCATTGCGCTGCATTTATCCCATTGATACTGAAATCTAACCTTTTTTATAGCACCAACTTCAAGCTTGCTCTTAAGGCTGGTCTTTATGACTTCACCAGCGCTCGTGACAGCTACCGTGAGGCTTCCACCGCTGCTGGCGTTGGTATGCACCGCGATACTGTTCTGCGCTACGTTGAGCTGCAGGCTCTCATGCTCGCCCCCATCATTCCTCACTGGGCTGAGTACATCTGGCTCGAGGTCCTCAACAAGGTCAGTTCGCTTTCTACATTTCATTCTGAGTTTTGATCTAACATCAAATAGCCCGAGTCTATTCACTTCGCTCAGTTCCCCACTGTTCCGGAGCCTTCTCCCGAGCTGACCGCCGCTCAGAACTACGTCCGTGGTACCGCCAGCAACATCATGGGCTCGGAGGCCAACTTCACCAAGAAGCTCTCCAAGGGCAAGGCCGCAGGCTTCGACCCCCGCAAGCCCAAGAAGCTCACCATCTTCGTTGCCAAGAAGTTCCCCGCCTGGCAGGAGAAGTACATTGACTTGGTGCGCGATGCCTTCGACTCGCTTACCATCTCCTTCAATGACAAGGAGCTCAACTCCAAGGTTGGCAAGCTCGGTGAGATGAAGAAGGCCATGCCCTTCGTTCAGAACCTGAAGCGCCGCCTGGTGAACGCTGGCGAGAGTCCGGCCACTGTCTTCGACCGCAAGCTTCCCTTCGATGAGCTCGCTGTTCTGTCCGAGATGGTGGGTGGTCTGAAGCGCACTTCTGGCTTCAAGGAGATTGAGGTCATTGCTGTCGATGAGGGTGGTAAGACTGGCGAGGTTGTTGGCACTGGTGAGAAGCGTGAGGGTCTGGCCGGCGAGAATGCCGTTCCTGGAACCCCCTCCTTCCAGTTTGTCAACGTCGAATAAATGACTTTTAGTCTCGTTTGCCGGTTTCTTCAAGATTATGCTTGATGAGTTTATGCAAAAAATCAAAAGACATACAGCATATACAATTCCAATAGTTTAGTTGTATCCTCTAGGTCCCTAGCCATTCACGTACACAATCATCGACCTCGTCCTGCAACATCCAAGTTCTAACAGGGATATTTCTTGAAAGCGAAGCTGGCAATGTTTCATGCATTCGGCTTCAAAGCACTCAATAACCTATGAAGGCCACAACACAATGCATCAGTCAACCGAACAGATAAATGCACGGCAATCAAAAAACCAAAAGTAAATAAAACTCACCTCTTAAGCCCTTCCCTCAACGTCTCCTCTTCTTGTGAGAAGACCAACCGGAACCACCCGACATCCCTCGAATGCTCCTCCCCGGGGTGTAAGAAGACACCAGCATTGACAAACCTCTGCGCCAGAGCAAATTCCCGTTCTCGCGGAGAAATACCAGCACCAGCGGGGAGATAAGGTGATAAATCAATGTAGACGAAGAAACCGGCATTTCTAATGACGAGATTAGTCGGGCATTCGAACAATATGTCTTGTGGACATATCTACTCACCCGCCCTTGATATAGTTGATTCCCTCCTTGTTGAGAAAGGAAGTCGTAATCCGGTACGCTGAAGCAAGGCCTTGTCTTGCCTTAGCTGTGAAGCTTGATACAAATTCTTGGTCTTCTAGAACCGCAGTGCCAATTGTTACCGCTGCTTGCGAGGCACCATGGAGTCTCCTATATAGGGTTAGTCCTATGGCAGAGGTCGTTCTGCCATGATAAGGGAAACCTCACAGTATCGCTTTGCAGGCTTGACGAAGCTGTTGGTTTTGAGTCACCAGGAATCCGAGGTGAAGACCTCCAGACGCGAAGTCCTATGATGAAGTTATGTTAAATGGATTGCCTTTATTAGGATTATTTGCCACTTACCTTGCTAAACCCGTACAAGACATGAACCAAACTCGGATCTATCAGCCCTGTAAAATCCAGAGAAAGGATTGATGTAAATGGCACAGCATCGGGGTCACCAGAATCAAAAACACAAGAAGCATATACCTCATCACTAATGAGATGGAGACAGTGTTTATCACAGAACCTAGCAATCGCTTTGAGTGTCTCAACAGGGTAACAACGGCCTAGTAATAATCTGTCAGTTTGATTCAGCGAATATCACGATATATATAACTCACCAACAGGATTATGCGGGTTCACAAGCAGCACAGCCCGAATCTTCATCCCACGTTGCTTGGCCCTCTCCAAAGCTAGCTCGTACTTCTCTACAGAAGCAGGAGAAAACGCTTCCTCGGTAGCTGTATCAGCGTAGACCATTTCAACACCAGCTTCAACGCCATAGTCGAGCTCAAAGCGACCATATACAGGCCTGTTGACCAGAATCCCGTCCCCGCGTTCTGCGAGACTGTATCCCAGCATACTGCCAAGGGAGGTTGGAGAATCTGCGACAAAGATCTGCTCGGGATCAATTGGGACATATGGACTGAGGATATTGTTCAAATGAGCTGCGACGGCAGCTGGCAACCTTGCCGCTGTTGGTGCACTTGAGCGGTAGCTGACAGAGTCCTGGGTGAAGACAATCTATGCAGGATCATTAGGGCGGGATTCTAGCTCATTGGTATGAACTTCGTCCAAAGGAGAAGCTCAAGATATATACCTTTTCGTTGATATACTTGGCCATCTCCGCTCTCATTGGTTTCTGGTTCAGTTGTCAGCTTTCGCGCAAGGCCTCCAGGTTGAAGATATATACATTTTCCGCCATGCCAAGTGAAATGAGCCCAGTGGGATTCTCCTTTGGATCATAGGTCTGAGTTAGACTGAACCGCCAGGGAACCGCCAGTTCCTTGACATTTTTTATTCCCCGGGCTGAGAGCATCTTGGGCTGGACAATAGCTGAAGGTTGATGCAGTACAAGGAGCGGTGTATATCTGCGATTTCAGACAAGATGGTGACGCGAAATCCTCATCAAATAGACTAGCTATACGGACTGAATGATGCCTGGTGACTTGAAGAGTTAAAATAAAACAGGCCGACAAAGTAAGCGCGAGGCTGAGATAGAGAGGAAGAGAAAGCGATTGAGCTGAAAGCCTGATGATGAGTGAGACGCCCCCACCTGCGGGGACCGTGGAGGCGAGCGCGAGCCAACTATCCCGACAGTTGAAGCTATACAATAGTGTAGAAAGACAAAGGTGATGCCATGCCAATAATATTATACAAATGCATGTGTATGAGAGGGGAAACGCCGAGCCGCTATGCTTGAAAGGTCTAATGTACATGTTCAAAACCCAAACCCACACCCATTAGTGCCTCAGTCGAGGCCGCTTGCGCTTGTCGATCTTTTTCTTCTCTGCGATGAAATTCCAACATTCGATGGGACGTCGAGACCCGATATGCTTTCCATTGGGAGTGAAGACCTCGACTTGAGGATAGGAAGGTTCATCTTCGCCATTCCGCTTGCTGCGAACTTGGATACTAAGTTCGATCCAACCGCAGCCCTCGATGAGAATATCTGCCGACATCACCCGGTATGGCAACGAAGGTACAGGGATTCCTTTGTCCTTTATAGCTTTGGCGAGGGAGGTAGGAAGATTCGAGATGGTGGTATCCCACTTCAGATCGAACTTGCCGGCCGAGGACATTGAACTGCCAGCTCCTTCTTTCATGAGGACAGTGCCACGATATGGGCGTTCTTCAGCCTGGGTTTCAATTGCCTTTTGCGTATTGGTGATGTGAGTCTCGAGAGGTAGGAAGCTGGCCGACATGACCGTATCTTCCGGGTTTACAGGGGTGATTCGGACAAGGCCACCACCCACCAGGAGGGACTGGCCAGGTTTGATGGTGCAGCGTTCAGGCTTGACTCGCTTCGTCATGATCAAATCACGCTTATGTTCATCTTGGACGAAGTCCTCTAGTAGTCCGCGCTCCAGGCCAGGTAGATCGATGACTTCGCCCTTTCCGCGGCCGAATGGAATGCGAATAGGCGAGACAGTAGTACCTGGCAGCGAAGAAACGACCGGGAGGACAGGATAAAGATCTTCGCGGGGAGCAGGAGGCAGGAGGCTGTCAGGGTTGAGGAGGGTGGCCTGGCGTTGGTTTGGAATCTCATTTTCCTCACGACGGCGTGCTATCCACTCTTCGATTTTCTCCACGTTCCTGGAATCCTTGGGAAAACAAGCTTCAATGAAGCTGCTCTTTCCCACATTCGCCTTGCCAACGACCCAGATACCGCCGCCATGCTCCCGGATTTCTTCCTTGACTTCCTTAGTCCACCATCCACGGTGCGCACTGATCATGTGCACGTTGCCCAACCGGGCCTCCCTCCCCGATCTTCCTAGAGCTGCGCGAAGCTCGGTGCGAATGTAATCCATCTTTGAATCGACTTGGTCTTTGGTTGCTGCCAAAAGGTCCGAGCGCGTGATGATGAACGAGAGGGTTGGGAGTTTCCTTCCGCGCTGGTATTTCTCATTCGTGGATCGGCGATTCTTCGAACGTTGCTCCTGGAGCATTAAAGCCCAATGAATCCGTGGAACAAGAGACATCGGGAAATCTGCAGCATCAATGATATGGTACACGCGGTTGTTTTTGTAGGGTGATTCTCCTAGGTAGTTTCGGATAGACAAAATAGTCGGCTTAGGCGAAGAGACTGCTTTATTGTGGTGTATCAGATCGTGGCAGCGATCGCAGACTTGGGTGACCTGCCCTGGAGATCCAAGGAAATTGTTCTCGGGCTCGACGGCATGCTCGGGAAATGCTCCATCTTTGTAATTCAGTCAGCAATGGCACACTCGGGTGATGGTGCATATGTCCCACCTTGAATCGGCCTAGGTGGCTCTGCCTCTTCCACAATATCATTTTGCTCTGCAGGTACACTTTCTCCTTCGCTGGCCGCTTTCTTCACAGCTTCGTCTTTGGATTCAGTCGCTCCTTTGCGCGCAGCGAGTAGCCTCCGAATCGACTTTCTTGATGTGCCATAGTATCCCGGCTCGTTTGCTTCAACTGTTTGGGAGAATGCGCCGCATCCTGGACAGCACACAGGTAGAGAGTCGGCTAGTGGCTCAACTGTAGGTTGGTCTCGCTGAGAGAGAGTTGTCGAGAAACATCGGCATTGCCTGTGGAAATCCGAATGGAGTTTGGGCAGTGGCCCGACGCGCGATTGCGAAAAGACAGTTGGAGCGGAAGATCGGGTAATGTTTCTCGGGAATAAGCGTAGAAAATTCAATTTCGAGCTTCTCAACACTGCGCTCCTCGAACAGAGCGACATGATGGACGTACAAAGTTCTACAGTTTCGGAGCTTTTTTTGCCCCAAAGAGGATGTTATCTATCGATAGCGCATGTGGCAAGTTCAGGCCGCCGTACAAGTATAAAAAGTCGAGTTGCACAACAAGATTCAGTTATTATTCTCGTTAGAGGAACTGGTAAAAATATGATTGTAATTGAGGGTGTTATAACCCCATGAAAAGTTTCTGTGTTAGGTGTCTGCATTGGGGGCAGAAAATTATGGACACAGAATGAATGCGCTGAAAAAGAGATGCGCTAGAGAAATCCCCGAAGCAAGTCGCAAAAGAACGCCGTCGTAAACCATAAGAAGATATTGGCTTTAAGAGATATTCATGCACGAGCCTTTCCTTTTCCCTTGTCAGATTCGTCCATCTCTGCATCCGAGTCGCTCATGAACTCGTCGTCATCATCAAACCCGATGAACTTCCTCGGCACGGACTTTTGGGGCACAGAGGGCCCAGCAACAACCTTGGAGGATTGCCCAATCTCTTCTGTTTCTTCATCCTCGCTGGAAGAAGCATCCTCTTCACTGCCCTCATCACTGGCGCTGGTGCTCGACCCACCGAGAATCGCATCGCGGAGATTGTCTGTCCATGCGCCATCCTTCATAGCTTGCAGAACTGCCTCGCGGGCCTTTTCGCTCATTTCGTCCCGGTCTTCCATCCACTGACCATCCACCTTCTGATTGCCGGTGCCATTCTTCAATTCGTCCTGGCGCTTTTCTGCCATATCCACGACCGCCTGCCACCGGCGTTGACGTTCCTCTTTCTCTTTCTTGTCCATCTCTGGCTTGACGGCGAGATATTCCGCGAGTGCCTTAGCTTCGTTGACTGTGCGTAGTCGGCGACCGTCGAGATTGCGACTAGAACCATTGTTGTCGCCTTGGTTGCGCTTGCGCTTGCTGGACATGCGGCCACCAGCGGCACGCAGTTGGGAGCCGAAACCACCCTTGCCACCGCGTAGAGGGACGGTTAGGCGAAGCGGAAGGAGGGTAGAGGTAGAGCCGCCATTGCAGATAGGAAGGAGGGATGAGATCCATTCCGACGTCGGCTTAACTTCCTTATTGTTTGTTGTAGTGAGCGTGAGCGACCGAAGCAACAGCGACGATGGGAGATACGAGGCGACTTGTTGCGTCAGGTCTGCGAGTGTTGCACTCGATGGCAAGGAAAACGAGAGGGTTGTTGGAAGCGACAGTCCTGGGAAGGACGTCAAAAGGACGTTGACACTCGGGGAACCCATGATGCCGAGCGTGTAACAAGAGGCAGTATTTGGTAAGATAGGTGGAAAGTTCGGGTGGGGAGATTTTATGTATGGAGAACTGAGTGCTGGAGGCTTGAACCATGGGCAAGATTGCGATAAGATCATGCCCCGGAAATACTATTTGTCCGTTTCTGGTATCATGTGATTTTACCAAAGAATGATTAGTCATCAGTCTTATCTGCCCCCGAGCGGAGCCAAACCGACATAGCATTTCACGTGACCGGCTCACGTGATCTGAACCACGAACTGATTAGGGCGCCAACCCTACGCCCAATTTGGATTGTCGCACTTTTCTCGCAGCGGAGCTCCACTCTTCATCCATCATTTAAATCAACCATTATTTTCGGGCGTTGTCAAAGCGATTCCCCGAATTGCAACAGGAACTCGCGACAATGTACGTATCCTCGATTTTCGCGCTATTTGGGACAAATTCACTAACAATGACCCAGGCTTATCCCCAAGGACGACCGCAAGAAGATCCACGAGTACCTCTTCCGTGGTATGTAACGAGAAACCCTCGTCGACGTCCCCAGGGCCTTGCGACACTATGCTCGAGCCAACCTTGATGCAGATTCACTAACCTATATTCTAGAGGGAGTGCTCGTGGCCAAGAAGGACTTCAACCTTCCCAAGCACGGTGACATTGACACCAAGAACCTCTATGTCATCAAGGCCCTCCAGTCCCTGGACTCCCGCGGCTTTGTCAAGACCCAGTTCTCGTGGCAGTACTACTACTACACCCTCACCCCCGAGGTATGATCCATTGCACATCACGTCTATGCATCCGAATACTAATTGCATATTAGGGTCTGGACTACCTCCGTGAGTGGCTCCACCTCCCCGCTGAGGTTGTCCCTGCCACCCACATCAAGCAGCAGCGTTCCCACGCTCCCCCCCGCGGCATGATGGGCGGTGAGGAGCAGCGCGGTGAGCGCCGTGGTCCCCGCGCTCCCCGTGAGGGCGGTTACCGCCGTCGCGAGGAGGGTGGCAAGGAGGGCGGTGCCCCCGGCGAGTTCGCTCCCTCTTTCCGCGGTGGCTTCGGCCGTGGCCGTGGTGCCGCTCCCCAGCAGTAAATGCTGAGAGGCCTTGGTGTCCTGTCAACCACTTCTTTGTCAACCTAGGGAATTGATGATGCGTCCGAGCTTGGCTTTCAGACTAGAGAGGTTTCTCGAAATGGGTCAATTCCTCGGCGCGTCTAGATCTCGTTCCGGCTAAACTGGGACTTGGGGATACGGGAAACAAAAATAAAAATAAGAAATCTTATGTTTCCACTGGTTTCACAATGTAGCTTGATGTAGTAACCGTACTGAAGGTTGTCTACTGGTATTATTTGTGTAGGTCATCCAATCTTGACTTGCAATTTGTCTGCACACGCTACATTAAACTTCCTGATCTATATACAAGGTCTCCGTTCTGGGGAGTGAAAACTGCTGCTTTACAAGAATCTCTTCCGATCGTAGCGGACAACAGCCTGTAGAATAACGGACGCACCCGTCGCGCAGTCCTCCGCAGTGGAGAACTCCTCCGGGTGATGACTGAGACCATCCTTGCATGGAATAAAGATCATGCTCGTCGGCACACGCTTGGAGGTAAACACACTATCGTGGCCAGCACCACTCATGATAGTCCGCACCAGCGACTTTGTGTCCGCAACAGAATCATCTGCGACAACTGCCTGCGCTGACTGCTGCACACAATCAATGCAGTCTTCGTGGAACTTAACAGCAGGAGAGTCGAAGTCCAGAGTCCACTCAACACGGCAGGGCTTGCCAATGCCAGCACCCTCAGCAGCAGCAATAGCATCGAAATCAACGCGCAACTCCTTCTCGACCTCGGCAACGAGTTCCGTCTCAGGGCCACGGATGTCCAAGCTAAAGCTAACCAGCCCAGGAACTGTGTTCACACTGCCAGGCTTTGCCTCGACAATACCAACACTGGCTAGACAACCCTTTGAAGCCGCCACTTCTCGTGCGCGCACCATCATTCGGGAGAACGCATAGAGGGCGTCTGCCCGATGTTCAAAGGCGGTGGTTCCTGTGTGTGTGTCTCGACCGATGACGTTGAGCCGGAACCATCTATAGGCCTGCACAGCTGTCACAACCCCGACTCGCTGGTTTGCGGAGACCAAATATGGGCCTTGCTCAATGTGAACCTCGAAATGGGCAGCCATTGGCGTCGATTTGTATGAACATGGAATGTCACCCAGATAACCGATCTTCTCCAGCGCACTCTTCATGTTTTCTGGCGCTGATGCTGCTGTGGGCAGCGATGCTACCGTCGGTACTTCTTTCAGACCGTGCGCATGTGCCAAAGGTATACACTCAGCCCATACGCCACTCGAGACCATACTGATTGGGAAACGAGCGCCCTCCTCGCTGGACATGGTCAGTGGAATACCTTCGGAGGTTTAGGGGCGGGTTCTTACTTGGTCCAATCGACAACGCCGACTCCTCCTTCCGTCTCTAGGCCCATCTCATCCATGGTCTTGATGACTTCAATTCCGGCCAACACACCAAGAATACCATCATATCGCCCACCAGTCGGCTGTGTATCAAGATGACTTCCAATGAATGTGGCCGGTACGTCCGCTCTGCGACCAGGACGGACGGCAAAGATATTACCCATCTCGTCCACCGTGACATTACACTTGAGATCTTTCATGGTCTGGATGAACCAATCACGGACACTCTTATCATCTTCTGAGAGCGCCAAGCGCTGCATACCGGTATCTGTAGGGCCGCTATCAGTCGCAAAGGCTGTTAGCGGTTATTTGCTAGCAAGGAATAGATGTAGCTTACTCTCCCCATCTGATCCCCGACCCCCATTGGCATGAGTGGTGAAGATCTGTAGCCAGGCGATCCTTGTTGGCCCTGAGCGCCGAGACCTCAGCTTCAGAGAGCTCCGTTGTCAACATGGCGTGTATTGGGGATGAAGTAAACGTTCGAGTTAGGCTGAGACAGGCTTCTTGTAATGGAGACACGTGTGAGGAATTGCAAAAAGACGAGACGACATAAGTCGGGCTTTATAAGAACTGCATGGTCATTGATAAGAAGTGGAGTGGCGGACAAAAGTCCGCGATAGTATACTTCCCCGCAATAGCGGCATTTGCGACTCACAGTCACTTACGTGCATTCGGGAATGTCATATGTTTTATGTCATCGTCTCAATATTGCTCTATCAACAGAAGTGACCCCATCGTTATTGGGGTCGTGACAGTCACGAGTGGTGTGTGGGTATTTCCAGTGACGAAGCCACGGGTTTGTTGCATGAGTGTCGGTGATAATATCCAACTTGCTCTTCTCGATAGATACCAAAGTGCCCGATAGCCAGTGAATACCTTCGCCGACCACGATGGCTACAGGAAACTTGACGGCCTTGACTGACCTCGCTCGAGCTTGTGGATGATATCTGAGTACTTATCGCCGGCCAACATGGCTTGTCTTGCGTTATGCAACCATCATATTTTGGTTGCCTTCGCTGAAACTGCTTTTCATGGCTCTTTCTCAAACGTTTGCACCGGAGATCCGGGTGATAACGCACGGATCGATCGCTTATCTCGATTTTCTCGAGATTTACCGCAATATTATCTCTACTTCGTCTGTCTCCGACTTCTCTCATGGGAAAAGATTGAGTTCCCAAGAGCTAAGCTATCTTCCCGTTCAATCTTCAAGTATTGCCCTAAGCCGCTGGAATCTGGAGACTTTTACCTTCGAGAACCTTTGCCCATTGGTCATTACTCACAATATACCCATTGCCAGTTTTATTTCATTCATCCACAACTTGTTATGAGAAGATTCTACCATGGACCTGGTTTTGGAATCCCCGTCGAGTCGTTGCTCTATACAGAAATAGTACCAGAGTATCTCGAACATACCAACTTTCCTTTCAACTAAAACGACCAGAAAGTCGTTGTGGGGGCATTGTTCTCTGCAGAGGATCGATTGCGCTCTTCGCCCCCTAGCTTGTGCTTGCAGACGCAAGAGCTGGCGGTAGTAGCACGGTAGAAGGTGCAACGGATGTGGCCATTGCAAGGATATAGAAATCTAAGCGTCTGCAGGCACATTAAAAGTTCTGCAAGCTTGGCTGGCACTATGCAGTCTCACATTGAGGGGTATTCCTCCTAAACAATAAAACCAGCGGATCAAGGGAGTTGCAAGAAATGCAATACCTCATGGAAGTTAGTGAGATCCCTAAAGTGAATGAAGAATCCGCATGCCTCATTTTTACCCGTTGGATAGACTTGGGACCAGGATTGAGCCCATATGATGCTCTCTGGAGGTATCGGCTTCCTTTTGAAACATTCGATGGATTAGCGGAGCATGAATTGGTCGACTCCCGCTTACGGGTTGAGAGAGATTCCAATGAGGCCGGCTTTCCAAATGCTAGGTCTGAAGGTGAAATGTATCACCGGAATCTTTCCTTGCTACAAGGACAGGCACAGAAAGGAATAATCCCCGAGCTAATATGTGGAGCCTCCATGTTGCATGGAGGGAACAAAACAAGCCCTTCTTGCTGTAATGTTCTCTGAAGATAGAGTGAGACATAATTCTACCAAGCCCAAGTGCAGTATTAGACATGATATTAAGGATAAAGCTTCACCCTGATCAATGACTTGCCTGGCTTACACGGGCCCAGTTGAAGTGGCAGACTTATAGCAGCCGATGAAGACAGTCTTTTTTCTAAGCCCAGACGTGCCTAGCAAGGGAATATCACGACGAGTAGCATAGAAAATGAGTTAGTCAAAATTAAGAGGCCACGGTCGATCACTTGCCCGAATTTCCAAACAAATCGAGTAAGAGAATTTGCGGGTTGGTGTGGATATGAGACCCAGACTAGGGAGCTCGTCTACTCATCCTTACTACTGACTCACTTCACTCTTCCTCCTCTTCTTTTCCACAGCTCCCTTCCACATAACCTCCTTCTTCCATATTCATGAACCAGCAGACGGTCCCTCTTAGATTCTCTGGTGATTTCTCACAAACTGACTTCTGTGCCGATCCGTGGTCCTCTGGGGACCAAGTCCGTCGCGGGATAGGATGATAGGACATCTGCTATGAATAGAGCCGTCCGTGACGACTGCCGTCAAGATGAGACATTCGGAGTACCCGCGACAACTGTTGTAAGTGTGACTCCGAAAGACTTGCTACAATGTAGCTATCAAGTCCTCCTTCCTGACGAAGAAGTCCACTAATGATTACCCCCCCAAGGGGTATATCAATGCAGGTCCGTTCTCGCTTCTTGCCTGCTATCCCTATGTCAATGAGACTGAAAAACACGTCTCCGCTCAACGGAGACCGAGAATCCGCTACATTCCCCAACAAAGCCAGTGAGGCAGACACTGACGGCCGTGAGGTTTCGAGGTCAGAAACAGCGGGGGGTTCCTCATAAGGAACTACTTTCTCATGGAAGTTGGTCTTTACTGTATGCATATCTCCGGTTGAAAAAGAAAGGCAAAGCTAGCCGGACTCTTTTCTCAGTGCATCTCACGGTCAAGCTTTGAGGCTTCATGGGATGTATCCAAGTCCATGGCAGCTCAGGAGCGGCTAGACCAAGAACAAACAGTTCCAGCTCAAGGATGGGTAGATGGGCTTCATGCTCTCTTCAAAGATACCATCTCCCCAGCTAACTAGGGACAACATCTAGAAATACCATGAAACTTTGTGGTAGATCATTTTATCATGCGATTTGCAGGATCCAATATCTTAATGAAAATAGACATTCAGAAGATTGTAATTGACTGTCATTTCTTTGTTGTAGTACAATGATACCAAGCAGAGATTACCTAGGTACAGTACGTCATGTCAAATTCTGGAATATGGTGGGGTCGATGTCTCTGCGTGTGTTGTGTACATAACGTACACCCATTACCCAAATAGGCACCGGAGGCTCAACACACCACATCACCCTTCAACCCCATCCTACGCGTAACCAGCATTCTCCAAAACTGCTTAAACCCCTTCAAATTGACGAGGAAAAAAAATCCAAGAAAAACTCAGGCTCAGGAATAACAAATCAAAAAAAGATGTGACAAACCCAGCCGGGGTGGTGGCGAGACATCCGCCCAGCGACTCGCGAGGTCCAAGGGATTCGAACCCGTGTAGGTGACGTTGCAGATAGTCAGGGAACAGGTATGGTTCCTACGATCTAACCACTCGGCCACCTGGGTTTCGCAATGGTAGCTACGTTGACTCTGATACTTGACCACCGTTTGTGATATCACGTGACGCTTTGGCCCTAACTGGTTTGCTTTTTTTGGCAACTTCCTTTACTATTTCTAGGTTCCTCTTTCCAACTATGACCGCTAATTTCTCTTGATCGTTCTGAATGTACTTTGTTACGGTTTTGTCTATTCCTGCCGTCATTGAGATGAATCTTGCCTGCAGTTGTACTACCTAAACATGGGAACCATACCGACATGCTTCTAGGCCGTCTTTTGAGCCATCTTAAGCGGTGCTGGATAAAGAAGCTCTCTAGTTTTCCCAGTAAAGTTATCTACGTGCTAAAGCTATAGTGTCGGATTGTAAAGGTCATTTGTCGAATAGCAACAACTTAACAAGGTTGTTGGTAAATTGTTATGTAGCTACAATAGCCTGCGCGGTTCAGAAAAATACAAAGAGAGGTAGCAGTCAGTTACACAGCCCCCTAGTCCCAGAGGTCTTCGGATGGCCAGTTCAGAGGCCCCTCCAACTCATCAAAGAGACCCAAAGGATCTATAGGATCCCACACAACCTTCTCATCATCAGCAGCCTCCTCGTTCTGCTTGTCAACATTCTCTGCCGGGACCTCAGGCTGGGAGATAACATTGGCAGAAAGCGAGGGAACGGGCGAGACGACGGGTGAAGCAACAGGCAAAGCGACAGACGAGGCAACAGGCAAAGCGGCGGACGAGGCAACAGATGAAGCCACAGGTGAAGCCACAGGCAAAGCGACGGGCTCGACGACAGGTGAAGCGACAGGCGAAGTGACGGGCGAAGCGTCAGGAGTCACAGAGGCCTCGGGGCCCGGCTCAGTAGTTTCTTCAGAGGCAGCTGCCGCCTCTTTGAACCCATTAGTATCCATTTAATCATGAATCTTCTTGTGAGACATACTCTTTCTTTTATTCGCCCTCTTACGGCCGGCTCGCGAGTAAGCACGCTTGCGCTTGACCTTAGGTGGCAGTGCGGAATCCCGCTGGCGGGGGACGACGGGGGGCTAAAACAATCAAGTCTAAGCTTGAATCATCAGAAGATCTGAGAGAAGCCGGGTCCTCACCACCTCAATCCCTGCCTCACGTAGTTTTCTGCGGAAGCTCGCTTTCTTTTTCTTTTTGAGGTCTTCCGCGGGGTTGGTGCCATCTTCCATAATGATATTAAATGATGATAATAATCGAAATGGAGATGGAAATGGGGATGATGATTGAAAGGCTGAGATGAGACAGGAAGACGAGGAGAGGGGAGATAGCTTGTTTACGCGTGGGGAGGGAAAGAGCAAGCAGCTTTGTTGTCGACTCAGGCAGATTTTGGTGACTAGTGTCTACCTTTCACTCTAGGAATAACAGCTATGTATTGGCTACACTGTAGCAGTAACCAAGAGACACAGTTGATGAAACGAGCTTTGTTTCTTCTCTCGAGTGGATGGTAGCAAGTAAGTACTATCCCATTCGGAGCATCAAACATGAAACATATCCGGGATATTCGGGTATCCGGCCTCCATCACCATCCATACGAATTCTTTGTTCGAATCGGCAGAGAAGCCTCTTCGTATGAATCCATATTGATGTTTTCCTCGTCCATATCCTTGCCCTTATTAGCATTTCTCTCGGCCTCCTCATCCTCCTCTCTCAGTACCTCTTTCACTGCCTCGTGCAGGCGGAAATCAGCCTCCCAGTCATCGGTATCCGTCTCATCTTCCTCCTTCTTTGGAAGAGAACGCTGACCCAATAGCTTCCGCTTACGCTCATACCGCTTTTGAGCAGCATCGATCTGCCGTTGCCACTTAGCAACAACAGTATCTATTCATTCAACTGTTAGCAGCCATCCATCAATAGTGTGTACGGCGGTACATACCCTCCTCGGCCCACTCCTTGAGGATATCTCGCTTGCTTTTCCCACTATCGGCTTCTGAAACTTGTGAGACGGGACCTGACTTCACTGAGTATGGTAACACATACCGTCCCTCAGAGCGCGCTCTTGTGCCCGCTTGATGTATCTTCTCTTCATGGCCCCTGTTCAATGGTTAGTAGGTACGCCGTCAGATTTGTCATAGCACGTACTCTCTTTCTTCAGTTTCCAGTAGCGGGTTTGGCATCTTTTGGTGATGCGGAAGGTGGGTGTGGGCTTTTGTTTGAAATTGTGCCTGAGCATGCATAGGTATTGCTATCATGAGTCCAGATATTAGTCCATATGCTCAAGTGGGCTGCAGTGCTGTCGTGCTGTCGTGCTGTAGTGAAATATGGAGTGGGGTGGTGTACTCACAGGGTACACGGGCTGTGGCTTGGACTCTTTAGCCACGTCCATGCTTTCAGGCTTGTCCGTCACGGCGGCATCTGAAGTGGGCTCGCTGGCTTCCACGTGGTCACCAGAGAGGTCCCCAGGTGGATTCCCGGACATCTTGGCAAGTGATTCTGATAAAAGAAGATGACGATTGATGAAAATACAAAGACGGAAGAGTGTTGGGGATGGGAGATTGGTAGAGAGATAAGGAAGGAGACAAGGCGAGCTGTTTCCTCGCAAGAACTTTTGAAAAGTGAGCAATAAACGTGTCTGGCGCTAGTTGCCATTTACGTGTTTGTCGCTCACGCACGTCTTTACCTGAAGACCACCAGGTGACTCGTGGACGATTGAAGGTGTTGACAATGTATATACTCCGTACACGATGTATATATGAATAATTATGTGAGGGTGATCTAAACATGTAGAAGAGTATATAGAGCTGAAATATCTTGATTCAATATAAATATAGAGAAGGAGTGGGAAAGAATCCTAGTATGCCTCCTCCACAAAAGGGATTTATAGATCCCTCGAGAAGCAAACAGATTGCCGGCTGAGGCTAACAAGACTAGATACCCTCTTGTTACTACATATGATCCTTTTCTATCACCATCCATTTCCTCGTAGTACCCTCCCAACGGTGTCCTCCTCCGTATGTTGTATACCGTTGCGGAGTCCCCTGATGCCGATCAGCTTAGGGCACGGGTATCCACATGCAGATCGAGGGCCAGGGTCTTACTTCAGGGGAGATTAAGGAGAGACAACCTTGGAAATAGATTCATTTCCTTTTAATCAAAAAGTCGTATAAGACCTCCTATTTTTTGACCGATTAAAAAAAAAAGCCCCCAAACCCCTCGTCGTGTGCCCTACGGTAATAGTGCCGATCACGTGGATTTCGCCTCAACCTCGACCAGTGGTTGAACAATCAATTTTTTTTTTTTTTTTTGCCCGAGAGGCAAATAAATCACCATTATATCCATCATATACACTGCCCTCTTCCGTTTCCACTGCATCAAAAGCGTGGTCAATACGACACGAAACCCTCCACTCCAAAGATCCAGAACACATCCAGAACACATCCAGAACGCATCCAGAACGCATCCCACTCGAAAGGAGCCGCCGATCGCCCAAATCTATACTCTAATTCCACACATCACATCTCTCTCACAAGAGCCAACAAAAACCCACAATGTTCGAAGATTTCTCCTTCACATCACCAACCTCCCGATCATCCGCCACAGATCCAGACGACCACCTCTCCGTCAACGACAGCACCCTCATCTCCCCACTCTCCTCCCGCTGTCCCTCCCCCCAACACCGACTCCGCAACTCCCGCCGCTTCCGCCAACCCCCAACATCCGTCCCCTTCCCCTACGCCGACCCCAAACCCCTCTCTATCGCAACCCTAACCCAAAAACTCCACGAACACACCCTCTCCCCATCAACCCGCCCCTCCCATCCCTACCCAGGCTACGTCCTCACCCCGCCAGACACAGACCACTCCGACGACGGCATAGACTCCCCCTCCACAAGCCCGACCTTCTACCCCCCAGACCTGGTCTCCGATCTCCCCGATCTCGGCCTCGGCGTGCCCTTCTACCCGGACGTCCGCGCCCAGCGCCAGCAGATCTCGCGGCTGCAGTGCAACCAGAGCGAGATCGAGGCGATGCAGCGGTCGCTGATGGAGGCGCCGGAGTTGGACGGCGAGGACTGGCATCCGAGTTCTTTGCCGCCGCGGGCGTCGCCGCGGAGGCGGGCGTTGACGCTGGCGAGGAGTCGGTTTGGGCCGGAGGGGGAGAGGGGCCGGAGGCGGAGTTCGGTGGTTTTGAGTAGTCGGGTGGAGAAGAATGGGAAGAGGAATGAGCAGGGGTTGAGGAGGAAGAGTTTGGTTAGTGCGGCTTTGGCTTCGATGGTTGAGAGGGAGGATTAGGGGGTTATATATATTGCTTGCTTTTTTCGGATTGATACCCGTGAATATATTTCAATGCTTTTTGCGTGTTGCTTGTTGCATGTTGCATGAGGGGGCTGCAAGGGGTGCTGTGCCTTTTATAGATTTTGTTCTAGACCGTCTCCTCGGGAGTGGCATTGGGATCATGGTTATGATTGTGTCACTCGGTTGAGTACTTGATGAATAAAAATGATATTTGTCAAATTTGAATAAAGTACAAGGCGAGTCTCAGACTCGGGGTGAAAATGGTAAAAAGGACAAGGTAGAAGAAGCCCGAAGAAGAAGAAGAAGAAGAAGAAGAAGAAGAAGAAGCCCAAGAAAATATATAAAACAAAAGAAAACAACCAAGTGCAGTGTCCAATCTCAAGCACCAAACCGCTAAGCGCCAAATCATCATGAGCATAAATCATAACCCAAATCCCAGTCAAAATCTCTCCGGGTTCTCAGAACCCACACTAAAAGAAAATGAAAATAGAACGAAGGTGAAAAAAGAAGAAAGGAAGAGTAAAAAAAAGTAAAGGTGAAAAAAAAAAAGAAAAGAAGATTAAGCACCTGTTCTGTGAAGAAGTGTCAGTTACCAGACCGCCAGCTAAAGAACTTCTTCAGCCCTTTGCCTCGCACATGCTTCCGCTCATCACTCTTCCGCCGCTGAAACTCGAATCGCGAGTCCAGCTCCCGACCGCCCCGCTGCAGGTCATCTAGTGTCCGCGCGGTATTGCCCCGCAACCCCATCGTCTCGGCATTCGCAGCTGCGAGGACAGACTGAACATGTGGGTCAAAGTACACCGGATCGTAGGCGTACGAGTCCGGGGCTGGATAGGGGAGTCTGGAGGTGGACATGGAATGTGGGTGATGGTAGGAGCCCCAGTGGGTATACATGGGTGAATGGACGGGGGAATCGATCGGGGTGTCAAGCGGGGTTTCGCGAGGTGTGGGCAGTTCCTCATGTTGTGGAGATCTATGTTCAGGTCTATGTTCAGGTTCGTGTTCGTGTTCGTGTTGGTATGGGTATTCGTGTTGGTCGGTGAGTTCTTCGGGTTCGAAGAAAATGCCTCTATCGCGTTCGTCGACCTGGGCCCACTCGCCGTTGGCGTAGACGGGGGACCCGGGCTCGCCGATTTCGCTCTCCGAGTAGAATGTTTGGGTGGATGGGGTTGAGGGGCGGCGGGAGAGATCTAGGGCGGGGGGATTGGATTCTTCTCTTATGGAGATCATGTGTGGATTTTGTCTATCGAATGCGTGCTCATTGTATGTGTCGTGAGAGATTTCGTTCTCGGTGTTTCGTACAGATCGGCTCCAGTAGTTGAAGGTTTGTTCGTTGAGAGAATAGTCAGAGAGAGCGCGGATATGCCCGTGGATTCCCGGTGAAGATGGCGGGAGGTCCGTTGGTTGCCCTTTGGGCGTGGAGGATTCAGCTGCAAAGGATGTGTACAGCGGGCTTGTCGAGTAGAACGATGGCAATGAGGCATCAGTGAATTGGGACAGGGACACCCGGTCCAGTCCTTGTTCGAGAGAGAAAGTCGATTCTCGCTGGTTATCGGCAGAGACGATAGAGCAGCTATCGACATCTTCGATGTATGAGACGATGCGTGCTAGATCCAACGACTTGCGTGGATTGAGGATCTCAAAGCAGGCGCCACCGTGGGTGACGGTGGCAACGGCCCGCGTGCTGGCCAGCATTGAGTTCGAGTCTTCAGTTCGAGCAGATCGCCGTGCTTCTGCTTGAGCCTGTGCGTTCTTCTGCACCTTTTCCCGGAAGGTATTCTAAAATTTCTGTTAGTGGGCTGATTCTCTATAGTATAGTGCCACCCGACTCACTAAGCGTTTCCTGTTCGGTCTAGTACGAGGGCCGATGTCCGGAACGACTGTGACTCGTGGAGCAGGAGAAGAGCGATAATGCACTATTGATCTGTCAATCACAGGTTCCACCACCGAACCAAAAAAAAAAAAAGTGAAGAGCAACTTACCAGGCTGGGCTTCTCCAATCTCTGGCTCCTCACTCTGCTGAGAGATGATACTATGCGAGTACGAAGGAGACAACGGCGGAGTACTCGAGGCCGCGGACGACACAGAGATAGGATACGAGGTGAGAGGGGGCGGGCGGTTCAAATGCAACGCAGCTGGTTTTCGCTTCAATGGTCTCCCTCCATGATCGGCACGATCGCCGACGCAGTCTGCGGATTTGGAGAGGAATTTCCGGTAATCGTGGAGAGAGAGGGCTCCCGTGATCCCAGATTTGATGGATCGAGGGGGCAGAGACATAGCGTCTGCCGAAAGGGGTTTGGGTAACGAAGTAGTACATGCATGGTGATCATGTAGTTCGAGACACTTGTGGCAGAGGGGGCTGTCCAGCAGCTCTCCGTGCCAGATATCACTGGCAGCCGAGTAGTGGTTTTCGTTCATTGCGTTCGAGGATCAAGATCAAGCTCGTCTTGACTTTGCGCTCTTGAAGAGCTTTGAATCTTGAGGGTTCTTCTTTTGCGAGTCCACTTTTTAGATTGTCGATATATCCGATGCATATAGATCGAATCCACTTCTCCACATGGAACTTGATTCGTCAACTTCCCACTGCAAGGGAGTGAGAAAGAGAGAGGGCAACTGCTATAGATCACAACAAATAAAGCTGCAAGGTACGGGCTAATTTTAAATGTCCAGAGCCCGGGACGAACGGAATGTGTGCCTGAAGGTTATCCACGTTATCCACATGGAGACCAGGAGTCTAGAAGCCGAACCAGTCCAGGCCAGCGTTAAACCAGTTCGCGAATAAAAGCCGAAGGCAAAGACAAGGGACTAGACCCTTCACGATCGACTCGCAAGACCCATGGTTCATGCCCCACGACTCATCGACGTCATGACTGAAACAGGAGGCAGGAGGCAGGGAACAGGAAACAGGAAACAAGAATGGGAAACAATAAGGGGAAAGTCGGTCTGCAGACTATCGGATATATTACAATCATATTGTATACGGAGTACGCAGAGCCCAAAGCCCGAATCACTTGCAGATGATCTCAGCCTCGATCACTTTAATGGAGCCCACCAATCCCCTGAAGACCCTTCCGAACAAGTCCCCAACCCCCCAGAACCAGAACCAGTCGGCATCCAGAACGAGTCTCTGACTCCCGAGCAAGGCAAAAGACCCAACGTCCTCCGGCTACTTTCCCTGATTGGCTCTGGAATCATTGTGGCAAGAATCATTTTTTCTGCTTTTTGGGCCTTTTTTTTTCTTTTCTCGATCTTTGATTCCGAAGAGGTTGTTTCCGTACGGAGTACGGAGTACTCCATTCTTCTCTGCATCATGAACCGGTCATCTGTGAGACGTATGATGCACCGTTGATGCACGGCAGGAGATTTCCGTATTCGGACTATTTCCCCGGTCTTTCTTCGGGACGTTCAAGTTCATATTCGAGTTCATGATTCATACTCCGTACTCCGTACACGGTTCCGCTGGTCAGAATTTTCTTTATACGCGGTGGTGGGTTTGGGATGAACTCCCTCAACTGGTTTCCATGGTCGGGCACGATCTCGTATCAAGGAACAAGGCACACCTGCAGACGCACAGATCGACATGCCAGCTCAGAAATATTCAGTCTGCAATGTGACTGCACCCCCAACCGTTTCACATGCATGCCGCTACAATTGTAACGGGGAGCTCGTTGCCCTAGGCAGTACGGAGTACCTGGGTTGTCATCGCCTCGTGTACTCCGTACGGAGGCTTGGGACTTGGTAGCAGGTGTATCGGAGTCCTCCGTACGGAGTATCCCGTGAGGACATCCAAATGAGTGAACATCCCGACTATCCTCGGGCGCGACCGCATTGTCGGAGAATACCTACTTCAGACCATCCATGTACATATGTAGCATGTATTGCATACTCGCATCAGACAAGATATATTCAAGACGCTGCTATATTCAAAGACTCCCATCATGCAGACTTAAACTATGACGATATCAAAGCAAAGGGGGAAAACAATTTAAGATCGTAATGCATCATGTGGTATCAAACTGATGAGCCAAAAACAAACAGATAAACACACAAACCGAGAACAAAAAAAAAAAAAAGAGAACATTCACTATGCACGTATGTACGCAAGGGCCGAATCACCCCAACCACGCCCTCGTGCATCCCCCTCTCAGTACCGTTTATACTTCTAAAGCCCAAGTTAGCCACACACTCAAAACCGGGATTGTCCAGGAACCACTTACGTCTTCCATTTTACGCCGATTGCTCGGGTCCAGGGTATTCCCCGCGCCGAGCAGAGTTTGTCCCACGGCCTTGGAAACTCCGATGGCGGGTCGGAGGATCACCGTCGGGGCACGCTTCCACACGGCCTTTGCAGCGGCCTTGGCACTGCCGCTCTCGACCACCTCGCCAGGTACCGCAACGATTGCGTCACGAGCCAGGAGCAGATCACGTTCTAGACCGCTGAATGCCCCGCGCAGTCCTTGCACCACCCCAACCGGCTGGTCGGCGTAGAGGGAGATCTTCTTCGCTTCGTCTTCGTCAAGGGAATCGTCGTCGAAGGTTGTCGCATTAGGCGTAGTCAGCATGTCCTCGGCGCCTTGGAGAACGGTTTGCGTCCCGATGGCGAGTTTGGCTCCGAGCTTGACTAGCTCGTTGGAGGTTGTTTTGGCGAAGGCGAGTGCGCCCTTTTGGATGCTGCGCACGATTCGGCCGTCCTTTTTGTATTCGCGCATCGGAACAACAACGAGGTCGCGAACGCCGCCTCCGACGTTGACTAAGGACCGGATTGGTGCGAGACCGGCGAGCACGCCGGGGAGTTGGTTCTTCTTGACGTCCGGCATCCAGATATCATTGAGCGTTTGACCCAATCGGTCGAATCCAGACACTCCATAGATAATCACATGTCGTAGTACCATGTCAGCACCGTCTAGGACGAAGAAGTTCATGAACTCGGTCGTGCGGCCGGAGCGAAGTCCTGCGTAGTCAACCCGCTTGGGCTTGAAATCTAGTTTGACTTGCACAGCATTGACCTCCACTCGTTGCAGGAATGGAACATCGCCCGGGGTGCCCGATGGCTCTGCGGATTCGTCTCTAAACTCGAAGAACCGACTCATGAAGTCGAGAGCATCTTGATCAACGTGTAACCGAATAGGGAGAACAGTGGCCTACTGAGGTTAGTAGGTTAAATTGAGCACGCAATCTGGATGACAAACCTTAAGAACAATCTCGGAAGCAGCTAGCTCGGGCACAGGCTTCACAGTCAGAATTTCAAGATGAATCATGCTGGTGCCGCTTTCTTTCTCGCCAGCCTCACGCATGTAGGTTGCGAACTTCTTCCATGTAGATGTCGGAACGTGGTCATAGATCTCGAGATCCTTGATCCGCACATCCAACGAGCTTTGCGTCTCTTCCGAGCCCGGCGGGAAGACAATCAAATCGGCGGAGACACCCTTCAACTCAAATGTCATTTTGTGATGCTTGCTCCGATGCAGTCGCAGCTTCTTCTCTCTCTTGGAAGTCGGGCGGCCCTGGCGACTGCCCGCCCCAGTCACAGTGGTTGATGTTGCATAGCTCCCGGTCTCACTGGTCAAATCATCAATGTCATGGTTGATCTCGCGATGGAGTTCGCGTGGGTCCTTGTTGGCTGGGATGCCGATATAGATAGAATTGAAGAGGAAGTCACCAATGACAGACTCCTCTTCGTCTTCTGTTGAAGATGGTACCCGCGAGCCCCTAGCACGTCGCTCTGTAGCCTTGATCTCCACGTCCTTAACGGCTTTAGATATTGTGTCGCGGGTGCGTTGCCAATCATATCCATCAAAGAGGTTCCAGATGAAATGCACGTCTCGTACGCGTACACGCAAAGGACTACGTTCGAGCTTTGTGTCGTTGGTAATACCGTAGGTGTTCTGGGTCGAGTCCCATCGATGTGCAGTTCCGCCTACTGCTGACTTCTTGGCGAAGTGGTCTTCCTGGAAGTCTAATTCTGTCATGCTGGAAGACACTTCGTAATGAGAATGGAAGCTGTTCAGAAGATCGTTAGATCCTGCTTCCAGGCTTTCAGCGCCCACACCACCAGGACCGCCCTTGACGGGATAGAAGTCGCTGACATATTCAAGCTCGTCAGTCAGCTGATCTTCCAAGGATGGTTCTCCGGAGTTGGCTTTCAGGTCATCGTGAATAGGAATAGTGGGATCAGCCGCAAATGCATCCCCGGTAAATGAGGCAAACATGTCTTGGATAGGCATAACCTCTGTTCGATATTTAACACTAACGCTTGGCGGAGTGGGAGGTTGAAGACCATTCAGAATGCTGATGAGTGTTTGAGTTGAATCCGCGCAAGTCTCAAGAATCAACAGATCATCCTTCAGCTCGACATCCAGAGACTTTGTCCCGTCTTCTGCACTATTCAGTTTAACACCAGCAGTTGCCGATGAGATCGAAGACACGGGAACATAACCTTGGTCGATATAAGCTTGAGCTTGGGTAGTCTGAGCAACAGCCGAGCTGCGTTGGTGCAGATTATCAGCACCCTCGTGCCATACGTCATCAATGATCATGAGCGAGGCTTTTCTGATATCGAACGATGCTTCTGCGGATTCATCTCCACGCATGCTTCCTCCAAATTTGGCATTGGTGAGAACGGCGAGGCCTTTGGCGGGGGAATTGCGAGGATTCAAGCCAAGCACACAATCCCGGAACACAACTGCCAGTTTGAGCGGCTTCGCTGAACTGAGGGATGCATTCAGTCTCTCTGACCCAGTCAAGACTGGTAATAGTATGGAGTGCTCCGTAAGACTGGCGATGGAATTAGCCATGCTACTGGCCAAATCCCCGCTCATCTTGTCGCCTCCCAGTCCAAGGAAGGCCGTCACTGATGGTACGGTGTACTCGACAAGGAGATTGTGCAATTTGATTTTATAAGTTGGATCCATCTCATCGGGAATGAAACGAGCCATGAGGACCGGCGGGCGAGAAAGGGTTGGATCCTGATATTTGTTCGGCGGCCACAGGGCTTCTTTCACCAGAATCTCATCGCCATTCCGACTGACAGCCATAGTTCCGATTTGGGCCGCAGTTAGCGAGGGCATGGTGATGTGTGCAACTTCAACACCAGTAAGATGACTTTTTATATCCCCAACTTCTCCACCAATGTGGACATTTCCGTGTAAGTCACGGACCAGGACCAGAGTGAGAATGCCAGGGCGATCATCTTCAGGCAAGTATTTGGTAACATTGGAAAGTCGACTCAGCTCGGCGCCAAGGAATGTAAGAGGTTCCAACCCACTTGTATCTGAAATAAGTGTTTCCAAGCGTCCAACTGTCACACGAAGAACCGACCCTTGTCGCCGCTGTCGCAACAGCGTGTCTAGCATAATATCGTCTTCTTCTTCAAATTTGTCTTGGGATGGCGTAATCAACGTTAAGAGCCGATCAAGATCAACCTCCTTAGGAGCAAACAGGAACTCAAGACGAATATTGTTCAGGGTAATCTTCGCAGGAGAGTCCGCTGAATTGTCAGCAAGCGAAAGTGGCCCAATGAGTTTCGCTTTGTCTATTTGGATACCAATCCCTTCGAACCGGCTGACAATTTTGACGGCGGTCGTCGTCAGCTGAAGACAGTGAGTCTCTCCAGTAACATCCAACAGGATAGCACCCACTCGGGCATTGATTTTCCAGAGAGTCGACGTGCTTTTAACCGTTTCTACAATTGGAGCGGGTGTTTCGAAGTGGACACCACGGGGGCGCTGGTTAGAGAGTGGAGAGCTTCCTTTCACTGTGGACACCGACGACATGGAACTTCCAAGTTCGAGGATGGTACTCAGGCCACCCATCCAGCCTAAAACCTCTTCCAGTCGCTGGATATTGAGGTCGATATGAAGAGGTAACGTAGAAATGTCAACTTTAGCCAGATCTGGCGACTTGGCCAGAGAGATAGAGATGTCTCCTTGGGTGGGGGAGAGCACATCCCGTGTAGATTCACGCATCTTCAACATCTCATCAAAGAAGATGATATCTTCCGATGCAAACCCAAACGCAAACTTGGATATGTCAAGATTCAGCTTGGTGCTGGTACCTTGAGTTGAAAGGCGAGCATCCAGGCCAGATAAAGTTAGACGAAGGATCACATCTTCGATATTGTAGGGGAGGATACAAAGGCGAGCCGGCATTCTGAGACGAATAGACGTGTCCTGAAACACGTTCAATGAACCTTATTGAAAACGCATGGACGACAAGATGAACGGGTGGTTTGCGCTCGGATTGATCGCTTCGGGGCTGCTTCTCAGGCGCCTCGTTTTCAGCCGTACCAAGAGCATGCAATACCTTCTGTCCTATCTTGGTGAGAAGCCACCCGGTGGCAATATCAAAATGGAGCGAGGCAGAAAGCACTTCCACGGCGATTCCAGGTAGCTCATTTCCAGAGCCCGACTGGGCTTGTTCCTCAACAACGCATTTTCCAAACCGAGTAGACTTGTAAGCCCTAGAGGCTATGAGGCTTTCTTCGGGTGCAGAATCCTCGAAGCCAACAGTGGATTCTTTGAGGTCAATGTCTTCCTTCTCCTTTTGGGGCATAGGTGACGGCTCTTCTAACGATTCTTCTTCGGAACTAGGAGATGAGACCCATAGGAAAATCTTATCGACAGTCAAGACTGACTTTCGCATTTCATTGATCCTGTGGAGACCAGGACTTGATGGGGTTGAAGGTCTGTCCTTGTGCAATGACAGAGACCGAGCTTCATTGTCCAAATAATGCTGCTCAGTGAAGCCTTCCTCTAAGGAAGTTGTAGATTTCGAAATCGCTTCATTTTCAACCAGGGTCGACTGCGCCAAATCGGCAGGTGGAATATTTGTAGAATGATCACTAGAGGTACTTTGTGACTTTGATGCTCCGTCAAACGAGCCCCATGCCCCTGGCATGTTCGGCATGAAGCTCTCACTCGCTTCCTGGCTGATAGCACTCATGTAAAGACTTTGTGCTTCATTATGGGAGAAGTACTTGGACTCGTTAAGATCGGCACTTGGTTGTTTTCCCTGTGAGTGTGGGCTGTTAGGCTCTGAAGAAGCCGAAGATGTGCTCGAAGGGTGGGATGATGCGCTTAATCGTGATGTTTCGTTACGTTCATTTTCATCGTAATTATTGTAATGCTGGATGGATTGTGTGGTCTGGTCGGTTTCAGAGCCAATCTGGCCGTGACATGTGTTGTAGGCCTGGGACCCATGATAGCTGTCTGTTGGAATTGGGGCATGCTCGGAGTATGAGGCATGATGGCTTTGATAAATGCTTTCTGGGCCAGGGAAGGAGTAGCCTTTCCATTCACTCCTTGCTGCTTGACCCTCTTGGGGACGTATTATCGGTGACCGCTGTTCATCGAAATCATCAAATTGATTATCGATCACCGAGTCCAAATATCCTGGGTTGTCTTGGAATGGGTCATCACCAAACATCCGAGAGTCTTCCAGGTATCCGCCATGGCGACTCCCTGACTCTGAGTCTGCGTCTGAGAATCGTCCATCATTGGAAAATTCAGACGCCTCTAAGCTATGAGTGGAAGCACTTGGAAGATCAAATGCTTGTGGTCGTTCCAAGATAGTCGATTGGGTCATAGCGAGGATGTCTGAATCAGAGCTGTCCAAGGGAGAAGGAGATGATGCTCTACTTGACGGTTGGCTCCCCTTTGAACGCATTGTCGTCGTCGGAGAGGCAGGAGCAGCAAACCGAGAATAGTTCGAGAACACCATTGGGTCCGCAATCAAGCCAAGATTGATGTCCAAGATCGAAATAAGCCGCTTTCCTTCCCGGAAAGGCAAAGCGTCCTCCAATCCATGGGTTTTCTCAGATACTCCGTGTACATCGATTTCCCCAACACTCAACAGACCTGAAACAAGATCCGGCTTGTGTTCAGGTTGCTGTTTTGATGGTGCATCCTGCTTCAACTCCATGTCCACTCGCACAGACACATCTCTGATCTTGAGTTGGAGTCGGTCCACCACTCCTTTTAAGAACCCGGCCACAAAGCTCGGCAATGACAACGTCTCATTCCCAAGACCCTCCTCTTCGTCCCCGTCGGCGCCCCATGCTAATGGATCATGAGGCAGGACTTGGGACTGTGACGATATCGCAGCTTGTAGCTCCTCTCTTTCTTCTTTGGGCTCCGACTCAAGGAACGACTCCGCAAGACCAGACGGTGTGGGCACCGCCAAATTTTCAGCATTTCGTTTCCCTTGTTTCTCCTGATTTAACTCCTCGGGCAATAAACGAATGTGTATGTCGATACCGTCTGCCTCACAGAGGATGCCGCTATTGTGGAAATCGGCTGGGAGTGTGAGACGAAGGAACCGTACCCGGGCGCTGAGTAGCTCGCATGAGGGAGGTAGATTGAGGATAGTTGATAATTTCTATGTCACAGTATCGAACGGTTAGTCCGCACCGCTCCACATGTCGCGTTCGGTGATCACGAAGCACCGCCCCGCCTCCCGCAGAGGGTCACCACTCCTACTCACCTCTAGTATGAGGCCAATATCTCTTAACTCAATAGTAGACCGCTGGCCCCAGCGGATCCCTAGGTTATCTAGATCCAAGGCCTCTGTGTCGACCAGACCCACGCGAGACAGGGCGTATTTGAGTAGCCGCTTCTGGAAGAACGATGGCATGAAGTACGAGGCCATCGTGACTGAGAGCCGGGAGTGGGCTCGTTCATCCGTGAACGCAGATCATTGAGAAAGCAACAAAATAAAATCCAGAAATCAGCCAGCCCCGACAAAGCGGAGTGGATGAGGAGTCGTGAAGGGGGGAATGTTCAACAATGACGTTCCGGGCACCTGATAAAGGCGATAAGTAACCCGAGTCAGGCGGCGACGTGCCAACTCACCGATTGTTGACTTCAATGTTGAGATGACACCAGATTGGTCAATTATTATTGCACTGACAGGTTATGAGTCTCAAATTGTATGTTGTACTTCAATAATTGATGGAAGGCGGCACTAGTTGAATTATTGCTAAACAGCTTTTATATTCTCATGTTTGTTCTTGTTAGGCTACTATGTGACAGGTATCCTGTGGGCAACATAACAGGAGCTTAGTCCTCATCAGCATCGAATTCAGCAAACTCCAAGACAATCCACTCGCAGAATTTCTCGAAGTCTGAGCCAAAATCACGCAAGCGCTCGGATTTTAATCCCTTTCCCATTACCCCGTTCTGGATGCCAGCTTTCCACTCAGCTGTTGACTGGTCTTCATAGCAGCTCCACCGGATGGAGTTCTGGGCCATCATTGATAGGCCGACCAAATCCACATTTTCCAGTCCCTGCAAAGCCTGCCAGAAATCGTGTGTCAATCCATTCCGTCCGTGCCCAAGAATTGCGGGGTCATCGTTGCACAGCGAAACGGCGACGCCTCTGGATAGCAGTGCTGGCAAAGGATGGGATTTGATGGAGCTAGCAAGACGCAGCACTTCATTTGAGATCGGGCAGCATTCAATAAGAATCTTCTTCTCTTTGACTAAATCAATGAGCAGAGGATGCTTGTAAAGAGAGAATCCATGGCCGATTCGTCGAGTGCCTAGAAGGATGGCATCAAAGAGGTTGTGGTCTGTCTCGTCGCCATCGCCAAGACATTCTCCGGCATGGAAAAAGAAGGGGATATCAACGCCTTCTTCCGCGCATTGTTTTCGGAACCAAAATAGCACCGGGACAAGATCGGCAAGAGGTCGCCCCAGATCCTCTTGGCCAACAAGATCAAACCCACTAATCAGATCAGGGAACTCTTGCTTCGTTTCAATACACTTCTTCATGCTATCGACAATCAAGTCATTGGAAAATATGCGGAGCGTAGTCCAAATAATCCGAGCATCGTAGAAGTTTTTCCCTTCTTCGGTTTGCTTAAACTCTGCCATGACCTCTTCCACGACACGACACCATCCAAAGTAGTCATCGTCGGCCTTATCGCTCCCTTCTTTCCGGAACTCGAAAACAAATGCAATGCGGAACTCCACGTAGCGAATCCCATCCGCAGCAAGCTGTCCCAGCAGACGGTGGAAACAAGCCCGGAAGATAGGCTCGTACATCATAATAGAATCGACGATGGGGAAAGTCCTGGTGAAGATAGACCAAATTGCGTCGACTCCATGATGGTGGTGGTAAGAATGTTCCGGCAGAAGCACACATCGATTTCTCAGCCATTTCCGGAAGCCCTGTTCCCCTCCATTGGGGAAGCTAGAGGCGGCTTTCTGAATCGAGATCAATGATGAAGCCTCGTATGTCTCTGACCAGATACTCGGCTTATCCTCTGATGCCTCCAGAGGCTGTGTGGAATACCGGAAATACACGGGCGCCTTTTCGTAGTCATTAGCTGTGATCAACGGGTTCGGGGCGAACATGTGGATGCCGGGCGTGGAGAATGCCTGATCAATCAGGAACTCGATATCGAACATGGCATCCATGTGGGCGTGCAGGAGAGAGCCCTTCGGCATCTGCTCTACGATCTTCCATAGTTTGGTCTTTTCCATGCGGCCTTTGGCCAGATTGAACATCACACCAGGATAGAGGATCTCATCTGACTGGTGGGCCGCAGCCTCGTCCAATCCGTTTGACCACACCTCATGTTGCTCCTGGGCTCGGATCTGCGACACTATCTTCGCCGCGCGGGCAGCGATGGGTGACAGAGATTTCCGAAGATTTGCATCTGTAGTAAAAAGTCAGATGTGGGAATTTTTGGTTTTGTTTGGATGTGAAATACCGTGACGTCGTTTCTGCTCTTCAGCGATCAACGCATCGCGTCCCTTCAAGTATTGTTGAATGAAGGGATCCTCAAACTGAGGGATGCCCTCCTCTAGTTCCCATGCATTATCGGTGTTCGCCATGGTTTGAGGTGATTCACAAAGTGGTGTAGAATCAAGGCTGTCAGATCATCGCGGGAGGGGCAGATAGCCCTCCCCGCCTTCTCCGTTTTCGTTTTAGTGTTCTAGTTGCCTGGAGTTGAATGCTACATCGCAATCGATTTTCTGTTATTGGCTCGGATTCCCGAGTTCAATTACCAACATTCCATAGGAGAGGCTCGTGAATTGGACCCAGTAGCGGTCTACGGCCAAAATGACCTAATACCGGTACATTATGCGATGTCCCCTGGTGCATGTCCACCAGTCCCCTGTGCCATGGGAGCCTAACTATGTATATAATTGCCATTACAGTACATTCAATAGAGTCCTGAGAGGTGGCCATTGACCACGCCGTTTATCTGGCCGAGGTCGAGAGCCACATCTCGCTCATCGTCCATAGGATAAACTAGAGCCGCCTCGTACGAGCTCGATTTATTGAGCGATGTTTAGCCTAAACCAGAATAGGCTGTGGTACTATTTCTAAGTGGATGATATCTGAGATGACTCTGCTACCGCTATCTCATGGTCTTTATGACCAGGTGAAACGGGTTTCAGGGACAATATGGACGAAAAGCAAAGTGGTCTGATTTCAGTTGCAGATGGCAGCAGGGAAAGCTAATGAGATAAGATCGACTCTGTATAAATCTCTGATACTACCTCCTTTCGAAATTTCAGGTTTTACCATAGGACATCGAGGTAGATAGATATTAATGAACTCCGTTGACGCGTGGTGGCCATCTCGGCAGACAGGGTAGTGACTAGTCCATAAGAAGGCCGAGTTCAGGCGGCAATAGATAAAATCATACTATTAGAAGTGATAGACTCTAAGCCTTTGCTATAGTGCAAATCCGACCGAAATAGTTGGAAGATCATAATTTCATAGCGGAAGTCACCTGCTCGGAGACTGGTCTGGGGGGCAATCAGTGTATAGCGAACAGACCACCACATGGACTTACCATGGCCCACAAAACCACATGGTGAAACTGGAGATTTTCACTAAGCCTAGATACGTAGGTTGGAAGGCATATTCCTTCCTTCCAATTCTCAAGAAACTTACATATGCAGTGTGCAGACTATCAACTCTCTGCCAGTGTTGGTTTGTACTATGCATCACGCATGCCCGATCTAGCCCTGATTGTGCTGTCTTACTAAGATACAGTCAGTGCCACTGGCTGTCAATTGCTTTTGCCGGGTATACTTCTGGCATTATATGAGATCGATATTGACTTTATCCAAATTGATCCTTGTGGGGGCCAGGATGCCAAGGGATGACCCCGAACTACAACCGACACCTTTCATCCCAGCGAGTTGGAATCATCTGAGGCTTAGAAGCGAGTTTCCATTGAACTCTTGGTAAAGGCTTCGAGGCATGTTTTCACCTCTGCAACATACGTTTTGACTCGATGATCATCCGCATTCCATTGAACAGTCTGATCAGGTTCTGAGATCAGTGGATATGACCTGAGACATCGATCAGGCAGCGATTTTGAAACAAACTCTGATTGCCACATCAAGTTTAAGAGTGCACCGAGCCATCATCTCCCGCGTTACCACTATCACACCGAGGAATGCGTGGAGAATCCAAACTACAACGTGATCCATGCCGAAGCTTGGCAAATCTGATAACTTTCATTTCTTTTTCTTATGATGCGCGGTTTCCGGAGACAATCTTGTTGGCCCAAAGCGCCAAGGTTCCATAATAAATTTCCGAGCAGCCACGCAAAGCTTGAACCGACGTTGGGCGGACGAATCCGATGGGTCCGACGACGGTAACTGAATGGGGTAATGATCTCACAGTCACCGACGATCTGATTAGATCTTTCCACCAGCTGAGGCCGGTGCTCCTTGCCCCCAGTGGAGTGGGAGGGTCAGTCTGCCGAATATGTTTGGGCGGCATGATTATCTATACCGCGTATGTTGTCACAGGTTGAATATACTGGGAAACGATTGTCCCTTTGACCCACTGGGATCAAAACAGTGCCAACCCATTCCGTGATCTTTCGACTCCGAATGTGCCGACTTTCGCATGCTGTTTTATGTGGGAACTCTGGGTCTTTTGTCTGGTATTTGACTGACCCCTCCCCCTCGCGGAGAAATACACTATCCCCAGAACTTTCCTTTCCTTATTTGGGTTCCTGGATTTTTATGGTTCATTGAGCATTATGAACCTGCGTCCTGTGATACAAAGGGCCCGGTCGGTCTTTCATCGAATGAAGATTGACAGGGATGAGGCTGCATCTTCTTCAATCGAGGTTGAGGGAAACACCGTAGAGCAAAGCAAGTCGGATGGTCCTGCTCCTCATCCTGAAGAGGCACTTCCAAACAACGGTGCAGAGCTCCCCGGTGTGCCCTTTGAAGAGCTTCAACACGGTATTCAGGAAGTCGAGGCTGTGGCCCAAACCTGGTCCAAAGCATCGTTGATTTTCGTCTTCATCAAGTAAGTCTATTTGTTCCCTTGCCCATACTCTAGCTAATATTATCTTTCTTTAGTATGTGGTTCCTTTACTTCACATATGCCTGGATATCGTCAATTGATGGTAGTTTGAGTACATACGTTGCTAGCTCATTCCAACAACATTCATTATCGGCCCTTCCCACTGCCATTGCTGATGCTTTTTCCGCTGCAATCTTCCTTCCAGTGGCGAAAATGGTGGACACTTGGGGTCGAGCCGAAGGATTCCTTGTGATGTCCATCTGCTCTACCGTTGGACTTATTCTGATGGCCTCTTGTAACAGTTTTGCTCTCTATTGCGCGGCTAATGTAAGAGACTATTGATAAATTGTGGAGCAAACGCTGACTGAAATCCTAGGTCTTTTACTACGTTGGGTTCGGAGGTATGCAATTCGCCATCGATGTTATTACCGCCGATTTGTCCCAGTTGAAGAACCGAGCCCTTGCATACGCTTTCACGTCCTCTCCATACATCATCACAGCCTTTGCTGGACCAAAGGTGGCCAATCTATTCCAAGAACACACAGGCTGGCGATGGGCATATGGTACTTTCGCGATCATTTTCCCGGTTGTGGCTACCCCGCTGTTCTTTATTTTGAAGTACAACTTGAAAAAGGCCAAGAAAGAAAATATCGTGGTGGTCAGAGAGAAGAGCGGTCGAAACTTCTTCCAGAGTATCTGGTTTTGGACCCTTGAATTTGATTGTGAGTATTCCCAATTGCTAATAGATTTTTGTTGGTAATAAAATGCTGATCCTCCATATAGTGATTGGAGTTTTCATTTTCACTGCTGGTCTGATCTTATTCGAGCTTCCGTTCGACATCGCTAGCGGGGCCCCCAATGGCTGGGGCACTGATTATATCATTGCTATGATTGTAGTTGGATTCTCTATGCTCTTCTTCTTCGCTCTCTACGAGAGATACATCGCTCCCACGCCTTTGTTACCCTGGTCATTCCTCACCAACCGAACTGTCGTCGGTGCTTGTCTTTTGGATGCAACCTACCAGCTTTCAAACTACTGTTGGAATAATTACTTCTCCAACTTTCTTCAAGTGGTCAATGAGCTGACCATTGCCGAAGCTGGATACATCGTCAATACATTCGACGTGGTCTCCGGCGTACTATTATTCTTCGTTGGCTTTGTGATTCGAAAGACAGGTCGCTTCAAGTGGCTGTTGTATATTTCCGTCCCTCTGTACATCTTCGCCCAGGGATTGATGATTTACTTCCGTCGCCCCGGACAAAACGTCGGTTACCAAGTGATGTGTCAAATTTTCATCTCGATTGGTGGATCAATCTTCATCATTGTCCAGCAGCTTGCTATTCTCGCTGCCGTTGACCATCAACACATCGCCACAGCTCTTGCCTTGCTCAACGTCGTCGGCACGATCGGAAATTCTGCGGGTCTCACTATCTCGATGGCAATCTGGAACAACACATACAAGAAAGCTCTCACGTGGTATCTACCAGATTTGTCTGATCTGGATATGATTTACGAGGATATTGAGAAGCAATTGAGCTATCCCCCGGAACCGAGATGAGAGAGGCTATCCAAAAAGCGTACGGTTATACACAAGTGAGAATGCTTTCTGCTGGACTTGGCGTGATGGTTCTGGCGTTCGCATGGACGATCATGATTAAGAACATCAACCTAAAGAAGGTTGCTCAGGTCAAGGGTGTAGTGTTCTAATGGATTGTCATGATTAACGAATCAACGACAGCGAACTTGGAAGAGATCGTTGTGGTACCCTTGCTCGCAGGCTAAGTTGGTCAGCCCAGCTCGATTAACTACACGTAAATATGAATAGCCTCTCCGCAATGAGACTCACCTTATCCACGAAGTGATGTACAATCAAACTAGGCAATTTCAGGGTACTTGAAGGATTGAAGGACTGATCGGCAGAAACCACTGGATGCGCATTCTGGGAGCGTGAACGAGATGGACTTTATCTCTCATCGGTATCTATAACCTAGTATCATTAGGGTCCAAATAGAAGGATGAGGAGTTCTTCACTTGGCAATGCATAATCTGATCACAAGAGCGCCTGATTTTTAGTCACTGATAGGTCGCTATTTCTTAATTACGATATGGATGCGACATAGGGTTTCATATAGCGTGCGCCTACCAGGATGATGCTTCCCAGAAAGGTGCAGATCCAACTTATGAATATATATTCACCTATGGGCCCAATGAGAGGATCCATTATAGCTAAAATTATACCTAGGTCTGCGACGCATCTCGCGGAAGAGTGTATGAAACGTACTAATACCGAAAGCGCTTAAATGATATCATTATACATTCAACCGATAATGCTACTCTAGGGCGGACAATGGAGATAAAACACATCAATCACTATTTTTCATTGCGCGGAAGACTCTCCTGATTTCCAGTTTTGTTTCGGGAGTTCTCACTGCTGGGGTTGGATCTCGACTTCTCGATACTTCTTTATTGCGCTCTCTATCAAAACGCGCTATAGAAAGGCATCCGTCTCTAGCCTCAAAAGCGCTCATTTTCAGTGTCATTTCACAGGTCCTCATATTCTAATTGTTAAGATAATACAACATCATATGCAGAACTAGTCTATATCATTGCGCGAGGTAACTTCCCTTACGTGGTTTATTCTCTACATGTAGTCATCCATATGTCGCAAATATTCCTCTATTCTTTGGTCTCATCAGAGAGTACTTTGACCCGACAGACTGTGTATCTGAAGTGATCTAACGACTACTTTGTGTCCCTTTTGTACCGCTAATGATAACGGCGTGCGCTTGAAAAGATCTTTGGTATACGGATCAACACCCTCCGTGATAAGTAACAGCTGAACTACAGCCACATTCCCCTTCTCTGCTGCATGCGACAGCGGCGTCCGCCCACTAGAATCCTTGTAGCCTGGGTTCACATTATCCGTAGCAAGCAATATCCTGACGATAGCCTCGTGTCCACTCTGTGCTGCCAGTGATAGCGGAGTGCGGTTGAGATAATTACTAGAATCTGGCTCAACACACTTCGTGGCAAGCAACAGATTAACCACTGCCTCATGTCCACGGTATGATGCCAATGCTAGCGGTGTCCATCCAAAGAGATCTTTGCAGTCTGGGTCAACGTGCTCTGTGGCGAGAAGTAACTTGACTACAGCCTCACGTCCATTCTCAGCAGCGCGAAATAGAGGGGTCCTTCCATTGCAATCCTTCGAGTTAGGGTCAACGCCCTCGGTGGCAACTAGCAGCTTGACCACCATCTCATGCCCATACTCCGCTGCCCACGATAATGGTGTTTGTCCTTGATAATCTCTTGAATCTGGGTCAACGTTCTCAGTATTAAGTAGCGAGCTGACCACCGCGAGATGTCCCTTCCACGCTGCCAACGACAATGGTGTCCGTGCGAAAGAATCCTTGGAGTCGGGGTTAATTTTCCCAGTGGCCAGTAGGATGTTGACCACCACATCATGACCGTTTTCTGCCGCAAGCGCCAATGGAGTCTGATTAAATTCAAACATGGATTGAATATGAGCCCCTTCTTGTAGTGACTTTTGAGTCGTTGCCGCCTGTCCATGCTTTGTGGCCCAGAGTAATGCAGAACTCCCAAGCCGTTGCACGTCGTAGAGATAAAGATAAGTATTGAGGAGACTGTGAAGACGAATATTCGTTTGAGCAAAAGCATTCACATCGCTCGCTGCTTCCAGCTCCTCCGCGATAAATCGCAGAATTTCATTCGGCAAATGAAGGAGGGGCATCTCCCAAGTCTTGGGTCTGTAGCAAAAGGGCAGCAAATAATCAGATCGTGACTACCAAAATTGGAAATCGGGTAGAAAACTGCGCTTTGGTGTGCAAGTGCCATTAGCCCGTTCACTGGCACAGAAACTACCCTTGAGGTGACGAAATGACTACAAAAGTGCTTAGGTACCTATGTTGGAGGCTACCTAGAATAGACTAGTGTATATCTAACAAAGAAGATGTTTAGTGCGTATGAATATCAAACACAACAAATGAAGAGCAGTAGTGTAGAGATCCAGATAAATATGTAGTCCCAAATTGGTCCCGTATGGCTATCTTTCTAGTGATAGAGTCCGAGGATAACTATTCGAGTCTATCACTTTGACTGGTTTGTTAATAGGATTTCCCGCTCATGTTGTTCTTTAGCTAACATTCATCACCAAATGCTCCGTAATCAAACCACACACACATGAAAAATACTAGCCATTGCACTTGAGCAGATTGAGAAAAAAAGGCAAGACAAGGCTAGACAAGACAAGACAAGACAAGGGCTAGAAGTTCTGTCACGTAGACCTGACACTACCTACGTACCTAATAATGAGTGGGCTTAGTAAGATTATTGGCACACCTCCAGGGGCAAAGAGATCGAGCCATAGGATTGCTATGTAACAGAGAGAATGGGGGAAGAAGCTAGTACTATTCCACCTCATGACGCAATTCAATCGGTGTACGGAGTACAAAGAGGATTCCATGAATGACCTTGCCAAGATTGAGCTAGCGTAGGTACGCAGTTTGTGCAGGTGATAATCAGAATACTCAGACAGTATCACGTTCGTTGTGAAAAGATGACACTTCACGTATGTACCAAGACACCTCATTTACATATGCAGATTTCATGAAACCTCTCCCCTTTCAATGCCAGTGTCTTAGAATCTTTGAGTAAAACATGTTGTCTTATGCTGTATGTAGTTAGGGTACTCTCATTTTACCTAAATGGTCACCTGTCGAACTCAACGCATCGACCTGGTTATTATGGTCTCATGATGTATGTACACGAATTACTCAAAGGTATCAGAGTGACTTCCCTATCTCTTTGTTATATTTGCTTTGTTATTTTTATAAAACGTCCCACCGTGAGCTGAACCGATCAACAGCTTATTTTGTTCATGGTATAGGGACCACTGGGGAAAGGACCGGCCTACATCAAGCGACTGATTTAAAAGTCAACGGCGTCTCATTTTTGATCAAGCGGCACCGCTATGCCTAATGTCTTTTCACCCATGAATATTCCATCAAAGAGGTATTTGCCTGATTGGACAGCCGTTTGCGCCTACATGCAATGGATTAGCACCACCTCGTTCTACAAATGAAACCTCAAAGGGGGCTTGGCTATATGGAAGTTTCTTTGATCATTTATCTCAACATAAAAGAGATCGACCCCATCAAAGAAGGACCGCCTGTTTTGAGGAGTGAAAGCCCTGTTCAAGTTTTGAAGTGCCTGCTTTTCCAGTGCATTGATTCATCCCGGGCAAATCCCCAGTTTGTCAGTCAAACCACCATGGACATTTCATCCGCTGTCGCTACGTGGCTTTCGTGCGCCGCGACACTTGTTGGTCTTGGCTCTCTCGCCACTCAGTTCAGCGCCATCATCGATCACACAGATCCATTTCATACCTTACGAGATATACAGCACTTGGGTAGCTGGTCGTGCCGGCAGCCCGATGTACCATGGTACCATATTGTCAAACCACCCCCAGTCGGGCCTGTGATCAGGGCAAGCCTTTTCCACGGATTCTGTGGGCAGAATACCGTGTTTCTCAGTCGCTTGCCATTCTCACAACAGGTTGGCCAGGCGGCATGGTCGTTGTTACTTGGAGTCATTCACCCAACCTCTCAAACCAATCGTCAGCGATACAATGCATTGAAATCTTCCTCAAAAGAGGAAGTTTTGGGATTTGCCTGCACCACGGTTGTAATGAATGAGCCTTCCAATATCATTCCAAGTGAAAGCTGGGCCAATATGCCTCTTTGTCCTCTGGCGAGGCACAAGTTAACCACTTGTACTGTTATCTCGCGAACGACCCTCATGGCGATCCTCTGTCTAACAAATTCACGGCCTGTGTTCTGTCATAGCGGTGCTTCTGGTCATCGAGCCGCCTACGCATGCTACTGTGGACAATGGCGCGTGGAATGGCCCATTGGAGATGTTGCGCGCGTGTACTTCCGTGCGCATGACTCCCATGCGTTATCGGATGACCCATATCCCCCGATATTCCAGCAAAGGGTTGATAAATGCCTACAGATCTTGGCTGGTGTGATTGAGTCACAGAAATCAAATTCATTTAAGTGTGCGTTTCCGGGACGCAAATCGTCTGGTCAATGGATCCTTGAATATGCAGTCAAGGGATTCGGCGGTGCGCACGGCGGGAGGCATCTTTACAACATGATTGGCGGTAACGTCAATGAGGTGGACTTCTTGTTTATGAAAGCTATGCATACCAAAATTGAATCATCAGAAGACATGATGGTCCTTCACTTGCCTAACAAAGACACCGGGACCTTCGATGTGACTTTGTACATCCCAAGGCGAGAATCCGCTATTCTCAATGAAGCCTTGGACAATCTCCCATGGACATTCCTATCATGGTCCATCCATCGAGGGCTGCATGATATTCTTGTTGCTTATGCAAGAGAAAGGATGGATCGCTATCGAAGCCGTTTGGCGGACACACTCCGCCTTACGGTAGCAAAATGGCCAGAAAGATTGGATGCCAGGGGATGGAACCCACAGTTTGTCAGGGAGAATATGGCAGATATGGCTGTAAGCGCTGTTATGGCAGGACGAGGAAATTCAGGGGATGCCGTCAGGGTTGTGACTGAAATAGCAGCGGCTTTGTGGAACGGCCCAACTTCAGCCCTTGACGAGACGAACTTTTGGAGGGATACAAGTCCATCATCTTGCCCTCCGATCCTTGACCCGATTACTGTTGCTGCTCTTGTCAAGTGCTTCGTATTGGAGTGGAGTATCCACTTGGACTACCAGATGTATCACGATTTCCCGTTAGAGATGTACCTAGGATGAGCAGGTAGTACCTATTTGAGAATATGGTGTTTTCTTCTTTCCTAAACTAGGAACGTGGTGAAATCTCAGAGACAGAGGGGATGCTTAGCGCCTATTGATAGTACGTTACTAACCAGAAACGGGAAATCGGGCATCTATGCGTATTGGTCCAAGAAGCCGAAGAGGAAAGCAACAATCTCACAAGCCAAAATATTGCATGACAAAATTCATCACCCCCAAATTCCCTTCGGCAGTCCTGGCCAATCCTTCATTCACATGTGCAGTTTTTGGTTTCCTTCTTCTCGGAATCTGTTGAGTGAAAGGCCGTGCATGCTCACTGAATAATATGGTTAGCCCATCGCTTTGATCCAAGGCCAATGAAACAAAGCGGCGTAAATTAATGGATCTCCATAACGAAGGTGCTATTGGCGGCCTGGAACGGACCGAGGAAACTATAGGCACCATTAGCTTGGCGTTAGATCAGATAACTCGAAGATAGACATCCGACTTCGGATGTATGGCCTGTAGCTTGGGGGCCAGAAAGTGATCAGATCGAAACAGCATAAATAGCGCGTTGCTTCCTATGCAGTTCCTATGTAGCACCCCGGGCACCATTCTCTTCTCTTCAAATCCATTGAAAGATCCTGTATCGCAATCACGATCATCATGAAGTTCTTCAACATTGTAATCATTGCTGCACTTGCTGCACTCACCAACGCCGCCGCTGTCGCTAAGCCCGAGGCTGGTTTGGACCTTAATGTTCTCGAAAAGCGCTGCAAAGCAAGTACGTTTTGATTATCAACATGATTTCTATGATAGATCTCTTTCGGAAGTTGGAAACAGAATGGCTAATTTGGTCTGTCATATTAGCTGGCAACATTTGCACACTCCCTAGCCAGTGCTGCAACCGCGGATGCATCAGTGGTGGCCCTACCAGCAAGTTTATCAAGCGCTGCAATTGAGGATCGTTCTCCTTTTGAAATGGTATATTCTGCCATATCTGCCAATATATCCCAGAATAGCGTTGCTGACCATCGATCACCGTCTACAGTTGCCTTGGGAGTCTAATGAGATGACAAGTTGCTATACAGGGCTCTCCGGGGAACAAGTAGTACTCCTAGAAGCTGTCAGATAGAAAGATGGAATGTTCAATAATTGTACAACTTCTTAGGTCTAGGCATCCATACATTTAAATCAGAGAAACACTGGTATTTCCCATCATCTTGGAACGTTTATATATCTTGCCTCAAAACCCGACATACCTGCTTTGACTACGTCGAACACGCTCTATTCCCAACAATATGACGAAAAGATACCCAGCGCATGTGCATATAATAGTTCCTTTTCTTTGCTCTCGAGGTTCATCGCAAGTTCAGTGTATAAAGCCTTCGGCAACCTTGTAGGAGCGTAGCATAAGCCGATATTTACTACCAAGCTTCGCTATAATTTTGTGGTCGCAGGACCTTGCCAATTGACTGGGTCAACACCTATCAATATATACCACTCCGGTTGAACTGATTCTTATGAATTAGTTTGGCTATGCCTTTTTGGCTTAATGGGTAAATGCCTAGAGTAGTGTCCAGCTGGATCTCACCTCCCTAGTTATGTACATGTTAGCTGATCGATCGCCTCTCTAGCCTCGACTTGCAGATTTCTCAAGAGATATTTGGGTCTTTATAGATTTCTGCATGTTATGTAATGCTACAGAGAAAGAATTACTGCTTTCTCTTGCAAACATCCAGGGCTGTGTTTTGGAAGCTAGTGGTCCTTTTGACAGCTGCATTGCTTTGCCAACGTCAATCAATTGGATACGTATTTTTTTCACCCGTTGTTTCACCAGCAAGGGATGAGAGACCTTTTACCTAATAGAGAATATAGATCAGTTTCCTGTGGATCTATGGAGTAGATGTCTCATTATGTGTTAGGTGTTGTGATATCTAAGCCTAAGCCTTATGGAACAGGCCACCTAACGCTCCGTAACTAGCCAGCCCACAACAGCATTAGTCTCTTTTCCCCACGTCCCACATCTCTCTCGCTTGGCTGAAACATTTCTACCGAAGAAGAAGTTCCGGGGCTTGTGGCCTGAGGCCCTATATCCACTGACCATGTGATCACCTGAGCCCGGGACGATCTTACATACAAATCGAGTGCAGCCGAGGTTAGCCCCGGGGCCGTTAAATAGGCCAACTTGAGGACTGCCCGTGGGAATATAACATAACCTAATCAAAATGCTCTAATCTACATGTGTATCGAAGAGGTTCTCCGACTCCATAAATCAGACTTTGCGGGTTCCTCGAATATGGCAATGGCCAAGCGCCTATCTTCTCCTCCGTTCTCAGTACTTAAATGAAGGCTTCGGAATTTTGTCGCTTATCACCGCACATACCCCCGGGTCTATATCCATTCTCCCCAGCTGGTCATGATCTTGCAGGGTAAGCTCACCATGGAAAACTCAAGCGGAGTACGGCACCCTCCGCAATCCTGTGCATTGCGATGTATGGTGCGTGACACGCCGTACAACTTGACTCCGGGGGCTGCGTTAGTCCTCACGTTAGACCAAGCCCTCGGATATCACAACCATGTCGGGCCAGGGTTCCCCAGGCCAATCTTGCCACCAGTTAGCTCGGGATGAGCTCGGGAGATGGAGCAGACGACCCATACAGGGGGGGCTTTGCCACGGTGCGGAGAGACCTTCCAAGATACTCGAGAGATTTTAGCTCAATCTGCACCACCAATCATGGAGCCCCGCAGGGGTTGTGCGTGGCAAGGGAATGTTACTGTCTTATCACTTTGCCTTGGATGTGGTTACATGTGGCTTACGATGAGTCTAGGCGAGACGGAGCCTCCGCAGTACTCCGTCGGTCAAGCCGTTCCTTCGGCATGCAGCAGCCAAACAGGAGGTGTCTGCAAGGCCTTCGAAGCTAGTGCTCGGTCTAATCCCTGCCACGGGCGTTTTCTTTTATCTCCCAAAACTTCCCCCCGCATAGTAAAATAATATGCGATAAAAATTAAATGCGGGATATTTCGAGGAATGTGGGAAATGCCAATAGGAACAGCTAATCAAATCAGTGCCATTGTGTCGTGTTATTATAAAAGTCCCGACTCTCCTCGCCAGTTCTATAAGTCCCCGTGTAGTCTTTCGGGGTTCCGTTCTTGAGTTGCACTCTTGATCTCTAATTTGCCCACGGGCGCGTATTTTCAAACCTCTACATCATTGCATCGATCCTGATTACGAATCGGTTGAATTGCGATGGAGAAGACCCAGGAAGTTGATCCTTCCACGGGACCTCAGGTCACGCATCATGTAGATCCTGTGCTGGATCCAGAGCACCAGCATCATCATGCTCATCACCACCATAGCGCGTTTGCTGAAGAAGGTCGCACCGACGAAGTGGTTTATTCTAAAGATGGCGAATTCGAGAAAGGAATCGTTCCCGAGCCAACGCCGCTGGATCACAGCGGCAAGCTTTCCAACGATGAGGAATCCGGCCAGGAACAGCCAGCCCAGCGCACTTGGTATCGCCGCGTGCTGAAGCAATGGAGACACATGGTTCATGCTGTGATTTGGCTTCTGTTTACCGGGTAAGTGAACGACCGTTTGCGCTTCCTCAGTTGACGGTGTACAATATACCTCCGGGTACACTCCCTGAATCCAATTCGAGACTTATACTTCTTCCCTAGATGGTGGATTGCTGGCCTCATCCTTCATCGGTATGACTTGGGATGGCTCATTCCATTCCTGCTCTATCTTGCAATCACCCTGCGAATCTTCTTCTTCTACGTCCCGATCACTATCATCTCGAAGCCCATGCACTGGGTCTGGGAGCGCACTGCCCGTCCTTTCGTACGCATGATCCCCGAGAAGATGAGAACACCCAGCGCCGCCCTTCTGGCCATTGGTGTGATCCTCATCGGTGCGTTTGCGTCGGAAGAATCAAAAGACAACACCCGCGCCAACCGTGCAGTCAGCTTGTTCGGAATGATAGTATTCCTCTCCGGCCTATGGGCCACCTCTCGAAACCGCAAGAAGATTCTCTGGCACACTGTCATTGTTGGCATGTTGGCACAATTCATCATTGCACTGTTCGTGCTCCGCACCACCGCAGGTTACGATATCTTCAACTTCATCTCGACTCTGGCCCGTAGTCTGCTTGGATTTGCCGGCGATGGTGTCATCTTCTTGACCAGTAATGACTTCTATAGCTACAACAAAGACTTTGTGCCAGCCAACTTCTTCATGATCAGCGTCATCTCTGCCATCGTCTTCTTCGTCTCCCTCGTCCAGCTCCTCTACTACTACACCGTCCTGCAGTGGTTCGTCGGCAAGTTCGCCGTCTTCTTCTTCTGGAGCATGCGTGTTTCTGGCGCCGAGGCCGTCGTCGCTGCCGCATCCCCCTTCATCGGCCAGGGTGAATCCGCCATGCTGATCCGTCCCTTCATTCCCCACCTTACTCTCGCCGAACTGCACCAAATTATGTGCTCTGGCTTTGCCACCATCGCTGGAAGTGTCTTGATCGCCTATATCAGTATTGGTGTCAACCCACAGGCCATGGTCAGCGCCTGTGTCATGAGTATCCCCGCCTCATTGGCGGTCTCCAAAATGCGCTGGCCCGAAGAAGAAGAGACCCTCACTGCAGGCCGTGTAGTCGTCCCCGATAGTGAGGAACACCGCTCCGCCAATGCTCTGCACGCATTCACCAGCGGTGCCTGGCTCGGTCTGAAGATCGCTGCCATGATCACTGCAACCCTGCTTTGCATCATCGCTCTCATCGGACTCGTCAACGGCCTCCTCACCTGGTGGGGCCGATACCTCAACATCAACGACCCCCCACTTACCCTCGAGCTGATCGTCGGATACATCTGCTACCCGATTGCCTTCCTCCTCGGTGTTTCCCGTGACGGTGATCTTCTCAAGGTCGCTCAACTGATCGGTGTCAAGCTCGTTACCGTAAGTTCCCCCATCCACATCCTTTATCAATCCTCTAACAACCCACAGAACGAGTTCGTCGCCTACGATTCCCTCCAGCACAGCCCAGACTACGCCGACCTCTCAGACCGCTCCCGCCTCATCGTCACCTACGCGCTCTGCGGCTTCGCGAACATCGGCTCCGTCGGTAATCAAATCGGTGTCCTGTCTCAGATCTCCCCCGGTCGTGGTGGTGATATCTCCCGCGTTGCTTTCAGCGCCATGATCACCGGTGCCATTAGTACCTTCACCAGTGCCACCGTTGCCGGCTTGTTAATTACAAACGAGAAGCAGTACTTTGCTACCTCCTAATCTTCGATGGTTTGATATCATCGAATTGGACTTTTATACTATTATTCTAATACATGTTTTGCAACTCATTCAATTCTCCAAATTCCTGGGGGGAACCATATCATAATTTTCAGGTATTATTGTACCTTGGGCTTTTATCGAGGGGAGTACTGGGGTCCATGGAGACTTCCCATTTATACCCTTTCAGATCTCGTACAGAGTAATACTCTGAATCTTTCTAGCTCTATATTTATTGCAGACCCGGCTAACTGAAGGCTAGATGCATGAACCTTGTAGATCTCTCCAGAGTTGAGACTAGTCCTCCTCGGACAAGATACTACAGACGTGGAAGCAAATTGTACGATATGAGATTGACTAACAGTTACACCGACAATAAATAGATCTACCACCCCAGGGGCAATCACCAGGCACGAAGGAGACAAGGATAGCTAACAACCCAAGGACCTCTAGGGGCAGAGTTTCTGACGCCTGTACCTGAATGTGGGGATTCATAGGCATGTGGTAAAGATAAGAAAAAAGATAAGAGAAAGACATCAGTGAACAACCAAGAACTCCTAGGCCCAAACCAGGCCGTTATGCATTTGTAGCATGATTCAACCGCCCAATGAGATGGGCAACAGGGCCAACCGACGCCGATGCAGAATCAAAAGGTATCAAATCTAAATTCATTCATCATCCAAGTCCTGGTGCCGGGCAAGAACGTGGCGCTTGAACTCCGCCTGGTCTGAATCCCATAGCTCGGCTGCTTGGGCGTTCAAGGGGCTCGCACTGGTTTGATGTTAGGACTGTCCGCGGTGATAGAGAAGGGTAGATGCTTACTTGTTAGGCTCTCCCAGAAGACTTTGCAAGCTGAGCAAGACACTTGATACATTGTAAACGGCACTCCACTTGTCCTTGAGGATGTCGAGGCAGATGCGGCCGGAGAAGTCCACGTTGGGGTGGTAGATGGGAGTCTTGAACAGGACTGTCGGGGGCGAGTAAGGATAGTTGTTGGAGAATGCGAAGGAGAGTTTCAGTGTGAGGCCCTCGTAGGGAGTCTCGGTCGGGCCGGTGATGGTCGCTGTCCAAGAGAGGAGGTTGCCGTCTGCGTCAGGGAAAGCGGAGATGCCGGGGGAGGGCGAGAGCATGAGCTGCATGAGCTCAGCTTGCAGGCTGTATGACAAAGAGTGGGTTAGTACAGTGGATCTCCAATAGAAAAACAGCGACCAAAAGGCCGTTTGATGGTGCTAGGGGAGACGAACCGTTTGGTCACGCTCTGTGTGTCATTCTTGGGACCGGAGGAGTTGAGCTTGTTAGCTTGCTGCGCCTCGGGTGTTGAGTTCTGCGTGTCTTCCATGCTGTAGTCCATTGTGGAGTTGGGGGATGAGGTAAGTGAGGTGGTTAAAAGAAAAGTATTCTTGAAGTCCGTGGAATCCCGGTTTGGAATGGAATGCTAGTAGCTGCAGCACGAGCAGAGTTTGGAATGACGCCGGATCCGTCAGAATCTGAACCCACAGAGACTTGAGGCAATGAAGATGGAGAAAAGAGGGATGGATCGAGTGCGAGAATGGAGGGGTGGGTTTAGTGTTGAGGTGAACAAAGGAAAAAAAGAAGAACTTGGTGGTTTTGTTTACTCGGCCATCACGCGCCCCCCGGCAACCAGACGGACCCCGCTTAAGCGTCAACCATCTACTTGCACCACTCCTTGACAGTTGATGATGATGTTTACTGCTTCTCGATAGAAATTCTCGCTTTTCTCGAAGCAAAATAAATCGAAAATAAAACTGCAACTGAGCCATGGAGGGCCAAACAGTCGATCTGGTGAAGTTAGTGCGATCGTCGACACACCAACTGCGGGTCTGCAGTTTCAAAGTATTAATAGCAGCATCTGATATAGCTTATTATGGATCTGTAGGTGATATTGCATACATCTAATGCTTAGTGGTCTTTGAGAACATCAAATATCAAGCTACTCTGGCATCCTTGGTCTATGTCTCCCATTGCGCTATGTCTTTGTCAACAGACTGCCCGATCAGGATAAAGTGGCCCGCGTCTTATCCCGCGTCTCACTATCCTTGCTTCAACGCGATCACTCAGCCTCCCATCTCGTTCCATCCACTCGTTATGCCTACTCAATCTTAATTTACCTGTCTTTTCAAGTCGCGCCTATCGAGCTCCCTGTGAGCTTCCACAAAATGCAGCATTCGCAGTTGGCCCCGCTGCCGAACGACGTGCCGTTTCGCATCGTGTCCAAGACCATCGGCCAAGGTGCCTATGCATGGTATGAAGAGGACCAATCGCACTGTGGAGCAACTATTAACTTTATTCGGTTTTTTAGTATCAAAAAAGCCTGCCCCCTGGATTCAGATAACCCTGTCTTCGCAGTCAAGTACATCCACAAAGATTACGCTGCGCGACATGGGAAGATAAGCGCGCGACAGCTACAAATGGAAGTTACGGTTCACAGACACGTCTCTGGTCATGTGAATATTATCAACTTCTATCAGACGGGCGAAGACGAGGTGTGGCGTTGGATCGCAATGGAATTGGCCGAGGGCGGGGATCTCTTCGATAAGATCGAGGCCGATGAGGGTGTGGGTGAGGACATTGCCCATGTCTATTTCTCACAGCTCGTCAGTGCTGTGGGATTTATGCATTCCAAGGGTGTTGGCCATCGTGATATCAAGCCCGAGAACATGCTTCTCACCGGTGAGGGGAATTTAAAGATCGCGGATTTCGGTCTGGCCGCACTGTTCGAGTACAAGGGGACACGAAAACTATCCACCACGTTCTGTGGCAGTCCCCCATATATTGCGCCCGAGGTTATTACCAATAGCTCCAAAGGCCAAAACAAAGGGGCCGGGTATCACCCTGATCTAGTTGATATTTGGTCTTGCGGAATCGTGCTTTTCGTCCTGTTGGCTGGAAACACGCCGTGGGATAGTCCCACAGACGATAGTTACGAATACCACGAATACGTTACGACAAAGGCGCGGACTACCGACGAGCTCTGGCAGAAGTTACCACCGGCAACATTATCTCTATTGCGTGGCATGTTGACAATTGATCCCAAAAGTCGGTTCTCGCTGGAGGATGTTCGGAGACATCCTTGGTATACTCGCACAAACAAATACATCTCCCATGATGGCAAATTGAGGGACCCAATCAATCTTGCTACCTCGATGTTTGAGTCGCTTCATATCGACTTCAGCCAGGACCCCCTTTCCCACTTACGGAAGGGAACTAGCCGTGGTCTTGACCCTATGGATGTGGATGTCGATGCTACTGGTGCAGCTTTCTCTTCGACACAGCCGGAGATGTTGGGTGGGGGCATGTTGATGGACTGGGACAGACCACAGGATGCTGAGGTCTTTTCTGCAACCCAGCCTCTCAAGAAGAAGTTTGCTTCTCAAGATGCAGCGATGGTGGGCCATCTTGAAGATGAGCCTTCTATGTCCCAGTTCTCTCAACAGCCTTCTGTGCCTGTCAGCCGAACCCAAAACGCTCAAAAGTTCCATGATATTATTCCCTCGCGTTCACTGACACGGTTTTATTCTGCCTGGGAGCTGAAGCTCCTTGTGCCTCTCATCTGTGAGGCTCTTCATCGACTTGGAGTGCCCGTTCCGAGTGTTCCCGCAGTGAGTGCTGGAGATAGTTCTGCCAATGTTCGGGTGGTTGCCAAAGATGGCAGAATGTGTCCACTTCAAGGTAAAATACTCATTGAGTGTGTCTCCGAGGGTCTGTTTGAAGTGGAATTCGTCAAAATCAAAGGCGATCCGCTCGAATGGCGACGGTTCTTCAAGAAGGTGGCGATCCTTTGCAAAGATGCCGTCTTTAGACCTGACGAGTAGAATTGGCTGTGAGCTGCCTCTGTATAGACTGGTGTTTTTTTTTTTTTGCCTTTCACATGCGTTCATGTTTGCCTAGTCTGTTCCCTGATGTACGAGTTATGACTGATTGATGGTGAGGAAAACGGACCAGGCTGGAGTTTGGCTGTGAGAATGAACTCCTATCGTTCACACAATTTTCTATTTTTACAATGCATATAGCTTCGAAGACAGTGTCTTAACCTACACTGTTATTTATAATCTTGACTTCAATGTTTATCCACCAGGCCTGTTTAGGTGGCGTGGTTCAGGGTTGGGTGATGGGCTTCTTTTTAGCTCAATTCACACGCAGGACCAGAGTCGTCGACTCTATTTGGGGTGATTCTGCTACAAAAGATACGAGAGTAAGACATCGATGAGACTCAGTGGATCCTATGTCGGAGAAGTATCCCGTGCCTGGTGGTTTTCCCCGTAGCTCTCTCAACTGTGTGCCCCTCCCAACGTCAGAACCCCATCATTCGCCATATCGCACATATACTCTCAATCCCCTTGAGTAGTCTAATCAACATCTAGGCCGAGCTTGCATATGCGGCTCACAAATGCCATTTGAGTCCCACGTGACGATCTGAACTCAGCGCAGATCGCGGTCCCGGGGGGAGCAAACGACTCGCCAAAAAAAGAGAAATCTATACTTCGTACTCCGTACTCCGTATTTGTGTCGATAATAAGAGGCCGAAATTCCCGTGGCTGATTTCCCCTCCATACACTGCGCCCTCAATGGTGCTAGTCACTCGGTCCCCATGGAGAAGCTGCCAGTAGAAATTCTGTCCAAAATAATCGACCGTAAGCGCCGCCGCCCCTCCCTGGACCTCCCCCGCATCGTTACGACAGAACTGATGGCTCTGCGATAATCAGACCTTGCTCCACAAGAGAAGGTCCAGCTTCAATCCATCTCAAAGAAATTCTTTGATCTTGCTCGGGATAATAGCCAGTGGAAAATCCACTGCTATGAGCAGTCATGGGCTGCTCGGCAAGCCGCCCGCCCAGCTGTCCGGCCATCGGAGAGTCTGATCTCTGACGCGACTGCTTCGTTGACAACACTTGGGCAGGACTCGCTGCGCGATCTTATTCAGCCTTCTGCGCCACCGGCTAATGGGGACTCTGGGGACACCCGGGGACTGTCCTGGAGTGAGAGAGCAAGGGCAGCATCGGAATGGGATTCATCGGCTGCGGGGGAGCATGTTGACTGGTACTCAGAATATATTGCTCGTCAAGGTCCCATATCTTTATCATGGACTGAGCAGCCTTCAGTCCGCAAGGGCGAAGGAAAGCGCGGGCAATCTTATGAGGTCAAAGGCATGGGATTGCTCAAAGATTGGAGTTCCGCCAGACAGAACAAGATTGTGGCACCGCTTGAAGACGGCAGTGTGTGTATCTGGGATCTCAACCACTCTCACTCAGCCGACTCGCAAGCAAGCAAAGGCAAGATCTTGGGGGTCAGTGAGCCCGGTATTCTCATGACTGACTTGTCTGGTCGTCGAGATCACTGTCTCCCGAAGGCTTCATTGGAGTTCATCAATCTGGGAGAGGGAGTGAGTGTGGATTCTTTACGAAAAAGAGCATATCTGGCAGTTGGAAATGTTCTCAACGAAGTTGATCTGGAGACGTTAAAAGTGATTTCCCAACAGCGGTATCCCTGGTCTATTTTCGCTCTTTCTCAGGAAACTGATTATTCGGTGCCCTTGACACTAGCAACTACCCTCAGTCTGCAAATATATGACTCCAGATTATCGGCTGTCGAGGAAAAAGAGGCAATCAGTTCGCGATGCGAACAATTGACCACTCCAGAGGCCTCCAAACTAGGCATTTTTGCCCATTCCGACTCTCCTCTATTTGAACTTCAACCCAATGGACAACCGCCTACTCGTATCCGCAGTCCAGATCCTTCTGATAAAGGCGCCAACTATGCTCCGCTTTTCCAGCCTGGGCCTCTTTCCATCTTGCATCCGCCAGCTCCTCATGTGAATACAATTCTTCTCGCAGGTCGCTTCCCTAGCATTTTATGTTATGACCGTCGTTTTTTCCCTCGGCTACAGACCACAGTCCATTCCGGCGGCCGACTGTGTGGTCTTACTTCAGTACCGGCGCCTCGGTTCCCTGTCTTCTCAGATTCCACCTATCCGGAGTCACATTCCGTCGTAGCGTGCGGAGATTACAACGGGCGAGGCTCGCTAGAACTTTATAATCTCAGACCGGCTGCCGAACACACCTCCAGCCCCTCGAAGATGACATCTACTCTTAACCCAGAATATAAGAACCGCCAAAGCGCCGCCAGTTCCAAATTACTTTCTGTGGAATCGCACGGCAATCGTATCGTCTTTTCCGATGCGGAGGGGAACATAAAATGGACCGAGCGAGACGGCCGCTCAGAGGTCCGACGATGGAACATCAATACATCTCAGCCTCAGAGCTCATTCGGGCGTCGCAGTCGACAACCAACTCCACAAACAAACGGAGATCAACAGCCACGTGGACTCTGGCCTTCTCAGTCTTCCGGTAATAACGAAGTTGCTCGCAAGATACTTCCTACTGGCGGGAATCTGACCGGAGATGAGCTCCTTATCTGGACGGGAGAACGGATCGGGCGCCTTAAGTTTTCCATTCCTGCGGACCACGAGATGGAGGTTGACAGCAAGGATATTGATGATGATGTGTTCATGCATGCGGAGGTCGACGAAGCAACCCGTGAAGCAATGCGGCATCGACGCCGCGATGAGTGGGAGAGAGAGCAGAGATACGAGGATTCCATGCGACGTGCACTCGAGATTCAGGCTGATGAGGTGCGCTGGATGGGGAATAGGGGATTGGGTTGATGTAAGTAGGTACCTAGGTAGTTTATGTCTTCGCCTTCACATACCCCACATCCTACATCGGCTGTTCTCGGTCTAAAATGATATTCATCGTAAAAGAATGGAGAGTGCTCCATAGAGTCAAATTTCTGCCATATTAGAAGTGAATCTTATAACGATTGAAATACAGCGATTTCAAGGAAATGAGCCGCTCAAGTAGGAAAAAAAAGGGAACTGTTGGAAGCAGATGGCTTCTTTTGGTCCCGAGGCTTAACAATTGCCCGGTCCCGCATACCGGCTCCCCGCGCCGATATCACGGGCATTTCTAATGCTCTTGTCAGCCAGTGACTCAGTCTCCATTCTTCTTCTCTGCACAATTCGCCTATTCCTTTGCCTTGATTCCCTGTCGATATTCTTCTTATCTGCATCTCTCGCACCACGTGCAATCTGAACTCTTCATTCCCAGCATTCCGCAGTGAGGGGCAAAAAACGAAACCGACCAAAATGCCTTCCCCCACGGATATCGCACACCAATTTGACTCAATTGAGGACACAATTGCAGCATTCAGTACGTGATCTTCCCACATAGCGAATCACTGTCACCACCAAGAGTCTCCTGCGACTCGCGAGGTCTTCCGAAGCCCCCAAACTGACCAATACCTACTACAGAGAATGGCGAATTCATCATTGTGCTCGATTCGCAAGACCGCGAGAATGAAGGCGACCTAATTATCGCCGCCGAGTCTATCACAGCGGCCCAGATGGCCTTCCTGGTGCGCTATACGAGGTAAGAGCGCCACCCAACCGATCATGCTCTTGGCCGCGGGGCGACCAGACAGACGAGCTGAGAAGGCGACGGAACGGCTACAAACGCCCCTCACTCCCCGCAATCGCACTCCCATGATTCCCCCGAATGCGCCAACCCATAGCCTCAATCCCATGCCAATAGACCCTCACTAACAATGTCTGACTAAAACTACAGCGGTTTAATATGCGCCCCCATCACCCCGGAACTCGCCACCCGCCTGGCCCTCCCCCAAATGGTCATCGAGAACGCGGATCCCAAGTGCACCGCCTACACGATCACAATCGACTCTAGCGATGACTCTGTCACAACAGGTATCTCCGCCGAAGACCGCGCACTGACATGCCGCACGCTCGCGTCGCCCACCGCTCAGATCGACTCTTTCCGCCGGCCGGGCCATATCATCCCGTTGCAGGCGCGGCCTGGCGGTGTGCGCGAGCGAACGGGCCACACCGAGGCCGCGGTGGATTTCTGTAAGCTGGCTGGCAAGGCACCAGCTGGTGTCATTGCCGAGCTTGTTGAGGAGGGTGAGACTGTTGAGGGTGTGCCCGAGGTTGGGGGTAATAATGGTATGATGCGCCGTGATGGATGTTTGCGGTTTGGAAAGAAGTGGGGTATTAAGGTGTGTACTATTGAGGATTTGGTGGCGTACTTGGAGCGCACTGAGGGTACTGGGGCTGCTACGAATGGAAAGCATTGAGCGTGCTAGGTGAGGTGGTTGCTTTTTGTTGGGTCGTGTGTTTTTGGGTACCTTGTACATCACTACGCCTTCTCTTGGATACCTTTTTTTAGATGAATTGATGCATACGGATAGAGCTATGTTTTCTGTGGATGAGAATATGATTCGATCCGTAGTGACCTTAGAATGTAATGATTATGTATTTTATTTGGGTATCTATCATTTTCGACGTGTAGTGTACAATGGGCAATGCTGTCCGAGCAGTTGTAATATCATGAGTGAGAGTCCATGCGGCAATAGTGAGGGCGCATTCTCTCCAAAACGCCGAAGTAATGCAAAGCAGTGATAATGTGAAAGCAGTTTTTGGTGTGGCACCGAGGGTAGTGAGTATGTTGCTGTATGCTTCAGCCGCACGCTTACCGTTTGAGATGCGAGTAGTCCCTGAGAATAGCCGTCATATGAGTGTTGGTAGTCTTGCCACTTCGGCGAGGCTTCTTGGCCTTCTTGGACACCTGCACAACTCGGGGACCAACCACCTTGTTCTTGTTGGTGGGCGTGATACCGAATTTTTCCAGTTCTTCCTTCACAATATTCGCATCGGGGACCTTGATCTTGTCCCAGATCTGCTTGAACTCATCGTCAAAGTGTTCGATTAGAGATGGATCGTTGGGCCACACCATCTTCGGGTGATCGTCCTTCTTGTTTCGAGTCACAAGCAGCTTTCCTTCCTTCTCCATCTGGTTGATTTCCTCTTCGACGTTGGGCCAGCCCTCGCGGAGTTCGCGCACACTCATCCCTGCCGCAGTTTTCTGCGTTTGGAGGTGTTTCAGGAGTTGCTCCGAGTTGCGAATGTTGTGAGGTGGGCGAAATCTGAATGTACCCTGGCCGTTCGCGCCACTTGGATCAAACTCAACCTTCTCGTGCATCTGCAGGATACTACGAAGAGCCTGCACGTAGCCCTGGTCATGGGCACGGTGTTGCAGCGAGAGATATGAGATGATATCCGAGAACCTGAGCGGCACGTTCTTGTTCTTCATGTGCTCGATCGCAAACAGCACCTGCGTCATGATATCTTTGCCCGTACCGGTGTTGGCCGGCTGGGAGTAGACAATATCGGGATCATGGCGCTTCTTTTTGATCTCGCCGGAGGAGGATGGGGTCGGTGCGGATGATGGAACTTGGGAACTGCTGCCAGAGATCGGTTGGTTATGCACCACTCGTCGCTGCTGAGGCATGCGGTTTGCCGACTCCACGACACTGGCGTTGAAGTTTTTAAGCTGGTTTTGGAGGTACGACATGGTTGCAATAGAGGACCAGGGATAAGTGGGAATCAAAAAAAGAGCAGAAAAGAACTGGGACGGTGGCCAGGCGCTGTCTCAGGTTGAGCTAGTCGGATGATTCCAAGGGCACTTGATATGGGAGCTACCGTGAATATTGGCTAAAAGAGAGAGAGACAATGTACCTGACACGGTTGCGTTGAGCCCGAGGATGGCCTTGTGTTGCCTTGAGAAGTGTCGCTATTAAAAGATTCAAGGCTATGTTGTAGACAAAGAATCCATGGAGTCACGTGCCCAGAGCTAAGCAACCTAGAGCGCGGAAATGGATCACGGACGCCCTTGGAGTCTCCTCACCACTAGTTCTTTCAATTAACCTTTCTTTCAATTCTTCACTTTCTGCCCCCAAGAGACGCACCTTCCATTGTTCAAAGCGTCATGACCTGAGGTTATCTACCCAGCGCTGTGTGTAGTGTTTCTGAACAGGACACAGCGCCCGTCCTCGAGGACCTAGCTTCAGCTTGCGCCGCCCTACCTTACATTTCTTGATTCCCCCACCGCCGAAGCCCAGTGCTTTAGCCATCCGACAACATGGCTGAAACTGCAATTCAACTACCCTACTTATCATCTCACTATGCGCTTCCCGAATCGACCCTCACGACCTTAACGCAGGCTCCCACCGTGGAACTTGTCAATCAGCTTTTAGAGTCAATCAACAAAAAGGCTCATGAATCTGATGAGCTCAAATCCGACAAACTTCGCTTGGAGGTAGAGCTTGAAAATGCCGTGCGCAGCAATGAGTCTAAGGTCAAGGTCTTGAAGACCAGCGTGGAGAAGGGACACGCGGAGGTTGCAGATTTAAGGAAAAAGCTCCAAGAAGCTGGTATCTATCTCATCTTCCACTTGCTATCGGTACGATACGCTCTAACACGGACTAGAAAATACACGATCTGTACTTGAAAGCGAGATCTCCACCCTCAAAACATCATCAACAGCCACTGGATCCGAGACCACATCCTTGAAGTCGCGCATCTCCTCTCTCGAGGCCTCGAACAGAGACACACTGGCCTTGCTAGAATCGAAATCCGCAGCTCACGATAAATTAGCAGAAGAGCTTTCGGTCCAGCACAAGAAGACCATCGAACTGCGACGCGAACTTTCTACAGCGGAGCAAAATCTCCAGAGTGTCAATGCTGCATCTGCCAGCGCTCGCTTCCGTGAACAAAGTCTCCAGCAAGAATTAGATCTCACTAAGAAGAACAACGAATGGTTCGAGACCGAGCTTAAGACGAAATCCGCCGAATATATCAAGTTCCGCAAAGAAAAGAGTGCTCGTATCTCGGAGCTTCAGCGTGACAACGAAGAAGCAAACTCGACAATTGATTCTCTGAGACGGAGTGAGAACTCGCTCAAGAGTCGCTTGGACGAAACCGAGCAGCGATATGAAGGCTCTCTGGCTACCATTCATCAGTTGAAGGAGGAAGCCATTCAGGCCACCGAGTCTTTCCGTATCGAACTTGACAGCTCCAACCGATTGGCTGAGCTCCAGGGATCTGCCGCCCAGACAGCCAAGCAACGAGTCCAAGAGTGCCAACTCGCGCTTGAGAAGACCAAGGATGATGCAGCACAGGAAATCTCACGTCTTCGTGTAGAACTAGAGACGGAATCTAACGACAAGAGTGCTGCAGAGCGCCGTATCGGCGAGCTTGAGGCACTAGTCGCCCAGCTTGAGTCTGAACCTGCCAGAGGCAGATCAGCAAGCCCCGCTGTCTCTGTCAATGGTGTCCCCACTACGCCTCTCCGGGCGAGCATGATGCGGCCTGGAACTCCCGGTAGCTCATTCTCACCCCGAGCCTCCCGTGGTAAGGGTGGTATGAACATCACGCAGATGTACTCCGAATACGACAGAATGCGAACCGCTCTTCTTGCCGAGCAGAGAACATGCCAGGAACTTCGCAACACTGTTGACGAGATGGTTCTCGAACTTGACTCAACTAGACCTGAGATTGAGGAGGGACGGGCAGAACAAACTCGCTTGGACCATGCCGTCGTGGAAATGTCTACTTTGCTTGAGGAGGCAGGAAAAGAACGTGATAATGCCCTCAGGGAATCCAGGAAATGGCAAGGTCAGGTCGAGGGGTTGGCTCGCGAGGGAGACATTCTTCGCCAGCAACTTCGCGATCTTAGTGCTGAAGTCAAGGTCCTCGTTCTGGAGGTTGCTGTCGCAAAGCATGGCGAGGACTACGACCGTGAGGAGCTTGAGAAGATCGCTAGGGGTGAAGTTGAAGAGTCGGCTAAGGATCTGAACGAGACCGGCCGCTTCATCAGCAAGCACCTCACAACCTTCAAGGATCTTCACGAACTCCAAGAGCAGAACCACACTCTCCGACGTATGCTGAGAGAGCTCGGTGACAAGCAGGAGGGCGAAGAAGCGCAAGCCAAGGAAGTTGCACGACAGGCAGATATGGACGAGTTGAAGGAGCTACGGATCCGTGCACAGACAAACCGTGATGAGATTGCGAATCTGAGCGCCCAAATGCAGAGTTATGTTAAGGAGCGTGACACGTTCCGAAGCATGCTTATGCACCGAAGACCAACTGTCGAGGACCCATCTGTCTTCTCGCAGTCGATGCCACTTGGTGCTGCGCCCCAGGGAGCGATTGAGAGCTCAGCACCGGACTATGCAGAGTTACTCCGGAAGGTCCAAACCCATTTCGACACCTTCCGCGAAGAGACTACCACCGATCACAAGGCGCTGCGCCAGCAAGTTAACGAGCTATCTCGTAAGAATAGCGAACTTCTTTCCGACATTAGTCGCTCAAGCAGCCAGCTCGCTGCCGCCACCCAACGTGCTGAGCTTCTGCAGAGCAACTTCAATATGCTCAAGAGCGAGAATGCCGAGATCCAAAAGCGCTACTCAGCCCTCTTCGAGAATGCGAACCGACAAGATCTCCGCACACAACAAGCTGCCGAGGACCTCGTTGAGGCCAAGGGTCTTGTTGAGAGCCTTCAAAGAGAAAATGCCAACCTCAAGGCTGAGAAGGACCTGTGGAAGAACATTGAGAAGAGACTTATCGAAGATACCGAAAACCTACGGAATGAACGCGGTCGTCTTGACTCATTGAACGGAAACCTTCAAACTATCCTCAACGAACGTGAACATACCGATGCCGAGAGCCGACGCCGACTACAAGCCAGCGTCGAATCACTCGAATCCGAACTTCAAACGACCAAGCGCAAGCTCAATGATGAAGTGGAGGAATCCAAGAAGGCCAGCCTACGTCGGGAATATGAGCAAGAACAATCCCAGAAGAGAATTGACGACCTGGTTACTAGCTTGGGCTCAGTCCGCGAGGAACTGGTTGCCGCCAAGACCACCCGGGATCACTTGCAGAGCCGTGTGGATGAGCTTGCTGTAGAGCTCAAGAGCGCTGAAGAGCGTCTGCAGGTCTTGAACTCGCGACCAAGCGTCTCTGCTGGTACTACTGAAGGACCCACCGAAGGCCAGGAATCTGGCGAAGGAACTGGTCTTTCTCGTGAACAAGAACTTGCAATTGAGGTTTCGGAATTGAAACGAGATCTCGAATTGGCCAAGGGTGAATTGGAACACGCCAAGCAGTTGGCTGAAGATTACCAGGCCATTAGCCAAGCCAGTGAGGAGCGCCTGGAGTCTGCTACCGAGACACAGGAGCAATACCGCGAAGAGACCGATCTTCTAGTGGAGGAGAAGAACAAGAGGATTCAAGACCTCGAAACTCGCGTTGAGGAAATCTCTACTGAACTTTCCAATTCAAATACGGAGATGATCAAGCTCCGTGAGGAGCAGTCAGAGGTCACTCGTCGAATGGAAGAGCAGAAGTCTACCTTTGAGTCCGAAATCACTCGTCTCAAAAACGACAATGAACGATATGTTGATGCGACCAAGTACCATCAGACCGATCTTAATGCACAGGCCGAAATCGCCCGCAATGCTCAATCGAACTACGAAACCGAGCTTGTCAAGCACGCGGAGGCAGCAAAGAATCTCCAGATTGTTCGTGCGGAGAGCAATCAGCTCAGGCTCGACATCGCTGAGCTCAAAGCCCAATCCGAAACCTACAAGACAGATCTTACTCAAAAAGAGGAAAGCTGGGCAGAGCAACGAGCCACATACGAAGGCGAGCTCTCTGAGCTTCAGAAGCGCCGGGAGGAAGTCATTCGCCAGAACTCAGTCCTACACGCCCAGCTCGAAAACATCACGAGCCAAATCTCGTCTTTGCAGCGGGATCGCATGAATATCTCAGAAGATGAGCAAGAGGGAGACCAAGCAGCCCCCAATCTTGAGGGTCTCCAGGAGGTTATCAAGTTCTTGCGTCGCGAGAAAGAAATTGTCGAAGTTCAGTACCACCTTTCGACTCAAGAGAGCAAGCGGCTTAACCAGCAACTCGACTACACACAGTCTCAGCTTGATGAGACTCGCCTCAAACTTGAGCAACAGCGTCGTGCTGCGGCGGATAGTGATCACAGTGCGCTCAATCACAACAAACTTTTGGAAACTATCAACGAGCTCAATGTTTTCCGTGAGAGCAATGCTACTCTCAGGAATCAGCTGAAGCAAACTGAGGCAGCGAGAGATGAGAAGATCGCTCGTGAAAATGAGCTGGTGCTGGAGATCGAACCTCTCAAAACCAAGATCCAAGAGTTGGAGAGTCAGAATGAAGGAAAGGATGGAGAAATTGCACTTCTACAGGCTGATCGGGACCGCTATCAACAGCGTGTCCAGAACATTCTTCAAAAATACGATCGTGTCGATCCAACTGAGATGCAAGAGCTCAAGGAGAAGCTTACCAGTCTCGAGAACGAGAAGGCCGAGGCTGTGTCCGCGCGAGACGAGCTGCAGACTCAGCTCGAAGGTCTTCAAGCCCAAATTGCAACCTTCCCTGAGCAGCTTAAGCAGCATTCCGATGAACGTGCCCATGATTTGCGAACCAAGCTCACAGAGCAATTCAAGGCACGCTCTAAGGATCTCAGCGCGCGTGTCAAGGCTAAACAAGACGAACTCAATGTGGCTTTGCAGGAGAAGGAGGTCATCCAAACTGAACTCCAGGCCACAAAGAATGAGTTGGAAGCACTAAAGACCAAGGTTGCAGAGACGCCTGTAGCAGCTGTGACACCCGCTCCCGCTCCAGCTCCCACTGCAGGAGACGCAGCCCCAGTCAACCCTACTCCGGCTTCGCAATTCCCCACCGCGACGGTCGCAGTCCCCGGTCCTGGTGATATTCAAAAGATCCAAGCTCTCGAGCAAAAGATTCAGCGCTTGGAGGCCGCCCTCGCTGAAAAGGATGGACTTTTGGCCACGCAAGCCAGCGAGCTGGATGCGAAGGTCAAGGAACGCGCCGACCGCCTCAAGGATATGTACAACACCAAGCTCAACGAAGTCAAGGCTGCTCATCGCCAGGAAATCGAGAAGCTTTCTACCAGTGAACAGCCTGTTCCTGGAACACCCGCTGCGGCCCCCGATGCAGCCCCTGCCACACCTTCGAAGACCATTGAGCTTGCTGGGTTCACCATTCCCGAGCTGACAGATGCTCAAGCTAGAGAGCTTGTCGCGAAGCACGAAACTATTCGCACTATTGTCCGAAACAACATTCGCGGTGGAGTTATGCGCGAGCAGCAAAAGATGCAGCAGGAGGCCCAAGCTTCCTCCGGTGTCAGCGAAGAGGCATTGGCTGGCCTACAACAAAAGTCGGCCGAGGAGAAGGAGGCCCTGATCAAGGCCCACGAAATCGAGATCAAGGATAAGGTCACCTCAGCGGTCGAACTCGTCGAAAAGAAGACAGCTGCTCGCCTCAGCATGCTTGATACCAGATTCCGAACCGCCAATGCTAAGATTGATGTGGTATCCAAGGCCGCAACAGAAACTCCCCAAAAGCCTGTCGCAGAAGTATGGGAAATTGCAAAGACTGCCCGCCCTGCACCGGTCGCAGTTCCTGCTGCTAAGCCCCCGGTACCCACAGCTCCTGTTCAGCCGGCGGTTGCTGTTCCAACTCCAGCACCGCAAGCTCCAGTCGCAGCTCCCTCGGCCCCTGCCCCTGTAGTAGCAACCCCTGCTGTCGCAGTACAGCAAGCGGCTCCTGTCATTGCACCTGTCGAGACCGCTGTCCCCCAGCAGGGAGGAGCACAGCCCACAGCACCTCCAAACCCATTCGGTCAAGCTCAGCAAGCTGATCAAACCCAGCAACCCTCTAATCTCCCCAGCAAGCCTCCTGCTGGGAATCCCCCTGGTCTGATGCGGGCTCTTCAATCCGGACTCCCTATTGCAAGAGGCGGACGTGGTGGGCGTGGTGGTGGCCAACAATTCGGCCATGGTCAGCAGCCAGACCAGCAGCAACAAGCCCATGGCCAGCGCGGTTCGGGGATTCGAGGCCGTGGTGGACGTGGTGGTCAAGGCCGCGGCGGCAACCAGAATCAAAATAACGCCGCGCAAGCCCAGAGTCCCACCGCCAACCGTGGAAATCTGAATGCTTCGGCTCGTCAGTTCATTCCTGGACAGGGCAATAAGCGCACTCGTGATGAAGGCCCGGATACTACCACTGAACCCGGAAGCGGGGGCAAGAGACAGAGAGGTGGTGGTGGACAGCAGCCTCGCGGTGGAGGCTCTTGAGCAACGGTCCTTCGAAGACCGTTCTATGTGTTTCTATTCCATTGATGTATTCTCGATTTTATTGACAAATACGGCGTGGACCCATTGGTTTTCTACACCTGATTATGCCATATGGCGCATTGCTTTCCATTTTTTCTTGCTGTTTTGCAAAAAGCAGACATGTTTCTTTTGTTATGTATCTATTGAATGTCTGGCGCTTGGTTCGTTTTATTCTCTTCCTCGCAATTGATCAAGTTCGATTGCAAGCAATCTCGTGTATTTTTACCTGTAATCACCCACGATAAACTGACCATGGTAAACAAAGAACTGGGGTATAAACTGCTAGCAAACAGAAATCTAGGTATGTTGGAATATCGAATGGTCGCTCCTCGCTGCTATGCACAAGAACACATTCAGAAAAAAAAAAGACACAAAGCGCTGAGAGATATCATGCAAATGACTCAAGATCACTTCTTCCTTCCCCCAGCAACAGGAAGGAGCATCCGCCCCAACACCTCCCTCTCTTTCTGCAACACCATCAATCTCGCATCCTCAATAACCTTGCCCGCCGGCGCGGGACCAGGAAGAGGCGTCTGCGTAACCTGCGCCGCACCCACAACAGCCGGACTTATCGCCTTCGCGCCACGCGCTCTCTTCCTCCGCATCCCAGGCCCCTGACCATAAACAACAACCCATTCGCCCACAGAACCACCCGCCGCAATCTCACACCTAGAACACACCTTCGAGTGCGACCCGATATCCGCACCTCGGCGAACCATCGCCAAAGCCTCAATCGTAGCAGAAGAATGGATATTAGCGCCCGGCTCAACCGTCGCCGACGGGCCAATGGTGACAAAGTATGAAATGCGTGTAGTGGCCTCTTTTCTAATCTCTGGCGTTGAGGCTCCGGACTCGGTAGGCAATGTGGTCATGCTCGAAGAGACTGATCTGGACGGTACCGCTGACCGGCTCGAGGAGCTTGGTTGGGCTCCTATCACGGCTTTCTCGCTGATTATGCAGCTATCGCCGACTGTGATTGGGCCTTCGTATGTGTAGAAGCGCGCGCGTGGGTGGATGACTGTCCCCGCGCCGATGGTGACGGAGTATCTGCCTTGGAAGACGACGGTGTCGGCGATTGTGGCTGTGGGATCGGCTTTTAGGGGTGCTTTTGGTGGGGCGGAGCTGTGGGAGGATGAGGAGCGATGTGTATTTGTTGGGGGCTTGAGGGTGGCCATCTTGGTTGTTTGTATTGGAGTTGGGTTTCGGGGAGATCTATGATAACATGGGGTGTGTTCCTATTCTGGAGCTAGCTCCTGCCGCTTTTCGGGGTTGCATGTCTTAGTCAGCTTGGTTAATGTCGGGGGAGGATGAACCTCGAGACATCTAGGGATAATTGAACACATTGTATTGATTTTGAAGGGTTGTTTCCATGAATATGGGAGATTGCATTGATGGTCAACATGTAAGTCAAGCTTGTGGGGTATCTAAAATCTAAAACAAGCCTCAAAGTGCAACATTCCCAATGTATGATTCGGAGGATAAGACACCCAACGACCTTATGACTCCTCTGTAATGTCTCTCCTGATACCTTTACGCTTTCTCCAAGCTCTCACGCCTCTGTCGACCTCCTCCCTCGTCATTCCATCCCGCACCAAGCAAAACGAGACCCCCAACTCCGTCTCAACATTCCGGTTCCGGGCCTCGTCATCGAAGAATAGCATATCTTCATAAGCCACATTGCTCGCTTGATGGATCTTCGCAAAATGAGACGTCTTATTCCCGGGGAATATCTGAATGAAATCAAAGTAGTCCAGGGAACGGATGGTCTTAGCGTTGGCAGCGGGGTTGTCGGAGAAGGTGGGGATGATATGCAGGGACTTGAGCATATCGCGCGCCAGATCAGGGGTCTGAGTTCGGGATGCAAGCGCCAGTGGGATTGCGCGGTGCTTGCAAGCGTAGACTATGGAGGAAACCGCCGGGTAAAAGGCGAAGGACTCCCCCATCTGTTCGAGATAAGAAATGCGGGGTTAAAAATCGGATCGAATGGCTTCACACGCAGCAAATCTAACAATTGGGGAATTTGATCATACCGGTCCACGGCGCGCGAGTTGTTATCGCGCGCCTTTACAGGGGCGCTGACATGTGTGTCTACCCAGAAAGGCCAGAGGGTATAGTCCAGATCGAATGCGATCAGCTTTGGAAGTGGGAGGCCATCGGTGAAGGTTTCCGGTGCCACGGAGGAATCCTCCAAGGGCTGGGTGTTTTGTCGCTTGGCTCGGAGCATGGTTGGAACAAAGAACACACGTCGAAGAAAAGAAGAAAATGAGCCATGGACCGACGGGTGAAGTCCCGGGGTTAAGAACGGCACGTGAGATCTTAAGATGACCACAACTATAAAACTGGTATCAAAAAGCAACAAGGCTATCTTTGATAGATCAAATATTGGAGAGTCGTATAGTTCTCGATTTTTGCCCCCTGCCAGACTAACACATTTCAAGGTACTCACAGGCTAAAGATGTGCTACTATGGAGGCTCATAGACCATTGCGACTATAGTTAGTCACCACCCCAAGTAGAACTGCTTGTACGGAGGAGAATTATAGCGCCTAACTCGAGGCACGGTAGTCCAAAAATACCAGTAAAACTTTTCATGTCCGGCCTATAGCAATCTAAATAATATTACGTCTTTCACATCCAAGTTCTTAGGTAGACTTAAGACTGTACCAAATTCCATCTTTGAAGCTCTTCTCATTTGGTCTGACCTGCAAGTGAATGGATTTCTTCTCCAATGTGTGTATTAGGAGGAAAAGAAGACCTGGGGAATATAAGGAAGTTTCGTACTTTGGAACTTCACAAGAGCATAGTAGCATATTCATGAAAGGAATCTCTGAAGTTGCTCGTTAGCTTCATACAAAGTGGACTGCGCTATCGTGTCTATAGGAGAGACTAGCCTCTTCCTAACGACAGCTATGTAATTAGATGCTTTCTCGGTTCGTCGTGACCTTTGTACAATCTTGCCATTCATGGTTCAATTTGCTCCCTAGTTTAGACTCGGTATAGTAGCCGATGTTGGTTACTATAAGTGAGGCGGTTCTAGATCATTGGTGATGGATTTTCCAATGAATACCCGGCCAGTTGTTCATCACCTACTCGGTGCTTGGCGCTGCACCCTCGATATTTCCCTTCCTCGCTAAATTTGGCATTCCTATAGTCTGGCGCATTTCCCTGTGGTCCACCTGGTGATTTTCAATGCCATGTCATGGATCAGGAATAGATTGGGTATCGCGAGTCGCATAGTCACGCTGGCTCATCAATTCTAAGAAAAAAAAGGCGGAGATTCTGACGCCTTGGGCTTGTTGTTGTACTGGTGGCAGAGGGGAAGCGTCGATATGTCCGGGGAACTCTCACCCCCAGTAAGTGTGACATCACCGGCATTTAACTACGGGAGACGAAGTCCCTAATTCCTCTCCTATCATGCTTAACTGAGCGCTTCGGACGATCGGCAAACCCCCAACTTGTGAGGCGAACTATACGATCGGCGTGGTTCGGTTTGATAGGCTGCAAAACGTTATGAGCGAGATTTAGCTCACCCCCCGTTAGAGCTTCAGATGTGACAATATATATGGGCTGAGATTATCAAAAATTCGAGGACTATTCGTGATCCTGATCGTCTGCAAAAACCATGGAGACTGCAGGTATTGCCTTTGCTGCAATGTCTTTGTTCTATGAGCTTGAAAAATGTGGCAAGAGTCTTCACGGATTCTCTCGTGACATGCACATGCCCAAGAAAGAGGTCAAACTACTGAAGACCGAAGTCAACAACTGCCGTGTGCTGGCCAGCATTTTCGAAGAAACCATCAAGCCAGTTCAAGGTCGTGTGATGCAGATAGCGAGAGAGAGAGACCTGGAAAGATCACTTGCATCTCAATCCAGGTTGGCGCTGGAGCAGATTCTAGAGATCACTCGCAAACTCAGACCACTAAGCCGGCACAAACGTACTGGTTTAGAGAACTTCCAGGCAAAGATTCGATGGCATTTCGCGAAAGGCGACATCGACGCTCCGATAGCTGTGTTACAAACCGTCAAAGCCAGCCTCAATCTCCTGTCCACACTCTCAATACTCGACTGTGCTGTTGCGTCCGCTACCCGTGACCAAATCTCGAATCCCGCATCAATATACCAAGTTTTGCAGAGAATGTGTGTAGCAAAGATACTTCATTTGTTAACGATATTCCTCTCCTGACAAAATCTCAACAGAAAAGCCTTAGAAAGGCAGGCTCACAGAACGGATCGTCAGCTTCGAGAATCCGTGAAAGCGCTTCACGAGCATCACTATCTCGACGGGCATCTAGATGATGTACAAGTGATGACAGGTATTATTGAAGATATGAGAAAGCCTTCCGTCAAAAATGCGCGAGATTTGGTTAAAAGATTGTCCAACCAACACCCGTTCACACCTGCAGCAAACGTAGCAGTCTCGTCACAGTTAACGTATCGAGAAAACATAAGCCCTCGATATCCTGTTGGTACAACAGCCCACCGGCCCCCAGGCACTGAACGTAGGACGCGACGAACAACCCGCTCGGGAGATTCCACACGGGAGGTTCGCCATGTCTCCCCCAAAAGAAACTCCCCAGTCGCCAGTGAGCGGGCGCTTTGGTATACAACTCGCGACAACAGTACTTCCTCTTTCCGTCATAGAGGTGGGATTCGTGTTTTCGCTGAATATGAGGAGTCTGCGTGCAGTGCCTCCAATGATGGAAACTACGGCACTCCCCATACCGTTAGCCCATCGCGAATGCCAAATCACGATGACAATGTTACAAATGATCACCATAAGACGGAAAATCCTGATTTATATTCCATGAATGGCATGAACTACGACCTTTTGGACAGTCCACATGCACCATGAAGCATCTATCAAGCTATGCCTCCTTTCGATAACTCCGACCGGCAAGGGAGGAGCAAACGGGATCGCAGACCCAAAGGCCATTCTGGCAGTGAAAAGGACGGGTGACAAGTCAGACGTGGGATCTATTTAGAAACTGAAGTAGATACTAGTAGTGGTTCAGAATCAATACTCAGTTTCATCGTTGAGCCTGTCAAATCACCATTGAGCTTTCTACTTAGATCAATGAGCATCCCGGTAGATAGATAAATTAAAGCAGCTTTCTGGGCGTGATAAATTTAACATTATGAAGCGCGTAACTGACGATGTTGGAGATGCAAAAATCCACCAGTCATACGAATTCCAAGGCCATCCGGATTTAGGCACTCGTAATGCACTCGCGGTTTCAAGCCAGATACCACCTCCAGCCTTGCTCTAACGGGCTCCCTAGCTTGCAGCCGGCGAAAACTCGGATCATATAAGCCACCGACGCGGTGCACAGCTGCAGGTGCATGAGATGGACCCTTCAAATAGACCCACTTAATAGACTCAAACTCGAACCCAAATTTAGGGTTTTCGGGGCCGTGGATCCGTTTGGCACCAGCCAACGCTCCCCTTCTTCTTTATATTGGGGGATCTATGTCCATAAGACAGGGGGAAATAATCGCGAAGAAAGATCGTTAGTCCCAGCGAGGGTCGGTATTAGATACATCAATTGTAGTGTTAAGGGGGATACATTTACATACATACATGTATGTACCTAAGTGGGTAGGTGATAGAAGCTTCCTTGCGCCTTCCCTCTATCTATTTACTTAGTTACAATTCATTAGGCAAGAGCCTCAACGCTGAGCTTTGAAGGTTGGCAATCTGGGTGTCAGGTAGATGAGTCAAGATCCCGATTTGGAAGGACTCAACCTTGGAAGCCATCATGAGGGAATCAATCAGTACCCCATAAGAATGCATTACTAACACCAGCTTCTAAATGGAAGTTGGCCAAGTCAGGTACGTACATGACACAATTTCTTCGGGACTCGGATTTATACTCAAATACTCAGAGCACTTTTGCAATGCAAACGTGAGTTGACTCCAATTCTTCTGGTCTAACGATATCCTCCAACAAACGAAAGACTGGCCTCTTCACGTGTCAATAGGTAGTCTCAACTGACCTTAATGGCCTCCTTCAAATACCTCAACATGTCAGGCATCTCGCTCCCTACAGCCTTTTTTCGCTTATGTCTATTAAGGTATATGATTTCATACATACGGGCCGATAGATGAATGACTCTGCTTGGATCGGTACATACATGTATGTATTCGCTGTGGGATTAGGTCACATTGTCCATGGAATTTGACGGCAAGCACTCCGACCCGGTCACCATGCAAGCATTCATGGCTTTGGCAAAGTCCGATCTCGCTTCACTCATTTCGTAGCGCTTTATACATATGTCCCTTCCGATGTGTAAAGCAGTATTGTCCTTTTACAAACTTCTCATCACTACGGCGCATCGATTACATTGCCTGCGTACGGGATATTCCTTGTCTATTCGATTGTTCTTCTGTGTATTTACATATTTCCGCCGATCTCACCGATTCCTTCATTCCATCTGAAATTTTAGTATACGATCAATCTCCGCTCGAATTTGTCGTTCGACACATTTCTCCCCTTCTACTCTCTGAGTTATTCGATGAAACTATTCTTTTTTTCCTTTTGAGAGCTCTGCTAGGCATTGGATGTCTAAGGAGAGCCCATAAGGGTATTCCCGAGGGGGATGGAATAATGTGTGTCTTCTAGCGGCCGACATCAATGATGATTTAGAATATGTTCTGAGACTATTCAAAACGTAATTCACGCACTAATGGTGTAGTGGTAACATATAACACTTCCATAGCGGATTTCCGCTAAGTTATGTTGTGCCGGGGGTTCGATTCCCTCTTAGTGCATTGTTTTTTTTTCTGATCACAGATCGGAGATCGGAGAAGGATGGGCAGCCAACTGGGCTGTCAGAGACCACCGGGGGAGATCATGCTAGGCAAGCACGATTCAAGAGAGCCTGGGTAAACAAGAAGTGAGATGTATCTCGATAATTAGGAAACACATCAGTATACCTAAATGACCAGTGCAATCCACTGCTCCTATGACAATAGAAGCTTTGATAGAACGGATTTCAGAAGGGAAATCTGCAATATGGCATGGAAATGCATGATGAAGATAGTTGATGAAATTAAGAAGGAAACTAGGCTATGGACGGAGGGAGATGTCTAACATGGGCTTACTGGCCTACCATCTTTCATGGGTTACCTTCTATGGGCGGGCATATTTACATAATTCCATAGCTTAGCACATCCCAATACCCCATGAGGGGTTGAAGGAGCATGGGCTTCCGCCACACTCCACTGGACGTGAATTAATACAATAACTAGAGTTAAGCCATCGGCGAATATCAAAGCAAGAATCCTATCACAAATATGGGTTGTTCGTTATTAATCACCCCTTTTGACCACGAGGAAACAATATCTTATCATATACCAATCGTTCTAACTATCAAAAGAGCATAGCTCCCAGTATTCTATACAGAAGTAAAAAAGCCGAACCCGGTGCCAGTTTGCGGCCACACATATCATCACGAAACAAGTTTAAAGAGATGAGCAACAGAAACACAAATTTCACCTCTTGATCCGCAGTTTCACATCGCCTAAATGTAGTTAATGATGTCTTTGAAGTTATCAAATAGATCAATGCCATCATCAACCCATGCTGCAGTCAAATCCATCCCGGCGTCGATCACAGAACCAAGTTGCTCAGTATTCAGCAGCTCTTCCGGGGTTATCTCATTTAACGCCTGGGATCGCGAAGCAGAGATGAAGGAGCTTCGCCTAATCCGTTTCGGTAGTGATTGATCTTGAGGGTCCTCTTGACTTGCCCTTCGCTTTAGATTGGGAGTTTGAGGTATTCCTGTTGGGTGCGGTAGTTTACTCTGCTTGGCAGAAGAGCTTTTGTGGACTGCAATTGGGAATCCTGTTGAGCCTGGTGGTGTATCATCTTTGATCTCGATTACTTTAGGCTGGGGTTTTGGGGTTGCTAACTTGCTTTGGCTTTTTCGAGATGGCTTGGATCCTGAAACAGATGGCCTGGAAGTATATGCGGGCGTATTCTCAGATGTAGGAGCGAGTTTGATGTTTTTTTGTGTCTTGATATCGGTGGAGTGAGTTGCGGGTTCGGGCGACCCGGGTTCTTTGATTCCAAGAAGACATGATGGCGATAGTAGATCGAAATCTTCAGCACCATAATCACTGGACAGATCTTTCACCGGGCTCTGCTTACGCTGCCTCTGCTTGTGTGGCAAGGTATTCTTGTCTCCCCCCGAAAAAACAGATCTTGCTTGATTTGTATTTCCCTTTGCTGCATGTGATATCGAGGCCTTCTTGACCTTGAGATATGAGTCGTCATCCTTGGGCTCCGTAATATCTCCTTTAGCTCCTTGATTACCCAAACTGAAGCTACCTGCCGAGGTGCTCTTCGTGATACTGGCGGAAATGGTCAGTTGGTTGAGTCCACCTTCCTTTAGAGTCGCGGGAATTGTTCGCTTCGGGGGCTTCGGGGGCTTATCCAGGCCTTCTCGGCAGCAGAAATGTTTGCAGCTGGGGTCATTAGCCCAATCTTCAATGTGATAAAAATGACTCCTCAAACCTAGTCTTATCCTTGCATTTATGGTTGCACGCCCATTTACCGTTCGCAAGCCGAACTGGCTCGTACTCCTCTTCATCTTGCTCGCCCATACCCGCGGCCCAGTCATCTTCTCGGGAATCTGTGGCCTTTGGCACTCGCTTGACTGGGCTAGGGGGAGTTGAATCAATGGAGAACCAGTCAAAATCATCATATTGTGAGGTCTTTGGTTTTGCAGACTCCTTCGCTTTTGCATGAGATTCATTTGCAATGAGAAAGTCGTCCAGTTGCAAGTCATCGCCTTCAAAATCGTCCAAATCTTGAGGACTGGTATTGTTACTAGTCAAATCTCTTCGGGGAGGATGAGATATGTTTGTCTTGGGTTCATCTGCAAGTTTGGGGTTCAAATATGTCTCTGGCGTCGCAATGGATTTAAGCGAATGAAGTTTGTGGTTTCCGGGATTTTGGAAATTGAGATTCTTGTCGCGTATACCAACAAAGAGATGGGATGGAAGGTTAGGTCTAAGTTCAGCTTGCCTTGATGTCCCGGCTAAAAATTCGTTAGCAAGGATGAATGGACTTCGCTTTTCTTTTCTTCGGGGTTTAGGAGTCTTACCAATTTCATCGCACATAACGTGGCACACAACGACCTGCTCTGCGCTCGTCAATTCGGAAGTGAGATCCAATTCCAGCCGCTCTTGGAGCTTGCTTGCACTTGAAGGGCATCAATATTTTGACAGAATTCTTGTCCTCCAGGTGAGAGACTCACCTTGTTCGCCGGAAATCAATCATGTGTCCATCAGACCTTTCTGTCAGACAACATACATGAACCGGCCGACGTTGGAAAAACATTGGGATCTTGTCATTCATGAACGCGACTTCAACTTTGAATCGGATATTCATACTGTCAAACTTTATGTCCTGTATCTCACCGTTAGATGGATCCTACTCGTCTCACAAAACTTTACAAACCTTCCCAATCATCTTCACAGCAACCCTCAATTTCGGAAACTCTTTCAATCTCGATAGCAATTTTGACCCGAAAGGTGGATTCTTGCTAAGAACCATCTCGATCTGATGAGCTTCCGCGCATTCCAAATCTTCAAGACTGGTAATACCAGCAGCAGCCAACTTTCGAACCGCAACAACACCCACTTGGTCGATCTGCTTCATTTGGAGAGGTGAATGGTCCCAGACTTTCGCTCCCAAGCTCCGAGCGAGTTCCAGGGAGTTGCGAATAGCGATTGAGTCACCGCGGGAAATTTGACAGTCGATCAAACAGCGCATGAGGCGGTTCACATGCGCAAAGACTAAGGTTTTGTCTTGCTGGAAGGTAAACTTGTGCTTTTGGAGTTGGTCATTATCGGGATAGTCGATTGCGCCTAGTTCGGATTGGAGGAGAAGTGAAATTTTGTGGGCGGGGAGAGCTAGGTCGACTTTGATGGGGAACCGAATTCCTGGATCGCGATTTATCTCTCGATAGAGTGATTTCTCACCGGCCTTGAGGCGAATCTCGCGGAATTCCTCGCCTTGTGCAATCGCATTGAGCTGGAGCGATAGTGTCAGTTTGACTCTTCATTTAACAAACGCGGAAGGATAAGCTCACGATCTCGGATATGCCTGCTTGTGCCTTCAATGACAATAGCACTTTCATCGTCTCGAACTGAATGTAATAGCGGGCCATGGCTTCGCCAAATTGTGTCGAACGAAGGCTATCAGCCTCTACCAGCTCGCACTTTCGAAGAAGATCGATATCCTTTTCACAGATCTGGCGAAGCAACTCATCTTCGTCCTCCTTATTTGCACCTTCTTTCAGCTTGTAGTGCGTAGGATTTCGACGGAGCCTGACAAACAGGAAAGTACCAGCAAGCCATTTAACAGCAGATTCGACATCCGAGATATTGCCCAGGCCAATCTCAGCGTTGAGGTGATCGATAAGGTTCAAGTGCAAGCAGCTTTCCAAACTCTCAGAGCCCTGAACTAGTCTCTCGTAATGCGCTACGCGCTCCTTCCTCGTGAGAATGACTGCTGTTGCACTGTCATCAAACTGGGGTCGGCCCGCCCGGCCTAACATTTGCATCATCTCTAAATCCGAGTACTCCTTGCAGCCACCGTCTTGCCAACTGACAGTGTTTTTGATTATCACCAGGTGGCATGGCAGATTTACTCCAACCGCAAGTGTCGACGTACAGCATATCACGCTTACATTACCTTCTCTGAACCCCGTTTCGACAGTGTGGCGATCAGCAGGGCCCAAACCAGCGTGGTGAAATGCTACACCAGCAGCGAGTGTTGCTGTTTTCAGTTAGTAATGCTCATATAGCAGGCCCTGGATACATCCATACTCTTGAGGTCCTCATTGTGAGCTTCGAGTCGTCTCTGAGGTTCCTTCCAATTTCTGGCCGGTGGGTTCGTCAGCGTCCAAAGACGAGCCAGTTCTTTCGCTGTCGCGAGCGATGAGTTTCTCGTGCAACAGAATATCATGATTGGCTTCTGGCATGAATGCATTCCAATGACTTCAGGTAATCTTTCCAAGCATGATCAGTATGCTAAATAACCAACTTGCAAGACACAAGACTCAGAAAAGATAATCACATACTTTGAACCACAGACCTTATCAAACGCGAAGTCATTCAAACTAGACGGATACCCATAGACAATCTTCGTCAGCGTGACAGGACGGAATTCCTCACCGAAATGCTCTCGGTGGGCTGGAACATGCTGATTTGTCGCATCCTTCCCAAGCCAGGTCGCGATATCCTCCGAGTTGGGAACAGTAGCGCTCAACGCCACAAATCTCACATTTGATCCGATATTTTTCATTCGGGATACCACAGCCTCAAGTGTAGCTCCCCGCGTCTCTTTCAGAATATGCACCTCGTCAATGAGAAAGAGCTTCACCAGCTGCATCAACTTCATGTGATCTTTCCACTTGCGTGTCATGCTATCCCATTTCTCGGGCGTCGTGATAATGATCTGGCTAGTTTGGACGTTGCGCAATTGCATGTGGTCCGTATCTCCAGTCAATTCTGCACACTTAAGGCTCAGGCTGGAGAACTTGGAGTGCCAGTCTCGGAAGCGCTCGCTGCAGAGCGACTTTGTGGGTGCTTGATAGACAACTTTGAAGCGTTCGTCCTTCAGAGTGTTGAGAAGTCTGCATATGGCCAACTCCATGATTACTGTCTTGCCGCTTCCGGTTGGAGCGGAGAGGACGATGTTCTCATTACTGTTGTAGACGGAGTGAAATGATTTGGATTGAATGGCATTGAATAGTGGGAAGGGGAACATCGAGCGGTAGTTCTCCGGTAGATCGTTCACCGATACAAGGACGATTCCTCGCACAGACGGGGGGATATTGCTGAAGGGGTTTAGATATTTTCTGTTGGTATGCAAGCCCTTTGGGCTCCCTTGAGTGACCAATTCCTGAGCTGAGGATTGATTGACCCCCTCACGGTCTGGGCCGCAGTTTGTCTCCAGACTGCGCTGTCCCAATCGTATCCCGTCTTCCTTCCGGCGGAACTCCAGTGGGCTCGAAGGTAGTCCCAACAAAGGATCCGATGAGCTGGATCCACTCCCACAATAAGGCGTGATATTCGAGCTTGCTATCACTTGTTAATCCCACAAAATCAAGACCCCAATATCCGACCAACATAACTCACATGGAAAGAAACGTGAGAACCGTGGTGGTTCAATATTAGACCCGCGAGATACTTCAAGCAGATTAGGCCTGGGGGCTATAAAGCCTGCATCTTCGAGTGCCTCGTCTCTATCTTCCGAGGCTAGTAGTTCCAGATCTTGGCTTCCATCAGCATCCGTCATATTAATAAGACGGCAGACTCACCAAAGGCATCCAGCTCGGGGTCTTTATCAAGAATCGATGACATCAATTCACTGAATGGCTTTCTGGGGGATGGAGTGGTGTACCGTAGCTGCTGGGCGCCTTCGATGAGTCTCTGGTCGATGATACCGGTTCTACTGTTCTGGGACGGGGAGACATTGGAACGTCTCTGGGATGGCACTTGGAAGGGTTTGAATTGAGACTTCTGATGATTTCTTCGCATTTTGAAATGCTTTCTCGATTATCAGGATTCAAGTCTGGGGTTAGTGGAAATCAAATGCAATCGGAGGCCCGAAGTTCTCAATCCCGATAACGTGATGGCACGTGGACCACCCATACTTCTAAGTACTCTGGCTCTATTCAGTCAGTACGAATGACAGCTGCTAACATTTGATTTGTGGGGTATATGAAAGTATTTCATTGCTTCGTATATATGCATACATGAGCCAGGAGACCAGCAAGTAGCTGAACGGCAAGAGGACATGCGAGATGGGACAGCGAAGAGTTATGTAGCTAGCTCCAAATCAGGAGCACCATCAAGCATGTTGCAAAGATCCGCGGCGGGCGGCTCTCTTGAAAGCCGCACTTACATCCGCATCTATGAGGCATCCAATATCACCTCCCGTAAGAAGGTGTGTCAATGACAGGCAGGGGGGATTTCGCAAAGACAGCGAGTCAATCATTTCTCGTCGAAATAGCCGTTTGCGCTTACATTCCGGCTAGAACTCACTCTAGTATGGCCTGGTCTTGGCGAGGTAGGACGGGATGATGACATTCCATCAGAGAGGAAAGGTGTGGTTGGAAGTTTGATAGAGAAGTCATTGGACGGTGCCACAGGCGAACCCTCGGGACCAGCAGGACCCTTTTCATAGGCGTCGATGTGGATTGGAGGGGGACGAGACGCACCCACCGCAGGATTGAAGGTGGGGTTTCCATAGTAGTGGGTTGCTACCAGGACTGCAGCTGAGCCCAGGAGGAACTATGATGTCTCAGTCAGTCTTGTTTACAATATGCAAAGAGTGCGAGGGTGGGGGCTAAGATTGAGACACAAAGGAGTGTTAAGGTAAGGGGACTTACGCTTGCAGTGATTTCGAAGTCAAATAACCAGATACTTCCGACAATGCTCAAAATGATGTTGGCGGTTGTCGCTAAACTCCTTGCATCCTTCTGCGCATGGCTGACGTAGAATGCCGACACGATACCCCCCAAAGCCTGGATGATAATGGTGGACCACACCGCCCAATTGTAGCCCTGGAAGAAGCCATTTTCGGCGATTTTCTCGCCATCCTGGAAGACAATTCCAATGAAGAGAGCCGGAAAGACAGAGTAGACAGCCAACTGCACATTGCGGACCCACAATGAGATATGGTTCGAACTGTCCTTGAGGACTTTCTCGAAATAAATGCTGGCTAGCCCGGATGCCAAGGACGCTCCGATGGTCGCAAGGAGACCAATAGTGGGGTTCAAGTGTGGGTCGGCCGTCAGGATATCCTCCTCGATACCTTCGTATGTCGCAGACCGCTTGTGCAAACTACTACCGGAACCAGCACCTAGCTTGACAGCTTTCCATTCATCCAAAGATCGCGGGAAGTGGTGATTGGCTTGGTCATCCTGCAACATCTGTTCTGGGCTAGCATCGGGGATTTGCACCAACGCCACACCCACCACAAGAAGTAAAAGTAGGCCCCACTTTCGGAGGGGGATGCTCCGTTTCAGGAGCATCAGGCCAAAGATCGCAGTAGTAAGGAACTTCAGCTGAAATGTAATCTGGAAGGTTGCAGCCCGCAGGTTGGAGAGCGCAATGTATAGGAGGGAGTTGGACAAGACGTCGAGACAGGCAGGTATAGCGAGTTTCCAGCTATCGCCTGAGAACACTGCGCTTGTGAGGGAGAAGAAGAGGGATGTAGCGGGCATTGAGGGTGGTGCGGCCTTGGAGACGTCATAGAGCGCCATTGTGAGCGATATGGCCAGCTTGAGCACTTCGGCGAGAAAGACTGCAGTCGAGGTCAGGTAACGTTTACCACCGGCGGGGGGCATGACTCGTGAATAGTGAGCTAGCTGTAAAATCGGAAGAGATTCCAAAATTAGCCATTCATTCCGATACAACAGCTTCGATGTCACACAAAATGACTTACCAACACAAACGCCGTAGACTCTGCAGTCAGCTGCATAGAGACGAAGGCAAGTCAGCGAATAAAAGTCCATGGTCATGTATTTCCCAGGAATTCCCTACCATAATCCATGGCATAACATTTGCCGCAGCTCGTAGCCTAGATGGCTGGCGTTGAGCGCGATCCCCCATGACGATGGAGCTGTAAATCGCGTGTTCCCTAAGAAGTGGCTAACGTTTCCACAAACGAGGGCACGAAGTGCCACCGCCAATTCAGTGCCACAAGAGCGAGAAATAATTTGAGTAGAGAGAGCGACCTGAGAAAGCTAAGTGCACGGAACTGCGAACCCAATTCGAAAAGCAAGGGCTTGTTCTCAAGATCTCCCCTTCTAGTTTCCGAGGGTTAAGGCTTCCCGAGGACGATCACACAGTCGAGGCGCGTAAATGGAAGATGAAGGAGAGGACAAGCTTCGATTGACTCCGCTAATCAAAGGAGAGTATTTCCAAGAGCTCGAGTAAAGAGAAGAGAAAAAAGAACAGGAAGATCGAGGGGCCACGAACGCCAAGTAGAGTCCGGGGTTATAGACGAAGGGGTCGGCGGTCAGAGAGTCGATCACGGGGTGCTGGGAGTCACAAGCCAGGCTTTTCTTCCGGAGACACAACAGATGAAGTGATATGGATGGGAGAGCTCTGATTTGGGCATCGAAGCTTCAGTCCTTTTAGGCATTCTTCGGTTTGATCGATCTGGCCAGCCCCTTACCCTTAACCTTGGATGCGTTGCTTATCGATGACGTTAAGCTGGCCTCCACTACGGAGTACAGGTGGGCAAGCCTGCCACCGGGGCCCACGTCTGCGCCCCCCCTCATTCCTTAAAATGCATGCCGTCATTTGTTCTTATTTATTTAGTTTTCCTCTCATATTCCTAATAACGAGGCCATACAAATCCATAGGCTAGCGTTGCAGACTGGGTTCGCGTCGATCCAGTCGGCACACACCCAGCCAGCCCTCCTACCCATTGGGCTTGCCGCCAATAATGCATGTAAGCCACATCTCATTCCATCTAAATACGACCTAGGCTAGGCTGGACCGCCTTTCTACGGACACTAGAGGATTAGATGGAAGTTTCGCATGTTCTGGCGACGAATGGAGGATCATTGAGAATAGGTATTAATGGTGATAAGCGTAACCCGGAAATAATCACATCGTGAAAAAGACACGGACACCACCCAGGCTATATGTATAGAAAAACATGCTGGCAGGCATTAAAGCCTGCGATTGAACGCTAATCCAAAAAGAAACAACAGCTGATGAGAAGACATAAACAAGGTCACGTAGGAAAGTGAAAAGTGCAGACAAATGAGGTCTAAGTGGATATGTGAGCGGATGCTTGGATCGGACATGCTCCAAGATGCAATCTAGTAATAAAAGGAAAATAAAAAAGCAGATACTACTGCAGAGACAGGTTCAAGCCAAGTAGGAATACAGGCAGCGAAGATTGGAATAGGAAATGTAAGGGACAGAGGGAGTGTAGTGGGGATCAAGACCGAGGCATTAGTGCACAGTAGCGATGTTGGCGCGCTCCTGGTTCCAGTCAAAGTCGAAAGACCAGACAGGAAGACCATGGTCGCCTTTAGAATCGCGTCTGTCGTGCAACAGGATAGCTTCACTGCTATCAGTGCGGCGGCGGGTATGCTGCTTCTGGTCATCGGGAATGGCAGGCGGGGGTCCGCGTGGGGGTGGCTTCGGGGAGGGCAGCGGTGAGAACCGATGAATTGGCAATGTGGGTGTCAGTGGCGAAGCACCGCTGGTGGAAGGAGAGGGCAAGCTCTCAGAGTAGTCGGCACTGAAGCCAGGGGAGGAGAGTGCGGTACTAGGTTTGCGTCCACTATCAGACCCCGAACTTTGAGATAGCGAACCATCTTTGTAGTGCGTAGCACTCTTTTCGGACCGGCCGTCAAAAGGCGGGAAGACATTGCTGAGACGCAGGAAGGAGGTATCGGTTCCGCAGAAGGAATCCCGTGATAGGCCGGAGGCTAGTGATCTTGTGTCTGCTCCAGCAACATTGAACAGACTAGGTGTGACCTTGCCCTTTCGAATTCGCATCGCCTCAAGGAGATCCTGCTCTTGTCGGGTTACCGCAATCACACGACTTCTACGGTTCAATTCCTTCAGCTCTGCGGGAGTGCGGGAAGGCTGCTGTGGGAATTGCGCGAGAAGTTCATCAGGGATGGTGGGAACCCCACTTGAGCGGGGAGTCTGCGTGGTTCGTCGAGTTGTCTGAGAAGACTTGCCACTCGAGGACTGAGAAACCTTTCGTGGGCGAGGCACTGGAACAGGCATTGGTAGACTCTGTTCGGTTTGGTGGGAGCCACGACTGCTAGTTGAATGTGCCCGCTCAAAGCGCCTTACTGCCGTGGCGCTGGCGGCGCGGGCAGTGGAAGCTGTGTAGACCTCGGGCTCATATTCGCCGTAGATATCCACACTGTCTCTGAGCTTGTGCCCGTTGCGCTTTGGCTCGGTGGTTGGGGTTTGTTCCTCGTCCTCGTCCTCGTCCTCATCCTCTGAAGAAGAGGAAAGACAAAGCATACTGGTGTTTCGCAGATCTTTGTTCTTCAATGTCGTTTTGCTGCTCTTGTTAGCCAACGCGGTCTGCTCGCTTTTTGATTTTGACTCATTGATCTTCCAGGACAGCTGGGAAGTGCTTTTCCCGCGAGCACGACCTGGGTCTGGATATGAGCTAGGGCTCAGGTACCTCTCCTTCGGCTGAGATGAACTGGAAGCACGTCTTGAACCTTTCCGAACTTCTTGAGTGTGTTGCCGTTCTGGCTGAGATGTGGGGCTTTGGGCACGTCTTGAACTTTTCCGAGCTTCTTGGGAGCGTTGCCGTTCTGGCTGAGATGAGGGGCTTTGAGCACGTCTTGAACTTTTCCGAACTTCTTGAGTGTGTTGCCGTTCTGGCTGAGATGTGGGGCTTTGAGCACGTCTTGAACTTTTCCGAGCTTCTTGGGAGCGTTGCCGTTCTGGCTGGGCTGAGGGGCTTTGAGTACGTCTTGAACTTTTGCGAGGTTCTTGCGGGCATTGTCGTTCGGGCTGCAATGGCTCTTGGCTAGCATACGTGCTTGAGGTGCTTATAACTGACCGCCGCGCCGCATATCTATCCAGGGCTAAATCGATTTCGCTCGTTCCTACAGTCCGCTCGAATGATGGTTCGAGCCACTCGCTGTTCTCGGTCTCTGTAATTGAAGGCAGATCCGAATCATCGCCATGTTTCGAAAGATGATTTTTAGGAACGGATGATCGACGAAGAGGTACATCAATGTATCCTTTTGTGGAAGATTTGTTTGCGCCAGTCGTCCTCTCAGTCTTGTCGGGGGAACCTTCTGGCACCACTGTGGAGACGGGAGAAGGCGAATCAACCATACGGTGTGGGGACAACAGTGTTTGTTGTTGGGGATTCCGCGGCTTTGGAAACAAGACGGAGAGATCAATTCTCGAAGGACGGTTCTTTCGCTTAGATTCCTTTGGTAGATCTGGAGCATGGGTGTATGTCACCTGAGGATCAATGCTGAGTCCGTTTCGTACTCTGGGTTGTAAGCCTTGGTTCTTGGGTGACTTGGACGATTCTTTAGAGCTGAAATATGAAAATAAGGCCGACGAAGAACCGGAATGGTGAACTTTTCTCGATGACTTTGGAAGCGGTGGCACAATGTCCTGTGGTTGGAAATGCTGGCATAGTAGAGGCGATGAAGCTCGCACGCGGAGGTTTTGTTCCGGAATCAGGGCATTGTCTGAAGAGCTCGGGAACGGGACAAAACCGCTGTTCTGTTTTGGTGCACTAGTTGAGGGTTTGATGAAGCTCGGCCGGGCTACATTCGGAGCCTCCTGCCACCCGCCATGCTCTTTGGGAAGTGATATGTCGGTTCCGAAGAACCTTTGGGCTTTCGAAGCTCTCCGGTCTGCGAGTCCGAGATCCCCCTGTTTCTCCATCGGGTCATGTCGTACCGGTGTACGACTGGAAGTTCGCAGTGGCACATGGACCGGTGTCAGGTCTCGGTTTCCCATGGTGGGAGATAATGCGCGCAAGTTCAAATGCGTCCGGTCATGAAAGTCGTATGATGTGACCCGTGAGTGCGCAAAAAGTGTGACTGGTGAGCGGGTCTTCGGTGATTCGAGAAGGTATCCTCTCGCTTCCGTCACTTTTCGAGTTGATCTACTCCACACGCCCAATTAGTCAAGCCTCCAGTTGAGGGGCAATTGAGTCCGTACCAGGTTATCAAATGTTGTCTCCAGGCTCCAGATTTGCGAAGATGTAGATATTGGAAAGGTCCAAGTTCCGAGCAAATCCGTTTGGGGTTGGGATGTTTTTTGTACAGGAGAAAGCCAATAGTTTAAAATTGGAATTCCTGTTCACAGGCTTAAGGGGGGGGAAGACTCCACAACCTTGGAAGTGTGAGGACTGGGGATGCTCATAGGCTGACAGGGTCTGGCACGGGCGTGTTTCATTTATTCCAGTTCCATTCCATTTGGATTAGTGGAGCACGGCATCACTGTCAAAAGAAGCTGATCGACACGCTGCGGACTGTACAAACGTAGGAAAAGATTGACGAGAACTGGAGATCTCGAGTTCTCAGTCGTTCGAACCGTCCTAGATCGGAAATGAATAGGGGCTCCCAAGTGCTGGATACTGGATCCTCTCCCACTCCACGATGTACGATGATGCACGTCTCCCTTTTTTTGGATATTTAAATTGTTTGACGCTATCCTCCTTTTTGACTTTTCGCCTCGTGGTCTCAACCGAATGCCCCTTACTGCGGGAGCCTAAAATCCGCAACTCCGGGGGTTAACGTGAAGAAGGCCAGGGATATGCCCAGGGCTGCATAGCGATGGTCTTCTCCGTCATTTGCACTATCGACGCCCCCCAATCCTCCCTGTGATCGCGACTGGATAAAATTGTTAAAAATTGTAAAAAATTGTAAAAAGATTGTGACCGTCTCCCAGTCTCCACACCCAATCCCATGATGCCATTCTTCGCATGGATCTTTTTTCCTAGTGACACGGAGCTATCGTCAAGGTGGATTGATTCTACGCTAAATCCAGTCAAGATGGACCCTCCAAAACAGCTCTACCTGATCCCGACCCATTCGCCCAGGTCGCTTCTAAGAGATCGACGACCCGATCATCTTAGCGACCCAATGTGCCGGCGCAAAGCTCCTCGAGATCTCGCATTTCAGCAGGCTCCAGTATTGTACATGACATCTCCACCCTCGCGAGGTCCCGAGGCCAATCTGCCCCATGACAAATACATAGCAATGCCCGTGTAATCCGCCCTTGGACCCTTCTGCACTGTGGCGCGGGGTTTCTCGCATTTTCCGAGCTGCGTTGGCATATGCACGCACCAGGAACTGGTAATGATCGACTTGCGCGGACTCGCTCCTGTGATAAACTCAAATCTTCGCATGTGCGAAGGAACTGAGACATTCATCTGAAATGACTCCCGAGGTCGCGGCTGTGAAGATGACAGTCGGTCGCTCTTCCCTGAAACCTGGATATGCCTAGGTACAAGATACCTTCGCATGCACGGCGGACTTGAATGTCGAGCATGAGGGCTCAACCAGAAGGTCGGGTACGGGGTACCAAGACCCTACCAGCTCCGTAAATAAACCTCGTATCGCAATGTTCCGAACGCAGACACCTCATTTCGCTTCGAAGATCAGACCCGATCCGGGAGATCATTTTATCGGACGTCTCCCGTGCGCCCGTGTGCCGCGTCCCAGACCCACGAGGCGCACCAAGCAGTGAGTATATTCCGGGGGCGCAATTTACTCAGATCAAGATCCCTGTCCGAGATCTAGTGTCCCAGGAGGGATCGCCAGCGCTGTACGTAATTAGCGGCTTTTGCTTTTTTTTCGGTCTCGCTGTGGGAACTCCGGCTGCAAACGCATCGAGCTATTGATCGGGGAACAGCAAACGCATCTTGAGACCGTTGAGCATGCAGGATCCAATATGAAATACTCCGTGCATACCGTGAGACCCGTCAAACGAAGCGCTACTGATCCCGGACTAGTGGTTTGGGATGCGCCTATGTCAAATAGTAATGCGGAGAACCCCTGATGGTCGCCAATAGTCGATTCCAATAGCCTTGCCTCGTCCCAAGAATCCAATTCCACTCTATTATTTGTCTATTGTATTCTGCCGTGTAGATCATTCAATGCAAACCACGACAATCCTCCACATTTCACAACCCACCTTTTAGGTAGCACTTGCGTCATCTACGGTGCAAGATCGAATATGCATGCAAAAAGGGTGATCGACGCGCATACATGTACGGAGTACGGAGTACTCCGAACCTTGACAGAGAGAGATCTAACCAAAGATCAACAAGGGCAAAGAAGTGATAGAATATAAAGTGATATCCAAAATTTCCAAGCAATAATAGCAGTCGTGTGAGCTCATTTTATTGTTTTTGAGCTTTCGCCTCCTGGATCTACCAGTTCAAGTATGTTGTACGCAATAGGAGCGAAATCATCCCCAGATTCCTCTTCATCTGATGAGGGGCTCAGCATCTGAATTGAAGCGCTGTGCAAAGTATGTTCCTCAAACAAGTTCCCATCGGCGGAAGGGTTAGAGCGCACCCGCTTCCAGGGAGTACGTCGTAGGCGAGGATCAGCCGTATTGATCCACTCAGGGGACTCGCACCTGAACGGCCTTGGCTTCTCTTCAGTTTTAGAAATCTGGCGCCAAAGTGAGGAATGAATTGGCTGGGGGCCAGGAGGCGGTATCTCATACTTCCCACTAGTTAGATCGTGCATACCCGTGAGCTTTGTTACAGATCTATGGAGACACTTACATATTCTTGAATAAGCAACATCGGGTCCAGTATTTCGCTGCAAATGACGTCGCAGTTTGACCTTGTGCGACGGATCATGAGCTTGGGCTCTCCTAATTTGTGGAAAATCTTGTTCTTCCAATATGGATGTGCAAACACGACGCCAAGTTTCCGGAGGCTGTGAACGGTCGATCGAGCCTCGTCGTCGGTACAATCTAGACGTTGTTAGGGATCACTCCATATGTCAAGTTTGGCAAAATGACAGGTGTCCATACTAAGTTGCCTGGCCAAGTGCCAATTCAATCGAAAGAAATTCTGAGCGTTGCACATGAGATGGATGGTTCTGCGCTGTCGGATAAGCTTGATCATATCCCCCATCAGCTTACTGTCAAAATCGTATCCAATCAAGCAACTGTAACAGTAATGGGTATCTGGGATTCGGGGGTCGCCTCTAGAATGATAGCCATAGCACAGTGTGTGCTGATGATAGTTGCAACTGTCACATTTTATCTTCTCGTACTGATTAGAACTGGCAATTTGTCTAATGAGACAGATTCTTGACTTACAGATTTACTGGGCTTGAAACTCCAGGTGTTGCACTCACATCGGTACTTACGCCGCCCCCTACGCACGGATGTAGGGCTGAACAGTTCGTCACTTGCGGTGCTCTTTTTGGTGTCTCTGCTCCCTATGACTATGTCTTCGATTGAATTCCGGCGATTTCTCACATATTCGACTGTCCTTTTCGTGACAATGGGTTTTGGTCCTGCGGCTTGTACCCGAGCGATGTACTCACGCGGCTCAAAGTTCAGTCCAGCCTCCAGTCGAGCCACAGAAAGGTCAATACAATCTTGACTCATGGAAGACGTTGCATACTCTTCCTCCTGCGGCTCATTAAGTGGGAACCGAGCTCTTTTCAGGCGTCCGGGGCGATCCTGCCGCATTTTCAAGTAATCTTCCGTCGAAAGTTCACTGAAACCAGTTGCAGCGGCCTCGGCCCAGACCTTAGCCCTTTCATGGGCAGAAGCTTGATGCGAAACCACATCTTCCTGTTGGAAGAATTTCCTCTCGTCCAATCGGTTGTTCGTCTATGAGATATCAGGAATCGCTCATAAGCTTGACGACAGTCGTAAGGAGTTGGAAACTCACATATCGGCGCTGTATTCTACTTTCTCCCCTTCTTTGCATACATAAAAATTTGGTTGATCGATACTGACTACGCATTACCTTCTGCTTGTTGACGATCGCATCTTTATCGAGTAACAGAATGCGGGTTTTAGTAATGTAAACAAACTGATGGTAATCCGAAGATACATACCGTCACTGTCATTACTTGTGCTTTCGTCCGTGGACAAGGTTATCTCTCCGACTACATCTAGCGGCATCTGGGCAGGCGTGGGAATTCCAACCTCTTTGGAACGAGGCACTGCATGGTTTATCACCTCCTCTGCAGAAGGAAAGTGAGCATCACCACCGGGCGAAGTAGAAATGAGCGAGTTCACTCTCAGGCCGACACTTCCACATGTTAATCGCAGGACTAAATTCAAATGATAGGGGAACGTACGTGTGGAACCCACTGTCGATAGTTCCATAAAATCGCGTCGTCCTCTTCCAGTACGCAGTCTGCGGGTATTCGATGGTGTCGTCTTGGGCATCAGAGAATCCAGACACATCATATAATCCGGGACATTCCGGCTTATAGAAGATGTGGACCCCCAAGCTACGTTCATCTGTTCAGAGCGTGAGTTACAATATCAGAAACAGGCAAATGTAGTTTTGACGTACTAGGCAATGGCGGGGATTCAGTACACAGCGTGATCAGTCGTCGGGTGAGTGCTTTTGCGTCGAGAATCATACTACGCATGGAAGCTCGATCATCATGGATGCTAACAAAGTCCATCCTCGGACCGTTAGTTCGACGATCTGCGGGGCCACGTTCACCAAAATTTTCGAAGGTGAAGGTATAGGACTCCAGCACTTTGTTCGGTGAGTCTTTGTCTGCCATGACAGTGAATTGTACAGCATGTAGAACGCCTTTTAATAAAGCATCAAAAATTCCATTTTCCTAAAGAGGCTTTGTATCAGCACTGCTCAATATGTCTATCGAGGAACTTACCAGAAGGTCAAGAAGTTGATCAGCTTCATCACTCATGTTTCTTTCTATCACCCAGGTAGGGACATATTCTGCTCGATTACGTTTGAACTCTCCCTTTCCTTTTCCATTAATGAAATTTGAGTATTTGTAGTTATCGTAAAAGCGGCTAGCTCGTAGAACTCGTTCGCCAAAGACATCATTGGGCAATAACGCACTACGTTGGGTGGTGTTAGAGATCAAAATCATATTTCAGTACTTTCATAGTTAAATAGATTTCCCACCACTTACCGCATAAGGAAAAGCGACGCAATCTATATGTAAAGAGGATATCAAATTAGGCTCATTAATCAGATAGCTCACGGAGAAAATTGCCTTACGGTAGTGTGTAGTGCTATCTTCATTGACTCGAAACTTTGCTCCTGTTATATACTGCAATTAAAAAGGTGTCTTTTGACGCCTATCGGGGCGTTCATGCTTGATCTCAGAAACTACTCACGATCACCGGGAACCTGTAAATTTCTTCCACCTTAAGTTTGGACTGGGGTGTCCTGGCCCTGGAGGCGGGCTGATATTTTGCTATTTTCTTTTCAGGAGGCATAGTTCTCACGAAAGGAATAATATACAGTAAAATCAAGGAATTGGACTCGATAGAATTGGCGAACACAGACATATACTACTCACGACTGTGAACAAAGAGGCATGTTGTAAACAACAATTTTAGACCCAGGGGCTGAAAGAACAAATTCCTTTGTTCTGGATGCCAAAACATTCACAAAGAAACCTCAAGAGTGATATGTTGCCTGAAGCAGCCACCATAGATCTATTCATAATTAAAACCAACCGCTAGGTGAGTGTGGATAGCTAATTATAGCCTGCTTTAAGTGACTCGTTTCTCAGATATATATATTGCAACTGCTCTGACTCCGAGCGGAGATCTCCTTCTCCTCGATCGAGAGATTGTAGGATGATTGAACCGTGTTAAAGAGGATTACTCGAGTTGTTATCAAGCCCCAGCTGTAAAACAGCCAATCCTATTTACCAGTCGCCAGCATGGCATATATTGTAGGATGTGCGGAGTACAACCAGCCACCCTAAGTAGATGGCCCCATATGGGGAGAGCTGAGATAGGCGTTGCAGATATCGGCCCATCCAAGCAGGGTATGACTTGCATCGAGCAGTAAGGGGTCAAGAGAAACATACAACTGCATCCAACAGGATCCTTGTTTGATCCTTCACCACAATGCGATACTGGCAACCTCGGTGCCAAGAAGCCGGATACGCCCCCACCGCACGTGACATGTGGCAAGGGCAAATCGAAAACCTGAACTTGATTTGCACAGGTGATGATCATTTATGATATACCTATGAAATGCCAGGCGAAGATCAGATGTGTGTTGTATGTAACCGGGTTCCATAGCTTAACCCCACGAGAGAAGAGAGACGAGACCAGCGTAAACCGGCTTATCAGCGTATCGTCGGTCCCACCTCTGGGATCTGGTTTCTGCCGGTCTAGAGCAGAGCCAGGGGGGATCCCTCCAGGTCTCACCATAGGGACTCGGATCATTTCTACTAGGTAGTCACAGTGGAATCAGGGCATCAGAAGGGCAAATGCATACCCCAATTACCCCCAGTCAGTGTAGAAAATAAAAACTAGACCAAACAGATAGCACGTTGGGCCATGACATCGTCCACTGTGACAGCCGGAACAAATGTTGTTCTCCGCCCCAACTCCCCTTGTCAGCCGCCACTGTTTCTTTCTCCCCTTCCTTTGACTTCCTTGCTTCCATTACTTTTTGTTTTCCTTCCCCCTCCCTGTTACTTGCTTCGACTCGACCGTCCATTATGCACTGATTGCTCTTTGCGTTGATGGTTTTGCTGTTCCGTGCTGAGGGGATCATTTCATTTCATTAAAAAAAAGCACAATCTAGGACCCCGTTCTTTGCCTTCTCTGCACATGAGCTCTCTCTATCCCCTCAAATGCTCCCAGCTCTCTTCAACCTTCTGAAGTCGACTCGACTTTGACCCATCACAACGCGTCTGTATTCGCGACACTCTCATATGCGACCCACACAGGCGATTCTCGACTCATTCACATCCAAAACCGCGAAATGGACAATAGAGAGGACATGGGCCCAGAGCCCTCCAACGTTGCTATCGGACAGTTCTCTTTCGCTCCTACTACTCGAACCACAGTGGTGACAACCACCACAACTACGACCACCTCCTTCCCGCCGTTGACCATCAAACCTCCGCGAGCCGTCAAGGATTTGGATACTCGACTATACCCTCTCGCCTCGACTCCAACTCCAGCGGCACTAAGAAATCTCAAGTTTCAAATCGGTGACAAGTCCATCGTTTTCAACGAACCCGAGGATACGAAAAATGCTGCGGCTGAGGTGAGATTCTCTTCATCCCCTGCAGTCTGGTTCAAAGGCTCACATGATATAGTTTCAGGAGAAAACCGAAGCCTTAAAGTCTTCAAATGGTCAGATTCGCTCTGTGAGCTCGTTCATCTCCGAGGGCGATCACCTAAATCGACGACTGGCTACCCCAAGAATAGCGAGTCAACCCGTGATTCTCCCTTCCAACACTCGTCGTTCTGTCCCTTCCCCTGCCACGCTGCGTGATTCTCGCCCCTCGGTTGTTGTTCCGCGAACTCGCCCATCTCGGGTTCCTTCTGAGCCCATTACACGCCGCACCCGCCAAAGTGGCGCGGCATCAACTCATCTTGCCGCTGGCCTTGCCACGCCGGACACTGAATCTAATCTCAGCGGACTGGGCGAAAATGTGGCACCAAAACCGAGAATTCACAGTTCGGTGTTCCCGCGCAGGGAACCTCCTTTGCCATCACCTCTCTCCTATGAACTTGGGGCTAAAGATTCACAGAGCTCCAACGAAAATGCTTACCTGCAGAATGGACTGGCTGGGATTCGTTCAAATGCCAGAACCCAAGTGTCTCAAGCTACTGAAGTGGACGAGAATTCTACAACACATGAATCAGACTCATTTGGTCACGATACGACATATGGAACTCAGGAATCTGCATCGCATGACAGACCCGAGCTCACATCTCAACTTTCGGCAATAGAAAATGCTATGGCCCAAGATATGTGTCTCCCGAGTCCCAGCCTGTCACCAGTCACTGCTATGAATGCTCTCCACGGCGAATCATTTGATTCAGAGGTACTCGATGTTGATACAGATTCCAGTCTGGATCGTAGCCTCTTGCGTTGCTCTAAGGCTCTCCGTCTTCAAGATGCTGAGGAGACTAGGTTAAATGCTTACTCTGCTGCAAACTCAGGGTCACCCTCTTCCCTCTTAGACATGCCCAAGGTGCTTGAGTTCTTCGATGCGGTGCCTGATGATGTTAAAACTTATCTCATGTATCAGTTCCTTCGAAGATGTCCCAAACCGACTCTCCATTTCGTGGCAGATGTGGTCAATCCAACTCTGAAGTGCGACTTCCTTACTCTTCTCCCACTTGAGCTCAGTCTTAATATCATCAAATACCTTGACGTTCAGTCTATGTGCCGTGCTGCACAGGTGTCCAAACGGTGGAGACATATCACCAATTCCGATGAAAAGAGTTGGAAGAATCTCCTTGACCAGGATGGGTATCATCTCTCAGACGGAGAGTTGGAACGGGCTATCAAACAGGGATGGGGATGGCAGTTGTCTAGTGGCCCTCAGGATTACGAGGAAGATCTCAGCATCATGGTCTCGTCTAAGACGGATACGGAGGCCTCTCCTGTTCCTATGGCCGGTTCAAGCAGCAGAGACCTTCTGGTATCCCTACCATCGACATCGTCCCGTCGCAACAAGCGGAAGGCAAACTCGCGCTCTTCAAGCCGCAAACTCGCCAAGCGAAAAGTCTCATCCAGTGGAGGAGAAATCACCGATCCAGACTGGAAGAGAGATATCGCCGCGTCCGAAACGCCATACGCTGCAGCCAACGCTGCAGCTGCAGCAATACCCTATGCTGAAGTGGGCTTGCCATCCCTTCGGGGACTGTTCCTCTTCAAGGTTCTCTACCGTCGCCACGTTGCAATCCACAAGGGATGGATGCAGCCGGATGTCAAGCCGCAACATATCGCTTTCCGCGCTCATCACCGCCATGTGGTTACTTGCTTGCAATTTGACGCTGATAAGATTCTTACGGGAAGCGATGACACCAATATCAACGTTTACGATACTAAAACAGGTGCCTTGAAAGCAAGATTAGAGGGTCACGAAGGTGGAGTGTGGGCTCTTGAATACCATGGCAATACGCTGGTTTCCGGCTCTACTGATCGCTCTGTGCGTGTCTGGGATATCGAGCGGGCCAGGTGTACTCAGATCTTCCAAGGCCACACATCCACCGTCCGATGTCTGCAGATTGTCCTGCCTACCGAAGTAGGCAGGGATGCAGATGGTCAGCCTGAGCTCATGCCTAAACAGCCATTGATTATTACTGGCTCTCGTGACTCGAATCTCCGGGTGTGGAAACTTCCCAAACCTAGTGATCAACCCTACTATCAAGCTGGGTCTCCAGCAGATGATGCTGACTGTCCCTATTTCCTACGCGTTCTTTCCGGACACCAACATTCTGTCCGTGCAATCGCAGCCCATGGTGATACCCTTGTGAGTGGTAGCTATGATTGCACGGTGAAGGTATGGAAAATCTCTACCGGACAGACTTTGCACACTCTACAAGGCCATACAATGAAAGTGTACAGCGTGGTTCTGGATCACAAGCGCAATCGTTGCATCAGTGGAGCCATGGACCACATGGTCAAGGTGTGGTCACTAGACGATGGATCCGTACTTTACAACCTTGAAGGCCATACCTCTCTCGTTGGTTTGCTTGCTCTGGAGCACGATTTCCTCGTTTCGGCTGCCGCTGATTCCACTCTCCGCATCTGGGATTCCGTTCACGGTCACTGCAAGAACACATTGAGTGCCCACACAGGTGCCATCACCTGCTTCCAGCATGATGGGCAGAAGGTGATCTCTGGATCTGATCGCACCTTGAAGATGTGGGATGTGCGAACCGGCGAGTGCGTGCGCGATCTCCTCACCGACCTCAGTGGCGTGTGGCAGGTCAAATTTAATGACCGAAGATGTGTTGCCGCGGTTCAACGTGACAGCTTGACATACATCGAAGTACGTTTTCGCCGATGAGGTTTAATTTTACACTATGCTAACATTCTTTTTCTTCAGGTTCTCGATTTTGGTGCTGGACGGGATGGAGTCCCGGAAAAGAAGCTTGCAAAGCGCATTGTTGTCAACAAACGTGGGAAGGAGATCCGCGCCACCCGTAATGAAGACGATGACAACTTGTCCGATTAAGAGGCTCATACCACCTTCTGCCTCGTCTCGACCAACATCTCGACAATTGAAAACTTTACCCTTACTCTCCCCTGCATTCCCTCCGTTCCCTCCTCTTTCCCCGCTCTATTCCCCCAATTCACGATACCCATCCTTACAGCTCTCGTCTTCCATCGGAATCAGCATCCTTTGCATAGCGTGGTCGGCATTCTATGGTCTTCCATCATTACGATAAGGGGCCTGGCGTTTCTGTTTTCTTTTCATCATTTCTTATGTGGAGGCTTTATTGTTTCTCAATATTACCCTTCCACGTGCATGCTGCCATCGATATGTTTTTTTTTCTCTGCCTTTACTGATGCTCATGTGACTTCCCATATCTCCTACCAGATCGATAGCGTCGCTTGCTGACATCAAAGACTGGTGGATTCTTTTACATATTTTTCGTCTTGCTTTGTCCGTGTCGGACTGCCCATAATAGATTGATTACTATGACCTTTATTGCGAATTCTTCCTGTCCATGAGCTGTCCGACTTGCTGCTTTGGTTTGATTGTAATTCTTTGGTATATCTTGGTTGTAGTAGCTGACTATAGACAACACACCAGTCAAATGCTTTAAAAATATGTCTATCCTATATGGTGCTTGGTGTTCTGGGCATGCAATCCTAGATTCTGGATGGCCATCGAGTTTGTGACAGCGGGTTACAGCCCGGCCTGTCCAATCCAAGCATTGGATGTTGGACAAAAGGCCGCATTGTTTTATCCTTATCCCTAAGAGGTCTGAGAGATGTATGTTGTGAGGACATTTTCCCCGAGGATATGCATGCACGCAGGGAGGGGCTAGTCAGACCTGACTGGGTGCACCGATGAGTCAAGTATAAATCCCGAGGGTCTTGTCAGATATGGACAGTGCTCCATTTCAAGGGATGGTAGCCGATGTTTCTGCGGCAGGTTGCTCAACAGCAAGTCGGCCACCCTCCAAGCTCCCGTCAATACCAGCAGCAGACAAAATCGACCAACGGATAGCATCGATACCAAGCGCCCGGCCAGGACCGATCTGTGCCTCAGCACTACAAGTCAGAATCTCACCCAAAGAGCCAGGCCCTTCCGAAACCCGCGGGTCAGGCTGGACAATTGGTTTGATACCTTGCAGCAAGAGCTGCAGGCGCTCGATATTGGCAGGGGTTACCCCGGTCTTCATCTGTTTCATCTTCCTCGCGAGGAACTTGTCCACCTTGGACAGAATGATTTGATGCGGGATGGCGCTGTGTCGGAATAGTCTAAGGATCTCGGCATCGGTCTGTTTAATGCCATGCGTGCTATCAATGAGGAGGAATGCGCGACGGAGTCTAAAAAATCCAATTGTCAGTGATTGTACATGCGTGTCTCAATATTATATCCCGCACTAGGAGATTCTGTAACTCACTGTTTTCGCCCCTGGAGATACTTCATAATCTCCGCTCCCCACTCGGCCCGACTGGCCTTTCCGTATCCCGGCATGTCAAGCAGCACGACCTTCGACTCGCCGCCTTTTGTACCTCCAATTCCGAACGCGTTCATTTCCCTTGTCCTTCCTGGCTTAGATGAGGTCCAGCATATCTCCTGTCCCATTATTGCGTTCAGTAGCGAGCTCTTGCCGACATTTGAGCGGCCGAGGAATGCGACTTCAGGCTCCACGGATGAAAGTGGTGTTGTACGGAATTTGGCAGCGGACCAAAGTTTTAAAGGCGAGTGTCGCGACGGTGTGAAAACCTTATCGGCGAAGGCTAGCTGGCTGGCCTGAGGAGGTTTCGTATCCCAGTAGTAGCAGAGATCGGACGGCGTGAGGTCTTTGAGCTCGCGCTTCGAATGGGTATTTGCCGCTGAGGAAAGGGCTCGTATCGTCGTATATAATGATATCCCAGATGCAGAGTGCCTGCATGCTGGTAAAGTATTCATATTGGCTCTTTAAACCCTGCTAAAGGCTTGACAGACGGCGAAATAAAAAAAAGGTAAACTTGGTCTCGATTTCTCCAGATCGGCGCACGGGGCAAGTCTCCCGAGCCAAGCCCGCATCATCAGCTATCGCGCATTCGCGCAGATAAGGCCGACATTCTTCCCAGCTCATCGCACATCTGTCTATTCAAGATGATCAACGCCGTTCTTGTCTTCAATAACAATGGCCAGCCCCGGCTGACCAAGTTCTACACACAGCTGGTGAGTCGAATCTCCGCGAACAGCCGCATCAAGCCCCCCGCGGGACGACCAAACTAACTCCAGAACCAGGACACGCAAACCCAGCAATCCCTCATCGCGCAGATATACCGTCTAGTCGCACAGCGCCCTGCAAGCGCCTGTAATTTCCTCCCTCTCCCACCCCTCCTTTCTCAGGGCGCCAGCTCCTCCGCCAGCGGGCCCTCCGATGCCCCCACTCAAATCACATACCGAACCTACGCAACACTGTCCTTCATCATGATCTCTACATCCACCGAGTCCCCGCTCGCTTTGATAGATCTGATCCAGGTGTTTGTCGAAGCGCTGGATCGCATGTTCGAGAATGTGTGCGAGTTGGATCTTATTTTCGGCTATGAGACTCTGCATGCCGTGCTGGGTGAGATGATCGTTGGTGGTGTTGTGGTTGAGACAAATATTGAGAAGATCATTGCTGGTGTGCGTGCTCAAGAGGGATCACTGGGCAAAAAGAAAGCCGTTCAGGCTGCTAGTGCTAGTCTGGGTCGTGGGGCATTGCCTGGGCTGGGGGCGTGGAGATGATCGGTGGATGCCGGATACTTTATCTTTTGATGACCTGCATATAGATTGATCTGATTTCCTATTGGGTCTATCTACGGCGTTCTGGTTATGCATTCTAGACTTGCTCTTGCAGGATTTGGGAGTGTTGGTTTATACTTCATTTTTCGTTTTTCGGGTTCGATAGCGCTGGATGATATATTAATCATGTTCGCTATCAGTGTGACACATTTTGAAGGATATCAACAGTAAATATCTTTGAATCCAACTGCGTTTGATAGTCCTGCAACTTCATTCTTGAGACGAATTCGATATCATGTGACCTTATCACGTGTCAGAGTGGAGCCGCACTCGCGGATAACCCTAGCCCTGTCACGTGAGGGCGCTAGCGCGACCCACAGAAACTTCATAAGTTGCATCCACACGAACATTTTCCTTTCTCATCCGTCAACCGTCAATCAGCAATCCCAGTCGACAAAATGGTGGTGAGTACATGATATGTCTCCTGATAACATCAGAGGCTTCTTCTAGTTCTCGCGATGTCGAAAGACATTCGCTTTGCTTCAGATCTCAGATCTTAGCAATTCCGCCGATCGCGCACAGCCTCGAAAGAGATGTGTGTCGCATCGTGCGATGATATGGCTGGAAGCGTTGAGTCAATGCCCGTAACACGGCTTGGCTCATGCTCTCCTTAGAGTTCAAAGAAGATGCAGCAATAAGTGAACAGCACGCTGATCTTCTTTTCTCAATGATAGCCTCCCAAGTCCGGAAAGAAGACCGCCGCTCTGCCCTACCCCCAGGGCAAGGCTGGCACTGGCAAGAAGGCCGCCAAGGTTAGTTTCTTCTTTTCCCTGGGAGTTCATTGAGTCTAGAGGCACTAACCCATGTCTTCCAGAACCCCCTTATCGAGAAGCGCACCCGCAACTTCGGTATCGGCCAGGACATCCAGCCCAAGCGCAACCTGTCCCGCTTCGTCAAGTGGCCCGAATATGTTCGTCTTCAGCGCCAGAAGAAGATCCTGAACATGCGCTTGAAGGTTCCTCCTTCCATCGCTCAGTTCCAGGCTACTCTCGACCGCAACACTGCTGCCCAGACCTTCAAGCTCCTCTCCAAGTACCGCCCTGAGACCAAGGCCGAGAAGAAGGAGCGTCTCGTCCAGGAGGCTACCGCCGTCGCCGAGGGCAAGAAGAAGGAGGATGTCTCCAAGAAGCCCTACATCGTCAAGTACGGTCTCAACCACGTCGTTGGTCTCGTTGAGAACAAGAAGGCTTCCCTCGTCCTCATCGCCCACGATGTTGACCCCATTGAGTTGGTTGTCTTCCTTCCCGCTCTCTGCCGCAAGATGGGTGTCCCCTACGCCATTGTGAAGGGTAAGGCCCGTCTCGGCACAGTCGTCCACAAGAAGACCTCCGCCGTCCTGGCCCTGACCGAGACCCGCGCTGAGGACAAGGCCGAGTTCGCCAAGCTCCTCTCCGCCATCAAGGAGGGTTACACCGACAAGAACGAGGACTCCCGCCGTCACTGGGGTGGTGGTATCATGGGCGCCAAGGCCAACGCCCGCATCGAGAAGAAGCAGAAGGCTCTCGATGCCGCCATCAAGGTTTAAATTAAGCTCGTGTGACTACAGCTTTCTTTCCTTCGATGTCTGTTTGACGGGATCGTTTCTACTCGAATCGCTCGGATCTCAAAAATTAATATGTTGTTACGGGAAACAACAAGGTGTTCGAGGACTTTACGATCTATTGACGGCCGATTCTTTTAGCTTTAGATGGGTGCGAAAGAGCCCTTTGGCCCTTTTTGGATCCTGTTCTAACAAAAAAGACACAATTTTTTCTCTCACGAACTCCAATGGCCCCAATGTACCACTTTCTGCAGATACCCATGAATGCATTTCTCTACCTGTTCAATCTATTGATGGTCACTGTAGTCCATCAGAACTAGGCATTCATGTCGTCTGCTTTGTAACTCGTAGTTGTAAACAATCTACAGCATAGCATTACAGAATATACAGTGACCAGGCAAAGTCTTAATATCCCCCTGCTACCCTAACTAGCTACACCGCCTCCTCAATGTGCTATACCGCCCGCTATCCCCAATGTTTAATTGGTGGGGATTGATCCAGCAGAATAAGCGGTGTTAACACTTTGGTGGACTAACTGTACGTGTTCGAGGCTGGGAATCTCCATATGTAGGTATACTTGGTGCGATTAGATATGTCCCTTGATACGGGATATGGTAAGATATATGTATGATAATCCAAAACGTCTAACAATGAGGGTAGTTGGGAGAATGTGATAATAATAAACTAGAGGATTCATTCGATAACCTCATTGGGAGACCTAAGTACTAGAAACGAATGGTCATGATAGCGAAAAGACAAAGTTGGTATGAAGAAATTACAGGAAGATCCAGAGGCCCACAGCCAGAGCATAAGCAGAGAGAAAAGAAAAGAAAAGAAAAGAAAAGTACAAGTAAAATGATCCCCAAAACCCAGGCCGATGCTCCCAGAAGACCAGAGATGCTCACCACCGATTTTGAATATGGACGGACGATGGCACTGAGAAACCCCGTCTAAAGACACAAGTTGAATCAAAGCAAAGCAAGCGAAGAAGGTGTATAATGTGAAGGAAACATAAACGTGATCGCGGTCATTTGGTCATTAACGTTGGGCGGGAGGTCGTGTAAGCCCTTGGCGTACCTATTTTCATCTTTGTTAGGAGCCGGACCAAATATATATGTATCTTGGGGGAGCAAAGAGTCACTAACCTTCATTTGTTCAATTCTAGCCTTCAATTGGCTGGTGACTTCCGCGGCTCGTTTCCAATTCTCTGCTGGTTCGTTTGATTTAGCCCGGTGTTCATCTTCGGTGAGATGCGTGGAGGAGTTTCGAGTAGATGAGCGCGTGGGACTGCCAACAACCGGGTAGCTGTAGGTACTAGGGCTCAAGTTGCGTCGGCCTAGGCCACCATTACGACCGCTGAGTCCTGGTGATTCCATGCCATTGTTTTCTTTGTCCTCGTTGGAGGCATAGCTTCGAGGACGCGAGCTCTCAAAGCGATTTCCTATGTGAAGTCCAGACCGTGCGACACTATTGCCCATGTGGTCTTGATACATGGAGTTCGTCTCCGGCATACCTATGCTACCAGCATCAGACATAGCGTTGGGTGGGCTCATAGCAGATGCGCGAAGTGCTCGTGACAGTTCACGCTTCAATCTTTCGATCTCTCTCTGCTGTTTTTGAACACTGCCCTCCGCGGCTTCGGCGTCACTTCTTGCTCGAACAAGTTGAGTTTCTTTAGCCTTGATGCTCAAGACATCTCGTGTGTGGTCTTCGATCAGCTGTGCATTCTGGTTCTGAAGTTCGGTGATCGTTGAGTTGAGCCTCGAGCGCTCAGACTTCATATCTTCGATGGACCGGCTGAGATTTTCCTTTTCTGCCCGTAGTTCCTCCAACTCGGCACGCTCGGCGGCTGCCATGGCATTGACAGCAGGTGAAGGGGCAGGTGTAGGCTCAGCAGGCGCTGATGGCCTGGCGATGGGACGGCCCGCAAGGCCACGACCAAGACCGAATTTTGGAGCGGCGGGAGGAGGGGCCACATCTTCCTCTAGGGGTTGAGGCGCAGCGACTCTTCTTGGAGATGCGGCGGATCCAGGGCCAGCAAGCTTACGTTGAAGTTTGAGACCAGATCCAGGAGTCGGAAGGCCGCCAGCCTTGGGAGCACCAAGCTTCGAAGGAAGGGCTCTGGGTGCAGGCTTGGCCACGGGTTCTTCTGGAGCAGGCGGTGCAGCTGCCGGGGCAAGTTTCTTTAGTCCTGATGCCGCCGGCTTCTTGCCAACGACCTTCCTACCAACCGGGGCAGGGGGCTTGGGGGGTGCTATAATGGCCTTCGGGCGTTCCTTGGCTTTGACCTCGGCAGCTCCAAAGTATTCCTTTATTTTGGTTTTGCGAATTTCGTCCAGTCCATCGAGATATGGGTTCATGGCGCGTTCACCCAGGATCTTCATCAATGTACCCAGAATTTCAGCAGCTCCTTCACGGACTGCTGGGGCTGACTCTGTCAACAGCTTTGTGCCGGCATCAGCAATAGCTTTCTGTTCTGGCTTGGATGGTACAGCCCTAGTTGTGCGCAAGCAGCGGATCAGGAACCTGACGGTTTCCTGCTTGATCTGCGGGTTTTTGTGCTTGAGGTACTCGAAGATTTCTTCCAAACATTCGGAAAGGGTTGTCGTAGCGAAGACGGAATCCAATGCCTGGCCAATAGCATCTGCGACAGTCTGCTTCTTTTCCTTCAAACGTTCGAACATGGGTACCATGATGGCGCTTCGGTATTTGGAAAATCCATTTCGCAGACCCTTGGCCAACACGTCCACACAGTTCGCAGCCACCGTGGCGACAGCAACGTTGGCATCCTTCATGGACTTGGCCAACCCTCTAATGATATCATCGTAGGGGCCGTCTTTGATCCGCGGTACGTTGAGAACGTTATAGAGGGCATCCAAGGCTTCCTTGCGGTCCTTCCATTTTGATGAGGCCAATTGATCATGGAAGTCAGCAGCGACTTGCTTCATGACATCAACGGGTTCGGCCAGGTCAAAGGCATCAACAACCACTCCATCCTCCTCGTCGTCAAACTCCTCACCGGCTTGTTCTTCGCCCTCCTCGCCAGCTGGTGCGGCACTGGCCGCCGCCATGGCATCTTGTTGTACGCGGGTGAATCGCTCTTGCTTCGGCGTGGGTTCCTGTTTTACAGATTCGAATAGTTTCTCCAAATCTCCTTGTTGCACTGGTTTCAAATCGGCCCAGAACAGAGGCTTGATGGCCTCCCGAAGCCACCGGTAGAGTTCCACAGTAAGGTTCTGTGCTTCCGCGCGAACATTTTTATCGGCATGACCGAAAGCCTTGGGAAGTGCCTTCAAGGTTGGCTTCGGGTCGACAATTTTGCAGCCGAAATTGTGATAGATGGTGGTTAAGGCTGCGAGTGATGCGGCGACCACCTTGGGTACTTTGTGAGAAAGTGTGGGCAAGAGTTCCTCCATCACCGGATCGGCCTTATCCAACTCCACACATAATAACAGGGCTTCTTGGGCGCTAGCTTTACCGGCTGGTCGTGTAGATGGGAGACCTTTCTCTGCAATTGGGCCAACTGTAAATCCGCGGGTTCTGTAGATGGGAATATTGTCAGTGTATTCCAGGTGGACCGAAAAGCCTATCGCGTCTGGGGCCGGGGGCTAACGCACCTCGTGCAGGCCTGGACTCCTCCGAACTTCAAGAAAGCACAGTATGCTGCAAGACCTTCTAACTGTGCGGCGACGTTGGAATCTGCGACCGCCCCTTTCCAAAGGCCGGGATCTTGTATAAATGGCACGAATACCGGGTGTGATTCATCGGGGCTCTTTTCGAATTGTGCTTTAGCATCTTCGTATCCTTCTTTGCGGACTTTCCAGTTCTGTATATCGGATTAGAAATGTCAATCTCGGTCGGGCTAGTTAGGCAGAGAGAAGCGCACCTTGTGAGCGAACCGGTCGGGCAAGGGCAAGGAGGAGAAGTCCTCTTGTTCCGCCATTATGAGGGGGGTCGGTTCACCGAAGGACTTTAGGACTATTGAGCAGCGAGTTCTAGAAACAAAAGACAGTCAGCGCGGTCTGCAACTGTCCGGATATCTGCGCCTGGCATTATAGAAGACTCCAAAGAAAGAGATATAGGTTTGGAGTCGGTGTTGCGGGGGATGCGGATGGTCATACTGTGTCGGGTTGATGCCCAAAGGTATCAACGGATGGCAGACAGTCTTAGTCCGCGATCAATAGGAGGAAACACTGGTCTTTTTGATGGGGAGATCATGCATGCAGCCAATAGGTAGGGCTGTCTAGGGGGGATTGTCCAAGGGTTCGAAACAGTGTCTCGGGTAGGGGAGAAAATAAACAGTTGGAGTTGAGCGGAAAGTAAACAACGGGCCTTGGCGAATTGTTTTGTTGTGAACCCCGCGGTGGATCACACTTGCTCTCTCTTCATATCTTCATATCTGCACTTTTCTTTTTCTTTCTCTCTTGTGATCGATTGATCTCTTCGATCAATTCACCTCAGTCCCGTGTTGATTCGCCGACACCGCTTCTCCCACCGCTTCCCATCCTCCATCGCGGATTTCTGGACCTAGTGTATGCGCCTTTGAACAGCAAGCTGCAGGACGAGCACATATAAGCTGCACCATGAGTCAACTTCTCACGCAGCGGCAGGCGGAGGAGCTGTATGTGACCCGACCCCGGTTCATTTAGGGGGGTGAACGCTGATCGTGTTGCGACAGACATAAAGGAATAATCGCCTACCTCACTTCTGTGAATTTACACCACAGCTCCGCTGCTTTGCGAGAAGAACTTGGCAGCTCGATCACAGTTGACGACAGCACATTAAAGAAATATGAGGGACTCTTGGAGAAGAAGTGGACGAGCGTAGTCCGGTTACAGAAGAAGGTGTGTGTGTGTGTGCGAAGACCGGGCAGACCCAGTCCTCCCTTTTGTTAACCTACCATTTCGCGATAGATTATGGAATTGGAAGCACGATGCACTGCACTTCAGACGGAGATCGACACTGCCACACCCACTTCCCTCTCTCGAAGAAATCAAGACCCAGTATCCTGGATGCCTCGAGCGCCGCCGCGCCACGACCTCGAATCGCACCGTGCGCCAGTATCATGCCTCGCTTTCCATCCAATATTCTCCTCACTGGCTTCCGGCTCGGATGATACCACAATCAAAATTTGGGACTGGGAGTTGGGTGAGCTAGAGCGGACGATCAAAGGACATACCAGGGCAGTGCTTGATGTTGATTATGGAGGACCACGCGGCGGCACACTTCTTGCATCATGCTCGTCAGATCTAACGATCAAATTGTGGGACCCGGCTGACGAGTATAAGAACATCCGAACACTACCAGGACACGACCACAGCGTTTCAGCGGTTCGGTTCATTCCATCGGGGGCTGCAGGGTCCCCAATGTCAGGAAACCTGTTAGTTTCGGCATCTCGCGATCTCACACTGCGTATATGGGATGTCACGACCGGATATTGTGTCAAGACTATGTCGGGTCACGGAGACTGGATTCGAGATGTTGCACCATCCCCAGACGGCCGATTCCTTTTCTCTGGTGGAGATGATCGAGTTCCACGTCTGTGGGATATCTCATCGGGTGAAACTAAATCAACATTCCTAGGACACGAGCACTATATCGAATGTGTGGCCTTTGCTCCACCAACCAGTTACCAGCATCTCGCACCTATGGCAGGCCTTAAAAAGCCACCGCCAGCATCATCCTATGCCGAGTTTGTGGCTACTGGTTCTCGCGACAAGACCATCCGTATTTGGGACACCCGTGGAAACTGCATCAAAACCCTTGTAGGCCACGACAACTGGGTCCGTTCATTGGTCTTCCACCCCGGTGGAAAATATCTTCTATCTGTATCTGACGACAAGACCATGCGGTGCTGGGATCTCACACAAGAATTCAAGTGTGTGCGCACCATCGTGGCTCACGGCCACTTTATCAGTTCGCTCCGGTGGGCACCTCCGTTGATTAAGGACGCTGGTGCCAAGGAGGGCGCAAATGGGGCCGAGGCTGCGTCCAATGGTGCGAAAGAAGACGCAAAGATGTCCATTCGCTGCGTCCTGGCGACTGGTAGTGTTGATCTCAAGGTCCGTATCTGGGCATCATGAGCTTCAGTTTGGGGCCAGCACCAAACACTGGGCAATGGGGAAAAGAATGAGGACCAGGCAACCTCGAAAACCTGACATGGGAAAACCCCCTGCGTCCAATCGATTCATTGAGGGAGCGCCATCATCTCTCGCCGGGTTTATTACCCCAAGTTAGAGGGTTTGGGATTTGATGGGCATAGTTTGCCGTTTTCTAGGTGAAGGAGTTGGTTATTCTTCCGTGATACCAGTAACTTTCTTTCTTTTTGTTTTTTTGCAAATGATTAAGGAATTGGTCTAGACAGTCTCGTCCAGACTAATCCATGTTTACTTTACGATGTACACTTGTTGGCTCTTGTATTTTGTTATTGAAGGACGGTCTCTCCTCTCTCTCTCTTCCTCTCCCTCTCTCCCATTCTTCTCATACATATTTTAGACCTTTAGCAGTTCCAAGAATACAACAAAATCACAATGCCAATGGAAATAGATTGAAGCGGTATAATACAGTACATAATCTCCGATATGCAACACCACGGAGACCACATAGGTTTTTAAAAAAAGAGACACCCAATCAATATAATAGAAACAAGATGCAAAAGGGCTTCCATCATTTCTTCGCCGCCTCTGCCGCAGCAACCCTCTCCTGCACAATCCTCTTAACCCTCCCGATACGCTCATTCTCCGCATGGATCCGGTGAATCAACTGCGCAGTAGAAAGGTTCTCACCCTTAGGCAACACAACGCCAGCCTTAGCCGCCTCCTCCACAAGATCCACCTCCCGACCAAGCCGTTTCGACTCACGACGCAGATACTTCGCCGCCCAGCGGGTCTCGCGCTCAGCCTCGCGCTCAGCCTTCGTCAGCACAGCCGGACGCTCGCTAATTGCCTCGCCGAACGGCGTGATAATCCGCTCGACGACGTGGTGCACGTGGCGGCTCTTCGGCGCGCCGGACGAGAACTCGATTATGTCGCCGTCGCGGAGCGAGTTGCGCGGGTCAGACACTAGGTAGTGCGTCTCCTTCGGGTAGTACTTGCGGATGTGGCGGTCGAAGGTTGTGTGTCGGTGGCAGACGCGCACTGTGCGGTCCATGCGGCCGACGGAGACGACGGTGCCGGTTTTCAGGGCGGAGGCGTAGTTGCGCAGTCGGGAGGGCGCTTGTGTGTCTGTGCCGCTGGGCTGTGTGGGTTGGGTGGTTGTTGAGGCGTTGCGGAGGGGCGTGGAGAGATATGTGGTTGATTGGAGGATTGAGGGGCGTGTCAGGGACAGAGGCGTCATGATCGAGGTTCGGAGAGGCATGGTTGCCCGGAGGAGATGGCTTGGTGCCATTGTTGGTGGTGGAGCGGGCGGATACTCTCCCAATGGAGTTTGGATGGGATTGAAGAGGGTAGGATGTCAGGTGAAGCACGCGGATGACTGATGGTAGTGGTGAGCCCCCAAATGGTTGCGAGCTTGAGGTGTTTGCAGTTGAGATTTCGAGAATTTCTCGGGGAAGCATGTTTGCACTGTTTGCACCCTAGTATACAGGCACCATGGAGACAACGTGGTAGACAGCATTACAAGTCTATCGCCTTATATACAACTAAATCTATTGGGTTATTGTATTTTCTCGGGGCTTTCGGATATCCATCCAATTCACAACCTATATGGACCGCTCCCAATTCTTCACAATTGCAGATCATGATCTCGGCCCTCATGGATATCTCGAGACCAATCAAGCAAGTGAAACATTCCCAACCCCCATAGGGAAGGACCCTGAAAGAAATCTTATAATATGAGTCCTGTGATGACTGAAGACACACCATTGCAATAAAGACCGGAATGACGTCGACTTCATAGCCCTGTGCACACCAGTTACCAGTTTCTAAGGTTCAGCCACATAATGCGAGCTACAGGACTCAACAAATAAGAGGACAATCTTCTATCTGTAATGATGCACTGGTAATATACACGCAAACCAGAACCAAAAGATGAAAATGAGCGGAGAATCCCAAATGCATAGAGTCTAAGCCGAGTCTCAAAAGGTGATTATCCCTAGCGGAACCAGTTTAAGAGTGGAAGAAAAAGAAATAGAAACCCCATGCAACGCGTGTACAGAGATCATAATTAAAAGAAAAAGCAGGAAGAAACGGAGAAACCTCCGAGCAAATACATTTCGCCTCATCCATGTTCGTGAAGACCATCTAAGTTTGATTCGAAAGACCCGTTCGGACTGCAGTGTGCCAGAGGACTGGAGACTGCATGTCTTGGTAGAGCACATCAAAGATTGTTACGCGGCTGATGTCGTGATCGGGGCATCAGTTTCGTTGGAAGCCATTGTAGCCAGTTTCTTGGATTGGAATTTGTCGGCTGAGTGTGCTGATATCCGGGTGAGTTCGGTGACAAAGGATTGGCCCCAGAATGCGCTGAGAGATAGGTCAGTCAAGGTCAAGATACAATATAATACTTCAGAGGCCTGGTTGGCATGTGGACAAGGAAACATACCTGGTGTACTTGGACACGTATCGGTCCAGCTTGGCGAAATTGAGAGCCCGCTGTTCGTCGCTCATGGTCACGGCCTCTTGATAGGCGCCTGCCAGTTCCTCGGTGTTCCAGGGGTTCACAATAATGCTGCCGTTCAGACTCTGGGCTGCTCCAGCGAATTCAGAAAGTACCAGCACTCCGTGGCGCTTCTGTTGGGTAGCGATGTACTCATACGCCACCAAATTCATGCCGTCGCGGGTAGATGAGACAATACAGGCATCTGACACAGCATAGAGGGCAATAAGTTCGTCGAAATTGACGGACTTGTGCAAGAAGTGAATAGGCTGGAATTCAACGGTACCTTCATAGACCATTAGCTTTGCTCGAAATACCAAAACAGGAAGAGAAAGATACTTACCAAACTTGCCATTGATGCGACCAACCAGTTCGTTGACCACAGCCCTCAAATTCTGGTACTCCTCGACATCCTGCCGACTAGGAACAGCAACCTGCACAAGAACGACCTTTCCAACCCATTCTGGATGGTCACTTAGGAATACTTCGAGCGCATGCAACTTCTGGGGCACGCCCTTGATGTAATCAAGACGGTCGACGCCGACCATCAGCTTCACACCTTGGAATTTCTGCTCCAGCATTGCAATGCGCTTCTGGACCTTCTCCTTCTTCAACCCTTCCTTGAACTTCTCAGGGTCAATACCAATGGGGAAAGCTCCACATGTGATAATCTTGCCCTGGAACTCAATGCCGTTTGGCGTAGTTGCGAGACCCCTATTCCAATCAGACATGAGATATTAAGGCCTGCAGGGGGATACTTACAGTAGACGTGAGCAACTGCTCAGGAAATGACGGGTATAATCATAGGTGTGGAAGCCAATGAGATCGCAATGCAGCACACCCAAAAGCAATTCATTCCGCACAGGTAGAATCCGATAGATCTCGCTGCTAGGGAACGGTGTATGTAAGAAGAAGCCGATCTTGACGTTCTTCTTGCTGTCACCGATCTCCTCACGCAACATCTCAGGGAGTAGCATCAGATGGTAGTCGTGGACCCAAATCAAATCACCATCCTGCACTTCCTTCGCAATTGCCTGTGCGAAGAGACGGTTGGCCTCCTTGTACGCTTCCCAAGCGGACTCATCGAAGGTGATTTCGCCGGGGTGGTAATGGAACAAAGGCCAAAGGATGGAGTCTAACCAAAGAAAAGGAGCATCAGTATACATGTCAGCAGCTTCATAGGGAAGAGCAACTCACTAGAGAAACCGTTGTAGTGCCGATCTGCCAGGTCATCGTCGATGAAGACTGGCACAGCGCCATATTCTTCCTTCAGGCGCTGCTTGACGACGGGAATCTCTGGTTCGGGCACCTCCAGACCGGGCCAGCCGTACCACTGGAAGGTGGTTGATTTAGAGAGACCGCTCAGGCCACTGACCAGACCTCCCGAGGACATTGAAAAGTCATATTTTCCATCATCAGACCGCTTGATTGTGATCGGCAGGCGGTTTGAGACCAGAAGCAAGCGGGCTTCATTCTGCTTGGGCTCCTCCATGGAAGGCATGCCGAGAGATGGGCGGGAACCGGAATGCTAACACGGAGAGGGAGAGTATACGCCGTGTCAAATAAGTGCTATCAGACAAGGACAGCTGAGCTCCTGTAGTTCCGAGAGGAAATGCGATTAGACTCAATTGCGTAGGCGGGGAAGATCATCGCCTGGGCAGCTATGACGAATGGCCAAACCAACCTCGATAAAGTGGATAATAACTCCGGGTCAGCACCAAAGAGCTAGCAACCTGTCTCCATATGCAAATTATGGCAACAGCTAGTAAGCAAAAAAAAGTCGAGAGCAAGCTGAGGGGAGGAAAAAGGTGGAAGGTGAGCAAAGCGGGGAGCGGAAATGCGAACGTCACTCTTCCAGGTTGGGAACTGCGTGTGGGCCTCAATATCGCTCACATCAGGCCATGAAGACTGTCCAAAAGAAAGATCAAGGATATCTGGATTTGATCTTTTTCTATGCAAATTTCAGATCCAAAAGAAATATGCAAAAGAGCAGATCCCTCCCAGGTCTGACTTAGGTCATTCTGACTCCGCATCGGTTGGACAAATCGTGCCACACGGCCCAGCCAGTCATAGACTCATATTCAAGCCAGTTGCTCACGGCGAAGTCTAACCAAGTTTTTAAGGGGCAATTACAGCTAGGATCAGTAACCGGGCGCTATCTACGGAGTACAGAGTAGATGACGTTGAGTGATTGGGGATGTGCAGATCCTCCATGGTTACGGGCACCGGTGCAGAATGTCCATTCTATTACCTACAGGTTCTACCGTTCTACTCTATATCATGTATGAATTGAGATATTTATTCTAATATATTGTATATTGTACTCAGGTCTGAACACCATGGTTCTATATACACAAACCCCGCGCTCAAGGTTGACTTAAATCAAGACGTGAGCACATCTTGAGCTCCAGGTCTATTCATACTACATCAAACTCACAAGGTAGACCTCTTACCCGCAAGACTCCACTTCCCAGACTCCGAATCATAGACCGTCCTCCCCTCAGCCTCAAGCTTCATCAACACCTGCGACACACCATGCGAAGCCGCCAAATGAAGAGCCTCCGGAATATCGCGGTAAATGCGCATGACCAGCTCGATAGGCGTCCATCCCTGCTTACGCTCCGGCGAGGACTCGCCAGCCGCAACGTCCAGCTTGCCAAACCTCATTACACGCAGGACCTCATCTTCCCGCTGCTGCCGGTGCTTGATGTACTCGGTGATCCGCGCACCGGCGTCCTCAATTACCGGTCCGTGTCCGGGATACCCCCGGCCTGTGGACACGCGGTCGCGCATGCGGTGGAGGCTGCCGAGGTAGCTTTTGAGGTGTTCGAAAACGGCTGTGCCATGGCCAAGGACGTCTATAGATGTTGGATTAGAGATATTTTCAGAGAACGGTTGTAGGTTGATTGTAGGTTGATTGTAGGTCGTCTTTGGTATAACCCATTGAGATCTGCACTTACTGTCACCCGTGAACATCGCACCTTCCTCCTCAAGCATAAACACCATATGATCAAGCGTATGTCCAGGTGTATGGAACGCCGTCAAGGTAGCACCCTCAACGGAGAACACCTGTCTATCTTGGATATCCCCCATGTCGGTGTCAGGCTCATTTTTGAAGATCTGTGCCTGGGGACAGAGCTTCAGTAGATCTGGGAGTCCGTTGACATGGTCACCATGCCAGTGCGTCAGGAGCGCCTGGTGCACTGTTGCCTTTTCTTCTGAGAGCACAGATTGAAGATTGGCTGCCCATGCGGGCTTGCCTTCACCCGTATCTATTAGGATTCGCTGGTGGTCACGACCTATTAAGTATGTGTTTGTGCCTGGATATGTGGTGAGATGGTATCTTTTAGAAGGTAAAATATGTTAGGGTGCTTACCTTGAAGTGTAAACTGTGTTGCGTTGCACGCCATTCATTAGCTCGCCCTGCCAAAAGTAATATAACGGGATCTCTGCACTCACCTTCCCCGGATTTCCAGCGAGTATCCTTATGACTGAGGCACTGAGACGCTCCACTTCTGGTAGTTGGACGAGCTGGGCCGCCATATTTCTGAACGCCACAGGCGGGATATTGTTCGATGAATGGATCCTTGTATTGGATTCGGATGTGCAATGGATGGCGGATTGATGGACTATTGTTAACGATGCCCCAGTCTTGATACAGGATGGTCCGGGACGAGATATCGGGGCGAGAGAAGATATCCAAGTGAAATTTTCCACGACACTACTGCCAATGATGGAATTCGGGGATTTGATGGCATCAAGGCCACCCTTATATACTCCCAGACGCAACGACTTGCGCGGGGCAGAACTGGTCCCGGGGGGCCTCGGTAAGCTTATCTCAGCTGCGGAGAGGACCTCGGTGCTACTGGTCAACTTGCATGTACAGTTATGTAGGGACATCAGCCCTGGAGGGCTGATCTACTGCTTACGAGAGCTACGAGAACCATTTTAAACAAAAAGAAATTGTGTATGCATGCCAGTCTTAACATACAAAAACAGTGATGTGAAATCAAAAAGAGTATATCCATTGAGCCCACCCAGATATCGGGAATCAACGCAAGGCCGAGAAATCAGGCCTACAAAAACACAAGATCATTCATAATTTTTCCCAGAGCGCAACTCCTCGAATCCTGCTCACAAAAGGGCCACGGGGTGCCTGACAAGTGATCAACGCACACCGTACTTTTCAGAAGCATGTATCTGAATTGTTCAACACACAAGAGAATGTAGTTTACACAAGCATCCCGGTGATAACCGAAACACTTGAAGGTTTTATGGTAGGAGAGTCATGAGAGAAAGGAGGGAGTTTAAGCCTTGCGGGACATGGTGTTGAGGGCAGAGCCGTCACGGAACCACTCCATCTGGGACTCGTTGAAGGTGTGGCTGAGGGAGATGTCGAAGGCGGCACCACCGTCCTTGGGGTGGACGCGGAGGGTCATGGGCTTGCCAACGGCGAGCTCAGTGCAGAGGAGGTCGACCTTGTCCTCGGGGTTGATCTTCTCGTAATCGGCAGGATCGGTGAAGGTCAGGGGAAGCATACCCTGCTTCTTCAGGTTGGTCTCGTGGATACGAGCGAAGGAGCGGGTGATGATGGCGAGACCACCGAGGTGACGGGGCTCGAGAGCGGCGTGCTCACGGGAAGAGCCCTCACCGTAGTTCCAGTCACCAATGACAACCCACTTAACACCGCGAGCCTTGTAGTCACGGGCAGTAGCGGGGACGGCATCGTACTCCTTGGTGAAGTAGTTCTTGACCTTGTTGGCCTCACCGTTCTCGGCGTTGGTGGCACCAATCAACATGTTGTTGGAGATGTTGTCCAAGTGGCCACGGTACTTCAACCAAGGGCCAGCCATGGAGATGTGATCAGTGGTGGTCTTGCCCTTGCACTTGATGAGAATGGGGATGTCGGTGGCATCCTTGCCATCCCAGGCGCTGAAGCCAGCGAGAATCTGGAGACGGTCGGAGGTGGGGGAGACAGCGACCTTGACCTGGGTACGATCGGCGGGAGGAGCCTGGTAGGTGTCACGGCCGGCATCGTAGCCACGGGTGGGGAGACCATCACCGGAAGGAGCCTTGAGCTTGAACTCCTTGCCATCCTTGTCCTTGAGGGAGTCGGTGAGAGGGTTGAAGTTGAGGGTACCGGCAACGGTCATGGCAACGACCAGGTCGGGGGAGGCAACGAAGGCGTGGGTGGAGGGGTTGGCATCGTTACGACCAGTGAAGTTACGGTTGTAAGAGGAGATGATGGAGTTAGCCTCACCCTTCTTCACATCCTTGCGGTCCCACTGACCAATGCAAGGACCACAGGCGTTGGCAAGGATGACACCACCGTACTCCTCGAGGGTCTGGAGCTGACCGTCACGCTCGATGGTAGCACGAATCTGCTCGGAACCGGGGGTGATGGTGAACAGAGACTTGGACTTGAGACCGTGGTCAAGAGCGTCGCGGGCAATGGAAGCAGCGCGGGACATATCCTCGTAGGAGGAGTTAGTGCAAGAGCCGATCAGACCGACCTTGAGCTCCTCGGGCCACTTGTTGGTCTTGACAGCCTCCTTGAACTGGGAGATAGGAGTGGCAAGATCGGGAGTGAAGGGACCGTTGACGTAGGGCTCGAGCTCATCGAGGTTGATCTCAACGAGCTGGTCGTACTTAGCACCCTCATCCTCGCGGAGCTGAGCAGCGTACTCGCGGGAGAAGTCACCGATGTGCTGACGCTTGGTGGCCTTCAGGTAGTCGTACATGCGGTCGTTGAAGGGGAAGATGGAGGTGGTAGCACCAATCTCGGCACCCATGTTACAGATGGTAGCCATACCAGTGCAGGACAGGGAGTCAACACCAGGGCCGTGGTACTCAATGATGGCACCAGTACCACCCTTGACGGTGAGGAGACCGGCGACCTTAAGGATAATATCCTTGGGGGTGGTCCAGCCAGACATCTTACCGGTGAGACGGACACCGATAACGTTGGGGGCCTTCAACTCCCAAGGGAGACCAGCCATGACATCGACGGCATCAGCACCACCGACACCGATGGCGGCGGTAGCGAGACCACCAGCGTTAGGGGTGTGGGAATCGGTACCGATGATCAGACCACCGGGGAAAGCGTAGTTCTCCAGAACGATCTGGTGAATGATACCGGAACCGGGCTTCCAGAAACCGATGTTGTACTTGGCAGTAGCGGAGGCAAGGAAGTCGTAGACCTCCTTGTTGATGTCGTTGGCACGGGCAAGATCCTTCTCACCTCCAATCTGGGCCTCAATCAAGTGGTCACAGTGGACGGTGGTGGGGGTCTGAACGCGGTCCATGCCGGCGGACATGAACTGCAGAATAGCCATCTGGGCGGTGGCATCCTGGCAAGCAACACGGTCGGGGCGCAGCTTGAGGTAAGACACACCACGCTGAATATCCTGGCCGTGGGGGTCGTCAAGGTGAGAGTACAGAACCTTCTCGGAGAAGGTAAGAGGACGCTGCAGACGAGAACGGACAATGTCGAGGTTCTCGGACATCTTCTTGTAGTTGATGTAGTGACCCTGAGGTATAATAGGTTAGTTCCAATGGCTTGAAGTCATACTTTGCGCCCCTCCGGAGCGCTCAATTGGCAGCCACTCACAGTTTCCTGGTTGGTCATCTCGACCTTCTTGTCGAGGGCGTCATTGGCGGTAGCGAAGGCACGGGTTCCGGTGACCTAAATATCGAACGGTTAGTAACTGCAAATTCTGATTTAAGCCTTAGGTATCATGCACGGCGACATGTGCGCCATGCCACGTGCGACTGAAGCTCGATGATGAGGTCACTGCTTACAAGACGGAACTTGGGGGCCTAGAGTCGAAACATATATTAGCTTTCCATTCATGAAGCCAGCCGTTTTCAAGACGGGCACTCTGCTAGAGCACCATCTTGTGGCAACAAAGAGCCGAGGGAGCAAGACATACCAGCGCACCGGCGCGCGCGAGGCGGGTGGAGATCATGATGCAAGCTCTATGAGATGGGATTGCACATCCAAGAGCTATTAACCACCTTCACCAAATATGAGAGTGGAGAGTAGAATGAGAGAAGAAGAGATCAAGAGGAAAGAAGAGGAAGAAAGCTTGGTTTTGAGTGGGAGAAAGATTCTACGGGGACCGGGAGTACTGAGCCGTAACCGCTGTTACCAGGGCGATACAATACGGTGGGTATTGGGCTAAGCCTGCCGCATGCGACGGCAAGAAGGGCTGGGCAATTTGATAGACGCTGATTGTGGCCGAGAATCGTCGATATTTGCTGGGAGAGCCGATGCGTTTATTCGGTACAATTGGATTATCCCCGGGTTGTTATCCGTCTAGCATCTCTCTTTCCATGTGAAGTTCAATCTTCAACGTTGGCCGTCGTTGTTGTGTTCGCCTTGGGCAGTTCCGGAAACGTAACGGCGATACAAGGCATGTGACGGGTATAACTCGGCCACCAATCATGGAGTTTCCAATTACAGGCCCCTTCGCCCAGTGATCTCTCATTTCGGACCAAAGGGCTAACCTGGGAAAAGGTCAATGTGTTCTCATGTAACTCTCGGCCTCTACCCCGTGCTACCCTTCCAGCTATAGTTTGCCCGCATGTGGATTTGATGGGTTCAAGGAGCTTGAAGCTAGCCAATGATCACCATATGGTTACCACTTCAAGACGCTACATATGGTCGAATAGCAAAGTTCTTTTTTTCGAATTTGGTTCCAATCTCTTTAGTGTACTCTCTATGCCCATCTAGACACAGCTACAGATAGATCCTAACCCTCCCAGCCACCCCCATGTAGGTACCGCTTGAACCTGATGAACTCGGGGCAACATACCGCATGCAAACGTCATTAAATACGCAGTGTACGGTGACGAAATCGACTGAGCCGAGGTGAGCCGAATGGCAATCCCGCATCGCCGCCAAGGAGCCGTGTCTGATCGCCAGCCAATCACCGCGGAGGCGTTTCAATCGCTGTCCGTGGCCCACAATCGGCGGAAATTTCGTTTGAACCTCGCTATTGACCGTAGTCCTCTCGACCCGCTTGGCTCACCTTTCACTCCGGAAATCGGTGATAAGCAATTTTCATTTTCCTTGCATCTATTTTGATACCATTATCCGGTTCCAGCTCCGAGGTAATTCGGCTATCAATCACAATGGGTGCCCTCAGGAAAGTCAAGAACAAGCGTCGCACGAGGTATGTCTGCCCAATGCATTGTGACTGGTACAATCAGTATCGCCGGCCTTGCTAACCTACGCGTACAGAGACTACGACCAAGTCCTCGCAGATATCAAGACCCCCCGTCACCTGCAGAAATACAAGGATTCAAAGGATGTAGAGGAACTTCCTGGGCTGGGCAAGCACTACTGCACAGAATGCTCAAAGTGGTTTGAGAGCGAGTACAACCTCAAGGGACACACCAAGGGCAAGAACCACAAGCGGAGGTAAGTGCATCTCGACAACTCCGTCCTCCCATCTGTCACATCGCTGACAAGTTATGCTTTCTATTGCAGACTTCGCATCCTGCGCGATGAGCCTCACAGCCAAGAACTTGCCGAGCGTGCCATCGGACTGGGTTTGGTCGACAATGGCAAGCGGGCAGAAAACCCCGACGTGATGACCGAGTGAACTGAAACTTGACCGTCACTGGGAGAAATATCAAAATCTTGCTACGCGACCACGATTCTATTTTCAGCAAATCGACCTACAAAAGTTTCTAGGACAAAGCATCTAGACCAGATCTGATGGCTTTCCTCTGTTCATGCATATTGGTGGAGTTCTCTCACGTGAGACAATCCTTTTTATATTGCCGATCCTCGCCGCGTTTCCGCTGTTCCGGTCTGCGGGTGGCACGAAACCGCCGACTATCGGAAAAAGGCAGCTGGATGAAATTTACCCCCTTACTAGCAATATTTCCGAGTAATATTCCAATAGAAATCCCTCAATACAATATAGACCCTCAATGCCGAATAGAATCTAACCTGAAAGGGATTTCGGTAACTACGGAGTACAAAAATATATCTTGGCTGAAAATAGTTGGATATGTCTTGGATCTATACCGAGTATTCCGCACTATGCATCCGGATAAGCTCAGGACTGAACATATCTACAGACCGGTCATGGGCTCTTGGGCTTTCACCTGGGCGCCCCAGGATTGAGTAAAGCTCTTCATCAGCCATTCATAAGCCGCCCACTTTACGAGATGTTAGTTGTTCTGTTGCCAATTGCAACAATATACATAAAACATACCTGAACGGCATTCACAATGAACGCTCTGACACTGCAGATTCCAAGGCCACGGTAGAACGGCTTGATACCCTCGGCATGGTAAATCTCTTTTGCAATTTGGAACGTACTCAATGGTTGGCGCTGCGGTCGTAGTAGAGACTGGCCCTCAGTTGCTCCGAGTGAATGATCTGCAATAGTCTGTGCCTGTAGTCGTGTCTTGATCATATCCAAAGGGAAAACCGAAGCCCAGGTAACAACACCTGCAATACCACCGCAAAGTAAAATCTTCATCGCGGCCTGGTGCGAGCCATCATCGTCAGATGTCATAAATCGTTTGCAAAGTTCATAGGACCAGAAACTGGGGTTAGATCAGCACTAAGTCCCTCAATTGATACACTGGGGTATTCGGGAGTGGCGTGTTGGGTTCCATACTAGAATCCATAACCAATTGAATCCCTCGCGCTAGTAATGCCGCCCCCAAAGTAAAGACCCTTCCAGCCGCGTGTCCGAAGGATGTCCTTGGCCACCGCCCACGAGGAGACCTCTGGCCGAGGATCCAGCTGGGCCCGACATTTGATGAACTCCGTTGGGGACGAGATGGTCCAACTGGCCAGTCCGCCTGCGGCACCCGCCAGCCAGATTTTGTACGGTGAAACGCCCACAGGATTGGTGGGATCTGTTACAGACCCGTCCAATGCTGTTAAGGATCGGTTATAAGCAACGAAAAGAAGCGCATTGAGAGCTCCATAACCTAATATCGGAGCGGCAGCGCCTATGATGTTGGTTAATATCGTTGTTCATCTCAATTGTAGAATCGTTGCAACACGGACCTCGAACAAGAGAGCTTGCCCTTTCAAGACGGCTTAGATTTGAGGATGTTACATCTGTGTGCGAACTTCCTGCCTGTAGCCGGACTTTGATGACATCAAGGGGATTGCCGATGATGATCCCAATGGCTCCACTAATGTAGCCAGCCCAGAAGTCTGTAGCCATGGGATGTTAGTTGTAAGAACTAGATTCACGCTGATTCGCACCTTAAAATAAATCAATAATTCCAAGCTCCCCCGCAATGGTGGGAAGGCGTCTCACGTGCACCTGGATAAGCGCGGGTGATTACAAACATATGTAAGGTAGGTAGGTAGGTAGCCCTATATATATCTATAGCACGTAGGTAGTGCATTATGCACCACTGGAGAAGTTGGGTTCTACATCGTGGGATATTCATTCGCCTTGAATCATAATTCTCACATTAATTTACCGAGGTGTATCCTCATTTGTAATACCGATCCCCAAGTGTATGGACCACCGTCCACTCATCTCATTCTGGCTATTCTTCCATTAGTTGAGACCAGCCCAAATACAAAATATCGGCTATTTCCTTTCAGATAAATGGTCACGCCAGTATGAGCGAACAAAAGGAAATAGCGACATGAGATCGAGGACAAAGAAAAAAAGAACAACAAAGGATAGAGCAAAACCAGCTCATCAATATGCAATTTCATCTGATAAAATTGCTTGCAGAGCTCGAGAAAAAGCAGAAATCCCAACGTTTTCTGATACAATCGCTAAGAATCCAAACATTGACCAAATTTTGTCTTTGGGATCGGAGGCACAGAAGAGAGAAGGGATGAACAGATAATATATATCAATCTTCTTAACCAACCTCCTCAAACCGCTTCCTTAGTCGATTTTTATACTCAGCCTCTTCCTCGACCTTCGTTTGAATGAAGCTTTCGGCGCCCACAGCCCAATAAGGGCTGACAGTTTGATCGAACAGTCGCTGAGTACAGTGCTCTTCACAAAACATGCGCTGAACATGCTCGTTGAAAACCCGGAGAAGGCCTTTCGGGCTTTGGACGGCTTGGAAATACCAGAAACTTCCTTTGACCCAGCATTTTTCCATTATCTCAGCTTGGGAAGCACCAGGGGCCTGAAAGTCTTTTTCCTGTTCCTTAAAGGCATCGAGAAATTCGGTCATGGCATTTTCAAAAGTCTGAAGATGCTCTCCATGTTCAATATCATCAATAGGTCGGCCAGTCAACCAGTAAGGTGGCGTTTGTAACTCAATGGGATAGGAACATGCCCATTCTAAATCAATCAAGGATGTAATGTGCCAGTTTTCGTCAACGAAGATTTTACTTGGATGTAGGTCAGTGAGCGTAAGCCCGAATGGGCCATTACGATATTGCCGGGAAATGAATTGAGGTAAGAGACCACGCATCATGGTTAGAGCTGCGAATTGCTCCTGGCCATCATTCAGATTATGAATAGCATTCGGCTGATGATGTATGCGGTTGTCATGTAACTGTAAAAGATCCAGAATATAAGGCTCCACGCACTGGTACGTACAGTTCCTTGGTATTGTGGGAATGCCCTCGTTTTCAAATGTTTGGAGTCGCAGTGTTAGAGGTCGGTTTTTCAACTGAACTATACCCTTATCATCCAAACTCAGGGATCCGATTTGCGGTAATTTGACTCGATTAAGCGAGAGCATGATCTTCGCAAGATCACCGAAAAGAGTCCGTCTTCGTATCCTGTCTCCCAAGAGGTGATCTGCCAAGGTATTGGAGAGCATCTGACCCTTCGTTACAAAGCTGATGATGATATATCCAGTTTTGAGCACACTTCTACCCCGCGTGCCGATATAAGGACAGGCTTGAGGGTATCCAAACCATGCTCGCATGATTTGCGTGATACGCCATTGCCAGCGAGAAGAAAAACTCATGCAGCTTTCCTCAGCAAACTAAGCTCGTATTGTTAGCAGTCCGAGGTAGATAGAGAGTGTAGGCTCACATACAGTCTGCCCATTTGGAAATGCAAAACCGTAGAGGTAAGGAATTGGAACTGCGGGACAGTTTTCGCGTATCCAAATGTATGTGGCGACTTCGCAGCGCAGTTTCTCTTCGACATTTCCCGGGACACTCTCCTCTCCGATTTTAAAAGGTAGTGGAATCCGGACAAGGACCCGCTCTTCTGATGGTAGATTGATATAGACTGGAATGCAGACATTGTAACTCCCACATAACCAATCCGCTTCCTCAGCAACTCGACAATGTTTTACACAAAGATGGAAGGAAACACAGATTCAATTTCACTTGTATGGGAAAGGAGATATGACCAGAAATCCTTCTGTTTCTGCGGATAGTCTAAACGGTGCAGGATGTTATCGTCGTCGCTCAAGGCGTCTTCCAAGGTGATCTTGTTTCCCCTAAGCAAAGGTAGTGTCATCTTGGGAAAGGAATATGCACCTGTCACAGGAATGCAAGTGGCACAGGCGAACAAGACTCGGCGTTGTAGAGCTGTTTGACCTAAGGGGGACCACGTGACTCTGCTTCCGCATTGGGGAAACGCGGTAATTTGGTGTTTTGGGAGCCTCAGGCCGACGCGAGACGCGTCGCTGCCTGGACTCTGGCTCTTGCCACCCAACTTTGGGATCATTGTGCAGGACCTTTGGTGTATCTGAGTTGGGCTTTTTGGTATCAATGTAATGCCCAAGATCATTTATCGACGAGAAGTTATGCTGACTAGCTCCAAGGTATCGAGCACGCCCGGCTGGTGGCGACGAGAGCGTCAAGACTCCATTACAACCGAAATCCGTGAACTCTCAGAGTTCTATTGACCGGCTTGTAAGGCCATTTAAATGCCCGGGGACTGCAACGCCAACGCGGGCATCTGAGAAACCAGCGAGGAAGAGGCGAAAGGTCAATTACGCCAACGCTGACGGAACCATGGATGACGGGGAGGAAAAGCCATATACGAATGACGACCGGCTTGCTTTGGCAACACGAGAGGCGAATAAATTCCCCGCGTATAAACCGAAAGACAAAGATGTGGCCTTTAGGACACGATTCCAGATTCCGTTCATCAACAAAGCCACAGATGGATACAGTGGTAGCCGAGTTGCTCCGACGTTGGGCATGCGACGAGGCGCCACATTCGTCGTCAAGCCATTACACGACCCCAGTGGAGAATTTGCGATTGTCCTGTACGACCCTACAATAGATGATGTTGCGGAGGAACCCGCGCCTAAAGCACTGGAGGCTCCGACGGAAGATACGCCAGCATCGGATGACCCGATTGTCCATAAGAGTCTAGCAGACATTCTGGGGCTCAAAAAGGATGTAGATGAACGACCAAAGGTGCCTGTCGTCATTGATCCGAGGTTGTGCAAAGTGCTTCGACCACATCAAGTCGAGGGTGTGAAGGTATTCCCCCCACGCTAAGTCGACTCACAAAAGCAAGACTGACATTATACTTGTGCATAGTTCCTTTATCGATGTGTCACTGGACTTGTTGATAAAAACGCAAACGGATGCATCATGGCAGACGGCATGGGACTGGGTAAAACGGTGAGCTTGGTCAACCTGATTTCCTTCTCTTGGTTCTAACAAGAAGCAGCTTCAATGCATCGCACTGATGTGGACTTTATTGAAGCAATCCTCAGAGGCCGGAAAAACTACCATTCAGAAATGCGTGATTGCGTGTCCTTCGAGTTTGGTTGGCAATTGGGCCAACGAACTAAGTAAGCTTTTCCTGTTACCCCAAATTATTCTCCCTCAACTGACCATATTGTAGCAAAATGGCTTGGAAAAGATGCCACGACACCGTTTGCGATAGATGGCAAGGCCACGAAAGCCGAACTGATAACGCAGATTAAACAGTGGGCTATTGCATCAGGCCGTGGAATTGTCCGGCCTGTGCTTATTGTCTCCTATGAGACACTCCGTATGTATGCGGATACATTAAATGATACGCCGATTGGACTTCTTCTATGTGACGAAGGCCATCGACTTAAAAACAAGGAGAGCTTGACTTGGACGGCGCTTAATCAACTCAATGTTACTCGGCGAGTAATCCTTTCTGGAACGCCTATCCAGAATGATTTGTCTGAGTACTTCGCTCTTCTCCACTTCGCAAACCCGAATCTATTGGGATCTCAAAACGATTTCCGGAAGAGATTCGAACTGCCAATTCTTCGAGGACGAGATGCCGCAGCCACCGACGAGGAGAAGAAGCTTGGCGATGAACGATTGCTGGAACTATCTGGGATTGTTAACAAGTTCATTATTCGCCGAACCAATGAGCTTCTCTCAAAATACCTTCCCGTAAAATACGAACATGTCGTGTTCTGCAACATGTCACAATTCCAGCGTGGCCTATACAACCACTTCATCCAGAGCCCGGAGATTCGAAGCCTCCTCCGTGGAAAAGGAAGCCAACCGCTGAAAGCAATTGGTCTACTGAAAAAGCTTTGCAATCATCCAGATCTTCTCGATCTCGCAAACGACCTTCCGGGATGCGAGCATACCTTCCCGGAAGACTATGCACCCCCCGACTCCCGAGGTCGTGATCGAGAAATCAAGAGCTGGTACTCTGGCAAGATGATGGTGCTTGATCGAATGCTAGCTCGAATCAGACAAGACACCAACGACAAAATCGTTCTTATCAGCAATTACACTCAAACCCTCGATCTATTCGAAAAGCTCTGCCGAGCCCGAGGATACGGCAGTCTACGACTCGACGGAACCATGAACATCAAAAAGCGCACAAAGCTAGTTGACAAATTCAACGACCCTGACGGACCAGAATTCGTATTCCTGCTGAGTAGCAAAGCCGGTGGATGCGGACTGAACCTAATCGGCGCCAACCGACTAGTCCTCTTCGACCCAGACTGGAACCCAGCCGCCGACCAGCAAGCGCTGGCCCGTGTCTGGCGTGACGGACAGAAGAAGGACTGTTTCGTCTACCGATTCATCGCAACCGGCTCGATCGAAGAGAAAATCTTCCAGCGCCAGTCTCACAAACAATCTCTTTCCTCATGTGTCGTCGACTCCGCAGAAGACGTCGAGCGTCATTTCTCCCTCGACTCCCTCCGCGAACTCTTCCAGTTCAAACCGGATACTCGGAGTGATACTCACGACACGTTCAAATGCAAGCGCTGTCGACCTGACGGGACGCAGTATATGAAGGCTCCTGCGATGTTGTATGGTGACACTAGTTCTTGGAACCATTTTGTTAATACTGGCGAGAAGGGCCCGCTTAATCAGATTCAGGATTTACTGCTTCGTCAGGAGACGAGTGAGCAGGATGTATCGGCTATTTTCCAGTACATCAGTCATTGATGCATCTATTTGACTTGGGCTGGAATTTATGGGACTTGGGGTATTCTTTTTGGAGCGTATTCATTTGGCAAGCGATTATGACCATAGAACGAATTGAAGTTTTTGTTTCCTTTTTTTTAAAATCAAAGCTAAATCTCACTGAAGAACCAGCAACGATGAATACTACATTTAGGGACTACCAGGACATGAGATATGGCAAAATTGGCTAAGAGATACGATGTCATTGACACATATAGATACTTATTCACAAATAAAGGATGCTGGGTATCAACACCACGAAACAATGCTGCTAAGTAGAACATACACAAAAAAAAAACGGTCTATGGAAACATCAGATCCAGGTCCTACCGACCTACTTCTTCGACTTACGTCCTCCAATACCCAACCCACGACCGATGTTCGAAAGGCTTGACTTGTGTTTATGCGAGCCCATAACCCTAGGCGAACCGTTATCCCCACCCCGTCCGGCAGCGGTGCCAGCGCCAGGACCGGAGCCTCCTAGCGAGTTTCCAGCAGTTGGATGGTGAGAACCACTCGGGACACCGCGCGGAGTATCAGGGAGACCGGATCGGTCCTTGGGGCGATCTGCAGCTGCAGCGGAGAGAGCGGCTGCGAGGGAGGGGTTGAGAAGAGGACCTGTTTGGTCGAGAGAGTGGTTCCGGGGAGCCTGGGCGCGACGGGCACGCTCCTGGACGGCTTTGAATTTGTCGAGGAGGTCGACCCAGCGGATGGCGTTTTCGTCGCGGCTTTTCAGGCGACTGCCTGTGGAGCGGTCGAAGGGTGTGGGGCCTGTTTGGGCAGTGCTGGATAAGTTTAGCTCGGGGGTCTTGGGATGGGACTGCGCGAGACAGGGGCGATACCTGCGGGGTGCGCTGTGGAGGAAACCAATGTTGCTGACACTGTTCAAACGGTTCTTGAGGGCGGCGAAGGCGGAGCTCTGGGGGAGGAGCATGAGAACGCCGTAGAGACATTTGTAGAGGAAGGGATATTTTTCGGGTTCGAGAAGTTGGAGGCGAAGATCTGGTGGGATTAGCTTTGACTATCAGAGTCAGGGAGAGTAACATACATGTGAACACTGGTGACTCGAGTAGTTGCACCAGCTTGTCGATTTGAATTAACATATTGACTGTCATTTCCAATTCGGCACTGTACATGTTCATGTTAGTCGGGAATTATGGTTGACAGAACTGATACACTGACAAGATCTGAAGGAGATTGTATGCCTGCTCATAGGCTTGAGCAAGAAGACAGAGGGAAAACGTGGAAACAGCGTTGTGGCACCATGATCTAAAAAGCCCAACAAAGAACGCTTGGCCATCCTAAGGAAGTAATTAGTTAGCATCAAGCATACATGATAAGGTGGTCGGAAATAGTACTCTTGAATCGAGATTCCTCAAGCGCTTTCTCAGCTCCGAGAGCTCAGGCGCAGTAATAAGATTGTTGTTCAAATTCTGAACCATGATGCTAGCGAATTCAAGATCCTAGTGGTATGTTAGCAAGGAAGTCCACTTAATAACTTGGTAGAAAACCTACCTCTTCTTTCTCGAGACAGTCTGCTAAAGTTCGATAGATACGCTCCGGGCTCAAGTTCAAACAAAGCTGTCTGATAATCAAATTCCCGCGGACTTCGAGTAAATGTCTATCTGTGGAGAAAAGCTGCAACAGGTTCACCATGAAAGAGGTGAAATAGGTATCCTCGCTGTTCCTTGAAATCTGCGAAAGGAGTTGGAGATCCTTGATTACAACAATCTCCGAAGGGTCGGACAGTGTCTTCAGCAAAGCTGGGAAGGTACCGTCGTTGAAAGCGACGACCTTTCGCGGGGCTTTGCGGTGAAGCATGACGAGCCATACAAGGGCTGCAACTCGCGTTGCTTCATTTTCATTGAGAAATTGTAGAGTGAGGGAGTTGACAGCGGCAGCATAATCAAGGTCAACGGGAGGCATTGGCGTGGAAACAATGCTGCTGCGTGGTGTGGCCGCATTGGAATTATCCTGCGTTGTTTGTTTCTTTGTGTCAATGCTCGCTGTCTCCGAAGGTCTGATGCCGGGTGTCGATGACCTCCGCTCTAAGGTCTCTTTGCTGGCTGTAGTGGAAACAAGCTTTGACGATGGTGCCTGGGCTTCTTCGGTTGTGTCATCGGACAGAGAGTAAATGTACTGCATGAGGGACGTGTTGACTTGGTTTGCTGCTTTTCGAACCCCGTCTGAGCCACTGGACATGGCGGGAAGTACCTGAGTCAACAGTCGTGGAACGAATGGGAGGATATCTTCAGGGCTAATTTCGAAAAAGGAATCAATCCAACGAAGGGCTGTCAATTGCATTTCCTCCTCTAAAAAGCTGTTAGCCAGTGATAACCAGTAGCGCATAGAGCCACCTTACCGTATAAAGTGTTGACAAAGCCGACAAGGATATCAAGGATCTTGGGATGGTCGATTTGTACATCTTGTCCGGGGATCCAGTCTCCATCAGCTTGGGCAATTTCATCATCGAGGCTAGACTCTGATGCCGAGTCTACGACAGCGATGTCATCTTTGACATCACTAGCACCATCTGTCTGGGTATTTTGTTCGGTCACGCTGCTCATCGTCTCGCTGGCAACCGAGTGTCTGTTGCTCTGCTGGCCCTTTCGGCTATCCTCAATTCCTTTCTTCAGTCGCGTAATCCTCTTGATCTCCAACAAAAATCGATCAAGCAATCCCTGTGTCGCAATGTTCACGTCCTTATTGGGCCCGCCAAGGAACTTGATCAATCCCTCCAGGAAATCTGGCAAATAGCTAACGAGCTCCAGATCAGGAATTGTATCTAACAGGGTTAACCATGAGACCAGGAAATTGCGAGTGAACGGTTGGATCACATGAATTCGCTCCTTGAGTAATGGAATGAATCGCGCGAGAGAGAATGCCATGGGAAAGTCATTGTCCTCCTGAATCTCCGCCTCCGGTGTTTCCTTTTCATTGAAATGAAGAATCGAGACATATGAAGCCGCCGACTCAGCCACGATATCTTTTACCAGACGATCTAGAAGCTCCGCGCCATTCTTGACTGATAGCTCGGAATCGGAGGCAAGCTGTAGTGCATGTTAGCATGTGCAATACCCCGCCAAAACGTGCCGCTACCCCTTACCTTAGCCAGGGCGTCGAAAATTTCATTGAAGAACAGTAATATTTCTCCTTTAGCCACTTTGGCAATATTGTACATGCTCTCGCATGCGTAGTACCGTACTCGTGCATCTTGGTCGGAAAAGCATGCGAGAACAGGCGGCACGATTTCGCCTAAATACGGCGCAACTCCCTCCTACATCCCCAGCATCAGCTAAAGTGTCCTCCCGGCCTTTCGTTGTAGCTATCACTCACCGATCCCAAGGCAATCGAGGCAGCAGCCAGTCCGATTAAACCTCCGTTCCGGGCGTGGGGTTGGTGTACGGCGTATGCATAGTCATGACAGAGCTGTTCAACGATCTTTCGGATTTTATCCTGCTCTCCCTGGAAGACAGCATCCCGCACGATCCTCTCAAGTCTAATGTTATCAACGGCGATCAGCATGGGTCCTTTTAAATGTAGAGCTATGAGGCGGGGCTAGCATACTCTAAAGCTCCCTGCTTCCTCCTATCGTAGAGCTTGTCGTTCAATAGCCGCTGGATTGCTTGATCCATCGCTCAAAACAGCCTATGCTGCAATCTTTCACCAGCTATGCTTGGCTAGGCACTGCTCATGGTGGACGAAAGCTACCTCAGCACGATGGACGGGTGTCGCGAGACGGTCAGGAGGTCAAAAATCGAGGGTCGTAGGTTTAGCGATAGGTTATGCAAAGAAACAAGCTTAGATCACCCCAAAGCTGTTTGGAGTCAAAAAAAAACCCAAGGCAATCACAAGATGAAGAGATGCGTTGGCAGTGTGGAGATGGAGAGACCAGAGCGTGGTGTGACGTAAGTTCCGCGGAGTTTCAGCCTTGCTGCCTGAGGCCTGACAGCTCTATAATTTGGAGAACATACGATTTCCTTTTACTTTCAGTGGTCTTTCGACTCGATGCCTTTATATATACAATTATTGGCAATTAAAGGGGCTCATTCACAGCATCGCATGATTCGACACAAGTGAAAGAAAGCTTCAACAAAGAAGCCGAGACGAACCTTCGCAATCCACACCGACCTCAATCATTGAAAGCACTGCTCCATATCATCATTTTGACTAGCACATCTAAGAAAAGAGACAGAAAACAAGCGGCTAGCACTCAAGAATTTTGCAGCTACTTAGTTACACGTTGGACAATGATAAGCTAGTATATGAGGATAGAACTAACGGGCTCAGGGGAACTTTCAGTAGCTAGCATATAGCCATTGTTATATCCAAGAGAGGAAGAAATCGTGATGTGGAAGTTAAAAGGACAAGTCAAAAGGATTATTGCGCATTCAAATGCAAACAAGTCTAAAAGATAGCTACAACGTAGGTAGCTGACAGAGGCTGAACATACTTGCACCATCCTGATTTCCGAAACAAGTCTCATCCCGAGTATCGTGTACAACAAGGAAATGATAGGGAACCCTTTCCTTAGGCCCATGAAGAGCATGGATGACACCCATACCTACATAGTATAGACCAGCATACGCCGTGGCTTGGACAACTACATATACATAGCACTTAAGATAAGAAAAATACCATGGAGATAAACGATTTCAATCACAGATGTTTGAGTATAAGCATCAAAGTCCCAGTCACTGAAGACTACCAAACAAGCCGAAGATGAGAAGCACTAAAAGACCAAGCAGGCACATTGCAGGAGAAATCCAAAATCCTGAAGGAGAGGGAAAAAAGCAAGCAAATTCCAACTTTTCGAATATGGGTTCCCGCCGAGACATAGAAATCATGAGACTGAGACGCAAGAGGTAAACAATCCCAGAAAAAAGAACATGGTACATGGATGTACAAGAAGTCGTCAAGACCCCACGGAGGCATCACGCGAAGCTCTGAAACAAAAAGAAGAAAAAGTCTTCAGAAAAGAGTGAACAAGGGTGAAAATGCTAAAGACAAGATGAAGAAGTGAAAAGGGCACCGCTAATCCAAAAGAATCGGTCGGGCGTAACTGCAAACCAGTCGACAGTTAAAAAGGCTCATCGCTAGCGCGATGCCTGGCTGCCCCATCCTGATGGGCGCCAGCTGCCGGTGGATTGTTTGGAGACGGTGCTGGTGGGCGAGCTTGCGCCGTTGGAGTACACATACTCACCATCGACGTACTGGGCGCCTTGGGAAAATGTGCTGCGGTGCTTGCGGCGAGCATAGCGCTGTTCAAGTCGGTAGATCTCGAGTTCTGTTTCGATATTAGTTCTCTTTTCGGAGATGTTGCAGTGAAATGGCGCTTTGCCATTTTTTCCCCCTTCTTCTCGGGAGGGGCGGAACGTACTGGCTTGCAGTTTCTCGATAAGACCCATTGTGACGGTTGAAAGATACAGATGCAGATGGAGGTAGGCTTAAGATCGAGGGACGGTTGGCCCTGAAAGTTGGCGAGAATGCTGGTTATGGAAGGCAAGCGATGATCGTTCCCACATACAGTGACAGGTCAAAAGGCGGTTGAAGGTCCTGTACAGAACCCCGGGTCAGTCCTGATGAGCAAGGCTTCAAGGTTGACCCTCTTCCAAGGTAAGGTTCGCCGGGAGAGGTTGATATATGAATGCTTACTCGGGAAGGATTGAGTTTCAGTAAGCGCTGAGGCAGGCTGAAAAATATGCAGTGTCGCGTGGGAAGTGCAGGATACAATGGATCCTGGGTAAGGAATGTGGAAGAGTATCAATTGAAACGAAGGGTATGATTCTCCAGATAATAAGGAATGACTAGCAGATAGATAAAGAAGAAGAAGAGAAGCCTTGAAGAAAAGAAAGGGGGGTGTGGGGAGACGAACGGGCTAATTTAGCGCGAGGCAATATCCGGAGAGGCTAGAGCACATGGTCGTGTCTGTTTCATCTCGACATCGACTCTGGACGGCACATCGATTATTTGATTTCATGATCGTCACTCGCATCGGATCAGAGCAATAATCTCCAATTAATTGCTCAGGAGAAATTCCTATTCCTCCCATGTTGCTTTTTATAGAACCACGCGACATGGACGTTCTCGAACGGTCGAAGCCTCCCAATCGCACAGACCCCATCGACCCGCAAACGATATTAATCACGCATATGTACTAGGTTGCATTAGACAAGGATCAAGATCGAGATGCTGTCACATCCAATTGCCTTCTCCCCAGGCCATTCTCTTATCTTTTCCGGCACTCAAGTGGAGAGGCGATAGGATTCTTACTCCGTACTCCGTCCGGAGGACGCTCTCCAGGACTGCACGTTCCATGTCTGTGCTGTCCCGCTTCAACGGCATTGTGGGAACACAGCCGATTTGGCAAATGATGGCAATACTATGTCCATCAGTCGAAAGAATTGCAACGGACATTCAATTCAGGGGGTTTGTCTCATCAAACATCAACCCTCCCTTGAAAGCGATGAGAGTAGGTACTTCCAACTTCCAAGGTCGGTGGCAATGCCGGGAAGCACACTAAGCTTCACATTGATATCGTACGATCTTCCCTATCAACATAGATATATTCCCTCTATTGAGCTGTGTGTTATTGCAATATACTCTCAAAGTCAATATATACCTCCCGGTCCATGGGTGGTCAAGTGGTTCCAAGGTTGGGACTGGGGACTTTGGTAGCGACGAGGACACAATCGAACCTGGGAACCCGGAAAAACTATCGACCCGATCTACGATTCCACCTGCATGAGCAGCAGTACACTAAGCGCGCATAATACCCACATGATCACTACCTACATGTAGGCATGGAGCATGGATGAGAGGTGATTCTTATTGTGTTGAATAATTGCAGGTGGTAGCGAGCGATGGAGTGTGCTCGTGGTTGACGGCTTGAACTGTCTCGGGCATGCGGCCTATCTCCCAAGTCGGAAAAGAATTCCGTTCTATGGTGGAGAAGTGGAACATAGTTCGGTTTGCACAGTTTCGCCAGGGAAGCTCTGAATCCATGCGCCTCCATAAAGTGACCCAGGAATGTGGAATGTGGAATGTGGTATCGCAACGTCGCGAAATTGTCAAGTACAGTACGCTCGCAACCATCTGTATAGTGTTAATATCATCCAATGAGTCGACAACCTTCCCTTCTATAAACTCCATCACGATATACCCCCAGCCTTGGTCGTCAGAAGATAAATCATTGACGCGTGGAATCCGAGCTATGCGACTGTCCACAAGTCCATATGCTATCTCTTGATTCTCAAGTCCTTCTTTTGTCACATCGGGGCCACGTCTGACGACTATATGATTCGAGATTTGAATAAGGCTTTTGCCATACTAACAATCTTTTCAGACAATGGATCTAGCATAATATAGATCTCATGAGATACTCTACACGGCAAGTACGAGAAGCATATGAACAACAGAGCTGGAGTTCTTTAGATTCATCAACCAGGGTGTCAATCTCGCCGATATTAAATAGCTGCGCATGCGATGCCAACGGCTAGAAGTCATATGGAACAAGACGTTCTTCGGTTCTTCACGTAAGTGATTGAGATACAGCGAAGATAGACGCTAGTATTTTCCCATTTATGCTGTCACATGGCATCAAGATTGATCGTGTGGTGACGACCACAGTAAAGCTTCCGGGGGCTAAGATCTCCCACAGGTCTCATAGGAGAACGTCATTGAGGAGAGGCGAGGTCGTATCCTTCTTCAATCTGGTTGACCTTGTCAGTTTTGGTTTATAGCTCGATGCCACCGTCCAGAGCTACCTATGGACATGCGCTTTTTACAACGCGGGCATCTGAGATGGTCACAAATCTCCAGGTGCGCAATACGAGGCTCATCTCCCAAAAGCACGCATCGGCATTCTGGCACCGAAATTAGGGAAAGGAACTGCAAAGACAGGGTCTTGGCCGTACTATATTTGATTAGATTATCTAATGGAAGCTCGTCGGCACCAGATATAAACTCACTCGGCAGCGGCAGCGGTAGACGCATCCTAGACTGTCCGGGACCTGTTGACAGTGGAATGTTGTGGCATATTGAGTAGCTTCCAGATAGACCCTAGCGCTTCACACGTCAAGCAAATGATAAAAATAATCAAAATTTTGTGCATTGACGCAAACCGCTCTAACGCATCGCGCCAGAGCTCAATGTTGTGCCTATCCGGTCCAGACTAGGCTTAGGTAGACGTCGCATTCTATCATGCCTTTATCGGTATTCAAGTCGAATTTCGATTATTGCCAATTTTTATCTGCGGTATGGTCACATATCGACTATCGGGCGTAATAGCTCTAAACAATTGAGGTTGTTAGCCGCAAAATCCCGTCAATTCCCGTCTCTGTGACTCTCTCTTGCTTACCGTGCTCCTCCGCAGTCCATCTCGAGGGTGTCCAATTCAAGGCCATGAAAAAGCGTAGAAGCCCATGATTCGAATACAGGGGAATATTGATGCTCCCAAGGGAGACTGAGATGAGGTGTAAGAGCAGACCTGGGTGTAGTCTTAGCGGGATTCCCCTAAAGGTCACCCCAATACTCCTTCCCACATGTCAAGTAATGTGTTCGTTCCGAGTCCGTTCTTGGAACTTGAAGACAGTTTTGTTCGAAGAAGCCTGACCTAGACAAGTTTTTGCCTCGTTTCTAGAGGGATTCGTTGTCTAGATCCGCTCGCTTGCTTTCCCTTGGTGTATATCCTCTGCTCATAGTGTCATCGCGCTTTGTGAGCACCACACAGACCATTCACTGGCATCCAAGTAGAGGAATGTTGTTTTGATAGTGAGGGTAGATGGAAGTGAACGCAAGTCACTTCTCGTTGAAAATCACATTGCCCATCTCTTGGACATAATATGCAAGTCTCGGTGGATAAAATAGACACTATAGGTCTATTCAACGATCATGCGGGAGATCACCTCTCTAGTCCGCCAAATCATGTTAGCAAAGTATGATAGTTGCTGTATGAAAAAGAAAAGACTTACTCCTGAACTGATCCCTATATATAGCGCAGAGTTGTGATGACGGCGTTTATGGATCCAGAAGAGCAAATGGGTACTTATCATTAACTTCTCGTCAAGGATGGGGGTATTGCCGCTGAGAAGAGGTGCTGTAGGTCTTGCGCCCAAATCATGCAATAGGCGTAGGTCAAACTCCACATGAACCCCGTGTCTCCCAAGAAAGCAATCTGGCAAGAATCAAACAGTCCATTGCATTTAGCACATATGCTGTAAGCCTCTCTTGAGGGGCCTCATAGCGAATGAGCTAGTCAGTGATAGTCCAAATCTTAGCCACCAACCAAAATCCCAGTTGCGGGTCAGCACGGATCCAAAGGAGGTCGGTCAGGCTGCGAGTGGTTGAACTGAGCATGGGATAGCAGGGCATCGCTGATCAGGGTCACGTAGTCAACGTGTAGTTATAGAGGCAACCGAAAGGGAATATGGGGATATAGGGGAACGGCTCATGAGGCGGTGGTTCACAACGTCATGGCGGGAAAGACGCTGTTTCAATGCGAAGGCATGAGAAGTGGATTCAGAATGAACTCTAGAAGTGTGGAATGAGCGATCAAAATATAATAATCCATCATGAGTCCTCAGTGAGGAATGTGTGAAAGGAGGAAGACTGAAGGATGAGAGAAGACTGAAATTTTCAAATCCCTCAGTGTAGTATTTATATACGACAAATGAGACCAGTGCTCTATGTTGATAGGTATGACTCCGCACGTCTGATATTGATGTTGTCTTTCAACAATTTCTTTGCTAACTTCGCTTTCCATGATGGAAGATCGACTCCTCATAAGTATCAAATATAGCAGGGAGGGTGTAAAATAAAGATTCAATAAGCTTAGGATGTATCCTGCCCTTCTAATATACCTTATGAGGACAAAGAAAAGCCCGACAGACAGTACTGGTATATCAACACTGGTCGTTTTAATGTAACAGTCTCTTACATGCGAAGGAGTCTTGATATTTTAACTAGAACACCTATATTGACTCTAAAATCTGCAGTGGAACATGAAATTGAAAGCTCATATAGAGTATGCAGGGAAGCATTGGCTGTTCAACTCTGTGGGATATCGTGATACATTGACCACATGGCTTCTTAGACAAAATCATTATAACTGCCTGTGAGAGGCAACGGATAGTGACATCAAGATGCATGGTCAAGCTAGTGGATAAAGCTAAGAACTGAAGGCTATGGACTGAGCAAGAAGTCTAATACTGCCTCTAAACGAGTCGAGCATATCAGGTAGCTATCTCCAGATTCTGTTCAAGTCCATCATCTCCCAATAGCTCCATTCTGTTAACCTGAGTATCCTTCAACAACCACCTGACCTAGCGTTCTTTAGCTTTTCTTGAAGACCAAGACAATCAAAATATCAATTGAACTGAAGGTTGTACCCAATAAAGGTTCCTACTGTAAGTCGACCACTGTTATCTTGGCAGTTCCAGCAGAGTTGTTAATGGCTGCAGACAACCCCATGGCTTCCGGCTCATGAGAAGTACGAGATGTTATCGCCTAGCTTAGTCCTTAGCCTTTTCGAATCTTCAATCCAATCTTGTAATCAAACATACATTTCAATGCTCAGGGGTAGCCCCTTTGCCCATAGTATTTCCAGTCATCGTCACACTCGAGCACGGCACAACCTGGCTCCAACGTCGTAGAGTTGTCCCGATAATAGCCTCATCGGGGTCGCCATGGTATTCTATTCAATCAATCGCTGGTTGTTGTCGATATAGATACACCATTGGTGTCTCTGCCTTGTGTGGCTTGCTGTTGCGTGCAGCATCAAGGGAATTGATGTCTGGATCGACTGCATCAAGGATCATCTTTGGGCAGTGACATTCGAAGTCTTCCTTTGCGTATTCTCTGGGAACTTTTTCTTTGACGTTTTCGCATAATATCGTGGAAGGGTGTTGTGTTGATTTGGGAAACCCGTGATGAAGGAGCTGTTTGAACTGAAACCGCAACGCTTCCGTTCGATAGTAAGAGTTTGGAGTATGACTTTCCTTGTGGTGCCTTTTTGGAAAATAGGGCACAGGCAAAGAAGAGCCCATGTTGGGCGATATAAGCATCATATGATCACTCATCGTTCATATCGGGAATGCATTTTAGTGACCACTAAACTGGCAAGTTATTGGGGTATAATTGCTGTTGCAACTGATATAATCCTTTCTTCGGGTTGGGAAAGGATGGCGTTTTGATTTGTATATATAAAGAGAAGAAGGAAGAGTATATAACTCGATCTTGATTTATTGGCAAATCAGATCCTCATAAAGGTTGAGAAGGCTATATTATATTCCGAAGGAGGAGGAGGAGGAGGAGGAGGAGGAGGAACGAAATGAAAAACGAGGGCCTTGGTGGCCCACTACAAACAATAAATCAAATGAAAAAGACGAAACATGTAACAGAAACAGGAGTCTGGGCAATCAGAAAATATAAAGTAGCTCAACAATAAAGAATCAAACTGCCAAGCGCAGTCTGACCTTTACTGGGAGGCCCCAGGTACTTATATAGCTTGCATACTTATATAGCTTGCATCAGAAGCGAAGGTATAGATACGGCCCTACATGGCCTCAGTCTTCCTGTCTTCTTTTGAAGTAACTCACCCAATGGTTTCTGAACATCGAAACAATTTTACTCCAAACCTTCCCAAACATGAACGAAACATAACTACCACTACGACGCGAATGAAGAACCAGAATCAATGCAACGGTTATTTCAATTGTCTCCCTCGTAAAATCCACCATATCAATTCTCAAATCACTTCGCTGTGACCCCCTTCGGGCTGTTCTCGGCGAGAGAAGCCATTCTCAATCACGGGAACATACAGAATCCCCCAACGCGGGGGCAAGCGGGATCGATTACGAAATGGACAAAGCCCATTTGATAGTGAGATCACTCAAGTGACGAAAAGCCAGCTCACGTACCTCACACTCAAATGGAAAGAAGCCCACGGTCGTAATCGATCCCGCCAGCCCCCCGTCAGGGGATTTTGTATCTTGCCGCAGCAGACAATAGACGTTCACTCTGGCCAAGAAAGGCCCAAAACGACCATGAGCTTGATACACGGGCCAAGCTGGTGACCGGAGTCAAGGAAGACTGCTCCGATAATGGCCTCCATGGTTGTGGCCATAACTTTGACGCCAACCACAGTCTGAGACGGGTTGATGACAACGAATTGGTCGATGCCTAGCGAAAAGCCTTGGGCAGTAAGATATTTGTTGCCAGCCCTTTGGGATTTAACATCCGATATCATGCCTAGCGATAGCAACAGTCGTTAGTTCGTGAAGATGGCCAGGGTGGTCGGTATGCTTACCCTTAGGCTGTTTCTTGCCATAGCCGTGGATGACGAGAACGGTGTCGATAACGGCGTCGCCGATCAACGCGAGATTCTTATTTGCATCTCCATTCACGCCATTGGATGATTGTAGTGCCTCGCGGAGCAAATCACGCGAGGTGAAATGATATCCTATCTTATCCTCTAAGATTTGGACTCTATCATCGGACAGGAGGGAAGAGAAGATATGGCCCTTCATGGTATATTGAACGGAAAGAAAACTTGGTTTGAGTGATTTGGGAAGATGTAAAAGTGACTGGAGACAGAAAAACCCCGGGAGTGGGAGGGCGCTTATATACATGGAGGCTCGAGAAAGGTCACCTTTGGCTGCGGGGTCGATGATTACGAGCAGCGCTACGCACAACACTTAGCAGTCAAACCACCCGGGCGAACTTGACGCAAGAAACCCATCCTGTTGGTCAATCATATGCACGTATGTGGAACTAGCTGCGGCTGCTAGGTGTGGTAAGCAATGATTGGGGATTGCCTAGTGTTGGCTTGAGCCAAGGTGTTTGCGAAACACGCATCCTCCCATTCTCTCCTCTTTTACGGCAATGAACATCGAATTTGGTAAGAGTTCAGCTTAGGTGGCATGTACGAAATACCTGTCACCAGATCATTGGCTATATACTCAAGGCTCCAGCATATTCCAGCGTTTGCCCACCACAGCCCCCGACGTTACCTGCTGCGCATCGGTTTATCGTCTAACCCGTTGGGGGCACGGAGTACTATGGGCATGTGGCCATGAGAAGCACAAGAGAAAGTATCATGTATTTTGAGTCTTATGTATGGGATGATTCTCTACAGATTTTCAGATGTACGGAGTAGAATATAGCTTAAGCCTTAGGCTCAATCTCCTCCTCACTTTGATTCCGCTCCAAGTCAACATCCTGGGCCAGGGACATTTCCTGGGCTAGAATTGAGTTAGCAACTGTTGCAGTCTGCACCAACAAGATAACTTACTATTCCAAAGTTCGGCATAAATGCCATCCCGATCGAGCAGCTCGCGGTGCGAGCCCATTTCTGCTACGTGCCCTTCCTTCAGTACCAGGATCTGGTCACTGTCGCTGATCGTGCGGAGACGATGAGCCACAAACACACTGGTGCGGCTCTTCTCTTTGAGAATGCTGTTGATGTTCTGGAGCAGGGCTTGCTCTGTGTAGGTATCCAACGCGGATGTCTAAGGGGGTGATTAGTTTCATCTTTTTGACGGGTGAACGAGATCGTGAGAACTTACTGCCTCGTCAAAGAACAAAAGTTGGGGATCCTTCAGGATCAGTCGAGAGATTGCTAGGCGCTGTTTCTCGCCGCCGGAAATCATCATACCGCGCTCGCCAACAGCAGTGTCGTAGCCATCAGGCAGACCTTCGATGAGTTTGTGGATGTGGGCCCGCTCTGCAGCTCGGCGTACTTCTTCATCCGATGCATTGATCCGTCCGTAGCGGATGTTGTGAGCTATCGTGTCATTGAACAGCGGGGTATCCTGTGGCACCACTCCAATTGCTTTGCGGAGACTTTCAAGAGTCACATCACGGACATCCTGTCCGTCGATCAGAATGCGGCCGGACTGGACGTCATAGAAGCGGAAAAGCAGACGCAAGATCGTAGACTTGCCGCAGCCACTAGGCCCAACGATGGCAAACTTTTGTCCTGCTGGGATAGTGAAGGTGGCATTCTTGAGGATTGGTCGATCTGGGTGGTAGCCAAAAGTAACGTTCTCGAAGCGGATTTGGCCGCCCTGAGTCAGCTGCAGCGGCTTGGCGTTGGGTCGCTCTTGGATGGTGACGTTCACCTTTTGCAGGTTGAAAAGCGTCTCCATGTCCAGCAAAGACTGGCGCAGCTCACGGTAGACTGATCCCAGGAAGTTGAGCGGAACCGAGAGCTGGAAGACCAGTTGGTTGACCATGACAAGGTCACCAACAGTCAAGGCTCCATTCGCAACACCATTGCAAGCCATGTACATCATTGCGGCCAGCGCAGTGGAAAAGATCATGTTCTGGCCAGAGTTGAGGAATGCCAAAGATGTAGTCACCTTGATGGATGCATCTTCATATTTCTTCAAGGCCTTATCATATCGCGCTACTTCGAACTTCTCGTTATTGAAGTACTTGACAGCCTCATAGTTGATGAGCGAGTCCACGGCAACAGTGGCTCCGCGGTTATCAGCTGCATTGGCCTGTCTCCGGAACTTTGTTCGCCACGCAGTTGTAGTGATGGTGAACGCGGTATATGCGATCATTGTGGTCGTTGTAATAGCAGCAAATTGGAGGCCATATTGGTAAGTCTAAGGCATGTTAGTAGAGTATGAAAAGAAAGATATCATTCGTCAAGTCATACCAGAATACCGCAAACAAGCGAGATTTCCAGTGCTGTTGGGACTACATGGAAAACCATGGAAGTAAGCAAGAAGCTAATGCCTTTAGTACCTCGATCAATTGCGCGGGTCAGGCCTCCAGTCTGCCTGGAGAGGTGGAAGTTGAGATCCAGTCGCAGCAGATGTTCGAAAACGTTCGATGCCACCTTGCGAATGGCCTTCTGTGCAACGCTAGCGAAGACTGCATTGCGAAGCTCTTGGAACAATGTAGCACCAATTCGAGTCACACCGTCTATAACAAATTAGCGTTTGACTTTGGGTTTCCGAAACTGCTATCCCTACAAGCGATGATCATTGATCCGGCCACAGTGTAGGCGGTTCCGCCGAGGGTAGCAAAATCTACATTCATTGAATCGACAATGTTCTTGAAGTAGAAAGGCACCTCCACATTGAGAATCTGTATGTATTTATATTAGCAGGATGAGACTAAAGATTTGATTCCAGTTGATGCCAACCTTTGCTCCAATAAGTAGTGAAAGCGCTGAGCTGACACGAATCTTCGTGCCCCAATCATTCTACCAGCTATAGTTAATACCCAGTTACTCTGTAGCAACAGCACTCAAGGATTACCTTAGGCCACAAATACTTGGCCATCTCCTTCATGATAGCCCAGTCTGCTTTTCTTTGCTCCTTATTTGCGGCCATCGGCTCGCTCAACAAGTCTTTCTTTGGCGGGGTCTTCACATTGCCGCTATCTTCCGGTTTTTGGATGATATTGGCATTTGCTAATTGTGCAGGAGCAGGATTTGGTGTAGGACCAGCTTTGACAGCTTCATGATCTTTGTTACCTGCAGATTGACTCCACAATTGACTGTTATTCGACGTGAAGGCACGTAGTTGTGTGCCATTGAGCCGTGTGCTTCGTGACCTACCGGCGAAGCTCGGGTAGGCGAATTGCGCTGTGCGCCAGCACGGCGATCGCGCAGCTCTGAGCAGCATGGCTGCTTGAAAAAGATATTTCTGAGCTCCGAAGGTAATTTAAGTCACCCTAAAGGACTTCAAGGGCGCATAGTGGGTGCGCGTCGGGAAGGTTGCCGTGTAGTAGCTGTCTCCGATAGCTCGTGGGGGGAAAATCGCCGGCTTCGGAGGAAAACCCGTCGCCCTGTATGTAGAGTCCAAGATGGTCGCAAATAGTTAGAGAAGCATAAATGTAAAATAAGAATAAGACATTCAGGAACTTTTTATTGCTAAACCCCCAATGTCGCAATTCAGAGGGGCTGTTGTGTACTTCGTAGACATCGCGCTCTCGGGCCCACGATTTCCCGATTTCCCTTTCAAGGTTTCGTCACAACTGACGTAAATTCTCCCTTCGGGTCTTTGCTCTTTTTTCATACACCATGCGCCCCCTCCAGCGAGGTGTTCGGACTCTGTCCTGGACTCGAGTTGTCCGTCGGGTCCATCGGCAAACGCGATGCGTTCAGATTCGCGCCGCACCCTCGGGAGTGTCTTCCGTCAACGGCGACAGTCTGCCTCTGGCCGGCACGCCCACTTCTGTTGAATCACGAGGTAATTGAGTCTCCTTTGTGGCAATGAACATTTATATGAGAACGGAAATTGACGCCGAGGGTGATAGATGCGCGATTCGATGTCGTCGGCGCTCCATACTCGCTTCTTTCGGTTTCGCTTTCGGCCTCGCAAAAACTATACACACGCCGGGGAACGTTGGTTGGATTAAGCGGCAAGCCAGATAATGTATGCGATCTTACAACAATGTTGCTGCCAAGGGATGGCCATGTTAACGGATAGTCTGTGCAGGTGGTTTCCACATTGAGCGTTCTAGAACCCTTCCGGAGGGCTATCGTCGGAGTGCCTTTCCTTTATCAGAAGGTAAGATGCGCAATGCGGATGATGTTTGGAGTCTCAAACACGGTTGTTGACAATTCTCTAGATCTCCTCCGCCAGCCCTATCACAGCTCTCGTCTCCGTTCGATCGCCCAACACCTCTTTCGCCGTCGTGAACGTCGATGGCTCTGTGGACTGGATGGTTGCCCAAAGACGGGCTTTGCTTGCATGGACGGGCCGGTCTCTGAACATCAAGCCGACTATCAATGCCAACCTGGTTAGTGAACCTATGACCGCTTGACCGAAAGACCCAAGCTAATCTGCGCAGAGCTTGTCTCACTGGGGTAGCTCCGAAGTGACTGGCAGAGGTTTAATAGCGTTGGTTGGAAACGGACAGCTCTATTCAATTGAGCTGAAGGAGGGTGAACAGTACATCGCGCACCCCAGGTATGAATCTCGACTGCAGTACCATGTCCTACATCGCTAATTCTCGACAGCAACGTGGTCGCCTACACCATGTCCTCCAATCCTCCTCGCCCTTACCGTTTCAAATCCACTACCCTCAACTTCCAGGTCCCGGGCTTGAAGACGCTACCAAGGCTACTACAGAACGCCAAGTTCGTTCAGGATGTTTCAGAACACAAGGCATACAAAACCACTATGCGATGGTTCCACAAGCTGCGCACTTGGTCTCGAATGACCATCTGGGGAGATAGAGTATGACATCTCCATCCCTAATCTACGTGATCGACCAGCTAACTCGCTCACCCAGCTCTTCCTGCAATTCGACGGCCCCACAACCATCCTCGTGCAATCTCGCGGTCCTCGCATCAACGATATTTTGTCTACACAGGATGCCAATGAGATTGCTAGTATTCCCAGAGGCTTTACCCCGCCCGCTCCTCAAGCCATCGAAGACAAAAAGCCCGAGGAAAAGACCGAGGCCGAGCGGGCCGTCAGCAACATCCCCGGTCTGACACGCTCTGTCGAGGAACTGGAGCAGGAAACTCAGGGAATACGCCAGAGTGTTGCGAAGGTCCGCAAAGATGGAAAGGTCGAGATCGATGAAGTTGCTCGCACGAACTAAATAGAAAGACTCGGTTCAAAAGGGTCGGCTTGGAGAAGCACTTCTTCGCAATAGATTCTGTGTGGACTAGAGCGGTCTCCATTGGGATGATTATTACGTTGCATCCTGTACAATATAGGGCATTTCTTTTATTTTGGCAATTGTCGCTTGTCGAATCTCTTTTATTTCTTTGCTTCGGATCTCTAAAATTCTCTTTGCTCTTTCTCTACTGTTTTCCCCATTCAAGTAAAAAGAAAAGACATACAAAAACAGCTCACGGTAGGAGGAAGTAAAACAGGGATATCAGGCGACATTAACATTCCATCGGATGAAGAGAGGGCTATAGAGGGTTATGGGAGACCCTTGAATGTTCAGGCATCAGCAAAGCCCGGGAAATGAGCTAAATAGTCACCACCCCAGATCCACGCCTGCTGCTGGGCAAATCTGTCAGTGGTGTCGCAGAGTTCAGGGAAAAGCTGTCTCTCCAGATCATCAACTACAGCACCGGTTTCCGCAGGCATCCGACCAGATATCGCCATGTCAAAATCCGAAAGAGTCTGTGAGATGGTAGGATCTTCCCTGAAGTCAAAGTTGGCGAAGTCATTCACTGACCCATCAACTCGTTCTGACATTCCGGTCCCTACAGAGGGAGATCCATAACTCTGCCCTTCAGTTGCGGTAGATACCATAGTTGCTTGAGTGTCGGTCTGTGCAAGCATTTGTTTCAACTCTTTTTCCATAACCAACCTCGTTAGCCGTTCAAGAATCCCCAGTCCTTGCGCAGCTAGTTGTGAATTCGGGGCCAAAGTCCTCTGCATGCCCAGCAGTCGGTGCAATCCCATTTTGGATTTGTGGGATTCCAACGTCAATGGTTCGATACTGGTCAATATGCAAAGTGTGACACCAGCAGTGAAGGTGTGGATGCCGATGAAAGCAGCTGCGTATGTATCTGCTGCCAACGAGAAGATCGACGCGGATCCAATCTCTGATATCTTGATAGCAGCATCCCGACAATGATATAGGGTTTGATATAAAGGGCCGGTGGAGTGGGTGGGTGTCATGCCGACTTTAGGGATTTGTTTGTATTGCAAGAGAGGACGATAAACCAGGAGCTTAGCATTTTCGTATGCAATTCCGAGGGCAAGGGCTTGGAGTTGATAGATGTAGTTAACGAACTTCGGACCGGACGCGCCGATATCTTGGTCCGTCTCTTCTACGGAAGTGTAATTGATTGATGCAGTCTCGGGGTTGTTGAGATGAAGTTGTGGCGGGATTTCTTGTTTCCATTTTAGCAACTTGGTCTCCAGGAAGGCTATCACATGGGCCAAATGGTGTCTTGTCGAGTTACAGTTTGCAAAATCGCATGGCTGACCTCGTCCTTGTGGCCCACTGAGATTAGCCCCATATATTTCTGTCAGGATGAGTTTGGTGAGAATTGATAGCTTGGACATCAAGTACTTGTAGGAAAGAAGGCTGACTTGCTCCTCTCTCATTGCATTGGACGAAGGAAGTGATTGTCCGATGGGCATAGGATCCGGCAAATCGATATCGCAATCAATATCTCTGATGGCTTGAGGAAATCCGTAGGACATTGAGCAAAATGCCTCGATTTCATAGATTGCCCACCAACAACGTTTCCTTGTTTCGTATTGGCGGCGCATATCTAATGACATGGATGCAAGACGTGCGGGGGCAATATCTATCCGACGATGCAGATTCAAGGCTTGTGCAATGCGTAGTGCGCATCCACAAATCGGCCATGCTAGTCCGGGGTCCCCATGATATAGATAATAGGTACCAAGAATAATGCAAGTTTGTGCCGCTTCTAAGGATCCCAAAGCAACGATATCCATCATCTTAGCCCGGACTAAAGCGAGCATGGTATCTTTCAGAATCGTTGCATCAACGTTATGCGCCATCAACAGCCGCCGTCTATGAGGCCCTGCGTACTGTAGTCCGATTACCATGGCCATGAACAATGTGCTAATGAAGTCGAGACCAAAATTGATTTCGGTGGGTCTTTCTGCAAGATTTTGGTACAATTGTTGCCATTTTGCACGAAAATCCTCCTGGCGGAAGACAAGTATGAACCAGTGGGCTCGGTCAAAGTAAGTATCCACAAGCAGAGATGCCACTTCATATGGAGGTAAAGTCGAGATAAAATCCACTAAGGGGGACTGAGGGCCTAGTGTGTGTCGATATCGTGTGGGTATGGCATCCGCCTGGTCTATGTTCGTTTTCCCTCCGGGAAGAGCAGTCGTCATTGATGTATCGGGTGTGTTGGAGTTATGTATTTGGAAGGCCTAAGCTAAGTTAGTCATACCTCCATGGAGCAGGAAATCAGGCATAAAACTCACTCCAGTCACAAGAGACATGGTCGAGCTCGAGTTCCATTGCTGCTCCTGAGGCGGCTCTGTGTGAGCCGGTGGCATGTTGTTGGATTTGACAGAGCCCATATCACCACTGTTCATGTCCCCTAGTTCTGTCAAGGGGCTTTCTACTCTATCATTGCTCCTTGAGGAAAATCGTCTTTTCATAGGGGTCACACTCGGACTTGACTGTTGGATGTGAACGTTCCTAGTACGGTCATGATTCGTTGATGAGATATCGGTATTGATCTCATTTTCACCCAGTATTTGATCTTGGTCATTCTGCACACTAGCAGCCTGGCGGGTGTCATAGTCTTTAATTATCTTGTTATACCATCCTATGGGAATTAGTCGATCAAATATGACATTCGTGAGATGCTCGGGCACTTCTTACTTGCAGCGCGAGCGCGTGTGTGAAGTGTCTGTGCTCCACCACGTTGTCCAGCATCATCCAAAGCATGATAAATGGCTTCATGGCTCTTTTTAATATGTTTGCGTAAGTTATTTCTGCTGGAAAATATGTCCTGAGAATCATGTCAGTCGTTGTCAAGTAGTCATGTTTTCTAAAACTCTGCTAACAACTTACATCTGCTGGACAGCCAGCAACGCGGCAGAAACGTTCACCAGCATAAAGGTGATATGCTCCCAGTTCCTACATACATTTCATCTTAGTATGTGGGAAATCGCCACTCTTCAAAACTCGTCGTTTGCAATTTATCTCACATCAGCTGTCAGATGCTCTATCTGTAGTTCGGTGGGATTGCTTTCCAGATAGCGCTTGTAAGACGGTAGATCTTCGAGTTTTCGCATTCTTGTAGGTGGATGCAAGAACCAACAGAACTGAGAGTAACCCTTGAGACCTTGAGGCAAGAACTAGTTAATAAGTCAAGGTCAGGTGATTGATGTCTTGGCAGATATCTGTGCAGTTGTCTCGGCGTTGCAAGGAGAGACGAAAGAAGAAAAGAATCATGTAGTTTCAGCAAATTACGGCTTTTACAACTTACGACTTTGGGGCCTGAAAACGTTGGCATCGTAACAAGCTGGCTCTGACGTAGATCACGTTTCGGCTATCCTATACCTAGGTAGATCTATAGAACAATACAACATCAAATCGTTATCAACGCAGCTCAATATCCACCAGTTTCACCCTCCTCTTTCATGGGCTGAAACCTGACGGGCACTTGATCCATGCCAATTCCCCGTTTCTTTGCATCTTCGATGATCGCAATAGTAGCAGTAGCCCCAATGCGAGTCACACCAAGACTCATAACATGAAGCAGATCATCCAGAGTCCTCACGCCTCCCGCAGCCTTGATCTGTACATCAGGCCCAGAATGCTGACGCATCAGCTTCAGGTGCTTCACAGTCGCACCCTTGTAGTTGTAAGAGCCATCGGCCTGCTTGACGAAGCCATACCCAGTCGAAGTCTTGACAAAAGCAACACTCAACTGGGTGCAGATCTTACAAAGTTGCACAATATGCTCCGGGTGTAAATAGTCGTTTTCGAAGATAACTTTGAGGGTAGCGCCATGCTGTACAACTACAGTATTGATCTGCTCGATTTCCTGGGAAACATATTGCCAGTCACCACCTAGCACTTTGCCGATGTTGATAACCATGTCGATCTCATGGCTACCGGCCTGGGCTGCAGCCGTGGCTTCTTGCACTTTAATCTCCGTGGTGCTGTTTCCGTGCGGGAAGCCGATGACCGCGCAGATCTTGACGTCTGTGCCTTGGAGTTCTTGTTTGGCCAGGGGAATTGTGTAGGGTTTCACACAGGCTGTGGCGACGTTGTATTTCTTGGCGATTTGGAGGCCAGCGATGATATCCTCGTCTGTCATTGTTGGGTGGAGGAGGGAGTGGTCGATCATTTTCGCCAGTTGGGGAAGGCTGACAGTGAGAGTGGATTGGGCCATCGTGGTGGTGTCAATTGATCTTTATTAAAAAGAAGACTTGTCAATTTTAGAACATTTATTCCAAGTGAGCTGGGATTTGTGGGAGATTTATATGGCAAGTGTTCGCTCTATGGATGGGGAGACAAACTGGTGGTGGACTAGTTCGTGACTAGTTGTGGCAATTGGCCCACTTTCCCCAAGGTTGTTGCCACGACGGAGTACATAGTAGTTCTCAACCGGAAATGATGTGTTTGGACCAGCAGAAAGCTTAGCTCTGAGCCGATGTAGGGCTGAGGAGGCTGAAATGGGTATCCAGCTCTTAACTGCTAAACCCCAAGGTTGCTTTATGAAATATATTATATGGCGATTGACTCAAGATCCAAGTCTGCTTGAACACACAGATGTAGTTTGAAAATACCCCGATTCGAATGTTTCATCGATTTCTCTCCTAGATACCAGAAAAGCCCCAGAGGCATAATCATTAAGGACCTAGGTACTATGCCCGGGTGGCTACATACATTACTAGTGTTTCTAATTTCCGGGTTATAGGCGCAAACTCCGAATATGATTTCCAATCGTTCCAGGGGGTTACCTACCAGGTATCTCCTATCTCATGAGCACCCGACAGTCGATCTACGTGTATCTGCTTGAATGCATGACAGAAATGGTTAGAACCCAGCGATTACAAACCAAAAGCCCCCTCGGACATGTTCCCAGAACAGACCCTGAGGTCTTCCCCGGCTTACCAAAAGGGTAAGTCCGACTCGGTCCTCGGGTCGGCGTTCATGTCTCGAGTCAGGGTTGGCCTAGTTCTCGTACACTCTTCAGGAGACTTATCAGATGTCGAAGACCGCCCATGATCTGGACCAACCACAGGAACGCGATGTATCGACCATGCTTGGTCTGGCCTAGGGCGCGTATCAAAAATGAGAGCGTACCGAAACAAGGATTAATAACTCGGGTTTAGGCACTCCGTACGGAGTACAAAGGCCGAGGCTATGATCCGATTCTCTATTTTTTTTTATTTATCATGGATCTTGATCTGCACTGGCTTAAATAGGGCTTTCCCTGACTGTACAGAGTCGCAAACGAAAGATAAAAATCAAGGGACGCGATAATCCGGGCATTTGAATCCGCGACGGTTCTATTTGATAAACAGCTAAAGGCTGCACGGGATATCAAAACGGCCGCAGGGTAATCTTAAGGTGAGTCAGAGTTTTGAATTGAGCTTGCTTAACGGCAATCTTGTTTCTTAATTTTACATCGAGGGACTTTACCACCCATCTTGGGAGGTATAAATCCGCATCAAGATTCTGACATTTGATAGATTGCAATCCAGCTCAATACTCAGCAAATATCCTTGGCCAACAAGCCAAAATGACGACGAACCAGAATGAGAAAGTTCCCTCTATCGACAGTGCTACCACCCGTATACAACAATCCAACGTTTCAACTCCCACGTTGAGCCTCCAGGGCAACGGTGATCCGGAAAAGGGACTCGCAGCACTACCACAGAACGATGCAGCACATTCACCTCCCGAGAAGTCAATTGATGCTGCTCCAGCACCTGGAACACCGGCCATCGGTCCGCCACCTGACGGGGGTATGCATGCATGGCTAGCTGTACTAGGAGGTTTCTGCGGTCTGTTCGTCAGCTTCGGCTGGATCAATTGTAAGTTCCGCCTATTTTGCCTATAACGAACTCGAGACTGACACTATCCAGGCATCGGAGTGTTCCAGGCATACTACGAGACTCACCAACTACGCGAGTTCTCCACTAGCACAATCACATGGGTCACATCTCTAGAGACCTTTATGATCTTTTTCTGCGTGCGTATCCCATTTATTTCACTATATCTGCAAGACCTTGATTAACATTCATTCTAGGGTCCCATATTCGGAACTCTGTTCGACAGCTATGGTCCGCGCTGGGTCTTACTTTTCGGCACAGTCCTCCACGTCTTCGGGCTGATGATGGCATCCCTTTCAACAGAGTACTACCAGTTCCTCCTCGCTCAGGGAATTTGCAGCCCCTTTGGCGCAAGCGCAATCTTCAGCGCTTCTATCAACTCTGCCAGCACCTGGTTCGCTAAGCGTCGCGCCTTCGCTCTCGGCATAGTAGCCTCGGGATCAAGTCTGGGCGGAGTCATTTTCCCCATCATGGTCACTCGACTGATTCCCCAAGTCGGTTTTGCCTGGGCAATGAGGATTTGCGCATTCCTTATCTTGTTCATGTTGGGTATTGCCAACCTCACGCTGAAGTCAAGATTGCCGCATCGCCCGAAGCCATTTGATGCCCTAGCCTTCGTGAGACCATTGGCGGAGCTCAAGTTCGGACTCACCCTTGTGGCGGCGTTTTTCTTCTTCTGGGGGATGTTCTTGCCTTTCACGTTTGTTATCACCCAGGCGGAAACGTATGGCATGTCTGCCGGTCTAGCGGGTTATCTGATCCCAATCCTGAATGCGACTAGGTAAGATATTGTCTTTTCTGATTAGGGCGAAGTGTTGATAAGCTAACGATATCTCAATAGTATCTTCGGTCGTACGCTCCCCGGTTATCTCGCCGACAAATTCGGCCGCTACAATGTGATGATCATAACAAGTTTCTTCTCCGCCATCCTCGTCCTAACCCTCTGGCTACCGTCCAAGGGCAATGCCCCGGTAATTGTCTTCTGTGCTCTATACGGCTTTGGCTCTGGTGCATTTGTCTCACTTGCACCGGCTCTTCTAGCCCAGATCTCTGATATTCGCCAACTGGGCGTGCGCAACGGCACTTTCTTCTCTGTCATCTCGTTTGCGGCCTTGACTGGTACTCCTATTGGTGGTGCTTTGGTCTCAGATGGTCCGCATGCCGATTTTACTCGGCTTCAGATCTTCTGCGGCGTTGTCATGTTGGTTGGTTCCTGTCTGTTTGTCACCGCGAGAGGAGCTGTTGGTGGATTCAAGTTGGGCAAGGTATAAAAAGTTGGGCTTAGACGGTACTATATGCATATTACAGGATTATAATATCCTAGTCCTCGGAGATACACCGTTTAGAACAATAATTAGCTAGGTGATATACAATCCTTGTTCCTAGCAATGCTATGACCCTCAAAACAATCTGGGGGCCTAAAGATAGCGGCTCAGGAAATAGCCCCGTGGGAGGTAAATAAGGCCCTCCTTCATCCAACTCATTGTCCACATCTGAGCTACAAGCTTTTTTCTCTTTTTTCTTTTGCTTCTTCTTCGCAACTATCCTAAATTCTTTTGCAATGGCTTCGTACTTCTCCGGATTATATGACTTGATTCAGGGCTTAAGAGGAACGAATACAACCTTCCTCACAGAACAACACGTCCCCGGCACCGATCTAACAGGCAAATGGGTCATCATATCTGGCTCAAATAACGGCATTGGAGTTGAGGCAGCAAAGTCCTTCGCAGCATGGGGAGCGAACCTAATCCTCGCCTGTCGCGAGCCACCAGCATGGGAGCTGCATCCTACAGCGGCACTCAAAGAATGCAAAGACATCGCCTCAGCGCGCGGCCATTCATCGACCATCGAATGGTGGAGGATCGACATGGCAGATTTGAGCAGCGTCGAGGCATTCTGTCAACGATGGTTAGAATGCGACCGTCCTTTAGACATCCTCTGTAACAATCCCGGGCTCGCATCGTCTTCGAAAGAAACTCGCAAAACGAAGGATGGATTCCGCTTGGTCCACCAGGTAGGTTGATTGTTCCTCATGAGATTATCTAGATAGACTAGATTAGATCAGACGAAATACTGACAGAAGAAACCCCCCAGGTTAATTTCTTATCCCATGTGCTGCTGACGCTCCGACTCCTCCCATCGCTAGCTCGCAGCGCCGAGCCCCGAGTTGTCTGCACAACCTCCTGCATGCACCACATGGGAACCCTAGACCTCGAGCACATGAACGAGGAATCTCAGAATGCGCGGTACGATTACAGAGACAACAAGCTCTACTTCCAGATGTGGATTGCAGAGCTGCAATCAAGACTCCTCAAGTACCCCGAATACCTCCACATCACGATCAACGGCGTTAACCCCGGATTTGTGGATTCGGGTATTTGGGAAGGTCTGGAGAAAGCGATCGGACCCTCGAGCTGGCTCAACTTGCTGTTGCGTTGGTTTGCCATCACGTCCCAACAGGGTAGTTTGGCTATTACTCATGCTGCCACTGCTCCGGAACTTGGACCAAACCCCGAGAAACAGGGTGTTGGGGCGGTTAGTGGGCGCGGTGGAGGGAAATATATCAATCGGATTTGGGAGGCGGATCCGAAGTCTTGTTGTGGTGACCTGAATGCTAGAGCGAGGTTGTGGACTAAATTGGATGAGGAGCTACATTTGCAGGATAGGGGTCTTTTGACGGTTCTGGGTCTTTGATGCAATAGACCTTGCGCTATCGAGCAAATCAACCTGGGATTCATAGGAGCACTTGACAAAGAACTTGGAACAGATACCAAACCACACTACCTACCCTTCTTAGCTCACATATCTCTCTTACACAGCGGATGCGTTGAATGATCTATGAATTATCCTGCGTTGTAGCATGCCAGCGTTGGCGCCCTTTTTCGGTATCACATCGTCCTCGACCAGATCAATGCTCAAGGTCCATTCTGTATTCCGTACTGCACTGGCACATCCCATGGAACAACAGCCTTGGAACAATTTGGGCCAAATATGACATGTCAACCAGAGATATCTCAGCTCTAGATGGACGCCAGCCATGTGATAGTTTCGTTCAAAGAGATAGATACCCCTGACTATCCTTCTTGGCCAAGTAAAATAAGCTTAAGCTTGATAAAAGCTTGATCTATTCCACCGAAGTTCCCTGCACGTCAATCAAATCAGCAACATTGAGTAAATGTGCATACTCAAATGAACCCCGACGATATGGCCTGGGAACAAGCCGAGGAGAAGGATGTCAAGGGGGTCGCTGTCATGCTGTTTCTCACGGACCAGACTGCAGACTGTAATACCGCTTCCTGTTATCCTTTACTCGGGTACGAAGAAAGAGTGGCCCCTCGAACTGAGCCCATACATAATAATGGAAGCCTTCGTTACCTCGTATAGGATCTCTGGGCCAGAACAGCGATTTTATCTGGGAAGTCTCACGTTGATCTTTATCAATGGACATGAATGAGCTTGTGCGACTAGGAGGCTTACCGCGCTCGAAACTTCAACCCAACACGACATTCAGCACATCTTCATCATATATCGAGGCCCTTTCGGACCTTAATATTTAGCATTTAATTCACCAAAGAAACGACTCTAGATGGAAGAGTGTGAGAATGCAGCTGGGGTTGGGGAAGAACAGAGACTCTCTGGTCGAATGCGCGAGAGTTGGGAGAGTGGGGATTTCTGGATCATGTATGCAGTGGCGCATAGTTTGGCGTTTGATGCGATCTGCTGGCAGAAGATTGATCCTCGATTCTATGGATCGACCACTGAGAATACTGAGGGGTTGTGGTAGGAGAGACTCAGCCTCTTGGATGTGAAAGAAAAGGATGAGATGGAGCTACTAGTAGCTTGCAAACTGAAGGAGAAGGCTACTAGGGTTCTGGCTTGGGGCCCGGATGAATATACGATGGCTTTTCGCCAACAATTGGACGAAGAAAGAGGAAAAGATGAAGAAAAAGGCTTTAGCTAGACGATTTGAGCAAATAGACATCAGGTATCTCAATAGTAGGGGAATAATAAAGAAAAGGAAAACAAAGTCGTTGATTCACGATGCTTGTAACGAAGGAATGACAATGATGAGAGAGTATAATGAAGCATAGTTCAAAGAATAGGCTGGGATACTATCAAAAACATAAACATGAGAACGCCGTGGCACCGTCGCTGAAGGATGATGCATGATGCATAAAAAAGAGAAGATAGAAAACAATTATGCCCCAATAGATGCCGTTCCAAAATGCAGCAATTAAGCCAATACTCCTTGCCTCATGTTCTCGACTGTCTTGACCCCAACGCCTTTCAACTGGCTCAACTGTGCCAGGCTATTGACCTGGAAGTGTGGCTGGTCTGAGAGATTTTCACTGTCGCTTGCATTTATTGATGTCTGGTCCATCTCGCAAAGGCAATCAACGAGTGCCTCTGCCTTCTTGGCACCCACTCCCTTAAGCAACTTGATCTGGCTGACATCACGCGAGTTAATGATTGATAGCAGATGCATAGTTCTGGGGGAGAGGGAAGGATCCTCGCTGTCAAGGAGTTCGGGGTCTTCTTCGATCTGGGCAAGCTTAGCAGCAGCACGCTTCTTGTGTTGTGGGCGGGAGATCTCCTCGTCGCTTGAGAAGCCGTCATGGGTTTGATCCATGTAATCGTCATAACGATTCCCTGATTGGCGTTTGCCAAGTGTTTGCGATGAGTCCTTCTTGAGTGAAAGTATGCTACCCAACCTCCCTTGGGTGGAGAAGGAGCGTTCTGCTCCCATGCCTTTGCATGGACGCGCTCCTTCAAAGTAGCAATCTTGCCTGCCAGCTTCTGATTGTGAGGGAAGTGGGGAGCTGCCAGTTGGTACATTCTCAGTGCCGAACTGTCTTCGCCGCGTGCTTGATGCTGTTTAGCCATGAGTAGGTATGACAGGCCCTCAGCCCGCGCATCTTCTGTACCATCAATGCGCTGTTCCAACTGCTCTAATCGCTTTTGAAGCTGCTCGTTGAGCTCACGAACCTGCGTTTGCCGCGATTGTTCGCTCACGGCACGCACAGCTAAAATTGCCTCAACTTTCTTCTCAACCATCTCCTCGATTCTAGCTGCTGAAAAGTCGTCGTAGCACGGAGTGGGCTGTGCAGCCAGTGGCTGGCGAGTGGGCTTCATTGATGGAAGACCGGAGGGAGGGTTGGAAATTGAGGTACGTTTCGGTGCCTCTAGTTTGCGAACCTGGCTGATAAGCTTGGGTTGAGGCTTGTCTGAGTATACGCTGAATGCCTTCACTGGCTTTCCATCGTCCTTTTCCGCGGCATCCTTTACAGGCGCCGGCATATTCACGTTCACGGAAGCTGTTAGTGCGCGTAATGGCTGTCGTGTGCCTGCCAAAGATGGCCGAACGGACGGGCGCGCCGGACCCTTGAACATGGGATCGTTCTCTACTTCCCGAACCTCGATCTTCCGTGTACGGTTGGCGACATTCAGAGAGCTAATTGTGTCCAGTTGATAGGACCGCACAGGTGCAAGGTTAAGAATCATTACTGTCAGGCCATTGTTTTGTCCCAAAGACAAGATCCTTGTCATCTTGGACTCGCGATATGGGATGCGATGCTGTTTTTTGTTGATAGCCTCGACGCACTGCGCCAAAACAAAAAGGCTCTTGTTAATGCTTGCCGATTCCACCATGCGTTCCTTGTCATTTTCCGTTCGTCGATTATCTTCGGATCCAGCAAGATCGATAGCAGAAGCAGTGCTAACGCGAACCTTGTCAGAGGACGAGATGGTAACCTTGACGCCGAGAACAGCATGCGATCGAGACGAATGGGCATTGAGCTAAATGTAATTGTTTAAAAAAAAGGGTCAAATTTCAAGGCTTGGGCACAGTATCATACCTTCGTTGCAGAAGTAGACCGATTAGTGTTGGCTTGGTCATAGAGCTGCTCAAACTCCCTCAGAGTAGTGCACGGTTTCTCACTGAGGCCACAGACCACAGTCTTGCCACCATTGTCACGGAGAGGAAGACCTGCCATCGTGCGCTTCTCCGGCGGTTCGAACAAGTCGTAGACCTTGTCATTGTAAATTTCGTAATAACTCAGGGCAACCTGCACTGTCGTCTCTCCCTCGCTATCCTTTTCGATCTTCTTGCTGCGTCTGTAGATACCGCTGAGTAGCCGAGGAATCACACCCCGATCGGCCAGGGTTTTACCCCCACGCATTGTATGTGTTTTGCCGGTTCCGGTAACGCCGTATGCGAAGATAGTAACATCGAATCCGTTGAGGAGATGTTTAATTGTTGGCGCCACTGCCCAATTCGCTCGGTCAACATACAGGCCTATTGCAAGCTCGGTGACATTAGGACGTCAACTCACCCTCAGCATCAAATAGCTCCTGCTGCGACACCTTTGCATCATACACGCCATTGAACTGGAACGCATATTCCTCCCCTTCTTTCTTGGGGTTTGGAATCCGTACTACATTGTCCCTATCCCGCAATGCCGCCAATTTCTTGTCACTCTTCTCCGGCTTGTCGCCAATTGTCGACTGGCGCGATTTGGAATCGGCCGAAGATCCCGTACGAAGGATCACATCGACCTCCCGTTCAGAATTGAGAAGAGGACGGATACGCGCGACGACTCGGACACTCATTGTGGTGGGGTGTTCATTCAAATGCTCGTGATGGTCTCGGTCCTGGGCGTCGGGGATTCGAGGTAATCCAAGCAAAATCGAAGTGGCTCAAACGAAATCTAAAGCCAAAAAAAGAGAACAATAAAATCCTCCCAAAGAAACAAAGAAACAAATCTAGCTCCCTGTCGATGTATGCAGAACTTGAGGTTGTGGAACGTGTGGAGGAGTTCTCTGGCGTAGCAGCCGATGTGTCTGGTGTTGGCAGGGCAACCAGCCACCTCATCAACTCGACGACATACGACGTCCACTCCATACATTCTTCGGTGGGTTCTGTGGACCACACATCTCTATAATTGCTGTGATTGAACCTGGGAGTTTTCAAATCGGAACCATGTCTGTTTCATTATCAGCTCATAACCAACAGTATGATATACTCTGTAGACGAGCTCGGCGCTTGGACCGAGTGTTGAGGGTTCATGCTTGACGATCCAGGCAGCTGAAATGCCTCAACAAAAATATATAGAAACAGGTTAGTTTGAGAATCACAAATGACCCAACATATCACAGGAGATTAGTATTCAAACAGCTTCATGGTGGATTAACTGCTCGTACCAAATTCAACATCGAAACACGCCCCTCGTCACATGGTCCCTGGTCGCTGATTGGCTGGGGCAGCACAACCTAAAGGCCACCGTAGACCATCATCACCGCCTCTCCCACACTCCCTTGGTTTCTTCTAGTGAGCTTGTCCTTTGCTTCGCTAGTGCCTTTTGTGATATTCCCGGGTCTTTAGCCGGTACAGCTTTTCTTGTATGCCAGCTGAACTCACCTACTCCGACGACGAGAAACTGATTGTGGGGTTCTAGGAGCTGTTACCACCCGCCTCCTCATATTAATTGCACCCGCCGAATTCGTGACGAGCGCGATCCTTCTTCCTTCCAAACTCTCCACCACGACTACACATTCCCTCCTCGACTATAATGGCAGCACCACAAGGGGGTTTCCCTCCCCAGGAAGGGTATGGCCAACCCGCCTATGGCTCCCCAGAACCCACACAGTCCCCGATCCCTGGGCAAGGTGCGCCCGCACCTGCCGCAGCTGGCGGAAAAAAGAAGAGAGCGTACGCTGGCGAAGCCTTCGATTTTGGCTCCGGTGCTAATGCTGCGCTTGGTGGACAACCCACCGCCGGGGGTGCCTACGGATCCTACGCTCAGCAGCCTCAAGCCGCAGGATATCAACAACCCGCCTACGGTGCGGACCCCAGCCAGATGCAGCAGCCCATTGCACCAGCATATGGCGCGCCTGTCGCTGCTGATGTCACGCAGATGACACAGCAATTCGGTGGAATGGGCATGAGTGAGCCACATCACATGCCACCCCCGCAGCCTGTAGCTCAAGCCGCTATGCGGCCTCAAGTCCAACTCAACCAGCTCTATCCCACGGACCTCCGATCCCAACCTTTCAATGTTGCTGAGCTGGATTACCCTCCCCCTCCTGTCATTTTGCCTCCAGGAGTATGTATAAATGCCATATTGTGCATGCGCTCGGTAGGCTGACAATTGACAGACTAGTGTTTACCCATCGCCCGACGCCAATTGCCCTACGAAATATATGCGGTCTACGCTCAATGCTGTCCCCACAACCAATTCACTTCTGAAGAAGTCAAAGTTGCCCTTCGCCCTCGTTATTCAACCGTATGCCGCTCTTCACGACGCCGAAGACCCGATTCCTGTGATTCCAGACCAAGTCATCTCCAGATGCCGACGTTGCCGCTCCTATATCAACCCCTTCGTCACCTTCCTCGACCATGGCCACCGCTGGCGTTGTAACATGTGTAACTTGACCAACGATGTACCTCAGGCTTTCGATTGGGATTCCACGCTGCAGAAGCCCGCTGATCGCTCCCTGCGCGCCGATCTCAATCACAGCATGGTGGAATTCGTTGCACCGCAGGAATACATGGTCCGACCACCTCAGCCTCTGGTCTACTTGTTCTTGATTGACGTGAGCTACTCATCCGTGACCAACGGCCTCTTGGCCACCACCGCTCGCACCATTAAGGAGAGCCTCGACCGCATTCCCAACGCCGATCGACGGACTCGCCTCGGCTTTATTGCGGTGGACTCAAGCCTGCACTATTTCAGCATTCCTCGGGATCAGTCAGAGACCTCAGACCCACGAATGTTGGTAGTCAGTGATCTAGATGAGCCCTTCCTCCCCATCCCCGGTGATCTCCTTGTGACGCTGAGCGAATGCCGAGAGAACATCGAGATTTTCCTCGACAAACTGCAGGAAATGTTCCAGAATACCCAGAACAACAGCTGCGCCATGGGCTCCGCATTGCGTGCTGGTTACAAGTTGATTTCCCCCGTCGGTGGAAAGATGACCGTTCTGAGCTCGTCATTGCCCAACATTGGCCACGGAGCACTCACTATGAGAGAAGACAAGAAGGTGCTGGGTACCAGCAAGGAATCGAGTCTGCTTCAGACGGGTAACTCCTTCTACAAGAGTTTTGCCGTCGAATGTTCAAAAGCGCAAGTGTCTGTGGATATGTTCCTCTTCTCATCGCAATACCAGGATGTGGCCTCTTTAAGCTGTCTACCCCGCTACACTGGTGGTCAGACCTACTTTTATCCAGCCTGGAATGCTGCACGGAGCGAAGATGCTATTAAGTTCGCCCGTGAGTTCTCCGACTACCTGTCTTCGGAGATCGGTCTGGAGGCCGTCCTCCGTGTGCGTGCCACCACTGGTTTGCGTATGAGCACCTTCTACGGCAACTTCTTCAACCGTAGCTCCGATCTTTGTGCCTTCCCAGCCTTCCCTCGTGACCAGGCCTACGTGGTCGAGGTGGCCATTGATGAAACGGTCACAAAACCGGTCGTCTGCATGCAGGCGGCTGTCCTTCACACTACCTGCAACGGTGAACGTCGCATTCGTGTCTTGACCCTAGCGCTGCCAACGACCCAGAACTTGTCAGATATCTATGCTTCGGCCGACCAGCAGGCCATTGCTACATTCTTCAGTCACAAGGCCGTCGAGCGCACATTGAGCAGCGGCCTCGAGCCCGCTCGTGAGGCTCTTCAGGCCAAGATTGTGGAACTTCTGCAGACATACCGCAAGGAGCTTGCGGGTGGCAGTGTCAGCGGTGGTGGCCTCCAGTTCCCAGCCAATCTCAGAGCCTTGCCTGTACTGTTCCTTGCTATGATCAAGAACGTAAGTTCCTCCCATTGCCTAATTTGTTTTTATCTCGTTTTGATGCTAATCCTTTGTAACAGCTTGGTCTACGCAAGTCCGCCCAGATCCCCACGGATATGCGATCCGCAGCGCTCTGCCTCCTGTCGACACTACCCCTGCCGCTTCTCATCCAATACGTCTACCCCAAGATGTACTCACTCCATGATATGCCCGACAATGCGGGTGTCCCTGATGAACAAACGGGCGAAATCGTTCTGCCCCCTCCCGTCAACTTATCCTCAGCCCGCCTTGTGCCCTACGGTCTATACCTCATCGATGATGGCCAGACCCAGTTCCTCTGGGTTGGACGTGATGCTGTCCCCCAGCTCATCGAGGATGTATTTGGTGTCCCCGACAAGTCGCAGTTGCGAGTGGGTAAGCAAACCCTCCCTGAAGTCGAGAACGAGTTCAGCCAGCGTGTGCGGTCCGTGGTCGAGAAGAGTCGAGATCACCGGGCCAAGGGTGTGGGTAGCATGATTGTGCCTCACCTATATGTGGTTCGCGAGGATGGCGAGCCCAGCTTGCGTTTGTGGGCCCAGACAATGCTGGTTGAGGACCGTGCCGATCAAAGCGTCAGCTTGGATCAGTGGATGGGTACTTTGCAGGAGAAGGTTTGAGTCCTCTGCTCTGGCCATCGTGTCGGTCAGCACTGATTTGCTCTCAGGTCGTGCAGTAAGGAGGACCTGCCCGGCGGTTGGTCTCAGTGGACCTGTCTCGATCCGATGAAATTCATGTTTTTTTGCTCAGCGAGTCCTCCCTGTACCATTACATTGGGGAAGATCGTGTTTGGATTTTTATCATGGCGGGCATGTTTGGATTTATCTAGTACTAGTAGATCGCGTATAGTTCACAGGCGATAGACGCTGATCGCATCTATGAAGAATTAACGGTATGATTTCTTTTTTTTATCCCCTTAGAGCCCAAATTAGACCCGTATGTGACTTATACTTGTTTTACGGTGGAAGTTAGCTTGCCATCTCAGACCCAATGAACGGCATGTCTCTTGAGACTAGTGAAACCGAGCATGCCCAAACAATGGTCAAGCTCTCCAATCAAGACGAAACTGGCCCCTCCCACACGATAGAACGGGAGAGTGATTGTGACCAGTTTCGTTGGCTGCAGTAGCGCGGGTTATAGAACGCAGTCTGCGAGAGACATTGCCGCTGTGGCGGAGATCCCTCGATCAGTACCTCTAGACGACCTGGGATTACAAGGATGACCCCAGTCCAGCGGAAGTACCTCCCGTGTAGCTGTGGAGATGCCTCCCGATGATCCAAGGTTCCGCGTCCATCAAACCACAGAAAGCGTCCAGGGCTCAGAAACATACCTCTCTCTGTCTCTGTCTATCTCTCTCTCTCTACACCTTCTCTGGCCTCTGATCGGCGGTCACTTCTCTTTCTCTCTTAATGCTCACCCATCTCCCGTGGGAGATGCTCGAACTTTGTTTCACCTGAATCACTGGAGCCGCTTCACAGCTCTCCTGCCCCACCTCCTCCCCTACGGCCCGCTGTTTCTCCAGGTTCACCTCTTCTCTTTCTCTGATCCCCCTATTACCTCCCTCTCTACCTTCACACAAACAAGGCGAGACCAGGTGAGTCTCTGTCTGGCCCGACCCGTTGTGATCCGCATCAGGGGGGTGACCCCGCTTCGGAGCGGCTTGGCTCCCCTCTATGCGCCCCAGCATCACTGGCAATCCCACTAACAGGCCACGTTCTTAGGCTCCGGACTCAGTTGACACAGTGATCCCGACCTGACATATCAAACCGTGAGCCTCGCACTCCACCCCCGGTCTTTTGGGCCTGGACGCCATACCTGTCATATCTTCCCCCCCCACCACCTGGACCCTCGTGCAACCATCTCCCTCTTTCTTTTTCAACACCTCATCTATCCATTCCCTGTGATCTCGCCGGCCCTCGAAACCCGAATCTCGTCGAGAGTCTCAGAATCCCCTTTCGAAATAACCAATTCGCTTGCAGCGCAAACGAAAGTAAGCTTTGTTTCCCGGTTTTCCTGCATGATCGCTGCGTTTGTTCTGTCGCGCTGGAGCTTCAGGCCGAATTTCTCGAGACTTTCGAGCAATGAGCCTCCTTTACTTTTGTCTTGCGTTCCCTGGACTTTAAATCGCAAACTGATGCGCTATCGTCTACTTACCCCTATGTTGATCAACCCCCCGGTGTCCGTTTAATTTCCCATGGACTCCCTTCAATCTTTCTTTCACTGGATCCCAAGGATTTTGAGAGCTGACCGTCATCCGAAAGCTAAGACTATCAGAAGAACCATCATGGGTCAGCAAAACCCTCCCTCAGGAGGATCCCGGAAGATTTCCTTCAATGTATCCGACCAATATGAGATTCAAGATGTCATCGGCGAAGGTGCCTACGGTGTCGTCTGGTAAGTTAGTACCATTCTCGCCGTCAATGCTGCTCTCACACAATCTAGCTCTGCCATTCATAAGCCCTCCGGTCAGAAGGTTGCCATCAAGAAGATTACGCCATTCGATCACTCCATGTTTTGTCTGCGAACACTGCGTGAGATGAAGTTGCTCCGATACTTTAACCACGAAAACATTATTTCCATCTTGGATATCCAACGGCCCCGGAACTACGAGGGATTCAATGAAGTTTATCTCATTCAAGTGCGTCAGAGCTTACCATCTGTCTAAACTTCACATGTTTAGGATATCCCCGATTTACTAACTGCCCGCAGGAGTTAATGGAAACGGATATGCATCGAGTCATTCGCACACAAGATCTTTCCGACGACCACTGCCAATACTTTATCTACCAGACCCTGCGTGCACTCAAGGCAATGCACTCAGCCAATGTTCTCCATCGAGACTTGAAGCCTTCCAACCTTCTACTCAACGCCAACTGCGACTTGAAAGTCTGTGACTTCGGTCTGGCCCGTTCGGCCGCTTCCACCGATGATAACTCCGGATTCATGACAGAATATGTGGCCACACGTTGGTACCGCGCACCGGAGATTATGTTGACATTCAAGGAATACACCAAGGCCATTGATGTGTGGAGTGTCGGCTGTATATTGGCCGAGATGCTGAGCGGAAAGCCGCTGTTCCCCGGCAAGGATTGTATGGCCCCTATTCGTTCTATGAACCAGCAGCAACAACAATGACAACTAACACACTTATCTAGATCACCACCAGCTGACCCTCATCCTGGATGTTCTCGGCACACCAACTATGGAAGATTACTACGGCATCAAATCCCGCCGTGCTCGTGAATACATCCGCTCCCTCCCCTTTAAGAAGAAGATTCCGTTCCGCGCGCTCTTCCCAAAGAGCAACGACACAGCGCTTGATTTGCTTGAGAAGCTGCTTGCTTTCAACCCGGCTAAGCGTATTACTGTCGAGGAGGCTCTGCGCCACCCCTACCTCGAGCCATACCATGACCCTGAAGATGAGCCCACTGCGCCGCCCATTCCCGATGGATTCTTCGATTTCGACAAGAACAAGGATGCTCTGAGTAAGGAGCAGTTGAAGCGTGAGTGGTTCTGCAATGTCTTTTTGCGTTAGTACTAGGCCTTGTTCTATCCATTTACTAACTTTACTCAGTCTTGATCTACGAGGAAATCATGCGGTAAATCAGCTTCACGATTTCGAATGACATTTGTTCGACCGAACCACTGCTGGATCCTATTACTCGCCCGATTTAATTTGACAGCGTTGTTTGATACATGTTAGAGAAGGCAAGGCAACTCGAAATATGAATATGAGTGTTCAAATAAAAACAACCGACTCGCTCCCAATTTCCAAGTTCATCTCGTACTTCCGGCCTTATGTACAGCCCTACACATTCCCCATACATACATCCATATTCATACAAAACGTTATATACCTCCCTCACAACGCACCCATGAACTTCTCAATCCCCTCAAGAATGCCCTCAGGACTAGGTTTCGGCGCACAAACATGCGCCTCAAACCCAAACTTCTCCCGCAGATAATCCCTCGTCGTAGGCCCAATAGTAGCAACAAACACCCTCCCAGTCCTCGCAGCCCCAGATCCAGATCCAGATCCAGCAAACGGACCCAACCCCAGAACCCGTAACATAGCCTCACATCCCGTCGGCGAGAAAACAACCACCCAAACATCCCCCGTCTCCCGACTGACCACATCCCCGAAATCCCCCTCAAAGGGCTCCATCACCCCAGTCTCGTACACAATGATCTCCTCAACGCCTATCCTCTTCTCCCCGAGTGATCCATCCATCAACGTCTTCGGGATGATATCCCTCCTCACCTCGCCAACGAGGAAAAGCAGAGACGGTTTGTTCTCAGCGTAGCGCGCGTTATAATGATCCAGCATGAAATGCGCCAGATTCTCGCCCGTCCCGGTATCCGCGCCGTGGATCGTAGCGTGGGGGAGGTGTTTATCGCGCAGCGTTTTCAGCGTGCGCGCTGTGGCCGGACCGACGGTGTAGAGCACTAATGGGGATTTGGTATCGAAAGAGACTGGGGATTGTTAGCTTCGGTCTAGTATTGGGTTCGGGATATGCAGGTTGGGAATACGGACTGTCTTTCTCATCTTCGATCATCTGGGCGAATCCCTCGACGGCTCGCTGGCTGGTGAAGATCAGACCGCCGTATTTCTTGTTGTCTTTTCCATTGTTGGTGGTTTCGCCGAAGGCGCCGGTTGCGAAGAGATCGCGGACTTGGGTGAGGTTGTCTTTGTGGAAGCGGTGTTCTAGGACTGGGATGAAGGTGGGGGTGTAGTTGTTTGCGGAGAAGAAGTCTTCGTAGCCATCGTTGGGGGAGGACTTGGTTTTGAGGAGGAGGATGGGGGTTGGAGACATTGTGTTGGGAGGGTGAAGAGGTGGGATTGATGATGATGTTATCGAGTGCGGGGAGTTCTGGGGAATTGAGTTTTTGATATTGGGCATTGGGCATTTCCACGTATTGGTTATGACTTTTATTTTCAGTGAACTTGATATCATAGGGTTGTTTTAACGGTATATTCCATGCTATACTTTTCATCCAACACAAGGAAATCGAATTGAGTCTAGTCAGGCTTATTTACACATTAAAAACACAAACTACTGGTCGTCCAGCACGTGCAGGTACCGCTTGTCCTCCTGGCGCTCGCGCTCTGTGGCGGGAGGCAGATCGTAGTAAGAGGCACTACGGTAGCCCTGCAGGTAGTGGAAGGTCAGGTTGGCCAAATCGGCGGTCTCCTCCATGCCCAGGTCCTTGAAGGTCTTGGCAGTAGGGTCGATCTCCTGGTCAAGGAACTCGCGCTCGACCTCATCGGCGGACAGGGTGTGCCACCACAGGTACTTGTTGAGGTAGTGGGCGAAGGGCTTGAGGACGGCCTTGGGAAGGTTGATGTGACGGCGCTTCTTGATGATTTCACGGTCGACCAACTCGGCGATCTCGGCAGTGGAGTAGTTCTTGGGACCGTACAGCTCGTAGGTCTGACCGATGGTGCTGTCATCGTGCAGCATACGCTCCAGGGCGGTACCGACATCAATGGCCTAAAAAGCGTTAGGTTCTGTACAACGTGTGAATCTCCGGAGAGCAACTTACGTGGACGGGCCAGTAGCGCTCCTGCATGTGGTTGGCGGTGAGAACGTTGCCAATCTTGGCCAGCTTGTGGAGCAGGTTGTCCTCGAAACCGAACATGGGTGCAGGTCGCACGATGGTGGTCTCGGGGTAGATCTTGCGGACGACCTCCTCACCCCATGCCTATAGGTCGTCAGCACTCTCACTCTTTTAATTCTCCAGTATATGTACGGACCTTGGTAGCGAAGTACTCGGAAGGCGAGTCGCGACGGGCATTGTAAGAGGAAACGTGGATGAAGCGGTCGACATCGTACTTAGCAACAGCATCGGCAATGCGCTCAACACCGTCAACGTGGACGTCCTCGTAGGTGAAGTTCCTGAAACCCTCGTCAACAAGCGTTCATCCATGCATGGTCCACCTTATAACTCACTTGGTAGGATATTGACGACCAACAAGGTTGTAGACGACATCGGAGTGACGAACGCTCTCCTCAATGGACTGGGTGTTGCGCAGGTCGTATTCCTAAACTGGGGGTCAGACACACTCCAGGCTTCAACCCGTGTTATACTGGAGGAATACTCCATACCATGAACACAACACGTCCGAGATCACCGGTAACCTTCAAGTGTCTCTTGGCCATCTCCTCACGGTAGGGAATGACAACAGTGCATCCCTGGCGAGCTGCGGGCCATTAGTCCATGATCCAATTGCAGTGCTGTAGATCCTCAACCTACCAAGCTTGTTGACAATGTAGCGACCGAGGAAACCGGTGGCACCAAAGACTGTCGCGGTGTGACCTAGAATCGTGTGAGCACATCGGGACCGAGGCGTCGGATCAAAATGGAAAGGCTTAGCTACCTCCAATAGAGGAACTACAGGAAACAGCGCGTCAGTGAGCCAGAACATGAGACCTAGGCACAGCACAATTGATCACTTACCGGCCACCCTGGACCTTCAGGAGGGGCTTGCCAGTTCGGGTGATGCGGACATCCTGGATGTTGCGCTGGAACTGAAGCTGCACCCGCGGGACCGGCACGAAGGGGCGCGCCCCTAGGGCAGTGTTGATAGTGCGTGTCTTCTGCATGGTCTCTGGCTGAGTGTATCTCTCGAGACCAGCGAATTGGAGCGGAGTATTGCCAAGAAGGGCGTAGTGATGTGCGATGGTCTTTCACAGCGTCAAGTCGGAAGAACCGCACGGGACTATTGCGCTAGTCCGCATTCGGACTACGGGCCACCACTTTCACGACCACTTTCTGTTCTTTCTGCCCTCCTTGTGTTTGAATTTGCGTGATATCATGGCTTTTGGCTGTTCAATTGGTCGGGAATCTATTGTATCATTTGGAGTTTGTGGGCTGCTATATCTCCAACCTCTGTCAAGTAAAATCACCATTTTCATCTGACAACACACGGACTGTGATTGGATGTTCCCCGAGCTTTGCTCTTGTCTATTAAATATGACCAGTTTATACCAACCATATCCTTCTATAGGCAATTATTGAATGGTTATTGAAATGCTCATCACAAAATTCCTATTAATTTTGTGCTATCATCTCATTTTCGGTGGTGGATTGGGCATTTCCATGAGCCATTTGCACTCAATGTATACAACGTACAACGAACGATAGGGCTTCGCTGACCGGGCTTGGAATATCCTCATAACATATCATAGATCACTAACAAGGATAGCTTTATCACACTAGTATCAACTAGTAGTATAGATATAAGTCTTTCTTTTCATACATAGAGGCACTGATAATCTGCAACAATCAAGCTACCTAGGGCATACACAGTGCCAGGTTGTCGTTGACTATATATAGAACTATCATTTAACCCAATGGTGCCTCGAACAGGCTCCAGACGACACGATCCACCAAGTTCGACGTGGTAATCGAGCAGGACTACCTATCGATATATGATCGTTTCCAACTTCTAACAACATAAACTGTCTTCAAGCCTCACTGGTGGTAGTTCTATAAAAACACGCATTTAACGCTAAAAGCACGCACTTTGGTGCCTCGATATCTACCTCCCAGCCACCGAAATGCAAAAAAATAAGGCGATCAAAAACATAAATCGTCCACTCTGATTTCAACCATCCAAAACAAAAACCAAAAAGAAACGACGGCTGTGTCGCAGTGTTGTTCCAAAGATTTTATAAGAGGAGTTTTGTGGGCAAATCACGGCCATCTCTGGTAAAAGGCAAGAAATGGGTTCTGCACTAATCTGTCCCACTCCTCAGGTAGACTTACTTTTTGGTCGACTATAACCCATGTTCTTCCGTTTTTGGCCAGCCCAGACCGGAACGGTCGACGTTCGAAACGGCCCAACGACAGCTATTTATTTTATTTTGATTCTGACCCCGCATATGGATTATTTAATTTGACCTCGGAATTGACACGACGTCCAAACAATTACATTGTATACCTGATTCGAGACTACATTCATTTCCCGGTACCCTCGATAACTACACCAAAATGTCTTCCGCTGCCTGTATTTTCTGCAAGATCATCAAGGGTACGTCTGTTTCAAAGCTGTAGCTTTGAACTAGCTACTGGCTCCCCCAAATTCGTACCCACGTCATAGTCATTCGTTTCGTCTAACGCGCTCGTCTCTATAGGTGACATCCCTTCATTCAAGCTCTTTGAGAGCGACAAGGTCTTTGCTTTCCTCGATATCCAGCCGCTCAGCCGTGGCCATGCGGTGTGTATTCCTCGCGTCTCCTCTTCCCCGCATTCGCCGCGTTCTCCCGATGCTGGACGCCGGCATTCGGTGATACCTTCAACCACCAATCCGTAGATGGCGAGCCGATTCAAGAGCAAACTAACAAGGTGTATAGCTCGTGATCCCTAAGTTCCACGGCGAAAAGCTGACCGACATCCCTGATGAGGACCTGCTTGAGATCCTGGTAAGTTCACGAGAGAAGATCCCGCGATCACGAAGGAGGAACGAAGAAGTCATGTCTTCGATCTCTGATCGACAACCACATTGCTTCGAGGACCTTGGGGTCAAGCCCGCAAGGTCCCTGGGAAATTAGATTCGGCAGTGGCGAGAGACATAGCTAACCGGGTTTCGTGTAGCCTGTCGCGAAGAAAATTGCCAAGGCCAGCGGTGCTGTGGATTTCAACATTCTGCAAAACAACGGCCGCATTGCGCACCAGGTCGTTGACCATGTGAGTTTCAATTGAGCATCCCTTGCAGATTTACCAGTTCTAATCACTTTACGTCGTACTAGGTCCACTTCCACATGGTATGTTCCATGATCCAATGGATACTCAATGTTATGCTGGAAATCACTAGAGCATGCACTAACAAGATCATAGATCCCCAAGCCCAACGAGAAGGAGGGTATGACCATTGGATGGCCTCAACAGGCTACGGATATGGATAAGCTCAAGGCTCTCCACGAGGAAATCAAGTCGAAGATGTAAACGGCTTCGACCATCTCTGGAGATGTAAGCAACTTTAATACCAATGAAGACTATCTATTTTCTTCTATGCTTTGCATTGCCGATATAGTAGCCACCACTGTTATGTCTATCCGGCACTTGTACAGCTGTGCGCTCGGCATCTCTTTATCTTGTGCAGAGGCGGTGGGATCAGCTGGGCTAGATGCTCTAGAAAGACAGTGTGTGATCCTTCTGAACATGAAGATAGGCTGTAGCTTCGCGGTAATTTGAGTGCTCAGCCCAATATTGTGGACACGCCCAGTTTCCTAACTTTGTACCTTTAGGTAGATAGATAGCCAATCAGACCAAGTTTCATTAGGAGTTTGCTCCGTTCAATGTATACTCAAATGCTCATATGTTCTCTAGTAGACAAGAACAAAGTCTGTGTATGCTATCAAATGCAAAACCAAGACTCTAGACATCTAGCATATAAGCTTGAAAATCAACATACGCAAATTATACGCTCTGCGTAGCCTATGCGGATGCACCCTCTGCACCCTTCTTCTCCGAATCGGGGTAGAAGTTAATCTTGCCTTCACCCTGGACGATATTCAGTCTGTCGTAGAGCGAACGAGACCGGACATACGGGTCAAGGACCCAGTAATGAGCACGCAGCTTCTCGATCAAGCCCTTGCGCTTCTCCTCGGCAGCAGAAGCAGCATCGGTCTCCTTCTTGAAGCTGGCGCGGATCCAGTCAACGGTGGTTGTCTGGATCTCCTTGGCGAGTTCTTGACGTTCGGCCATCAGAGTATCCCGGGTCTCTTTGTCGGCCATCTTGGGGTTTTCGTTCTCCGGTACCTCGACATACTTGTATACCCAGTTTTCGTCGCCATCGAGCTCCTTCATCATTTGACTTGGGTGGATGAAGGTTTCGAGGTCCTGGCGGTTCTTCGTAAAGTGAATCTTCGCTGCGACGACCGGGTCGAGCCAGCCCTTAATCACGCTCCAGATGCCTGGGTATATGGTTAGAAAATATTGCTGCTTGTGGGACGTTGGGATGCGCACTTGAGAATAGCCAGGGGGCCTTGTGGATGAGGACTGCTCCGAGGCATTCGGGGTAATTGGCTTCGAAGCACTTGATCATGAATTTCACGGGGGCGTAGTCCTGACAGATATTAGTATATAATATGAATGGCATAGAGATGAACAACTTACCATGTTGGCCATACCGAAGTCCGTCATATCGAAGACAATAGTCTGTACCAGTCAGCCACTGTGACACAATAACCACCACCGAGGTACTTACTGCAGTCTCGATCGGCGGCGCGAGCAATAGACGCGCGGTCTCAATAGTATACACAGTAAACCGCTCCAGGGCTTCATTGTCCTGATCACCAGCCTTATGCAAGCGCACACGCACAACACAGATCGGGCGACCAGCCCGGTCAACACCATGCAGGAAACTCTTACCCAGACGCATCTGCGTGAGGAAGTCCTCTCCCTTTTTCTTTTCCTTAGCATCCGAGCCCTGCGACTGCTTTACAGCCAACGCCTCGCCATTGAACATGATGTCATCGTCAACATGCATCTCCAGCAGTCGCCAGCGCATGGTGGAGATCAACATCACCAGCGCCTTCTTGGTATCCCACTTGCGCGCACGGAGGAATCGCAACAGCAGTGCGTCGGGGTTATCGCCCTTCACCATGCTCCAGAATGCCGTTCGGATCTCCTCGGGCTTCATATCCTCCAGTGCCTGCTTGTACTCCTTGGACTGGCCATACTTATCATCGGCATCGGCCACGCTGATCGCTGCTACGCCGGCTGCGAGGCTATCGGAGGAAGCGCCCTTTGTATCGTCGTCGGCGCGACCCCAGAGGCCCCACCCCTTCTTCGACTTCTTCTTATCCTGGGTCGGGGCAGATGCCGGGGCATTGCTGGTGACGGCGGACTGCGGGATTTCAAGCTCCTCGAGTGTGAGACCGAAGACCTTGAGTGTCAAGACCCAGAATTCCTTGAGCTTAACTTCTTGCTCCGGGGTAAGGTTCCCGACGGTTCCGGGGGCGGGCTGGGCGGACATCGTGAGGGTATCGATCACTCCAAGGGTGTGTTGTTGCGATTCTTGCGGGAAAATCTGAGGCTCAGATATAGTCGATGTGTCTTTGGGACCGAAGTATTTGTTCTGGAGCCAAGCGCCTCCTCCAACGACGGCGATTGTGAATGTAAGGGACCAAAAGGATGAAGCCTTCGTTGGCTCTATTGGATGCGTGGATAAGCGTCGCGCAAAAGAATACCGGGCAACAGGGAATTTGGCCGGAGGATGAAGACGGCGCAAGAGTGAGCTACGCATAAGCGGTATAATTGAGTTGATATCAGGAGTGAGAGCAGGGGAAATGAGGAGCGAGAAAATGCGAGACCGGCGGAATCAAGGATATGACGATTAATGCGGGGAAGATCGTCTAACAAGTGTTTAGAGTGATGGATTAATTCGAAATTGCGAATGATATTCAAGAGTAATTGGTATTTTCACTACATTTGATCTTCATCTCACATTATATTGCGAAGTATACAAGTGTTGTGTGAGAGGTCTTTTCTGGCGGGGGGATCAACAACTTCACACATCTTCCTACTTACCCACCTACCTCTACCTCGATAACCACTATCCGCTATTTAGAGATCGCAATTAAGCCTCTTCTAATTGGTTGATAATCTCTCGAAACTCGAGGCGATCGCATTTCCCACCAGAAGCAACACAAACATGGACGGCCCTCCTCGATCATCCTCGCGCCCGAGGCCCTCGTCCAGGCCTACGACTCCCCTGCGCCCAAGCTCGCGCTCTTCACTACGGGAAGCACACGCTTATGGAAATAGCATTGGCAATGCAGGCTACACACAACCCGCCATCAACGCCTTGGAGCCGCAGTTCGCCGAGCTGGCCGATTCAATGGCGGACCTCGAGGCAAACTTCATGCATCTGCAGCTGATGCACGAGAGTCTGACGCGCTTCAGCGAGAGTTTCGCCAGTTTCCTCTACGGCTTGAATATGAATGCATTCTGTGTGGATTTCCCAGAGGTATGATCGCAGACGCGTCGAGCGACAATAGAGACGATGATGGCAGTACGCGACAGTGTTGCTAATTCGTGTGGAATAGGCTCCCATTGCAGACTCCTTCAGGAAATCTAAACAAGATGAAGAAGAAAAAGGTATGCAGCGAGCACTATATGAGATTTACTGGGGTGCGATGAATGGAGTTTGCTAACAGCTATCCAGAAGCAGAATCAGAACCCACCCGACCGGTTGATGACGGTGAGATGACTTTCATGTAAGTCTACAGGCGACGCGACACTTTTCATCTCGGATCCCTGAGCTAATCAGTCCTCGCGACACAGGACTACGGACACCACTTTTGTCGAGAACCCATCCAGCACTACCACCTCCTCTAGACCGACTTCCAAGTATGGTGCAGCCTCGGCTTCACGAGCATCCTCGCGAGGCATCGCTCGTGGCGCGGCAAGCAGTCGGTATACTACACGAGGCACTGCTCGTGGTGCGCGTCCCAGCGCATTGCCCCGGGGTAGAGGAGTAGGGACTCGGTAAAGAGCCTGGCCATTGAGTGCCCAAAAGAGCTGAAATAGGGGGCATTCAGTTCGAGCTACATGCTTGTCTATTGGTATCCAAGAGCTGGACCTATACCGAGAGCTTTTGTTGCAGTGGGCTGGTTGGCGCATACTTTTTTTTTTCATAATGATTCCCATGTAGAACCGTGCATAGAAATGACCCTTGAATGAATCTAGCCATTCTCTCCTATGTAATATAGAGATTTTACCACATTATGAATAATGAAATACCTAAGCTCCCTCACCCCCAGACAAAGCCCCCTTCTGCCGTCCGATCTCTTGCCCGGCGGTAAATGGGGTTCAGGCGAAAAACCACCGCCCGATGGCAAACCACCTCTCTTGACTGCGTTGAGAGGAACTTGGGCAACAACATCGTGCACTAGTCCTTTTTAGATCTATATTCATTGGCTTGTGAATAGGGAAGTCCTATTGGACTGTTTGTGACGTCGAATCAGATCAATCGCAACCTTAGGTGGACTGTATAGCTCCCCTCCATTCACCTGCTATCGTCCCTATTTGTTTGCTTTCGTGAGTCTTATTGTTCAAACATTCTTCTATTAATCACATTCTCATATTTCTACAGTGCAATGCTGGCCCTATTCAGAGGGAGTCCTTGAGGCTATACCTGGCCTCTTATTAACCAGCCGTTTCTCTCTCCCTTGGATACTCTCCTCTCTTTCAAGCTCCTTTTCTTGACTCTACGTGGATAGAGGTCTGGTACTTCTATTAACCTGTTTTTACTACATATCATTTGTGTTGTGTCCACTTTCATCAATCCTAACCCTCTCATTTTAACCTCATCTCTCTTGCTCATCCCATCCAATCATCCTCATGTCGCTCACCATGGCGACCCTCGATTCCGTCCAGCTGCTTTCGGAAGCAGCATTTGGCTGTGGTAAGTATTGGTCTTTCTCATCGCTGATTTTGGCCTCGGCTCACTTCCACTAGAACATCTTGCGGTGGTTCTCTCCAAGGACGAGAAAACTGCGGGTCAGTTTAAAGATCGATTCCGCAAGCAATATCAATTGCTGGCTCCGTTCTCGAAACCAGAGACGGTCGCTGTCCCGACCACTGGACTCCGAACTGTGGAGTCACTCAAGCCGAAGTATCACTGCTTGAGCTGCCCGGAAGTCTGCCTGAGCACAAATCGAGCGGACCATACCGCCGAGACTGGACATGCCTTCTGTAAGTTAGCTCACTGGCCAGGCTAGCCCTCATCTCATACTGACAAACAATAATAGATATGGAGTCTCGTAATCGCTTTGTTTTCTGTGAGAAATGTCTCGATTTTATCTATGATCATGTCCTGGATAGGCTCCGTGGCCCTGCTGGCAAGTATGAAGTTGTTGGTAAGTTTGAAGCATTTTCGAAATGCCATTCCAGCCCACTCTGAAACTCATATCCGCTGACACCTGACAGATGGTCGAGCCATTTGGGCTGAGGACTCGGCCTCCGAGGTCTATGTCAAGAACAATGCTTACAAAAACCCATGCATCAACCGTGGCGCTCGTGGTGTATGGAATATGGGTCAAACCTGTTACCAAGCTTCTATCTTGCAAGCCTTCCTGCACGATCCCACCCTGAATGCCTACTTCCTGGGAGGTGGCCATGATGTCCACACATGCCAAATCAAGGATTGTCTGGCTTGTGCAACCGCCGAAGTCTTCATGGAGTTCAACAGCGCTGAGAGAAACGACGCAGTCTCCGCAGCCACTCTTCTTCACCATGGTTGGCAGAAATCCAAGGTACGCCGAGAATCAAGTTGAACAACGATATGGCTGGCTAACTAGTTCACAGGACATGGCTGGATACCGCCAGCAAGATGCCCACGAGTACTTCCAGTTCCTGGTCAACGGACTTCACTCATCAACTCCCGGACATGTTGAGAGCTATGATAAGCCATGCGAGTGCTTCTTCCACCAGATGTTCTATGGCGAACTGCGCAGCAGCGTCATGTGCCACAAATGCGGCCAAACCACGAACACTCACGATCCCATGGCCGACCTGAGTCTTGACGTTCAGCTTCAGCACAAGAAGCGCAAGCTCGGTCGCTCTAGCTCATCTACCACGGGAACCCTGATCGGCTGCCTGGACAGCTTCACTGCCGCTGAAGACCTCCACGCCGATGCTGCCTACCACTGCGAGAAATGCGGCAACACTCCCCAGCGGGCCTCAAAGCGTCTGCAGATCCGCAAGCTCCCTGTCATGCTCTGCATGCAGCTGAAGGTTTGTTCGAGCATCTGATCGCGAAACAAGGATTGACTAACATTCGTATAGCGTTATGAGCATTCCTCCAACTCCTCCGAGAAGATGAACGGCCACATCGACTTCCCTCTCTCCGTCAACATGCTGCCGTACACTGTCAAGAAGGACAGCCTGCCCGTCGACATGTCTCAGTACATGTACGACCTCACCGCCGTCATTGTGCACCAGGGCACAATGGACTCTGGCCATTACTTCGCCTACACCCGCCTGGAGAATGACACCGTGAGTTATTATCCCTTCTATCATTCAGGCTGTCTTCGTGCTAATCTCTTACTTCAGTGGGTGCTTATGGATGACAACCGGGTGACGGTGGCGGGTGTGGCGGAGGTCCTTCGCCAGGACGCATATCTGCTGTTTTACAGCGTGCGTTCTCTGCGAGCCCAAAAGGCCAAGAAGTAGGGTGCTCGGGGGTCAAACCCACAAGGGTTTGAAGGGACTTGCTCAGTCCCAAAATTAGTCGGAAAGCGTTCTTCTCTGCTCATAATCAAAATCAGTTTTATTTTAAAATGACTCTACCTAGACCTCTAGTGCTTAATCAATATGTATAGGGGATGTAATAGCATTCTATGCTTAGTATGTCCGGACTAAAAAGAGAACTACTGCTCACTTCCAGATGAGATGGTATATGCATAATCAAGAACATTTCTTCCAACTCTTAGAGAATGATCATCGGAGGGGCATCTTTACCTCACAGTCAAGAAGAAAGTGATATGATAGTGAGCCGCTGATCAAGTGAGTATACTTTGAAATATTGTTATACTCGATTCAGCCATTTAATATGAGGCTGGCATCTATATGCCCTCCAATCAATCCGGTTTTGTGGGAGGGGGGGCGGCTTTCACATATGAGATAGTATACTATAAGTAATATGAGCTCTAAGGTGACTCGGATTGAAAGCAAAAGCTATTTTGTCATGATCAACTGCTCTAACCCTCTCACTTAGACGTGACCAAGTTTCCAGCGGAGTTTGCTTCATAAACGGACTCTCGATGGAATCGGGTACCATATCGAGCAGCAGAATCCGCATTGCGAGAACTATATCTAAGGTTAGCATAAGATATCACATATAACTGATATGCAATCATGCAATAGCATCTAAATACTCCATTACGAGGTCCACGGCCAGGCCCGTGGATGTAGCTCGCCTGCCGCCATCAATGCAACAACATCCAACGCTTCATCGCGTTTCGGCCTGCCTCTATCTCAAAGTCACTCTTCCCGGTGATCCTTGCCATAGTAACTAAAAAGTAATGAGACAATCAGCATAATGCCAAGCATACTTTCATATGAATTAGTACATACTCGCTCTAGGGTGCCTCAGGCGAACATAGTTCAACAGCTTGGTGTTGTCTGGAAATGTCAATCTACACATCATATAACCTTGAATATCACACTGCAAACGCTGATATCTTATCGGTTCAGCACGGTAGGGGGCGAGGAGGTGGGATGGAGCGGAAGTCGGCCGTTTTGATGGCATATACTCTGGCGCCATGGTTGATTGCGGCGAGGTTATGCTGCGGGCTTTCAGCCCGGGTTATTGTCGGGATAGGACTTTTTATGGGTTCCAAGATTAGTTCATATGGTAAGTATTGTAAGGCGCTTGGTGATGCAAACCATGTGCGTATCCATTAAGTGCGTCTGGGGGGACTGCATTCAAGACAGGACTGTTCTCGAAATCGGCCCAGCTTAGCCCTTGATTGGGATTTTCAAATGACATTTTGAAGTTGATCAGAGTCTACGTGAGAAAGGGACAGACGAAGTCTTCGTTTTTAGATCTTGGCTCTTTTTTAGAAGTAAGAATGTCACTGCTTCACAAACTCAAGATACCTCGATAGGGAACTCGATGGCTTAGATCTAAGGTTAGATAATAGATGAACGATATAAGTGGGCAAGGTAGGGAAAGAGAGAGGAATATGGAGTAAGGATCAAGTGTTGGGAGGCAAAAAGGCCGCAATGATATAGTATCTCTTTAGAAACAGTAGCCCTTTTCACCCTATCACTTCTCGTCTTAACAGTCAGTATTATTATCAAGAATGATAGAACAAAGCTTTCGAAGGAAACCATAATCCCATGCAATGTATCTATCTGGCACTAAAGATACCACAGGATTAACCAATCTCAGTTGCTCCTAATAAGTCAAAAGAAAGTCACCGCAAAGGAAGACGCCACCACTCCATATGTCGCAATACATCTATAACCCATACATCTACGACCCGACTGCCATCCTTTTGCCCCAAAGCACAATGGTGTGGGGGCATTGTTATTCTATATGCGCCTCAAGAATAATGATATGTGATCTCTTCTATGCCATTCATCTTATCTGTGGCTGTGGCAATACTTTGTGAGATGGCGAAATCCACTGTACTATGCTCCTAAACATCAAGATTTGAATAGAAATTAGGATCAATAGTATATATTGGGCCTCATGGACAATGATGGAGTCACTGTCGCGGACATGGTTGATGTCTTCCCTGGGATGTCTACTTTTCTATGAAGGGAGAAGACCTATAAAATTCTTGCTTTTACGGAGGTAAAGCTGCACAAATCAGGAATATAATCAAGCCCTCGTTCTGCCAGTCGTATAAGGCCAAAATATCGGTGAATCAAAGACAGCAAATCGAGAAAATGGTCGAAGTATATGATTTGGCGGCCTGAGGCAACGAGATGTGGTGATCGCCCATTGGTCACATGATCCACCCAAAATAGCTAGCGCAACCCAAGCGAGTTGGCCCGTGCCCTATTCCCCATTGGGGCAGCACACAACGCAAATTCCAACCCTAACTTCTGTCTCCGTTCTTTAACGCCCAACGCCAGCGACCCTCGTCCCGTCAACAACCCCGTCAACTCCCAGGTCCCGCCTTTAAAACCTCAAGATGACTCACGAGAGCGTTTGGTACAGCCGGCCCCGCAAGTAAGTCGAAACTCCAGCGCACAGAATACCATCTCGAAAATGAACGATATAACTAACAATTATCCCCAATAGGTACGGCAAGGGCTCCCGCGAATGGTGTGTTTACCCTATAATTCCCCGATGAACGATCCAGTCGAAACCGAGAAAGAAACTTGGGAGGAGCCTTGGACGGAAATCGAAATCGATATTGAATTGGAACGGAATTGCTAATATCTGTGCGCCTTCAGTCGTGTCTGCTCCCACCGCGCCGGTCTGATCCGCAAGTACGGCGTAAGGAGACACCGAATCCTCGAGCATATTGCGTTCTGCAATGTGTGGTGTGAAATGGACTTGTGTGGCTAATATGGACTTTAGATGAACATCTGCCGTCAGTGCTTCCGTGAGAAGTCCACCGACATTGGTTTCACCAAGGTTCGTTTTCATTCCTCGCTCGCAAATACCATCCGATTCTCTTCGAACACTGCACAAATACACCACCCGATATGAAAAATCATCCCGATCATCGAATACAATCTACAAACCCGCCACTGTCAATCACACAACTCTGCAAGACCACAGCACTAACCAGCATTTTTTACACCTACAGTACCGCTAAGCGGACAAAAAAAACCATGTTCATTTCTGACTCCCTCCTCTCGAACCGTTCGCATCCACGAAATCCCACCTACGCACCCGGCTCGACTACGGTAGCGTCCAGTGGAGCAATGTTTCAGACGAGCTCAAAAGTGGCGTCTTTGATGTTTTTGTGAATGGAGGAATAGACATCGGGTACGCGTGCCCGTTGCCACGGGGTTGCGAATCAAATCAGATCTTGGCTCCGAGGGGAGGATTTGGGGTTGTTGCGTGGAGTGTCTTGAAAAAGGAGGATGTCATGTTATTTCCCTCATCCTGGCTTTTTCTTAACAATTTCAATGACGGAATTTTTCTCTGGGAATCTCTACTGCTCCGACTCGCTGTTTAGATTGCGCATGGTCTAGACCAGGGCATGCCGTTTGCGCGCTTTCGGCTTTTGTCTGGGGATTTGGTGTAGCTCTTGACGCTCGGCTGGGTGAGCAAGTGAGGTCCCGGTACTCTGTACCTGGGCTCATGAACTCGTAGCGGCTTTGGAGGTTGACAGACCAGACAGATCTGGCTGTTACTTTTAAAGATGTCCTTGTGCATTCCAGATGTCGATACTCCGTACATGCGTTGTACTACAAGATACGTAGGGCTCTACAAAATATATGGCACCACTTATGCAGAGCATTATTCCTTATGCAGCCCGTTCAATGAATAGACCTTTTATGTCGGCACGGACTTGATTTTGGTAGAGCGAACAGGTGGTACTAATGCCCCGGAGACGCTACTTGGCTAGTGTGTAAAAGGGTGTAAGTTAGCGCCTTGGGCTTCAAGCCCGAGGGTGCTCTGAATCAACCCCTCAACTTTTGAGCTGTCTCTAATATATCTCCGCCCGAATGCTGTACCCTTGCTGATCACATGGGTCAAATCAGTTGCCATCTTATTGGACGTCTCTGACTTCTGGGAAACGGCTAGATCCCAGCCGGGGTGCGGAGGGCAATTGTGCCGGATTTCCGATTACTCAAGACGATCTTTCTCGAATTGGCAATAACCCTCGAACTTTTGGGGGCGTTGGTTGTTTGGTGTTAGTCTGTTGGTGAAGGGGAGATTCAAGGCTTCGTATGTCAATGTCCTTGGGAAATTCCACGAATCCAAGGGTTGTGATTGAGGTGTTCATAGTTCGAGGAGCTTCTCCGAGGATCTTGTCCGAGGATCTCCTCCGAGGATGTTAGGTGTCACGAGCCATCCACTGCTCGGCGATGAAGCGATTGGGTTCAAGGACAAGGGTAAGGATGCTAAGCCTGCAGAGTGCCGCCCAGGTCACACCGTCAGATTATAACCGGGTACAGCCATACTCCGTATATTGTGGAGGCATGCAAGAGCCACGGCATTAGATTAGCCAGACCCCGAGATTGTAAATCAAATGTATAAGGCAACAGCTTAAGTCTTTATCTTTGCACCATGATTAAGAATGAGTCATAGGACAGCTTACCGCTCGTGTTGGAAAAAAAGACACTCTCGGGGTTCGGAAGTAAAAGCGGAGTTTGCATTCCGGACCTAAGAAGCACGAAGAGATCATCAGCAAATTAGCAACTATTCAGCGTCGATCCTACGGACGTGCAGGTGCGTGGGCTTAACACCCTAGTCTTTTTCAGGTCCCCGGATGCCCACGGATGCCGACGCACCAATCGCCAAGATCGGGCCAGCTCTTGGCCCCGGCCCTGCCAAAGCTCAACGATGTCACTTTTCTTGACCGGGAAATGACGGTTCCTCGTGGCGTCTGGAGTAAGTAGAATGCACGGTATGGAGCACAGTGGGCGGAGTGCTTGGCGGGACTATCAAGGTGTCTAGGACAAACAGCCTGGGACACCACATGACGAGATGCATCGGGTATGGATTGAGCATGCCCAGGTGGCTTGGATTTATCTGCAGTCTGCCATATGGGTATTGTATCCATGCTGTATACATGAAGTTTGTGCGTGCAAGGACCAACCGATAGAAGGATGATCTTATGATGCACGGAGTACGGAGTAGATTCGGGTGAGTGGCCGAGGCGGGTTCTTACCTCAACAAATACTTCTTTGGGTAGCATTTGGAGGTGCCGATTTTCCGCCCAATTTTCTTGCTTCTCGTCCTACGTTCGTATATCCGGCGGAGAACCCGGCTGTCAAATGCCATCAGACCATCAGCACCCCCACCAGGATGGAGCCAACTCAAAAGTGCGGCTCAGGGAACAAAGCGAGACCGAGGGACAGGGATGTACTCCGTAGATGGAAGTAGCTGGCAAGGGATTGTTGGGGGTTGATTGACTCCGGGATCATAACTTTGCATAAGTACAAACAAAGACTGTCGCCGATTGGGGGAACAGATCCCTAATGATCATCTGCCTCTATTAAAGAGTTAGCCATACGGGCTCGATACGCAAGATTGGTAATCCCGAAAAATGGAGTCAATGTAGGATATGTTCGGGGCTGTCAAGCATATGTCATAGATATATGCTCATCTAGGGCGTGCCTAGAACATTGCCCTGCATACTCCGTACATCTCGCCAAAGACGAGACCAGACAACGCTGACCTGGTGAAGTCCCGTCCAAATAGGGTAACGATCTACTACGTCATTGGGCGCTTATTCTCTGGCAGGTATACTCCGTACTTGGAACATGCTCAGATGGAGTATACCAAATCCCAACCTTTATAAATCTATGCCGTACGGAGTACTCCATACAGAATAAGTGATTTGTATATGATGTAGTCATAGTTCCTGGTCTGTAGACCTTGCTAACTCCCCTGGATGAGGTCACCACCCCATACGATGGATTCAGATCTTAGGTGGTCCTGAATCCGGACACAAGAGCCTTGGAGCCTCCCGAGACACCCGACTCCAAAGCCTAAAAAATGGTTTTTTTCTTGAAAAAAAAAAAGAAAACGATATCGCCAAGACGTTCTAGTTCTAGCTCGTTCTTCAATACAGATAGCACAAGCTGAGAGTCAGGCAGAGATGCTGTTAAGTGAATATGAGGATATGAATCTAGTTGGATGTGATGTATACCTAGGTAGAAAAAAATAATCAGACAAGAGTCTTGCGAATCATGAATAACCGTCATATATGGAGTATGAGGATATCGGCCCCGAAGCTGGGCCTTTTTTTATTTTATTTTTTATTTTTTTCTTCTTCCACGCACTTTTCATACTTCGTAAGCCTTTTTTCCTCTCCAGGCATTGGAAATCAGCGCCGGCGAGCTGGTTTCTTTTTTTTTTTTTCTTTTTTTCTTTTATTTATTCAATTGATTTTAATCAAGGCAGCTCCCGGTACTTCTTTCCTTGTTAAGTGTGAAGTTTCCAACCCCAACTGCCAACCCTTATATACTGCATTCCCCCCGAATCTCATACTTCAGCCCTACAGCTTCACTACTCTGTGCAGCCTCCGTACAGCTTCCACAAATAATCGCAGCTCGTGGAACCAGTCAAGTATCTAGGTAGCCCAGACTGAGCCTGGACTATACATTAGAACAAGCATAAACGCGGGCCCAGCTACCGAGTTAGCAGGTTCGTTACGTCACGATTCGATAGAGCTTCGACCTCGGGTTGGAGCTCTACAACTTCCTCAACCACCTCCAATTTTGCACATACAGGCATACCCACATCTCACAGTATCATAAGTCTTTCTTCCAATGCGGCCTAAAGCTACTCGGGTTGCCTTGGTCGCAACTTTCACTCTGGTTCTCGCATCGCTGGCGACCGCGCTTCCGCACGGCGATGAATCAATGGACATGGACATGGGAATGGATATGGATATGCATGCAAGTACCAGTGTGCCGCAGCCCACGGCGACTGCTGCTAGCGACGGTCCGATGAGCTATTTTGCCTATAGCAAGCACTCCGGTGCTATCATGGCTCACATTGCTCTCATGGTTCTGGGCTGGTGTTTCGTTCTTCCTGTTGGTAAGTGCCCCGTGTGAATACTTGGATTTCGGAAGAGAACCAAATAGACAGCAGGCTAACTCACTGAAAAGCTGTCATGTTGAGCATTGCCCGCTCGTGGCTGGCGATTCCGTCACAATTCCTTTTTCTCGCTTTCAACGGTTTCGGTGTCCTGCTCGGAGTCGTATATAACAGCCAGACGCCAGACCTCTACCCGAACAATGCACACCACAAGATTGGTTGGATCGCAACGTGTGTCGTCAGTGCGCAGGTTGTTCTGGCTCTGCTCTTTGCTTATGCCGGCCGGGGCCAGCCGGAAGCGACTGCGCAATCTTATGAACATGCTACTTTCTTGCCTGTCGCGACTGACGATCACGATCACGAGCACACTTACCTCAATGGCCCGATGCATGAGCGTCGCTGGTCTCGTGATAGCGGTCAGGGTACAGACAGTAACTCTTCTATCCGTGGTCCTGCATCGCCCTCTTGTGAATCGTCTGCCGAATACGATGGATTCGAAAAGCCAGAAGAATTGCCTGCGAAGGCTAGTGCTGCGCGCAGCTGGATCCATAACACGGGTGTTGGTCGATTCCTGTCCAAGCGTCTCCCTGGTCTGATTCCCAGCCGGGCTCTTCGAATTCTGAATGTTGTGTATAATATTGTTGACCGCGTCATTCTTCCATTCGGATTCGTTGCTCTCGCGACTGGCGCTGTAACTTATGGGGGCATCATGAGAGATCGTGAGATCTTCAATGGACTTGCTCACTTTATCAAGGGCGGTATCTTCTTCTGGTATGGTATCCTCACCCTTGGTCGCTATATCGGCTGCTGGTCAGACTTGGGTTGGGCCTGGAACAAGAAGCCCCCTGCGTCTATTGTTGGTTGGAAATCCAAGGTTCCTTCGGGCGAAGCTACCGAATCCTTTGTCATTTTCCTATATGGTGCATCAAATGTGTTCTTGGAGCACCTCTCTAATGCGGGCAAGAAATGGTCCGCAACAGATCTCGAGCACGTCTCGATCTCCGTGTTGTTCTTCGGCGGCGGCCTGGTAAGTTCTGGTGGTTCTCGGCCTTCTCGGTGAGAATTCAATCTGACTAACAACCTGAAATAGGCCGGCATGCTCTTCGAATCCACCCGTATTCGTGAATGGTTGAACAGCACTGTCCTCCAAACGCCTGCTCATGGTACTTCCGATGAAGCTTGGCAGCCCCCCAAGTCCCAGGGAGTGTCATTGAATCCAATGCCAGCCCTGGTCATCATGTTGCTTGGTATGATGATGGGGTCGCACCATCAAACCAGCATGACGTCGACTATGGTGCACAAACAGTGGGGTAACATGCTGGTAGGATTCGCGATTGCTCGCGGCATGACCTACGTTTTGGTGTTCCTCAAGCCACCGACCTCGTACCTCCCGGCTCGTCCTCCGACTGAAATCATTGCCGCGTTTTGTCTGATCTCGGGAGGCCTCATTTTCATGCTGAGTGTAAGCTTCCAATTCTAATAGGTTCCAGGGCATGACTAACTCCAATCTAGACCCGCAATGTGATTGAAGCGATGGAGTATTACGAGCTCGACGCCATGTTCACCTTCACCGTCGGTCTCGGTTTCAGCGCCTTCATCATGGCATACGAGGTCTTGACGATCGCTCTCAAAGCCTGGGCTGTCCGACGTGCTCAGCGCTCCAACTTCCGCTTCCAATAAACGATCTGCCGTGTTCTTTTTCCTTCGATACCCCTTTACACTTCTGAGGTTTTTTGTTTCATGCAGGGAAATATGGAGTCATCTCATTTGTGCATGAATCATGCGGCATGATATCCCCCGCTCTTGCAACGACGTTATCCAAGGACAGTTCTTTGGAAGCCCTCGAACATGATATTATTTTGCGATGTGAGTTATGTGAGTTATGTGAATGGTTTAATGTGGTAATTATAGTTTAATGAGGTTGACGAGGACTGGACGTCCTGGTCTCTCACATATATGTCGTACAGATGTTGAGAATATAAATGCAATGTTATGAAGTATTTCTTATTTGAATTGCGGCAGGTATTTGCCTCGGACTTAAGTGTTTATACCCGAGCCGCTCAATTTGCGAGTGCCGACGTACCGTGGGGTATTCCCATGTCATTTTTCAGTATGCTGTTGAGAGAGTACTCCGCAGATCGGCCATGGATAGGATATGGATACAAGAAGGGACCAGTTCAGTCCCACCCGGGTTCCGGACTGAGACCTGAGGCTCAACGGCTGGGAATCGGCTTCATGATTCTCCAAGCGGCTGGAGGGGCAAGTGGGGTCAATAGAAAAACGGAACAGAGCAGCTGCTTTGATTGGAAGAGAAATGGATCTGATGCCATCACCATCGGAACCCGAGGCTTGCGGTGGGCATTGTACCTTTTTCGGAGTTCGTCGAGCTATTTATAAGCGAGGGGATCCTCCGGGCCTCTAGGCCTCCATTGTAATAGTTCTCCAAACCTCATCACCCCAATTTCATCAAAATGGCCTCTAACCCCCCCCGCTGCCTGCTGTGCCTCTGGCTTCAAGCACGAAGGTACTCCTCTTGGCGAGATCAAGAACATCGACGGAGGTAAGATGGAATTCACCGAGCTGCAGCCACCTGCAGCACCCAGGAACAACCCCAGCTGACACGAACCGTTGTGTAGTTAACACCTACATCGCCTACCCCAAGGATAACAAGACTCCCGAGAAGGCCATTATTTACATAACCGACGTTTTCGGCATCTTCCCCAATTCCCAGCTGCTCGCTGACGAGTATGCCAACAATGGTTACCTGACCATCATGCCGGATATTCTCCAGGGTGACCCGATTAGCGTCAGCGATATGGAATCTGGCAAGGCCGATCTGCCCGCATGGCTTCCCAAGCACCAGATCGCGGACGTCGAGCCCGTCATTGACTCGACTCTCAAGTACGTTCGTGAGACTCTGGGCGTGAAGAGAGTTGGTGCTGTGGGTTACTGCTTCGGCGGTAAGGTATGTATTGTTGAGATCTGAAGATCCAATCCCCAGGAACACAACATTGGCAATTTGATGCTTACGGTCCTTTGTTTAGTACGTCACCCGCTACCTCCAGCCCGGCAAGATTGACGCCGGCTTCATTGCCCACCCCTCGTTCGTTACCCACGAGGAACTCGGTGCCATTAAGGGCCCCCTTTCCATCGCCGCTGCCGGTAAGTGAATCTTCTTTGATCAATCAACCGCAAAACAAATAAGATATCAAACGCTAATTTAGCGTGTCCACAGAGGTCGACGCCATCTTCACTACTCAGCTGCGCCACGAGTCCGAGGAGACTCTTATCAAGGCCGCTCAGCCCTGGCAAATTAACCTGTTCAGTGGAGTCAGCCACGGCTTCGCTGTCCGCGGTGATCTCAGCGATCCTAAGCAGAAGTGGGCCAAGCAGCAAGCCTTCTGCCAGGCCATCGGCTGGTTCAACGAGTACCTGTAAAGATCTCAGATTTGGAATATGTAAATAGCAATCTCTAATGGATATCTCCCATTTTTGGCCACGAACATAGTCTCAGAACCCGTAAATCGAGAAAATCTCCCGAAACCACCCCCCAGTTTTTCGGTCGAGACACCCGACATCCGACATCGCGTGTCGATTTGAGTTGCGTGGTTGGTCTTTACCGCGGGGCGTAAACTTGCGAACGAACAAGTCGCTCGAATGGCCCGATTGCATCTCCCTGGACTTCGCTCTTTTATGATCTTTATTTCGGTTTATATCGGACTTTGATTTTCGGGGATCTACTCGATTTGATTTGGTTCGGGTCTCGTTTTCTTTCGACTTCAAAGAATCGCGTGTGCCTTGTGAGTTATCCCTGGACATGAGCCGGACTCGGAACTTGGGGCCAGCGAGGAAATCATAAAACTGACATTTGGTCTCTTTTTGCCTTCAGTCATTAAATCGTTTGATCTGCAGACTTGACTCTCGATTCCGTGGGTCAATTCATATTCACGTCTTCGTTCCGATCGCAAATCCTCTCTTTCAAAGGCGCAGTATATCTTGACTTGACAGCCGATACACCGGTCACCCTGAACGGCCCTCGTCGCATTTTATATTCCAATCCGAGAGTCTGGATAACAGAATCACTCGGTAATCATGGTCACTCCTGCTGCTTTACCTCCGTTGCCTTTCAATCCGGGTCGGGTACGAACTTACATCTTGCGGCTACCGTTGTTCACCCGCCTGACGCTGCTGGCCATATTCGCCTTCTGGCTGCTTGAGTTCCAAACGATATGGAGTGTTGTGCAATGGGGTGCTCTTATTCCTGAGGAAATCAATCTGGGAACTAGTATGTTTAGTCCTATGTTCAAGGCGCATATTGGGCGCATGGCTGACTTGGCAATGTGATCAGTGTACCGACTTAATACCTACCCGATCATCCACACCGGTTTCTTCCATGCTTTGCTCAATGCTATAGCGCTTACACCGTTGCTGGAGCGGTTTGAGGCTGAGCATGGTACCTTGACTGCTGTTGCATTGTTTATTGGACGTGAGTGCTCCGACGACTGTTGACTTTCAGGGTCATCTTTGCTGATGTCCATTTAGCCCTTTCAACTGTCCCTGCTGGACTTTATATCTTGATTGAGAAGGTCATACTGAACAGAAATGCCTCCGTGGTGGGCGCTAGGTAAGCATTGTGTTGCCAATCCGAATGCTTCGGTAACTAACTTTAATCAAGCGTCTGGGTTTTCCTGCTCCTCGGCTCAGAGGCCATCAAGACATATAAGTCTCATCCTAGCTTCAGGTAAGATTCGCCGAGAGAGGCTTCCACAGCAATGTCACTAACAACGCCTTTCAGTCTTGGTCCGTACAAGATCCCCACCTGGACTTCGCCCCTGTTCGCATGTGTCGTGGTGTCTATCCTCCTCTCGAACGTGAGCTTCATCGGTCACATGTGTGCAATTCTTGTCGGTTATCTTCGTGAGTCCCCCGTCTCTGGGTTTCCTTTGCCATTGCTAATCGTTGCTAGTCGGCCTCGGATACCTCAAGGTGTTTGTGCCCCCCGAGAAGGTTCTCCGCTGGATCGAGGGCAAGCTCAACCTCTTGGGACGCCTGCCCCACTATGTCTCCGTCGATCAGAAGACCTATGGCCGCTATGGAGTTCTTCCAACCGCCAATGCCGCTGGCCCCAGCAGCAACCAGCCACCCATGAGCTACATGGGGTCTACACAGCGCCTGGGAGCTTGATCCGATTGATATGTTGATGCATTCTTCATTTCCATTTTAATGTATATTTTCCACCATAGTCTTTTATTATCTTGTTGCAGAATCAGGGAGGAAATATTGGATAATAGCATAGCGTGTGCATACTCCCATTCAACCTGCGCGTTTGGTCTTTGTCGGTCGGCGTAAATTCCACTTCTCCGCGTCTAAACAACGGAGCTCCCGATCTCCACTGTTGACTTGTAAGACTAAAGTCGCTTCAATCGAAATAATTCACTCATTAAAGGGTTCGCCCTTGCGGCACGGGAAGTCAGTTCCCGATGGTCATTAGTCAATGGCGTTGAAATGTGAGCAAAGAAGCTACAACACCACCTGTCCTTCGTGGCCCCAGCGGAGACCCCAACTAATAAGATGACAGCTGCAATCCGCAACTTGCGGAATAATCCTCACCTCCTATTCGTTCGGCTTCCAAATCTTCTCTCTTTCTTGTGCGTCGTTGTCGGTGTCGTCTGGCTACTTCTCCTGCCTCTGAACGAATACTCCCGAGGAACCTACATCTCCGAGAATGCGCTCCTGCCGGGTCAAGTCCATGCGTATTTCTCGGGAAGCGAACAGAATATCTTCCGAGGATACAAGAATGAACTGGAAGGATTGTTGAATGAAGGACAGGCGAGAGGAGGCCAAAAAGACGAGGCGGAAGTGACAACAACGTATGTTGAATGAAACCCCCGACTGGAGTATTTGCTGATAGTTCAATAGGGTCTCGAAGAAGTTGCAGTCGATCTTGCAAGCGGCAGGCCTCAAAGTTGCCACGCAGAAATACGAATATACCTCCGCTGGAATTACGCATGAGGGGGAGAACACCTATGCTATCATCCATGCGCCGCGTGGTGATGCCACGGAGGCGATCGTGCTGGTCGCACCATGGATAACGGCCGATGATAAGTTGAACTTGAACGGTGTTACTCTTGCTTTAACATTAGCGAGATATTTCAAGAGTGAGTTTCATGGTGGTGCTTTTCTATTTCGAACACTAACGAATGATCCCAGGATGGTCACTATGGTCCAAGGATATCATCTTCCTAATTACCCCCGACAGCAAGACCGGAACTCAGGCTTGGATCGATGCCTATCATGATATGCATCCTGCTTCCGTGCAGCCGCTCCCTTTGAAGAGTGGAGCATTGCAAGGAGCATTGGTGATTGAATATCCACTCGACCACCGGTTCAAGTCACTTCATATCGTATATGACGGAGTTAATGGTCAACTGCCCAACCTGGATCTGTTCAACACGGCTGTGGCTATTGCAGGCGGCCAGATGGGCATCGGGGCCAACCTGCAGGAAATGTGGGGTCACGATGACAGCTACGAACATCGTCTGCAGACCATGTTCCGCGGTATGACCAAGCAAGGCCTTGGATATGCCACCGGCGCACACAGCAGCTTCATGCCATACCACATCGACGCTATCACCTTGCAGACCAAGGGCGAGGGATGGGAGGATGAAATGGCTCTCGGCCGCACGATCGAGTCTCTTTGCCGCAGTTTGAACAACTTGCTCGAGCACCTGCACCAGAGCTTCTTCTTCTACTTGCTTATGCAGTCCAACCGCTTCGTTAGCATTGGAACTTATTTGCCCAGTGCTATGCTGATCGCTGGAAACTTCACCATCATGGCAATTGCTCTGTGGATGCGCACTGGGTACTACCCAGAAAACAAGCCAACTGCTAAACCCAAGGCTGAGAAGGCATCCGCCGAAGACAAGAACAAGACGAGTAGCATCGCAGAACGCAATTTGGCTCTGCCACTTTCGCTTGTTCTTGGGCTCCATCTACTCGGTCTTGTACCACTTTGGGTTTTTAATAATATCTTCCATCAGGTGAGTTCTGCCAGCCTACAACAGTAAGAACAACGACAGCTAACAAATATGCAGTATTTCACAACTACGACTTACATTTTCGTGGTTGTGGATATCATCCTCCCCCTCCTTCTCGCTGCAATTCTTGCCCACGGCCTAGGTGTCTCAAAACCAATCATCCCCCAACAGTACCACCTCATCAAATCCTTCTCCCTTCTCCTTCTAGGCCTTTCCCTCTCAACCCTCGCCACCCTCAACTTCTCCCTTTCATTCATGATCGGTCTCCTCTGCGCGCCACTCAGTTTCATCACCCGCCTACAGGGCTCCGCGCCATTCCGCTTAGCAACTTCCAGTCTTGGCCTGGTGTTTCTCAACCTCCTCTCCCCACCAACTGTCCTCCTTGGCGTCTGCTGGTATATGGGCGTCTCTGTCGAGACTGCTCTCACTCAGGCCGCTTTCGGGTGGGATGTCTGGGGTGTGTGGACTCAGGTCGTCGTTTGGTGTGTGTGGTGGCCTGCTTGGTTGATTGGTTGTGTTGTACTAGGCGCCTCTATCTTCTGATTTGTGCAGTGTTGTGTCATACTCCTTGCTCTATTCGTATCATCATATAGAGGAAATCTAATAAATACGAATATAGGGATTTACATATGAGTATCGAGACAAAGAATTTACCGTAAGGATCAAAGCACTTCAAGGATAGATGTTCCAGGCTGGCAGCAAGAGTCCTAGTATTCCGCTCTCATTGTGCTGTCAAATGCCCATGAGATACACGTAAATATGGCAATGTCACTGATACATTTGCGGTTTAAAGTAGGTAGGCGCAATATACCCATTCACGTCACTCTTGCCTCTAATAGAGTCCAAGCTTAGGCTGTTTCTCTTGACTTGTTTGAACTGCCACGCCATGCTCATCTTCAAAGGACTACCTTGGTTCTTGGGTTTTGACCTCGATCAGCCTCAAGATGGCTAGCTCTGATAGCAGAACATTTGACCATCGGGACTGGAAGATCGAAACAATGGCTTCAACAAAGACCATTCCTAATTTTATACATGAATTCCGGAGAGGTCATGCACGGGTGATCCGAGTGAACAATGAAAGCATCAGGGATGCCAGTCTCAAGGTGCAATGTCCTTCCCCGAATCTTTGTTCCAACCCTTGAACAATACTAACAAGTTCACATTCATCACTTGCATCAATATCAGATTGTTCTTGACCAATATCTCTTGCCTCCTGCCTTAACTGAGAAACAGCTCTCCAACTCTTTCATGCATAAGACTCAAGTCCCCCTTCCTGAATCAAGATGCTATCTATGAATATCTATAAAGAGAAAGCCCTGTTACTCGCCCCAAGGGCCGTGTCCCAGGTCAATACAAGATGGGCATCTTCCAAATCGACTTCCTCACGCTATGGTTGATGTCAACCAGTCTCGTGGCCTGGGTAGCCGCTGCTCCACAACCAGATACCAATGGCCTCTGTGCCAGCTACATCATCCAGGGCTACGATACCTGCAAGTTAATAGCCAAAGCACACGGAATCACCGAAGCCGACATCGAACGCTTCAACAAGAATACCTGGTCTTGGCTCGGATGTCGACAGTTATACCAGGGTGACTTCATCTGCGTCAGCACTGGTAATCCTCCTATGCCAATGGCCCTCCCCCACGCAACATGCGGTCCCCAAGTCCCCGGAACCGTACGCCCGAAGAACTGGGCCGATCTCGCCGGTCTGAACCCGTGCGCTGCACCTCAATGTGTAAGTAACCCCAGAGATTCCTATCCTCACAGACCCAGCTCTAACAACAAATAGTGTTCCTGGTGGGGAGCCTGCTCGAATACAAGATCAGTCTGTGAACTCGGATCCCGCGCACCTCCAGGCGGAGCCACAGCCACCATCAAAGCACCTACAACTCCTCCTAAATCCATAGCAAGCAAGCCCAAGCCCACTGGCGGCGCAGCTGCAGGTACAAAGGCCACCGCAAAGCCGGCCACTACACAGGCTGCCAAACCCAAGACGACTCAGGCCGCAACGTCCAAGAGCACAACGTCCAAAAGCACAACTTCCAAAGCGACAACATCCAAGGGAACCACCACGACCAAACCCACAACAACCAAACCAGGATTTCCCGTCCTGACTGCCCAGCCAAGCGATCACTACAAGGGTCCCTGGGGGGAAATACCATGGCAGTTCACGATCTATACCGAGAAAGACTGCAAGGGCGATTACTACCATATCGAGGGGTATAACCGGCGGTACAACGACACGATGGAAATGTGCAGCGCGCTCCGTGGTGGCAAGCTGAGCAGCAAATGGAGCGAACAGGGACTGACGTGTAAATGGTGGACGGATGGTGGGTTTACGTGGAAGCCTTGTGACAAGAGTCCGCTGGAGAAACCGGGGTCGTGGATTGTTAAAGATGGGTTCTGTGAGGGGTTTACTGAGAGTGAGTGTAGTTGTTTTGATCATTTCATTGGGCATTATAAACCCAAGGGGTGTCAGAATAGGCAGAGGCATGATCCGCCGACGCTGAGGTCGTTTATGTGTGCCATTGAGTTTGATTGAGGCGGAGATTGGGGTTGGGAGCATTTGTAGGGTTCTTGGTTTATTTCTACTATAATGATTCAAATGATCTTTTTTGTTGGTAGGATGGGCAGAGATGTGTACTTGAGCTGGCTTGAGGACATGCTCTGTGTATGGCTCATATGTTGAGTCAGGGAATATGGATATGGTGAACTGGCATCGGAATGTGTACACTGTCTGGGGCTCGTTGTGAGCCATATAAGGGAACATAAGATTGGGTTGGGCGAGTCTCTTTTCGCTATATTGCATCTAATGAGCCATGCATACTGCAGAGAATAGATATACGCAGCAGAATCATAATAAAAGACCACACCATTGTATTCATTATAATAGAGATGGCCAGAACACAAGTGAATCAAGATATCTATGCAGCCCAGACATCCTTACCAGCACCCTCAATCCAATGACCAAGCTGGTTGACACCAGCATCCCAGTCCTTAAGACGGTTCCGCATGCCATCAATCTGCTTCATATCCAGAACCTTGGGCTGAACCCAGTGGATCTGTGCAATTTGGGCAACCTGATCGATCGACCCACGGAGCAAACCCAATGACAAAGCCTTCATGACGAGGTGTTCAATCTCATCAGGCTGCACCTTAGTCTCGGATGCAATAGACTGGAAGGAGAGAGAGCGGTCGTGGGGAGGACGACGGAAGACCATCTCCGTCAGGGCTGACAGAGAGATCTTCTGGTACAGGAATACCCGGTGCGACTCCAATAGCTTGTTCTTGCTAATGTTACCAGCCAGCACGTCATAAGCCGTCAGATCGCCGCGGTTAAAGGCGAAGAGAAGCTCGCGGAGCCAGTTGTGCGGGGTCTCGGTCAGCGAGTCCAAGATCGGGTGCAGGAGAAGCTCTCCGAAGTTGTAAATCGTCTCTGATACCAGAGCAGCCACGCTAAGGTTGTACGCGCGTGATGCGCGCTCGGTCTCGGTGAGTTCATCCAGGTCAATGCAGGCAAGGTAGAGGAGGGCGTTTTTGTAGAAGGAGGCGAATTCTTGCTTAGCCTGTGAGAGGGGGGTGTTAGCTTTGATTCGGACGGTCGAGTTGGAAATGGCAAACTGCGAATTTACATACGTGATAGTAGTCCGCGTTCACTTTGTAGAATGCTGCGTGCACGACGGTCTCGACTGAGTCGAACGTGTCCAGCACCTGTTGGCAAGTGATCAAGTCCTTCTGTGCTCCTTCCAAATCCTTCAGCGACAGCTTGACGTTGGCAACATCAGCCAGCGCATAGACATAAGCATCCTGTGTGTCGGTCGTATTTGTCTTGTTGGCGAGGGATGTGAGGAAACCCAGTCGTTCTTGGTCATCTAGAGGAAGATGGTTAGCTTGCATCAACGCAACCATATCCCAATAATGGTAGATATTCAAGCTCCCAGATCAGACTGCGGGGCACCAACCTGCGCATTCTGTGGCGGCCATCAAGCCCAGCGACACAAACTTGAGCTGGTTGATCCGATCGGCGAAGCTGAGCACGAATGTCTTAAAGAGGGCTAACCGATGGGGAGCGCTCTCTGACATGCGGAAGAACTCGACCAACGAGTCTGTAAGCTGATGCCATAGCTTGCGCTCCCAGTAATCTTCAAAGGTGAGGAAGTAGGGTTGCGTCTCTGGGCTTCCTTGTGCTTGCTGCTCGAGCAAGAAGTCGGGGATCTTGGACTCCATGGCGGAGGTCTGGGTGGTATTTTATCGAAATTCACTAGCAAAGGGCGAGATGTTGAAGGAGAGGAAGGCAGAGGAAATCGGACGGAATTGGAGATGTTGATGGTTGATGCGGACTGGAAGAGAGCTGATATGATGTCCTCTCGGCAGTTTGGGGAGCTCTGTCTCACCGCCTTTGACGGTCATCGATGTTGATCTTGCGTCTGTTTATGAGTTTGATATCACTGTTGGATTTACTTATAGAATTACTTGTTACTACGCAGTGATGCAGGGGATTACAGAAATTTTCGATGGTGCTGTTTATATATTCCATTGTTGGGCCTGTATTCTCTCTTCCATGGCTGATATATAGACCAACATGTATACTTGTACTGTATAGACCACACTGGGAAGTGGTTACTCCTACTCCATTTCTTCATCAAATCTCCCATCCAAACATATATATTTCTTTTGTGCAATATTCTAAGTCACTTCTACAAGACTTACAATAAACCGTCTCTACCATCTGTCTCCTACCTGGACTACGCAGCGGCCAGCCTCTAGGAGTCTAGGACCAGTCAAGGTACCTACACCTCTTCAAGCTATCATTCAGATATTATGAGGACATTAATGGAAGCCTGATATTAGATATAGTAACTCCAGAAACGGCTCATACAAAAAAAAAAAAGATAAGATTCTGATGCGTGGAGAGACATCTAGTCTATATCATGTACGCCTATATCTACATACCCACAGGTACTTCAACCCATCCACTCCCCCCAAGCACGATAACCATCGTCTAAAACAGCCGATCAGAAGCCGAGAATAGCAGGCTTCTAACAGCGCCTAATTCATATTAGGCAAAGAAACACGGTGACAATATAATGCGAAAGTCGAGACTCCACTCCGAACTTGACAAGAGGGTCACGGCAACTTGGTGTATAAAGAGATACTCGTCATCCATCTCGATTCCTCTTCCAAGGATATTTCTTGGATGATTACTTTTACGTCAAACCAACGAGTCATTTAGGTTGCAAATCATCGATTGACTCTTATCATGATGATTGTGGCCATTATCCTCACCTGGAATGACATATGAGTGATCTTTAAATCGAAGGCCTGTGATCTCCCCAACCGGCAAGTTGACTCGCTCCGTTAGTTATTGGGAGGCCCTGCTAACGTGCTACAGGTTCAATATGGATAAACATCGAAAAGCTCTGTCCCCGACCACTCTTTCACAGTCAAGGAATGCGGTTCCGAGCCGCCTAACGGTTCCATCAACTCATCATGAAGTTCAATTCTGTCTACAGTCACGCAAATGTCCCTCTTCCACTTTCGTGAAGTGACAGCCCTCAGCCCCAAAGGTTCCGTTAGCACTTTCATAGTGAACCTGGAATAAGCGACGGCTCTAGCCATCCGACGCTCTTGTCGGTCTCAAACAGACCAGAAAACCAACAGACCTACAAAAATGCGGGTTTGAGGAAACATCCTCTCGTGAAATGAGGTCCTCCCCGATGACTGGAGGCCAGCAGCGTACATGGCGAATGCACAGGCCAAATGCTGGATTAGGACATTGACACCGACATGGGTGCTGCAGTACGCTCATGGCCGCTATCGGGTCAATGAGACTAATCCCATAACGGGTCGTCAAGCAACGGCTTTTGTGCACCAAGAAGGCAGGAATGATGTGACTGGTGCCTTTATCCGAGAGCTGACAGCTAGCTGTTCAACAAGGTTGGGCTCAGCATACTCTGCGAAGGTGGGAACTTTTCACTTCGCTTTCATTTCGCGAGTCCGACAAAATTACACTAAGACGGAAGCGTGAGAGATGCAAGGTATAAATATCATCCTTCGTTATTGGATGATGGGAAACCATTGGCAAAATCTAAGTGACACGCTCTTATACACACGTCTCTTAGACAGGGTTGGCTATCACCGTGAAAACCTCTAGGTATTCTTGGAGAGAAACGGGAGAAGGATGATCGCATGTACTAGTAAAAGACTAGCAAGGACGGTATTTGAGCATAGACTTGATCTATATGCTTGCTCGATCACTTGAAAATCGATTGAGGTGGCCGCAGCTTACCTACCTAACCCTAATTAATCATCGAATGCAGCGTCCATGGATGCTTTATTTCAACTACATGCGAGGCAGTAGACGCCATACATAGTCCTATAGCTTAGTCGAACCAGGCCCAAGTCTAACATGGGCACCTCTTGGTGTCGAGAAAGAGCCCGCCACATGCATTTTATGTTGACTAGCTGATGGTTAGAGCATGTATCAAATGAATGATAAACCGAGCGAATCTGCATGGATATTTGTGTCCAATTCAATGCTGTAATATAGAAACATGTTGACTACAAAGGGGGGATGCTACAATGCTAAGGGAAAGTGTGTAAGGATGCCCCAAAGGGAAAAGGTATTTTTTATTTTGTAAAACCCCGACCAACCCCTGCTGGCAACATGGAATCATAGATGCACGAAAAGCGAGACATTTAAGCGTCATCGACGGTGGTGGTGTGGAGGCCCTTGGGGTCCTTGACGTTGACGGCCTGGACGAGGGAGTAGAGGCGCTCCTTGGCGTTCTCCTCATCGTTACGCTTGCGGGAGATGCGGACACGGAGACGGAAGGGGACACCCTTGATACCGGCTTCCCAGACCTTCTTGTTCAGCTGGGGGTCGACGCGGACATCCTTGGTACCCTATTGATGAAGAGGCAACCACGTTAGCAAATGCGTTCCCCTGAGAGGGACCAGAGAGGGGAGAGCATTGCTCAAACTTACCATAGCCTGCTCAGCGAAGGCGCGGATCTCCTTGATGGCACGAGGAGCACGCTTCTTGAAGCTGACGCCGTGGCACTATAATTCCGGAAAAGAAGTTGCAATCAGTCTTCCGCCCGAATGCCATCTGCTAGAGAAAACTCTGCGCGATGAATGTTTCTGGTCTTTCGGCCATAGTGGACTTCATAAAACTAATTCTTCTTTTGTGTTCCGGGTTTGGATATGTGTGGATGCGATCGAAGTCTTTGTTTCAAGATCTTCTTTCGGCGGTCTCTATCGCGTTGCAGACAAAAGACAAAAGCGCCTTGTCCTACCTGGGATTTCTCCGCAGGTCATGGTGAGGATAGTGGTGTGACATGGGGGAATTGGGTTCCCAATTCGACCCTCAATGCGCACACACACCAACCACACCACACACATTCTTGTCCGTAACAAATTCCATTTTCAGGAAAAGTTTCTTTGTTCTCTGTCCATTATATGCCTCCAGAACTGAATCGTATTCGAATCGTCGCAGGTAGACTGGGAAAGGGTGTTCAACATACTCGCTTGTGCAGGTTGATGGTGTACTCGCGAGACACCACATCGGCGATAGCCGAGCGCTTGTTGCCGGTCTTGACGTTAGACATCTCTGCAAAGATGGTTAGGAGGATGCTTCGGACTGATAACTGATGATACTAACTGAAGGGGTGGTCGACGGTGGGCGGTTTTGATCGATGGTCAGAGGAGAAACCGCGGCCGATTTTCGAGTGAAATTCAGTGTGGTCTCGCTTGCCTGTGCGGGGCTTGATTGGCTCGGGTGGGGCCATTGGATAGCCAATCAGGGCTTAGGCGTGGATACTGGGTGCCTCAGGCCGCAACAACTTTGTTCACTATGAAGAACTCATACTTCGCTGTCGGATGACTATTTCGTAAATATCCAGGCTATTTGAACTATAGTCTATAGGTAACTCTTATCTTGTATTATAACAAAGATTCCCGTAGACATCCAAAGTTCGCTGCATTTACTTTTGACCTGCGCTCACATCGGGGTACAGATCAAATCGGCGCTGAGTGGAGATGGGAATTCCACTGCGAATGTTCGCAATAGAGTCATTATCCAAGTCCGCATAAACAATAGTCTCATGCTCTTCGGCCTCAGAGACAATTTTTGCGCTGGGGTCAGCGACTAAGCTGTGGCCGTAGGCGTGGTAGGCGGCTTCCAGGTCACGCGCTGGGCTGCAGAGTGCCACATATGCCTGGTTATCGACTGCGCGAGCACGTCCCAGAAGTGACCAGTGTAAAGGACCGGTGGTGGTGTTGAAAGCTCCAGGGTATACGAGAAGGAAAGCACCCTTGCGGGCGGCGATCATAGCTGCCTCTGGGAAACGGATATCGTAGCAAATGGCCAGACCGATCTTTCCGTATTCTGGCAGATCAACAACTGTAAGCTGGTTACCAGGAGAAAGTACATCACTCTCCTTGAACTGGATCTTGCCCGGGATGTCGATGTCGAACAGATGCGTCTTGCGGTGGGTGCCAATCAAGGCGCCCGTCGGTGAGAATACCAGTGAGGTATTATAATATTTCTTAGTGGATGGCTCCAGCTCAGGAATACTGCCACCGACAAGGTATGCATTTGCCTCCGCAGCGATGGCCGACAGTGCGTGGAAGGAGGGCGATTGCTCGCTTGTAGGAGGAGAGGGATGGAGAGTCTCGGCGTATTTTGGGAAGAAGTTTGTGCCGTAGGGTGAGTTGAAGCACTCAGGAAGAACGATTAGTCGTGCGCCGGCCTTCGCAGCTTCGAGAACCTTGGTTCGAGCATGTGAGAGGTTCGCGGCCTTGTCCGCTCCTAGATGTTTCAGTCAGTTGAGGAACATCAAAGCAGGTTATATATGGGCAGGTTGGAGATCTGTACCTGACGCGAGCTGAACAAGGGCCAATTTCAAAGGCTTTTTCAAGAAGGTAGCCATGATTGTCCGTGATATGAAGAAGATGAGTCGAATGGGGAGAAGGAGGATAACGGAGCGGCTCCGGGAGTGCGGGGGGTCGTCACGCCGATAAGCAGACGCCTGACACTCTGTATTCGTTCGGATTCTTCATGTTTTCCTCTTGGTTGCAACGATTCGCCCTTTTCCTACTTCATTCGGTATGGATAAGGAAAATTTTCTGCCCGACTTGATGAATATATAGATCTTGATTAAATATTTCGGTAGTCTCACTCGCTGCACCCCAAAAAAACTGCTAGTTATCGGCCTAATATATATTCTACCTTCAGACCGAGAACAGGGCATGTAGCCTCCTCAACTCTCAAATTAAAGTGACTCATAAGACTATAAAACAGGCTCTGAAAGAAAAAAGCTTACACCAATGAATATGACTCAATTGAACTCCAGGATAGAACCATATGTGTCGAGGGTATGTATACAACCTTGGAACGTCGTAGATACTCGAATATGAGTGGGTCTAAAGTGGACTTGCATGTCTGTTGTGATGCATGATCTGTGTAGTGGTAGTAGTAGATACCCAAACCATCGTAATAAGACCGATATAACGAGTCAAGTACTCAGCATCCGGATCTCCATATCAATTGGTGTTGTCAGTGCTAAGGCTTTATATAGAATCACATGATACCGACTAATCTTGGAAGAGAGTTACTATGGGCACCCCTTTTTGCTACGGGCACCCCTCCCGCTAAACCCTTTATGATTTCCTTCTAGCTAGCCACTGCCCTTACCACCCCCCGTATTACTGATCTGGTTCCCCCCTAGTATTACCTATTATCATCACATGATTAAATTACTGCCCTTATCCCCTAGAAATATCATATTCCCACATTCGCTTAATTTCATGAAGCTATTCCCGCAGTCCCGTAGAAATGAGGGTGTAGGGTGCTGATCTAGGTGAAAATGAGGGTGTAGAGTTTTCGAAGGGGATGATCATATGACCTCAAAATAGATGCTGATTTTCAAAAGTAGTGCAAAACGACTATTTGGCTTCTAGTGCCCCTACTAGCTTAGAACCCCTTAAATATCAAACTCTGTCATTCTTTACTATATAAATCAGATATAAATCTCACTAAGCTCTGCCTCGTCCCCTACCTCTCCCCCTACCCCGTCCCCTGACTCTCCTAGTTGTGATACCGCTAACCGCGATCTAATTATTAGACTTAGTTATCTCCCCTTATATAGTCTAATTATTATTATATCTTTAATTTACCGGTCTCCGCCGTCCTAATTGTCGGATAATTTCTTCCTTCTATACGCGTATAATCTTAAATTATGATAGCTCCCGGCGGACTAAGTTTTCGAAACGCTATAATACCTATAATAGCGGGATAAAGGACTATTACGAGGACTACTACGAGGACTACTACGAGGACTACTACGAGGACTACTATAAGGACTACTACGAGAATATTATTAGCTAACTACGTCCTCGTATAACTAAGGGGTTTTGTATCTAGAGCTCGAGTACCCTACGGTAACTAGCCTCTAGTGTTGCTTAGATCTAATACTATAGATAGAATTAAGCCTAGGTAAAGCTCTAACCTCTTACCTAGGCTTTGTTAATATAGTAAATATATAGATACCCCTAAGTGTTTATAGACTCGCCTAAGTATACTAGTGGAATTATAGGCTTATTACTATTAGCGGGTAGATAGTAATTAAATATTACTTATGCCTTTTTAATTATATAGGTAGTAACTAAAGTCTTAACTTTAGTGAATAATATACTACTACTAATCTCCTATACCCCCCGTTATATAGTAAGCTCCTAGTAGATCTAAGTAGTAAGTCGCTTAGTTATACGTTTAAACTTAGTACTAAGAGCTAAGAGATCCTTAGTTCTAGTCTAGATATCGAGTTTAAGATAGCGGTACGCGGCTTCTACCTATAAGGTTAAAGTCTTATTAAGATATAAAAACCTACGGGTATAGTACTATAAGAAGTAGGGGCTATAACCACGAATCTACTCTCTATTAATATATTATAGTAGAGCTAGGAAGTGTTAATACTTCTTTTTAAAAGTAGCCTATTAAGTCTCTATCTCGTAAACCTCCCGTGCGAAGACGATTTAATGCTAGTTACCCTTTATTATAGCCTATTATATAGTAATCTTACGTTAAATCTCTTCGGTAGTGGATCTAGTAAAGTTATTAGCCTTTTCGGCTAAAACCCGGAGGACTTAGCGACGGATATAGGGCTTAGTGTGGCACTCGATATTATAGGTTATATACTAGGAGTATAGTATCGTATTCGTAGCTAGGAAAGCCTATTAGATATAGGATTGTTAGTAAACTAGATATTATAATAATAGATTGTCTTACCCTTCCGATAGTATTACGAATAGCCTACTCCTTATCCGTTAAAATAGTTAGTGGACTATTTTAAGGGAGCGTGATAGGGGGTATAGGCCCTAGCGGAAAATTATATATTAACGTAAAGCGTATTGGATAGAGGCTTTCTAGCTAGGCTTAGGGAATTATCGTAGGAAGCTTAGTTATAGGAAGCTTAGTTATAGGAAGCTTAGTTATAAGAAGCTTAGTTATAGGAAGCTTAGTTATAGGAAGCTTAGTTATAGGAAGCTTAGTTATATGTTACGACCCTCTGCTAGGAGAGTGCCTTATAGGCTGGATCCCGCCTGGTCTAGTGACCCAGAACCCGTGACCTAGCAGGGGTAGCATGACCCCCCGCCAGAGACCGCACTAGGGAGACTGAGTCCTGCCGGGTTAGGTGACCTAGTCCCGTGACCCGCCAAAGGTCATCCATATAGAGACTACTAGGGGAACTTAGCTCTTTAGCGATTAGTTTATAAATATACTAGCACCCTGCTATTCCTTCACTCTAGTTCTATATTACCTACTAGGACCCGCTAGTATACCGGTCCTAACATTCTAATCGCTAAATCTTAATTGAACTGGACCGTTAGAATACGTAATGTTAATAACTCGACGCACGAGCGACCGCCTAAGGGGAACCTTAGCCCCGATCGCGGAAACGAACGACGTCCCGGGACCCCTATAACCCCTACTAGAAGAGGTAGAGATATAGGGAGTCGACGATAACCCTTAGGGAGGAAACCCGCTAGATCCGATAACCCCGACCGAGGTAGACGAGGAGGCGGAACTCCGAGAGTTAGAGACCCTTAAAAGACGTCTAGCTCTAGTAAAGGAGAAAAATAGGATCCGCGCGGAGCTATAAGACGAAGAAGAAAACGTAGTAATCCTATAGGCGAGAATATAAGGATCTAGGATCCGTCGGGGTTCGCTAGGTAGTACTACTAGCTAAACTACCTACTAACTACCCGATACTATCCGTACGAACTCGATTATATCGTAAGGAAGTACCGGAGGCCACCTATCCTATTAGAAGGAAGCGAGGGAACTACGTATACCCTATAATATAATAACGTATAGAGCTAAGAGTTCGGGTAAATATAATCTCTTTAAGTCGAACTAAGAAGCCTTCTAGAATAGATACCCCGACTAGTTCGCTAGCGACGTACGTAAGGTAGACTAAGTAACCGAGTTCTTAGCGCCGAAGGTTAATATAATATAGATAGAATACTATAGGAATAACCTAGGTACGACGTTTACCTAGTCGGTCTTCGAAATATAGGCGCTCGCTTAGGTTACCGACCCCGTTAAGATATAGCGAGAAGCTAAATACGACTAGTAGTAGATAACGTAAGCTAAGTATTAGGATATATACTAATACGCCTTAAAGCTTACCGGACTCTATAACCGCTTAAAAGATACGCTAACTAGATAGATAAGAATCGACCGTTTAGAGATAGGTATCGTTAAGGAGGTACGAGACGAAGTAAGGAGGTTTATAGCCCCCGCTATAGATTAATAGGACGACTAAGTAGCCTTCTATAACTAAATTAAGAAAGTAATACTAGGTAGGATATTATATCTTAGGGAGGCTAGGAAGATAGCGCTAAGAAATACTATAGACTCGTAAGGATCTAGTAGAAGACCCTTTAAGGGAAATAGCGCCTTCCCTATATAATAAACTACGACTACTACGGAGGGTAGAAAAGCTACCGTAGGGTCTAAACGAGACTAGAGCGGAGATAGTAAATTCTATAACTTCTATAGTAAGCCGGGCTACTATACGAAGGACTACCGTAAGAAAGCTATAGTAAACGCTATAGCCGCGGAAGAGTTAAAAAAATAGACGACCCTATACTATAGACTCCTATAGTATTAGGGATAATTCTCTTCGGAGAACGTAAGGGAGTGTACCGAGTACTCGTCTATAACGTACTAATATTAGACGTTAAGACTAGAGCCCCGACGGAGGTAGCTAAGACGCTAATAGATAGTAGCGTAACCTAGAGCTTCGTAAGCTAGAAATAGGTAAAAGAGAACCTAGAAGAGACGTATATAATAAGTACCTACCTAGTAGAAGCTATAGACGGGCGTAAGATCCCTTTATATAGAAGCCGAGAAGTGTAGCTTAGTCTAATAGACCGGAATAGAACCCGTAGAGTTATTAAAATAACCTATAAAGCCGTAGATATAACGATCTACGATATAATTCTAGGAATAGATTAGCTTAGACTAGTGAATCCGGATATTAACTAGGTAACTAGTAAGTAGGCGTATAGAAATATAGCCCCGCTAGAGGTTAAAACCCTCCCGCTAGAAGACTTCGAGGAAGAAGTAAGACTATAAGGTATGCTCAGAGAGCTACGTTTAGACGTCGATAAGGTTACCGGGGAGTTTATAGTGATACTAGAGGTAATATAAAGCTCGGATAGGACCCCCTATCCGGTATAACCCCTAACTAAACTCCCGCTAGAATACTAAGATCTAGCTATTATAGCGAGTAAAGAAGGTACTATAGCCCTTCTAACCTACGTAGAGTATAATCACGTAATCGAGCTAATATTAGGTAAGATACCCCCTTAGAGGCTAGTATACGCACTATCCGCTAAGGAGTTAGAAGTCCTCCGTTAGTAT